CCGGCATGGTATATTCAAAGAATCGAGACTGTTGGCTCATGCACTGCTGTACACAGTACATGTCAAATTACATCTACATCACACTTCTTCTCATCACAGCGAACCTTGCATCTCCGCGATGAGACTCTTCATACCCCTGCCTTTGGTTTTGCGCTGAATGACTGACTTATGATGAGTGGAAGGGAATGTAGGGCACTTCATACAGCACCATTGGTGAAGGAGTTTGGTGCCTTTGACCCATTTATGCAGCATGCTTCGGGAAGTCTCCCCGGTAAGATTGTTCAACCCAAGGGTAATGAGTATACACTCATTCCTCCTATGCAGGTTTGGGAGCATCTTCATCTGGTGTAGTTGTGCATGCGGAAGGTCATAGCCAAGCCAGTATCTCCCACTTGAGTCACAGCATCTCCTTCGATGTTCCTGTGCAAACCTACCCTAATGTGGAGAGGGCAAATTGACTGGTCAAAGTTCCGGACTGGGTGCCCGCGGAGGTCGAGGGCTGGTTGGCTGCAGTGGAGAAGTTTTCGCTAAGGGATCATCCTCAGCTTCCCTTGCTGTACCATGTCCCTCCTTGTCATCTTTTCTTCAGCGACACCGCTACAAGCTGGATTGGGCAAAAGGTGCACAATTGGCTTCGCATTCGACCATGGTGCTTTTCCATGCTGGAAGGTGATGATGTGAATGTCCTGATGACTACCTACCAGTGGAGGGTTGCACTGGAGGGCGCATTTTGTGCTGTAGACCTCACATCCTTGCCTCCGGGTGTTACGCTGAAGTCAAAGCCTGAAGACATTGCCAAACTGCCGCTCGACATGCTTGCCTCAAAGAAAAAACCTCGTTTCTCTGAGGGGCCATCGCAAAAATGCATGAAGACCAATAGCGGACAGGCAGTTTCTCAGAAGGAAAGACACAATGCAAAGAAGATTGTCGATCAAGTGGATATCCACATTCAGTTCACCGTGTATGGCGGATTTTCCCAGTGGATGGAGACTACGGTTTGTCCTGATTGGGGCAATCTCAAAGTCAACATTTAGATCGCAAAGAGCAATCATTGTCTTGCAGCCAAAGTTGTGTGGGAGTTGTCTATCATTAATTTCCACCTTGACTTCCTGCTTTTGGATCATCAAATGCTGTCACAAGAGTACAATAGCTGTGGCTCTGGCTGGGTGCGGGATCGCCAGTGAAGTGTGTCTCAAGTTTGGGGATGAAATCAGATCTTTCCACCTTGGGTCTGAATGAGTGAATGCGATAATGTCAGCAGTAGAAACAGTCTCCGGAGGTCCATGTCTGTTCATGAGATGATAGTAGTAATGTCGGCGTGGCCAAACGGACAGGCAATGAGGGCCAAGGCTATGAAGGTTGGAGAATCTGAGCAACGCCTCATCACCTTCCTCTTCTACATTTGTTGCTTTCACAGTCTTAACGGTCATATTTCAATGATTCCCTTAATTCTCCCCGAGATGCTTTTTCAATGACAGCTCAAAATGCCCAACTGAGGACAATATGTAGTTGGCATTGATTATGATATCTTGTTTGCATCAGACATCACGTATTATTGTATAGTTTTGTCTATCATTCTATTCTATATTTGCCATGATAGATTCTGGAAACCAAGGGTTGTGTATGTGATGACATGAGGTTTCCATGAGGTTGCATGAGGTTTCCATGAGGTTGCATGAGGTTTCCATAAGGTTTGTATGCAGCAAACTCATCATTGCAAGTGCAAATATTCCAACTCTGCTCTCTACCACCACCTGCCCTTACAGCTGACACCCTACTGGTATGTCAAGTGTTAGATCTATGGCTGACTATTCTTATTAGATTGGTGTAGATAGATCAAGAAGTGCAACCTTCAGATTGCTCTGACCTCCAGGATTCAGTCAATATTATATATGAAGTAACCTATGAATAGTAAGTTTGTATGCTACATGGTCATTCATAATGAAGCTTACTTAGATCCATTAGCTTTGAGAAGCTAGCAGACTCTGCAGGACAGAATACCTCTGACAATCAGATCATGCAGCTTTCAATAGATATTAGGTCTCTTGTTCAACTCAGACATTTTCAATCTGAGCTGGAACATCATAGTCAGGATCCTCAAGTTCAGACAAGACTACAAGCTGCCCTTCAAAAATCACAGGATGAGACTGCCCATCAGCATATTCAGCAAGACCTTGTACATGCATACCATACCATGCACAATGTACTTCCAAATTGCTTTGCAGATAACTACCAATCACAGAAGACTGCTGCTAACTTTGGTGATGAACAAAAGACTGTTTTTGGATATGTGGTTAAGGAGTAAGTGAATATGACTTTAATTTGAAAGTATAGGCTTAATATCTACATAGGCCATCTAAAATGGCACATTTACCTCCAAGCAGTCCAGAGGCTAAACCATCTGTCAAAAGAAGCAAGAAAGAGGCAAAAAGGACCAAATCAGTAAAATTGCAACCTGGTGATGCCTTGGATTATGGCCTTGCTAATCAGAAAGAGTCTATATTACAGCAACAGCCTGTTGTATCCAAGAAGCTTCTGAGAAAGTAGGCTAAGAATGAGGCAAGAAATCAGAAGAGATTTTCTATGGCAGAGTCTGAGGTTTACAAAGCACAGAGGCAAGTGTAGACTTCTTTTCTATAGTAGATACCTTTGCTAATTGTAATTAAACCTCAGTGGTTTCAGTGCTCAGAAGTTGCCAATTAGCTCAACTGGATGGCAAGGTCCCCAGTTTGATAAAAGTACATCAAAATATGTGCAGGAACTTCAAGCATCAGGAGAAATTATTCCTGTTCTTCAAACCTTTCAAAGAGTCTCTTTTGACTCTCCTAACATGTTTGTGTTTGTATTTATATTTTCTGACATAATGTACTCAACATCTTTCTTTTGTAGACCTGGAAAACAGAAGCCCACCTATATTCTTAATCAAGATGGCAGACTGGTCATTTATAGAACAGATCTTTCTCCTGCTATCAAGAAACTACTCTCAAAATTTGGGCAGGAGGCAATGCAGTTGGTAGAGAGCTGCATTCTGAGTGATGCAGATCGTATGCAAAACACTAGGGGTGCTCAATGGTTCTCAATCTTTGGCCATCATAGACAGAGCATGAAGGTGAACTATCAACTATTGGTAGGCAGAAGATGTACTATATACTGACTATTATTCTCTGTAGAAGCCCCAGCTTTCAAGTTTTCACACTAGGAATGCTGAAGCTTTTAGTAAATTCTATACACATGACTCTGCAATAAAAGCTATCAGGTATGCTTAAAGCCTTTTTTTTTCACCTGGCAAATTTTCTTACAATTTTTCTAAGCAAATGGGTAGTTGGTGTGCTTAAAAGAAGGTTTCCCAAGATCTACTCAAGGATACTGGATTCTGTTCAGATTATCAGGCAGAAATTTGACATTGCATGCATGTTTGAAGTTTTCTTCAATCTGTGTGTTAATGCTCCTCTAAGAAGTCAGGGCATTCATCATGTTATCTGTAAACCCCATACAGATTCCAAGAATGGTGCCATCTTGGTATGTGCTATTATGACTTATATCTATGGCAATAGTAAGCATCTTTTTACTGTATATTATATGACCTTAAAAGCTCAAATATTTTACAGAGCCTTTGAAGAGTGGTGAAAGGATCTGGCTAGTGCTATGGGAGGCTGGAATCATACTGGAACTTCCTCCTAGAGTTCTGGTTCTATTTCCTTCTGCTCTCATTCTTCATTGGAACATTGACATTCAAGGTTGGTTTTATATAATTAATATATTAGCAGCATTATACTTATTGAAAGTAGATCTGGAGATAGTGTCCACTATCAATAATGAGAAGCCTACTAGGACAAATACCACATCTCTCTCTTATGACAATGATGAAGAAGGAGGCAGAGCCTCTGTTGTGTGGTTCACTCAAGCCAGCATGTTACAGGCCTCAGAATTAGAGCTTGGTTCAGTAAATGCAATGAATACAGCAGAGAAGGAGGCTCAAAGAAGGTTTCCCAGGACAAAGCCTTACTATATTAGTACTGATAATGCTTTGGATAGGATAACTACTGGACACTTTCCTTCAGCCACTACAGATAAAGAATAGAGTACAATATGTATTATGCAGCCCAATTCATTTTCTGAGTACATATATGATATGCTTGTATCCATCTAAGAGTGTAATCCTACATGCTTATACCAACTCCTACAACTGAAGACATTCTCTGTGTAAGATACTCTAGTTGCTGTAGATTAAAGGGACAATCAGATTCCTCAACATGAACCACTAAAAATTGCTCAGATTGGTGAGTAACAAAAGGATTGTCAGGAAACAGATTAGGCACATTATTTTTCTGGTGATGAGATGCAAACCTGTCATTCTCCAGAGCATCCCAATCAATTCCATACTCTGCAACATCCAAATTCTCCAATGATTCACTTGCATACTGAGCTTCCAGCCTAGCGAAGCCCCTTGGCCCATCCTGAAGCATGCTAAATCATCTGAGATTAGCAGGGCTTCATCTACCCTATCCAGATATGTCCATTTTATAATTGTTCCATATGTTGGCCCAGGCAAGGATCTTGATGTTCAAGGCCTCTAGAAAGAGGTAATGTAGAAGCCATATGTGAGCAGAGTTTTCTACATCCAGACCATGATGAGCTTCAAGGTCCTGAAAGAGAGCTTTCCACTTTGAGCCAATGCCTGAAGTGAAATTGAACTATAGGCATTCAATTCTGATGTTATGAATGGATCTGGAATACAGACCTGTAAGTTCAGCAAGTGACACTACTTTAAATAAAGCAACTTACCTTCCCCAGATGTAAGAACCATGACCAGGACCTCTGAGATCTTCCATAAGGTGAGCGACCATCACATTCTCCCCCCATGGTCTCCACATACACGGCTAGGTAAACTGTGAGCCTGCACTAGAGCCTCAAAAAGCTCGAGCACAGTCTGAGCTCGATTGTTGTTGTGGCCTCAGATTCCAGTGATGAACCGACTGAAGCCATCAATGAAGGCGTGGACAACGATCTTGTACCGAATCAGGCCTAAACGTGTTCAGACATATAAGCAAATCGATGGATGGATGGATGAAAGGATGTAGATACCATGCTGGCCATCATGGTGGCATAGAGAGTTGTAACCAGCAACATGGTATACACGTCACTCAATTCGCCTCACACTGAAGACCCTGGTGGAGGGACTATGAACTCATGCATAAGAAGCTTGTACACGAGCACGAGAAACTGTGTGTCCGAGGTGGGTCAAATGACCATCAATCATATGGCGTCCGAAGCTGGGAAATGACTGAAGGATTTGTGCCATGATCAAATCAAGTTCATTATCGGAGAGAGAGGAGGACGGAGTGGAAGGAGCGGGAAAATACTCTCGATAGCATACCCCATTCTCAGTAAACTCAAAATATACTGGCAATGCAGGTTCTGCCAAGCCCAGAGCAATTGCTGCCCGATGAACTGTCCTGGCAGATGTCCCAAACAACTTTCCAAGTTCAGTCACCCCTCGATACTGTAGACATACTGCAAGTAGTTCACAGTTGAATTCTACTCGAGGGCGTCCTGGGCATCCTGTATACACCAGCTTAGCAGGTTCCAGAGCATCCATATCTGCAGTGTCAGAAGATTGTAGTTTTGCTGCCTGAAGTCGAGTGAGCATGTCATGAATGCTGCTGCAGATTACGTCCATATTGGCAGGTGGAATGAGTTGACTATGCTGAGTATTACCAGGATCAAGTGTCAAAAACCCAATTTTCCGAATCTGATGAATCGATACACACCTGGAGAGTCTGCTCCCAAAATTGAAGGCAAGTGCGGATTCTCTCCTCTAGATGGCATGCGGCTCCTAGCTGAGTCTGCAGAGCAATCTGAACGTCGTCCTTCAGGAGCTCAAATGCTGAGTATATACTTTCCAGGGGAAGGTGAATGCCTTGAGCATCTTGGGGAATTTGCGCATTCATTCTATGACTTAGGCTGAAATGAGTATATGTCCGAAGCAGGGGGAGGGCAAAAAGAACTGACGATATGATGGAAGTAATGATTTCGGCGGGGGAAGGGGGAGGAACTCTAGAAAAATTGAAAGGAAATGCTAGTATAAAGAATCACATCAGTTACACACATGAGCATATAAAGACGTACCTAGAGAGAGGCTATGAAGACTCTAGAGGTGCGATGATAATGAAGAGAAAGGACCCCTACAAGAAGGAAGAAGAAACAAACAGCTCTGTAGCCTCCAAGAAGGAAGTGAAGCAAGTACCAAAGCCTCCAAGAAGGAAGCAACGCGAGTACCACCTCCAAGAAGGAAGCAGTCAACGATGGTTGGAGTTCAAGATGCAGGCAGCTGAGCGCCCAATTCGCATTGTGCGCTTACAAAACTCGACGCCCAAATTTCAAAAGGGACGCCCGAAGTTCAAAGGACGCCCAAATTTCAAAAGGGATGCCCAAATTTCAAAAGGGACGCCCAAAGTTCAAAAGGGATGCCCAAAGTTCAAAAGGGACGCCCAAAGTTCAAAAGGGACGCCCAAAGTTCAAAAGGCGAAGCCAAATATTTGGCTTCGCTCCCTAAGTTCATAATATTGTCCGGCCAGGCCCGTCATAGGTTAGCGCGAGTGCTGGTTTCAAAACCATGCTCACCCAAAATGACATCTTGGGGTCCGAGTGGTTCAGTCGATTCCACGATCAGTGGTGCATATATCAGTACGAATTCTATACTACTCAATGGTCTAACCTGCATGAAGTGCCGTACTTTACTGGGCGAGCCGTTTGCGTAAGATTATGGTTCTCGCTAGTAATTGACGTTATCTTGACAGCTGCTAAATAACCCGGTGCTTGTGGAACAGTTTTGATGCTATATGTCTATTAGAAGAGCCCATTTGGGGAGGAATGTGAATACCGAATTGCTTGGCACTTCACAACGCCACATCACATTCGCTACCTTCGCGACGCAATAGCATCTTCCCCTTCCGAACGGTGGCCACGCTTTGCGATATTTCCATTAACCTCTGCTATAGCTAAGTCGGACATTCAGCGTGCGTATTCGGTGCGTGTGTTGCAGTGTTTCAACTTTCTTGTATCTATTCTCATGTTCCCGCTTCTTTCCAGCTTTGTGGGTTTGAGGTGCAACCCTCGGACTCCGTTTCAGTCCGGCGATCTTTACAACGTGAGGCTTACCGTGTCACCATGTGCCTCCAGATGATTCAATTGAAGAAGGCCATGGGTGACGTGTCTTCTAAAGTTGCCGCGTAGCTTTTGAACGGCTCAACACTGCTCGCCTTGTGGCTCTTCTATTGAAGCGCTGCCATATGATCTGGCGCGTGATGAAGACGTTTTTCTACGTACCGCTAATACTTAGAGTCTCTGCTCATCGTTGGTGGATACAGAGGGGACGACACCCTGTGTCTGCAAATCCCACTCGACAAATTAATTGTATCCCGAGGTTCTACCGGCCCGTCACTGCTCCAGCAGCAATGATGCATAAGGATGCAGGGGAAACATATGACTGCTTTACTGACCTCTATCAGGAACCCGTACTGCTTCACGATTCATACAGCTCTGCAGAGTTGTGAATAAGTACACAATACTCGCATTTGACTGGCCAAATGCTGAATTGCACGTAATGTGAGTACGTCATTCTTCTCATATGCCGAACTATGGCAGATAAATTGAGTACTGACATCCGCACACATTTTAAGGCCGTATCGCTGGCGAACGGACAACCAGTGCCGGCCATTGTCGACACCATCATGCCGATGAGGGTCATCGGATGAATCACTTGGTCTTGCTCGACGTTGTCCGTTGCTTCTGAGGGACATTGGTCAGCCGTTATGCGTTATGGAAGGCATGACAGTGAAGGTATGCATTCTCTCAATCCTCTCAATCTCCATCTCTTCTAATTGTGATATAAGACCAGCGAGATATCGCAATCATGATTTCCCCGCCGCATCCAAAGCATCATGGCAGTGAAACAGCTCGTGGTGCTTGCTGCCCTTGTCACGTCTGTCGCGTGCTATGGATTTCCAGACTGCAGTAGTGCCCAACTCAAAGGCAATGCCGTGTGCGATACCTCCAAAGACCCAATTACTCGTGCTACAGCTCTCATCAATCTCTTCACTGTCGATGAACTTATAAACAATACCGACAATGGCTCTGGAGGTGTCCCTCGTCTTGGGATTCCATCTTACCAATGGTGGTCAGAAGCATTGGTATGTTCCTATCAATCTTCATCCTTATCTGATGACGCTTACGAAGTTTTGTATCTTTAGCATGGGGTAGCTAATAGTCCAGGCGTGAACTTCTCGGCGTCTGGAGAGTGGAGCTCTTCCACCTCTTTCCCTCAGCCTAACATCCTAGGCGCGACTTTCGACGACGACCTTGTCAAACAAGTTGCGGATGTCGTTAGTACAGAGGCCCGTGCATTTAACAATGGCGGGCATGCAGGACTTGACTTCTGGACTCCCAACATCAATCCCTTCAAAGATCCTAGATGGGGTAGAGGTCAAGAAACGCCTGGCGAAGATCCATTCCACTTGTCGCATTATGTTATGAACCTGATCCAAGGTTTGCAAGGCGGCGTCGATCCACAGCCGTACTTCAAGGTCGTTGCTGACTGCAAGCACTTTGCTGCATATGACATGGAAAATTGGCACGGGAATGTACGGTACGGGTTCAACGCTGTCGTTACGCAGCAGGACCTTAGCGAGTACTATCTTCCGCCTTTCCAAACTTGTGTGCGAGACGCGAAAGTCGGCAGTGTCATGTGCTCGTACAACGCCGTCAACGGTATCCCTTCTTGTGCCTCGCCGTTCTTGCTGCAGACGGTGCTGAGGGATCACTGGGGTTTCTCGGATGATCGTTGGGTGACTAGTGATTGCGATGCAGTTGACAATGTAAATGTCATACATTTTGGCACCGTGTCTTGGCAATCTCATGTTCTAGTTGATCAGGTCTTTTCTCCCCACAACTTTTCCACGACCCTCGCCGAAGCATCTGCCGTATCTCTCAAAGCTGGCACAGACATTGGTACGTTTTCTCTGTCTGGTACAGAAGACAATATTCGATGTTCTTCTCCTCGTTTAGATTGTGGCAGCACGTATGGTGCTAACCTAGGAGCAGCGTTGAACCAATCGCTGATCACGGAGGCACATCTTCGAAAAGCGCTTACTAGACAGTATGCATCTTTGGTCAGGTGCGATCAATTCACTCTTGCCTTGCATAACACCTCGTCTCATCATGTCGTACCCTTCTTGTCAGACTTGGCTACTTCGACGATCCATCAAAGCAACCATTCCGTCAGCTTGGCTGGTCCGACGTGAATACAAAGTCTGCACAAGACCTCGCTCATAAAGCTGCTGTTGAGGGAATTGTCCTATTGAAGAACGATGGTACCTTGCCGTTCAAGCGTTCCATCAAGAAAATCGCGCTCATCGGGCCTTACGCTAACGCCACACGTGAACTGCAAGGCAATTACTTCGGCATCGCGCCCTTCCTCATCAGTCCACTCCAAGCTGCTCAGACTGCTGGGTTTGACGTTTCCTATGTGTTTGGCACGAACGTCTCCACAAACGATACTAGTGGTTTTGCTTCTGCTGTCAGCGCTGCCAAGTCTGCTGACGTCGTGATCTACGCGGGAGGCATTGGCGAGACAATAGAGAGAGAAGACATTGACCGTGATGCGATCAGCTGGCCGGGGAACCAGCTTGACCTCATAAGCGAATTGGAGAAGGTTGGGAAACCCTTCATTGCCGTGCAGTTCGGAGGGGGCCAGGTGGACCAAACATCACTGAAAGCGAGCAAGTCCGTGAGTGTCATTCAACTTCTTGCCTGTTAGGCGTCCATCTCATGACGTACTTCCGTTAGGTGAACGCTATTTTGTGGGCCGGTTATCCGGGACAAAGTGGTGGTGCCGCCCTCTTTGACATTTTGACGGGCAAGGCAGCGCCTGCTGGACGTCTTGCAACCACACAGTATCCCGCCGAATATGTCAATCAAGTCCCTATGACAGACATGACGCTACGTCCAAGCTTAGTTAACCCGGGCCGAACGTACAAGTGGTACACAGGAACACCGGTTTTCGAGTTCGGGTTCGGGCTTCATTACACGACATTCTCACATAGCTGGGCTACAAAGCCTTCGAGCAGCCACAACATTCAGTCACTCTTTTCGAGAGCCAGGTCGGCCGCTCACATGGACCTCGGCCTTCTCGATACATTCACGGTGAACGTCAGGAATACTGGCAGGGTCACCTCGGACTATGTTGCCCTTCTATTCGTGAACAGCAAGAATGGACCCGCCCCGCATCCGAACAAGGAGCTCATTTCTTACGTTCGTCTACACGATATTGCTCCAGGCAGGACCGCAACTGCGAAACTCGAGGTCACGCTCGGTTCGATCGCTAGGGCGGACGAGAACGGCGATCTTTGGCTATTCCCAGGAACTTATCAGCTCACAGTCGACACCGACGCCGTTCTCAAAACAAGCTTCCAACTGACTGGAAGTGCTACTAGAATTTCAGAGTGGCCACGCGACAACTCAACTCAGGCGTCTGTTTAGAGCTTGAGGCGCCTGCTTAGAGCTTGAGGCGCCTGCTTAGAGCTTGAGGCGCCTGCTTAGAGCTTGAGGCGCCTGCTTAGAGCTTGAGGCGCTAATATGTGTGAAACGAAAACGGGAACTCTCTAGCGTTATGTGCGTGCTGTACTGGGAATCCACGACGTTTACGAAGTTGATGTAGATATTTCATGCGGATATGTCCTTTGAGTGCTGAGATAGCTTTGAACCAATAAATTCGAGTGGATTTATCATCTTCTATCGTGTCGAATACTAGACCTGCCAAACAGGGACATCAGTGCATTGCTCAGCGATACGTTACGTTCGAACTTGGAAAGTGACTGCAACCTCCTCACCGTTGTTCACCACGTTGTCCACGACGTTTCTCTTCACCTCGCATGGTTCACCGACCAACGGACTCGCGGCTACTAGTTAACCTTCTGACCCACGAGAAGGAATACTTGAAACAACTTTCAAACCTTCTCGACCAATCGCAAACCTCACTAGCCTCCTTCTCCGCATATGCAGCGGCGTCTGCCCCACCTGCTTCTCAGATAATTATTTCAGTAGCTGGAGCATTTGCAGGAGCCGATGAGGCATTGCGGAAGTATGCATATGCTGTGGAACAATGGCAAATGCAGCTCAAGCAACTAAAGGAGATGGAGGCTGAGGTCGCGAATATAATGCGTGATCGGGAAATTCTGTAAGCAACCTAGTGTCTTTACTGCATCGTGTATTGTGACTAATATTGAACCAGAGTTACACGGCTCATCAAGGCTTCGAAGAGCCAGAAGTCGACGCGCGACAATATCCTTGCGTCATCTTCAACGTCTACGCTCAGTGTGAAACCTGAAGTCCAAATTGGCTCGAAATTGTCTGCTGCGCAGACCGAACTGCAAGCATGTGAAGCACATTTGGCGGTTAAGGAACGTGAGTTGGACGAAACGAGGACGTCCACGATTCAAACAGGTCTCCAACTGCGTTGCAAAGCTATGGTCGAATGTGGCTGGACATGGGGTGAAATGGGAAAGGAGGGTCTAAGGGCGTTGGATATGTTTGATCTATCCCAGCAACCCAATGGTCATGGTGCGTCTCGTCCCAGTTGCCTGTGTTCTTTGGCTTCGGATAGTCTTGGGGAATGCTTCTTGACACATGATTCTGACAATTGGTTTCCGATCCCTAGCTTATTTGCTTGCAGGCGTTCCCCACGCTTATTCCAAACCTCTTCCGAGTACCTCTCATGGTCACGGCTCTGACGATTCATCTCTAGCACCTTCTCAGTCTGCCTCAAATATTCCATCTTTCGATTTTCACCGACCAACTTCTCCGAAACCACTTCCCAATCCCAACGATTATACGCTACAGATTCCACCAGCACACTCTATATCTGAGTTTGCACTGCCAAATGGCCATCGTCCTGTTCCATTCGATGAAGGTCCCGGTAGTAGCGCTGAAGAGGATGAAAACATGGAGAACTTGGAGGTTCATGAGAATCCTAAGTTTGCGCCAAAAGGCAAAGCGCAGACGCAGGGTCGCGCTCGCTCCGTCTCTGATGTTCAGCCCACTCGACATGTTAACTTCCAGTCTTCTTCGCGTTCGGATTCGCACATTACGAAGTCATCTAGAGACAGGGAAGCAGAACAAATTCCAACCAGAGGTTCGCAGAAACGCGGTTCAACTGGTGTCTTTGGAAGTATAGCAGCCTTGTTCCATGTCAGGGTCTCCAGCAACAACGACTCAGATGCGTCCTCGCACAAATGGCACACTCGGACTAAGAAAAATCTTGCCAAATCGAAACGAAATGATGATAGCTCAGACGATGAGCCCACTAGTTACAATATTGCAGAGTCGTCACTTGCGGGACCTTCAGATCGTTCAGGTCTCTCCAGGTTGAGAAAACGTTCAACAAAGCGTAGCTCGTTGCAAGTGCCGCCGTCGTCTTCGGCTACTCGCTTACAAGATGTTCCGGAGGATAGAGGTTGGATGAGTGATGGTGCTGCAACTACGAGTCGAGGAAAGAAGAAGGCGAAGGCACCTACTTCCCTACGTATCACCGATCTTTCCAATACTCGCGCTCCCAAAGCCTCTACATCACCGAAGTCGCCAAAGGCCAAAGCGCCAAACGGAATTTTGTCAGCGGGTCTGCCCACTGAAGCATCGCTATCGAGGAACTCATCAGTTTCGAAATATAGTACTATGTCTGCACCTGCCAGTGCACCTGGTCAGCAAACGACGATTCATCCTGCATCGGTATCGAGACGTGCCAGTACATCCAACGCAAATATGTCTACTCCTCGTCGTCGCACCACGTCGCTAGATGTGAATGCGCTAAAGAATCAGAACACAGGTAACGTCTTGTCCGGGCATGGTTACCCTCCTATACGTGCTGGTCCACTCAACACACCCGGCAAACCCAGCTCCGCACAGAGAAGTAACGGCGATCCTGGCAAGTCGTTAATGAGTATCGTCGAGGATGATCGGAAACATCCAGATACATGGCAGAAGCAACATGATCCTAATCGTCTGCTATTCCTCCCTAAAGCCCCGCCGCCTGTCACGGAGACTCCTGGCCTATTAGACTTTGACAAGGCTGACTCAACTGAGCAGAAGGAAGCAGAGAAACCTTTGAAGCCCTCAAAGTCTGAGTCCTCTATTGCCCCCACGCCAATGGTGTGGAACCATCCTTCCCCTCCTCAAGAAAAGCTAAGAGTACCATTGAGGTCTGCTTTGCGGACCAGTCGATCTCCTTCCCCTTCTAAACCGCCTCGGGCAATATCTCCACCTGTTCCAGGTTCCTCGAAGCTTCGTCCACCCCCAGCCGATACACGTCGCCGCAGCCGTGAACTGGACGATACAGCTTCAATATCCTCTTACGAGTCCTTCTATGACGCCGAGAATGGCATGCTAGATAATAGTCCTTCCTCTACTCCTCAACCTGCCCCACAGCGACCTTCCCTGGCAATACAAGCTCCGTCGTCGCCCTCGCCTCCACCACGCGACGATCCGATACAGACAGCCGTGAGTAGCGATCTCTCGCATTCCACGACTTCCCACTCGAGTGAAGGTGGTCATACCGTTCGAAAAAGTGTCCGAATGGCTCTGCCACCCACATTCTCTTCTACACCACCCGCTCTTGATGACGATGATGACACGGAAAGAGCAAGATACAAACCTTGGTCCTCGGCGCCAGTGGTTCGTCATCCTACGTCTGATCATCGTCATGTACGAAGTTGGTCTTCGAGGGTGCCAGATGGTTCGCCGACTAGGGATGTATGGGAGGATTCCAGTGATGAAGACGAGGATTATGGTAGGGCAAAGCAACTTCTTTTCAAGTTTTCGAGGAAAGCGTAGGAGAATACTATCCCTTCCACGATTGTGGTTGTTTTTCCTTCTTGCTTTCCGCGGACATTTGGTTTTTTTTGGAGTTCACTACAGTAAGCTATTCATTACACAGATACGATATGGCTCTTTATAATGCTGTACTTCTTATTGTGTATGTATCCGGTTGTTTTCTCGTCTATATTCCAGTAGTTATCGTTTTCTTTCGTTCGTTCAGCGACTTGCAATAGACGCCGGACCGAGGAATGACCTTTCGGGCGCTTCTCCTCTCTTGTGGTTCGGGCTTGCGCTTTCAGCACAAAATACACTCTTGTCTCCCGACAACCTCCACCTTGATCTTTACATTCATCTTACCCGCCTGCGTACCTATTCAACATGTCCGACAGCGAGCAGCCACCAAATCAGGATAACGTCGAGCCCAAGGCTGAAGATGCTAATGCACCCATCAACATCAAGGTCTGTTCCTTTTCCCCCTTTCCTCTTGTTCATAAATTCACTTTTATCGTGCCTGCTGTGGCCGTGTGGAACCTTTTAACGTCATTTAGGTGGTAACGCAAACAGGAGAGGAGGTGTTTTTCAAGATCAAGAGGAGCACAAAGCTTAGCAAGTTGCAGAGCGCGTACGCCCAGAAGGTGGGCAAGGATGTCGGCAGCATTCGGTATGTCTTATTCTTCATAGGTGGCACATATGACGAACAGGACCCACATTGCTGTCTTTGCTTCTTCCTATGATGCCAGACTGCTTATATGCGGATACTGATAAGTCCTTTCTTCTCCTATAGGTTTTTGTACGACGGTAATCGGGTGAACGAGAATGACACACCAGCGTCGCTAGATATGGAAGATAACGGTATGTACCTCTGACTTTCCCTTCGGTTGCGACCTGATTATTCACGATTTTACCCGATTATCCAGATGCCATCGATGTAATGGTAGAACGTATGTTTCAGCTTCCTCTATTCTTTGGGCACTTTCTGAATGCTTTGGTAGAGGTTGGAGGTTCGGCATGACCTATCGCAGCACATCCTCCGTCCGATTCTTTCCCGCTCTTCATCACAAGTTGTTTATATCATATCGTTCCATCGCTGCTCATCATACTGGTGTATTGTTGTTCTTCACCTTTCTTTATTCTTCCCGTCGCGTTTTTCGATTCCTTTTCTAGCCGTATCATAAATTCTAACAATGTAGCCTGCCATCAAATTCAATCGAATAACTTCACAAATGGATTTGCGCAGGGATCAAAGCTTGCTCTTTGTTTTTCTTCGTATGAAGTACAGCAATGCTTGCGGCTTGGGCGGTGGTGAAGATGGAGAATCGGATGTAACGCCGGGGCTGTATTAGGGTATGTATGTGATACATGGTACGTACTGTCCAGCCAATCCTAGAACCAACAAAGAGCGATCTTGATACGGTGTAGAATAACAAAAATGCACATGGATGTCAGCTGAAGAATCTTTATATCTCAGATACCAAAGAGTACCATGATGCCTGCAAGACCACCCATCGCCACAGTCGACATACTGGCGATCACAGCACCAGCACTACTGGCCAAACCCCCTTGAGCATTGTCGCCATCGCCTCCAGAGCTAGGTGTAGTCGTACTTGTTTCCGCGGGGTCTGCCGTGATCGGTGCGGTGATGACACTGCGAGTCTGCGTAGCCAAGTTACCCGTGTTGGTCACGGCTCCTCCACCAGCATCAGGCAATGAAGTGCTGCTGCTGCCTGCTCCTGTGGAAGAAAAGAAGATAGAGCCACTACCTGTAGCGGTAGCAGCAGGAATGGAAAAGGAGCTTCCACTGCCTGCTGTCGGTGCACCAGGGACGGCGCTGATTGTAAGAGAGGCTAGTGGGAAACCTTCCTCTCCGCATGCGTCCTCGTAATCTGACACGGATGAATGGCATTCGGTAAGATCAGTGTCTTGGACGTGACTCGCGTGCGCTACTTACTTGCGATGGAAGCTTGGGACTGTGCTTCAAGGCTGGGATCGTTTCCACCGAGATCAAGCAGACAACTCAGACAGGTTTGGAAGCCCTCATTCACCTGCTTCGTGCAGAGACATGCCGTGTCCACACAGGAAGTACCCTGCAAAAAGATGCGAAGACGCCCATGTAAGGGCGGAGATAGACTAGGCAGGCACCATTCCAATCACTCACGTCAAGAGCCGACAAAGTGCTGGCACATTTGACTTTACACTAAAAAAGTTGCTAAGCCTCTTTTCGCAGAAACAAGGCAACCTAAATGAAAGAGCGTACCGGCTGAGGAATGTCGTCTGGGTCGAGTGTCTGCCTCACTTGTAACAATCTATGCAAAGGACTGCGCCCAGCGATGGTGGATGCAGAAACTTTAATTCATGTCAGAGCCCAAACACCTCGGTCGTGCAGATCCAAAGATGGATAAGTACCTTGGGCTGCCAAGAGAGCAGCAGAAACGAATGTGAGGGCGAACATGGTATAGATCGATCGCGTTCGTTCGCTGATAGCAGACTTGCGTAGGAGGATTGGACGGGGAGAAATTCAACCAGAAGCCAAAGTTGGTCCCTAGCAGTGTGTTCGACGCGAGGGCTTTATATCCTACGCCCTTGACAGGGTCCTGATGCCGTGACTCGCTACCATGCCCCATCTGCCAAAAAGGCACGCCAATCCTTCTCTTCGGCATCAATATATTGAGGACGTTTATGATTCTCGTCCTGACTGCTATTCCGACAACCCCGGAGACTCGTGCATCTTATGTGCAGGGTCCGAGATTCTTCCCACCGCCTGCTAAGTTGCACTAACATCCAGCTCACAATGCAGCTGTGCCGAGCCCCGTCAGACTTCACTGTTGGATGTTCGAGGCAGCGATGGTTGCCAATGACTTTGACATTATAAACTTCAAGCTCCCAGCAAATGAACGCGGTATGTGACATTGAGCTAAACGAGACTAATGAGACACAGCCTTCTATACCGAGGCTACGGTCCTACGGAGCATGCACAACTGATTGACCCTGACCTTACGTATACATTGGATACTTAGCAGTGTCAGGTCATCGATATACATTGCTCCTTGCAATAGCACCTACAGTCTATCGAAGGCCATATTGGAGCGCAAGTAGTTTTGTAGAATCATTGGCCCCGAACAATCGTTACTGAAATTAAACGTCATGTCCTATGCCACAAATTACAGATGATGCGATTAGAAACTACATAAGGTACATCCATATGTCTGAACGACACAAAAGTTGTAGGGTGATTTCATTGTCCATACTTGAATAGATACTAAAGATGAGAGGCGAGGAGAACGAGAGTATATATGAGTATGCGCATTGGACGAGGGACTACAAGACGCTGGGGAGGTGCCTGTAGTCACTTGGAACCTTGGTATCATCGAGGGGGCGGGTCCATCGATCTAAGAATGGCATAGGCATAGAGAACTATCGACAATGCATTATTTATACTCACCTGGAGATGACAGGAAATAACTTTCCATGGCATTGACGAAACGATGTTGGTACTCAATTGGTGGAATCACGGTTACTTCCTTTGCAGAGTTCAAACCCTGCTTCGCTTTGTATTCCAGAGTCTTGGCGAATGTATAACTCCCTGCAGTATATTGAGTCGTTTTGTTACGAGGTCGAAGCAGTTGGTACATACCTATCGTGTCAACCAAGCCGCAAGCCAGTACTTTGTTCTCCTCGCAAACACCCAGTAGTAACCTATGTAGACATGAGTCGCATGGTTGGGGTCGGAAGGGAAAGACGCACGAATAGTCCATGATGTTACTCTTGGCAAGGAAATCACTATCAAGATGAACGGCTTCGTCTAAGATGATCTTGGAATGAGGGTGCAAAAGCGTCAAGGCCTTCTGTTGCCCTATGGACCAAATAACGAACACTATGAGCACGCTATCCATTTCACAATGTAAGCATCATACCCTCTATCCAGTCACCGTCAAACAGAGTTTTGGAACCATGCTGGCTCTGAGCTGCCGCCTTGACTCGCCGTCCCTGAATGCCCTTCAGGTCGAATGTCTTCAAAATGTTGTGTTTGTAGAAAAGATTCTCCATTACAAGCAGGTCCGCCTTTGCCTGGGTGGCCCCGGTCTCCAGGTTGCGTATCTCCACTGTATAAAAGCCCAGAATCTTGGCAAGGACTGTAGGTTTGTTCACGGTGGCATCCATATGTCGGAAGTATGCAGGGCCCATATCAATAAGGACTTGGCTATAAGTGACATGGAAGTTAGTAAGAAATTAATGCAATAGTATATCTCGCGATACTTACAGGTCAGCAACATTCCAAGCATTGACAAGCGTCTTGATGATGAATTGATCATCTGACGTTTTCCAGAAGTTAGCTTTGCTCTTTCCGCCTTCTGCCATCCAGAGCTCGCATTGCGACATGCTCTTTAGAAACACGTCGCCAATACCACACCGTCTCCGTAGTGAATCGAACTGTTTGGCATAATACACCGTACAGCTAAATTTCAAACGTTTCCCGATGGTCCAGTCGTATTTGATATGTGGCTTGTCGTCGATGGCGGGCGAAGCTGCGTGCAGAAGACCATGCTGATATTTATGCGGAGTCTGCATCTCACCAGACTTCACCATATAACGAAGAGCGGCAGACAGCGTGTTCGTTAAAGAGGACGTCATAGAGGACTTGGTGGGTGTAGCTTCGTCGGACAGTGGTTGCTCCTCTTGAGAAGTACCTGGAGCTGCTGAAGTGGTGGCAGAACCGTCCTTGGGAGGCGGCGGAGGCGGTTTGCCATGACCGTCTATACTATCTGGGCCGATCGTAAGAGTGTCACTATCAGTGGACATTATTGAAGAAGCTTTCCCTCGTCGGATGTTGGTCTCTACAAAGCCGGAAGACCCCTGACTGTCGGATCCCGAGTTACGTCTAGATCTAGGTTTCTCGAACACACCGTCCAGGACGTGCAAGATTTTATCAGCGCCATCTAGAGGTGCACCACTGGAATGGCCTCCAGCAGCATCCATAGAGACTTGTACCTCTGGCCTAGCCCGGGCGGAGAGTGGAAGAGGTGCGGTTGCCTTAGCCTTTCCGGACGAGATACTCAAGCTGCCAAAACGTGAAGACGGCGGTGTGTTTGAGGTATCAGATGGAGGTTTCTGGCGGAGTACGTCTGGAATTGACATGGTAAGGAGAGAAGCTGGATCTCGCGGATGTTCCTTGCGCATGATAACTGCGGAACACGTCTCTGGTTCATACCACACGACACCCTCTTGATCTGGATCTAGTTGAGGAGGAGCTGAAGAAAACCATTTCCCAGTCACCGTCTTTGAGAAAAATGAGGGTCGTTCGGGATCCGGGGTCGGTGGAGGGGCAGCAGGGACACTAACGGAACGAGCCGTTTGTGTTGACATATTCGCTAACTCGCGATGGTAGTCCAGAGAGCTGCAAGAATTCTGTAAGGCGATTTGATGATGATATGAGAGAGATGGAAATGCCCGTACCTCAAAGTGAAAGCAATGATACTTCCCCAATCCTTCTCCCATACAATGACATTACCTCCGGGAACAGCATGATAACCTGACTTCCACCAGTCTGGTTCTACATCTGTCGGGATGGCTACTCGCGAAGTCAGGTTGGCAGCATGTTTCGCCTCCCACGCAGATAACCGCTTTGTTGCGCCTTGACCTGCAGATTGGAAAGACCGCCGGATGTTATTCAGGCAAGATCCCGGTGTACGCCAAAGCTCTGCGTAGAGGTTCTGTTCAGTCTTCTGGAACGCATGTCGCATGTTGGTCAGCCTTTGAAGCGAGTCCACCTCACTCGAGGTAAGCGACGATGAAGACGTATTGGACCTTGCTGTAGGAATCTCCTCCACAGACGGAACTGAACTGGATGTTCCGGGGAAAGGGAATGAATCAGCAGTGTTGATGGATGACTTGGGCGTCGATGTGCTTTTGGGAGTCCGAGGAGTACCAGGTGGATGAGATGGTAGCCGAGATGAACCTGCCTTGGGTGTCACTGCGCCAGCATCATCCAAAGGTTCGAACGCGTCATCAGAGGAAGGCAAACGCGGCAATGTCTTCTGAAATTGGCCATGATCAGTAGTATCGTGAACAAAGTTCCCCTCCTGCGTAGACAACGACTCAACCAGGATTCAAGTAATTGACATAATCGATATGGACCTACCAGAACGTCCATGTGATCAGACAATCCTTGCCAAAACTTCATGATTTCACGTCTTAGCTTGCGTCTTTCATCATCTTGAACCATGGTAGGACCTTCAGGCGGCTGACGCGCATCATCGTTCCTCTCACCCGGTCTTCCTTTTACCATCTGCAGCCGAGGGACGCTGACCTCGTAGATGTCATCGATTGGCGAGAGCGTGAACGAAAGTACCCGTCGCTTCCAACTAAAGTTGCGGACTATATTGAAACGCCCTTGAGGTAGCGATGATTCTTTTGAGGATGTTGAGGGTCGCTTCAGCCCCAGTTTGGTATGTTCGCATAGTGGCGTCGACAAATGGAAGATATGAGACGAGTAAAATAGAACCTCGAGATATTTCGCGAACGAGAGCAAGCTTATTCACGAATGGAAAACGTTAATAAAAGGAGTTGCATGAGTGAAAGTCACGCACTAGGTCCCGTCCTGCATGCGATCCACAGATGACCGTTTCTTGCACACATCACAGCTTTCCCACATTTGAGGCAGATCGTCCTCACCCTCGGTTTCGTCGTTACCTTCCGAAGTTGGAGAGATGATACCAACGATGCGTGTTCTTCCATGAATCCATCTAAGTTCATGTTGACCTCGCTTGTAATGACAACCAACTTCCGGACACCGGTCGTCGGAGGTAGCACAGAGCCTTGTGACGGCTTCACCAAGGCATTCATCGTGCTCTCCATAAAACTTGTACGTCATCCAATTTCTCCTTGTGCCACAATGAGTCAATTTCGGTGGAACTGGGTTGGCTGGTGGTACGGACATGGAAGATGGGGTTCTCTGAGATGAGGGTGTGGACGGTCTCGAGATAGAGATACCTGTTGGGGTGGCAGGGATATGCTGGGAATAGAGAACAGATAATATCTGTTGTTGTACAAATCCCGTCACCCCGATCATATGCTTGGCTGGATCGTGTTTGCCCATGACCCAGCCCAATATACTCGTTAGAGCGGTTCTCTCGTCACCTGTCAATCTACGTTTCGGATCCTCTTTCTCCTTCTCCGCCAGGCGGACCAATATGAGAGGAGGTGGAAACCTAATGCCAGGTGACGTTGACAGTAAGTCTTCATAGTTCTTCAAGAGCGACAATGCAGACTCGAACGGATACGTTGGAGGCGGAGGAGTGGCACTACGATCTCTGTGTGGCTGCAAGAAGGAAGGTCGAAAGTCTGAGATGAATGATAGCCTCCGAACTGGAGTGGAACCAATGTCCTCCGAAGTACGAGGGGTACGCGGCGACGGTCTATTCGCCAGCGGCAGATCCAACGATCCTGAACGTACCAGGGCAGGCGCAGCCGCCGCGACATTCGACGCACGACTCAACAATCTGTCTTTCTTCTTGGAGAGATAGCCCCAAAAACCCAATTCCTTCTTGGGTCTGCCACCGACGGTTGAGATGCTCAACGACCGTTGGACAGGTGCACCTACAGGAACTGATACCGTAGGTGGCTTAGGGTGTTTCGGGAAATGGAGGGTGATGTGGGAGTCTGACAGCATGTGTTGTTCGAGAATGAGCGAGAAGTAGAAGAATACCGAAAGGCGAAGTATCTTCAGTAGTACCACATGTTCGATTACCGTAGCGGCACCTATGATCGTGAATGACCCTCCTACAACCTGCAGACTACCATCGTCTGGTGGGGGATCTAAATAACAAGATGAGGTAAGACCCTTATATTCTGTGCATTACTCACCGATCCAACCATCCAGACCATACAGAATGGAAGCATCCGAGTCCTGAACTGCAGTATAGGAGATAGGAAACGTGAACAATCCCGGCGTGAAAATGCAACCAGCATCAGCATGAATGACCTCATAGTCAACTTCTGCAGAAAGATCAGAAGAGCCAAATGGTGCAACAGTGAGCAAGAGGTGTTTTGCCGTAGGCTTCGGTATTGGAACGACTGGTTTAGAGACGAAGAACTTGAGACTATGAAAAGCTACTTTATGTGCAGCTTCAGGGTCCTGGACAACAGGAAAGGTACTCTGCGCGGCTTGTTCTTTCACAAGGCTCGAGGATGCCTGTTTCTCGGTAGACTGTTTGGAGCTGGTCTTTATAGCATCTTCCTTCTCCCCCTTCCCCTTCTCGTTATCTGAGGCCTTGGCTGCTTTCTCTTTCCCTAAGGTCTTCTTCAAAACCTTAGCTCGACGAAAGCCTGCAAGCCATCCCCCTAAGGATATACTTTCTCCAAGTTGGCGAAGTGCAACGTCCAATGCATCCGCCCAAGCTTCATGTTGCGATAACTGAGGGGCCTCATCTTGAAGACATCGCAGGAGGAATCTACGGAGGTGGCTGCGTCCCTCAATCGACAGAACGGTGAGGGCTACATTGGCAGGTAATTGCTTGGAATTGGAAAGCGCAGCAGGAACATTCGGGAGTGGCTTGTCCATCCTGCCGCACTTTGAGAGTGACCAAGGATATCAAAAGGATGTCATATACTTTTGAAGTTCTGAAGAGTGCACCAGTAGTCGAAATATTGACATCAGTGCGTCATGAGAAAGGCAGCATGTGCGAAACTCGACGAATCCGCATGGAGAATAGCCGCATACAAGCAGTAGCGCAGAAGAAACAGACGCAAGTCACAGTTGTCACACCGGTTGAGTTCCGCTTGTCTTGGCGAACTGGGTCTGAGTTGGAAACGGACAAAGATACATAAAATACGGTACTTGTACATGCCAGTCTTGCGACTAAGTAAAAGGAGATATGTTACTGTAAATTGTGTTTACATTTCCCCACATTCTGATCCAATATTAGTCAGCGGATCGGAGGCATATATCCTTAGAAAATAAACATACCAACTATCTTGACAGCCAGTTTAGGTCTGTTGTTGGGACCGGTAGGCACATTCTCGATTTTGCGAAGAGTCAACATGCCATCAATGACCTTGCCAAAGACGACATGCTTCCCGTCCAGAAAATCACACTTCGCAGTAGTGATGAAGAACTAGGAAGAGGAATCAGAGTAACTATGATGATACTGTCAGAATTTTGGATGAGAACACACCTGACAACCGTTGGTGTTGGGACCAGAATTAGCCTGCAGAAGACGTCAATACACTGAACCCAAGTAACAAAACAAACTCAATGCACCATTGACAAGAGGCCGGGTCCAGTGTGCTTTTCCTGGAAGTTCTCATCCTGAGGATTGTCGGGTTAGTTAAAGCAGCTTACCGCAAATGCATGTCAATACGTACTGGGAACTTGTCGCCGTATATTGAGAATGATCCTGTACCATCGCCCTTGAGGAAATCGCCACCTACGTCAAATGAGCTTAGGATTCTCCCGTTATTTAGGTCTCAAAAACATACCTTGGCACATGAAATTTGGAACTCTGATAGCGAAGATGATTCCCTTAGTAGAAAGACAACATTTCCATTTCAATAACACGACTTACACTCTACAAAAGACCACTTGTCAGAAGCATGGGCTCTGTGAATTCAAACACAATACAGATGGTCTCACCTGTGGAAAGTGGCCCCCTTGTATCCCTGAGGTCGGGAGTTCACACTGGAGGCGAATCCATTCAGTTTCATACCAAGCCCATAAGATATGTTAAGCATACCGGTATTCACCAGTACATAGTTGACGGAAATTTTCCGCCGTTCTAGAATCGTCGCATAAGCTCAATCATGTTTCTGTATAGTCGGTAAGGAACACACTTTGGTACTATATCACTGAACAACTCCATCTTTAGACGACCTGCGGGTGTCTCGCCGATATTGACATCCATGAAAACGATTGGTCGAGTTGGATTAGAAGACATCTTCGTTCTTAAAGAGGAAGCAAGAGGAATGGAAGGCTAGAAAGTGTAAGTGTAAGGAAAGTGAAGTTAAAAGTCCAAGGCCAGCTTGTAGAGAGGGCTCGATCTTCTGTGAAATTCGATCACCCGGCAAGTGCCGATAAGCCTCTTTGGGAGTTGAGGCAAGGTTCCTCCTCGGTTGCGGCTGCTTTCTTTCTTACCACCACCTTGCTACTTGTCTTGTTACCCTAGTCTGTCTTCGAGATGTCTTATTTCCTCCCTCACTTGCCTTCTGGATGGCACGTCGACGAAGCTATCAAATCTGAGGAAGACAGAGTTGTTGTTATCCGCTTCGGTCATGATTGGGACTCTCAGTGCATGACCATGGACGAGACTCTCCACGCCGTTGCTGAGAAAGTACAGAACTTCGCAGTGATTTATCTGGTTGACATTACAGAGGTGCCAGATTTCAACAAGGTACGTTGCATTGTTTGATATCATCGTAACGATCGCTTACAAAGGAGCGGCGTAGATGTACGAATTGTACGATCCTTGCACGGTGATGTTCTTCTATCGGTGAGTATTGTAAATGTTAGGCGTCCTTCATCCATTTACTTACCCCCTCCCTTCCAGAAACAAACATATCATGATCGATCTCGGAACTGGTAACAACAACAAAATGTGCGTATATTCTTCAAATGCACGTCTCCGATTCCAATGCTTACCTCTTATTACAGTAATTGGGCAATGGATAACAAGCAAGAGGTGAGTCATATCTCGGATCTTCATTCCTTCATTGATCTCACTGGGTCTCTTGTAGCTGATTGACATTATTGAAACGGTATACCGAGGTGCCTCCAAGGGACGTGGTCTGGTAGTCTCCCCCAAAGGTGAGTATCATTATATGAGTCAAGTTATCCGGCTTACTGATGTTACCTTTAGATTACTCCACTCGCTACCGATACTAATTGTCGTCCTTGTCCGCTCGACATTCTTTCTGCAATGGCTGTGTTTCTATTCGTTGTCGCATTGTAAAGGATCTTTGTAATATACCACCCTCGTTTTTCAACCTCCAATGTTCTGTGATATTCGCTAATGTCCATAATGTCTAGGTTTGTTAGTGATACAGCTTCTGGTAAGTAACCGCAACAGCATGATGTACAAATATAAAGTTCAGAAAGCCTGAGCAGAGCGACCTCGGCTGGGCGTGTCAAGGAAAGGCGGCAACCAACGCCCAAGGCCCTCCACTTTGGCAGGCTTAAAATCTTTACCTTCCTCTTCCTTCCGAACATGCAAAATCTGTGCAGACAGTTTGTCGACTTGGTCCATGAGGACGTCATCTGGTGAGTGCTGCTCAATATGGCTACAATTCTCTCTCTTTCGAAGGGAGCTATCATGTGCAATGCGTAGCAAAAATGAAATGAAACTGGAAAACATGGATTGAAGTACTCAGTCGAGTGCGTGAAATGTGAGATGACGTACAGTTCTTTCAAGAACGCGAAAGTCCAGCCTTCAGTCTTCTCTGCCAACTTCTTCACAAGGTCTGCTGATGAATTCGTGAACGTGACTCCGCTGCCACCACCAGCAATAGATCCCAATCCTCCAATCTTGCGTATCCATTTGGACGCAAAGGCCTGTCGCAGCTCGAAATCCGGTAGCGTGTAATCGTACTTCACATCGAATCGTGACGGTCGATTCAAGATAGCATCGTCAATTCGCTCTGGATGGTTGCTGGTAGCTATGGTCAGTATTCCCTCGTTCTGAGCCTATATTACTTGATTGTTATTTTGAAGGTAACAAGAACCAGGGCTCATCACTAACCAGGCCGTCCATCTCGTTGAGGAAGAAACTTCGAACTTCGTCTGTGACCATCGAATCCAAATCCTCCAAAACAAGAATACAGGGTGCATGTTTGCGCGCTTTCTCGAAAATGCCGCGTACGCCGTACTCAGGACCCTATGGTTGCATCACGACATGGTAAGCTTCGCTGTCATATGTCGGCGAAGATGTAGGACTTACATAGGGGGTGCTGAATGATTTAACATACAATGCTGCATTCGGAAATTCGTTTAGGAGCGCCTTGATTGATTCTGTCTTCCCATTTCCTGGAGGTCCTAGTAATAAAATGCCTCGTTTCCATGTTATTCCCAGTGATCGATATATCTCCTGACTGTTGAAAAATGTTTCTGTATCCCTTCTTATACCCTCCTTAAATGAGGGGTGCAAGACAACGTCATCCCAGCTTGCCGCTCGAATTGCACGAAACATATCTTCATTCTTGGCCCATCTCCCTTCCTCGTACACCCAGATCTCCTCTTTGAGCTTTTCGGCCCATTTGTACACCTCTGATGCCAGTTGTCGGCCCAGGGAATCATCGTCTGCCTCAAAGACGAATGCATAGAAGAAATGCATGGACATCGCATAATTCCACATCACTTTGTAGGCATGGAAATTGGTTTGGACATATGTGAACGTGGTAATGCCTGCGATAATCATTGGAAGAACCTTCCGAAACTCCTTCGACGAGTCATATTCGAAAGAAGCATGACTGTCAGATTTGACGATCTCTGCTCGGATATTGATAGATTCCAGATACTCCAAAATAGGGAAAGTAGTATCTCGGCCTTCCGTCGTAGCAACGATCTGTGAGTTCGGATGGATGCGTTTGAGTTCTCGAATGAGGGTGAGGTCCGGATGAGGGATGGTTTGCCCGAAAGTGGCAGAAAGAACAGAGGAGAAGTCTGAGATCATTTTCGATGAGGACGAATTTGGATAACAGATCCGAGATGCTGAGGGCGTTGAGACGTTAGGGGGTAATGCGTCTTCGTAGACCTTTTAGTTGCCCAGGAGATGAACCTTGCTAAAATGGTGGGGCCACGTTCAGAACATGTGAACTATATAATCAACGGGGGTGACATGGTGTATTTGGCAGAATGTAGATCTATGAATAATCGCCCTCGAGGACCTTGGAAGCGCAAAACGAGGTGGCCTGAATGTTTCTCCGCTATTGCACGGTGTTGGACCTGAGGGATCCGCGCTTTGTGGGCGACTATAGAAGGCATTAAACCAGGTAGAATGGAGAGTTGAGGCGCGATTCGCAAGGTGATGGTTCGAGTTATGACATTGGAATCTTATGAGAGTACGACAGTCTAGAGTCGTACCTGGGACACGATAGGCTAGCTCAATCACCACAAATGGAGACTGTGATAACCTTATGAGACCGGGAAGGTGCAAAACATGCAATTAGAACAACACGAGGTTTAGATAGAAGTTTCGACTTAACTCACCTGAGGATGAACGGCTACGGTATCCGACGAATATACAAGGAACTAGACCGAGATGGTACGATGTGACCCAGCATCCATGTCATACTCGACATCAATCTACAATCAGGCGCTCTTGTATTTGGGTTCTGGACAGTCAGTCATTAGGAAATTCCAGCAGCGGACCTTGGTGAGAAGGTGAGGAGAAGTCCAAGTATCTGGTAGTGGAAATGCTTCCGTCCAAGCAGAAGAGACAGCTGACGAACGGTTCTCATGTGATGAAGTTTGCCTGTTCGGAGCATGAATGGATATGATGCCTCACGCTCATGTCCGTCTGTATATCGGCGATGACGAGGAATAGCGGATAGAGAGGCACAGCTAAGAGAGACAAGGAACGCACCACAGCCGAGCGGGCATACCATGGAACAGGTTTGGAACATTCGCAGATGATGTTGACATCGATGTGCGAAGCATTGACCGGAACGCCAGGAGAAAAAATCAGCAACATGCAGACAATGAGGTAGACGGATCACTGTCATTGGGGTAAGGAGTTAGAGAAGTTGGACAATGCTGTGAGGAAAATTTCCTTTCCGACAAACTTGTCAGTGGATCACGATAGGCTCTGTGGACGCCGCCGTGGTCGTCGGGTAACATCATAATGGCATCATGCCGCGTACAAACGAAGTAGAGAAATCTAAATATGTAGTATGCTGATCTAGGTTGAGGAAGTAAAGTAAAAGGTCGGTGTGCCCTTAGGACTCCGTTGTTGTTCTGAAGAAAGGTGAAATTCGCTTGACCATCAATCTGATCGTAACGATCGATCTGTTCATATGGGGTTGAACAGCACGGCGAGTTTACCTTTCATGATAAACTCAAAGTAGCATATTTGTGACACAGTGAATGGACGTACCCGCAACGTCTCTGCGCTTGCTGAGACAGCAAGTTCGCGTTTCATCCCTGTATTCCACTGTTAGTAAGTGTCCTCCGACACTATCGCGAGGCTTCCTCATGTTTCCCAGTCTTTTTGCAATCCAGGTTTACGTGACCCGAACAAGACCGCGGCGAAAGGTGAGTATTTCATTATGTTGAACCCTATGAGAGAACCGACTAATGGCTTTAGTATCTTCTCTTCGCACCTAGTCACCGAACAACCCGCGATAGCGCCATTAGTAATTGGTCGTACTCGGGCCTCCTCACGCGGAAATTTGTTTCCAGTGAGTATCGCGCGTGTCACTTTGTGCAATAGCCAATTTAATGCACTGACTGCCTTTGTTATTACATGGTTGGGTTTGTGACTCTAGAGGTCTTTTCTATAGCTTCCGTCCTTCTCACGATCAAACTCCCACCCAAAGTTCAAAGTTGAACTTCGGATTCCAACAATGCTCGACCCCTCAGCTGAACTTGAACCTTCACATTCTTACGACCCTTCACAGCCTCACGACCCCTCACACTCATACAACCAATCACTATCCTACGAATCTCTGCGTACACATCCGCGTTCACACTCACATTCACATGCTTTCAGTGACGCCCAATCTTCCACAAGTTCAACCACTTTGAGTTACGGCGAAGTCGTACCCCGATCCAGAATGTCCCTCGCCATACCCAATTCTCCTAGCCCTACCCATTCTCATCTTCAAAGCCCGAGTTTTCTTTCTCAAAAACGTAACTCCGGCTCTGGCTTCAGTTCCAATGAACCTCAGGGGATGGGTAGTAGGGAGGGTTCGGGTTCGGGTGTACATTCCTTACCGAACCCATATGATGCATATAGGGTTTCTCAGACCGATAGTTCGTCCAGCCACGTTCTTTCTCAGAAGAGGAAGCAAGATAGTGAAGAAGCCGCTCGGACGTCTAGTCGTCCTAACAATGGTCAAGTAGGGGTGACGTCTCAAGGCCAATTTCAAGATACTCTACCACAACGGACCCTAGACGACGTCCGAGACCAAGTCGCACAAAGTATAGCCATCCGAGCTGTACGCAAAGCCGAAGAAGTAGATGGAAGTAAAGTAGGCGTCGTCCTCACCCTGGCTAGCGTTCAAGCTTCTTCCTCAGCTCCCAATACTAGTAGTGGGTTGACGGATGAGAATGGTGTTCGGTTCCTTCGACTCATCTCATCGAAAATCAAACGCTCTCTCTTGACGTCCAGCTACATATACATTATCGGAACTTCGGGTTTATCCACTCCTGGTACACCCAGTCCTATCCTCATTCTCAGCTCCTCTCCAGAATTCGTCCACCGCGCCACAATTCTCATCAACGCCAAATTCGTTGGTCGACTCAGGCCCCTACACCCGGTACTCAATCATGACCCCAGTGGAAAACGATACTTGGCAGAAATCCAAGATCTCGGACAGTCGACATTTGATGAAGAGGCGCTTTGGGACGTCGTGAGGAAGAGTGCAAGGAATCTAATAGACCCGCTTGTGCCTGCACCGGACAGTCTGGGCATAAGACAACTTCTCACTGTCGCACGCGCGAAACTCCAGCGTATAACACCCCTCGAAGCATATACTGAACTCCAAGCACCTGACTCACCTTGGCCCGTCATCCTCGTTGATATCCGACCTCAGGAACAAAGAAATAAGGAAGGTGAGATCCCTGGTGCGCTATTGATTGAGAGGAACGTGTTGGAATGGCGATTCGATCCTAGAGGCAAAGTTGGGGACGGTGAGGATGGCGGAAGACTGCCCATTGCTGATAGATTTGATTTGAGGGTGATTGTGTTTTGTCAAGAGGGGTATACGAGTTCATTAGCTGCTGCCAGTTTGCATGACCTCGGATTGCTAAATGCTACGGATATTGTAGGTGGGTTGAAGGCTTGGAGGGAAGCTGGATTGCCTGTAAGCCTGCCCCAGCCATGACGTGAGAGATGATTCAGAGCCGGCCCCATGTCTTCTTAATCGTCGTACTTAGGACGGGCTGTTTCACACATGTAATAGTAAAATCTAGAGTACGGAAAATGAGCATCCAATAAAGATGTTCGTATATTACAGAGATATCATGACAGGTCGTCTAACTTGAAGTTATCGCCGAACTGTTGTAGTCCGGACGATTCATAGGATGCAGCAATGCCAGAAGGGTATACAAGGAACCATCTCCTCGTTTGCAGTTCAACCTCGTCCGCAACCGCAGCAAATTGGGTATATAACGTCGTGTGGTGTCGAACGAGTGTTTAATAAGTCGCTGCCCCTCCCCTTCTTCCAAAGTTGTATGTATGAGTGCCTGTACGGCGCGTTCGACCGCCGAAGCAGTTGCAGCAAATGATGTCAAAGATGATATCGAAGATCGTTACGATGACCTATATAAAATGGAGATTTGGGAGTTAGCATTTGGATTAGCAATTGATCTCAAAAAGAATGACGTACCGTTACGATCGCAGAGACAATGATCATGCAAATGCTAGCGACGGCTGAGATGATGGCCTCGATGGCACCGCCGATAGCAGAAACAATAGCACCCTGTGATGATATCAGGTGAGTATGGCTGAGCTCTACAGACCGTTATATATGTCGCCGCGAGAGCACCTCACCATTATGTTTTATGTTGTGTTAGGTGAGATGACGGGTCGTAAGTGAAAGACGTGATGTGAAGGTCGTGAAGGTTGTGAGAAACGAGGTAAGATGAATAACATGTTATATACTTACACCATCACGAACGTGGTGCAAGTGACGTCTTCTGGGAACAAAGATGTCCTGCGAAGCGAACGTAAGGATTATCTGTTCGGCTGCATATGATGTCAGTCACGTCGCAAAAATCCACTCGGAGGATTATAGTTTGAAGATTTTGAGAAGCTCAGGACCAACTTTGAACGTCTTAAACGCAGATGGTGGTGGAGTATCCAAATATTAAAAGTTATTACCGACAACCTGTCTGTTGTACTTATCTTTATTGCCACTGACGTCATCAGCAGTCTGGGCAGAGAAACGTGCCACGGCGTGACTGTTCCTCGGTGCCTCCAAAGATGGCCCGCCCGAGCTCTTGCCCTATGTCATAGGAGGGAGGCCCCCAGAAATTCACTATAAAGCTCTGCAGCTGCATCCCCTTTTCTCCACTTGTAATCGTCTAACAATCCCCCACTAACTCCACCCAAATAACTTTCCCATTTTCATCAACTTGCTTACTTACAATGGTAAGCAAACCAACGAGTACGTTTCTAAAGAATGAAAGCTAATTGGACGTTGTCATACAGGGTGCTATCGTATCTTCTATTGGCAATGCCATCGGAGCTGTCATCTCTGCTATTGCTAGCATTCTCATGATTATTGTCTCCACCATTGTGACTGTAAGTACACCTGTGAATGACGCCTATAATCATAACACTGACTCTCCACTATCACTAGATCATCGTTACTATTTTCGACATCATCTATGATATCATCTGCTGTAACTGCTTCGGCAGTCGCAGACGTCGCACAGGCACACATCGTTTCAACTTCGGTAGTAGTAGGAGAAGTCGGGGTATGGGTTCTAGCTACTGAGGAGTATGGACCATCCTCGACCGTGTCGCCTCGCGATCGCTTCCCTTCTATACCCATGGACGCTTAAAATGACGATAGCTGTGACGCTACGACATCCTCGGTTCCGTATATCTACTGTACTTTTTTCTTGCCAAGATATACCCTCGATTAAACTCATGTAGTTGTACTTTACCACCACTTTCTGCTACATACATATGAAGAATGTAATCATGGTCATCTCGAGCTATATAACGTGTGGAGACGAGCTCTACAAGTTATTTCCGCACTATGGCCGCATTCCCGCACCATTCACTGTGGCGGAGTTGTCTGATTCTGTTTTTAGCACAGACGCAAGCTATAGTTTTTTTGGACGAAGGAAACTAGAGATCAAAGAATACTTGTACATGTAAAAGCTATAGAAATACCTCGACCAATTGTATGTAAAGTGTAGTGGAAACAAGTAAGAGGACCGCAAGCGATACAACCTAGAAAAACCTTAAACTTAAATACACCTAGCGGAAGTATGTAGTAAGTCCTTTACCGACCGCTGCGTACTAATCATTGGACTGCCGTGGCTTTATCACTCATATCGGAAGATAGTAGGTGAGCATATAAAATATAGGACTAGCAGATAGATGACAAACATTGAACCATTCCTTGCGACGTAAGATTACTATGGGGTTGCCGCCAACAAACAATGATTGTGGAACACAGCTGCTCAGAAGCTGCAGTCGTGGCTTGAGAACAACGTTGGGCGAGCAAGATAGAACGTTGGTCAACAAGCTAGCAGTGATCAGAACAGGAAATAGAAAGACACGTAGGAAACAATGAACTAGCGTTGACCATTCCCCAACTCAGAGACATCGAGACAACCGTGAGTGGACGATAAAATGGGTAAATATGGAGAAATGTATTTAGGCACCTTATAACTGCAATGTCGGGAATAACCTGTTGTAACTACAATGGTAAGCTGTCGTAAGTAACATTTTGACTGGCTATGACTCATCATAATTTATCTCTATACTAATGAGCGCTAAATCTTGAATTTAAGTTAATCTTCAAGGGAAGCTAATTGAGCACTAAACACCGTTGGTTAGTACCGAACCTTTACATCTCTAACCTACTTGCGTGCGACACTACATGAGTGCCCCAGATATTGCTTTTACAAGTCACGGATTCCATGGTGCCTTTGCAGAGATCGGAGAGTCGGTTCACCGAATATGCCAAGTGACTTCCTCTCCAAAGTGCCATTCTCTGATGGTCTTAGTCTAACTCATTTTACTGAAGCAGGTATCATTATTTTAGTTCCTAGCTTTCGGACCCCTGTGTATCACCGGCTGTGTTGCAAATGGTGCCTATTATGTAGTCTGAGCTACTGCATTTGTGTCCAGGTTGTGCCTTTTCCCGACAACACCGTCGATGTCAGACGTAAGTGGTATCTAACCTGGCATTCTTACGTTTCTCTTCTCTCTTCTAGCACCGTTGTTGTGTAGCTCCCGAATATCAAGACTGACTGTGCCTTTCGCTCATTTTCTTCTGTCAGGCTGGATGGATGGTGGCGGTCAGACGTGCCTTTCAGGAACTCGAATCGGCCATTCTCAACACCGGTAAGAAGGTATAAAAGAAGATGATGCAGGTGTCTTTGGCTTCGCAGAACAACTTCTCAAGACATTGAGCACACTTCTCAAACCCCATTATTTCCTCAGTTTCTATTCATATCAACCATGGACTCGGAACGAACCGCGGGTGAAGCTCTTATCCAAAGAATGCTTCAGTATGCTTCAAGCATCGTTCGTGCCTTCGTTAGGGACTACCGGGATGCCAGACTCACCGAAGATGCCGATTTCTTCAAGAAGGTGGACTATAACGACTTGGTGGCGAGCGAGCTTGGCCTTACAAATCAATTCATTGTGGCTCTTGCTAAGGCCTTCCGCGATGACACTCAAGCGGACCTTGATGTCAAGAAGGGCATTCACCTTCAGGTGGTACGTATCCTTGTGCTGGCCGAAATTTTTATATGTGGACAAAAGTTTCTTTCACTCCTCAGGACCAGTCCACTCACGAATCACGCTACGGACATGATTTTCATCTGTCTTACACGGTCGGTACGAAGAAATACTTTGTCTATGTGCAAGGTTAGCCAGCAAAGTGTTGCGTTCAGATCCTTACTCATTACTTGTCGATGCAGCAAAGTGTGCAGTTCCTGACGGAGACAAAGATTATAACCCAGATACGGATTTCCTATATAAGTAAGCGAACACATTGTACCTTATTCATTGACATCGCAGAGCTGACTGGATTATCATAGAGGTGAGTCACACATGAAAATGTCCTCTATCATCGCCTAAGTCCTTCTCCTAGTCGGGAAGGAGAAAGTAAAATTCCAATGGGAACTGCTTCGGAACTGTGTCGTAGAACATACCCTCTGCGGGAAAGATAGCAGTAATGAGCGACATATTGCACTGTAGGTTTCACAAGTCCCTCCACGCAGAATCACGATCGCATGCTGTAAACCTTTTCTTCTAGGTATGCCGTTTACGCCCCGGCAGAGGTCTACTTTGTGCCTGTTGGTCGTTTGCAAGAGAAGATAACTTGGACCGACAATAATAAGACCCTGTCTGCGTCACTCCTATACGGTTCCGATGACACCTCCGAGAAGAACGTACTTGTGGACGATGCCGGCATGTGTAATCTGCTGCAGAAATTGGAGAATAAGGAGATGGGTTTGGAAGGTCTGTTTGGTGGCGAAGAATATTACACCGTGTTGAAAAACCTGAACACGAAGTGGCGCGCTATCTTTGGGATCACAGAGGAAGAGTCTTAAGCTTGATCGCAAAGCCGACGTGCTTGACATTGTGTTTTCACTTCGGGATTCCTGGACAAAGATTGTAGGCGAAGTCGATTGTCTAGACCGCTTATCTGTAGGTAACATGCAACCTGGATTGAATCAACACCATCCAATCCCTATACTTATAAGCGGCGATGTAAGACTTTGCGGCAAATCAAATTTACGAAACCTGGTTGATTCCTCGAAGATCTTGCAACCTTTCATGTTATTCATATCGTGTCTTCTGGTTAGAATTGGTGACTCCTTATCTAATCTTACCAGATGGCGGCGCTCCGTGTCCTCGCCGCTCTGCTAATCTCACGCTGTTTAAGATAACTCTCAGTAGAAGGAGGCCTGGAGGGCTCAAGAGCTTTCGAGGAACTGAGCACGGTAGCTTGCCATCTCCTTGCTTAATTGTCTTGCTGATAAATTCAACATCTGGAAGAATGTAAGTTCCTATCTTTATCGAGTATTTGTACAATGCTAGAGTTTTTTTCTGATACCATGGCGTCAAAGGAGAGCTGAGTTGCTATCGCGCACGTCCGTGGAGATATGCGAGAACGAGTCATGTGTGTGCAGCAGCGACATGCCGCACGTTAAGCTCTATAAGTACGCCCCTAGAACTCGAGGGTCGCATCGTTGCTTACCGCCCCTTGGAAGGCAACATATCTGAATCATTTCGCATAGCACTTATCATCGCCGCTTTCAAGTAACTCTTCGTACAATATGGCAACTTCAGCTACGATAGATGGCGTCCCTGGGACTGCCACCAGCATCCAATCCACCACCAAAGCTACGCTTCCAGGTTACAAGCATCCGTTAGATCCACTCACACCCGATGAGGTCATTGTTAATGGTCTTCCTCCTGATCCCGATCTCTCATACATGTCCTGATCCAGATCGTTGCGGTCTCATTGACCGTTCGCAAATATGCCGCAGCAAATACACCGATCAAGGCAATTCGGTTCATAACGAATTATCTCCTACCGCCTCCGAAGAAGGACGTCCTTGCGTACTTGGGGATCCCTCTGAGTACTGGCGCGAAGCCGGAAAAGGCTTCAGAGATTGTCCGAAAGGCTGAAGTGGACGTGAGTATTGGAATCAGAACCGATTTTGATCTCTTTCTGACGCTGTTGTTCCATAATAGTTCATTGACGTTGTTACTGGGTCAGTATCCACTTCGGTGTTTATGGTTATAACCTAACTTAAGAATTATTGTAGAGACTCCTATAACACTATCCTGTCTTTGAAAGACGGCGCCTGGGAAGTCGATACTCTGGAGAGGCTTCCTACCGGCGTCCAACCTCAGATTAGCGTGGAGGAATTGCTCATTTGTGAAGATATCATTCGTGCTGACGAGCGAGTCCAAAAACTCGCTAAGGATGTTGGTGAGTTACCGACTTCGATGTGATCAAGTCTCTGTTTAACCTGTAATTGGCAGGTGTGGAACCGCATCAGTTACGTGCAGATGGGTGGGCCATTGGTACGTTTGCAATCATTCGTTTGCGTCTATGCTCATTGTTTCTCCTTTCTACAGGATATGATGGTCGTTTCCCTAAGAAGCAGAGAATTCAACAGGCACTAATGTTTGCCTGCTTTGGAGAGCACGATAACTTATATGGTCATCCTATGGTATGTGTAACTCGGGATCGGTCCCTCAATAGTCCTGCACATACTTATCCTCTCAATTTGCGGTAGGACTTCATCCCTGTCATCGACTCTTTGACCCAGAAGGTCATCCATATCGACTTCCCGGCGCATTATACATCGACAGACGCTTCAGGATCCCCGACTATACTCAACTTCTCTGATGCCGGGAAAGACGCCACCCTCAACGGTAGCTCTACAGTACCTCCTCCGTTGTCAGATTCCCTGGACGCGAATAGACCCCGCATTCCTCCCCCGAGGGCGCCTCAAGACTACCTGCCTGACATGTTACAGAAGAACCTTGGTTCAAAGTTCAAGTTAAGAGATGATATCAAGCCATTGCATGTCATTCAACCCGAGGGTGTTAGCTTCAAGGTTAACGGAAATGAGCTGGAATGGCAGAAGTGGAAGATGCACATTGGTTTGTGCCCCCTTTCAGACCGGATGACATGTAGCTGATACTGCATCGGAACTGTTCTACAGCTTTCCATCATAGAGAGGGCATAGTCCTCTCCACAGTGACTTACAACGATGATGGTGTCATTAGGCCCATCTTCTATCGTTTGTCCTTGGCGGAGATGGTTGTGCCCTACGGAGCTCCTGAACATCCGCACCCTCGAAAACATGCCTTTGATGCGTACGTCCCCCCACCCGTCCCACTTTCTTTCGGTAACTCACTTTATCTCCACTTGTTCCAGCGGTGAATATGGGATGGGTACGATGGCGAATGAATTGTCCCTCGGGTGTGATTGCCTCGGTCAAATCCACTACATGGTATGTCGGTAATTTCCTGGCATCTATATTGATACGGACCAAACGGCGTACATTGTAGCCAGGAGCATTCGTCAAACACGACGGGACGGCGTTCATTATCAAGAACGTCATCTGCATCCATGAAGAGGATCACGCTCTCTTGTGGAAACATACCGACTTCCGTGTTGGAGGTCGCACGCACGCCGTACGATCACGCCGACTCGTCGTCAGCATGATATGCACCTTGGCCAATTACGGTATGTGCCCCATATCGAATGTTTTGAAGCACCTCATATAAACCCCTACTACAGAGTACATCTTCTACTATTACTTCTACCAGGATGGGAATGTTGAACTCGAGATTCGATTGACGGGTATGCTTCAAGTTTATGTCAAGGGGGATAACGAGCCGAATCCTTTCGGTACTACCGTTGCACCCGGGCTCAACGCGCAATATCACCAGCATCTCTTCTCTCTTCGCCTTGACCCCATGGTTGACGGCCTGCAAAACACAGTTGTGGAGACGGACGTTCTTCCATTGAACGCACCCACCGGCTCTGCATTGAACTTCGCGGGCAATGGTTTCTTCACGAAGGAAACTCCGATTACGAATCAAAAGGATGGTGCGCGAGACTACGATTTGGAGAAAGATAGACGATGGATTATCACGAATCCTGGTCACAAGCATCCTGCTTCGCAGAAGAACGTGGGCTACGCCATTGGAATGAAGGGCGGCATATGCCGAATGCTTGCTAAGGATGACAGTTGGGTAGCAAAGCGAGCGGGCTTCACGAAGAAACCTTTATGGGTCGTAAAGGATAAGGAAGGACCGAAGGGTTCGCGACTGTATCCTTCCGGGAAGTACGTCCCGGGTACAAGGGGAGAGGAGACGGAGGACTTCATCACGTCTTGGGTGCAAGGCGATGAGAGTCTTGTCGATGAAGACATTGTACTATTCCTGACCTTGGGTTCGTGCCGTATTACGCTTACGATATCTACACGTAACCTTACCGCCCATCCCCACAGGTATCACGCACATCCCCCGACCGGAAGATTGGCCAGTGTAAGTGCCACACCAATCATATCAGACTTTGAGGTCACTGACGATTTCCAAAGCATGCCGGCAGAATCGCTTAACGTCCATTTCCGCCCTGTTCACTTCTTCACAGCGAACCCCTGCTTGGATGTACCCCGTGCTAATGACAGCCACAGCGTCCCTGCGTTCCCCGATGGTCAGTCCAACGCGTGTTCCTGCAATTAAGCCACAATTCGGGAGAAAGTCTCCTTGCATCGTATTATACTATGAGCGTGAAAGTGCACCCATATCAGCAGAATATTTGTATAGTAGCACGTCAGTGTTAGGACATATGGCTATCGTGAAGCCTCCGTGACCATCCTAACTGTGGTCATATGTTCGTTTAGCACGCTGCCAGCATATTTTCGTGTATCCCCGGTGAGTCGGTAAAGAGATACGATGCTCAAAGAATGAATTCCAAATATCCGCAGCAGGGCGAAACGAACGGTCTAAGGGAGGCTGAAAGTCACTCCCACCTTTCTAGAAATATCACAGCAGCGGAGGCTAGGGTAATTGTCGAATAGCTGTGTGCATACATGAGATAAGACAACAATTTGAGACGCTGGCAATTAAATAACTTATACCGACGTGGTCGGGAAGTTACTTCTGAGACTACTGTCGAGCGCTCATATATACTTTAAGACATGCGGGACCCTGGCGTCGTGCTTTGATCACCAACCTCTGGGGTCAGATACGATTAATCTGCGACGGGCTTTTGGCAAGAAGTTGTGAAGTCAGTGAAGCACGCTCAGCACCGACGTCAGCTCGCGGCCGTATATTCAACACCCGCTTGCGAACCAAATCTTTGACCGCTGCGTACCGAGATACGCGTTACATTGAATGAAATGTACGAGATGCATTGAGTGAAAGTCATGTCAGCATGCGAAGTCAGCTTCGTTGACAGGTTCCGTAACGCGGGTCGCAAATACATTTTTCACTCCAACTATACTGGAACAGGATGAACTGTAACGCGAGATGTCGGTGAGTCATCTAAGGTAGTACGTAGAGGAGTTGAGAGTTGACTTAGTCAAAATGATTAATGTCGCTTATACCCGAAACCGAGTTGTATCTCCTGCAGAATGCTTCTCGTGAAGGGAAGTTGACTGGAGCTTCGACGATCGCGTGAAAACGACGCGCTTTGGGCACGAGCTCCGACAGAACACACGGAGCCACGAACTCTGACAGACAAGACGTTCTGAACCGATTCGTCTTTGGCATGTCGAGGATGCGGACAGTGCAGAAGCACTGCCGTGTGCTACGGTGACCTTCGATAGCATGAGTATAAGCGTAAGGCATGGGGCAGGATATTGAATAAGTTCAAAGCGAGAGCTTGAGTATCATTGCCATTAATTTTCATCCCATGCGATGCGCGCACCATCCTCAAAAGAAACGAAGATCTGAATCACGTTATGTGAAGCGTATGGTCCGCGTAACGAATGACCTTGGTGTCAAGCTAAAACAGGAGACAACGTACCGGTTAAATCTCGCAGGTGATCACGGGCAAGACCCGCGACGTTCTGCTGTTTCGAAGTGTTCTCGAAAAACCACACATTCGGGACACCGTCGACAACGGCATTAAGCGGCCCAGGGCGGAAGACAAAGAAGCGGGTTATTGCACCTACTGATAGGCTGTGCGATGCCTCCCGGTAAGAAGGTGGGAAGGACTCGACGTATGAAGAAGGTACATCCGATTTGAATACTAGGTTTCAAACGTTCACCGATCTTGATCAGTTACATGGAGCATGGAAAAATGATGTCATGCCTCATGTAGGTTACTATTGCGTTCCCTGTCCTGTGAGAACGACTCTGGAGAGCCGGATAGAGGAACGTTTGCCCTGGCCCGACGCTCAGAGAAACTCGTGTTCATCGATGGCAGGGTGCGATACACTTGCACGGGGCCATCCGAAATGAACACAGCCTGCAGGAGGTTGCAGGGGAAAGCGGCTCGGCACGCAATTCAGTATGCCGGAAAGAAGCCTATACACGAAGAATCAGAATGGCGTATATCTAGTTTATCGGGCAAGCATCACTTTCCAAACGTACAATCGCAGGTTCCAAAAGCAAATAAGGCTGATGCCAAAAGCCAAGACATATGGTCTAGCAATAGAGGACCGTGATTCTTGAAGAGCTTTGCCTCAAAAGCTAAGATCGTCCCCACCCTGTCGTCCGGAGCGCGAAGGGTCAATCAACCAAACCTTCTTTCTCTCTTCACGAGGACCGGGGTCACCGGACGCGACTTCCTGCTCGTTTTCATCGGGCGGTGACCAGGTACCACCGGCTTTGAGAGTAGGACGTATACCTAGCGCGGCGCACAAAACCTTATACCGCGAGCGAATTTGGCGGAAGAGTCTCGGGATGTCGAGATCCGAGCTCGTTGCAGATGAAGGATTCACTTTCGGAAATTGAGCAGTAAGATCCAGGAGCTGCTTCGTGTGGTGCACAATACGGGTACTTTTCATAACACGAAAGAACGTTCGGTTAGCGCCCAAGTTTGAAAGGTTAGAATGAATGGGACCTACTCTTCCTTTGTAGCCCGTTTCTCGCAGATCGCGGACCACATGAGCGCAAAGCCCTCGTAAAATCCGACTTCCTCCCACATTTCGAATCCCTTCTCCCTTCCGAGAGCGCGACCTTCGATCAGGCCATGGATACGTCCATGATCATATCCGTCTTTATACCCGTCATCGTAGAATCTAAGTTTCCTGCTGTCACAAGTCACTGATGAAATATATGGAATAGAACCTACGTTTGCTCGACATTCACCAAAGATTCAAGGTCGAAATCCATCGTTCGTTCTTGCTTTTAACCGCAGACTTCGCAAAGCTCAGAGCTGCAGAAAAAGGAAGCCGAGGACGTGCGGCTCACTTACGTAATCATCTAAGCCGCTGAGTTTCAAAATTTAACAATTACTCGAACCGAAGTTCGAGCCTCATTTCACGATCGCAGTCAGTCTTCAAGCGATGCATTACAGGCGACAGAGGTCAACATGCAAAACATTAGGGTATCAGATGCAGGAGGTATCTATGATACAAAAGAAAATGGATGAAGCCGACCAGAAACGTAAATCCGTGTGTAGCTGTAGCAGAATGTCCATTCAAACCTAGAGTCTTCGTTGAGCTAACATGCGATACGAAGACAAGAACAGTCAACGTACCAGAGAGAGTTCCAGAGTCCAAACACGTCGAGCCCATAGCTTGATGCATTTCTCTGGTTCACCAGGATCGGCGAGGCTAACTTCGATACCATCCCACCAGCACTTACGCTACAGAGAAAGCCGTGAATTGGATTCGACGTAGAGGCAAGGAGCAAGACACGTACTGCAGGTTTTCGCCAGAATAGAAGCAACTTTTGTGCGGTGCCCATTTGAGCATAGTCGATCGTCACCTGCTTCTCACCGGTTGCACCAGTCGAGTGGATGATGCCGGTCTTCAAGAGCACGAGGGCAATAGAAGAGATACAACAGCGGGACGGCTCCATTGCACGATAGCCCCATTCATCGTCCCGATTGAAGCCGCTGTAACCAATATATTCAGAGGTTGTCATAGAAGAAAACGCGTTAAACTACCTCATGCACAGCATGTCGATGAGATGTTGCTCGGCGACGTTATTCTCTTTGCTGACATTGCGTTGGAGGGCGGTGAAGATATTGCGCCTGTGCAAAAGGTAGTCACCACTCTTGCGCTTGATTTCGATCAGTTCCTGGTTGGCAATGCCGTCGTTGTTGGTAGATGCCTTGCCATCCTTTGGAGGAATGGAAAAATACTCGAGTTCTTCTCGGAGGACAATGATGGCTTGCTTCGTTAGCAGGGGATTTTGCGACGGAGAAGGACCGAAGTCGGAGGTAGGAGATCCGCCTTCCACAAGATGTTGCTGAGCGGCAAAGAGTCCTGGTGATGTGGGTGTTCCATAGAATGCTTCAGAGGCATTCCGAAAGAAGGTGAGTACATATGAGAAACACTCCGGGTCGAACTAACTGCGCCATAAGCAAGGCACTTGGACGTAGAATGTTGATTATCTGAACCCACATCAACGGCATAAAGCTCCTCATAGTCGTCATTATCTCCTCCATCTGATAACGCAGCACTCTGTCGACTTAGCACAAGACCATTTGGAAAGAGACAGAGAAGGACGGATTCGGGAAGATTCATAATCGTCTCTCGGTCCACGGAAAAGCGCCTGCCTCGTAGGTCGAGCAACAACCTTGTCAAAAGCTGAGGCTGGAGGTTTGTCTGCACAGGGGTCTGCGAGACCTGGGTGATGGGTGAGTTATTGAGGCTGACTGCGGCCATGGTGTGCGACAGCTAAACGTTAGAGAGTGAATCCTTGTCAACGTGAGCGGCGACGAGCAAGCAGAGCTAACCGGCGCCAGAGCTACGAACATGCGTTAGACGACAATGCCAAGCACACACAAACACCAGCGTCTCTGATTTCCCACCATCCCGGTTTGGTCAGTTTGGTTCGGAGATCGTAAACACAAGATCTCCCTTTTCCACAAACTGCTTACTGCAAAAAATAGACAACGTACCCTGGCAGATCCGAAAAATCTCTATGCATGCTGTAGGACCCCGGACCGAGCCTTGCATGCTCGGTATCACGTTATGTGTCGTATAGAAACCAGTATACCTAACAACGCCTCTAACACCCGTCGTATAATGACTTCCTCTCGGAAATGCTCGAAGGTCAATAGCTTCATACATACTCATGTTTCGTATGATCGATGCCTTTGCTCCGAGCACCATGTGCCATATAACTGTAGCCTCTATTCGGAAACCTGATTGCCTCCCCAAGTTTCCTCGCTGCTCCAGGATGGCGAGGTGATAGAACAGTCCGCACAGTCGGCGCGTCCCTCTGGGTTATATTTTCTCGATTAGAAAGTCCGACGGAGGACCTATAATGGCACACAGTTTCCTGTCCGAACCCCTTCTCCTGACCCCTTCGGCGTCGTCTCCTCGCCACCGCTTCTCCATGTCTCCGGCATCTGTTCCTTAAAGAACGACTGTCCTCAGACGCCATCGCAATTGACTTTTATGCTTCTCTGCATCAATGACAACACTTCCTCCCTCAATGTCCTTCGCCTCGTCGACGGCATCATGCGACGCAATCGCCGTTCTCGTCCTCATCGAGACTTCAGGAATGATGCATGGGCTCTGGGATAACGTTCGGGCTTACTACCTTCCACTGCTACTTGACACCCTCAGGTCCTCAAACCCCTCTATCTCGGTAGGTCGTTGTACAATTGTCGTCACCAACCCGTCCTTCATATCCCGATTGTCATGAATTTCAGATGCGCATCTGCTGGCAGACAACTACTAGCATGGCACGCTCTGAAGCATCGGGTGCTACTGCTGCACCCACTGGTAACACAGACAGCGCCAACCAAATACCCGCCATCCATTTCGATTCCTCTTCATCGACCTCAATATCTGGCGCCTCTCTTCGCCACGCTATTGAGGTAAGCCGCGCAATGGTAATTTGTCTGATCGTACGACCGAACCCTTGTTTTCGTAGACTTTGAGATCTGCTTTCCAGCAATCACGAAGACCTTGTCGTCATTTGATTTTGGTAGCTGCGAATACCCCATTAGAAGACTTCTCCGGCGGCACCCAGGTTCTACACTCCCTAGCCTATTCGCTTCTTCAGGTCTTTTTTTAGTCTTCTGTCGTTCGGGGCTCATTTTGCTGAATGTGCTGTTTTTCTCGCGTACAGAACGACATCCGACTACACATGGTACTCAGCTCCGGACCGCAAGTACAGCCGCTCCGAGAGCTTCATCAGCGTACGGTCGGTCAAAGCCTATTTCCGAATCCGGATTGTGAATAAACCAGGCTAAAATCACCTATTTTTCAGCTGCATCTTCAACACAGCCCGGCAATCACGCCGTGGTTCGAGGTAGACTCTTCACAATACCAACTATTACTGTCAGGCGATCCCGTGCCGAGACCAGGAGGTCAGTTAGCCGTCATCGTTTCAGTCTGAGTCTAGAATGTCTAATTTAATTAACCTTTGCTGGCAGCACGCTCACCCGCTCCCCTAGTTGTTCCGTCGCAAGGGACATCATCTGTCCCTAGTCAATCTCCCCCTCGTCCTGAAAGTTTGCGTACCATGTCAGCTTCTTCCCCGCTTCCTGTCTCGTCAAGTCCTCCTCTGGGTTCATCGGTCACCGAGACATTATTGTCTGCAATCCCCCGTGTTCCTCGGGGTAAAGGCAATTCGTCTCCTCCGGCTCAGTCCTCCGAACCTCCTCGCTTAGGACTTGTAAGTTATTTGCAACAGATGCATGGTTTGACGAAAAAGCGGACGTATGGGTCCAAGACATCGAAACGCGGTCCCGGTGGCGCCGCTGCTACTAGTACTGCTGGGGGTAGTAGCAGTGCTGGCGAGTCTTCACGTCTTGCTGCCAATAGACCTATCCTTCCGCGATTGGACCTGCCCGTTAATAAACCTCATGGCTGGACGCCGTATCCTAAAGTCAGTTCATCGGATTTAGAGAAATCTCCGGGATCGAGTTCTGCGTCTCAGAAGCACGCAACTTCCTCGACAAGTACTACATCCTCTGCTGTTGACCCTTCATCTTCTGAGGGCAGCCGTGGGAATCATCCTCGTCGCTTCCCTTGGATACTTCCTGCACCGTTGCCCGCGAGTTCAGGTGGGCCTGCACATTCTCCAAGCGCCAAAGCTGCCTTGCTAAGTCTAGAGGCAATGTCACATCATCATCCAGAACGCTCTCCTCAGATTCCAGGATCACCACAATCCCTGTATTCACAGGATATGCCAGTCAGTCCAACAACAAGCACCCCCTTCCAGCAGCAACACTCTGTATCTGCGAGTAGTCGTTTAATCGCCGGTTCGCACTCCGACAGATCGCACTCACACACGATGCAAAAGCAAAGTCCTTCTGCTTCCCATCCTGCCATCTATGGAGCGGGAGTTTCAAGCGCGCCGGGTGTGACCCATCAGGGATTTCCATCCTCACAGGCTCATCACAACCGTACCAATTGGAATCCGTCTCCTCAATTTGATCACGGTTATTCGTCTCATTCTTACCACCCTCATTACGGTGCTATGCCCCCAACGACGGAGGATCCCAGCGATCAGCCGTTCATAATCACGCCAGAATATGAAGCTCGCGCTAACGCCCAGTTCGAGGAAGCTGTGAGGTCGGGAGCCATGGAAGCGTCGATGACATCGGCCACGTTGTCTTCTTCTCCCAGCGCAGGAAGTCCTCATCCCCTCGGGTACTCCCAGGCTCCCAGTTCAGGTTATTTTCCTGATCCTGGTTCACATGGCTCTGCCTTTCCTTCTGCAATTCATTCGCCCATGGGCATGATGACGCAGCAGCAGCAACAGATGCAAATGCAAATGCCAGTATCCCAAGGATATTATCACTATGATGCTCAGGGGGCACCATACGTTCACCAGGATGATCCAGGGAGTGTGGGACATGAAGACCCTACCCGTGGATCATCTTCATCTCACTCTGGCCCTACATCCTCTCACCACCTGCACCACCACGCCCCTTCTCAATCTGGTTATGACTCTTCAGCTGACCGGTGGTACGGCACATAGCATAATGACCTTCATGATTTCTTTGGATCCGCCACAGTCCTTGGCATGCTACTGCATAATTTATTGATGATTTTAGCATTGCGTTCTGTACTAGTGATTTCCGGTTTATGTTTCGTTTTGTCGTGTTCAGGGGCTTATCTCTAACTCTAACGTATAATTTGTCATATTGGGAATTCTGTCGCCGTTCCTCCTTCCGTGCTTGCTATCACTGTATTGTTATTCAAATACCCACTGCATCATACCATACTGGATGGAACTAACTTTATCATACTGCTGTATCATATTCTGAATGCACTTTCGCTTAACGCGTCTGTACGAATCTTATGACCCTGTAATCGATCGAATACCTAGTGGTAAAGTCAGGCGAATTGTGATGAGAAGCGGGGAAGATGATATCAGACCGAGAGCATCATGGATATCATAGGTGAACAAGATTCATTCAGGGGCAGCTATTTGAAAGTGAAACGGAGTCTACGACCCGATATGAAGGTGCTTCTCTGCGAGCTATCGCCTCGCCGTGCGGCTTGGCCTGGAGAAGAACGCATCATCTGCACTCAACCTGTCAACGAATTGCCTGGTTCATTCTAAATGTCGGTAACATGAACATCCAGCATGTTCAATGTGTAGCACGGATGTCAGCCGTTGCCGTGTAATAGCCAATAGGGCCGCAACGCGACTCTTCGGCTTAGGAGACATATCGAATGAACCTCTAGACTCCAGAGACACCATGCTTCCTCGTTGCATCTAGGTCAAATTGTATCAACATGAGGTAAAGTGAGTTGCAGAGTCATACCACGCAATAAGGGGTTCCAGTGTCAACCAATCATGTTCCAAAATACAAGGAGTCTGGGTATATAGTACATTCGCCGTTCCAAAATCGGAAGAGATTCATCATCTCCGCTAAGACATCCAACGGCGCGTCCGTGGAGGCCGGGAGGGCGGTTGGAGCGGCCATGCACATAACGCATGTCGTATGTTTTCCATGCAAAGCCAAGGTACTAAGCAGAGACAACGGAGATGAATATGGTCGGATCACCAATGGGATGTTGGAGTTCCGCGCACCGGGTGAGCGTGGCTCATGCAGCAGTAGCTATTGCCGTGGGCTGTGGCTGAGCCTGGTCTGAAATGTGGAGGTTCTCGAGAGCATCCTCAAACTGCTCGTCATCGGACTCCTCCTCGGACTCTTCGGTACTTGCCGCCGCAGAATCGTCCTCATCATCTGAGGGCTCATCCTCGTAGTCAAGCTGTGGAGCGACGAATCCCTGTTAGCATATATCTAGAGACAACACAGAAATAAGACGCACAGGATCATATATAACACGAATCACCAGACTGCAACTTGGACATGTTGCGATATCCTCATAGCTTGCAAGTTGCTTTCGAGATATCTCGAAACGATCGCCACAGGGACATGGATAATGATAGACTCTCTTCTCGTCATCCCATGCCATGTCTTCAATTTCAATCTCGTCGTAATAAGCACCCATGGCTGCTAGCGGCGATGAGGCAGTTGATAGTTCTGGTCAAAGAGGAGTCAGCGATCGAAAATTACGGAGATGCCACTAATCGGGGCTTAGTCATCCGATTAAATCTCATGTTTGGCAAGACCTTTAGAAATAAACATCCGCATTTGGCAAATCCTTTAGGATTCAATATGTGCAAATAACCTTTCACTAGTGCGCCCCACATTTTGGCGTTACAGAGAACTTCGGCGACGATGTTCACCAGCGCACGCAGGCGCATTCCACATTTTGCACGGACAACTCGTACCTATGCTTCAATAGCATCGACGTCAACAGCCTACGATGGTATGCATTATTGACCACGCAATATCGTCAATACTCAGTCATCTTCACAGTTTGTGTTATTGGTGGAGGACATGCCGGCTGTGAAGCTGCAGCTGGTGCCGCGAGAACAGGTGCTCGAACGCTTTTGCTAACTCAAAAGCTTGACACAATTGGAGAGCTGTCTTGCAACCCTTCAATCGGAGGTATCGGGAAGGGTACGTTGGTTCGGGAGGTTGATGCTTTGGATGGCGTCTGTGGGCGTGTTACAGGTTCGCAGCGAATTTACAGTTGTCATTTATTAATACTCATCCACTTTCGTAGATAAGGCCGGTATCCATTTTGTCATGCTGAATCGCTCACGCGGTGCTGCTGGCTGGGTTCGTCTCCCATAACTAGGTCTCAGAGTACAGAACTAATCAACTATCTGCAGGGTCCAAGAGCGCAAGTGGACCGGAAACTGTACAAACGGCATATGCAAGAGACTCTACATAACTATCCGAACCTAGATATACGAGCAGCGAGCGTTCATGATCTAGTCCTGGATCATACTGTTGATGACACAAGGCCGCACCCATGGGCTTCAGTTACCGGTGTCCGCCTAGGTCAGCAGATGTGATTTGAGGACTTTTTGAGATGGCTCTAATTGTATATGTCCTATGTTTAGAAACTGGTGACACCATTCGTGCCTCACAAGTCATCATCTGCACAGGCACCTTTCTTTCTGGAGAGATCCACATCGGTCTGTAGCTGCTCTTGATATATATATTGTTATTATCCCTTATATTTGTTTGTTTAGGAATGAAACGCTTCCCAGCTGGTCGTATGAACGAAGCGCCCTCTGTCGGGCTTTCAGGTTCACTTCGCGCGGCCGGATTCAAGCTTGGAAGACTGCAAACCGGAACTCCTGCAAGGATTCTGAAAGATAGCATCGATTTTTCGAGACTCGAAGAACAGCTTGGAGAGACTGAACCTGTACCGTTTAGTTATATTAACTCAGGAGTCGACAACGCGGTATGTCAATACGTAGTACTGAGTGGATTCTTACTTGGTACTGATGGTTCTGAATAGAGGAAGCAGGTGTCTTGTTACAAGACGACTACAACACCTCTTACGCACCAGATAATTCAGGACAACCTACATCTAAGTTGTCATATACAAGAGACGAAGAAAGGTGCGCGTAGAAGTGATCTTGATGACCATCTATGCTGACCCCTATGACGTCAGGTCCCCGTTATTGTCCCTCTCTGGAAGCCAAAGTCATGCGTTTCCCTCAAAAGGATCACCATCGTATATGGCTAGAACCTGAGGGCTATGATTCAGGTTCGTCTTTGCCGCATACAGGAATTGATTCTTTTCTGAATAACAACGTGGTTTGTAGACCTCATATACCCTAATGGATTATCGTGTAGCATGCCCGAAGAGGTTCAGATACCTCTCTACCGAAGTGTACCTGGGTTGGAAAATGCGGTCCTTGTGAAACCCGCATATGGTGTCGAGTACGATCATGTGGATGCGAGAGAGCTTAGACGTAAGTTGCATTTCGTATTTAATGAACGTGTGATAGATCGCTTAATGATTGGAATAGCTACCCTGGAGACGAAGCGGATAAAGGTACGGTTCGATAATTCTCGAGTCATTCCTCTTCATTCCGAGCTAAGGCAATATCAATTAAGGGCCTTTTCCTTGCTGGTCAGATCAATGGTCGGTTTCCTTGAATTCCGTCTTCTTGCTACATGACATTACTAACTTCTTTCATTTTCAAGGCACGACAGGATATGAGGAAGCCGCGGCCCAGGGCACCATTGCCGGCATCAATGCCGGTCTAGCTGTTCTTCATCGACCTCCTCTAATTCTCACCCGTGCCGATGGGTATGTTGGGGTTATGATTGACGATCTCATACTCAAAGGTGCTGAGGAGCCTTGTAAGCGATGACGTGCCTGCAAACCTCCTGAGTGTACTGATGTTTGACTTAAGATCGGATGTTCACTACGAGGTCAGAGTACAGGTTGACGATTCGAAGTGATAATGCGGATTTGAGGTTGACTGAAAAAGGTGAGTTATTTGCCTTCCATAATGAGCGGGCGTACTTAAAGCGACGATCAAATTTCAGGTAGACTGGTTGGCGCAATCTCAGATACACGATGGTCACATTTCCTATCAACCCGGAATGAGATTATTTATGTGACAGAGATCCTGAAGTCTTTCTCGCATAGTCCGCACGTAAGCAGCCGACTTCCTTTTCCTATCATCTCATGTGCTAATGATCGTACCATCTAGGGGTGGCGCAAGTTGGGGGTGCAGTTCGATATGAGGTCTGATGGAATTCGGAGAAGGTATGTGTGACCCTCCAGCTTTCAAATATGAAGTTGATTATAATCATTAACCATGCCCTTGTGACAGCGTTTTCGAATTGCTGAACCGTGGAGACGTCACTTTGGACGTGATCAAGCCACTAATTCCAGAACTCGCTACGATGGATCCTCGGAGTGTCGAACGTGTTGCGATCGACGGTATGTCCGTTCTCATGCCCTTACACCTTATATTTCTCTGATATGCTGATCTATTTAACAGCCCAATACAACGCGCATCTCCGTCGTCAAGAAGCTGATCTTCGGCTCTTCTCCGAAGATGAAAGTCTTGTGTTGGATCCTAACATCGACTACAGCAATGTAGAAGGTTTGAGTTCGGAAGTCAGAGAGCGCTTGGCTTTAATCAGACCTACAAGTATCGTGAGTAATTCTGCTGCACCTTTGGAAAGCGCTAATTCAATACGATCAGGGAGCCGTCCGGAGAATGGAAGGCATGACCCCTACGTCTATGGTCTCACTTCTTCGATTCGCAAAGAGGACTCATAGGCCAGAGCCAGTTGATATACCAGCCCAGGAGATGTTGGCTTCTTAGACCTCACCACGCATTTCACTTCCAACATAGTGTGACGATATGTGGAGACATTGGATTTTCTTGCCTACTAGCGAATGAAGAGGCATATGACGATGGGCATACATCCTGCTTGTTCTCATTAGAACGTGTCTGAGTGACCAGATGGGCTGTTGGTGGGAGGAGGCGGTCGGGGAGAGAAGCAAAGTGATCGGTGTTTTGCACTGCAAGGTTTGACTTTATAGAATTCATCGTAAAGCTCGCATTGGAAATGACTGCCCAAGATGTGTTCTCTGCAGAACCAGATGTGGCTTGGGCAGTAAGCCGGATGAACAAATAGAATTGGTTGAGGTCGGCCTGACCAGATTCCAACGCCTCCCATCACCTTAATCGTCTTCATATAGAACTCGTTCTTCATATCTAATGTTGTAGGCATGGGGCAGGTTGTCGTGGTCTGCCGTTAAGTATGGTAGTTTTATGACCAAGTCATGCCATGCTCCATGACTCGAAGAGACGATATCGAATCATTTTGTTGTGCAGATTCTCGTTGATGCTCTCAACATGTATATCATTTCGTGCCAGGGTCTTATGAGAACATATGCCATGGTACGTTCCACAGGGACTCTTAGAACAGGGAGTTTTTGAGACAACTTTCAACTCGCTTGTTTTGGGTCAGATATAAGATATTTCGACATGTAGTGTGAGGTCTGTGGAGCATTAGCTACTGTATGGACATTTGGTGACGATATGATCAACCAGAAAAGCTTTTGAAGGGTATATTTCGCAAGAGAGGATTTGGGTATCTGCTATGTCATGATCAACATCAGAAATATATGATAGACAAGTTACTGTAGTCTTCAAACATTAGATAGATTCAGAAAGGTAATTGTGAGTTGAAAATAGTACTCCTAGGACTTCTAGTGTAAAAGGCCCTTCACAGTAAATCAAATTAGCAAGCGAGTTTCACGAGTAGTACGATCTTTGTTGGTAAGCTTCAAAGCTATATTCATGTCATAACGGAGCGTCTGACAAATGGATGTAATGCCATCTCGTTGCGAATCAGTATGGGGGCCACCACGTTGAAGGATATTGAATGTGCCATTATAGAAATCATCCAGCAGCGAGGGGAGACCAATTGCAAGCAAGGTAAGAACTGTGATCCGCTTATCCGATTTCGCTGCGGCGAGTAGAGTGATGAAGGACTCCACAGGGTTCATGCTTTCTGACCAGGAGAGGAATCCAAAGGTGTGCATTTCGTCAAGCTTTCGTGTCAAAAGCTGGCGGCTCTGCGTTGATTCGCTGTTGAGATACAAAGGAATATTGGTTGGAACTGGTCCGATTGAGTATGTAAGATACGTACCTAAGACGCCTTATATATTCAATAACTGCTGTTAAGGCGTAGCGAAGTTCTTCTTCGGTGTTGTATCGCATTCCTTCCAAAACGTTTCTCCACCGATGTTCTGGCAATGCTGTGATACAGATAAGCAACCGCGCAACCTCGCCGTCTAAGGCGGATATGTTTGTTTCCTGGTCTCGACATGCTGCCTGATTGCGTCGTCTGAATAGAGCCAACCATGATATAAGCTTCAAATGTTTGAAAGAGAACGTTCTGAGGAGCTTACAGAGGTAGCGACAGGATGATTGTCCACAAATCTGGACACGCATCTTTCGCAGAAAGCAAGGAATACTCAACAGAGCGAAGGATAAGTACTTGGATGCCCTCATCACTGGAGTGTTGACGGATGGCGTTGACATGAATGTCTTCAGGAAGAAGCCGAGGAAGTAAATCGCTTCTCAGAACACGATCGCTGCATCCTGTGGTATGCAGAAGCACGCTGAGAATGAGAAGTATACCAGCACACATTCGCCGCCAGGCTTTATATTGTGCACGATACGAGCTATCACCAAACATTTGACTGCACTTAGTAAGCCAAAGTTTCTCGAGAACATCGATCAGCCCATCTTCGCACAGTGCATGAGCGATGTCAGAATTAGACATGCTAAGATGATAGACCAGGAGTAGGAACGGATGGATGGGATGGACAACTGCGTTGGGTGGTAGATAGTCGAATTCATCCGCGAGTTGCGCTAGATCTTCCGGATAATACTGGCTGCAGGTGAAAAACCACAGAGCATCCATGACCCGTTCAAGCAAAGGCCTGACAACGGTGGCATCAGTATACTTGAGAAGTTCTACCAGGGGTATAAGTGGCCCTGGAAGGCCCCAATCGTCTTCCGCACGGTGGCATAGAAACACCACGTAGCCAATAAACGATGATAACGCAGACGAAGAGTTGTTTCTGCCTTGACGTCTGACCAGGTAGTCAGAGCTCATAAGAATTCTGGTGAAACCGGATAGACCATATGCCTCCAGAAGCAGTGTGGGATCATTTGTCGCCAGATCATACAGCAAATTATGCAGTGCGTGGTCAAGTAACACTCGACTAGACGCGTAATAATCTGTTATAGAACTGAAAACGCCGGCATTGCGAAACCTATAGCGAATTAATAAATCTCTCTGAACTTCTAAACAATACTTACCACCCGCAATTCTTGTAACCAGACAGATCCCGAAGAAATCGCACTTTGATATCCTTTGTTAGGTTTTGCGACACGATTTCAGCTATTCGTGTACCGCGATCCGAAACCATGGCATGAAGTACTGTGTTCCATGTTTGAGCATAACTTGAATAAGCCGCACCGGGCCTAGAATGGTACATTAGTCTAGCTAGAAAACTGTCTGAAATGAAACAACCCACAATTGACCAAATGGAATTATATCCTTGCAAGGGTTCATATTCTTGAAGGTGTCTAGGATAACGGCTACGTATTCAGGATCAAGTTCGATCCAGGACCATCCATGTTCCGGGTATAGATGCACTAGGAGCTGACAACAGGTCAACCAGGCCAACCATCGAATATGGACACTAGATTTGACAGTTGTTTGGTAGTGATCGCACGAAACGTTGGGAAACCCGTAGACACAAAACCTTTCAACGGTGTCCCACGTTCTGCGTTCGACGAAGAGTTGGCAGGCAACAGGGCTGACACTAGCCAGATGATGGGCGAAAGAGAGGTAAGGCATCGCCCCGCTGATTCTATGCCTTATTCTAGCCTTTCGATCCTGAAATTGATAGTCCGCCGTCATATACCGCAATGCCTCCAGGATGTGGTCAACAACCGGTTTAATCTGTTCGGGGCCTTCAGCGCAAAGGTACCTGCCCATATCCTCGATGATGCGGGTTCGTTTTTCCTCATCTTTGTAGTTCACACAAAGGTGTTCAAAAAAGGAGGACAGCGAGAAATTGACAGAATGACCATGATGAAGCCCCGGAATCAGGAATGTTGCGAAGTCAGATGCATCGAATATGCCTTGAAGGAATAGCGGGTCCTTGTCGAGGAGGGAAAGCACAATGGTTCTGACGCTCTGTGTGACTGCAAAGAATCGACGGATACTTTCTTCCTGGTCCCTGTTAATGACTAATTGCTCAATATACCGAAGGTCTCAGTGAGGGGCATATAATGCGTACCATCCGACAAAGCGGTACGCCACAAGTTGGCGGAGGAACAGTTGTGTTTCCAGCGGGGGCCATGTGGCCAGTACTTGGGTGAAATGTTCAACTTGTTGTCTCTTCAACAATACACCGATCATCGACCACGCCCATCGCCTCACTGTATCCGAATACAGGTTGATTCTACTCCAGTTAGCTTGACAAACCACGGAAAGAGAAGCTAATTATATACCTCTGGAACTCAAGCAAGTCGTCAACAAGACCATATGAAATGTCTCCACGTTGGCGTAACTGGTTCCGAATACTGATAAGTCTTATGAGGATGTATGCGTTCTCTATTCCACGTAAAGCGAGTTGGCCAACTGCAAGTATAGCGCGACCGGAAGTAGCTCCAATGCCGTACACGGTAGTCCCATCAGAACTTGTTGTGAGAGATACAGCAAGCGATGCCGCGTCAGAGACCGCCTGCGCCAGCAGAACTTCAGGGTTGAGTTTGGACATGGGGGAAATTGTTCAAGTGACATTGCAACGGAGATCGCTTTATAGCAAAGGCATTCAGACTGTGACTTTTGGACTAAGTGGCTCCAAAGTGGCTCTCGAAGGCTTCTCCCATCTCGATGAAACACTTCGAGGCTAGGAACATCGGGATCAAGCTGTATCAACCGAACAAAATTACGGCAACATTCCACATACACCACTTAGCGACGCATTGCATTACTCTTGAAATCCCTTGACTCAGATTCAAGCCTCCTAATGGTTGGAACAGAGTCTTCAGAACATCCAACTTGAGAATGCACAAGAACACAGCGATTTCCTTCCGCGAGCATGGTAAGTAAAAGGAAACATGCATCGTATGTTTTTTCTTTTTTTGCGGCGCGCTCACGTTCGAATGCCGCCAACGGCAGCTCACGTTACCGCGTTCTGTGGGAATGCCGATGACTGCCGGAGGTCGTGTAAGTGGTTTCGCAATTCATTTCCCAGGTCCAACGACTTGCTATTAGTCTGACCTCTACCCCAGGTTACTTACAACGTCTACGTCAACATAATTGCTGTTTGGACTGACCATGTCTGACGAAGTTGCATCGAAATCATCATTTCTATGCATGTACATGTCCAATCACCCCGATACTTTGGTATCGTACGTCAAGTATTGGGGAAAGATCAATGACAATGTAACAAGTGCTCGAATGATAGCGATTGATACCAAGGTCCAATTTACTTCTTGTACAGTATGTTTGTAGACTGATAATGACATCTCATTACTTAGGGCATGACTTTGACTTACACTACGAAAGCAGGCGGTGATGCAAAAAAGCAAGTTACAGTCCCTTTTGATCCACCACTCGCTGGATATGCCGAAGTTAAACCTCGTCTCATGAACATGAAAGTCGATGCTGAAGAAGCACTAGGGATGGTATGCGGCTTCATCCGTTCCACTTTATTTCCATCAATGAACCATTCCATTCGCAGACCCGTGCTCCTCAACTGTCGACCTTCCGCCTGACGCCACGAGTGCTACAAACTGTGGTTGTGATTAGCATTCTTGTCTACACAACATTTGCGCCATCCAGAGACTCACCCTCATACCACCCAATTTTTCTCCCGGCAAACTTGATTCGCAGTTCAATCCCCTCATATGTCATCACTGGCAGCTGGATATTCATGATGGTCGTTCACTTCCTCGAAGGCCTCTATACTTTATCGCTTTGCAAGAAACATAGGACTGGATTTGTTGTCGGAGTGAGTCCTCATTGACATTTGCGTTGCACCCGCTGAACTTACGCCTCCTCAGCTCCAGTACTTCATTGTGACTTTCCTTTTTGGTTACCCGGTTTTCACGGATATTCACAAACAAGTACAGACGATGAGGATCGACAGTATAATGAAGGGACAGTGATCTGTACTACCACCCTTAGTTATCCCCTTCTAGTCAACGATGTGTATTTCTAGACCTCGCTATACCAATCTCATTGTTAGGAACTATCGGATATCCCTGCATCACACGATCGAAATCTAAGCGAAGAAATGTAGACATGAATGTACCTGCGATCCGTTCAACCAGACTGACTCGTACTCCTTTGCTGGAAATACTTGAACAATTGCAAACATATGGCATATGCAACTTGAGACGTTATAATGATGTATTACAATTACAGCTAAACGCAGAACGATAGGCCCCTCCTCAAAAATTTCCGCACCTGTCGCTTCGTAGGCGAACGCAGCCGCAGGTGGCCGAGCTGCATAGACGCGAGAGAACAACAGTAGTTCGCTGTCACTCCCTTGTCACTCACATATGCACCCAGCATTCTCAACGACCTTTCCTGTCTCATTTTCACTTCCTGCTTTCTTACAGTAACTGTTTTCCAGAGATGCGTCGTCATATATCTAAAGAATACAAGGAAATTGCCCTTAGTGTGGTCCTTGACCATGGGCTCTCATATGAAACTATTCGCCATTTCACCGCATATTAGCGTGCGTTCCCTCAAGCGACTCATGAAAACATACCTGCACAGGGACAGGGCGGACTGGCTGAGGCCTGGGAGCATTGGTCCTCTCAGCCTGCTCATTCCGTGGATGAGCATGCAGATTTCGGTCATGCAGTTCATTTTCCAAAGTTGTATTGATGGTGGTGGATTTCTCTCATACTCAATATACCCTCGTATATGTACTCCCTTGTGTGACTGAATATGAGACCCGAGCGGAACTTCATATGTTTCATCGAGAAGTGCAAGACATAATGACTGCCAATCTAAAATGCCGCACCACTGTAAGAGTAGAATTATGCCAGATGGTAATGACTCTGGTAGACTCGCGAAGCGTAGCAGCCCTAGAAGCTTACTTTTAGACACATCCATAGTGAAAAAAATTTATACTTGACTATATCGACTGCTTACATTACTACACAATTGTTTTTTCGATAGAGAGGGAGGAGTGGGTCACAGGGCGGTCACAATGGGTCACAACTGCGGAAGCAAGCCGGCTGTGTTCGCCTACGAAGCGACAGGTGCGGAAAGATTTGAGGAGGGGCCTATCGTTCTGCGTTTAGCTGTAACTATTCCTGAAGTATATTCGGTGAACCAAACTCTATGAAAAGCAATCAATTCCTCCATCAAGCTAGACCAGAGCAAATAATCTCAAAGCGCCAGCAGCACCTTAAATTTGCCTGTCAGCCTTGATCATATCAGCTGCCTTCTCTGCTATCGCTACGACAGGTCCTTGAGGGTGACCTGAGACCTGCGTCGGGAAGACGGAGGTATCGACAACCCGAAGCCCAGTAACACCATGAACCCTCAAGTTGGGATCAAGCACGGAGTCCTGAGGATCGGTTCCCATGCGGCATGTACCAACCTGTAAGATCATCAGGATAATTGTGCAAGTGGAAGGTCGAAGACACGCACAGGGTGGAAGGCAGTATGTCCGTTTCGTTTAATGAACTCACGAATATCGTCATCTGTGACCTAAAGGAACTTCCTCAGTTCGAGTTGATTGATATCTATTGGGATATGCCAACCTTGCTAGGATCCTGGTCGCCGAACCAGAAGTAGTCACTCTTATCGCTGTTGTTAGGGTTGAACTCGAGCAAGGATTTCAGAGGTTCGCTGTGCGCCAACTTGAAGGTGCAGCGTACACCCCGAGCGACAACATTGAGGTCACTCTCCGAATCAAGGTAGCTGAAGCGATAAAAATCCTCCGGTCAGCACACGATGCTCCAAGCATATGTCTAACATGAAGTAGAACGAACGCACTTTCCGGCCAGGGTCGGTTTGTCGTAGATACTTCCTGATTTGAAATGAATGATACCTTTGCTCTCTGGCTTCAACAAAATCGAAGGCTAAACATGGTTCGAAGAATTCTCATCAATTACTGCGAACAGTCGGAAAAGGGGGAAATAACTGACAATCGTGAATCCATGCTCTCCAGGCCGAGCGTTATCAAAAAAGCTTGGAATGATAGCAGGAGTCCACATGAGCTCGAGATCCGGCGATTTGGGCCCTGAAGTCAGGTCTTTCACGGGACCCAGGCTCGTATCAATAAACCTTGGGGAAAAAATTAACATGCAAATCGAGGTGCAATATGAAAAAAGGCTAACCTTATATCGTCAGAACGGATGAATGCGACGGAAGTGACGCCCATCGAAGCGAATGGACCTGTGCCATTCCACAACCATTTGAGAAAGGCCGAAGCGCCAGCCAGAAGTGAGCTGTTTAGTTTGTCCAACGTAACTCCAGGCTTTGCACGGAAAATCAGAGGACCAGACGAGATGTGCTGTGGATCAATGCGACGATGACGGTCATCATCTAGAAAAAAGAAAAAAGATGACACTGAAACGTACATCAGCCAAGTGTTTCCCAACAGCAGGAACGTCCTTGACCACAGGCACGCTAGCGGCACTCAACTCCTCCTTTGCACCGACACCACTGACAAACAGAAGGTGTGGTGAAGAGACAACACCGGCTGCGAGGATGACCTCTCTGGTAGCAGCTACTCGATACTTCGGTCCAGAGGCAGAAGATGCGACTTGTACACCAACAGCACGTGGTGAACCCTTTTCCTCCGAGAAGAGGATCTTCTCGACGTACGTATTGACGGCTACAGTTAAGTTGGACCTGGAAAGCACTTCAGGAGTGAGATATGCCGATGCCGTGGAAACTCCTGAGATCGTACGTAGTAAGAAAATGATTCAAGTAGCTGAAGTACAGTGTATTTAAACGTACGGTTTCCATGCTCATCGACGATTCCTGCCAGATGGCCAACCCCAACCTCTCTGTCAGGTGAATTCAAGTCTCTGAAGCATGATTTAAGCATTCAGTCATCTGTGGCATGTAGAGGACGCACTCGACGTAAGGTATCCCAATCTCTTTGCAAGTTTCCATGATAACGTCTGAGATCGGCTACGATACAATTCTAGATCAGCCGTGACGTTCCTAGTCCTGCTGAGACTTACTGCAGGGCTTGGAGTCTGTCGAATCTTCCAGGGCCCAGTTGTACCCTTGGAGCTCAGATCAATGTTCGTAATTTGTTTGGGACTATAACCTTCTGCTTTACGGAAATAGCTATTGATGTGTTAATAAGGTAATCATGAAGTCCTCACATTCCGAGCTTACGGTTCGAGTTCCTTGAACGTCCATCCATTGCATCCGGCTTTGGCCCAGGAATCGTAATCTTCACAATATTGTCAACACAATGCGTGAGGGAGTTGTTTGACAACGGTCGTACCTTCTGGGGAACATCGATCATAAATCAACGCATTGAGAGCACTGTAAAGTAAAGTTCCAGTGGGGCGTTGATGAAAATGATGAAGATGCTCGCCTTGTTCCACCCAACATCTTTCCCCTGGCAAGGTACGTTTCTTCACCATTCCGAACGTGAGGAGAGCTAATAAACATATGAATAATGAATACCTTTGTGCATGATACGATATACACACGCGTTGTAGTATTCCCAATCGACACTAGTCTTGAAGTTCTTTGTGAATGCAAGAGGAGCCTTGGTGAACACATTTCCTCGACTTTACCAGACATCAGCAGCTTTGCTTTTATATGGGACCACTGTAAACTGACTAACCCTGTACCGGCCTCGATGAGCAATACTGTAACGTCGCGATCTTCAGAGAGTCGGGACGCGAGCACACATCCCGCAGTTCCTGTACGCAATGTCTAGTGGGTCATCGTTGAATGGGGAAACCAAACATACCGCCCCCGACTACGATATAGTCATACTGCTTCCACTTGCCTGGATCAGCGCTCGTTGATGTTGTGGCAAAGTCTGACGGGTTCGAAACGTAGGGGCTCTTTGAGAACCAGGAGCCCATAGGTGAATCAGATGAGGCAGGGTCGGCGTTGCGTGGTAAAGGAGATAATAACCCAAGAACTGAAGGTTCCAAGAGACAAAGTCGTGTGGATTCGGGAAGCGCGAACCCTCTACTTTAAGTTTAACAGGGATTGGTCTTGGCCCATTGGGACTACCAGGAGAACATATAATTTTTCGCATTTCGTAGTCGCGCGCTCTCTCGAGTCTGACTGAATGTTACTAATACTATCGTTCGAGGTAGACTCTGATTGACTCTGGAGCAATGATACCGACTCGGATATGGGCTTCCAAAAAGTCATCGATCCTTCTGGGGTTTCTGTCCTCCCATGAGCGAATCAGCTTCATATAGCAATATGGGGATAGATGCCTATCTTTCACCATTCGATGCATGTGCATCTCGAATGCTACAGTATGGGCCAAAGCTTATAACTTGAGAACTGCGAGGACGCGCGACGATGCCGATAAAATTACGATAGCGTTAGCGCCGCCGTAGTTTTGTCACTTGGCGGCAACGTCAATTTTCGTGCAACAGTTCTACTCACCGCCTAGAAAAGCCTCAGCTCTTTTTAAAGTCGGCCAGTAGCCCGAACAGTCGCAAGGACTCAAGAATCGAGCGCGTGTACTCTCAAGCTCAACACATAACCTTGATTTGATGTCGTTCCGAAAACGACTTATCATGCCCAGACGAAGCACGGAATATGGCATAGCGCTTCAAATTTTCAAAGCTGCTTCCATCCATTGTTATGATGGGCCGAACACCAAGCCCATGGGCTCTCTTCTTTTCCTTCTATACAGAAGAATAGGATACCCCGAGACCCTCTAAACTTTTTGAAACAGGCACAGCAAAGGCACAGTATACAGGATAGTCAAATCATGGGACTGGGCGTGGTCAGATTAGTTCAAGTTACCAACGTACTGTATGTTGGTTTGGATCCTTTCATCCTACTTGTACAAAGCTGGGCAAAGATCTACAGATTTCGTTTCGCATTATAATGCAGTCCTCGTGCCAACCGATGTTTTCGTGTAAAACCTCCCGGCGGTCAATTCGGCTCATTGTTTTTTCGACCTGCATATTTTTTACTGCACTTGATAACAGCCTACATTATCGCTGGCTAGCAAGTTCAGTTCTGCAGACGTTCCTTCTCCAACCACCATGGCTAGCGAGCTGCCGCCATTGCCCAACCCACTTACACCCCTTGCATGGCTTCCTCCAGATATTGCCGGTCAGCTGGAGGCTTCGCGATATCTCTATGCAGCGACTTTAGGAGTAAGCCCAACGTTATTTCCAGAGTCGTAACTCATATTATCCTTCAAGGCTTGGATCTGGGATGTCTTGATGGCTTTACCTGATGAGTTTCGGATGCTCGTGACACGCAGGGCCTCCCTGTCAGACGCAGCATACGTCCTCGCTAGGTACGTTCAGAATTCTTCACAGTCTCTTTTCATACTAATACAGACTACTTACAGACTAGCATCTGGGGCGTTTATCACTACTTCCTTCGTATTTCAAGGTATGATCTCAGCCTTCCGCTATGCTCCTTTCCCCCCCCGTAACTTACAATACTTGATGTTCAACTTAGTCTCGGCCGTCAGCGACTGTCATGCCTTGGCCAAGGCAATAGGCTGGTGTGGTGCATTTGGCCTTTCGCTCAACTCGTTACTCTTTTTTTTCCGCGTCAAAGCGGTCTTCAATTCCTCCAAGCTTATCACTGCCCTGTTCGCCTTTGTCTGGTTTGCGACGTTCGCATGCGCACTTACAGCTCCCTTTGGCGTCGATGGCATACACATTGGGACGACTGGTAATTGCGTCAATAGCAACGTGAAAACGTTTAGCTCTGCGGGACTCATTGTCGTGGCAGTCAACGACACGCTGGTCTTCATTGCGATTTCTACTCGGTTGATGATGTATAGCTTGGCAGACACTTGGGTTGACCGCTTCAAAACTTTCTTTAGTGGTAAAGGTATGGGCCATATGTCGAGAGCTTTACTGCAAACAGGCCAACTATATTATTTGTGCGTCGACTGCCTGTTTTTGTGCAAAGGTCCGACATCTAACAGCATGCGTAGGGTTACTGTTGGAGTGAATATAGTGGCCATGGTCGTTATTCTCACTCCGTCCGTCCCACCCGTCCTCCGCGCTATGTTCGCCATTCCCAACGTCGCATTACAAAATGCCATGGCTTGCCGCGTGTTCCGCCTGATCAAGCTCGGAATGATCACTGACAAGCCCGTAGCTGTTTCCTCGCTCACACCTCCTGCTCAATCCTTCCGATTATATCAGAATGCCTCTCGTCCCAACAGAGATGGTAGCGCACATAGTCAAGGCGACGTGGAGAATTTCAAATTGACTACTTCACCATCTTTCCGTAACGCCAATGGCAATGCGAAGTTGGTGCCGGTGCATGTCGATATTAATCGGGAGACAGAAGTGACCGTGGATGGGTTGGACAGGAGAGAATGGAAAGCGGGCAGCATTGCTTAAAGACTGTAGGCAATATTATTCGTTGGGTTTCGGAGATGCGTCAATGGGTTATTCGTGTGCTTACCACTGTCATTCATTACATGAGTCTTAGATCTTGCTACTACATATATCAATGTACGTACCAGGATGTTTTGTAGTTGTGTCGACCTATATGAACTACCTGCTTGCTAAGAGGCTCAGTCATTTAAATTTGCCAAATCCAGTGGGGTCTTCAACTTCGTTAAGTGTATTGATACCACTATGTGAACTACTATCAAGGCGGAGCAGTGGATAAATCCACCAGACGTGCAGAATATCGGGCGGTAGTACCACTTCGTACTACGAATACTTAATACAGTCCAGTGTGACCTTGTGTATATGGAATCGATATTTGACTGTGCCATCTGCGTCATACCATGCTCAGCCAGGGTCGCTACACCTTTGACGTAGAAATTTGCTATTGTGAGTCGTATGTTGTAAATTGCGAATGTATGTTTGGCTGAGGGTGGTACTATATATGATGTCTAGATCTCTGGGCTCGGGACAGTCTAGCAGCCTTATCGGCGCTACGTGATACCCGGCTGGCTTGGGCTGGCCGATCAACCTTTGGTCCTTATACCTTTTGTTTTCTCTCTACATACTCAACAGCGTCGTCTACGACTTTGGCCAATTTTGGCCGTCACAATACAGTTTGACGTGACCTCTGTGTGGAGATTGAACATCTGAGGATGGGATCAGAAGGCCACGGGTGATTGTGTGGTTATTACCGGCAAAGTGACCGGACCCGGACAGCCCGGACGTACTTTTTCAAGAAATACTTGCTGGAAAGTATCTTCAAAGCTTATTCCCCTCCATCCTTTACTCTAGTGGTGTTTCAATGAACTATATGTGATTCTGGTAAAGCTCCGACGAAAGCTTGATATCTTATGCATGTCTCTTCTAGTGGTTTTTTTAATACCCGGTTGTCTTTCGGAACAAATTTGCATAAATATATTATTCCAACCAGCGAGGTCGTGCGTCCAACGCGACTCGGATTGAGCTTTGGCTGCATGGCCAGCGAGCTCCCTCCGTTGCTGAACCCAAACACTCCACTTGCATGGTTGCCTCCAGAAGCCGCTTCTCATATTGAAGCTTCACAATATCTCTATGCTGCCACCGTTGGAGTCTGTACTTTCGAATTGTTGCCCAAATCAAAGCTCACCACTCATCCTTTGACCCATAGGCGTGGCTCTGGGATTTTCTCGGGGGTCTTCCTGGCGATTATCGCATGTTCACCAAACACAAGCTGTCCCCAATAGACGCAATCTATGTGCTTGCTAGGTACGCCATTGGTCTCTCCATGACATGCGATGACACCAAAGCTCAGTGATACTTTAGGCTCGTGTCTGGAGCATTCATCATGACAGCTCTGATGTTCCAAGGTGGGTTTCGATCTCCATTTAACAACGACCTCCCAGTGACCATGAATATGACCCAGTTGCACCGGTTGGCAAATGTCATGCCTTGGCAAAGGCCATAGGCTGGTGTGGTACATTCGCCGTCCCCCTCAACTGTCTGCTCTTCTTCTTTCGCCTGAAAGCCGTCCTCAAGGAGGCCAGACGTATCGTCGTCCTGTTCATGTTCATGTGGTTGGCCACTATTGGGTGTGCACTTACGGCAGCCTTTGGTGTCGATGGCAAGCGCATTGCGACTACCAGGAGATGTGTAAATGTCATTGAAGAGTATAGTTCCGCGTTGCTAATTGGGATGGCCGTATTTGACACGGCCGTATTCGCTGCTATTTGCACATGGTTATCGCTGTATGGTTTAGCGGATAGTTGGACGAAACGTCTAAAGTCTTCCTTCAGTGGTCAGGCTATGCGAAACATGTTGAAGACGGTTCTGCAAACAGGACAGCTCTTATACCTGTTCGTCATTTGCCTTCTCTTGCAAAACCTTCGACACCTAACATCGCATCCAGGGTTACCGTCTTGGTAAACATAGCAATCATGGTGGTTATCCTGATACCCTCTGTCCCATCCGTCTTCCGTGCCCTGCTAGCGATCCCCAATATCGCCCTCCAGAACTCCATGGCGTGCCACGTATACCGTCTGCTCAAACTTGGTCATATCAACGATCGCCCCTCCGCCCTGATTTCTTCACACCCTAGTCGGTCCCCCCATGATAACATTCTGGTGCATGGAGACGGGAGCACGTCGGGACGTGCTGGCAGCAACGCCAGGGACATCGCCCTGTCCACTTTTGCAACCTTGCACGTGCCGATCGCGGATCCAAGGCCAATAAGGATGCATGTAGGTATCAGTAGAGACACGGTTGTTGGCGTGGATAATGACTGGAAGCCGAACAATCTTGCTTAGCCAAATGTTTGATTACAGTCAGAGTCTCAAGTACGTCTCATACACGTGTAGGAGTGGCGATGGGCTTGAGGACGAGGTACGTTACCATCGCATCGACAGTCTTTTCGCATATGGTCCTCTAAAGAAATGAATGCCTCTCCTAGTGCGAGGGCTTTATCCAATGGTATGTCAGAGTGATGCCTGGGGAGGTCAAGGGGAAGGCAAAGTTGAGGAGAGCTGCTTCATCCCAGATGATGATGATATACTTGTAATCTATGTGCACGGACGTCGATGATTAGCTCTGACACATTGCCGGATATATATGCATATGTTGACCTCGCAAATGGCATGGATATCATCAGGAAATAAGCAGCAAAAATGCAGCGGTCAGCCAGCATCAGTATCTCACACGTTATCCTGTCTGCACGAAGGCGCGACATGGACGAATGGAGAAAACCTCGCTGGCTGTAGTTTACGATAGGTAGACCAAGGTAAACTGACATAGTTGTCTCAACCGGAGCGAGAACATCCGACTGAAGGGTCTATGTTCAATTTGAGCTTGCCAACTCAGACGGCTCAGCGCATTCGTTGCAATGAGAATCCTTCTCCTGAGGTGTTCGCGAAGGGGTACGACGCGTAGAGTCCTCAGAATGCGAAGCTTCGGAAGGTTCAGAACTTGAACTGGCATCTCCCAGACAATATAGAAGATCGACACTACGATCTATCATCGCCAAGGGGTAATGCTCATCTTCAACTTGCTTCTCAGGTTCGATGTACTCCTGCTCCACATCGACAGGCGGGCGAGGAAAAAGAACAAGATCGAGGATAGTATTCACGAGGTAGTCTGCGTTGGGCCGTTTTAGGGGATCACCGTGCCAACAGTCTTGGATGAAATTCCACTCTTCTCCACGGAGCTCCGAAGTTACGATTCCTTTAGTAGGCCACGGAGGAAGTGTGCCCTTAGCAACCTGCATGATAACTTGCGATGCGATAAGAAGATGAGCGAATGGTGGTTGTCGCGTGGAAAGCTCCAACCATACACATCCAAAGGCATAGATATCGCCAGCAAACGTGGGCTTTGAACCGTCTAGGATCTCCGGTGCCATCCAGCGTACTGTTCCGCCAGACATCGCCTGCGTCGTCGATTCAGACTTAGGGTCTGCAAATTGAACCAAGCCAAAGTCTGCAAGTTGAACTTCAAGGTCATCGGGGTCATGTATCAAGATATTTGCCTGGAATGTGTATGGTCAGATTCTGATCTGCGATATGCACGTTTTCATGACAAACCCCTCGTAGATCGCCATGGATAATTTTTTCTTCGTGCAGATACTGTAAACCTAGAGCTATCTCATGCAGCTGGCAAATTGTATCTAATGAGTACTCTTCTATACCCATCTTCTAGTGAGTTGACTCACCCATCGCTTTGCAGGAATATTTTTTCCCTGTTTGATTAACCATTTCATGCATTCGTTGATGTTTCCAAGTTCCGCCCAGGGAGACACGAGGCAATAATGGGGACGAAAGGTGTTGCGATCGACCCCGAGGAATGGAAGTATGTGGCGGTGTTTCATGATCTGCCAAACTAAGGCTTCACGGCACAGACCCTGAATCAAATATCAGTGAAAAAGTGGCCCGTGAAGGATATGCAACTCAGTCACGTACAGTATACTTGCGCTCATAGTCCTCGTCGTTTCGAAACACACGGATCCGTTTCATTGCTACAGGCGCGTTCCGGTACGTGGCACGGAAGATATCCGCAAAGCCGCCACCTGTGGTAGCATGTATGTCTGGACAGTGAACATCGTTAATGAAAAGGGAAGGCGGGAGTGTTCCTGAGAGTCGCGACAAATTCAGCAGTAGTCTACGAAGCAGAAAGCGCTCTGACATCAATGCCAGTGAGCCACCCTCAAGGACCTGAAGATCCAACAGTATTAGTACTATGCTACACATACATTATTGAATGATACCTGAAGCATCCCCTGCATGATTTGCGCTGCCGTTCCACCACGCAGCGACAGTAATATCCTTCTTGTGTTGTGAGAAGCAAGGGCATTCTCAACGAGGCGTGATATGTAACGTTCGCGATTTTGTCTAGGCAAGGATCGAAGCTGTTCCACGATTGCCCGAGCTTCCCTTAGTCGTGTTTCGCTATCCATTATGGTGTGCCAGTGAACGGAGTTGATTAGGGCGGGAGGACATAGCAGTTGAAAGCTGGGAGGCTGTTGTGAATCTTCAGGTTGTGTTTGCTATTACATACAGTAGGCTATGCAAGAAGTACTTGTCGAAGTGTAGGTACAGGTTCATGGGACTCTAGGCTCACAGCCTGAGTCAAGATAAAATGAATGCAAATAAGTTTGACAGAAGCAAAAGACAGCGCGGGAAGACTGTCACGGAAATAGCCTTTATATGCTCTCCCACGACACGAACATCGAGTTGTTGGTACACCGCATTCGATTCGATGATATTACTTGATGTTAATCGCCACGACCTTCGTCTAGACTCTACCGTCATAACTCTGCCAACTTTTCACTGGCACTCGATTCATTGCAGGCTTCAGCACGAAAGTGGACGCAAAATGATCACTGCGCAGAGCAGCTCAAACCAAATTGCTGAGACAATAGCTTTTCCAGCAAATGTAGGCGATGGCATGTCTGAGGCCTGAGGAGTTCGTCAACAGGGATTTGGCCAAAAATGGGAGACTGCGTCTAAATGCAGCAGGAGCTCTTCCAAAATAAGCCTGTTGTGCAAGAACCGATGTCTCCGACGAATTTTGTCGCAGCGATGATCAGAAAATGATGCTCAGACCCGCAGTTACCTAACAGCGCGACGTTGTTAGCACAGTTTTATTCGCCGGAAGTTGAAGAAATCTTCGCATCCAACTAGTCCATACCGTACGTTCTCGTATTCTTATTTTCACATGAAGCTTTTTTATTCAAACGATCGAATGTTCTCGGTCATGTTTCCCTCATGCGACGCGTTCTCAGTTCTCTCATCTATTACACTATCCTGGCGGTTTCAAATGGTTTGCCATCGAGCTGGTCAGGTGAGGCTCCACACCGCCTTTCGCCTGCCCTAAGGAGCAAAATCTGCGCCTGGCCCCACTTACTGGTCGAGTCATCTTGGCGATAGCTTCAACTTCCGATGCACATACGGATGAAAGTCAGACATGGCTGGGCTGTGATGATTTTGACAACACGCGGATTCGGGCGCTGTCTGTCGAGGAATATAAACATGCCATGCGTCTTCTGGTGTCATTGCCTCTTTCTCGGGTCTTCTTCTGGCCCTCCATGTTCCTGCGGTTGTTCCTAGTACTTCTCCGCTCGCATGTCGCCCTAAGTGTAATTATTCCTCTTCAACGACGCCGAGATGCACACTCAACCTCAGTGCACGTCAATACTGTTGCCGGAGACCCTTATAACTTCCAGAATGTCAACAACAGCTTGTACGCAGGGACGATTCATGTCTCCGGCCAACCTTTTTTAGTAAGTTTATATTTTATACTGGAGGTCTTGGATTTCTGTACTCAAGGTAATAGGTTCAACTTGACACGGGATCCTCTGACCTCTGGCTGGACACCGCGGAAGTCTCACTGTCTGGGACTGTAAACACCGGTGTATATGCAAACATATCCTATGCGTGCGTCGTTCATCACGTTGGTATTAGAGTCCACATACTAATGTGAAAGTGACAGCGACGAGAGTACCGCTCAGGGCAACATCACCTTGGTCGACATCAATTTCGGGGATTTTACAGTCAAGCATCAAGCTTTCAGTAAGCTCTCACCATACTGTAGGGTATCGCATGTTAACGATTTCTCTCAGTTGACTCTCCCGGATCGAATGCAACTTCCAATGGCGCAACTCAGGGCCTCATGGGCGTTGGACCGTGAGTTTTGAATCACAGTATTATCCTTCTGTACCCTGACGCACAAGGACTAGATTATCTACCTCTGTTATCCCGGATTTTCTAAACAGGTCTGGCTCTGCCGTCAATGGATCACCGTTCTTATTCAACGTACGAGTCTTGCTGAACATCCCTTGGAACATAATGCTGACTCATTATTTAGGTATTCAATCTTTATCCAAATGAACCAAACTATATTACCTTCCTGCTCTCTCGGGGCGGGCAGTTTGGAACGGTCGATGGTGGTGACTTCACCATAGGTTCGTGACCTTGACAGTCCATCCACATTATGATGTGGAGATTTGTTGACTTGACCTTCAGGCGAATTCGTCAACAATCTCAGTACTATCGCGGATGCGCCAAAGCTACCTGTTACAAATCCTGCAGCTTGGGTCACTTGGATGTCTGGCGTCACTGTGAATGGAAAACAAATCAATTACACTGCACCATCTGCGTATGTCTCGATATTCCTCACTGTATGAAACGACGTTCATATGTGAAACTGTTACAGAGACGGCCTCCCAGCTATCCTTGATTCTGGCAGCACGCTCGGTACGCACCGTTTTCCAAACTGATGACAGTAGTTCCTCACGCCCATTACTTGCAGGTAATGTCCCTGTTGACGTCCTTCATGCCATATACGGCGATCTTCCTGGTGCAGTGTTCGATAATGACACGAGTTTCTATAACATCTCCTGCGATACCAAGATGAACATCAGCTTCATCTTTGGGTATGTATTCATCGCTCGTTCAATAATCAGTAGCATTGATTGCGTCCAACCAGAGGAATTGAATATCCCATTCACCCGTTGGATGCTGTATACGTACCTGGTGACATCGTAGAAAATGGTTCTCCAGTTTGCTTTAGTGCATTATATGCATCTGAAGGGCCCAGTGCGTGCAATTCAGAGAGTTCATGCCTTTTCATCGCTAACGCTGTATCCCTTGCCGCTCTGTCCAGTTGCCCTTCTTGGCGACATGTTTTTACGCAACGTGTACAGCCTGTATGATTTTGGGAACTGGACAGAGGCAGGAGACGCTGGACCATTCATGCAACTTCTCAGCGTGCGTAAGGATGATCAACAGATGTTCCGTGGTATTGATCCCCCAATGTCTGAATAGGTTCTCGATCAGGACGAGGCTTGGGCTGAATTCGATTCTCTCAATCACGGCCGCCTACAACAGGCACTTGCACAGATCAACAAGTCCGACCAGATCACCACGCCAAAGACAACAGACAACCCTCCCCCGACTCAGGACATCTTTGGGGCGCTCTCCGATAATAGTGTATCATCGTCTTCCGTGGACTTGAGTGGTTTGACCCGGAACATGTACATCATTGTGGGGCTGATTGCAGCCGTAGTTCTCCTTCTCATTGTTTTAGTTCTGGCGACATTACTCAAAGGTCGTGGAGGAGATGGGAAGGGTTCTTATAGTGTCGTAGGCTTGTATGGCTCTACGGATCGGAAGGAGCAAAAGCCTCTCTCATTGGCAACAGAGCGGTTCTCCGCCGAGTCTACGACTCCATACAATGATGGAGGTCGTTAGTCGCTCAGTTGGTGTTAATTATTGGACTTTCTTTCTCTTTTCCTATACATATTAATCGCTCATTCACGGACAGTTCTATCATCTGTAGCTTTAATATGATTATGATTTCGATAAACCCAAGGCAACTCGTAGTTTAATCTGCTCACCTTCCTGACCAGGAGTTTCGGAAAGTCCCGTCCAATCTACTCTAGTCCAGCTTGGAACCGTTCTTCGTTTATCTTTCACAACATTGTTCTCGGGGAGAACTTTATACCAAATCTGCAGTGTTGCTCCTATCCTCAGCGTCGTATTCGAGGACTAGAGTCATGTCGTTGAGTCGCATAACTAAATGCTCAAAGTGTCACGTTTACTGCTTTCAGCGCCAGAGCATAAGTACATGAGCCTGGCATGTCCTTCGTCCAACATCCCTTCTCGGTATCTACTGTATATCGAGTCTATGCACAATCCCTCCAACTACATGAATGCTGACGTGCTATTCCAGTCACGCGCTCAGTGGAAGCTTATCTCTGCAAATATTTCCATCACCAAGTCTAGTAATGTTAGGACCAAGCGTGGAACCATCACTTGATAGCGAGCGTCATGATACCGAGTATCCGGCCTTATCACTGTGCGGAGCATGGGCTGAAATACTCCAAGGTTTGGGGGAGCATTGACGACTCTCGTACTCCCTAACTTGCCGTCACACAGCTGAGACCACCTTGTGGACCTCGGGGATACTAAGAGAACGTCAGCATGAGTAGCCGGTCATCCGATGTTGAAGGTCGAGTAGCGACTGGCACCACTGTATCAGCTGTAGGGGATGCCGACGAAGTCGAGTTGGCAAGGATGGGTTACAAACAGGAGTTGAAGTATGTCGCATCTTTGTTTTTGTTGATCAACCTTCGACTAATTATTTATACCAGACGGGATCTTGGACTACTGCAAGTATGCGGAAGACGTCATTCAAGTTGATCGTGAGCTGACGATCTTCCGATCGACTCTGTATTGCTCTAGAATTTTGGCGTGTCCTTCTCCATCATCAGTGTGATCACCGGCGTACCTTCTCTCTTTCTTTTCGGGCTTGTGCGTTCCGTCAATCTGGTCTTCTGCCTGTTTATGTTAAAGCCTCACAGAATACCGGCGGGCCCGCAGTCATGGTATGGGGTTGGATTGTGGTCGGTATGGTCGTCTATGAACACGCCAGACAGAAGTGTTTGACTTACCTTCATTCCAATCATAGCCACCTTTACAATGTTGGTTGGACTCGCCATGGCTGAGGTCTGCAGTGCCCACCCAACGAGCGGAGGACCTTACTTCTGGGCCGCTATGCTATCGAAACCCCAACACGCCGCCTTCGCCTCTTGGGTGACGGGTTGGTTTAACCTCCTCGGTCAAGTCGCTGTAACTACTGGTATTAGGTAAACGTTCTGCTTTCCACCATTCGGTCCAGTATCGTGTAGTTGACATTTACTCTATCTAGTTTCGCAGTTGCCAACTTTATCTCGACTGTCGCGACATTCCAAACTGACTACACGCCCACTCCTGGAACAACTATTGGAACCTACGCAGCAGTCCTTGTCGCACAAGGTAAGTGATAAAAGGCACTTTACCCTGTTTCATGCTCAAGATACTTGCTGAAGGTCTTATCAATACCTTCGGCGTCCACCTCCTGCGTTATTTGAATAACATATCCGTTTGGTGGCATGCTGTTGGTACCACGGCATTGGTTATCGCTATCCTTGCCGCTGCACCGTCGCATCAATCGGCGAAGTTCGTCTTCCAGACGTTCATTGATAACACAGGTGCAGATGGGGTTGGCTGGAGCCAACGAGCTAGTCCGGCGTATGTGGTAGTCATTGGGATCCTCATGGCACAATATACTCTGACAGGTCAGTCAGAAGAGACCTGTCATATACTCTTTCCATTGATGAAGCTGATTCAGACGGACTGGATAGGTTTTGACGCAAGCGCACATGTATGTTTTGAGGATTCGAGATATTCATTGACGTGACTCTGACATGCTTGCTTGCTGCATTCAGATGACCGAAGAGACGCATAACGCTGCAGTTTCAGGTCCGATTGGTATCGTTATGGCCATTGGCGTCTCAGCCGTGCTAGGATGGTTTCTTATCCTCGGTTTGTTGTTCTCCATACAAGACTTAGACAGTACTGTCGCAAGTCCAACTGGTCAGCCAGTTGCCCAGATCTTCCTGGACACAGTAGGAGAGAAGGGCGCGATCGTTTTGATGGTGAATATATTCTCAACTGCTGAGGGCGACTATTGTTCACATCAGGAATCCCTAGGTGATTGTCATTGGTTCAATGTTCTTCTGCGGGACCTTCTCCATCACTTCCAACAGCCGTATGATGTATGCTTTTGCACGAGATGGTGGCATACCCGGCCACAAATTCTTCCACAAGGTTGATATGAAGCGAAAATCTCCCGTCCGCACTGGTGAGTCTCGCTCTGGTTTGAAATCTGGAATCAGAATGGTTCTGAAGGATGCCCAGTATGGCTCGCGTGCACTTTGAGCTTTCTCTTAGCTCTTCCGAGTCTAGGCAGCGAAGTCGCCTTTGCCGCAGCGACATCAATAGCTACAATCGGCCTCTACATTTCGTATGCCATTCCGATCTTTCTTCGAGTCCTCAATCGGGCATCATTTAAACGAGGTCCGTTCCACCTGGGTCCATTTTCCTACCCTGTGGCACTGCTGGCTGTCGTTTGGATCGGCTTCATTAGTATCGCTTTCATCCTTCCTCAGGAGAACCCAGTCAACAGCCAAACGCTCAATTATGCCATCGTCGCCGTTGGTATCGTCGTCACTTACAGTTTGGGCTTCTGGTTCTTGAGTGCGAGGAAATGGTTTACTGGGCCTGTGAACCAGATTGCTGGTATGTCGTTCACTACTGTCATTCAGTCCACTAGAAGTCTTAACATCTGTGCAGCAGAAAGCATGGGTATCGATGTTACTAATCCTGGCGAACTAGAAAGAATAGAAAGAGTTGAGAGCGAGAAAGAGAAGATGTAGTCCAGTTTCCATATGTCATGTTGATCCGCCCACATGCAACAGTTATTTTACAATAGCTACTGCAATCATAGAGCATACGGAAGTCAAAGGCTGCGATCATGAAGTCTGGAAGCTTCCCTGATTGATAGTAAGTTACAGAACCTCATCATCTACATGGTAGTAGCTATTAGGTGCGAGCGTCAGCTCTGAAAGTATATTATTCGGACTACACCTGCCCACAGCACCACCCTTTAGGTCAAAGGTCGCATTCGAAATGACATAGGGATAAAAATTTCCGAGAGTACATACATTACAATGGTTGAGATTGATAGCGATTCAGAGCCTAAACCTGTAATACCATGCCTGGCTGAAGTATCGGAGTGTCTGTGCCGAGATTGCTAGATGCCGTAAATCCACTCTCTTTTCCAATATCATATCCGCCTAGGTATGAATCATGAACCTCTGTCTCTGTGACAGGGGCTGCATCCGTGACATCAGACCCGGCATCTGTGAGAGACGAGGTGACATCCTTTGTTGCAGTAGATCCAACTTCAGTCTCCGAGATAGATTCAGTCTCCGGAATAGAATCAGCCTCAGTATGGTCGGCTTCATTGCGTGAGCTTCCAGACTTAACAAAAGCAGCAAAGTCTGCGTCTAAGTGTTTCGTCTCTGTAGGCCTGTCTCCATCGGCATGTAGTGAAGTGGCAGCGTCATCGTGATTGTAGCCAGGATCGGCGATAACTCTCAATATCTCTGAGAGCTGTTCGGGGTAGACGAATGGTAAGTGCTCGTCAGTAGTAACTGCTGGCGACTCCTGTTCTAGGACTTGCTCTACTTCTAGTTCACTAAAGAGACGCATGAAGTCTTCCGCCGTGAGCGACACAGCTCCTTGATCCATCGGTGCATCTGATTCTTCTGCGTTCATCTCTGATTGACCTACATTAGTATCTGGCACTTCTCTCTCCTTGTCCATGTCACGATCCCCACCGATCGCGGGTGATTCTGTAGGGGTGCTCGGAAACACCATATTCGCACCCGTGGCATGCAAGGATTCCTGTATCCAAGTCAAACATTCCGTAGCCCACCTCACACGATCCGGATCACGGGTCTGAGTGTAGTCCAATAGTGGCGATGTCAACAACGACGCCAGAATGAGCCAGAGCTGGGGCCAAGCTCCCAACAGCAGTTTGCTGTCCATTTGGTAGAGCTTTTGGTGAACGTATGTGACTGCCGTTTCTCTGTATAGTCTCATAAGCGTGTGACACAGTAAGACATAGTCCAAAGGTTGAGCTTGAGGGATTTCGGATGATGGATCGCGAAGGAACGTTGTGATTTGCTCAATTATCATGAGACGGCCTGGTGGAGTTTGACAGCTCATGGTGAACTTTTCAATATCGCAAAGATATATTTACTTACCTGCATCGCCGGATTCGGCGTATGCTCGAAGCAATACATCGCCAGCGTGAACATATCGCCTAGATGCAACCAGGGAGAGAGCCCACGGTGTAGTTCTCTCATCTAGTAGAAGATCAAGCATCCATATTGGTCTCTTGTCCCACTGGTCGACATAAGCCATGGATTTGTTGTTGATAGGCCTGGGCGTGAATATCACGGAAGCTGCTTGTTGGTTCCAATCGTCCCATATGTCACCACCTTCCGCTATGATTTCCCCGATCCGATTTGTAAGTACGGAACTCACAAAGCCCGGAGTCTCCGACGTGATATCTGTGCTCCAGTGAGTTTCAACAAATGCTAGAAGTTCGGAATGCTGATGAGTGGAATCATGACAAAATCTGGCCTCCAGCAAAGTATGCAGACAGATGAAGAGGGAATCCTGCGGCAGCGATGCCAGAACAGGGTCCAGTCTATTCAAAAGAGATGCAAAAGCACATCCTTGTGGGGCCGCTTCGTCAGAGATGCGAGCCACAATGATGTTGGAAAGGGTGCAGTGATCGAGGGAGAACAGCTTTCCAATGACCTCTGTGCATTTCTCCGGAAGTGTGAATGTAAATTTGGAGAGGATAACGGTTATGGCATCTTCTATCCAAATTGACCATTGAAATGGCGGGCTAGTGCGAGACTGGACTTCGAGTTCTTTGTTTATTGCCATAGCTAAGGCCTCCATGAGTTCATCCCATATCTTGAGCTCTATCGAACTGAAGTCCATAAAAGATGTGAGGCCGCCATCTCCAATATTCTTACGAAGCAGATGGTCGCAGATTTCCAATACGAGGGATACTACCATCTCTGAGGAACTCTGAACCGGAAGGTCAAGAAGGGTGGTTAATATCGAGCTGTCTTTGAGTAACGCATCAACGATGTGCATTCCCAGCGGCATCCCTGCGACAGAAGACACCCACAGTCGTTCATGCAACATGATCTTGATGAACCCTATGATGTCGTCTGCTTGGCAAAGACGCAGTGCAGCACAAATCCGCTGAACATAGAAATCATTCAGATCCGCATCCTCCTGGACTCGGCTAGCCACGAATTGAACCGTTGTTACGGGATCATGGATGAGACAGTCAGATATCGCCTTCAACCCCCCATGTGAAATGGGGTGGTCGAAACGAGCAAAGAGGATTAGCGCTGCTTCACGCAAGGTGCTCGACCATTCGAACCGTCCGTCAACCCTGCCTTTAGGTCTTTGCTGAATTTCGGCTTCAACCACCAACGCGGCGACCCGTAAAATTGTCCGCCATTCCTGAACTGTGAGGTTACGGAAGATAATAATGGAGTGTGACGATAATAGCTCTGTGATATCTAAGTGAAGTCGATGCTTGATAGTTTGTGAAAGCATCAACACCACGTAGAACTGGCGGGTCTGCAATTGCCGCTGATATAGACCAACAACTATAAATCCTAGTCTTTCAGCACAGAACGAAACCAACTGAGCTTGAAGATATTCAGCCCATCTGAGGGTATCTTGAATATCATCCCCGTAATGCTGAGAGAGTCGTTTGCTCAAGAGGCCTTGTGCGTATAAACGCAGGCTCTGACGATCAAGTGGCACTAACGCGTCTCGTAGTCTGCGAACCACATAATCAGAGTCTTGGTCCGTGAACACAGTGGGTGTCCGGGAGACTACAGCTTGCAGAGACCCTATTGGATCACTGACGAGGCTGGATGAAAGAGCCCGGTTGGCTTCCTGCGGTAGTACATAAGGAGAGACTGCAGTCAATAAGGCCAATGCATCGTACATCCATTCCAGCCACTGGAGCTTCTCCGGAGGTCGCTCCGTGTCTGTCGATTGCTGCTGAACTTCTTGGTACAGAGTATCTGCAACAACAGTGATAAGCACAAACCAAGCGCCCGCGGTCAATCGTCGAAGATCGAGGGTGAGTGGAACCCCGGTGGTCACGATCCTCTTCTGGAGTCGGTGCTTTATGACGCGGAGCACAAATACAATTATATCTGATGCCTTGGGTTGCGTCTGCAAGAATGATTTCGTTACCAGGGTGTCCAGAACTCCGTCGTCATTCTGAATAGAGCCAACAGAGAGCAAGATCTCGATGTCCAGTTCATCATCCATTGCAGCGTCTTCCTCCTCAAATGGGATCAGAGCACGGCTTTCAAGCAAAGCAGTTGAGCTAGAAATCGACCTAGCCATTTCCACAGATCCAGAGGAACTGTGCTTAGGCACGTTCCCATCCCTTCCATAACTGGGACGCCGAACAAGTTGTTCGCTGTTGCTCGACGCAAAACCGCCGAATAAGTGGGACGCGGCAGTGGTGCTATGCTTCATATAGAGCCTACGTAGAAAAGTGATGCGCGATAAGAGTTTTCTCAACGATCTCATCGGACCCTTGAGGAACGTCGTCTTGTAAGGACAACGAGGGGAGAAGGCAGGAGCCAAGGTTACGGCAAGGAGGATAGAGACCGATATAGAAACTATTGGAATAGAGATTCGAGCGACGCTGTTATGCACGGAAGATGCAAAGAAGCAGAGACCCAAGAGGAAGAGCCCGAGAGCCAACTGCAGAAGCATGGGTAGAATAGCAACGATCTCGAAAACCTTCCACCCCAGCAACCCATGATATCGGTAGAAGCGCACACGCAAAAGCGCTTGATGCGAAGTCGACTCTTCATTTGCGGCAAGGAATTCGCGTAGCCATTGTTTCACGAGCATGCCAAATGAAGCGGTGACGAGGCTGAAGATCAAACTGGCAAACCACAGGACATTCACGCGAATTGCCCAGCTTGGTGGTACAAACGCGGATTTCGGAGGAAGATTATGGCTGGAATTGTTAGATGCTATTGATTGTGCAGCGATCTGCGACAGGAGCTGGATAATTGCGTCATTTGGGTCCGGCTGGAGAGCCTTATAGGACTCGACAAGGAACGTAGTGATGGCAGCTGACATTAATCCAGCCTGTTAAAATCTCGCATCAATGAGAAAGCATAGGCTTGGAATGGGGCGAATCTCACAAGAACAAGAAGAGTGTCAATATCCTCCTTGAAGTCTCTGATCTTCACTTCATCCACCTCCTTCACTGTCCTATCCATCGCGGCCCATCCTGTGGTGATCGTCGGTGGAGTAATAGCAGGACCATGACCCTAGACATTAGGTGTCAGCTAATATTCACGTAAGCTGGACTTGCAACATACCAGAACATCCATAGCCAGATAGGCGCTAAAGAGAAATGCGGGTGGAAAGAGCGAGTACACTTTCCGACGGAGAGTTCACCAGTCAAGGGATGTGGCGAAACTGGATGTAAGTCAGGGCTCGAAAGAGATAGCGGGCCTTTGCAATGAATGGAAGACACGGGTAGTTTTATCGGTTGGACACAGGGCAGTACCCACATATCTGTTCTGCCAAGGCCTCGTTGTGATCTGGGAAGATTCCATTCGGTGACTTTCACCAGCTTCAATCGCTGTTTATGCACGTAAGTGGGCATGTGATCATTCAACCTACATGATGCAGTCGTAAATAGACGCCTACGATGATTGAAATAATACATACATGTTTGTAAAAACCCCTCGCCAAATTACGGGGACTGACCAATCAGTTTGGGAATACTGACGGTCTTAAGGCACAGTCAGACATAGTCTTGAAGTCTATCTGCGCAGGCTAAATACCGGTGAGTAGTGGACTGGAATATACATACAGAGGACAGCCGATGTATACAAATTGAAACCATTTGGACTCTAGAGGATCTCCGCGTTCTTGAAGTTGCTTCAAGTTGAGCGTCTCACAAATACATAGTTGTCCATAGGCGCTAAACAGGACGGCCATTGCCGACCTGCATATGAGGGGGGAATTATTGCTGTCTGTCCGCATCCATGTAGATGGCTTTCACACTACGGCGACGGAGTCTTGTACGTATCCTCCTTCTGGTGGCTTTCGCTCTTTTAGTTCGACTCTTTATCGTCTCTCCCTCTTCCCCGGCCTCCTCAGTTGCCGCCTTCTATGCCTCAGATCCACAGGAGATACGCAAGCAAGGCGTCCTAGACCTTGTCACCCGTGCAGAGAAAGGCCTCGATGCTAGGAAACACAAGTTCCTCCAAGTGCGTATGGGGAGGGACGAACGGGAGGATTTGTTTGGTGATGTGATTCGGGATGGTACGCTGGACTATTGGGAACGCTTCCAAAAGCCATAGTGAGTTGTACATGATATGTTATTCGGTAATAAGGGGCTCTAATGATTCGCAGCATGACTGGACGTGATACAGCTCATATGGATGCCCAAGGCGTTCTGTCTTCGATAGAGCAACTTCTCACTTTGAACGGTTGGGTTGCTGGTCTATGTCCGACTCTTAGTCGACCATTCGGTCAGAACAAGTATGAAAGAGCCTACGACGAGCTCACGAAAGATGGGCAACTTTACTACATTGGACTTATCATCCATTCTGCCGACCATTTCCTCGTCGACCAGCTGGCCGTAATCGTACAGCTCACCAAACGTCTGGGCACATCTAACGTCTTTGTGTCTATGCTGGACTACGATTCATCAGATTCTACTGCCACCCTAACGGACCTGTGTGAAGCCGCCCTTACTCTACTTGGTATTCCGTTCAGGATTAGGAGGGTACCAGGCATGACTGCTGACCCTACCGCCGCTTATTACCCATTGGAGGAAGCGCACACGCGGAATCTCGCACTAGAGCCGTTACATGAGCTGCTGGAGAAACGGAATATTCGTTTCCATCGTGTTATCTGGCTTAAGGGCTTCACGTGTCCCAGTGACATTCTTGAGACGATCAAAATCAGTCTTGTGAACGAAGCTGCCATGGTGTGTGGAATGGATTGGGCGGAGCACAATGGGTTCTTCATCTTCTCTGACCGGTAAGTCTCATTCACTATCAATTATTTGACTTCGTACGCTAACGTGTCATAGATGGCGGACGCGTGACATTAACGGTGATCAATTCCGTCAATCTAAATCATCCTCACTCGATTCTGCTTCACTTACTTCCGTCCCGCCTCGAGAGAAAGTTGCCGCCCAACGTTATTCTCAACATCTCCCCTTCCAAGTTTTCTGCTGCGAAGCCGGTACACACGTCGTTGACCCTGCTCAGTCGTATTATGCTGGAATCGCTTACCGAGCCAGTACGGACTTCCACAATGCTACTCTAACACACGACCAGAAACCACCACGACCAGATTCCAAATGCCTTGATAGCACCCAGGCGTGGTTCTGTCGAGACTTGTGGGTTGCAAAGGCCAAAGAGGGTATCAAGGAAGTTGACGCTGAACTGGAGCCTCCTGCACCGATAGCCAACGTCAGGCGATCGATCCAAGTACGTGCTGATGAAGAGAAGGAGAAGGCGGGAAGACCTGCCGCTGCCGATGATGATATTGGTCCACCGAAGGCTCAACAGAAACAGGATGTTGACGCGAATGCTGGCTCCGATTTCGACGCATCTGACCTGCCTCTCGCCGACCCGCCACCGGCCGATGAGTCGAGACTTACGATACCTAACGGTGTGTTCCTACCTGCTAGGATTATGGTCAACCCGAGGTGTGTTACTACGTATGCTGGTGTGAGTCATACGAGGCTAGCACTAGATTTGTTTGGACCTCCGGATCGGGAGGATAAGGCCGAAGGGAAGGGTAGTGATGTCTTGGAAGATTGGGAAGGTGCACCGGATACGTTCGTTTGCCAGGAACAACAGTGGGTATTCTATTTCTGTTTCTTCACTCACTTCTTCACTTTCTGACGTGATATTTCTAGGACAACTGGTGGACGACGTGCTGCTAAAAACCAGAGACGATTGGGCTTCTCTATACACCAAGAGTTGGAAGAATCATATGGACATAGTAATGGACCCGTATGAGTGGACTATAATGACGCTAGATTTCCTTAGTTTTCTTTCTGTAATGTAATGCATGGGATATTTGGATGCTATTTGCCTTCTCACTCTCCATCGCTAGGTTTTGACCCTACAGACCTTCCTTATGAGACCATGATTACGTAGGCTTCCGTGCGAAGTTCAGGAATGTAGACGCCCTACAATTCACGGTCTCGCGAGCTCGAGCAAAGACTCATCGTCGTACTCTCATTTCTCTCTTTTATATCCTTCGTTCTTGAGAGTCTCGCCCAACTAAAATGACGATCCCACATTTAATGACACTGGCGGACCTGACGCCAAACCAGATCATGCGTATAATCACGCATGCAAAATACCTGAAGAACACTTCACTTCCGTGGCTCGCACCACAGCGTTCAGAGAAAGCCAGTCGTCTTCGTATGCCTTCCCAATCACTCTTTAACAAGACTATTGCACTTTTGTTCTCCAAGCGGAGTACGAGGACACGTGTATCTGCAGAAACCGCTGCGGTGTTACTTGGTGGACGTGCGTTGTTCCTTGGGAGGGAGGATATTCAATTGGGCGTTAATGAGAATGTGAGAGATTCTGCGAGGGTCATAGGTGGGATGTGTCAGGGTATCTTTGCTCGTGTTGGTGAACATGAGGAGATTGAGGTATGCCTGTTCAACATATTTAAAGTCTGTACGAGTCTAATGAGAATGTGAATGCGTCGTAGGAACTTGCTAAATATTCGCCGGTCCCTGTACTGAACGCGTTATCCTCACTCTGGCACCCAACTCAAGTCCTTGCAGACCTCTTAACCCTGCATGAACACGCGCAAATATTTGGTCTTGCAGAACCAGCCGAACGTGTATCTTTAGAGACTGGCAAATCGGAGAAGCCAACTAGAACTTTGCTTCAGTCCCCGCGTCCTCTCACTGTAGCATATGTCGGTGATTCTGCCAACGTGCTACATGATATGCTCGTATCGTATCCTCGAATGGGGCATAAACTCCAAGTTGCTTCACCTGAAGACCCCAAGTATCGTGCGCCCAAACCTGTCTGGGATCGGGTCGTTGAACTTGGGTGCGACAAGAACATTTCGTGGGGAAAGGATCCTAAGGAGGCCGTTCATGGTGCTGACTTGGTTATAACCGACACCTGGTTAGTCGCGAGTTTGAATTTGAATTGTAAAAGTTTTTCACTGAGTTTGAATTTGCGTATGTCAGGATTTCTATGGGCCAGGAAGCTGAGAAGGAACAACGTCTGAAGGACTTTGCTGGTTACCAAGTGACTGAGGAGCTTTGCCGAGAAGGTGGTGCGAACCCTGACTGGAAGTTCATGCACTGCTTGCCTCGCAAACCGGATGAAGTCTCTGATGAGGTATAATCTGCTGCTTTAGATCGGATGAGCTGGCATTAATTTCTTTGTTGTCCGTTTAGGTTTTCTATGGTCCTCGATCGCTTGTTTGGGATGAGTCGGACAACCGCAAGTGGACGATCATGGCTCTTTTCGAGTACGTTTTTGCTATGTTCCTGCGACAACCATGACTTACTGAGACGCTGTCCTGTAGCCTCCTCTTTGGCAAGTGGAATTTGCTCGCGGAGAAGCCCCAACACCCTCCAGCGCCCAAGGCCTGATTCCGAGTATTCAAAATAGATGCCTTCTAGAGGCTTTTTATACGTAGGTTCGATGTGTGCAAACCTAAATGGTAACAAACCTGCGTGCTTGCTATGCAGAAGGCTTGTTAATCTTACCCGATCTATTCGCACTAACTTACTAGTGTATGGTATATGTAATGCAGCACGCATGCTTTCGGGAACCCGTTTCCTACTTCCAATCATTTGGCTTGATCGATACAATTATGATCAACTTCCTGAACTAGCTATTTGTTAAGACGAACTCCAGTGAGGAGCACGTTTGACAAGCGACGATCGTAAGTGGCATGCCATTATTGGAGTAACTTCGGACCGAATAGAGTCCGTTTCACGCGCAAGTATGATGGTAATTATATGTTGAGAGATAGAATACGATAGAATACGAAGGATCTGCGCTCTTTTTTCAGTCTGTTCAGCCAACGTGAAGCCCGCGTGAAGCTAAAGCGTGCGTCGCGTTGCGGACCGTCCGTGACAGACGCGAGACAACGTGACGGGCGCAGCCCATATTAAAGTCACGTGGTGTGACGTCACAGGTATTGGCAGGGACGGGTGACCAAGGCAGAGATATGAACCAAGGTCGCGACTGGACATCCTTCCCCACCCTTCCACTCCCTTTCCCTCCCGTTCCGCCCACACTTTACTCGCATCTCTTCATTTATACCTCATTGTTTCCATCTACTGCGATCGTTCTAACCCACTCATCATGTCGGAGAACAAGCGGGATGTCAAGAATTCACTCCTGTTCGAATGTGCTTGGGAGGTTGCTAACAAGGTCGGCGGTATCTACACCGTCATCAAGACAAAAGTCCCCGTAACAGTATCGGAGTATGGGGATAGATACTGTCTCATCGGCCCTCTCAGTTATAAGACTGCACCCATGGAGGTCGAGCAGCAGGAGCCCAAGGATCCCCATCTCGCGAGTACGCTTGAGTCGATGAGGAACGTCGGTGTCAAAGCACTATACGGACGATGGCTTATTGAGGGTGCACCACATGTGCTTCTTTTTGATACTGGAAGCCAGTACTCCCGGTTGGACGAATGGAAGGGCGATCTCTGGAACCTCGCTGGTATTCCAACACCACCGAACGATCATGAAACAAATGAGACCATTGTTTTTGGTTACATTGTTGCTTGGTTCTTGGGAGAGGTACCGTTTTTCGATTTTAGTCATCCAAACCATTGTTCTAATCTAACTCCACATAGTACGTCGCTCGCCAGCTAGGCACGGCGGTGGTAGCGCATTTCCACGAATGGCAAGCCGGTTTAGCAATTCCCCTTTTACGCAAGCGGCATGTCGATGTCACAACCGTTTTCACAACACATGCAACTCTCCTAGGTCGTTACCTGTGCGCTGGAAGCGTCGACTTCTACAACAATCTCCAATACTTTGACGTAGACCACGAAGCCGGCAAACGTGGTATCTACCATCGGTACTGCATCGAGCGGTCTTCGGCCCATTGTGCTGATGTCTTCACGACCGTCTCACATATCACGGCGTACGAGGCGGAGCATCTTCTGAAGCGCAAGCCTGACGGTGTTCTGCCAAACGGATTGAATGTCGTGAAGTTCCAAGCTATGCATGAATTCCAAAATCTGCATGCAACTGCGAAGTCGAAGATCAACGAATTCGTGAGGGGCCATTTTTATGGGCATTACGACTTTGATCTCGACAACACTCTCTATGTGAGGAATGCCTTCGGATTCGGATTTGAAGGCTTACTAATGATTTTCTCAGTTCTTCACTGCAGGACGTTACGAGTATCGTAACAAGGGTGTAGACATGTTTATTGAGGCTCTTGCTCGTACGCTAATCGTTATTTTTGACGGCATAGGGGCTGATATTCGCTTTTCAGGTCTGAACTATCGTCTCAAGAGGTCTAACTCGAAAACAACAGTGGTAGCATTCATCATCATGCCCGCCGCAACGCATTCATACACCATCGAAGCGTTGAAAGGCCAAGCAGTTGTCAAACAGCTCCGAGATACAGTTTCTGAAATTCAAAACCGGCTTGGAACCCGCCTCTTCGAGCACGCAATCCGTTCGAATGGGTACGTTGAGGTTTCGCTCTCATCTCTCCTCTTTTCTCCAGGTTCTATGTCTAACTTTCTTCCATAGTGACCATGCAACTTTGCCCGCACCGGAAAAATTCCTCTCGGAAGAAGACAAGGTTTTGTTGAAGCGTCGGATCTTCGCGTTGAAGAGGAATGCCTTACCGCCGATTACTACTCACAATATGGCCGATGACGCGAATGATCCTATTCTGAACCAGATCCGACGAGTGCAGTTGTTCAACTCTGAGGCTGATCGTGTCAAGATCGTCTTTCATCCAGACTTCTTGAACTCCAGCAACCCTATTCTGGGGTTGGACTATGAGGAGTTTGTGAGAGGTTGTCACTTGGGTGTGTTCCCGAGTTATTACGAACCTTGGGGTTACACGCCTGCAGAATGCACGGTGGTACGTAACCATTTCCTTCTTCAACGAGAAGTCCCTGCATGTACTGAATTCAAATCTCTCATATAGATGGGTATTCCATCGATAACGACTAACCTGTCCGGTTTTGGTTGTTTCATGCAGGACCTGATCGAACGTCCTCAAGATGAAGGCTGTTACATCGTCGATCGTCGCTCTCAATCCGTTGAAGATACCGTGAACCAACTTACTGACAACATGTTCACCTTCTCCAATAAAACCCGACGTCAACGAATCAACCAACGTAATCGCGTCGAGCGTCTTTCGCCTCTTCTCGATTGGAAGAACCTTGGAATTGAATACAGCAAAGCGCGGCAGTTGGCGTTGAGGCGGGCGTATCCTGATTCGTTCTATGGCGTTTCTGGCTTGGAGGGTGAAGATGAAGAGTTTGACTTTGGTATGGAGAGGATGATGCCGAATAGCGTGCCTGCAAGTCCTAGGTTCAGGATGTCGGGCATTGCTACACCTGGTGATATTGGCACTTTGACCGAAGAGGTACATCATGTTGTACGTTCGCATGACCGGTATACTAATACTCATTCTATAGATGCAGGCCCTTGGTACCAGTGATTATCGCGGACAAGCATGGGGTTTGACGGAAGAGGACGAGGAAGAAGGATATCCATTGTATGTGTCTCGCGCCACGTCTACTTGATACACACGTTGACACCCGGATTTTGCACCTAGCCCACTTGTGATGAAAGTCCGTTCGCGGGCAAGCTCTGTCGTGTCGGGTGCAAGCACTCCCGGAGGTGGCAGATCGAAGAGCTTGAGTGAAGTCGATTTGCGCAAGGCCGATGCTGCTCTTAGCCATGTGGGCGAGTCCCAGGTCAATGGTGTAAACGGAATCCACTGAACGAGTTTCTCGGGCCTAGAATAATACGAAAACGTGGAATAACCAGCAAGGCTTTTAACATGATATCAAATGTCTTTGTTGTTTCAGGTCCTGTGGATTGGCGGGATGGTTGGACGGGGAAGTGCCTGGAATTGGTTTTATCGATCAACATGTTGTAACGACTCTCATCTTTCAATTCTTTCTTGTGCCATAGTAAAACATCTTTAGCTCTTGTTGTATCTCTCAATATGCATTCTGGATCGGTCAGACACATCGCAACCACCCCAATGACATGAGAAAGTAACCAGTAGTGAATCAATGGTGATTACGACGACTGTACGATAGTCTGCGAAGTAGGATCTGCCGATGCAGATGCGGCAGCAGCAAGTTCCTGCTCTATAATTTTTTCTCCAAGTGCCTTGACCTTCTCCGAACTTCTGGTCTTCGCTTCCATCTCCAACAAGAACTTGTTCTTGACAGCGTCCATCGTGAGCGTACCAACGCTCACCGGGGCCCTTTGCCACCTGACCACCCTCATACCAACACCCGCCAACACATGTGCCTCCATATATTTGACCCACCGATCAATAACTTCATCATCCGCGTCCCAAGCTTTGATAGCGCGTTTATGCGTCCTACGCTCAAAGTTCTCTTGTGCCTGTTTATGAACGAACGGACTTCGTGGGACGGTCCATAGTGATCTTTGAGTAGGTAGAGGGATGGGTTTTGAGATCGGAATAGCGAGTGCGGATGCTGCGTGTGAGGCGAAATGCATGAAGAGGTTGAGGAGTGGGACGTGGTAGGATCGGAAGTGGATGAGGGCGACTGGGATGTTGTGTTCTCGTGGATGGTAATAGGCTGGTAGGAATGAACGACCGTGAACTATTGAACCTGCCGCTTCGGGTTGACCTAAGAGCTCAACTAGCTCTTGTTGTCGTTTGGAAGCTGGGATACTGGATGGGGGATATAAGAATTCGGTTAGTGTTGAAGGTTGATTGTGACTTACATGCCGGGGAATGTATGGTTCATACGGGACCTACTGGCTATTCTCGAAGCCATGGAGGGTGTTCTGCTACATTGCCTCCTGATCATGATAGCAGTATCTGGCTTTCAGAAGTCGTCGCCGAAATGTCGAGCGGAACGAAAGGTGAGAGGAGCCTACCAGCACAAAACGGAAAGCGCTCATAATCCCGACGCTTCCTAGAAAGGTAACGCCGACATCAGAGCTGATTGAGAGAGGTGCCGGAGGAGCCCGCGAGTCCGGCACCCGAGTCCAGCCGAGCGTTAGCGCACCAGCAAAGTTTTTCTCTCGCTTGTTCTTATCCTTGCACCTCGACGTTCACCGTAGAACTGTAAAGCTTCCTTCGTACAGCAGTATATTCAGTATTTTACTTGCTATCTACCTGCTTTTTCCACACCCGCCCGCCCTAGATACACAGACATTGTGTGAAAGAATATAGTTTCGATTGAGTAGTCAACAAATCGTGGCCAATCGGTCAAGCCCACCCACCCGGCGGCTTGACCTTGGCTGCGTCCATGCTCAGCTAGCGCTGAACCCACCCAACCTTTCTAATTGACTACACTTTGCGAAACGCGCGAAGACGAAGCTGGATGGCAAGTACTTACTCTGACTCTCCTCCTCATGCAACCAAGTTCTATTTACGGCAGCGTTGTGAAATAACTTACATGCTGGCTGAAAGGAGTACTCATAACCATGACGTTCACTACACAACGAGAAATATACCAACCCAAAGTAATTACGCTGAGCACTTCTTGTCGTGCTTACCTGTACTGTTGCTCGTGCGAGAAAGTTCTCCATTATACCTGGTTGCAGATGAGTACCGATTCTGTCATCGTATGCTCATCAACATGTGCCAGTCCTAAATAATTCGCTCGGGGGTCCGCTCACCCCACCGATTGGACGAAAACCTCAACTTCCTCCAGTAGACCTCACTTCGCGGTTGGACTCTGCTCACTGGTAAGTTACCTATTTTCTGCTATCCAACACTCCTTGCATCGCAGTAGCTTCATGCTTAATTATAGGATATGTTATTCCAGCTCGGCGCACATGACACAAACCGTGTATATCGTGACCCAACACCGTCAAGAACTTCCCATCGGACAATACAGGGTTGGCCTACAGTAGGTCTTTAAGATTCATATTGTACCTGAAATCGAATCTCCCGCGGCGGTGGGTTCGCGATCATGGGAGCTCACTGTGATAGGTTGCTAATTTAATCTGCACGTCAAGCTCACACAGAACGCTCTCTATTACATCATGTCTACCTGTCTCCATACTCAAGGGCGTGTATTGTCGCCCTAAGAATGTCTGCCGATTCCAGTTATGCGAGGTAGTCTTCCACCCGCCCTGACTCGGGATTTGTTGCGAGGCTCAAGAACGCTGCGAAATCCTTCGAAGTGTCAATCGGTCTAGTCTGTTGACATCCTTGCGATCTTCCCCCGGTACCATCTTCAGCTTAGGTAGCTGCGCAGTTGAACGGTCCCTTCGGTCGACGACACTGAGGCTGTTTCTCATGCGCTAACGGCAGGTTATAAACGTCAATGCCAACAAAGTCACATCCCTCATTCAGTTCACAACTTGAATTCTTCATTCCTTCCGCTTCATATTCACAAGCATACTCAATATGATAGCATCGACGCAATACCTATATACCTTAGCTATTGTTCTTCCCTTGTTCATCTTGTACAACAAGTGGAGGGCCACCAGGAGTGTAAGTATTATAAAAAAGTGTTATTCCTTCGGGATAGCTAAGTCCGATACCAACCATCGCAGCTGTCTTCCGTTCCGACCATCGGTCCATCTGCACCTATTCTCTCCTACATTGGTGCATTCCGCTTTGTGCATCACGCTGTGGAGATGTTGAATGAAGGCTACCAAAAGGTTCAATCATCCATTTTTAATCCACCTGTTACAACTGCTTACTCCAATCCGTTCACAGTACAAGGGTGGCATGTTCAAGATCGCTCAGCTAGACAGATGGCTCGTCATTGTGACTAGTCCTGAGTTGATTGAGGAATTACGCAAGCTACCTGAGGATGCAGTAAACTTTATGCAAGCCGCTGCCGACGTATGTCTGGTTTGATGTCTTTGAAGACTCATAACTGATCTGCTTGGATTCACATGTGGAATAGACAATAGAGACTAGGTATACATTCGGTCCTGTGGTACACTACGACCCGTTCTTCGTCGGTATTACCCAGGCACACCTCACCAAGCATTTGGACGACATCTTCCCTGAAATACAGGAGGAAGTAATGGTCGCCTTCAACGATTTGATTTCGAACGTCACGGAAGGTTGCGATGCATGCTCTCTATATCACCTTTCTGGGCTCAGTCTTTCATTTCAGAATGGACACAGGTGCCTGCTTTATCTGTAGCGCAACAAGTCGTCTCTCGAGCTAGCAGTCGCACTTTCGTGGGTCTGCCGATGTGTAGGTGCTGCTATGCTGTCTTAAGAAGTTCTGAAGCTGACCTGTCGCGGGATACAGGCCGACATCCTGGATACATTGGGCTGTCTGTAAAGCATGCTCTTGACGTAACTAATACCCGCAAGACTCTTGGTTGGTTTCCGGGGATGACCAGATAGTAAGCGATGTCATACGGATTAAACATAGCGACCTTTCTCACATACGTCACTAGCTTCGTCACTCTCTTCACCAATGAGTCGCAGAAGACTGTCCGACTAGCCAAACAGTATCTTTCCCCGACCATTAATGAACGCCTTGCCGCCATGAAAGAATTAGGAGCGAATTGGGATGATAAACCAGTATGTCTCAATTCACCGACAAATGTTTCTCGCATGTTTTCCTGACTGCCAATAATTATTTGCAGGCCGATATGCTTCAGTGGATTATCGAAGAAGCTCTGGCTAGGAATTACGATCTGGACGTCATCGTCCAGACGGTCCTCATGATCAACTTCGTTTCTATTCACAATACGTCTAACGTACGTACAATAATTCCTGGTCATCGTTCGTTGGCGTTGACGCCGGTATAGAGTTTCACCCATGCATTGTACCATCTCGCTGCACAGCCAGAATTCCTAGTGCCTCTCCGTGAAGAACTCACCTCCGTCATCTCCGAGGAAGGGTTGACCAAGGCAGCTATGAGCAAAATGCGCAAATTGGACAGCTTCCTCCGTGAATCTCAGAGGATGAATGGCACCGGGATTGGTAAGATTAACTTTCTACCCCGCGCTTTTCTTATTTACAGAGTTGAAATCACAGTTCACCTGTTTCGAAAGACGTTCAAAGACGTAACCCTGTCCAACGGAGTGACTGTCCCTGCGGATTCATACCTCGGTACACCTCTCCTTTCGATTCAGCACGATGAAGAATTATACCCCAATCCGGAGGTTTTCGATCCCTGGCGGTTTTCAAACATGCGTGAGGGCGCAAGTGCGGAAGGTGTAAAGTATCAATATGTCACTACTTCACCGGAGTACCTTGCCTTTGGACATGGAAGGCACGCCTGGTTCGTATACCTTGCATTTTATGCATGTGTTTTTTTCACGCTAACTAGGGCTATTTCTTCTCATTAGCCCCGGACGATTCTTCGCGGCGAATGAGATTAAGACGATGCTCTGTCATGTCATCTTAAATTATGACGTCAAGTTCGAGAACGAAGGCGTACGTCCGCAGAACTACTACGTCTTCATGCAGTCTTATCCTTCTGCCGATGCGAAGGTTTTGTTCAGGAAGCGTCACGTATGAACGATTGTGCTGTCAATTATCTGTGCTCGTCACATGCTAGCGAGCGACGCCATTCCATGTATACTGAATCATCAGTTGTAGCAATAGTAGTGCGACGAAAATGTTCACGACATGTCCCAGGAGTATTGTTGGTCAAATCGGTGAAGACGGAAGTCCAGGTACTGAAATCTCCGTTGCAATCGTCTAGGACAAGTATTTTCATATATTGCAGCACGCGAATGCATGAAGAGAAGGGAAGACATTAAAGACCAGTCACGAAGGACATAGCTCACGGGCTGTAAGCGATTCGGCATCCTCCGTAATCGATACTTTTCCAGAGTCCTTTGTTCCTTGTTCCCCCATTCCCATTAGCAACTCCTTCCATCTCCTTCTCTTACGAGAACATACCTCATTCTCCACGCGTCATACCAGTCAAATCATCATCACGTTCATCATGAATACCTATACTCATTATCCAAACGCCACCTTCTTCCAATATATGGATGTACCAACGGGTGGCCAACGTCCCTACGCGTTCACGACGCGTCAATTGGTCAGTTTCCTCGTCGTAGAACAAAACATAATGACTTACATTCATTTCAGGACGACCTTGAACGCGGTGTTGCCCTCTCCTCCGAGTCAATGTCTGATATGCTCGATCAAAAGAATGGTCAAAGACAAAGGGTTGCCAAATACCCTACGCCACCTCCCGTGTATCTCACTCCCGAGCCCCTCCCCATTGCTGCGCCCAAACCCATGCACCCAAATGCGATCAGTCCCCCTCTGCTCACATTGCAGTGGAAACTGACCGGTGACGAGTTCTCTACGCCTCCACCCTCATACAATCAATGGTCGCCACATGGATTGGTGAAGGAGACGGGATCGCTGGCAATCGCCTCCGAGAAGAACCAGATTATCGACGTCGGAAAACGCGCCCCTCAGCCACCCATCGGTACAGGTCGACCACGGCCATCCAACATACGCCGCAAATTGGCCTTCACGGCAACCTCACCTTCGACCTCTCACTCACGATGGGTCAGCAATGAGAGGGCTATGGCCTTGTTGGCCATTCTCAATGGCCACAATAGTCCCGCGGCCGTCTACAAACCGTCGAATCAATGGGCGCTCGATGAAGGACGTTCGCCGTATTCCTCGTACGATGGTCCCAATGTGAACTCGGTCTCGGTCTCATCATTGCATGCCTATAACCAAGATGGTCACCATCAGTCTTTCCCAATTCCTGCATTTGAACTGCAGGCCCCAAAGCATAAACCCATATCAGCTCTGAGGGTTGTACCTCCTCAGAGCCATGGGGTTCAGGCATTAAGGCCTGCAGACCGAATGCGAGTTGGGCGAGATTCGTGGAAATCAGGTGCCAATGAGAAGCACAATGAAATCATGGGGAGCATGGACATCATCAACGACCTATCGGATGGTCTGTCGCGAGATCGGCCCATCGTCATCTACGACACCCCTCGACCTGTTCAACAGGCGAAGAGAGCCCGTCCTCTCCCGCGCCCTCCGATCCAGGCAGAGATCTCACCTTTCATCATGGCCTTCTCATCCTTGAGAGTGTAGGCCATTGGAATGCATAGGTAAAGAGTAGGAAGGAGCAGCAAGGGGAAATTTGAGGACTGCCCTAGGAGTCTTTATACCTGATGACACGGACCATGACTTTGTATAACACTCACATTTTTGTCTTGTAATTTCCACTGTACTTGTATCAAATCGATCGATAGCTCGTCTCGTCGCCAAATTAGACATCTTTCTTGACCCAACTACAGCTGAGTTACTATGCGAGACATTACAGGGTCCCCTCACCACTGCAACTAAGAGTCTGGCTACGTAGTGACCTTCGCGCATACATGAAACATGATTGGTAGTAGAAAATGTATCGTCTGAGGGCTGTTCCTTTGACTTTGGCGCGCATTGGATTCGTTAGACGCTAGCGTTCCTTGCTGATCCAAATTCGGGAGGTCTAGCCTTGATATACTGTAAATAGTGGAAGGTCCGCGACTTGTTTACTACCACTGCTCTCACCATGTAGATCACATTTACTAGCTAGGTATACGACAAGATTCCCGTACTCACCTACTTCAATTTTCCCGCCCAGCTTGATAGTGTTCGTCGTCGGAGTAGGAGGTTGACATGGCTGTGTTGGTTGGTCAGCACCCGATTGTCTCATCAGCGTTGTCGGTCGTCAACAACTTCAACGGCCCTGCATTCTTCGAAATATGCGCATCGTTGCTGGTAGATTCTCTCTTCTTGAATGAAGACGCGCTATTATGCAATAAACCGGGCTTACGATGGCAATCGTGGAAAACAAAAATTAGCCTGTGACACATCCTGTTTCACAACCAGACGCGTCATTCCAGACCATTCGGCTGCCTTACTATTTGATCAACAAAGGATAGCTTGTGTATTCGGAAAGTACGTGGAGTGTGAAGGTTGCGAAAACGCCCAGCTTACAACACCGCCATTTTACTAAGCATACCATATGGAGGTGATCGCAGTCCGTCTTATGGCGATGATGGTGCCAAGGGACGGCTATCACGGCAACTGCGGCTATGGTATGTTCTCTTCGAAGGTCCGAATGGCAGTCGACGTCAGTCAGTCAATTTCCAATAAGGAACTGTAGAGGTGTATGTATGATGAGGCCGGCTGGGAATATCATGAGTCCAGGTATAGGAAACGATATAAAAACACTCAATGCTCACGCCATGTCTTCAGCAAGCATTTCTTTCATTTCTCATTGACCTCCCAGACTATTCAGACTAGAGCCATGTCTCGTCCTTCCCTTCCTACTCGCAGGATTGGCACTACCGACGTTACCGCCATTGGATGGGGTGGTATGGGTCTATCTGCATTCTATGGAAAACCCCTACCCGACGAAGAACGCCTCAAGGTTTGTTTTCTACCCTCAATCGCCGCACATCATCGTTGACTCAAATTTTGTTTAGCTTCTTGACGCTGTGTATGAGCACGGCTGTACCAACTGGGATACCGCTGATGTCTACGGTGACAACGAGGACCTCATCGGTAAATGGTATGTCAGAAGCATTACCGATTGGTCGAACGCTGAATTTTTCGGCATAGGTTCAAGAAGACCGGCAAGCGAAATGAGATATTCCTTGCTACGAAATTTGGCTTTGTCTTCAAAGACGATAAGATTGTCAACGGCTCTCCGGAGTACGCCAGGAAGGCGTGTGAGAAGTCTCTGAGTAGACTGGGGATTGACCAAATTGACCTCTATTATCTTCACCGGTTAGTTCGTTTGTTATTGTCTTCATACGTTTTTGCTAAATTTCTCGTAGGCCGGATCCTACTGTTCCCATTGAGCTCACAGTCGGTGTCATGGCCGAACTTGTCAAGTACGCATACCTTCCGCTCGTATCTTCATTGCGCTTAACCAATAAATTCCCATAGGGAGGGTAAAGTAAAGTACCTCGGCATCTCTGAATGTTCTGCAGCGACTCTTCGCCGTGCCCATGCCGTCCATCCCATCTCGGCTCTTCAAGTCGAGTATTCTCCCTTCACCCTTGACATCGAGGATGAGAAGGTCGGCCTGTTGAAGACAGCCAAGGAGCTAGGGATTGCGGTTGTTGCTTATTCTCCCATCGGACGTGGTCTTCTCACGGGACAATACGTAGGCTTTACCTCGCTTTCATCCATAGCAATGGCGTCACTAAGAGCATCGGTTCACAGAAAGGACCCGAGGACTTTGATGAAGACGACTTCAGGCGCAAGATCCCCAGGTATGTGGTCTTGGCATAATTGAAAATCTCATGATCACTGACCCACATTGATACGTAGGTACTCGAAGGAGAACTTCCCTAACATTCTCAAGCTCGCCGATGGATTGAAGAAGATCGGAGAACGCCACAATGCCACTGCTGGTCAAGTCGCTTTGGCGTGGCTTCTCGCACAAGACCCGAGCATCATTCCTATTCCCGGTACGACCAAGGTTAAGGTGTGTTTATTCCAATAGGCGTGATGCAGCTCGATCTGAGTTATCGTCATCTCTAGTACCTTGAAGAGAACCTTGGTGCTTTGAATGTGCGACTCTCGTCGGAGGAGTTGCTTGAAGTGCGAAAGGTAGCCGAGGAGGCTAATGCTTGTCAAGGGTTGAGATTCCCTGAAGCCTTCGGTGCAGTTCACTTTGCAGACACTCCTGCCTTGAACGTTTGAGCATAAATGAGTAGTGTACGAAGATCTGAGGTCACATAACTTCTCTACTAAATCTTTGGACAATCAAACGTCTTTCAGAATAATAGTCATTGCACGTTTTGCTATACCTTCCGGGTGAGGACGCTGAAGCCTGGAGAGTGGCGTTTAATGAAGGGGAGGCAGCAGTCGACGAGCGACTCTTAGTATAGCTGTACAAGGCAATCTATCTGCACGCAACAAGAGAATATATCTGCACCCCTTTCTCCCATATGTCTCGTACACTCTACAATGATACGTTGTGATTGAACTACAAACTCTTGCAAATTGGAAAGACCGCGATTACAGGGCTCAAGCAGGAATTAGGCCTGGCTGATAAGGACATCCTTTCGCTTACCGTAGAAGAAAACTGTGTAACATCTTCGCCGTATGACTAGAGTCTACTCACCCATGGCATTAGTGCAAAATCGCTGAACTGGTTAAGACGCCTCCTGTGTGGGCTTTATCTCAACATCATTGAACGCTGCCCTCCCAATTGCGATGCGCCACCGCCATTTTTAACACATATCTCCCTCTAAATATTGAAGATGTATACCTCGCACTGCCGCGAAAAGTGGTACTCATCTAGCCTTTGCAACCAGCGATGGCATGACGGAGAGTCCTCCTAACAATATATCCTGCAGCGAGAGGCCCCATAATAAGACAGGAAAGGCACGCCATTCATTATACAATATCTCAAGGCACCGTTCGTTTTGAATGGACGTATGATCAGTCTAACAGCTCTCGAGCCCATTCGGGCGCGTGCTGTATCCAGCAATGGTTCCTAGACTATGATCAGCATAATGTCTCACAATATGACATGGGGGCTCACAAATCCTCAGTTTTGAGAGAGCTGCCACGAACAACTACCAGTCCTCGAGAGGCACATCGATGAAGCTGGTTGTTGCTTGCAAATTGATTCAAGGAAACAGGATAGACCAGCTCGATGGAAAGCAGGTTTTGAAAGCGAGCATCGCAAAGAGCCTCGTCAAGCAATTCCCACTCCAAAGCGCCGAGGAGTTTGAAGGCATTCCAAACAGTGAAAGAGATCTTGCGAAGATAAGGAGATGAGATGGTCGACAGAAGTTTGACGAGGCCGGGGACTTCTTCTGGATACAGTCTTTGGAGAAAGATGCCAATATGCCGGACATTCGTGTTTTCGGATAAAGACAAGAGATCTACCACGGAGATGAGCACTACGTAGTTGTTGCAAAAATGACGACCTACGTGCAATCCGTACGTGCCTGGTGTTGTCAAGATAGATATAGGCTTCTTCGAGTGAGGGACAGATGGCTGCAAGCAATGATGATACCATCTGAGCATCCCTTGCAATGGTCGGTGCCGATCCAACAATCTCCATATGAAAACGTTTGACCCCAGAAATCAGCCATGGTGTCTGCAAGAAGCTTCTGTATAGTGAATGCCAAGCTGCCTTATCTCTGGGTGGACCCCCATGGTCTGCAGAAATAATAGGCGTAGTGGTCGTGACTAAGACCGATATACAACAGCGCGGTTTGTAATGGAGCCCGTCGACAGCGAGAAGATCATCTTGTATAGGTGGCTTGGTGAACTCGAGAAAGTCGAGAGACGGTAGTGCGTGTAAGATTCGACGTATGTGACGAACATGCATACATACACTTATAGTCAGCATGGTGATTTTTGAATACAAAGCGAGGGATTTTGGGAAGTATTTATCATCCGTGAATCGACCGGAGAAGCCTAATTGTATGGCTTGAAGACGTGGTAGATGTCCGGCAAGAATAGTGAACACTGATGGTGAAATGTCCACATAGCGGACTATCAATGCACGTACGAAGAACCTGAGATGTGGGTTGCTCTTCAAAGCCGTGATGAGACGGCTGAGCGAGGGTGATTTCATTAAGTTAACCAATCGGAAGAGGTTGTAGCGAGTTCGAGGAAGCCATGGTTTACAGACAAGAGCGCAGCTCCGAAGCGTATCGCAGAACACAATCCAGGTTTGCATACTTGAATGGTGGCGGTAGACAATAACACTTCCACAGTAGTCGAGGATGTGTTCCACGATTTCAACGGGACAAGCTGGAGCAGACCCCTCTTCCACTAGGGATGTCATCTCGCCAGTCTACGGGCTTGGTAACGGTACAGTGAGGAGAGGGATTGTGATGCTCATCGACATGGGTATGTGCACTGATATTATCGCTTTGGATCTTGATACAGTTCAGCGCACGCCGTGAATTCGTCTTCTTCAAAGTACATGCTCAGATTGCGGTTGGATCGTATGCCAAATCGAGTTATGTAGACATCGGCTCTAAGTAAAATGATTGAAGTAGTGGTGAACAAGTGACGAAGATATTCAACCATTTTATTTCAATACTAGACCTCCCGAATTTGGAACGTTAGCGTCTAACCAATCCAACTCGTCGATGCGCGCCAAGTCGAGGGATTGCTGAAAGACTTTCTCAACAACTTCCTTGATGGTCTTACTATCTGCTGGTAATCGTGTTCCGTGATCCCGACTTATTCTGTGCAATCCTATGTAACAGTTTTGTGGAGCAGCCCTGCTGAGCAAGATGATACCGCTCATGCTACATTCTCCGCATTTGCTTTGGGGTGTTCCATACATCGTGTGATATACGCAAGGGTCACCAGATAACCAGCGTCTGTGGTTGGGGCCCACCCTACAGTGCATTGCGTAATAATGATACGTTGGTTCAAGAAAGATATCTGATTTGGCGACAAGACGAGCTATCGATTGATTTGATACAAGTACAGTGGAAAAGACAAAGGAATAAAAAGGTGAGTTTTACACAAAATCATGGTCCGTGTCACCGGGTATAAAGGCTCCTAGGGAAGTCTTCAACCCCTCCCTACCGCTCCTTCCTACTCTTTAATTACGCATCCCAACGGCCTACACCCTCAAGCCTGAGAAGCCTACGATGAGCGGTGTGATCCCTGCCTGGATCGGAGGGCGCGGGAGAGGACGGGACTTCTTCATGTACTGAACAGGTCGAGGGGTGTTGTGGACGATGATGGGCCGATCTCGCGACAGACCGTCCGACAGGTTGTTGACAGTGCCCATGATCCCCATGGCTTCATTGTGCTCCTCACCGGTGCAGGATTTCCACAGATCCTGCCCAACTCGCCTCCGGCCCGCAGACCTTGATATATGAACCCGCTGGCTCTGAGAGGGCACTCCCCTCGGAGCTGATATGGGTCCATATATTGGGTTTTGCGGTTCGTATGCAGAGATTGGGAAAGACTGTTGACGAATATGCTTGTCGTATGCATGCAATGATGATACCGAGTTTGCATTGGGACCGTCATACGAGGAATACGGCGAACGTCCTGCATCGAGCACCCACTGATTCGACGGTTTGTGGGCGGCCACGGGGCTGTTGTGACCATTGAGAATGGCCAATAATGCCATGGCCCTCTCATTGGCGGTCCATCGTGAGTGAGAGGTCGAACGTGAGACTGCCGTGGATGCCAGTCTACGGCGTATGTTGGATGGCCGTGGTCGACCTGTGCCGATAGGTGGCTGAGGGGCGCGTTTTCCGACGTCGATAATCTGGTTCTTCTCGGAGGCGATTGCCAGCGATCCCGTCTCTTTCGCCAATCCATGTGGCGATAATTGATTGTATGAGGGAGGGGGCGTAGAGAACTCGTCGCCGGTCAGTTTCCACTGCAATGTGAGCAGAGGGGGACTGATCGCATTCGGGTGCATGGGTTTTGGAGCGGCGATGGGGAGGGGCTCGGGAACGAGACAGGCGGGAGTAGCGCGTTTGGTAAACTTTTGTCTTTGAGCGTTCTTTTGGTCGAACATATCAGACATTGGCTCGGAGGCGAGGACAACACCGCGTTCAAGGTCGTCCTGAAATGAATGTAAGTCATTATGTTTTGTTCTACGATGAGGAAACTGACCCATTGACGCGTCGTGAACGCGTAGGGACGTTGGCCACCGGTCGGTACGTCCATATATTGGAAGAAGGTGGCGTTTGGAGGATGAGTATAGGTATTCATGATGAATGTGATGTTGGTTTGACTGGTATGACGCGTGAAGAATGAGGTATGTTCTCGCAAGAGAAAGAGGTGGAAGGAGGTGGTAATGAGTATGGGGGAACAAGGAACAAAGGACTCTGGACAAGTATCGATTACGGGGGATGCCGAATCGCTTGCAGCCCGTGAGCTATGTCCTTCGTGACTGGTTTCTAATCTCTTTCCTTCTTTCGCCTCATGTATTCGCCGGTATCTGGCTAACAATTCACTATATTGGATTCCGCAAGGTCCCGTAGTTTTTCTCTTACGCCACTCAATGAGTATCACGGCCCTCACTATTTAATTTCTAGTGTCCAGCTTACTCTCAAAGATTCATTATGATTTCATGCAGGTTTCCTGCAAATTCCGAGCTGTTCGTCTACGTGTGGAAGCAGTCATGAAATATCCTCACAGGTGCCCTTTCGTTCTTCACGGCTGACAACGCTAACGAGACGATTGAGATCTAACCAGTCAGCGCAGCCATGTCAACCTGCAACACAGACAAGGATATATGTCGGTGGCACTCGCTCCTGACTGCTCTATCAAAACTCATCTCTTACCGTTCCCTACTATCTCAATCGGTTGATCGCAGTCTCAGGCTCATTCGCATCTGCGCCATCGTCTTCTGTCTCCCATCGCTTCTAGCTTGCTTGTCCTTGTGCATCAGTGCCCTCTTCCCACTGGCCTCTCGCTATGTTCGGTTCTCGCCGGTATGTATTCCCCCTTGACTATCCTCGCATGCTTATTAACATAAGCTGCAAAGGCAGACAGTCTGGACACTAGACACTTCTATATGGGCCCCCGAGGCTGTTGTGGGCGTCGATCTGGTTCGTGGACGTCGTCTCCGACGTTGGGTAAGTCAATTCCAGTGTCTGATCACCTTCCGTGAACAGCGAGCCCGGTTACTCTTCTTTCATGGTCGCGATCGTCGGGAGTGTCGCGTTTGAATCATCGTAATCACATCAAGGTTGCTACCTCAAATGTGGAGGCTGCTGCCGTTACTTAACGCGCTTCGGATATCGTATTGTTGGAGATGAGAACTGATCTCGCCGTCAAGGAGGTGCGTATTAGCTCATCGTGTGCGCTGATATACTGACATACGTCTCAGGCTAAGATCGCACAGACGCAAAGGGATATACCTTCATGCGATGAGCGGCGAGCATCCTATTACGTCTCGTGGAGCGATTTGAGTCTTTCTTTGATCCATTTTCAAAATGGCACACACCTGGCGTGATGTGCCATGAGTATTCATCGTTCCTTATCATATGCTTGGAGTTGTTTCCTCTTATAAGTGTACTCATCCTTTATTTATGTCTCTTTCTATCTTGTCTCGCCTCCAGTATATACTATATATCCCTCTATGCCAAATGCGAACGGAAGTTCTTGTTCACCTTCCCTCTGAATAACAATTGCCATTTTGGGCGCTCTTTCTTGATTCGATCGCGTGTTCTTGGCGATCGTCCCTCTGCCTTCCACATGTCTTGCTGTGACCAGCATCTCAGCAGAGCCAACGTCTACGGCCAGTAGCTGGAGAACTGCACCGGCCCATGTGAGCATGCCATCTCGCGACACCAATGGCAGCGTTGTGTCGGACGAGATGTACGCCCAAATTCAACGCAGGCTCTTGGAGAGCGGTGAATGGGACAGGTCAATTCAATTTGAAAAGATCACTGTGGAAACTCCTAATATACACCTCGACATATATAGGATCTATCGTATGCTTGAGCTGAAGCTCAATGAGTCAGGGTGGATGGATGAGCTACATGATCACGCCAAGGGTCTGTCATCGTCCATTATTTTGCATTCTTTATTGTAACTAGCATGCACGCAGAACTCGCGAGGCAGATGTACCCCATATCTGTCCGGAAGATGACCGATAGTGTTAGTTCGAAGGCATCCTGTAAGTGTTGCTCATGCGAATCCAAACTTATGGCCTTTTGCCTGACTCAGACATATCGTCATTAGCCGAGGTACCCGAGAATGTCAAGGCAGAGGTCACGGCAAAGATTCGACAGTATCTTGATTCGCAGTTAGAGAAGTAACGGCCGCAGACTTCTCATATGACGTATGCTTTACGATCCCGCTCTGGCCATAATTAAGATAATTGCACAACACAACGAGGCGTCGGGAAGTCTCATAGGTGCAATGAACTAGTTCTGTTCTGAAGTAGCCTTTGTTCTTATGGACGCAGAACGCATCTGCTGCACCTCTGGCTCAGCCTCAACAAAGTTTCCACTCATCATCACGGTTTCCTCCATACGCGATCCACCTTGAGACTTGTCCCGAGGTCACTCGGATGATCGGCGAAGCTTGAGAACATATGCACTTGAAAGTAGTTCGAACTCACGTTTATCACTGAAGGTGCGTAGACGTTTACTTTAAGATAGTCCTCACTTCCAGCACCGTCCGCGTCGCCATCTGTTATAGATCCGGTCGATGAGCTATGGGGACTTGAACAAAGCAAGGCGCGACGTACTACCCATGGAGCCTTGGACGCAGGGAAGTCGATAAGACTTCGCATCTACCACTTTGCCCCTGGTCTGTTCTTGCACTCGAGTAGAGTTCAACGGTACAGGAGCGCGATACCGAAGATCATCAAGTGAAGGTTCGGTATATGGGATGCCCAAGTATGCGATAGTGTTTGAGTGGGTAAGATTGCCTTCATATCGAGCATAAAGCGAAAGTGAAGCTGAGATGTATCATGAATGTGCTTGCCACGGAGCGGTGAAACATACTGGACAACGCCGGTCAGACGAGGTTCAAAGGGCCCGACATGGATGCGCACAGTCGTCATTTTATACGGCGGTGGGAACGCTTTCACAGAAGGGTGCGGCGTGGACGACACGGTGAAGGTACGGCGAATAGGAGACCTTTGTATGGGCATTTAAGCTTTTCAATCATACATGCATCCTTAATGTCTAATGGTGGCGGTATGTCAGTCTCAAACATGCTGATACTTGTCGGGTTTCGACATTGCAGGTTTCTGTGCAACTTAAACAAGATCGCAAGACGAATAGGATACACACGCACCATTGTAGATGACGGAAACACGTCGACGTACTACAAGATTGAGGGTTAGGATTCTGTTGAGCAAGAAAACCACCAGGATTGAGAACGATATACTGATCCTTCTGCCGACGCAACCGTATATGGGATACAAACGGCAACCCCATCATCTTCACCTGCATCATAGCCGCCTGTACAGACAGCACGAATATCGTTGTTTTGGCTTTCCCAATGCCCCTCGGGAGGGGGGTACGATGAAGGACAATATTGATCAAATTGAATCGTTGACTAAAACTTGGAATGAGATAAAAACAGATATCCTGATACTACCAACGGGATTCGAACCCGCAACCTTCGCCTACCTGCCCTCAACATGGGTCATAGGAGGGCGACGCGCTACCATTGCGCCAAGGTAGCTTACAATGAATTTGCGATTTAAATTTAATAACTTACTGTATTGGCTCTCCTCCCAAAATTGAGCACGGCGAGACATATCAGAAGTAGAAAGCTGCGACTAACTAGGAACATCATGAGCGAGCCGAATGTCATTAGCGTATACGGTATAGTAAGCATTTCACACTACAATTAGATCAACTTATCAGCAAATTAGATAGATGCGTACTGTGGAGATGAAAACATACTGCATAGGGCCTCTCCAACATGATATACTATCAACGATTCTTGGGCTTTACAATCTTAACGCCAGACAACGTGGGTGTGCTTCTTCGAGGTGCAGACGAGGTACCCGTGGTCGTCGAAGGCGCGACGCGAAGTCCTGGAGACGCAGGTTTTGTAGGTAGCGGATTCACAATGGGTAAGGAGGGCAACGATGCAGTAGAGCGAACTGACTGCCTTTCAGCGCCTCTCGTAGCAGCTCTTGGGGTGGATGTCGAGGATGATGAAGTCGTCACTCCTATAGGTTTTGGAGGGAGCGAAGGATGGAGTGGAACATCGGGCTTTGACTGTTCCAATTGCCGTAGCTTGGCCTCCATCTTCGCGATCTTGTCCTCAGTACTATGAAAAGAACACAAGTAAACCGGTTGCAATATCGATAAATGTGGATACACCGAACGTACGCAGAGCGACCGCCGCTTGCACTCTTGAGCAAGCTCAACGTTGTCGGTCTTCCAACATCACTAACTATCCTCCTTGGTCTCGAAGCACCACTCATGTTGAATTCTTCTGTTGGTGCTTGGTGGGCATACGTGACGACAATCTTGCGGCCCCGAAGCAGCTTATCATTGGCGGATACTAGCGCCTTGGCAGCGTCCTAGGAGAACGACCCACAAGTCAGATATACCAGGTTTGATAGCTGAGCGAGCAAGCCTTGGTCCCCGGGAATCTCTGATCGACATGAGATAGAATGAATATGCGTAAACGGCGAGCAGAATTGTGCGAGAGTACCCGGGATAAGCAAGACACAGATGCGGAAAACAGCAAACACTCACGTCCGAATTTGTAAACTGCACAAACGCATAGCCTCTGGGTTTGCCCTTCATTGGTCCCGTTTTATGAAAGAGGAAATCAAGTTTGGATATCTTGCCGTACTTGGAGAATGACTGCAGTAAGGTGTACCTGAACAAATCTTTCAGAGCTGAAAACATACAATTGTGCTGCACATGCACTTACTCATCTACGGACGGATGGAGATTGCCAACGTAAAGTCTATCCTTCAGTAGAGATCGTGGTTGTGCAGTTGGCAGTGCAGGTTCGTCGCTAGATGGCGCCGGATATGAAAGGAGAGAGCTGGATGTCGACGCGGGGGCAGACGAATTGTCAGACATGGAGGCAATATACAAAGGACTATGCAGTGTCAAATAAGACGGAAATCTCTGTGTGAGGAGGTTCAGAATGTCTTTAGCGCCCGAATTCGCCTATAGATTAGCGCTTAACAAGCACTGCCACTGGCCAGTGGTACTTAGATCTCTTATCATCTCCATCAAGTCCAAACTTCGACCAGTCACTGAACAATGTCTTGCGACATTCAGAGCAAGGTCAGTATAAATACACCAGGTCAGTTTTAACCCATGATCTGATCAACTGTTCCAAGCGTTATATTAGTTCTCAGGTAGTACTTGCGACACTATAGCAAAGCAACAACAAGACGAATTCACCCAGCGGGGCGTATAGGTTAAGTACTACGGTGACACCAACGTCCAGACATTCTGCGTCACTTTGCTACGGTATACTGTGTTCTTCATGTTGATGTCTAAGCAGCGCGTCCTGTCTCTTGTAAAAAGAGGTACATCCCTCCGCCTGGCACAAGTACAGGCTTCCTGGCCCAAGGATCTCAAGCGCATCTTCTCTCGTATATACAGGAACATAGAAGCCCGTGTCACCACTCACGATGTGGGGAGCCAGATTTGTGATGTTTACTTTAGCGACGATGTGGGGTTCGAGATCTGAGAAAGTGACTTCGTGTTTGAATTTGCATGACGACCTGAAGTGGCGTTTTGCGTCTGCTATCCTTGTGAAGTGGACTCCGCACTCCTTCTCGAAGGCTGAACACAACCAACGTCGGATTTTTGGGCCTTCCTTTTGAGCTGAAACTCTTCGACGTTTCTGCTTTGGACGTGGACGGTATTCATCATCATCCTTGTCATCCGATTCGTGTATGTATTCATCGTCGCTCTCCTGCCCGTGGTTGTTAACATCCACCGCTTCCACCTTCCGCTTCTTACCACGAGTGCGAGGCAACTCGTCTTCGCTACGACCATCTCGAAAACGCGTAGCAGGTTTCTGACGAACTGCGTGGGACGATTGGGATGCTTTGCGATAAGCATTTCCGGACGGCTTCCGAGTTTCAGGAGGGATATAAGGTGTGTCCTCCTGATGTCGTTTGATCACTTTCTTCTTCCTGGACTTGGTAACACGACCGTCGTGTGTCGTATTGGCTCTCAGTTTCTTCCGCTTCTGACTCACGTTGGGCGATGGTACTGCAACACCGGATGAGCCCTCGTTATGCGTTGGATCGATAGCGGCTTCTCCGACAGCAGGACCAGAGAAGCGCTCCGGAGATGGTGCATGCTGTGATCTACGAATCACGGGATCTTCTCCATCGTCGTCAAAAGGATAAGTAAGCCCATACTCTTCGCAAAATATGTCAGGTTCGGGGCAAAGATCTGACAGTCGAAGCTTCAGTGTGTTTCGAGCAGGCGAGGGCTCCCATATGTGTGATGTACTGGCTTGGACGGATGAAGAGGAGGGGTATGAGGACTCAGAAGAGTCCAATGGGCCAGTGACATCTCGGCTATGTATCATCTCCGGCGTTGACCAAGGCGGGTCCGGTGGACTTCTAGAAGATAAGAGAGGTGTCAGGGGAGATAGAGGAAACGGCATTGCCGTCTCCTCTATCTCCAACGCCACCTTCTCTATCTGCCTTGACGGTTCCATTGTGCTTGCAGATGGGGGTATATAATGGGATGGGTAGACCGCCTGTGATGTGAGTTATTGAAGTAAGCCCGGGTTTGTGACTCAACATGTCTTTCGAACGCTTACATGCGTTGTCCAGCTATGCTCCTCTGAAAAGCGGTAAGGCTTTATTGGAGACTCGGAATTATGAATGGAGAGTCCACTTGTTGTCTGGTATGAAGGGGTCTCGTCTTCGACGGTAGAGGTCTTGTTACTGACGGCTTGTAGGGAAGCTCGGTCGATAGTCGGCGTCGCTAGAGGGGAGACGTGGTGATTTCCACCTTCAGACTCAAACAAATGTCCGTTTCCCGGTACGACATCGTCATCTGTATCGTCCCTGATGTACTTCCGCATCCAATCATCAACTTGATGGGAATCGTCCGTAGGTATGAGTTCGTGCAGGGGCGAAGCAATGTTGTCATATGTCTCTATGAGCTGTTGCAACGTTTCTCCAGCGATCACTAAGTATCCTTCATCTACCTGCAAGCCAGCAACAATTAAGTCATTCTCCTACATGGCTGGAAATGAGGCGCACCAAGAGAGCGATAAGCGGGAGGTCTGCCCCCTGAGGTATCTCATCGGAGTGTTGAAGGAGGAGGACCTCAGAATTGTTTCTCAAGGATACTCGTTTGGGCACAGAATCTCTGGCGAATAAGCCATGTAAGAAGGGAGGGACCTTCACTCGCTACCAACACATACCCGCTCGTAGTGTGGCGTATTGACGCACATGTTCGAATAGTACAGGCAACTTTACCATCGTAAGACTTCAGGTTGGCAGGATATAGCTGATCACTTTGCGTGTAGACGTAAGTCTCTCCGTTGTCTTCGCGGACGACCAGGGAGATGCATTGGTCTCCATGGGTCACGGCTATTTCAAGTTGGTTGAAGAAGGCGATAAATTCACTGGCGAAAATGCTAGTAGCCATTGAGGGAGAGGACAAAAGTACGACGAAAAGTTGTACTTGGGAAAGCACGGCGAAGATTTAAATTCTGCGGTACCTGATACGAAGCAACTCTTCTGTGCAGTGCCGACACGCCTCGGGGATGCCGCAAGTGAGCTCTAGCTACTAAATCGGTCATAGAACAATTCAGTCGATTGTTCCCAGGGCACTGCATCGTTCAACTGTTTTCCACGGGATAACTATAACAAAAAGGACCGCCTAAGGCGAGGTTACCACATCCAGAGAAGCCAGTCGGGAAGGCGCTGATATCAGCCAGCCGTAGAAACCCTGAGGATGATGGTACGGAGGCGGAAAGAAAGAAGAAGGGGACGTATATTCGCAGTGTGAACAAATGATCGCCAGAGTCCATTGCGGCGATGCAGACTCGTACTGACTCCAACTCTCGGTTAACTGGCTTGACTCAGGGAACGTGGCATGTGCTCCGGTATGTCCCAATGCATACAAAGCATCCTACGCCCTTTGAAACGATACCGCTCTGGATCCCTATACTTCAAAATGGTCAGAGATGAGAAGCTCTGACTTCTCACCGCTGACAGAACACATGTCGTGGGTGATAGTGGACAAGAAGTCGACAGGCCGACACCATCTACCTGTGCTGGACCCACAAAACCAAACAGTAGCCAAATAAATGGAGGCTTAGCGCCTTCCTCCAAAAAGGACTTCGTTTCTTCGACCATTTTCCTTTCTGATCTTTTGCTGACACAGAATGCAGATCTAAGGGCATCGCCCGGCTATCGCTGTCTGAACCTAATATTATACACTGTCTCTCCGATGGTACGATCCCTAACGCGGTCGTCCCTTTGAAGACCCTGGACAGCCAAGGCTCATACAACTTGAGACGGACATGACATGCACTGCTCTTGTGTCTTTTGATACCTGCTTTTGTTGTTGTCATAAATGCCTCGTTACACTCGAATATGTTAACGGACAGAATTGCGCAAGAAGTTCATCGCTTCGACTTGTAAAAAAGCCGGTCACCGGTATCGTTCATCCGTGAGCCGTCGTAAGTACAAGCTATCATCCCATCCAGGCTTCTGGAGATCCCGCACTCTTATCGGAGATCAATCATCTCATTTACCAGTCCTTCGTACCGTCATGGTCATATTCCGGCACTGTGATCTCTCCTACCTCGTCAAATTGAGATCTAACGTCAGAGAGAATGTTGGATTTCGTAACCTTTGGACGAATGACAGGTCCGAGCGACGGTAGCCTTCGGTTGTCTTGGAGGCGGAACAATAGAAGCGAGTCTCCCGTTGCACATCTCGTCTGGTGACAGCGCCGAAAGTAAGTTTGATAGTCTCTATGATGCTAAACATACCTTCCAGATATATCGTTTTGGGAAGGAACCGCAGCCAAGATTAAGAGGCTTACTCGGGTTTGGCACAAAGAACGTGCCCTTTGCCCCATTGGCAGTGAAGTTTCCACGGGGCGGAGTGTCATAGTGACTCTAAACCAGACAGACATACATACTAGACTTGGTCAATGTCTGTGCACCTGGTTGGACGGCCACAGTGTTTAAAATGATCAATGCCGAGAACAAACCAGACTATATTGAATAGGAACAATGGCGATATCATCACTCCAAGACTTCCAGACCGTTCCAATAGATTAGACCTGATATTGCAAGTTCATTTAATAGGTTCCGAAGTGCCACCATTGACCTGCCGGGAAAAGAGGCCAGAATACTTAACTTCGAAGATGACCTTTTGCCCAGGAGAACAGCTGTTTGGGAAGACAAACTGGATCGGGACGTTCGAGTATACACGCGCCGCAGGACTCCTTTGAGCGAATGGGTATGTGGGCCGTTCCCGTGAGGTGCAGTGCAGTGCGAATGAGAAGCGGATTATCCAGGACTTCCCCGAGCCTAAACGGTCGGCAGAATGCAACCTTTGCAGGAGGAATATCCTCGCCCATTGAATACATACCATACCCTGTACCCACAGCACCAATACCGAAGGGCGGATATACGGTTCAATAGATGGGCGAAGAGCGCCGATCCCGACAGAGTTCAAGAATGGACATCCGCACTACCGGCCGTCTGGATACCATCATTAAAGCCACATGTAAGAAGGGGAACGCATGCGAATAAAACACCTACGATGCGTTCGATAACGTCGCTGTCTGCTATCGTAGGATCTTCCGTACCGATAGATCCCCGTGGTACCCAGTTCATAGGTCGCGCGACCCTGTTTGCAAAATGGAAAAAAAAATTATCTTTAAGAATGGAGGAACAAGTTCCGTTGCGTTGAAGATACTTGTTCAGACGGCCTTTTGGTCAACGGGAAATCTAATCATGGTCAGCAGACACGGATCAGGAAGGGAGGTCATGAGAAGACGTACAGACGCAGAAAGAACGGCGCACTCCAAAGGGCTCCGGAAAAAGATTACAGCGGGTGAGATCCTCCCAAGGTAACTTACCCAAGACTTCGGCAACCCTCGAGATTTGGTCCAACAGTAACGACCCACTAAAATTACGCAGTATGAAAGAAGGTACAATGCAACAATCGCTACTAGGATAAGATAACAGTAGAGAACAGGAGTAGAGAGGTGATTCATGCAATGACAGCGATAGGAGGAAAGACAACAAACTATAGTACTGGAAAGTCGTAGAATATAAGGCAGATGGTGCAATAGGCATAGCAGATGAGACGTTCCAAGAAATAGAGAAAGGAGAATGCGAGAGCTGAATGCGTGAATGCGATCTAATCGAGAGCGAAAATAAAGTTATGAAGGGTATTTCTAGTGAAAATTGGAGTTGGTTCAGCAGTCGACGTCGTCCCAAGACACCATGGTATAAAGCGCAGGTTCATCAGTCGGGGTATTATAAAAAAGGGGAAAGGGTATAGAGGCATCAAGCACCGGATTCCTCTTCGAGCGCTGCAGTATACAAGTCGTCCACGACGAAGATGTCGCATTCACTGTTGAGCGTTGAGCCTCGGTGGCATGTAACCGCATGCTTCCACCTGATCAGGACAACGTGTTAAGCCACTTTACAATATGAGACAACGACATCGAACTCACCAGAAGATTTCTCTGACCTTGGTTTCAACTTCCTTGGGGCCTTCGACTGGGACCCACTTTTGGCACTTGTGGCATTTACCCTTCAGGATCTTGGTCTTCTGGTTCTTGAGGGCCGAAGGCTGGTCAGTCAATTGAAATGCAACAGGCGGGGAAAAGGGAGCCTTAGACAACGGTGATATTCCGTGGCTGTATTGCATATGGTAACTATGTGAAATATTAGTTCATATTCCGGCTCAAGAGTTAATGGGATGCGCTATAAAGAAAGTCAGCCACGCACAGTTACGTCCGAATGACAAGAGAACCTACTACTTGAAAGCAGAGAACTTCATGCTCAGCCATAGCTTCTTGCCTGCGCCGCCGCGCTTGACAGATTCGCAGCATATCGGGCAAAGCCCAACCTATACTCATAGTTTGCATCAGATGAGACTTAGTTGCGCAAGTCAGGCACACGAACCTTGGTGTTGCCTCTGCCTTTGACATATCGTGGCGTATACAGGTCGAAGGCGTCTCTAGGCTCGTTCCAGGTACTACCAGCAAGGCCACTCTTGCTATGGGAACCGTCAGCGCTGCGCAAGTGGCAAAGTGAACTAAAAAGCCTTACCGATTTTCGCCTTCTCTAAAGGAGCTAATATGGAATTTACGGTACAGTAGTGGAAAGTCAGGATTGATCTCGACATTGGAGGGGAAAGTCCTCATCGGATATCCTTCTGGGGAATCGCCATCACTGTCATCGCTATGATCTTCCTGGTCATCGTCTGAAAGATTGCTCGAAGCACCAGCGGGAGCCGAATTAGACTCAGGTTCTACACGACTGCGTTTAGAATTGCCTCCTCGAGACGAGCTTGCTTTGCGCTTGACGCTTGACGCGGTGGGGCGAGCCATGGCTGTTGAGGACGGCTGCGGGGCACGTGGAGGCACTGAAGTACGACTAGTCCGTGTACGCGTGTTACGAGCCGACCTCCTCGGAGAAGGGGAGTCAGTGTAAGCTGGACTGTCATTGTATCCTATGGTATTCGAGTCAGTTGTAGCCGTTGCATCGCCTCTGGTTTTCTGACGGCCCCGCGGGAGGGGAGGGGCCACGTCAGCTGCCGAGGAAGGCGTAGACATAGCGGAGGAAATATTAGTAAGAGGCGACAAGGTATCGTCCATGGCATAAGCAAATTGAAGGCGTGAAGCACTTGAGAGTTTGCGGCTGCGAGAGTAAACGGTGGAAGACCCTACGGAATTAGTAGACTGTGAAGCGCGGTGTGGCGAAGAGGTAGTCCTGATGATGGGTGACACGGAGGACACTCCAAGGTTCCAATATGCTGGAGAAGAAGAGAACAAATGATGCAGAGGGGTCCCTGGAAACTGTTCCGTCATTTTAAGATGATCTGAAGGTGAATTAGGGAAGAGGGTCGACTGTGGCGTATGTGTATGCGCTTGGGAAGGTGGTGACGGGAAGAATGGTGACTGTGGTGAGGAACCAGCTAAGTTAAGAAGAGCATCTGCTGCTAGTAGTGAGGTATACGAGCGTATGGGACGACTTCTGTTGCCATCGTAAGGCGAAATTCCATGCAAGGACGACGACTGAAAATGTCCGACCGTCCAGTCATTGTTCTCATGGACAATTGAGCCCATAAGCGGGTGAGATGAAGGGGAAATAAAAGTAAGCTCCCGCTGTATGTCGTAGACATCCTCTGAAAATGATTTCGCGTGGTCCATGGCGGGCGGAGGCAAGAGACGGTCGCCACTTTTCTTTGAGGTCGGTGATGCAGCAAAAGAACAAGTCGCGTTGTTTGCGCGTTGTTTGGCGCCGTCCCTCAAACAGGCTGCTTATGTAACCAAGTCGTTCACCGTTCCGGCAACTGTAGAGACGCTGGTATACTCGGACTTGGACACGACCTGCTGGCATGGCCGCATTCTACATACTTCTCTCATGTTTACTTTATGTCTTTCTAGTGGCCGTTAGCGAGGTGGACGCGACTGCATTGACGACGGCAATAGGGCCCAACGAACGATTATGCTTTTACACTGATGTGGATAAAGCGGGAGAGAAGATTGGCGTGAGTTGCAGTCTTGATTGACTTCTAACATATTGGCTGAAATGTAGTCCAGTTTTACTTTGCAGTATGTTGTTGCTTTAGTTCAGATGCAATCCAGAATCTCATGTTATCACTAGGTTCAATCTGGAGGCTCCTTCGATATCGACTTCGAAGTCAAGGATCCCAATGACAAAGTTCTCCTCGATGGCGTCCGTGAACGACAAGGAGACTACGTTCTCACGGCGAATACTATTGGGGAATACGCGTTTTGCTTCGAGAACGATATGTCAACTCTGACAGAGAAGCTTATTGACTTCGATATCATGGTCGAAAGCGAACCGAGACGAGATCCGCCAGCGAAGCCAGGGCAGATTGCGGAACAGACGAGCGCGTTGGAGGAGAGTATATTCAAGCTTAATGGCATGTTGCTTAATATTAAGCGGACACAGAAATAGTGAGTGTTTTCGATCATCACGCCAAATAGTGTGCTTTATTGTTTCTGCCACAGCTTTCACACCCGCGAGAACCGAGGATTTGATACTGTCAAATCGACTATGAAGTATGTTCCTCAACATTATATTCTCTTCCCTCTTCTGACAGTTAAAAACAGTCGGCTCTTCTGGTATGCCCTGCTAGAATCCTTAGGAGTCGTAGGGATGGCTATGTACGTGGCGTTGATTGTCCATTTACAATCGCTGGATTCTCACACTGCTGCGACAGTCTTCAGGTATATATCCTGCAGACATTCTTCACAAAAACAGGCAGAAAGTACAAAGTGTAATTTATTACCTGGGTATCATTCATCACCGTTTACTTTCGCCACACATCGCGCTTCCAATACCTCTGATAATTCCTACAGTATTTGCCGGTATGTATACAAGATGGGTCTATTTGTGAAATGTTCTTCCGCGCACATCGCTTTGTCTCCTGTAGTCTTCTCAAGTCTGGATCTTCATATGCACGCTCTTCGCCCTGGTCAGCTGGTCATAACCTACACAGTGGATCATCAGAACTGGATACGAAACACACAACTTGATGAAGCTTCGGGCGGCATACCAAACTTGCTCAGACTAATGCCCCTTCCGCTGTTCTTGACACCTGTCCATGCAAGTGCAGGATCCAAATAGTCGCATCTATTCAATCAAGCCTTCAGATGTTTCCGAACTTGCACCGATGGAGCAAATATACCGGTTGAGGAAGACGGTACCAGTCTCAAGCTCGTCGACGAACTTTTCGAATGCGCGTTCGCTCTCAGGGTTCTCTTTGGCATTCGTCCAGACCGAAGCTGTCAACCCATAGGGGGAGTCGTTCATGAGCTTCAACGCTTCTTCATCCGACGACACCTGGCTATTGGTCAACAATGTGCAATGAGACAGCGACGTGGTTTCAGAACATACCTTCTGGATGCCAACAACTGGTCCGAAGGTTTCTTCCTGAACATGGATTAGTGAGTACATCAAGATGGAAGAAGAGACGCGTAACGTACCATCATTACTTCCATCGCTAAATTCGCAAACTTATCAGCAAGGCTTGAAATGAGCAGGAAAGCACTAAGACATACTGTGGTTCACGTCAACAAGGACTTGAGGCGCAACGAAGGCAGTTCCACTGCATGAAGCAACTTGTGAGCCGAGCTAATCAGAGATGTAGACTTCTACTTACGATTGTGCAGCAGGGAAAAGATCTTCGGGAATGAGAGCTTTCGCGCCTGCCTTCACTGCAATTCAAAGTCAAGCCTATGCCTAGCCGTCTAAAGGTATGGTAGGCTAACACGTACAAGCATCCTGAACTTGCTTTTGTATCCGTTGAGCACTCGCGATGCTCACCACAGGTCCAAGATTGGTATCTGGGAGAGTCGGATCACCAAGGCGGTATTTCTACAACGCAAAAATTCATCAGCCCAGGAGCACCACGGGAATGACAAACCATTGTACCTTGACAAGTTCAACGTATTTCGGAACAAAAGCATCATATACAGATTCATGCACGTATATCCGCTATCATGGCATAGGCTTCAGCTGTCTTGTGTGGAAGGCACGTGAAGAAAAATATACCTCAACGGCGCAACAGCTTTGGCCAGAGTTGAAGAAGGCACCATCGACAAGTTCCGCCACGGTGTAGTCTAAATCGGCATCAGGTCGTACATACGCGGGATCTTTCCCACCAAGCTATACCGTGCAGCAGTTAGTCAAATCATCTCACTCTTCACTCAATTTGATTCCTGACCTCCAGACCAACACCTTTGAAGCCTTCACCGGCTACAGCCGCTTGTTCAACGCTCCTACCTCCGGGAACGCTACCTGTGAAGGACACGAAGTCGACTTGTGGATGGGATGCGGCAAATGAGGTCAACTCCGGCGACAAGTGGACTACCTGTATGACGTCTGCAGGGACACCTGCTTGTGTGAGGGCAAGAGCAAAGCGTTCGGCAGTTAAGGGAGTTTGAGGAGAAGGTTTGAGAGTGACCGCGTTTCCTGCGATGATGGCGGGGAGGACAGAGTTGATGGAAACTAAGTAGGGATAGCTATGAGGGGTTATGGATGAGGTGCAAGGTACTTGCAGTGATGAGGCGTTAACTTACTTCCAAGGGGCGATCACAAGCACCACTCCAAGAGGTGTACGTTTGATATATCTCCTGAAGCCAGGTTTATCCGTATCCTTGAGGGAGACGTCTGAAAGAGACGATTCCGCAATCGAGAGCATATACGTTGCTCGGTCGAGGAAGCCTCGCACTTCACCAGCTACTTGGGAAACTGGTCTAAAGACGCATATAGCCGGAGATTTTAACACCATCATATATCTTAAGTATTTACTAGTGCGTACCGACCCATCTGAAGAGTCAGCTCCAATGGAACTTCATCTGCCATCTTCTTGAACTCATCCTGCGTGATCGGACTGATGAGCAGATGCGTATGCAATCATACAGGGGGTTCAAGCATACGATGAACTTATAACCAACAGCTATCCTATCTTTCAGTGGGAGTTTTCTCCATTCCTTCTGCGCTGCTTTCGATCGTTGAATGGTGGCGGTGAGTTCAGATTGAGAGGGGTATGTCCGCGTTACGAGAGGTTTCTGTGTATGAGGGGAGATCGTTGTCTGTGTCTGAGGGCTAGCCATGGTAGGTGTTGAGTACAAAGTATGTCTTATCTGTCTTCAAGGGTGGGGAAGCAATGAACCTGGAAAGATAATGAAGTCATTCTTCATCTTATCTTATCTCTGTGCTTGCCTCGAGACGCCCGGCGTTTTCCGCTGAACTTATTCTTGCTCAACAGCAGCCACAAGCTCATTGACATAACATACCAGTCGGAGTCCTTTAGCTTCGACTTTCCTCAAGACTCAACTTTCAGGCGCTGCAGAAATGAGCAGAGGTGGCGGAAGAGGCTTTGGAGGAGGGGGCCGTGCTTTCGGTACGTGACTCTGTTTTGGCATGCAGAAGCAACTGCTAAAGTTTGCTTGTGTTTCACTTTCACTTGACAGGACGAGGGGGAGGGCGTGGAGGCTTTGGAGGCTTCAATCAACGAGACCAGGGACCTCCAGATGAAGTCCTAGGTGCGAGTCTTCAATTTTCTCCCGTTCTGCAGGTTATTAACAGTGCAATGGTTGTGCCAATAGAAATGGGATCATTCCTCCATGCAGTTGAAGACGAAATGCTCTGCCAATCACTTATGCCCGAAAAGGTCCCCCACTTCAACGCTCCCATCTATCTTCAAAATAAATCCGTTATTGGGCGTGTAGATGAGATTCTCGGCCCAATAAACGAAGTCTACTTTTCCGTGAAGATGGGCGAAGGCATGGTCGCAAGTAGTTTCAAAAAAGGCGACAAAGTGTATATTGGTGGTGACAAATTGCTACCACTGGAGAGATTCTTGCCAAAACCGAAGGTTGCGGGAGGTATGTCCACTTTTCGTCTCAAATGTCGAGGTGAATCAAGAATGCTAACGATACAGCAACACAGGTATTACAAGTAAGCTAAATCCATACAAATCCCGAGGTATACTGATCTCATATTCGAATCCATACAGAAAGACCACGCGGGGCTGGACGGGGTGGCATGGGTGGACGTGGTCGAGGTGCACCAGGTGGAAGGGGAGGAGGATTTCAACGAGGCGGTCGTGGTGGCGGCGGCTTCCGTGGTGCGCCGAGAGGGGGATCACGCGGAGGATTCAGTGGTGGTCGTGGAGGCGGTGGATTTGGCGGTGGACGGGGTGGAGGTGGAGGTGGATTTGGTGGCCGAGGACGAGGTGGTGGACGAGGCGGGTTCCGTGGGTCATAGGCGGGTTCCGTGGGTCATAATCGCCTGTTTAGATCGCTGCTCCATTTCTTTTCTGCCCCTTCTTGGTTTGACTATGACAGTTTCCGAACGTGAGTGAATCTTTGGAGATAGGCATGCGTTATGGTTGGTTGGCGTCCCTGTGATCGTTCACGGCTTTAAAGCTTTGATCTCGGCTTCAACAGTTGCAAGCCGTCTAGTACGTTCGTGTTGTGAAGCAATACTCTGCAATGGCATGGCATGAGGACACAGAAAGAGCGCGATTATGACAAGACACGAACCTGCTGTAGCTCCTCAGTAATAGCGTAGACCTTTCGCATAACAGTTTCTGCACTTTCATACACTTGCTCATTATCTGCGAACCCGTGGTTGAGTATAAGAATAGGAAGGCAACAATGGTGAATAAACGACAAACCTTCTTCTATATCGTTCTCAACGTCGTTGTCAGGAGCCAGGAGTTCAGCCTCCTTCTCGTCGATGGCTCTCTGCTTCTCGAGTATCTCTTGCATAACTTTCAGGAGTCTATCCGGTTCTTCACGTCGATACTTGGCAATCTCGCCGTCAAGATTCAGGCTCTGATCGGAGAGTGACCAAATATGTCGATCGAACCCTTCGTCAAACGGTTCACTACCAGCTGCAACGTACATATGTCAGGTCATCCTATCGTGAAGTCCAACATGAAGGAGTTCACCTTGTTCATCCTCGTCCATTTCCTCGAAGTTCTTCCCATTTATCCTTATGTTCGGCTTCGCCATCTCGAACGTACTTTCGATGAGCTACACACACCTACATGAGACGCGTCTCCTTTCCTATCAACCAAGACAACTGATCACATACCTTCTTCATATGATTCTTGAGCGCGTTAGAACGCTTCTCATCCATACCAGACGCGGATATACGCGTGTCCAGCGCGGAGAACGCAGCATTAGTGTAACTGGTCTTGATTCGATTCCAGTCGTGTAAGGTATCAACGGATATTCGAGGTAGGTCTTCGCGGGGCGGAGAGGTAGTCGCCGTTGCACCATTCATGTGGGTAGAGTATATGAGGGGACAGAGAAATGCAAGCTTGGGTGTAGTGGAAAGGGATGAGAGTTCGGAGGAACAAAGAGGCTTGCCTCTTTGGGACTTGTTTTTTCGACAAAAATCCGGATGATTCGGAATTGACTTTGTTCGTACAGTCATCTTCTTACATTGAGCTCTCTGTCATCCAGTTTTTTAGAACTAATAAGAGAAATAGTATATAAATAGATGTACAACCAGTACAGAAAGCTTCGAACTTTCTCAGATAACAGGCTACATAATACCAATAGAAAAAGAGCAAGTAGTGAATACAATAGATAAAGCAAATAGTGAGATCTCATAGAGAATATGGAATGCCAAGTCATCAAGAAAGCAGTGGAATGAAGAAGACAGATAAAGAGTAGAAAATATCTTATAGGTCTAGGCCATATTCTGAAGCTCAATATAACTAGTAGCCATTAAGGTAGCAATAGGTGCATTGTCCAAATTGAAAGTGGTGTTATCACAATTATCAATGTCAGGAGACCTGTAAGAGAGGTTCTGAATATTGCAAAGATAGAATGAGATGAAAATGAAATCTTACCCAGCCTCTGCATTCTCTTGATCATTATTCTGGCTAGGTACAGTTATAATAGATTGGCCTTCTTCTGTATGTCTGCTTGTATCTTCTTCAGCTATCCAGGGTGCATCCAGTGTGGCACCCATATTGCCAAGAATTGAGTGGGCAAATTGAACACTGGAACCTTGTTGACTAGAGCTAGGATTATTGCTGTCTGATTGATTAATGGAGCGCAAGTCCAGAAGAAAGTGAGAGAGCAGAGTTGAGGTTATGCTAAAGTGACTTAGTAAGTGGCTAATCAATATATTCAAAAAGACAACATACCTGTCATTAATTACAATAAAGGCAGATGTGGTACTAGAATCCTTTGTTGAAATGCATAGAAATAAGTTCTATAAAAGGTGAGATAATGGAATACTCACATTCAGTGATATTGCAACTGAGAGTGTATCTAATATCATTGAAATAATATTTGATATCAAAAAAACACTAAAGCAAGAAGACTTTAGATATATCAGTTTAATTATAAATCAAAAGAACAAACAGAAAATGAAGTGCTCCTAAGATATATTTACAAGTAGTTGAGATGAAGGTCATGCAATAAAAAGTAGTAGACAACATACCATTATATACTAGCATAGTAGTCAGTCTTGGTTTAACCTGTAGGTCTTGACTTGTTTTGAACATAGTGATAGTCTCAAGAAGAGTAAATCCAAGTACTGTCAAATCTGTTCCTACAGATATGGCCCTAGTTATCACAGGCACTTTTAAGATAGATATTAGTAGAGATCAAGTAATAAGAGTGTCAAGTACAAACAGCTAAAGATTAAGTGAGTAATTAGATACTAATTAAAAAATCTAGACACTTGCTATAGATATTGTTCAACAGGCAATATGTTCCAACAACCCACTAATGGCCCAGAAGAAACAATAATCCAAGATTCTGGGGTAGAAAAGATGTACTATAAAGATACACAGAATGAGCATTTTATTGAAAGTTAGAAGAAAGAAGTATACTATACTATATTAACACCTGGAGTAAATATACCAAGTAAAAATACAACTATGGCTGGAAACCATCTTTGTCTGCATATGGCCCAGATACGTAGGCAGTTGAAGACTAGACCAGTAAAGGTTATAAGCTTTTTACACATTATATGAGGCAATGAACACTTGCCTGCAACTGCAAATAAGCACACAATTTCAACAACATAAGACAAAATTTCCACAGCTTCACAACTAGTAAGCATATTTGTTATTATCAATATAAGTCATTATAAGACAATCATAATACCTCTATAGAATAGTTCAGAATTTAGATGCAAAAATACATTGTACATAACTCACAGATGCAGTTGTGAAAATCCAAAAGCATTCAAAGACTTGAATAGATATATCCAGAATAGTGCCATATCTGATGAGCACATAGAGAAGAGTAATTGCAGAGACTTTTCTCTTCCAGATGCACTTCCATTCTTGAGGCCATGCCAGTATAGCATCATAGACAACCAGGGCTAGAATATGAAGTATTTGCAGGGTAATAGATAGTGAAGTTAACTGAAACAGACCTAGTGCTGCAAGAGTGATATAGGTTGAGAGCTGATCCTGTGAACTAAATTATGGCAGTTAGTAGTAAATATGTCATCTATTCTATCAAGCATAACACACAATTCTGAGATAAGTTCATCTGGTGTGAGACCCATCTCTGACATGATAGAGTGGAATATGGGTTGTCTGAAGATTTGAGCTAGGTGACGACAGAGAAAGTGCAAAGATGCTGGGTGCTTACTACCCAAGCCAAGTGCATGTAATATATGAGGCCACTTCTGATGGGACCTGAGAGAAGACGGTAGGTTAGGAAACTTCTTGCTCAACTAAGTGGCTGAGAACCACACTAAGAGTTCAAGGTCAGCCCCGCCATTTTCACAGCCGATGCACAGGTCACCTCATCTTGACGGGAGTAAACAGGAAGCATTGTCCTCGGTTAGCAAATTCGGCTCATGACCCCTGGTACCTGTCCAAATCGACAAACTCACCCCGCTGACTTCACAGGCTTTCGACATGAGAAGCCTCACAGCCATTCACAATATACACGGCAAAGCGTCGGAAAACGGCAGCTTTATTCGGTACATAGAGAGCCTTTCGTACACAGACGTGTCAAACTAGGTGAAGAGAGAAAGAGCAGAGCCAAAGTAGCGAGACGGAGTGAGGAACGCGTGACAGGCATTGTGTTCCTGTGAGTGCGTGCGAGTTATTGAAACCCCAGGGCCTGAATGTTGGTTTTCAAAGGGCCGTGAAGGCACGTCCTGAGTCTAGCAATCCACCATCCTAGAACAATTCCCCTTCAGGTTGATCGACAGGGGAGTCATGCGACCACACTCACTGTATACTCCAAACGCGACGTAGTCAAAGCCTCAGTGTATTGAGTTTCAAGCCTGATAGCGTCCGAGAGACCTGCCAAAAGACCAACATACAGAAGTGAAGCTGCACGTGACAGACACAGTACTAGAACAATTCAAGCCGTCGAGTCTGCAAGGTAAAACGTATGACAGGTAAAACAACCCATGCTGTCGCGTTCCTCGCAGGCACACGCGAAATGAGTGTTTGAGCTACGCTCACTTGGCTGTCCCTACTACTTGATTGACAGAAATATCGTCGCAGACATCGCGGGACCCTGAGAACAAACAGATAGACCCAAGGGGAAGAGCATCATTGAACATGTCCCGCCTTGTCCGATCTCATCAAGCTTGGGAGGAGAAGCACACAGCGAGACTGCCAGCCGCTATATAATGCCTTGATGAGATGCGTTGACAGTGAGGATTTGACAAGGACGAGAATACGTGTCGAGAAGTTTGCTGTGATGTGGCAAACGGTCTGAAAGTACTAGAAGGGGATAAAATCTGTTAATCGCATAAGACGGCATGGAGATGTCGATGGCTGGTCATATGCAATGCCCGAAGCCCAAACAATTTCCGTCTTTTGAGGTTTGACCAGCAACAGCGTTGCCAGTACCACGACGAGGTCTGTAGGTGAAAAGGAAAGGCAACGCGAAGGGCAGACGCGCAGGAGAGATAGATCGAAGATGCGGATTTCCATATCAGAATACTGTGGCGACGATTGGCGGGTGAGGATGCCAATGGATTTGACAGATCTGTTGAAGGGTTAGTGTGAATCACAAATGGTACGCGATCGTTGCAGCTTGGGAGAATGGATCGTATGCGAAATCGAGTAACAAGGCTGGGTCGGTAAGTCTGCTTAGGCCTGTGGTATTCGGAACCGACCGACGCGATTGTTGTCGTTAGCGAAGGCAGTTACGAGTGATGAGGGATGTGTTGGAATGGAGGTGGAGACGAAAAGTGGCGGAAGCGAGAAATGGAGACCAGCCCGACAGCGGAAGTACCTATGGTCAGGTGAAGCGAGAAAGCCTCGGATGGAAGGAGAAATCAGCAAGCAGACAGGAAACTGAATCCACACCGGACTTACTCATGCAATCCGCTGATGGATACTCGAGAAGATCATGATGCAACCGAGCTAGATGGAGTTACTACTAAGATAGGCCTCATTCATACTCGTTAAGGATTATGTAAGTTGTGACTCCCCGTGATGCCTGACAGGACAAGTTTGGTCACTGGTTGTCACAATGAGTAGGAAGTATTCGAAAGTGAAGTAGAAAGTGTGCAGAATGGATGTAGGGGTAGTGTACAGGTATGGTTACAAGAATTGGTGTCGTATGTAGGATATTGATTAGAGCCCATGGTAGCGAACACACTTATATGATGCAATTAGAAGTGACGGATTCCAATGAATGACACTGTCAGAGCCTCTGAGTGAGGGGCTCAATGAGCAGTGTCTTCATACCCATAAGCCTATTTTTTTAGCCTCATGGCCATTCATTTTGTCATGATGCCAAGTTTGAGAATGAAGTGCATGTTTATGGAGATGCTAGATTTGAACCAAGTTGACCCAGCGTGGAAAACATGGTCCACTGGAGATCAGCTTACCTCAATGATGTTGTCGGATATTCATAGTATAGTTTCTCTCTGTAACACCTGACCTTGTTCAGTCGGGTTGGCAGAAAAACAGCTTGTATCCCTCTGTATCACTTTCCAATCCCTGTCACTCTCGAGGGGCGCCAAAGGAAGACTTACTGACCATGAAAAGCTCAGAAAATCAAAAACAATGCAACAAGTGCATTTGGCTCAATTTTGCAACCATAGTTTTGCATGGAACATCTTTTTCTATAGAACTATGGAAGTGGATTTTCTTTGAATGTCCTCTACGCATTAGAGAAGAATTTACAGCCCCGTTGTAACACTTTCATCACGCTTGCTTACATAATCCTTAACGGGTATGAATGAGGCCTATCTTAGTTCAAGTAGAGTTGCTCGGCTCATCCCACGTGGATCTGTCGTGTAGACCTCGATCATCGTGGTCGATCATTAACTCCTTCCCGCCCACCACCAACCTGGCTTCCGCATCGCGAATCGTCTGCAGGATACGACATCGTGTACGGTTTCCCTATCGAGGCCATAACGTGGCACACGAGGAGCCTCCGACTGATACAGGTATGCCGAAAGCGAAGACATCGAAGTACTACTATGCTGTCGCCCGTGGTCGGATTCCTGGAATATATCAAACCTGGTACGTAGTCCACATGGCGGGATTGCACTATGGTGTTCTCCTGTGTTTTGTCTTATGTTGTTGCAATAGGAACGAATGCGAGGCGCAAGTGAGAGGAGTGTCCAATGGACGCCACAGGAAGTTCAACTCTCTAGCAGAGGCAGAGACGTTCGTCGCTCAGTTCGGTGGATCCAGCTCTTCAGTGTCATCTACTACGGCTATTCCTGGATTTAGTGCGTCTTCGGGATCGAAACCATACCCCAACGCTCGGCTAGCCTCGTCTGCGAAAGGCAAACAACGCGCGACGGACTCGCGAGTGCTCGTGGACAGGACTGGGTGGCTTACCGTCTACTCAGATGGTGCGTGTAAGGGAAACGGCAAGCCAGGATCTGTCGCAGGTGTTGGCGTGTGGTGGGGCAAAGATGACCCAAGGTCTGTTCTTATCTTCACTGCTTTGCTTGAATATTGGCCGACGCGGCGACAGGAATATAGCAGAACGTTGTCCGGGAGGACAAACCAACAATCGTGGTGAACTCATCGTAAATAAATCGCGTGCTTAACATGCCCCTTCACTGAATCATTTTCTAGGCAATCGTTCGAGTGTTGGAAACGACGCCAAAGACCAAACAACCCCTCCTGATCAAGACCGACTCAAAATATAGCATACAATGTGAGTGCATTGCTGGCTCACTTCTTCTGTCTTGAATTCAGAGGGTCTTCTTGCAGGTTTCAAAGATTGGCTACCAAGATGGCGTCGAAACGGATTCAAGACGTCTACGGGAGGTGATGTGAGCAATCTAGGCATCATCAAATACATCGATGCATTGCTCAGTGAACGGGCGAAGCTAGGCCAGAAGGTTCACTTTTCCTCTGACCCCTCGAAGTTTTGCTCATCAATGTCCGACTCTGACTCATAGGTTGAAATGGAATACGTCGAAGGACATATGGGTCATGAAGGTAACGAAGGTGCAGATCAGTTAGCCAATCAGGGTTGTTGGTTACCTGAAGCACCTGAACGCGATTGGGAGTCATTGGAAGCGAAGCTGCGGGAGAAAATTCAAGGTTATCGCTTGAAGTCCCTGCTTTCTATCACGCATGAGTCCATTTCCACTACAACGACAACCGGAGCCTTATTCAAGAGTTCGCCAGTGAAGACTCGGGTAGACCAAGCGGGAACGGGTTTAAAACCTCCTGCGTACGAACCCCTACCAAATGGTTGGGTGAAGACGGACTCGGAAGCTTCACAATCGTCTCGGTCCAGTATCTTCTCAGGTTCTTCGCTGAGTATCGCATCTACACAATTTTCGGTTGTCTCTCAGATAGTGGTCAGCAAATCTTCATATGCTATCCGCACCAAGATTAACATTTTCGCAGGACTCACAGGTTACGTCGGGTTCAGGGCCAACGTCGAAGAGTGCAGATAGTCAGGAATCGGCTGTGATAGTAGATGTGCCTGAGGTGCGTTCGCACACATCTCATCGTCGAGTCTGCTTCATTAATGAGGCTGATCATCGCAGGACTTTTTCTTGGACGACGACGAGCTAGAGAAAGAGCTTGCGAGTTGATGTCACTTGCTTATACCCCAGTCAGTAAAGTTATATACCTACATTCTTGCACTGGTTATTCCTCTTGCTGCTCTGTCTAAAAATAATGCAGAACCTTTGGCTTGAGTATCTAAATAACCTCTATTCTCGACTCGAGGTTTGTAAACTCTTCCATATCAAAGTCGTCTTTGTTTGCCGGCTTGGCTGAAGTTCCCAATGTTTGTTCATTCCGACCAACGTTGCTGACGCCATCAACCCCTACGAACATACAATGGCAACTGAGTCGTCGTGTCGGCTAATATCACAGGCCACGCTTCTGCGAACTGAAGATAATGAGCTTCATGCCTACCCACGCAACGAGTCTAATATTCGACCACGTAGAGTGGTATCGCACGTATCCACAAGATGGTTGGGCTGAATCTGCCGATGGTCCGACGAGTGTCATCTAGTTCAGATCCTTTGCTACGGTCTTCATGATAGCGAAAGAACATATGACGAGCTAGTCCCGAATCTTTCGCCTGATGTGGATTTGAGGCGTACAAAGATGTCATGGGTTGTAAGAACGAACACGGCATAATAATAAGCTTAAGTTGAACTATAAACGTACATCTTCGCGTAGCAAACAGGGCAGACGAGGCGAACAACGAAAGGAAAGAGAGTGCAGAGGGCTGGGCATAAGTACAATCAATCAGGCTACAAGTCGTGATACTGATACCAAAAAGAGTCCATTTCCTTTCCTATGATCCAATCTAAGTCTTGGATGGTAACAATTGAGACAATCGAGCCAATTGAATCAAGGCGACAGTGGTATTATCTCAGTGGTCTCTCGACTTCCTACGGCGGAAACAGAAAGGGGAAAAAAGAGGCAGGGTGAGTTAGCAGGTGAACCAGTATGTGAGCTTCAGAGTGGAAAGGGTATATGCGTACCGGTATTCGCCTTCGGCCGCGACGCTGAGTTCTTCGATCTCGCCTTGGACGGTTGATAGAGCTTCGGCGGCGGTTGCGTAGAACATGAGTTGTGCCTTGGCGAGTTCGTTCAAGTCCTTGAGTGGCTCAGGCTGTATAGGAAGAACGCTGTGAGTGAAAAGATCCTGCGACACTTGAACTCCACCTACGTTCTCAAGAACGGTCTTCATCAACGTAATCGCGACCTCAGTCTTCTGGACGAGGTCGTCTTCCGCATTCTCGACATCAATGCGAGCCGCCTCTTGCTTCGTCGGGCCTGCGTTCTTCAAGCTGTGACGCCCATCGTTTAACGCACATAGCATATATGGGACGTTTTTGAACAGGACTCACGTTTGCTTAGCGGCATCCAATTCCAGTCGGCTCACCCTAACCGCTTGCCTAGCCTTCATAGCAATAGCGATCGAGCTATTGAGCGTACCCTGCCATGGGTGCAAGAAGTTCGCCTTGATAGAAGCATCCTGTTCAACCCGCGCCTCCGCAATCTTCTCCCAGGCACCTGCATATCCATGCAATGCCTTGCCTAGCTTATGATCGCCTACGGTTCCTTCGGGGGTAATAAGGACAGCAGAGGCAGCATTGGTAGCAGCACGTCCGAGAGCATGAGGAAGGGTCTTGTGTTGATGTTCAGGAGGGGCGGTTGGAGTTGGCGCAGGGAGGTTAGTGCCTTTAAGGTTAGCGGCTGCAAACGAAGTGATGTTGTGGCCGATAGATGTGCCGAGTTCAGCGATAGACTCCTGAATTTGGGTAGGATAGTCGTAGGTCTCGGATTCGTATACCTTCGTAATCCTAAGCAGAGATGAATGAACGATGCAATGCGCGAGTTGAGAGGCCCTACTTCAGGAGAGTCAGATGTGCTTGACGGAGCGCGTCAACACGAGCTTCCAAGTCCTTGTACTCTGGGATTTCAACGACATTCAATGATTGTAACATTGACCGTAATCAGTGCGAGCATATACCTTGGGGCAGTTCGGTGATCTCATCTGGGGCAACCTGACCCAATCGCTCCTTTGTAGCCTGTACGCTGGAGCTGAAGCCCTTGGCAAACTTGTTGGCAGATTGGCCAAGGTTGAGGCCCGAGAAGCTTGACTGTAGTTTTCCCCAGCCGTCCATAGTTGATATCCCTGCTCCCTAGATGGTCGCCGCCAAGGTATGTTCGTGAGTTGGCAAGTAGAAGATGAAGGTTCGTGCTGAGCGGCGATGCGCAGTGCCCGCTCCAGTGAGAGTACCTTGTCTGGCGGTTTCCGGGGTCTCTCTGAATCGTGCGCGCGTTACTGTGAGCTGCATGTACGCGTACGCGCGCAACTCTCTCATTCACAAGCCATCTCTCCGCATTCTCTCTCTATTCTTCTTTGCTTTCGACCACCATGAACTCAGTATATTCAGGACCGGGATTTGACTTTGCCAACACAGCTCGGTTGGTACTCTGTAGAATGCGCAGGCAGTTAAACTGAACACTAACTCTTGGAATTAGCAACTCATTCCTCGAAAGCAGAGGCCTACCTCTACCAAAGGCCACCAGCACCGGAACGACTATCGTTGGCTGTCTTTTCAAAGATGGAATTGTTCTAGGTGCTGATACTCGAGCTACCACCGGTCCCATCGTTGCGGACAAGAATTGCGAGAAGGTCTGTCCGATCATTGATCAAACCGTCATGCTTGAGCTGAAGTATTACCCTTGTTGAAACTATAGATTCACTTCATTGCGGATAACATTCGATGCTGTGGTGCAGGAACAGCAGCAGATACTGAGTTCTCTACCGCGCTCATTGCCTCTAACATCGAAATGCACGCGCTCTCAACGGGGAGGAAGCCCAGGGTGGTCACCGCTATGACTATGCTCAAGCAGATGCTCTTCAGGTATATTTTGAAGTTATTCTAGTTGTTGAATGTTCATCGTGCTGATTCATAACTCCCTCAGGTATCAAGGAAACATTGGTGCCGCTCTCGTACTTGGTGGAGTGGACGCCGACGGTCCTCACCTCTTCACCATTCACCCGCATGGTTCGACTGACAAGCTTCCATACGTCACCATGGGTTCTGGAAGTCTGGCGGCCATGGCCGTATTCGAGAGTGGCTGGAAGCAAAACATGACCGTAAGTTTCCATCGTAGTGTCGAATCCAAAAGATCTAATTTTACGCCTTGGTAGCGAGAGGAGGCACTCGACCTTGTTACCGCCGCTGTCTCAGCAGGTATTTTCAATGATCTTGGATCAGGTTCCAATGTGGACGCTTGTGTTATCACTGCTTCGCACACCGAGATGTTGAGGAACTTCGTCAAGCCGAACGAACGTGTTCAGAAAGAAAGAAGTTACAAGTTCGCCAGAGGTACAACAGCGTGGAAGAAAGAAGATATCAGAGATCTCATCATCACTGAGGATATCACAGTTATCAGGGAGGGCGAGGCGATGGATATCTCATAGACTGAGCTATATGTATGAGTACATTGTTGCATTCTGTCTTCTGTTTGTCAATTCATATCACTCAATATCAAGTATTGTTTCTGGAAAGACAAATTCATTGAAACTACAGACTACCCCTTTCTATCTATCCCACTCCTTAGTTGGATTGCATATGTGGAGAATTCCTAGCCTACTCAAGGTAGGATACAACTCAGTCCAGTCAGTCCCATAAATAGCTGCATCTCCATACATCCTAACCTCCTTTAGGGTTGATACATCCATGTGGGTAAGTTCTGTATCAATTAGCCTGCAAATTTCTGGTGTCTTGGGAGGAACTTCAAGCTGGACCACAAGCACCTGAGCTTGCACAGCTCTGAATATTGCAAGGTACCATGAAGCAAGAATACTGTCATGGTAAGTATTGGGAAAACAGAGGCTGAGGAGTTGGAGGTGTGTGTTCTGATGCATAGTCAAAACTGATGTTGAAAGACATGATTAAACATGATGAAAATGATAGTGTGAGAAACAAAAACCTACTATGGGGAGGCAACTTGAAAGCAGTATCAAAATGGGCAGGTATTCTAAACCTGAAATATTTCAAGGAAGGACCACATTGTGATAGTAGTATGTTTATTCCCCATATAAAATCACTTGAGGTCTGACCCAGAGAGAAATCAATCTTCTCCAATGACTGAAAAGTGGAGTATCTGTCTAAATGGTGTAAAAGTGTATTGCATTGCCCATGTTCATCACAGATGGTGATGGAGAGAAGAGACAACCTCTGGGAATTCTTGACCATATAGTGTGATACATGTCTCATGAATGTGGTTCCATCTAGAGTGAGATATGAAAGCTTTGGAAAAGCATGCACCAGTTTGATCAATGGCGAGATTGTAGGTGATTGCAACTTCCACAATGAGAGTGAGCACACAGATGGCAAAAGCTTGAGGGACACAATGAAATCCGGATGGGTTCGTGACAGATCCAAGCATGACAGGTTGAGGGATGTGAGTTTGGAAAGATTTGTAGGAAATAACAGTGCCGAGCACCTGAGCACAATGAATTGTCAAGTGCCGGACAAATCGTGCATTCTCGCGTCGGTGATACCAGAGTGATTGAAGGAGTTTCTTCAGATGGGCCTCGGTCCCAATGGCCACAAACTCGTAGAACACCGGGCGAGAAAGGGTTAGTCAATCTCGGCATACAAGGCAGCAGGCCGCCAGCAGCCTGAGGGTTGGTTTCTATTTCGTCAATGTCATTTGCGATCGTATGATCGATCACTATGGAGAAGCATTAAGTACCTTTTTCTTTCCAAGAGATAATTCCTCTTCATTCTGTCGCTCTTGCAACCCAATATCGAGTGCACATTGACAAATTAAGCCCTCGAGTTCAAGCGGAAGTTTTGGTAACATGGGAAAGTCACTCTGAAGGCGGTGAGGACGATAACACCCACATGTTCAAATTCAAGTTCATAAATGCCAGTGGAATTTCAGTACTTACTCTCGATGCGATCTTGGAGAGAACACGATGGTCTGACAAAGGTGAGCATGCAGCGTACACGTCAGCTGTCAGAGAAGACGCTTACCGTGCCAAGTTCACACACTGTCGGTATTTATCGATTTCGCAGGATCTCCGTATATGCACTCAGACCCTATACTTATACTTACAAAAAAAAACCTCAAGTTTGACCCTTCCGGACATTGAACTGCTTGTGGCACTTGTCTTTTTTTTTGCCATTCCGTCCGCACGCGGTATATGGGTTGTGAGGATATGCACGGTCCTGATTTCGCCTTCCTCAGGGTAGCCCTTTCACCTTATGTAAGATGAATTATTCTCTTCGATTGACTTCACTAACCTCCATGACCCGGTAAACAATCGCATCGGCAGACGAGCATCTAGAAGTACATTCCAGCGACTGTAAATGAGTATGTACATATAGAAGAACATGTCCGAGGTCGGAGAGCAAGAAACAAAAACAGATAGTGTATGCGTTGTGGCAATGTAGGATGATGGTGGTACATATGTTGCAAAGGAAGAGGCATCAGTGAAGGACGGACCATGGAATACAGATACTTGGAAAAGAAGGAACCAAGAAGACGTGTCCTCCTAACGAGGACTTTCTTGTCGTTTTTGTTGTGGTATAAAACTTAGAGAGAGATGGGGTAAGGAAAGAGGGTCATGATGAGGTTGTGATGTCGGGGGATTCGGCTGGGGATACGACAGCGATGAGGACAGATATGTCTATGGCTCGCAGTTCAGTTACAACATCAATCATAAACGCAAAAGGTGGAACTCACCATCCATCTTGCCACCACTGAACACCTTGCCTTCCTCTCGCGCCCTTCTGGCAAATGGCACTTCATCCTCTTCCTCGGATTCCACGACAGTCTCTGGAAGTGCACTAGTCGTGAGTTTCATACCGTTTATGCCGAACAGCGTTGGCGCCACTGGAGAAGACTTCGATATAGGTCTCCTCGGTCGGTGCCGCCTGTGTCCTTGACGTTCTGAAACACTGCGTGCCCTCGAGCAAAGAGCTTCACTTAGCATACCTGCTAGTGTCCGTCTGCCAACGATACGCTCGCCTGAAGTTGTTGAGCTTCCGGAAGAATTACCCATGAAGCTCCGACGGAAACGGACTACTTCATCCAAAACGTCCTCGTCCCACAAGTTATCGCTAAGTCCATCACTGGCAAGTAGGAGGATATCGTCCTCTTGCACTGGAATAGTGAAGACCTTTGCGTCACGGGGAGTCGTGCGGGACGCGGGACCGAGCTGTAGAGGCGTATTAAACTATAAAAAAGTCATTAGAACTCAGAATTGGACTGTGGATAATATCACTTACGTTCCACCACATCTCCTCAGTCCTCCACACAATCTCTTCTCCTCGGATCAACATTCCCATGCAATCTCCAAGGTGAGCTATCCTGATAACTGCCCGTACGTGCCCAGACGTATGGTTTAACTTCTCAGGCTCACCGTTAAACGTCATAGGCAATACACGAGGTCGTGGAAAGAAGAATGATGACGGAGGTGGTGATGGTTGCACCTTGTCAGACATAGGTGGCGCTGGTGCGTGATCTAGAATAGCTAGAAGGGCCGTTGCAGAACCTTCCATTATGGGCGTTGGTACTTGAGATGCCGAAGCAGGCGACGGAGATGAATGGGTTGTGGAAGTAGTGGGAGAAGTATGAGAGGCAGAGGAGTCACAAGAATGCGAAGAAGCCATTGGCTTCTGACCGTCGGATGCCGTATGCAAATCTGGAGTCTTGACGTGCGCCTTCATCGTTTTCTCGTATGCTTTCTCGAGGATCATGAGCACGTCGAGGCCCTCTGTCAGATCTTCTAATGAATCTTCGAGCTCCTCTTCCAGTTCCTCCTCCAGTGAGGGACACCTATGGCATAATGTTTAATTTAGTACAATGACTAATGATTGAATGAACGTAACACGAACTCTGCAGTGGTGGACGAGCTGGCCGAATCCATTTCCTCGGAGCAATAATGCATTAGCCGTTGGGCAAATAACGCACTAGGCGTCGATTCGTCAAGTTTGCCTGAACGGAATGTAAGCTGTCATTGAGATACTCGGCCAAATAAAAAAGCGCACCTTGCTTGTGTCTTGACCAGCCACCTACTCCGTCCGCGACACCCATCGCGTTATCCTTTACGAAATACGCATCTTCGCCAACTAAAACAGACGTGTATCGCTCTTTTCCCATTGAACTGCTGCTCATACCGAACGGCAGTCCACCCCTGCCATCACACCCAGCTATCCGTACATCACCGCCTCTCGAACGCTTTGGAATACCGTATGCACCGACATCGAGGTGGTAACGCGTCCCTTGCTTTGCTGGCGAGTATGTAGATTCCACCAGGTCGTTCGGACTGGTGTCAATTGAAGAGATAGGACCAAATGAAGGGTAGGGGAAGAAGATGTTGTGATGTGCAGCAGCGGCATTTGGATAAAACGAAGACGAAGCGTCTGACTGAGCGGTGGTGAAAGCTAACGGATATGGCGGTGGATTTGAATGCGACTGTGAAGTCGGTGGGTGATTGTTGCCCCCATTACCACTACCATGGCCGTTGCTTGTTTGGTGTTGTGAATAGGGAGCATGAGTCTCTACCTCTGCCTTTGCTTGACGCGGGGTAACGAGGTTAGAGGACGGCGGACGAGCGCCAGAAGTATGCGGACTGGGTGGAGAGTCAAAGAACGGAAAAGCCGCAGATGTATGCAGCCCTCTAGAGGACGATACTGAAGAAGAAGAGGATACCGATGAGACTGAAGAGGACGAGGATACGGAGTTTGAGCGCACTCGAGGTGCAGAGGAGGTCGCGGCAGCAACGGCGGTTGGTGCGCGGGGGAGGACTGTGTACAGTCGTTTGTGAATCGTCTTCATCGTCGTGCACGTTGTCAAGCAACAGCGAGCTCGATGGCGGCGACGATGGTGGGACTGGGGAAGAGAAATGGAAATGAATGCGGGGTAAGCAGAAGAGGCAATTACCTCCATTCCTATTAGCCCCGGCACTCGCCGTCGGCCGGAGTCAGTATTCGCGGCACCAATCTCATTTCGGCGGCCCTCCGGACGCGGTCACCTGGCTGTGACTGTCACTTGCCGTTACTGTGACACTGACGCGAGGAGAGGCCGGCGGCTAAGTTAGTTCAGTTGGATCCTGTTGGGTCTCATCCTCGCACACTTCATTCTTCTCTTCATTTCTCGCGTACCCCCTTTACACGGACACAGCGCACTCCTCAGGCCTCGTTACTGCCCGCATATACCTACTTATACATATATCATTTGCTATACCACATCCTTCATTTCTATTTCTGCGCCGACATTCTCCCGTACATCATGGATTCCTGGACATTTGGTGGAAAGTATAAACTTGAAGAAGAGATCGCCATGGGTGGTTGTGGTAAGTAGCAATGTTTTTTGTCCCTCACTAACCATCTCGCATATATCTGATGACATGCTTGAGTTACTCCGGAAACTGACTTCTCTCTTCTAAAGGCACCGTCTTCCAAGGAGTTCATACTATCGCTGGTAAAGAAGTCGCCATTAAACTCGAACCGGCCCTCGGTCGTCCTTCGTGTAATACGCCACTTAAGCAAGAGTCCAAGATCTACAAAACACTTATGGGGGGCCCCGGTGTCCCTTGGATAATGTATTCGGGTAAACAAGGCGACTATAATGTCATGGTCATTGATCTCCTTGGGTCGTCTTTGGAGGACCTCTTCAGGATGTGCAACCGGTTCTTCTCACTGAAGACCGTTCTTATGCTGGCAGATCAGTTGGTGAGTCTCATAATCCCTCTTAACGACGCGTCAAGGTGTGGGCGCGAGTGGCGTACGGCGAAGGCCATAACTTGCCTTAGGCGTCTATTTCACTCTGATAATTCCGGTTATTCCAAATTTCATGATATATGTCCTCTACTCCGTTGCATCCGTGATTGGAACAATCGAACAGAACACTAACCATAATTTGTAACCAACAGATTTCTCGCATCGAGTACATCCATTCGCGCGCTCTCGTTCACCGAGATATCAAGCCTGCGAACTTTGTGATCGGAACGGGCAAGAACACGTCCTTTATTAACATCATTGACTTCGGTCTCGCAAAGAAATACAGAGACTCTCGAACAGGTGATCATATTCCATACCGTCAAACCGACCAACACGGCGTTGGCACTAGCTTGTTCGCAAGCTTGAACGCGCACATAGGAGTTGGTACGTGGCTTCCATGTTACTCGGAGCAACAGAACCCTCGTTGACATGGTTATGGTTCTCCTCGTGCAATCAGAATGTTCTCGACGAGACGACCTGGAGTCTCTTGCCTACCTGCTCATTTACTTCATGCGCGGCACGCTTCCCTGGAGGAAGCTCAAGGGATCCACGACTGCCGAGACGTGGGATCTCATTCGAGACAAGAAAATTGAAACTGCTCCACTACTCACTGTTGGGCTCCCAGCTGAATTTGAAGTCTTCTACTCATACGTTCGGGGCCTAGAATTTGGCGATTTGCCTGATTACGAAGGCCTGAGACAACTCTTCCGTGGGTTGGCCGAACGAGAGGGAATCAAATACGATGGACAATTTGACTGGATTGTGGCGAGTGCGGCATCTTCATCTTCACGAGGTGGGAACAAAAGAGCAGGTTCGATAGGGAGTGAGAAGGGAAGAAAGAGGGCGTGCAGGACTTGTGACGCCTGCGCTGCTGCTCAGAACGCAGGGAGTGGGAGTAGGAAGTCATAGTAGTTGGGGGATTGGGTTGGGACATGATACGGTCTGCATGCTGGTACGTGCATGTTCCCCTCGTGGGCAACTTAATCGGCTATGAACTAACGAGCGTCTTTCCGGACCCATTAGAAAACTTCTCTTGAGCTTATGCTTGTGCATGCTAAAGGGAGTCTCGTCACTAGGCCTAGCCCTTGGCGGAAGGGCGAGGCGGAGTGATGTTGGATGCTCTCCAGACCCGGAACGCGAGGGAAACATTTGGTTGATGTCGTCTCCCTCGGACTTGAAGGTGGTAGGGTAGTTGAACTTCTAGCCCGACGCGTTTTACTTCTTGAATACTTACACACCAGAGAACTGACTTAAACTACTGTGGCAAACCATTATGATTGTAATTCTACCAAGGTTCGTTTCGTTTCGTGCTCGCACTCGGAAGCTGTGCACTAACGTCACTCTTGTTGTCTCTAATGTGCACAGCCCACATTCTCTGGCGTTCAAGTGTTCAGGCGCAAAACAATTGTGTTGCTCGGGGTTGTGCGTCCGTGCATTGGCCGACGACCATGGAGGTTGTGTAGCCTTTAGTATGTGATTAGGTCTATCTATGTTATGCAATATCTATGTTGCCGCAAACATGCAGGTCTAGTTGGTGTGTGGGTTCGGCCACGGGGGCGCCGCTGGCGTCGAATTTGCGGATTGTTGTCTCGGTCAGGTCAACGATGCAGCACGAGGCATTATGAACTGATCATATTATGCGAGGTACTCAAGCAGAACTCAATTGGAGCTGGCGGCTGCAAGTCACAGCGATCAGAAGCGTCCGAATTCCACCTTGAAACATACTGCAGGAATTCCCATCACTACGCTTATAAGTACACTAATGATATCAAAAGTCCACAAATGTCTGTATAGTCCAAAGTGAGTCCATCCCATTCACTATCCTTCATCTGCCAACCATGAATAACTATGAATCAAAGTACTTGAACCTTCGCCGGTCTACAAGTGTCAAACTGATACTCCGGATGGTAGGCATCGGGCTTGTACACTAAGCTGAACACGTTGAATGCATGTTCGACCGATTCTGCGCAGAGGGCAAACGAATCCGTGTCTCCATCGACTGCAAGGAGGGTGGTATTGTTCTCATCTTCTTGAGGCTAAACCAGAGCGCTCAGCATCGATATTCAAGATAGACAAACTACTTGGCTGACACGCACCACTGCACAATATATCCCGGCGGGATCCGCGGACGGTGATACTGCGAACGATACAAATGATCCTGCGATCGCCGGTTGGGCCACTGGTCCGGCAAAGCTGAACACGGGGGTCAAGGCACCATTTTGAAGCTCGAACGAGGTACTGAACGGAACGTTCGGATGTGTGTTCAAGGTCTCCACCACTTGTCAGCTCAAGACCATATTATTGGTATGTGCTCGTTACTCACTCCTAGTACCTTTGTAGGCGTCCCGTCGGTAGGATCAGCGAGAACGATCGATTGTGGATTTACGGTAGTCCCGTCAGTGACCCCGAGAATAAAGCCAAAGCCCGAAGTAGTATCGTCGAATGCATTCGGGCCTAGTCCATCGCAAGCTGAGCTGGAGTTATGCCTTGCTGCGATGTTGAGAGGGGAGGCTGACACGACAGTGGAAAGAAACGCGAGTATGAATGTGGAAAACATCATTGTGCGCGCGTGTTTTTTCTTTCCTTCTGGAGGTGTGGAATGGGCGACTTAGGGAGTGGTTGCAGTGAAGAACGAAGAAGGTGAGCATCGTACACGTTGACTATATAAACTTTTGACCAAACCCTGGGTCCGGCCAGGCGGCCACACATCGGAACTAGCGAAGACAATGCTTCTTGACGGCGTCACACGGTTCAGATGGCTTCAATGCTCTTTCAGCCACTCGAGTACTCAACATTTGAATGTTGCAGTACTAGCACAATATTCGGCTAACCAAGTCATGTCAAAGGAACCTTTTGTCTCTAGTAGGAGCATGACTAACCAATTATAGTGCAGGCAAGCTCATTGCGGCCACGACGATACCTTGCACATGACAACGTGCGCTCTTCTACTTTCCCATGTCCGATGTGTCAAAGGCAAATTCAGACTAGAAGTTTGCAGCTTCAGGTAGGACGATCTCTTCGGCTGCTTGATCATCTGCATAATCGAAGTGCTCATTTGTCTTTTTAGTGTGGGGTCGATGGAAAGCCGTCATTCAAATGCCTATCCTTCTGGTAGGTGTCCAATATGCCAATATCTGGTATCTATTGGTGGCGTATGGTACTCGCAACAAATTATCCTTTTCTAGGGTCTTCCGTAGTATGAGAGGTCAGCAGTTGAGCTCTTCTCTTTCTCGTCATTTCGGCACTGAGTCGCACCTTTTTGAAACAGCCCGGCCTACTCTCGACATCGGGCAGGCCTGAGGCTGTCTACTAATCAGCTTTTGCTGCTATAAAAAGACACCGGACGATTTCCGCAACTTCCGCGTCCTAGCTCTCAAACAACGAAGATGGTCGAGTTTCGGGCGTAGTGCTTTAGTACACAATCTCTAGCGGACGATCTCTTCTCATCTATCTCGAGCTGCTTCCGATGAATTCACAGGGATTCACCATCTTAATTACGAGTCTGTTCAAAACACTAAATTGTGCCAAGCATGACAAAGTCCAAAATAACCAACGATGCAAAGGTCCAATGGTATTTGTAAGTAAGCCAAGTCCGTTGAAATGTAGCAGCTCCTCTCTAATACTCGCAGCTCACTACTGCCTACTAGAATATGACTCGCACCTTGCCGGATCGGCAAGTATCGAAGAGATACTCAGAACTACCGGCGTCAGGCTTGTACACCAAGCTGAACACATTGAACGCAGGGTTGGCTTCCTTCTCGGCGCACAATGCGAACGAGTCCGTATCTCCGTTGACGGCAAGGAGGGTTATGTTGGTCCCATCCTGAGGCTTTAGAAGGAAGTGTCAATAATTCGAAATTAACACTTCAGACTTCATCCATCCAATACGTACCACGGCGCAATACACAGAAGCAGGTGTGGTGGAACCCTGCGCAAAAGATACGAAGGATCCGGCTGCTACAGGCTGGGCCACTGGCCCGGCAGCATTGAACAACGGGGTCAAGGCGCCATTCTGAAGGCCAAAACTGGTCGCAAATGGGACATTTTGATGAGTGGCAAGGGTCTTTTTTTATTTGTCAATTCAATGAGTGTAACTGATATTGAATTATGACTTACACCAAGAACCTTGATCGGAGCACCCGACCTTGGGTCAGCCACTACGAGGCTTTGGGAATTCACAGTAGTTCCGTCGGAGACTCCGAGGAGGAAGTTCCTTGTTGTATCGTCGAATGCGTTGGAGCCTAGTCCATCGCAGGCTGAGCTACGTCTTGCAATCGTGGAAGGAGAAGCTGCAGCAGAAGCGAGGACGAGCGCGAGGCTGATGACACCAGAGAGGGTTGCGCGCATATTCTTCACGTGGAGTGCTATTGAGGTGAATGGTTGGGTAGAAAAGTGAGGAAGAGAATCTGCACATACACGTTGACTTTATAGCAGGCCGTTTAACCGTCGCGTTCCGACAAGGTCACAAACGGCCTCACGGCGACCAGCTTTTTGATCGTTTGAGAGGTCAAAACACTGCCAGGAAGGTGGATTATGGCCGACGATGTGACCTGCAATAGCCGTTAGTATGGACCACATGGTGGGACACCTGTATGTTGGCATCTGATCAATTCATACGGTCTCAGGCTTTACGGGTTTGAGACCAAGATGCGGGGGAGGAGAGGTAAATAGGACTGCTTCAGTACGACTCTTCGTGAGACAAATGAACTACAGGCATAAGGTATGAATCTTGTTCACGAAAAGAAGAAAAAAAGTATAATGCCAATATAAACAGAATATCTGTTCGACCGTTAACAGCACCCCATACATGTCACCGTTTACCATCACTTAGCTATAGACTACCTCGGTAGCCCGCTGCTGTTGCTACGCCGTTCGAAGCACCGCTTTTACTGGGCATGTCCGAGTCGGAACTGTTGCAGCGACGCTCTAATTATTATTGCCAAGCCGTGGCGCACATGCAGAAATTGCAGGGCGTGGTCAAATGAACAGCACCTCGCATACGACTGTAGCCTCAGGATATCATTTCACAACCGCACGAAATACAACAAAGGTTTCTTGCAAAAAGTAAAGCCAAAACCAAACAAAAAAGTCATTGATGGAAGCCCTCAGCAACCTCCTGAAATGAGGCCTATCAGAACCGGGCATTCCACAGGGTCCCAGCTGAAAATTTCTGCAGGCCTCCGAACCAAAATGAATGACTACGTTTGGACATTTTCCCTGTATATGCCCATTGAGTATGAGGCGTCATTGAAAGTTGAATGGTTAACTCACGGAAATTGTCCAATGACGTTGCCTTGTGAGAAGTACTCACATACAAAGTACTTAGCTGTCTACATGTGGAATTGTCATTATAGCGGCTAGATACGAGTTGGTGAAGCAACACCGTGGTACGTACCCCGTATTCAGGCGGGAATATATTATTGCACGACTGAACCGCACATCCGACCTGATCAGTTCCCTTCCATACAACCTGAGTGAAGTGTGATGGCTGAGGGTCGTTTGGATCGTATTCCGCTACGGAGGGTATGAGTTAACTACCACCTTTCAATAAATCGGATGTCTACGTACACACTTCGTCTGTCCAGGACTTAACCGCCTCATGGATACCATAGGAGTCTCCCGTTCCCGCGGCGAGATTTTCTATTTGGACATGATGAGACTTAGATATGATTCCCAAATCCGAAAAGGGACGAGCGGTTCATGCTCACCTCCATACGGACCAAGCCTTCCTCCGGAATGTTGGAACACACAGCCATTTGCCCAAGTCTGTGCTTTGTCAGCCGCCGCGTCGCTCCAAGTCAAGGGTTGGGCGCCATGCTGAGCACGCACGACATTGTGTGCGGAGAGATATTGTTGAACATCAGCACTAGAGGCTGAAGAACGTGTAGCAATATTCTGTGCGGGAGTAATTGATAGTCGTGTTCCTCTGCAAGACGCAATATGGTAGATGTCTTCATGGCCAGATGAAGCGTTATACACAACAATGGAATGCTGTGGGGCGTCTGGTGTGGCAACGTTCGGAGAACATAAGGAAAATAAGTCTGCATTCCCATTGAATGCTAAGTCGAACGATTCATCTTCAGGGTCCTCTGACGGCTAACATTGACGGAATCAGGTTGAGGGTTGACAATCATGATATTTGACACATACCACAGCACAGAAGTCACCCTCACCGACGTCGTCAACGTTGTCCACTCTCCGGAAGAGCAAAGGCTGTCCAGCAGCAGAAGAAATGGCATTGCCGACGAATTCGCTCCCAGTGACAACGAAGGAGCCGTTCCTTAATGAGAACGCTGGCAGAGGATTTGCAAGACCAGGGGTAAAGACCTGGAAGAATGAGCGTCAGTTCATATACTGCGTCAAGTTAATGTATAATTACCGCGAGCTCGGCTATATCCTGGTTGCTGGCATTGAAGCCCGGGACAGCGAGCGCTAAGCGAGCCACGTCGCTAGCGTTCAGGGTGAAGGTGCCAATATCCTCTATGGCAGATGGAAAACCCAAACATCTGGACTCCTCGATTGGGGGAAGAGCGCGAGAAGAGGGGAGGGCATATGTCTGTGTGACAGCGGAAACGAGGAACAGTGGGAAGGAGACCAAGGCTTCAAACATCTGAAATATGTAGTGCGAGGTGTAGTGCGAGATGGAGTGAAGGAGAAGTCGTGGATCGGGCGAGGGAAGTACGAAGAGCAAGTTAGCTATCAACGAACCAGGAGGCTGACCCCCCCGCCTTTGTATACGAGAAATGATGTCACAATGGGATCGCGCGCGGCGCACATCAGGTTTTCAGGTGGCGAGCTAGTAGTCGATGACCAGCGCAAGGAAAAGTCCGAGACCTGCGAAGGAAGCTTGCTCGGTTCCATTTGACTAGCCATGAGACGAACAATGTTGATGTCTTGGGAACTTGACCATACTCCGCTCAAGCATTATATCGCGATAGCAACGTTCGAGCACCGTTTACGTGTCAAGATGACCGGAATGCTACAACGGAGTTCCCAGAGAGTACATTGACCTTCCTTATGAGGCCCACAGCAGTGACTTGTTGACATAAAGCAGCACGTAAAAGTTACGTGCATGGGTTATGTCCAAAATATGTAGAAGCATCCTGGAGACTGAACCGTTCGTTGACCACAAGGCGTTTGAGAAGCACTGATGTAGCATGAACGATGAGCAACCGTTCTAGGAAATATGCTGAGCATATCGTATTGGGAGGCGAAAACTTGGATGTCCGTCGCAGTCGAATGGAAGAGACAACGCGGTGCGTGACTAAAGCAGCCAGGACCCCAGAAAGTCAACCTTACAATATGTAAGCCTGCTGGTCAATGGTAGGAAGTCTCCATACCCGACCGATGCAGCAGATACATTATGAGTAGTAGCATCGGCTGCGTGGAGTATGGCCTCTTCTGTAATCTATCAGTCAGTTATTATGGAATGTAGTACCTATTATTGCACACCTTCAGTACCGAGACGTGAGGTTCTGAACTTGAAGATGAATTAATGGAGTAGGCCATTTTTACAAATATCTTCAGCAGTCGCCTTCCCGGAAAACATAGCTACGTTGAATGCGGGACACATCTCGCAGTTAAAAAGCAGATGAACAAATCCCTCACGAGATGAAAAAGTCATTAATTTTGCCAAAACCCGAAACGTGGCGGATCCGAGGATGACATCGGCGGTGGGTGGTTTTTATCGTAGGAGCAGGAACGATACTTATAAGTCGATTCGGGCGAGAGAGCCTTTGGAATGTCATATAACATATGTCAATGTCGCACCTCATGGCATAAAGAGCAATGATTCCAAGAAATATTGACTTTCAAGCATCATGGCAATTAAATTGAAGAGAAAGGGATGCAGGCGTCTGTCGATCGAGTGGATTGATCTCAACCATGGCCTCGTCCTCGACCACCGTCCCCATCCAGACGTTCTCGCCTAATGAGCGTGTTCTCTGTTATCATGGACCGCTCATTTACGAAGCCAAGGTCCTCAAAGTCGAGAACTGGGACGAGACGACAACCAAACTTGGCACCGTAGGGCCACACTACTTTGTACATTACAAGGGATGGAAGCAGACGTAAGTGTTCGCCACTTCCCTGACTCTGTTGGCATGTTTTAATTTTAGGTGATGTAGTTGGGATGAATGGGTACACCCAACACGGTTGCTTAAACTCAATGAGAGCAACCTCGCCTTGCAGAAGACGCTCCAGCAGGCCAACGCTGCCGCTACTGCTTCTGCCGCAGGATCGTCAAGTGGCGCGACAGGAAAGAGTGGAATATCAGGGAGAAGCCATGCTGCCAAAGATGCCGGCAGGAGTGGTCGCAAAGACGGCACAAGAGGAACGAAGCGAGGTAGAGAGGAGGTGAGCTATGACAAAGTGTTCGAGCATGAGGTAAATATTGATTTATGTTTGCAGGACGATGGAAGCAAGAAGCCAGAGATGAAGCTCAATGTGCCGGAAGCATTGAAGGTACTTTTGGTGGACGACTGGGAAGCTGTCACCAAAAACAGCCAGGTATGTTCATCTCCCTAGACATGCTCTTGGATGCCAATTTGAGTACCGTATTACAGTTGGTACCATTACCAAGGAGCCCGAGTGTTATTGAGATCCTCGAAGAGTTCAAAACATATATCCTTGAACAACCGAAAACGAGGTGAGCTCTTTATCTTTACTGTGTTGATCTCAACTCATGCGCCGCTGGCCTGCTTTGTATAGTCTACGAGATCCGCCAACACTCTTACCAACCATCATCGCCGGACTTCAAACATATTTCGATCGTGCGTTAGGAGCAAACCTCCTATATCGCTTCGAGCGACCGCAGTATGCAGAGATGAGGCGGCAATACGTGACAGGGCCGCAAGTCATCGTTGGCCAAGAGAAAGAGATGAGCTCTATCTACGGTGCAGAGCATTTGTTGAGGATGCTAGGTACGTCGGATTTGTTTTCATTGACGAATGAAGCTTGACAGCAGTCTAGTGAGTCTACCGAACATGGTGGCGAGTTCTACCATGGACCCAGAGAGCGTAGGATTGGTGCGAGATTATGTGAATGAGCTTATGGCGTATGTATTCCATCGTATTATATCATACAAGAAAGCATATTAACTATTCCCTATGACAGATGGATGGTGAAAGAGCGAGATCGGCTTTTCATCAAAGAATATGACTCTGCAAGTCTAGCATACCAAAATATCTCACGCTCTTGATCACTTTAATTGGCTGTCTCATTTTTTTCCATGTTATGAATCCAGTTGCATTGAGCCTGCGTGTTTCAGTATCATGTATTACGAGTTGTTGTTCTTGTGCCCCTCTTTTTCGTGCCTCCGTTTGTTTGGTGCTGTTGTCCGTCGCCTTTTATCATCTTACCAGATTTGGACATGTCGCCAAGCCTGGGTGGGGTGGAATTACTTATCTCAAGTTGTCACGACTCAACCACACAAGAATATAGATGGTGAGACTCTCTTCAAGATCTCTCAATTCACACTACAGAACATGCGAAGGTCTTAGACTAATATACTCTGTGTTTCGAGAAACCCATCACTCACACGAAGACACGAACATCCTCTGCCCATATTCCCGTTAGTTCAACTCCTTAAGCCCCAAAACAAGAATCATATCATCAGGCCAAACTAGGGTTAAATATTACGTATAAGCAGAACGAGCTTACGATGATTCGCCTTTAAGCCCGCTCCAACCACTCTTGCTGACCTTAGCATGCGAGCGGAGGTAACTCAACAAGTGCAGCAGCCGTGTCACTGTTAGATCTTATTACCCTATGAAGTCTTCATTCCGAGTCCGGAGCACGTACCCCGGAGGACGATGCGAGGAACATATACAGCGAACCTGGTGATCAAATTTAACGTGAGTATCCCAGGAGATCACGCCAAAATAGATTTCAGTACATTCTCTCAGAAATTAAGATCTAGCAGGGATTTGGCTATTGTGCATCTTGTTACCCCGCTGGCCGTTCTAGTCCGAAACTTTCAGTCCTTGAGGACTCTAGAGCATGGCAAAGAATTCAAGGAAGTAGCGCAATAAATTGATGACGTCACGACAACCTCAGTGTGAGTATAAGGACTCCTTTCAGCCACCTGCACACGATTGCTCTTTCTTCCTCCTGTCATCCCCCACGCCTCGTTTTCAAAACTCACGAAGTTAATAATCACTGAATATGGCATCCTACATCGCAAGCATCGCTCAGGCCGCTCATCATGCTATTACGTCCCTGCTCAATATCGCCGAAGTGAAGCCTGGTAAGGTTAGTAATACTATGCGTGAGGTTCCAACATATATCATGTGCTGACGTGGCGACCACTTCTAGTTGACGGCCTAAAGTAGGGCTGCGATGAATCTGACTTCGTTAGGTTCCACCCTTGCAATTGATATCCCTTTAAAGGAGAATGAGGCCGATAAGACATTCACCCTTGAGGGTCTCTCTGGAAAGAACATCATTGTACGTCGTATATCCTTTTGCCTTGCTCATCACTTCTCATGAGGCTGTAGGTTGGAGTACCAGGAGCCTTCACTGGAACTTGCAGCGCTCAGATTCCAGGATACATCAAGAACTACGAGCAGTTCAAGGAGAAAGGAATCAAGGATATCTATGTCCTTGCCGTCAATGATGTCTTTGTCTTGAAGTAAGCTGTACCTACCATTCATACTGTGTGAAAGGGGACTTAGCCTTCATTTTGCGTCGATAGAGCCTGGAAGGAGAGCCTTGCACCTAATGGTACACGTGAGTATATGCTCTCTACTCAGGTTGTAGAGTAATCCTGACTCTTCCTGTTTTATTCTTGTAGCTATCAGGTTTATTTCTGATGACAGAGGTGCATTCGCCGGCACTCACGGTCTTCTCTTCGACGCAACACACCTCCTTGGTGGTCCCCGTGCCAAGGTACGTCTTCTCTACTGACTTCATTCTCTCAAATATGGTTCTCAACTTGACTGGGTAATCATCAGCGATTCGTCCTGGTCACAGAGGACACCAAGATCACTCACGTCGCTATTGAAGCCGTTCCTAGCGAGTTGACGATCACTGCAGCAGAGAAGATTTTGCCCTTGCTCTAAGTTTCTGAATCTTTTGTTAACCGTTTGCGGGAAATCTGGGAAGGAATGAAGTAAACTGAGAAGTTAGTTGTATTTGTAGGATACAGTACTATGTTGAAATGAAATCATGCAGGTGCTCTAGTTACGTTGGATCGCACATGAGAGGTACTCGCCGTGTATTCCTTCGTGGATCAGAAGTCATAGTTTTCTGAACGCCTTATGAAGGAGCGAGTTATATGGATAGCGAAGGTTGACAACTTGACACGGCGACGAAAGAATGAACTAGTACTGTACTTAGTACTAGTACTAGTACCAAAGGAGGAAACTGCCTAGAGGCTCTTGCATAACATGCCCAAATAGCCTGGTCGACACGTCTTACCTTTGTCTTATTGCCTAGTCTGCGTTCATGCATGCATGGATATGTTCATGGTTCAATGAAAAGTTCCCTACGTATCGTAATGTACGATATCTCAATACTTCACCTTTCTACTTGAAGTGAGACGGTATTACATTACATTCAATAATTGATCCAAATGTGCAGCACCTTCAGGCTCATGCAGAAATTCTCCTCGCATCCCTCAAAGAGGTCTCGACAATGCCACCTACCCGTCTCTGCCTCGAAACACTTTCCTTAAAACCAATGCCCCTCTGCTCCAAGCCTGTCAACACGCCTTTCCAAACTGCTCTGTCCACACCAGGTCCCCATACCCCTCTCGCACTAACCTTGCCATCCAACACAATCCTAGCTGCCAGTGCAACAGGTAATCCGACGGTGCGAGCCATAGCGGATGCCTGAGGTGTGCCGTAGGCCACAAGTGAGGACGTATGAATGGACTCTTCGCCAGTTGAGGGTTCCTGAGCAACGACCTCGTGTGAGAGTACGACAAGATCACGTTCTCCAGGTAAATAGCGTAGTCTGTGAGCGAGCAGGGCAGCGAAAAGCTCGATAGGAGTGCTCGGCTGGCTTGGAACTGCCGGTAGATCCGATTCTCCTACTTGTTCCGTTACAAGTGGTCTGAGAGCAGGAGGTAGGATTCCCAACGAAGAGCAGGCATCCAAGAGATATTGTGTATCTTCCCCAGGAAGGAGGTCGTTCAATGCAGACTGTAAAGAAGCAGTGTCATTAGGAAGAGGTGACCCAAGTCGAGCTTGAATTGTCTCTTGAATGAAAGATGACCAATGTTCAGGATGAACCTTGAGTTCAGTATCGAGCAGCCCTATGGACTTAAAGAGATGCATGAGCCGGGAAAACCCTTCATATCTAAGGGCAGACAAGAAGCTAAGGTCAGTCAATCGTATAACAGGAAAGGGGGGAAATGGCGTACCGAAGTGTTCCCCTGAACAGGGTGCGAATTCCGTCCAAAGGTCCGAGATCATATGTCTCTCGATATGGCAAACTATCTCGATTAGCAATACCCTCAAGCTTCAGAACGTCGGAGATAGGTAGGTTGGGGAAGCGTTCCTTCAGCAAATCACGACCTGGGATCTCCTGTACCTGTATGTAAATCCACAGTAAGAAGCTATGCTCGCAATGTTTGAGCTGTCAGATGAACCTGGTCCCAGAGTTTGAACCTAGCACTATTCAACGCTGCACTCAGGACCCCTTTAGGACTCCAACTGAACTTGTACTTCAACGGAACGCCTTCCGCGTTCTCAGGCGCAGGCAGTCCTCCGCAGAATGACGTGAAAGATACGACGCGTTTCTTCGCTTCACGAAGACCGTTGAACAAAGAGAAGGCAGAGCAGTGATCGATGCCAGGATCTAAACCGATTTCATTGAGAAGCAGGACTGAGGAGTCGGTCGCTCTAATTCGAATGCATATGTGAATTGACTGCGAACCAATAACATATGTCAGACACGTACCGTTCATGCAAAGATTTCATGGCAGGAGAGATATAGGATGCCGTGACCATATGCTTTCCGTGTTTGATGCAGAGCTCGGCGATTCGAGGATGGAAGGGTACCGGCAGCAAACTAGACAGACCAGGCAGGTAAGGTCATCAATACAGAGTCTCGGGTCTGACTCGGACTTCATACAACGTACCTGATAACGACATCAGCTTCAGAGACCAACGCGCCAACCTTGTCCAAATCGTTCACATCCAATGCAACAGACTTGGCATTGGAGTGGGAAGACGTAAGTCGCTGCGCTTCATGCAGGATATTACTAGCTGTCTTGGTGGTGAGTACTCCGGTGGTTATAAAAAGATGAGAATTTGGACACATACCAACAACTAGTTCCGTATCCTTCCAACTGCAGATTTCGTCAATCGCTGGCCCAGCAACCATACCACTCCCCAATACCAGTACTTTCTTCTTTCGTTCAGTTACCAGAGTACCAGAGTTAGCCGCAGACACGTGCGCAGAGTCAGACGAAGTCTTCGCGATGCTTTGCCTCCAAGTACTCAAGGGACCTTCCAACCACTTATGTGGCTCGGTGAGAACGCCGTTCTGAGCCACGGTCGCCCTGCCGAGCGAGCTGAGTCTTGCTTCCTCCTCGGCGTCCACTGGGATGGTGAGTTGACCGGCACCAGCTCGATATTGTCGAATCAAGGTCCGGAGGTAAGGATATAACACACTGGAAAAATGTTTCGATGCCTCGAGGGGAAGTGCAGTGGGAAGGATGTCAACAGACATCATAGTGATAGAAGGTAAATGCGCGGGAAGGGAAGGTGGGCGAGTCTTGTAAGATGGTAAAGAGAGAGTAGAAGGTCTCGGCATGTATTCAAGGCCACCCTGAATCGTATCGTGAATCAGCGAGTTTCCGAGACGTAAATGGAATACACGTACCTCGACATCGCAACTAATGTCACCTACACAGATGAATCTACCCCTTCCAACTTGCCGGGCTCTTTCAAGTGCGTTGGCAAGCTGCTCATTGGTCATGAGACGGGGAAACGACGGTGCCCAGCCTGCGCCGTTCATCAAGAGTGTCAAATAAGGCGCCACCTAAGGAAGATAGCATGAGCAGAGTTTAAACAGTTTACGAATGAGCATCGTACCTTGAGGTGGAACTCGGATTTATAGTCGGACGGATTGGCGTAATAGTGTGAACGGTCATACGGCTCACCACCACGTCGTATGAAATAGTCTTGCGGAAGAGCATGTACAAGATAAATCTATACATAAAGCTGTTAATCAATTGCTAAATAAATGTTCTGTCGAGTTAGCTTACCTGGTCAAGTCGAGTATCTATGTTGTCGAATGAGAAAATTCATGAAGGATGGTCGCACTATGGAAAGACCTACTTGGATCAGATACGAGCGTGGGGAGCTCTTCCACTCCCACTTTGCATATTGGCAGGTGCTTCAAGAGGTCAAGTACACCCTCCGAGACTTTGCCTGTTCTAACGCCTCGCTTGTGTCAGAAGATACCATTCATAATCATTGGGAAAGCAACAATGACTCACCCAGTCACACCTATAACTATGGGGCCGACACCTTTGGGGGTCTGGTTCGAACTTATGGCTAGTCCGACGCGTTCTCGCAATGTTGAGATGATTGATTCGAGATTAGGAAGATTATGTGGTCGCGGGGTATACTGTGAGATGAGGTTGAACGTGACAACAACAGTCTATTGGAAATTAGACATACCAGGAAGGGACTGGCAACGCCCAGTTCCAACAGTGCGTGTGCTAGTGCAGAAAGCGATTCGAGTGCACCAGCGACTACAGTCATTTAATAAGCATATATAAGAAAAATTATATGGCGTGAAGGTCCATAGAGCTATATAGTGAGTATATGCGCGTGTTCCAGTAGAAAAGCGCGTATGCAACCACTCATATGCATTGGAAAGACTATGTCTACTTGTCAATAACGGATGCATACCTCCAGCAAACCATCCGAATCCAACCGTCCGTTTCCCATCCTCTCCGGTAAGCAGTTCATAGTCTATCAGTCTCGCTGGTAGATTCGTGGCATCCTTAGAAACAAGGAACTTGGACAGCAGTTCCATATTGTACAATTGTCCCTTGGTGGTATGTGAGAACATGAGATGAGTCCGAGGCAGCAGCTCTGGAGGTCCATTGTAAGGTGAGGGTACTGGGTCAACCAGCATTTCGTGTACAGGCGGCTCCTTGATACCAATGGTAATGTGGGTAGGTGAGAGAGTAGGGTGGACTCGAGCACCCGCCTTCCCGTAGAGCAATGAGGTCCATAATCAATAGACATGATCGCGTCACTCACTTCGACAAACTCCTTTGAGCTCCATACTCTTCGCTCACAATCTTGCACTAGCACGTCCACATCCTCCGTCTGAACGAGCTTAGCGACAGCCTCAGGGGAGACAGGACACCGTCTCTCCCATATTCTCTGAGGATCCTCTCGACGTATCCCAATGGTCAATTTCTTGGGTCGCGAGGCATGGTAAGCCCGTCGCGCGACGCGATGCAATGTGAGTCGAGTGCGCCGTAGGACCGTCATGGTTATATCCTTAGAAAGCACACTTCACTTAGTGAAGCTACTGCACATATGACACTAGAATGGTAGAACGCGGGTGAGCGCGTCGTTTGGCGAGGTGGTCACCCGAATAATAGATCCGAACCGAGTCACGACGCTGTTGGTGGCGCTGATAGTGGAAGAACAGCCTATCTGGCCGCCCTGTATCGAACTTCAACCTTGTGATATCGTACTTTCAAATGTCTCTGTGGACGACGGGAGGACAGTAAAGCAAGATTACCATATATTCACTAGACCTGCCTTTCCGGGGACCATACGGAAGTGGTCATTATCGTTCCATTTGGAGAGAACGGTCTCCTTTGCACGGGGTTCATGCAGAGCGACCATCCCCGTAGTGTTACGTCGTAATAGCAAGTATACTCGTTCCAGTTATCTACTGATCTGCTACTGATCATCCGTCGTGGTCGATGATGTACTCATGATGACCAAACGTTTTCGGCTTTATTGAGCCATATCAAATTACCGCCCTTGCCCTTTGCAACTTCGTCGTATATAAAAACCAGCTATATATCAAATGCATTGACTCGTGCTGACTTATTCAGACTTCAAGCCTCTTCAATAATATCCCTCACATTCCTTACCTCTGTCATAACCCTTACGGCCATGTTCTTCGCTTTGTCTCAAATCCTTGCTCTTCCTCTGGCCTTCAGTTCCGTCTCTTTCGCTGCAGCCCTACCGACTACAACTTCTCTGAGGAATATCCAGAGGAGTATTCCTAGGCCATGGTGCGATGGTCTGGGAGGAGGAGCCTTCGATGAGCAACCTAACCTCAGCCTTGCGGCATACAACACGTCCCTTCCTAATGCCAACAGCACTGGAGCACCCATTGTGTTGGGTCAGGCAGGCGCAATAGCCGGAGCCGAGTTCAAAGTTCTGTCTGTGAGCCCTCTGCTGGACGCTATGCCAAACTACATACTAAGTCCAGCCATAACAGACCTACGCTTCCTACCCGTATAATGATTTCCCCACCTTCTCTCTGGACGAAGGTGCTCTCGTTCCTAAGGGCGCTGGCATAACTGTAGCCGACACTGATGTACTCGTGGGAGGCCAATTGGGCTTCGTTGTCACGAACCTCAACCCACCTACACCGGCTCAGATCTACTGTGCTTTGGTGCGTAGCTTTCCTGCGAGAAATGTCGATCGCGAATATTAACTGCTTATCTCAATTCTAGGCTAGCACTGATCCTATGGGTGGCGGAACCGGCCTACCTGTTCTTGCTGTACATGGAGACCCTGATTCGTTCTCTCTGTGTCGTGCTGGCGATGATCCCCTCGCTCAGACAAATGTCGTGTATCAGGCGCAGCCGAACAACACTGGCTACATTTACGATTCTTGTTATCCCGTTCGGCTCCAGATCATCCCGCTCTAGAGCCAGAAGAGGAAGAATGAGTTGGACTCTAATTCTCATGAACACGTTGGACCTTTTATCACATTACATTACGGACTGTAGATACTTTCGTATAGTACATACATACTCTCTTAATGTAGCTTTCATTTTCGGACATCTTCTGCTGTGTGTCATACATACCTTCTACAAACGCATTGAATATGACTGATGCAAATGAGAAGGAGGTCTGACCATATGGCTACGGAGAAATACCCTCAAACGGATTTACTCACGCGACGCGTCAATAATGCCAAACACCGCGCCTTGGTCGCGGTGCAGTGCCTGAATGCATTTCTCTTCGATCACCAGTACCACCATCTCCTCTCTTCAAAATGGCTCACAAACCGATACAAAATGCTCAGGCGAGCTCATCGACACAGGATGTCGACATGACATATGATCCCGACCAGAATCCGGAGGAGCAGCGAGTGGTCCGACAAAGATACCGTGATATGTACGGGAGTCAGTGACCAAAACAGATGCACAATAATTAAATACTCATTCAGCTCATCTAATATACATAGAATTAGGGAAAGATACTCCCGTTGATAATCTCGTACAAACTGTACAAAAAGCAGATGTGCTTTTCGAGAGGGGTACGATTGCCACTCTCACCTCAATCTGAAAGTACAACTCACAGTCGCGCTTGTCATGCAGTCAAGGGGACAGCAGAAGCTACCCTTGACTCTACAGTCCTCCTTCAGGCCTCCTCACTAGGAGTGCAAAGAGCCCGGGCTATGAAATCTGGATCGGGAGCTTTTGATATCGACGACTTCATCACCAAGCTTGTGATCTTCATGGGCGGTCGAAAAACGGTAGATTTAGCTGATAACGATGGTGATTCGTACAACGACGATGCGGAGGACGATGGAGCACCACTTGATTGGGAAAAGGTCGGAAGGAAAGTATTGGCGAAGAGTCATCGTGTCCCAGTAATGGATTTCATGTGAGTTTCGCTCATTTAAAGCCGCTTAATTGACTTAATGGATCTTATGAATAGGCTTGGGCCGCTATCAATAGAACAGAAGAAACGAAATACCGTCAAACGTGCGAAGCTCGAGAAGAACAAGGCAGATGAGAAGAAGCCGCAAGAGATTACCGAAGACGATATCACCCGATCGGAAAACGAGACCACAAAGAACGTCATTGTCGTATGTCTCATTTACTTTAGCTTATCACCGCAATGTAAAACGAATCTGTCATAGCTCGAGAAACTCCTGGAAGAGATCCTAAATGAGTCAAACCCAGATGAAGATGATGCCGGCAAGATCAATCTCTTCAAGTTCATCGTTAATCCCAATGACTTTGGTCAATCCGTTGAAAATCTTTTCTACCTTTCTTTCTTGATTCGAGACGGTAAAGTCGCGATGGAAACGAATGAGAAGGGAGAACCTGTCATCTGTATGTCTTTTCCACTGCGTCATGATGTACGATCCTGAATGTCGTTCAGTCATTACGGAACAACCAACGCAGGAAGATTATAAAGAGGGATTGAAGAAAAGACAGATCGTCATGGAGTTTGACATGACCACTTGGAAAGTGCGTAAAGGCGCCCTAATATTCTAAAGCTTGACCTCATTACGTCCCTGGCCTTCTAGCGTGCTATTGAAGTCTTCAATATCACAGAATCCGCCATCCCTCAAAGACCGAAGCAACAAACAGGCATAAAAGGAAAGTGGTACGGTTGAGCTACCACTTTCCCTACTTTTCATCCTGGCCATCTTGACCTTCAATTTTCTCTCCCTTCTCACATATTCTTGCTCTCGCTTGGTTTCTGGTATGAATACATTATTTTGTATGTATTATACTTCGACTCGCTTTCTTTTGCACGTATACACATGTACCTCTACTGTACTCACGACGTTCCAATACTCATTATATCCTATGGTACACCACTAACTTCTGTATATTCTTTCTAACTGAGGCTTTTGTGCATGCATTGCGCTCAGTATTTCTGTGAACATGTGCATTCTAAAATTCACAGCGGTTGTAATAGTAATGCACTGGTGAGCAGCAACACAGCGCCGTTTGATGAAGACTGCGTGCAACTGAAGTTAAAAACGGGGCCAAAATGTCAGTGGGTGACGGTACGTATCATATGCAGAACAACTCACCTTGATCCCGCGAGATATCGTGCGTGTCCCAACAGAAGCTTTATCGAATGCGAAGGCGGCGCGGAACTTTTCGCGGCTAGTGCTACAGTCATTGGGCGAGCCCATTCTTTTGAGCAGATTGCTTCCATAAGCTCAACGATAGCTCCGTCATCAGGTCGATCGAAAGGATTCCCGGCCCAACACCCTTGCAGTAGTGACCAGAGATCGTCAGGTAGTGACAAGCCGTTCTCCAGGGTAGGCCGAGAGGGGCGTAAGCCCTTCAAGACTTTCGCGATCACTTGAGCATCGGACGGAACACACGAGAAGGGTACCTTGCGAGTTAAAACCTATCACCACAGATATTAACAACAAATCATGAAATCTTGATAAACTAATCACCTCTACACAGAGACATCCAAATGAGTATATATCACTTGCATAGGTTGCTCTCTGCGACGACTTGAGCAGTTCTGGAGCCATCCATCTCGCAGCGCCTCCTACGTGAGAGCCCAATGTTGCTGTCGTGGAATCCGCGAAGAACGCAAGGCCGAAATCAGCCAGTCGGATGTGCATGTAGTCGTCAACGAGTATATTCGCCTATATGGTTATATGAGAGCAGCGACGTTCTATAATTATGCATGTACTCACACCTCGAAGATCTCCATGAATAATCCCTTCGGCATGTAGGTATTCCAACCCTTGAGAGATCTCTAAGAGCTGTATTTTATTTCCGAAGTCTCAATTGATGTCAGTACAAGGACACTGTTTGACACATACCCAGCGTTCAAAAGGAATTCTAATTCTTTTAGAGTGAAGTGATTGCATACACTCGTGTATGTTCCCATTCCGCATCCACGGAGATACCATGCAGTGTCTGCCTCGAAAGGTGCTGTTGTCTGCTCCCAGCAGCGGCAGGACGTTCGCGTGAGACAACTGGGACCACACGAGCAATTCTCGGCAAAAAGCCTAATGTAACCCCTCAGAATAGGACAGACAAGGCAGGAAAAGCAGGTCATACCTCGTGATCCTCGGCACCATTGTGGCGGTTCTGATAGACTCTTAGCCTTTTCAATGAGACATATACATCATTATATTTGGCTCGGAAGACTTCTGCGTACTGCCCTTCTCCGCAGGGAATTCTGTCGTGTTCATGACATATGATATCGTGCAGGAACAGCCTCGACGGGATGACTCTTGACACCTTCGACAAATGTAAGAATAGACGACGCAGAGATAAGCGATAGGGCGCGGTGGCTCGCGAATGAAATGCGTTCAAGGAACGTTTGCTTGACATCTGGTAGACATAGAAGAGTGTCAGCGCCAGAATAAGGTCGTCAGCAACTGTACGTACCATATCCATCATCACGAAAAGAACGCGTTCGGCCGCTTCTCCACGGAGGGACAAGACAGTATCTTTGTGTATCTGAGACGTATACGCCAGACAGAGCAAATGTTGTATCCTGTGGTCTAAACCTTTGTCATTGACATCCGTTCTCACAAGTGCGTCATGTAGTACGCTCGCCAACACCGAAGCCACGTTGGTCTTTGTCTCGATTGCAGCTAGAAGGCACGACACTTGCGCTTTTAGGCTATTCAACGAACGGCGTATGAGATCGTGCTGTAAGTTGCTGATCCCTAAGGCGTGACTGTTGGAAGAGACGAGGGAGGGTACGTCCGTAGGAAAATATCCATAAGTGGCGCTTTGGGCTTGGCAAGTTACATCAAACCAATCGTGCAAGTTGAATTGTTGCAACAGATGGTTCCGGCCGTCCAGTAAGTCACAGACCTCGGTACAATGACGCGATGTACGGTGCTTGATTACTGAAAAAATTTGAGGCATAACAGTTTCGGAGTGTCTGGATCAGGCAGTGGGTAAAGACGAGGGATGGATATACTACAATGCTACGCACTCTTATATTTTGCGGACATTCACATGACGTCGAAAAAAATAACCGGTCAATCAGTTTACTGTCAACTGAACGGGTTTCCGAAAGCCCTCGAATCACAATTAGGACAAATTCATCACGCACCGCCAACTTATTCATAGCATTTGCGTCGTCTGCGGTCTTACGACCCGATCTAGGTTGAGATGTATCAAATCGGGACTACATGTCGAAAAGATTCCCGTCCTCCAACCTGCGGTCATAGATGCCCTAGCTCCGGCGATGATAGACGTAAAAGAGAGTGAATGGGCGACGCTGTGAAGGGTGTATTTGTATCCAAAGCTGTGGATAGATGCTGATTGCGAAGTGTGGAAATAGCATGTATATGACCGCGAGCATGCCCCGTCTCCATAGAATACAAGTATCATCAAACCTTATATAGTCAGTATTAATATTACTGTTTGAGTTTGGCGAACATCTCCTTCGACAGTCCGAGATTAGCGATATCGGCCTCAAACGTCTTCCGCTGCAGCATACAAACCAACATTGTCAAGCTAGGTCCTCATCATAAGTCCAACAAACGCACCTTATCTGCGTTAGCCAGGCGTGTCTCTTCGGGAACGTTCTGTTCGTAATTCTTTTGTGCCTCTACCTTCAAAATCCTGTCCAGGTTCAGCTGTGCTAATTGGAGCTTCTTCTCGCACTTTGCAATTTCCTGATCAAGGTCAACCAAACCCTAGAAGAGGACATGTTTAGTATTGGAAACGCAGAGCACACGAAACACTACCCACTCGTACAAGAACGTGCACAATCACGTCCGGTGAGATGACAAGAGATCCGCAGCCCTCTGGCACCTCTTCTAGAGTACGCACGACTTTGGCACTTTGGCATCCCTTGATAAGGGAAATGATCGTAGGAAGTTGAGATTCGAACAACACAGCGTCATTGTCAGATAGTACACGGAAGAACACTGAAATAGACAGGAATGTTATCAGCAACAACAGACAATAGACAGGTAATCTATCACCTACATTGGATATTATTTTGTACATCGTAAGACGAAGCAAGCGATCGACTGGAAGTGACGACCTTGAAGATAAGGTCGAAATCTCTCTCCGCGTCTTCAAAGACAAAGGATGAATCCTGCACAGGCTGTCAAACACAGCATCGAAGGTTGCATGTTGAAGATTACTTACCGCCACAGGGTACGAGGCAATCATGATCGATGGAGTGGAGTCATTTGGACGGCGAGGGAGGCGTTGCCACAATTCTTCGGTCACAAAAGGCATCAAAGGATGAAGAAGCCGCAACCCTTGATCTAAACATGTGTATAAGGTTTGCCTGGCTGAGTTTCGAATAGGCTCTGGTGCAGAATCATCAGCCATCCACTTCATGGCTTCCTGGGAGACGAAGCAGTAGTCAGTCTTCAATCATCGTTATTGTGATTTAGAAAAGCCTTACAATGTAGACGTCACAGAGTTCATATAGCCAGAACGAGTAAATGGCAATAGTTGTTGCCTGGAAGTTACGTTCCGTCAGGCGGCGGTTTACCTCCGTCGCGGCAATGTTCAACTTGTGGAAAATCCACTTCTCCACAAGGCTCTCGTTACCAGTAGGCTGGAAATACATCATTAGACAGACTGTTTATATATGTGGTGTAGAACGCACCTTGGCTACAGGCTCAGGAACAAAGTTGTCGTCGAGTCGAAGCATAGCGAATTTAGTTGCATTGAAGATCTTGTTGCAGAACTTGCGATAACCTTCTACGACCAAGATGTCCAAATTAATGTCACGACCTGTTGTCCACGTATGTCAATTCTGTCAAATGCTGCACATAAAGACAGTCATTTTACCCACCGAATGTCTGGTAGGCACACAAGGCGAATCGCAAAGCATCAGTACCACATTGAGGAATACCCTTAGGGAAGTCCTTCTTCTGGCCTGATTTCGCCTTGGCGATCTCTTTATCGTCAAGATTACCCTCATAGAGCTTGGCGTGAAGACTCTCGAGATCGAGACCTTGAATGACATCGACGGGATCAACGACGTTCCCAAGGGACTTGCTCATTTTCCTTCCATGGGCATCACGGATCATCGCATGACAGAAAACTTCAGAGAACGGCATCTCGCCAGTAAGATGGATACCAAGCAGGACCATGCGAGCTACCCAGAAGAACAGAATATCCCATCCAGTTTCGAGCAAGGAGGATGGATAGAATTGGCGGACGTCGAAAGTCTGCAGGTTAGAACATTATACTGAGCACATATCAAGTACCAGATTCAGATAGCACTTACATCCTCAGGCCAACCCATGATACCGAATGGCCACAAGCCGGAAGAGAACCAAGTGTCAAGGACATCCTCATCCTGCTCAAGTGTGAACTTGGCATCGCCAGCGATCTCGTTAGCTCTCTCTGTAGCTTCCTCCAATGTTCGGCCGACGACCCAATTCTTTCCATCATTGGCCTGGACGTCGTGAATCAGCAAATGGTTACAACGAAGGCGGGAGGGTTGTAACTCACATCTTGATTCTGGCCCTCGATCCTCACCAAATATGCTGGACAACGATGACCCCACCAGAGTTGTCGTGATATACACCAATCCTGGATCCCTTCTAACCAGCGGTACCACTCGTTCTCAGAGGACTTCGGATTAATGTTTAGCTCTCCGGCTCTGGTCCGCTTGATAGCCTCTTCCGCAAGGGGCTTGCAATTCACCCACCACTGAGGTTTCAATATGGGCTCGATAACATCTCCGGATTTACTGGGAATACAACAGGTGAAAGAAGTGGAGAACTAGGAAAGACTTGCACTTACGCGCAGATAGGGATTTGCATGGGGTTGTTGACGGTATCAACGTACAAAGCAGCCTCCTTCAGAGCATTCACGACAGCTACCCTTGCGTGGAAACGTTTCATGCCCTTTGATCGCTGTCAATGAAGACCGTCGCAGCCACAGTAAGCTAATAGGCATACCTTGAACCTGGGACCAGCGTTCTCGTTAAAGGTTCCATCGTCGTTCAAGATGTTAATTATAGGGAGATTGTGTCGAACACCAACTTCGTAATCGTTGAAGTCGTGTGCAGGAGTGATCTTGACAGCACCAGTACCAAATTCCATGTCTACAATGATAGAGTCGGTGACGATAGGAATTCTACGATCTAGGAAGGGGTGTTTTGCGAATTTGCCGTGAAGGTGCTAAACAGATATTAGATCACCTTGTCAGTATAGGATGCTAAGGAACGTCTACCTTATACCGAGGGTCGTCGGGGTGAACAGCAATAGCCGCATCACCGAGCATCGTCTCTGGACGGGTAGTGGCGACAACGATTTTCTCGTCTGCGGAGCGAAGCGTTCAGTGGCTAGACCATATATAGTCAAGTTATTGATACGTTACCTGAGCCTTCTATTGGGTATGCGAAAGATGTGAGAACGCCAAACTCGAACTTCTCTTTAGGATCGTAACCAGGGACGTTCAGAAGTGTTCGTCCAGCGAGTTGTTTCTGCTCCACCTATTTAATCGGCATGGATTACCTGAAACAACTATCGAAGAGTTTCCAGTGACACACACCTCTAGGTTGGACAGGGTTGTATTTAGTCGGACACACCAGTTGACGAGACGGTTAGCACGGTAAAGGATACCATCCTCGTGCAGACGGCAGAAAGTCTCGATGACGGCTTTCGAGAAATTCTATTCTGAGATGTGAATCACATTACCATCTACATGGCGTTAATTACATACCTCGTTCATTGTGAATGCAGCACGGCCCCAATCGCAGCTGCCGCCCAATCGGCGAAGCTGATCCGTTATTCGATGTTGATACCTTTGAAATGAGCTCAGAAACGCGAGAGCCTCAATTATAGAATATACATACTCGTTTTTCCAGTCCAGTACGGTACCTAGGAATTTCTCTCGTCCAAGATCATGTCGAGTTTTGCCAGTGTTCTTGTATAGCCGCTTTTCAACAACGGACTGTGTAGAGATACCAGCATGGTCGAAACCTGGTACAAACAAAGTAGTTTTTCCAAGCATACGATTCCTAAATGCACTATTAATTTGGCCTCATTCAAATCCTATCGATATCACGAACCATCGGATGAGCGTGTCTTGGATTGCGATAGTCAGCGCATGACCGATATGCAGACTGCCAGTAACATTTGGAGGAGGAAGAGGGATAACGAATTGGCCTTCCGGTCTTGCCTTTCCATCGGGACCTAATTGCGGCTTAAAGAAACCTTGAGCTTCCCACCAGTCATACCATGCAGCCTCGACAGCCAATGGATTGTAACCAGTCGCAGACAGAGGCTGGCTCAGATCTACAAACTATAAATTAAGCATGTTACTTCTCAAGCAGTGAAAAGTCACGCACCTTTCTTCTCTCCCTTCGGAGTGGTGTTCACAAATGCAGGCTCTTCCTCCTTCTTCGGCTTTGCAACTTTTGCCTTCGCCTCAGATGCAACATTAGTCACTTTTGCTGCTGCTGCTTTGGCTGCAAACTTCGCCTCTTTGGCCAGACGTTTCGCATCCTTTTTTGCTATTTTATAAAGTGAATTCAGAAAACAAATTTAGTATGCAGGGACTCGGTGCGAACCTGCACTCTTGGAATCAGGCTTTGATCCTTCAGCAGGAGTCGCAGGCGTCCCGGGTGTACTAGCTTCGGATGGCGTTGACATCGGCCTCAAGTGTGTATCGGTATGAGGTCTAGAAGTACAGAGACGAGAGGCAGAGGGAAGGAGATATCGATGGATTCTTTGCATCCACCATATAAATTCTGGTGAAGACGCGCCGTGACTCCGGCAAATACACGACCTTGACTCGATCACTGCAAAACGCCCACTCTCAATCTCTCATGACTTCGTTCTGCTCGAGTCGATTTTCACAACATCCATCGCACAAGAAGACGTGTTCACACTGTCCTGGTCATCAAGATACATCGTACATCTACGGGATCATTGCAAAAAAAAAAAAAAAAGTCAGAAGGCAGGAGCAATACGTAGGTTACACAAGCGCTGGACAAAATCTGGAAAACGAAACTGTACATGCAAAACTCGAGACACAGGAAAACAAAATAGCCACCTCACTCTTTGTCAGGGCCGGACTTGTCTTTCTCATTTGGTATCCGAATGTCTCCTCTGTCATCCTCTAGAGTTCTCTTTACTCGTTCTGCGACCACGACTCCATTTTGACCTCCAATAAGAGGACTACTCTTGAACCGGCCACCTTTTGGTATCGGCATACTCGATGCTCCAGACGTAGCTCGACGTTTCCTTTCAACCATGATGGCGTGCTCCAGCGATGGTGCAGGTGAAGAACTGCGAGAAACAGCAGAAGAAGCAAACAGGAAATTCGACGGAATGGGACCAGCCGTCGCAGACACTGGGACTGGGGCGCGAATTTGCATACTAGGTGTATTCCACAGGGTAGGTCTAAGCCTGGGTATTGAGTCGGTATAATGTACGCCACGAGGTCCTGATTCGGCAGCGAAAGGCTCATCGGCAATATCCTTTTCATATGTACCATGAAGGGTACTCGTATTATCCTCTGCGAATTCGCTGTCCTCTCCGATTGCGGACTGGGTAGCGTCTACAGGTGGATTCTCATCTCGTGGTGTCGGAGGGGCACTTCTTGATCTTGTGAAACCTAGGCCCTTGAGATTGAGTGCCCTGAAGCCAGACATGGGAATGGGCCGTAAAAGCGGAGTCGGGGTGAGTGATTTCGAGCCATCAGCAGTAGGCGGGTTGCCCAACAAACTTCCATGGACTAACATCGGATTGTCAGATGCTAGGTTGGATACAGACCCCTTACGTTTCACGGATGCGGTGAGTTTCAGTTCGGTCTGTCCATATGAAGCCAAGTCAGGGTGTCCCTGGGGATCAAACTCGTCATAGATCTCTTCTCCAATCAGCTCTGCGGATGAGGGTGGTCAGTATCAATTTAATCGGATTAGGTATTCTGATGGTGCCTACCTTCAAGAACGTCTTCTAAAGTGATGATACCTAAGGGCATTACAGCAGGATCTACACCTTGGAGAAACTGTAAAGAAGGATCCATGAGCAATGATCAGGCTGCAGTAATGAATGCCAAAACTGACCTCATCAGCACTCGCCTGAGTAAGAACTGCATCGGCAGGCATGCACTGTTCGAATTTACCAAAAGACGCTTTGGGCAATGTCAAGCTGCTTTTTAAGCCTTTACTCTCTTTCTCCGTGTTTAAGTTCTCAAGAGGCAGCCCCATCTCCTCATCCTTAACCAGCTTCTTACTTCTACCTCTAGAACCCATCCCAAAGCGAGCATGTTTCTTTGCGCTACCACGGGCACGATCCTCGTCGTCATCCTTCGCGCATCCAACTGTCACAGTTATTTCGTTCTCGCTGTCAGAGTCCTCCGTCTTCCGATCCTTCTTAGACCTCTGAGAAAGGCCTGGACTTTCATCTTCAGAATCGCTACTCGAGGCACTAGAATCGGTATCGCCTCGAACGCGGTCTCGTAGACGCTGCGTCAAACCTCGTTTGACGGCTTGCTTAACACTGACAGCTCGCTGCACACTGAATCGGCTCACGATGGCCATATGAGAACGTCCTTCTTGGAATCTATCAAGGATACCTAACAAAGGTTCGTTGTTGGGGACGAACGGTACTTTGTTGAGAGGTATCTTTCGGACGGGTGTAGCATCTGTAGGGCTTCTTGATCAGTACGATGATAGTATATCAACGCTCGAACCACGCACCCTTAGGATCTAGCAACACACACTACCGAAAAAGGTGGTCAACAACTGTTATAAGAGTCTGTTAAGTGGCAAAAAGGCACCTGCTTGACTAAGAGAATACCAACAATCTTCTTGACTTTTTGCGTCTCCGGCGGTGGCGCGAGACTAGAATATACGGAGTCCGACCCAACAAGTTCCTTAGATCCCAAAGCACCCTGTTAAGTATTTCAGATTCAGATGCCCAGTGACAACACGATGGCGAGAACCACATACGACAGCAACCAAGGTGGGTGTAGGGACATCAACCTCTTCGTAAACCGGTATTCGAGAATGACCAGTGAGGCAGATTTTACGCAGGGTGTCGTAATCAAGCTTTGCGTCAATCGATAACATGAAGACGTCCTCAATTGGAGTCATGGCTTGTTTGACAACCTGAGGTCATGTTACTAGAGCTTATAAGGTATAGTGTAGCTGATGTTACCTTCTCCTGCAAGTCCAGGGCACCACCTATGATGGTGACAGTGTCCGTTTTTAAGTCTCCGCCAAGTTCACCGACACTGGAGTGCATTGCAATGAGTTCTTTGAGTTCGGCTCTCCTGTAAATAATGCCATGATGCGGCCCAAGGGCCCACTATAAGACAGTAAATAAACTGCGGACAAATCAGTAGATTATATCGTACCTCGAGAAGTTTGGCTACCGGCCACGAAACAATTCCCTACAATTATATTGAATGAGAATCCGATCCACTTATCGATGGATACACTAACCAAGCCCCAGATAAGAACGCGAACCAAACCTGCCATCTTTGCACCGAAATACAAACCATATCGTGTACAAAGGGATTGTGGTATGATTTCTGCAAAGCTGGTCACAAATACGTCGTTAGTTTTATTGCAATCACTGAGATAGACCCAAAACATCACGTGTACGATCATTATGATACGCGTGGGACGCGTAGAACGTCGCGAAACGCGTTTCGTTAACCGAGGCACGTCATGAGGCAGAGCACCGCCTCGAAAACAGACCACCAAAGAAATGGTCCGAATACGATAGAATTTGAGAGGCAATGACATCGAGAGACTCACACAACGATCAGGACAGTGCTGACAACAACACTTTGAGCGCCGCCTCCCAGAACTGGGTCAGATATGACGGGGAGTGTTTCGTTCACTATCATATTGGCCAGAAGTAAGGTGACCAACAAGAGATGCCCATTCTTGCGAATGGGCTTAATCTTGTTGGCATACTTCTTTTGTTCACTAGAATCAGAGATAAATGAGGCTGGGGAAGACTAAAGGACAGGAACACAGCACTCACGGCGTACCACTAATACTCAACACATTAAGTTGAGTCTCGTCAAGGCTCATGTAACCTAATGTTAGACCGGCAAACAGACCCGAAGACAAGACAAGGACAGGTATGAGGCATGCGAATACGTAGAATTTGGTATCATGCTTTGTGGCTTCTCTCTTTGCGAACGTGTGCAAAGAGGCCTCCGTCCTTGGCGCACTAGTGATGCCATCGGTGGCAACAGAAAGTGAATTGAAGAGAAAGGTGCGAAAGCTGGGGACATGTTGTGATGCGACCGATGTTAGCGTTAAGAGCAGCCTCGGTAAACGGGATGGGAGGTAGTGCAAGGGAATGGGGACCATTCGATAAGGATGCGTGTTCGCTGTGAGAGACCTGCTTCCTACCCGACGCCTCTGTTAAGTACTTCTCAAACGGGACCCAGTCGAACCGCTCACGTAAGCACCATGATAGCGCGCCGTTGGTCCGCTGCCGTCAAAAGAAGCTTTTATGGCAACACCGTCCACGAAAACCGTCTGTTGAAACTCAGCGGCTCGAGCGAAATCGACGATTGAAAGTATCCAAGCTGTATCCGTACATACACTAGAGCCAAAAGTGCAATAAGTCATAGTATGATACAGCAAAAAAAACAATCGGTACTGTACACACCACGCAACATCATTGTATACAGTGTCACCCTGGGGACCAGCCCATCTAACCTAGATTGCACCAGACGTTTCCCCACCGATCCTGCGCGGTACCAGTCAGGCCGCCACCCTCGTCTCCTTCCTCACCAGTGTCAATATAGCCGACACCATAGCTGGCCTTTGCCGTGAAGCGTGGGATCGGGCACTTGAACCCCAATGAGATGGGGCAAGCCCTATCAACCGCAGTACATGTCTCCAAACACGGCAACAGCGCATTGTACCCTGACGGAAAAGGTGGAAGGGAGGGACTGCGAGGAGTTGCCGACGGTGCCTGTGCTTGCAAAGCAGACAGTGGCTTCTGTGTGCTGTCACCGGAGTCCGGGGCCGCTTCTGAACATCGAGGGAACCAGATGGCACAGAGCCACCTTCGATACGCCTGCTGGCAATCTGCGCATCCTACAATGGGACTGTACATATCGCGTCCGCATGGGAACGTGGTCAGAGATACCGTGAAGTTCGTGAGGACTTCTAGAAGAGGACTGTAGAATTCTTCCGGCAGGGTCGTTGTATCGTGTGCCGATGCAGGCAAAGACGGTCCTTGTATTGGTACAGCATACGAAATTGATGGACAGAATGGTAATGAGTGAACAATAGGACAATCAAATGACGCTACAGAGCGCTGTCAGAGCAAGGAAAATGAATCGATGAAGCAGCATACCTGACTTGGTAACGAAGTTTATTGGACTACTGACTTTGCTGTTGTCCTGCATCGCATACACAGTGTAGTTGGTCGCAGGCGTTAATCCATTGACCAGCCATTGCCACCTCCACCCAGCCTGATCCTTCAACCATAAGCCTTCGCTTTCTGCTGGGCCTTCATGCAATACGTCAGCGGCCCTGACCGAAGACATTGCACATGCTGTTCGCGGTACTGAAGCAAGTGACGACGATGATGTTGGTACAATTATTAGCGTGAAGTTCGGTGGTGAAGAGGGACCCTGAGGAAATGATAGATTCGCCGCAGGCAACGTATAATTAGGATATGTGGGATTTGATGTGGATGCCTCCCCGAACGCGGGGGAGAATAAAAGTGCTTGATTCGAAGTCGTATCTCCGAGGAATGGGTAACTATCCATGATTTCATGCATAGGACCTATTATAGACGGATAAGATGAATGTCAAAATAGGGTCTGCATTTTCTGCCTTCGGGAACATGGATGGAGGCTTCATATTCGCGTTCAATACACGTTCATACACGCTTCAGCGGAACGAATGACCGTAAAGCGAGGGGGAACGCAATTGTCTAATAGAATTGACTGGAGGCAGCATATGAAGCCACCATGCAGATTAAAAAAAAAAACGAAAATACGTACCGCCATCCGAAACACCAACTTCGAATGGTGTCTGTCCAGCATTCAGGACGGACATAAAACCTCCGTTCGGCATGAGGCCCGTCCAGTTCCCGTAACCGTTGTTCAAAGAAACTTCAAAAACGTTTGGTGTATCCAAATCAGGTTGACTAGGTTGTGTTATACTTGTGTCGTTAGATAGTATAAATCGAGGTATTTGTGGACTTGAGGAGCATAACGCGACCGTGATCGTGAAGTTGCTTGACTGAGAACTTGGTATTGATAACACAGCAGGGTTTGGGAGCGTCGTTCCAGTAAAGTTTGACAAGTTATTGAGTGGCAACTGGAATGACGATTGTTGCGCATTTCCCCCCAATATCTGCTGCAGGAGATAGATGAGAGTAAGAGGGAGCATTTTGCTGGCGGGTTCAGCACAGCGTGGTCGTGAAGAAGAGAGGCGCTAAAGCCTCATGTGTCTCTTGGTCGTGTACGTCCATCACCCGCTTGACTGCATTTACTCACTTAGTCGTCTTGAAATAGCTATTTAGTCGTGGAACCACATATCTTGGGAAATGTCTGAAGAGTCAGGAACTAGTACGCGTCGATCGACACGCATAAAAGCTGCTCCCACTAAACAGCCAAAGACGGTTGTCGCAGACGAGAAACCATCTGCAGGGCCTTGTACTGGCTCTAAGCGGAAGACCAGAGATTCTGCTGCAGGCCCTGCTAATCAGATAGAATCTCTCTTGACGGATGCAAAGAGCCCGCTTACGATGATGAACATCTTTGTACGTGCAGTACTTCATGCCGGAGCGAATGAATTGGACTCGTGTTTGTGGTCGATCCGGATACCTTGCTTTGCTGCTCATTGGCTAACCTTTTTATATAGGGCGTTTTGAATTATGAGAATTTCATCAACCTATCTGCCGAGTCTCAGCAGAAACTGTGCAATCTGTTGCCGCCAACGGCTTTCTGCACATATCAACGCACTGTTGACCCAACTCACCCTTGTTTACGGCGTAATTCACGTTCTTCAGGCGCCGGCAGCATGGATGTTGACACAATACCTGGCCCGTCGAGTGAATCTTCCTTGAATGATTTACCTGAGCGCTCCCCAGCGACGTTGGACCCATCAATCTTCACATCGTCATTCTTCCAGTCAGCTGCGCTGACGTTTCAGGATCAGTTATTTTCTTCGTGGTTCTCACAGAAAGCAAAAGAGACACAGGAGAAATATGAGCGCGGTGTTCGGGACGGAACTATGCACGCTGAGTGGAAGGACGAAGTATGGGAACGAGAAAACGACGTGTCGAGTTTGACCCGGTATGTTCCTCTCCGCCATGTTTGCCATCTGTCGGTAGTTCGCTCATTGAACTGAATGCAGCAATACTCATGGCACCGATCTCGCTGGACTGGCCAAGCGCTCACTAATAAAGGAAGGCGACATGATGGTGTACAAGAGAACCTTTTCTTCATGCAATGTCACCGTCGAGAAGGATCTGCTGGTGCGCTCATGATAATTCTAAGATCCGTATGCTGCGTTCGCTCATGGTGTTATTGTCAGGTTCATTTCGTCAACCCACAGTCGCATTCCCTTACACTACTTCTTCCACCGAACGTGGACCGAAATTTACCGCCACAACTCCTGGTCATTTGCCCGCCGGAACCCAAACCACCTACATTAAATACTGATGGCATTCTCAGTTCCGTTGAGCTCGAGCATGAGATTCTGGAAACCGATGGTCGAGTTTCAAGGGCGGAACGATATACTGAAATTAATGATATGATCAAGTCGAGAAGGACGCCGCTGACATCCATGCTTACACATGACCCTTTCGATACAGCAGCTTTGGCGACGTCGGCCAAAGCTGCGAAGTCGTTGAGTGTATGGCGTTGGCGAGAAGAAATGAAGGCTGAGATTGAGCTCCAGATGATCCAGGAGAGGGGAGGACGAGAGTTGCTAGGCACGATATATCATTTGCGTAACTCTTAGAAGTGAGGGTTCCCGAACTAGAGTCAGACCATGTACATGTGTATTTTTGTTTGGATTTTACCGCACACATTTGGATATCGACAATTTCTTTATCGGTTTAGCCTATTGCTTGTTTGGGTGATGCACATTTTGTTCTGCATCGGTAGACGAAGTAAAGCTTGGGCAACATGCAACCTCATGCCATGATTGCCTTCAGCTATTCACCTAATTCTGCTCAAGTACTCGGGAGAAGTCATCTCCCCCGTCTTCATGTCTTCTGCGTATAAAGGATAAGTATATACGGAAAGTCGCTGTCTCCGGAGACTCCGATGGACAAATGGTCGTCCTGAGACGCTGACTCGATTGCTTTGTCACAGCTGTACTGCCGTATCTCCATATATCCTCTTGTTCAAGGTTTTAAAGTGTCCTCATCATTTGCTTGAGGTTCGACCTTCAGCAGCTTTGCTTCCCCACAAAAAGGCTGGGAATCAGTCGAACTGAAGGGCTACTGAAGGGATGTCGCGAGCCGAAGTCCTGCCGACAGCTTTTGACCTTTCTCTACGGAGATCATGGTTCTCTCGTCCTGCAGGAAATCAAGCAGCCGCAAGAGCCGAGGCTGATCAGGTGTCGCAAGCAGACCCAGAGTTTAAGCTTCCAAAGCTTTCCTCATTGGCGATCATACTGATCACCAATGGCTTGATGCAGGTTTGTTTCCACAGAAAGACAAGTTGTCCATTCCGCCATTAAGTTATTTCTTGTAGATCTCATTCTTCATCATTGTGTCCTCCTCCAACTTGTACGCAGAGCATTTGGGTGGTAACGCCACATTTTCTGGCATTGTCATTGGTATTCCTACGGCTATCTCTGGACTTTCGCTCTTGCCATTGATGAGATTTGATCAAGGTATTCATAAATGGACTTTCAATCTCCTTATCTTGAAACGTGCCTTCATTAGGTCGTTACCGAAGACCCCTTCACTTTGCTTGTGCTTCTTCTGTGCTAGGGCACATATTGTACGGATTGGCGTACAAGGCAAACTGGCTGTACCTCATACTATTGGGCCGTATTGTTTCCGGATTTAGTTTCACGTTCTTCATGTATTCCAAACGGTATTGCTCAGATCCTCGTATCGTTGGAATTCGGAGACGCACCACCCTTGCCGGATGGCTTGTGGTGGGCCAAGCCGTTGGTTTCAGCTTCGGTCCTTTTGTGGGAGGTTTACTGTAAGTCACGTTAAATTGTACAACATGACATGCACTAACACCAAAATGCCAGATATAAAATTGGCTTTTCGAACGCTATCTTCAATGGCTATACGAGCCCCGCTTGGCTTATGGCTGGAGTTTGGGCAATATTCTGGGTTCTCACCATATTCTTCTTCGAAGATATACCCAGCGTTCCACCTCCCGCTCCAGTACCCGGGACAACTATCGAGATGACGAATGTGACGGACCAGAGTTCTTCTGGAACACCTGCAGACTCATCCAAGTCCTTTACAACCATCCATGTTTCCAACGTTGAGAACGCGGCCGATGGGCCGGAACCTTTCAAAATGAGTGCCGCCCAATGGGGGGTCACAGTAACCATGTGTTGGTTCGCTATGACCTGTTTCTTTATCCTCGGTGCTTGGGAGGCGAACATCCCGGTATTCACAGGATCGGATTCACCTCTGTCCCCATTCCATTTCAGTCCATTCGCTGCCGGTAATTTGATCGCTCTTGGTGGCGTCTGTACTTTCCCCTTCCTCCTCGCCAATGTTTTCCTCGCACGGCGTTTCCAAGATCGTTACACGCTCGCACTTGGCACATTCCTTGGCAGCGCCGGCCTCCTCGTCGCGCTTGCTATCCTGAGGACTGGCACCGTGAATTACGGGAGTTTGTTCATGTCATGGTTCCTTGTCGCTCTGGGATTCAACCTGTCGAGTACGGTCACCCTGAGCCTTCTGTCAAAACAGCTTCCAGGCAAATGGAACGCTCGAACCAGCTTGATCATACAATACAGCAATTATACCGGGCGCGTAACAGGCGCTATATGGGGCGGAGCAGGAGTAAGTGTTGGCATGTTGAATTATATTGGAATGCAGATCACAATTGTCGGCATCGGAGCAGTCCTGTTCTTGACCTTGTGGAGAGACCTCAAGGCTAAGACAGGCTGAACATTGCAGGAATGAGTAATGTGTTTGACGGAAATGCCGTCTTACTTGTACAGTTTCCTCTTTATATCGAATAGATCCATAAGCTTAGATCTCCTTTCGTCCCCGACATCAAGCGACATGCATTGATGTCCCAATTTTCTATGCGCAACGGAAGAGACTGACAGGAACTCGCGCACTTTGAACATCGCGAATTTGAAATTGAAGGGTGATGGTTTTCTCAAACGTTGTAAATGGAAAAACTCTTGCTTATGCCCCCACTAGCGTCAGTTTTAAAAGTGGCATAAAAGTAACATACACGCTATGATAAGGGTGAGAAACATGCTAATTGTAGTGCTCAACGTCTCGATCTCTTCTTAGGCTTTGACTTCGCCTTAGCAGTCGATGGTTCATTGTTTGAAGGTTGTTGGCCGGATAGGATCGGTTGTAGAAGACCCTCCTCCTGCAAACAAGTGACGAAGGTCTGAATAAAAGGTTCGTAGTCAAAGGTTCGCCGAATGAAGTCCGCCTACACACAGTATCAACGAGTGCAACGATCGTTTCAGGAGGAATTTACTCACGTTCATATTCTTGGACTTCGTGATCTCATCTTCGACAGAAACCTTGGCTGCCATGGCCGCTTGAACGCATGCCTCCCATGCCGAAGGAAGACTCCGAACTGGCATATCCAAAATACTCATATCCTTGACCATCTTGCGTGACCCAAAGTCCTGAGCATAAGTCGGCCCCAAATCAGAAGAATGAACAGAGGTAGAGAAGACCTGAGAAGCATTGACAAGGAGATTTTCGTTGACCTGCAAACAGAAAAAAATGTATGTGAATAAAGCAATGTGCCAAGAGATGAGCTATAAGACATGCTTTGTCTGACCAGCTATTGGGATACTCTTTATCCAGTCTTCGTTCCAGAGCACTACGCTCTCTCTTCTGCATCTCCAATGCATCACTAAACTTCATATACTGATCATCCACAATGGCCAACAGGTTGTACCGGATTTGTTCCCGTGCCTCTCCTGAGAGATGTCTCTGCATTTTCAGCTTCAATGCCGGGCGAACGACATCCATCCACCCTTGCCTCCCCGAGGGCCCTCCGGCATCGGAAATTTCGCCTACTTCTAGCGGCCCCGATATACGTAGTCCATCTAATTCCCAAACTTTGCCATCGCAAGGTACATAAGCAATGAAGTGGAATGTGTCTTGTTGGTCCTCTTTTGTCTTTTGTTGTTTCTTTCCCCGGTTAGTTTTAGTGGTGGATTTCCGTTTCTTGCTTGCCGGCGTCGCTGTACTCGCATTTTTATGTTTCATCTCTTTAGAAATCTTCGTAGCTATTGAGTGATTCGCGGCGCGCAGATCTGCGGGGCTAAAGGTATGGTTAATGAATGAATTTCTGCGAATGCTGAAAACAGTCACCGAGCTAATGAATTCTGCGCTTCGCGAATGAATTGGCAGTTAGTGATTGCCAACCCCTTCATCTAGAGCCAAGCGTTGGCGATTTTACTACGTCACTTTTCAGAAATATACTGTCAGGAAGGACGTACCACCCAACTCATCTTCTCGGTATCCATATGAAAACGGTGAAGGCTTGGATCTAACTGGACGCCCCGACAATTGAAAATAATGTTGAGCATTGCCTGAGATGCACAGGCATCATCGCTCAGCTGGTTTGCAAACCAGATATCTTGTGCGTCAGGATCTGGGGCATCACAGTCATCCTGAACATCTTCGTCCTCAGTGCCGTTCTCGTCGGCGCAGAGATAGCAGAAAATGAGGCCGTGAGGATCAAGGTGGTCCACCGCCCATGGCTCAATATCATACAGTTCCATGACCTCAAGGCCATGGACGCCTAGTTTGCGCATGAGCATCGTAAACACGCCTTGCACATTACGTCCATGAGCCGTCAATTGAATTTGTCAGCGTGGAATTTCTTGCTCACCGGGGTCCGATTCTATCACAGCGAAGGGTGCCCCAATAAGGTCCAATGGGTCACCATCAGAGCCGTCTCTCAAGCAGTTCCCTTCCATAAAGATTGGGCTCTAGGCTCTAGCTACTACTCGAGAACCCTAGGCAAAATGAGTTGGAGCTTGCCGTTGCACGCACCCGTGGCCTAGAATTTCAGAACTTGAAATATGACCGTGGGCTGTTGAGCGAGCAGCTAGGAATTTGATCACAGATGCTTTCGTGCTGCTGGGGGTACAAGACAGAAGAGAGAGTTGAATGTATACTGCGGCACTATTCGTTTGGTCAGTCTTCCTCTATACTGCTTCAACTCGAACCTTGTTGACCCAATTTGGAAGCGTAGATCAGTTATCCGTTCCCACGGGTCGCCAATTTATGTCGGCTGCCACGGACCTTTCGCAACGTTACTTTGGAAACCGAAATCACGTCCTCTTTCCAACATGTCTGGCCTGAACGAGTATCCATGACCATTACTACTTTGTGCAGCTGGCAGCAGTGACTGGTAGGTCGATGCCGCAGCATTTGTCGCACAGTCCACTGATCCCAAGTGATCATCCGTAGTGCCTCGCCATGATTTGAACTGAATGATTGTCCTCGAACTTAATATGGTGTGTATTGACAATGGCAAGCTTCGCCATCGGATGTCTGCCAAATGTTGCCGTGCAGCTAGCTACTAATTCAGGGAGCTGTTAGGACCCAGTCTCTAGTCAATTAGCTTAGACTCTAGCTACGTCTCTCTATCACATTTTGATTCGCGTACTTGATCCTGGTCATGGGTATCCATGAGCAAATGGCAGATGAGCGCTCTGCTGTTGCTCAGCATTTTTTGAAGTATATCTGGCCACTGGTGGATGCTGTCAGGTAAGTTCTCTTCCTTTCTTCGTTACCACATATCATATCTCTTCTTCAAGCCGGTCTTTACTTTTTACATCTATTTATTTCTTGTTGACTGCAATGTTGTTGCTTCTGTTGATTTTTCTCGCTCTCTCCACATCGACACTTGCATTACCAGTTATGAAGCAAACATCTTTGGAACTCCCTCGAACGACTCTTACTCCTTGGTGCGACGGATTAGGCGCGGGTGCTTTCAGCATCGCTCACAATTTCACGCTTGCTGCGTACAATGCGACAGTATCCACCGCAGAGCCAGTCGGGATTCCTCTTGTCCTTGGACAGATCGGAGCAATCGCAGGCGCCGAGCTCAAGGTGCTTTCAGTAAGTTGCATTTTCACAACGGTTTCAGTCTCACGTAACGCACTTCCATCTCTTTGTCATAGCCCTATTCTTCATATCCTCATGACGATTTCAGCACATTTTTCTTGATGAATGGTGCTCTGTTTTCCAAAAGAGAAACAGGTCTCACAGCTCTCAATAGCTATGTCAGTGATGGACGCGAGCCCAATTTTATCGTATCTACCTTCGAGGCCCCTGATCCTGCACGGAACTACTGTGCCTTGGTCGGTGATTTCTTCTCCCGTTCTCTTCGTTCTGCCACTGAGTATTAGCATGGTAGGCGAATATCAGTCCTCATGGCACCAATCCTAACTATCCCATCCTTGCCGTCAATGGTGATATCAACGGATTTTCCTTATGCGACTCAAGGCATGCTGGGATAGACACGACCGTAGTCTACAAGCCCAAGAGTTCAGATAACTCACTCTACAACGTTGAAAGTTGTTATCCGGTGCATCTGCGGCTATGGGGATTGTATTAGACTGATTAGTCAAGCCCTTTATCGCCGTAGTATTCTGTCAACCTGAAGTAAACTATACGCTCTGATTTGAGGGGATCATATTCAGTTTTATGCTTACTCGAACTATATCATTCATTTTCATGTACCTCATGTTCGTGCGCCTCGCTGGACACTATAATACTGCGGAGCGCCACTAGACATTGGAGCATCGATATTGGTCGTCTCCGTCCGTATTTTGATCCACGCTGAGACAACGGTCTTATGCTTACATGATGGTCCTGTCCGTTCCTTGCGCCCAGTGTCAGTGGCCGGTGACCTGACATATAGTTTTGAGCAACGTTGACTAAGTGCGAGCCTGCATCGCTCGGTCGTGTATAATGCCTGTGAGTATGTCCTTAAATCTCCCCTGTAGATGTCGGCTAATTGCGCACCTCGCAAGAGTAATTGTTCGATTCGATGACCTGGGGATCTCGGTTCATAACGTCCTACGCGCCGATCGACCTTGGGCCCTAGAGCAAACCTGAGCAGTACTCTCAAAGCGCTATTGATCATCATCGTTCATCCTGCACACTGGCAGGCTACAACGTGTAAAATGAGAAACCCTTTCGTACGGAGAAGGACCCTTTGGTGGGTAAGAACTGTGCTGAAGGTGCGGGTTTCAATACGCGCTATGTGCCTGCGCCATAACACTGCCCGCCATGCGCGTGCCGTGCTTTCGACTTGAAACTGATACCTCCTTTAACATGTAGAGACAGAATGACCCGTCGGCCATATTTCAAGTAGAGATACACGCTGTCGCTCTTTCTCAACTACTTTTGATCTCAACAAAAGTGGGACAGAATGCCTTCGGGGACCATAACATACAGGGCGTCCCGTTACTCGCAGAAACCGGGATCCATAGTAACAAGCCTGATTTTAGAGGTGGCTTGCTCAAGCCTGGCTACAGACACGTTTGCTGAGCGGTGTGTCCTCCCCGAAGCCGCTCACCGCTCACTCAAACGCTTCGGGATTAAGAGTAGCATTGCCCTCTTTTCAAGTATAAAATGCAAGTATACACCTCCAACTTCTGTCAGCTCTCATTCTTCTTTCTTCACTCAGTTTCTCTTATTGTTCAGTGTTTGCACACCTGTCCACGTCCTACACAAAATGTTCGCTTCACTCATCTCCGCAGCCTTTAGTGTTCTTCTCGCTGCCTCTCAGGTCAGCGCGATCCCCACCGGCTCTTCGCTCACTGTTGCGAAGAGAAGCCCTGGATGTGACGGTCTTGGATCTGGTACCATCGACAAGTTGAGCGGCTTCATTCTCGTGGCAGACGATGGAAATGGTCACACCGATGAGCTCATCCTCGTTGACTCCGACAACAAGGTTGGGGAAGCTACCATTGCTGTCCTCGCGGTATGTGCCCCTTGCTTGCATTTTCAAAATGTGCAGTCTGCTTATTAGGGCATTTGACAGACCTTCAGCACGGTCCCTTCTGCAATTTTCGTACCCACCTTCTCCCTTGACACCGGCGTTTTGACTCCAGACGGTGGTGTTGAGGTTGATCTTGCAGTTGCCGCTGGTGATTTGCCCGGATTTGCTGCTACCAACGGTGAAGGAGGTCACATATACTGTGCAGCTGTATGTTTTCTTTGGACTGCATCAGTCAGATTCACTAATGTGCTTCGTGTAGCCTGGAAGCACAAACATCCCGGTGCTTGCTGTCAACGGTGACAAGGACTCGTTCTACCTCTGCCTTTCGGACGACTCGAACCCTGTTAATCTCCTCGTCTACAAGCCTGACGATGTCCACACGTCCTATGACTCCACTACATGCAAGTCTGTCGACGTGAACGTCGTGAAGCAGTAAGGGGTAATGACAGACGCGGGAGGGAGCGTGGATGTGACTATTATCTTGTCGGACTTGCATACAATAGTAGCCATCATAAGTTTCTGTTTCGGACCTTTTTACTCCTAGGACATTTTAGGCCCGGGGTATCTCACAGCATGGTTGTAGAGGCGGCGTAGAGATACAAGGCTCAATCCAGTACTTGCCTGAACATGAGCCATTCATTAGTGCGGGCCTGAGGTCGCTGTATCATTGTCTGATTCAATCTTGGAGAGCCCCGTCGTCTAAGGTTAGTTGTCATGTATCTGAAAACAGTCCTGTGTTGCATCAATAAGTATGCTGCATCATCTAACGGGCTCTGCGGGTACGTGAGAACCAGTTCATTTTCTCCATCCAAGCCGTTTGAATTCTGAATTTTGGTTGAATAAGACTGGTCTTTGAAGTCCTAGGGATCCGTACTGGTTGAAGACTAGGTTGATCGAACATACTCAGCCTAAATGGGACTATTGGTGCTGGTAGCCGCTCCATCAAGCGCACTACGTCTCATGCATAGTGCCAACAGTCCCTTTGATTCACGGCCAGAGCATTGCTGAAACCGAATTTCTCTCAAAAGAACTCGTTTTCATGGCACAAGCAAGGGGATTGCGAAGAGATGCATCGATATGGAAAATGTGATAAAGCTATGGTGCTGTACGGAGGAGCTGTATGTGTTCAACATCACTTCCTTCCTCATGCTGAAAAGGTTTACTTTGTTTCACTCGGCGTATAGTGCATATACCGTATAGACGATGCAATAATTGCTAATAACGTATGACACTGTGCTCAAACCTGGCAATGATAATGTCGCATCCTGTTCGAATGCCAGTGGGTGACGTTTACTCGGTTTTCTCTTTGTCGTAGCGAGTCATAATCTGCCCATCCGTGCTCTTATTGGTGTTCGATGCCCATCGGTTCCTTCTTCGTTGCCTTGAGCCAAAATTGGCAAGGCATAACAGAGAACGTGTATCAAGGTTGTCAGAATATTTATATTCTTGTATACATCTCAGTCGCACACAGTGAGCAGATTTTTCAAATGTTCGATCACAGGGAGCGTTGCTCAATCTGTTGTTAGCATTGATAACTTCTGGAGATCTCTCGCTCGGAACCTTATCATTTATTGAATCTGCGCCGTTCCGCCAGCATATCATGCATATCCCCGATTGGTCCCTCATAGAATCCAGCTTTCAACCTGCTGAATCCTTAAAGCTTAACCCAGTGCCTCAGGGCGGGACCTACCATTCGTCATTGAGATCTTGGCTTGCCTAGAGCTTCTGGGCGCATCGCCCAATTGTACGCCTGATAGTGGTGCCGATGTATTCGGTCGTGCGTGTTATAATTTGTATGTGAGGATTTCCTTGGCAGTGTACATCGGCTGTAACAAAACCTTATATGCTGCCTGCCCTGCCGCACCATGCCTAACACCTGATCACTGAAATTCTAGGCTACCACTGGATCTCAACGGATCGTTCGTCAGCTTCTCATATGTTTGAAGAATATTTCACACGTTTGTGGTTGCGAAAGGGATATGTGATTCAGAGAAATGGAACATTACGGCAAAGGTATGGGGGATGCCCCGCCCACTACGTACGTTTCAAATCACGCGCCAGCCTGCATGGACGCCACCTTCAGTCCAGTCTCCTCATGACCTTCATTTACAATATCGAATCTGACAGGACCACTGATACGTCAACTCAGGTCACATATGCTTAGCAATTTTGCAATCAATCGGACCTGCCACGCTCAACGTGTGTAGCTCCATTTCCTGTCACTACCGACCTGTCGGCGCGGTTCACTGCAGAAGCTGTAGTTCTAGCGCTGCGTACTGTTGCCGGTAGTGAGTATGTTTTCCTCTTTACAGTGGAACTCACTCATGTTTAAATATGCAGAGCCAGTACCAGGCACATCCTTGGATTTCTGAACAGGATCTATTTCCGGTATGGTCGGGATCGCATCTTCAATCGTCCCATTTTCAGCGTACTGCTTGATACGAAACGCCGTCATAAGCTAGCGCAGAGTCTGCGCCCCGTCTCGACCAAATGCGGTAAGTCCAGATCCAGAGATGTTAGTGGATGCGGGTATGAATGTCCATGAACATTTCTACAACCGGTGGGTCCACTACAGCGCTCGCTAACATCTTAGAACCGACTAGACATCGCCTCTTTGCGGTATAAATACAACCGTATACCTCCAGTTTTCTTCAGGCCTTTTTTCTTCCCGAATTACTTAGCTTCTTCACCATCTTAGTTGTTTGTCTTTCGACTTCGGATAGCATGTTTTCGTTCATCTCCGCATCCTTTGCCATCCTCCTTGCTGCATCCCAGGTCGCTGCGGTGCCCTCTGGGTCTTCACCTTCGGTCGCAAAGAGAATTACTGGATGTGACGGACTCGGCTCGGGAACTGTGAACACATTGTTCACTTTCAGACTTACGGCCTCTGGTGGGACGAACAAAGGCGAAGATCTTGTGCTAGTTGATTCTGGTGAGAACGTTGGTGATGCTGATATCTTTGTCCTCGCAGTACGTCAGACTTGAAAACACTTTCTCTTCTGTTACCTCATTAACATGATGATAGACTCGCAATACGGTCCCAACTCCCTTCGTCCCCACCTTCTCCCTCAACAATGCAGTGTTGACTCCGGATGGTACCAACCAGGTTGACCTGGCAGTCGCCGCTGGGGAATTGCCTGGCTTCGCTGCCAATCACGGTGAGGGTGGTCACATCTACTGCGCAGCTGTATGTTCCCTACTTTCATATCATCTCATCGGCACTGACATATGTTGCTTACAGCCTGTGGGCGGCAACTTTGTACTTGCAGTCAATGGTGACAAGAGCTCATTTGCCCTGTGCTTCGCCAACGAGTCCCCTAATCCCAGGAGATTTGTTGTTTACAAGCCTGATAGCAACCACCCAGCCTACAACTCTAAGACTTGCCAGTCCGTTCAGTTGAACATTGTAGATGTATAGAATGTACTGGTCGGCGCCGGTTTGGAAACATGTAAACATCATTCCGACATCTCTACGGACTTTAGGACACTTTGTAGTATCGTTTGTTAGGGGTACTTGTTGTTGTTGTACCTGCGTGGGACGTTATTGACAGAATTAGTGCGTATCTGAGTACATGCGTGATGAAGATAATGATTCAAGCGCTTGTCGAAGAGTCTGAGCCAGACTTAAACTCGGAAGTTCAAATATTTCATGCGACGGTGAGCCACCCCAGGTATTACAACAAGCTGAAAGTTGGAGCTGACGGCGATAATCCTGACTCCATATTGGCAGTGCTCCTTAGTTTTATCCGTCCATTGTATTCGATGTAGGCGGAGCTCACACGGAACTTATTCAACCTACTGAATATGGTGTTGCTTGTAGATACAGCAACATGTGCTTCTGAACACACAGAACATTTTGTCTTCCGAGTTTAGAGACGGACATATATAAGGCTACTACGTGGGAGCGCGCTGTGCGTCCTTAATCATTACAATTCAAGTTGAATCATCTTCCGTCTGTACCAGACTCGTAATCGCACCACACTGGCAGCAGTACCTTTCTGGGGGAGATCATGTGAGTGGGCCCTCTGTATCCTTTTGCTGCATTATTCTCTGAACAATCTAAGCAGTTCAGAACAATGGCTAGTAATGTGGTTCCAACGGCATGCCCATCCCTGTGAGCCAACAGTCGATTATAGTCATCTTCAGTCAGTGGCAAATGAAATTTCTCATGTTAGCACGCGAAGTCACGCTCCAATGCAATTTGTTCAACTCCATGACGATGTACTCATCCTCATTGCGGAGCATTTGGAGTCACTGGCCACCTTAAGAACAGCTTGTACATGCAAGCGGCTCCATGTAACCATGCGAGATCTGGCTATACGAGATGTCTATTTCAAAACTCCCCGACAACTCGATGGTTTCATCTCATACGTGTTGAGCGACTCATCCCGCCCTAATCTCATCCGATCTATCGAGATCGGCTTTCGAGAATTACCCGGTGACCTCGAACTTTTCTCAAGGCTTTCTGGTCTTTTGCACGATACCGGCAACCTTTCATGCCTCGTAGTCAGACCTGACTACGAAGCATTGATATGCCAGCAGTCTACCTGGCGGCATACCATCAACAATATCCCTTCCCTCCAGTCTATGAACATCTATTATCCAGGTTCTGCAGCATTCCGTGGATTTGCTGAAATGCGCAGCCGCTTGCGGTATCTGACGATTGACAGCCCTACATATTACGAAGACTATGCGCTTCCCCATCTCGGAGCTCTGGAACGTCTAGAGAAACTCAAGATGTCGCAATGCGATTCTGCCATGCTCAGCGACGATAGTATATGGCCCACAGTGGTGTCACTTACGTTTGAGGACGCACTCATCACTGCAACCATAGTTGTTCATGCCTTCCCCAATGTCCGCGACCTTACGCTACGCTTCGTTGAATTGGCGTTCTGGCCCGAGGATGATGGGGATTCATTTTGGTCGTATCTAAACAGTCTCACCGTATGCTGGTTTGAAATACTGTCTTTTGATTATTTGTGTCCTGTTCGTCAGCTTACTTTCATAGAATTCAAAGAGTACGATGGATGTGAGGTTGACGATTGGGAAGAATGCCTTAGAGTCCTGGCTCACACCCGTCCCGTAGTTTTCTCCTTTCCTGTTATTGCCAGCACGGACGAGCGCATTCCAGTTGCTTTATTCGAGGCCACTCACAAGCGGCTGCGCTGTCTGAAAATCACCCTGACAGAAGAGTCGAAGATTGGCGACATATACGTGTGGATAGTGAGTACCTTCCCTTTTGTGCCGCCAAGAAAATCAACCTCAACACGAGTCATTTCTCCATTCTTTAGCACAACCTCTGGAATGGCATCGGAACCCTCCCCCTCCTTTCGTTCTGTCTATGCATTCGACGGAACTATCCTGTCACCGCCCAAGATGTCCGGGAGAATCTTGACTCCAGTATGACATATTTCCACATTCCTACTATTTTATCTCGAGTGTTCGTGAACACCCAATTCATCGGCTTCGATCTGGCCAACTTCCCTGAATCAAAGACGTACTGGTGGTGTGTCGTGGGCCGGGAAGGCGCACATGCGGATTTGTTCGGATTGTCAGAAGAGTGGAGTCCACTTTTGACGGATGCCTTGGATGCCATGGATGAAACTTCTGAATCCTTGGCTAGAGGTGAGTTGGTTATTAGCTGTACTTCATTCACTAACACCCTTTACAGTTGAACGCAGTCTGCCCCGAGAAGTGTCGTTAGCTTGGAGAACATACCAGTCCAGCCTGATTCCCATAGAGAACGATCTAGAGAGTTCTGGCTGATCTCGAGCCATGGTCGTATTCTCATTCATCTTGACAAACTCGGGATTCCGGGCTGTAAATTTGTGTATCATTACCAGGATCATGATCGCCTGTTTCCTTCTCGTCAAGGTCCGAGGCCATTTGGCCTCCTTAATCGCTTAATGGAATTTGTCTTCTTCGTACAGGCTTCGGTGTGTTGAAACCGTCTATGTCAATTATAGGCACAGCATTTGATTCAACCTACGAGGTATATTGGTGCCGATTTCGGTATGGAACAAGCTCTCAATTTGCAGCTGTTCGGAGGCGTCGTCGTCGGTGGGCAATCACAGTCACCCAGTACGCCTACGGAGTTTCTTCCTCGCCATTGTTAAGGTATGAATACAGACAAGCTTCCTGACATTCATCAAGCCATTTCTACGAAGAACCCAAGTTTTCCTCTCTAGCGCAGACATGTTCAATTTCGTGGTGCTCGTATCTTTATTTCTCGCAGTCTCTGTCACGACCTTTCCCCCTGTCCTGAATGGACGACAGACTTCAACGGTTTGCAATAAACTGGGACCAGGTGCCTTCGATAGTTCTGGCAGCTTCATGCTCGCTGCGCTGAACACCACCCTGCCCAACACCAACTCAATCAGAGCCACCCTTGCTTTGAGTATCGCAGAGGAAGACACTGGCATCATAACCTGGGTACTCACCGTATGTTAGGGTAGGACGACTGCGAGGACTATTTTACGATACACCTCTATTCCAGACATTGGCATCAATCGATGTTGGTAACTACAACAACTTTTCCGGCTCCAGTCTGGTACAATCAGGGTTAATCACTCACGGAACATTAGGCGATGTCTCAGGCTTGGATGTGGTTGCAAATAACTCTCCATTCTTTCAGAAGAATACGTTAAATCAGTCTTCCGCTACTCCGATCTACTGCGGCGTAGTGGGCATTCTCTGCGTTGTTTCAATACACGAGCAGCAACTACGCTTCATGCTTGCAGGCCAGTACCGATCCCAATGTTGGGGTAATCCCCTAGCTAGCGGTTTGGGGGGATCTGAACTCTTGGTCTCTCTGCCAGCGTGTAGGATTTTTGAAGCAAAACCTGTTGCAGGTGGTGTATAAAGCAGACCCCAGCGATAAATCATGCTTCCCAGACCATCGGGCTGAACTGAAGCATGGCATGTTGAGTTGCTGGAAAGAACTGGATTCTAGTACTAATTACCACATTTAGTGCAGACTGTTCACTTAGCCATATTACAAGCATCCTACTACTAGAGCTCATCCATTCCATTGCGAATCCCAAAGCAAAAACAACTAATGTTACACGGTAATTACTGATGACACTTACCCATTCCTCAAGCCGACTTACCAACGAGCTGGGCATTCTCTGTGAGAATCTTGTTCAACCCATCCCGGTGGAGACAATTGTCGAAGCTAAAGCTCCTTGCAATCTCGTCCAGCTCCTGTTCGCTCTTTCCCCTGAAGTGCTCAGCCCACTCTTGTACCAAAAACTCAGATATCAAGATGATACGAGAAAGCCGGCCGATACGATCGGTTAACTTCCAGACAGGATGAGGATAGAGATTCTGGAATTTAGCAGGGATCTCCTGGTTGATGAGGTTGATGAGAGGCTGGTATACTGGTCGCACCCAGGTTTCGTCAGCTCCCCAGGCATCGACGGCGAGACGATGCTTCTTGGCCAGGAAATCCTTGAAGAGAGTCATGTATGGAGTGTCGAGTGAGACGTGAACCATGCCTTGGAAGCCAATATCCTTGTACAACCAGATAGACCAACTCAGACGGTCCTGCACCGGGGTCATAAGGTTATACAAAGATATGCGAACGACATGCATACCTTATTGTAGATCTCGAGCTGGTCTTGAAGCACACGATACCGCTCCTCATTGATCTTGTCTGTCTTATCGCCTTCGTACTGTTTTCTCGCATACACCGGGCCCCATTCTCCATTCCAAACACACAAACCACGCTCGTCCATCCATTGTCGTTTCTTCTCGTAACTGCGCCTGAGTCGTCTTTTCTGGGTCTCAGTGCTAGCATATGACTCGGGTGAGCTCGGGAAGCCGAAGACGGAATAATCATGAATGGAATATGCTGCGTTCTCCCACTTCTTGTGTGAATCACCAAAGTGCGAGAAGTCAGAAGCAAACGTGTTTCCGTCGAGGAAAAGTGCATGATCAGGATCGATCTCGCGGATCGCCTGATAGACGCGATCGTAAAAGTCGATCACACGAGTGTGGTACGGATCTGTGGGTTCGTTCAGCGGATTATAGCCAGCGATCCAAGTGTTATCCTTGTAGTGCTTGGCAAGCTCTTGCCAAAGCCAGATAGCACGATCTTGGAAATCTTTGTGGACCCAGAAGTTGGCGATGTGAGTACCAGCGTCAGCATGCCAGTCCGTGTTCTGGCCGCCGGGTGCAGTGTGGAGGTCTAAAATCGTATAGATTCCGTGCTTTGCACAGAGATCAATTACACGATCTAGATGTTTGAAACCCTCCGGTTTCAAGACGCGAGGGTTCATATCGTCTTCATTATCACAGGAATTAGCATAGATTGACTGACAGAGAGGAGTATATACCTTCAAAATGCCTATAATTGAAGGGTAAACGAATGCAATTCAGGCCTAGGCTCTTGAAGAAAACTGCGTCTGCATCCGAGAAAAAGTATTCCAAGAACTGCGTGGACAGAGTTCAGTACAGTGAACGTTACCACATCGGGTGATGTACCTTATCAAAGAAGAACTCAGATTTCTCCTTTCCTACGACATCGGCAAGCGCTGCACGAATCTGGAACTCGCAACCAGGATATCCTGCCAAATCTTGTCAGCACGAACGCAGGTCATTGTGAATCGAGCATATTAACCTGAAATGAAATTCTCCATGCTGTACAGCGGTCGTTGTCATCATTAGTACCATTCAACAATTTAAGGCAACATGACCCACTTCATCCACCCACCCAATCCGGCGCCGCGCAAGATGATCTCGTTGCCATCTTTATCGACGAGCTTTGTGCCAGACACTTTGATATAGGCCATGGCTATGGTAGGAATTGAGAGCGCAGAGACAGCTCACCCTCCACATCCCAATCTCTATGCCTTTATAGATCCGATGTACTTGTGTTGGATTTCCCGAAGATTTCCCTCAACGCCATCTTTAGAGTATGCCCAGGGAAGAAGTATGTCCGTTTGGACTTGGTGTCGTCAACGCATCGTTTGCGGCAAGGTCGGCTGACTAAAAGAATGACTCTCGAGATGTTGGATGCATTGCCGTAGTGCTAGAAGTGGAGAGAGGTTGGCTCACAGTATGAGTATGGTAATATTGGTTTCGGGCTAGAGCGATACCATGCTATGGACCTCACAGTCCTAAATAATGCCTAGGAAAGGCATGCTTTGTGAATTAGACTTGATATTACCCTTACTTTCAGTCAAGCCATGAATTCAACAGCGCTCCTGCAATGCTTACTCACACAATAGCCAAAATATGACATTCTGAATTTGTCCGATATAACTCCGGAGGAGGTTATAGGGCTGGGAAGACATTCTACCGTCCATTGCGTTCACGCTCGATAGTCATACGGTGCCGGGAAGCGGTCCGTCACACCAACTGGGCCTATTCTCGTCCTTAGTGTAGGGCAAGAGATATCATGTAGTCCACGGTTAGGAACAATACCACCATGGCAAGCTTTCTGAAGGTCGAGGGTACGAAGATCGTCGATGTGGACGGCAAGGAAGTTATCCTGCGTGGTGCGGGTCTGGGTGGCTGGATGACGTGAGTAACAACCTAGACGGACATCAAGCAATGGGAAAACTCACTGTATCGCATAGAATGGAGAACTTCATAACTGGCTATCCGGGTTGTGAGTTTCAAATCCGCGAAGCCTTAGCAGAAGTTCTGGGGGAGAAGAAAGCCCGTTTCTTCTTCGACAAGGTGAAGCATTCCAACCGATTTTGTCAGATGAGTTCAATTAACACGTACCCCAGTTCTTGGAGTATTTCTTCGGGCAAGACGACGCCGTATTCTTCAAAACACTCGGCTTGAACTGTATCCGCATTGCCATCAACTACCGACACTTCGAGGACAATCTCAACCCTCGAGTCCTGAAACCAGAAGGCTTTGCTCACCTAGACCGCGTCATTTCTCTGTGCGCTGCCCAAGGTATCTATACCATTCTCGACATGCATACTGCCCCAGGAGGTCAAAACGGAGGATGGCATTCCGACCAAGGCACACACATAGCGAACTTCTGGGCGCACAAGGACTTTCAGGATCGTCTTGTCTGGCTTTGGACAGAGATAGCCAAACATTACAGGGGCGAGAAGTGGATTGCAGGATACAATCCCATGAACGAACCCGCTGATTCAAAACATTCTGGATTGATCACCTACTATGATCGGGTATACGAGGCCATTCAGAGTGTAGACCCAAACCACATCGTGTTCTTCGACGGCAATACGTACGCAACGGACTTCTCTGGATTTCCGGATGATGCTGCAACACGGTGGCCCAATGCCGCGTACTCCATACACGATTACTCAGTATTTGGTTTCCCAAAGTCACCAGAACCTTATGCACGTACCGAGGACCAAAGACGACGCATGAGACGGAGCTATGAAAAGAAGAGGGAGTGGATGGATAAGCGAGGTCTTTGCGTTTGGAATGGAGAATGGGGACCTGTCTATGCTAGGCGCGAATATGATGGTGATGCGACGGACGAGATCAACGAAAGAAGATACAACGTCCTGAAAGACCAGCTTGATTTGTATCAGAAGGTGGGCTAAAGCTTGAACGATGATAGACTGACTGACTCAAGAAAGTAACCAGGATCGCCTGAGCTGGTCTATCTGGTTATACAAAGACATCGGCTTTCAAGGAATGGTCCACGTATCGCGCGAGACTCCTTACATCAAACTCTTGTCATCGTTCCTGCAGAAGAAGTACCGGCTGGCAGTCGATTCTTGGGGTGCCGACGACAAGTTCGTGAAGCACGCCTACGACCCAATCGTCGCCCTCATCAAAGAAAACGTACCCAATGAGGAGCATCGGAAGCTATACCCATACCCTGTGTGGACTGCCGAAGAACGCGTCACTCGTCTGAGTCGATGCATGTTGATCAGCGAATTTATGGTCCTGGAATGGGCAGAGCATTTCAGAGGTATGAGTGAAGAGCAGTTGGACGAACTCGCGCAGAGCTTCAAGTTTGAACATTGCTTGAAAAGAGAGGGATTGAATAAGGTGTTGAGGGAGCATGCAACGCTAATGGCAGAGACAATACAGTGATTTGTGAGTATACAAAGTAATCCGTGAGGGCTTTACAAGTACGGAATAGTCTGGAAATTGTCGTGAGTTGCTAAATCTCATGCGAGGCCATCGAGCACTAGCCTATTCGAATGTGATTTAACGATTGGCAAATTTGACCTTCGCCTTTTGATGTCTCCTGATATCTTCGTCACGCAGCTTTGCATTCAGAGCGGTATGAAGCTGACGAGCATATTTTTCTGCCTCCTGGCGACATAAAGTATACCGTGAGGATCAGCGTGTATCAATTTTACGTAAACTTACTTGAACAAGGGTTTGAATGTGGGAAGGCTGCAATTCTCCTGACCCAATTGTCCGAATCGCCTGTACCCTAGAAGGTGACGACGGCGGGAAGGAAAATGCCACAAGGAATTGCGAAGGCACCGAGGCTTCTTCAGAAAGCGTAGCATCTAGAAAATGGACAGCTTCATGCTATAAATCCTCACATAAGCAAGAAGTATCTGAATAAGCCACAAAGTAACGAAGACGTACTACATTGAGCGTGATACAAACCGGCCACAAGTCTCTGCCTTCCAGAGGCTCGCCTTCGTCCCAGTAATCTGGCAACTCAAAGTCTGCAGCTACTGGGATCTGTCTGGTATCAAACCCGCTCGGAGATACCCCTTCTACGTCCATAGATTCCTCCACAGCCCTAAGGGTCTCACCGACCGTCCTCGCTTGGTATTGCACTGCTCTCGTAATTGGTACTTTGGTATCCCACAGAGCCGCACGAGCAGCCAAAAACATAGCATCGTACGTATTGCCTGCATCTGACAGGATGACAAGGTCCAAGTTAAGAAGCCATGATTTTCTTCGCGGTATGATGCCGAGGTTCTTCGGATGGAGTGAAGGGTGCGATAAAATTTGGTGCAAGACGGTGGTATAATCGTACTGCAGGTCATCCAATGCGTTCATAGAAAGTTGAGGATAGGCAGCTGGTGAACTTTCTTTGCATTGTTGGGTACATAACAACGTGGTAGTGTATGGGATAAGACATACCATGTCACGGTGCAGATTAGTCGACCTCCTTCCACGCCATCACCGGTCTCAATGTCCTCAACCTCGAGTTTGGTAGCTGCGAGAACTTCAGTACCTCCGCCACCTTCCTCCGGGTTCTTGCCAATGTTTAAACGTGCACTACCATTGGCTAGTGGAGAGACACCAGTTTCGAGTAACACATTTCGAAAATCTTGCAGAGAGCGACCATCTGCTCGAAGAGGCGGGCTTGCATGTAGTGCAGATTGAATATATGCCCTCTCTGACTTGGATGTCGCCGCCATGGTCGTTGTTAAATGTGAAGCCCTCTTTTCGTTAAGTTCAATTGAAAGGGTGCTCGGCTAGATAAGATTAGATGTCGATCGTGTGTGATTTTGTGAAATCCCCGAGCTTCAAGCTTCACCGATCACCCTCGACCACCATCTTGACCTCTGGTAAACGTTCTGGACGCCTCTCAGTTATTGTAGACCCGGAAGTATATCTGGAATGCTTTGAAACAAGCGAAGATTCACTTGACATTTGACTGACCCACCAAATGTTCGTTCTCTCCATCATCAAAGTATGCCCGCACCGAATTCTCAATCGTTATTCGCAGCTGATGATACCAGGACACTGTTGCAGTTCATCCTCAGCACTTTGCACTCCCACCAGAACAGGCTATTACTAATGAGCTGAACAAGAAGTATGCAAACAGGGTGCTGCATGATGTAGGCTTGTGCATATGCGTATTTGATATATCCGAGGCTGGGGAGGGGAAAATACGATATGGTGATGGGTTTTTGTGGTACAAAGGTGTGCTTCGTATACATATATCTATTCCTCGATTTGAACTTATATAGAATTTCCCAGTCGTCTTTCGGCTTGTGGTATTCCGACCGTTCGCCTCTGAAGTTATATTGGCGAAAGTAAAATCTTCCGATGAAGATGGAATACGACGTAAGACTCCGTATTTCCGCTCATCTCAATAAGATCCTGACCACTGTCGTAATAGTCTCTATGGGCTTCTTTGACGATATTTACGTTCCACTCATGTGGTTACCAGAACCATCCGCGTTGTAAGTGGAGGCGCGTTCCTATGTCGCTTTTTCCTTCTGAAACCATTTGATGATCTGCAGCGACCCAAATGAACGTGCCTATTTTTGGCTGCCGGGTTCCGAAGCAAAAACAGCACATGAACTTCTCGACTCCCCGACTTCGGAGCGCATGTATATCGACACTGGCGAGATTGTACGAGTCCGTGTAGAAGCGGATGAGTTCTACGACGACGAGCCTGGCCCGCCCAAAGCGACAGAAGGTGTGCAACAAGTACAACTTGAGAATCGAAGGCCGCCCTATACAATCACTGTATGTGCTTGTTGTTGCTCTGGTACTTCATCGCACTCACATCCATCAGTGTTCTATTTCAGAACAAGGTCTGGGTCCTGTGTCATGGTGGAAAGATGCGGGTGTCGAGGCCATGGACGAGGGATAGTGAGGCTATGCAATTACGGTTTGAATCATACTCTTGTCTTCTATGATGCTCAGTGCGTCTGCTCAGGTCTGAAAAGGAATCACCCCAAACTCAAATCTTCTCTGATTGTGTTTGCTACACACAGGTAGAAGTAAATGATAAATACTAAGATAAATACACCTCACATCGTCGCAGTCGACAGTCAGGACGTCAATAGATGAATATAATGTACATCATCAAATGCCCTCAACTGGTCCTCAGCTTGCATCGTTTGTTCAAACCCGGTGAGCCATGACCTCCATTGGATGCTCCTCAGCTCTCACATAGCCAGCTGCAAGACTGTAACCGTAGGGTTTGTCCACATGAGTACCGCTTTCGATGCCAAACGAGACCGTCTTGGACTCTGCAGTATGCGCACTGGGAGCAGTACCTGTGCGAAATGTGCTCGCACCAAGAACGCCGGACCCAGGTGGTGCATGGCGCGCCATCTCATTGCTGAGCGCGACTCGCATCACGATGAGGCATTGAGATATGCCCTATCAATGCAAGAAATTCAAGTTGAGAAATGGTTCGAGATAGCAAATACGTACGAAGAAAACTGGAATGACACAGGCCATCACGTAGCCCACGTCATAGTTTGTCTTTAAAGGGAGTGAAGTTTTTGATAAGCTGATATGCATGTTACAGAACGATATAGATACTGACCACGACATGACCATTGGGAGCAAGGGAGCAGATTTCGTACACTAGCAACCCGATCCAGGTTACCAGCGCTGACTCAACACATGCTCGGATAACGGTTTCATACTTGCGTACGGCAGAGTGACTGTTCCGGGCTGTGATCCTGGAAACGATGCATATGAGTATTGTGCTCATAAAGAAGCCTGAGAACGAGCACACAATATCTTTGCGACAATTGCTCCCGTAAGGAGCGTATTGATAGTGAACATGAGCCAGCCCCAGGCAACGGTAATCTGCAGAGTCACTTCGAGGAGGGTGTTCTCGTAAAAGTCATAGTGATGATATGCAGCGAGGTGTTGAGCATCAGCAGACCAACATAAAACTTGTATTCAACGGCTTTTCAGGACAGTTACGGAGAATCAGAGACAAGTCTGACACGTACGAGCGTTAATGACCACGAATACTCCAGGAATGTACAATGCCCATTTCTTTCTGTTGAATATTACATGGAAGCGCCAAGCAAGGAGACCGTCTGAGCACAGTCCCTAAACTCGGATCCGTCAGACTGATAAGTAGCTTCGTCTGATCTGCGTACTCACTGCGAAGGTAGTGGTGACACTGCGCGTCGCCTCGTCAACATGCATACACGCTGGGATACGAATCGCCTTCACTCACTTGCCGATGACAGTCAAGGGTATGCCCCACTTGAAGAACTCATTAGAATCGGGTTCCGTGATGCGCGAACGGGCAAATTGCAAAGACCGCGAGATAAAATGAGCGCAGAGATTGATAAATCTGCATTTGGATCGAGAAATAGTATTGTGAGTGACAACGGGTTATGAGGATAGAAATGTGACGTACAGAACTATGGTTACAACACGCAGCCGCGTAGAACCAACATCCTGTTTTCCGTGTGTAGCCCATAGAGCAAGAACGAACAGAGAGAAATAAACACCTATACATGATTGTGGTCAAAACTTGCCAATAATGATGACAATAGAGACTACAAACCCCAGAGGGCACAAAGGACAGACTGAACGATACCAGAGATCTCAAGAAGGTGCCAAGCGGTCGCTATGTCTACAGAGTCAGCCATTAGTCCGTAGGCTTTAGGGAGTGCGACTGCGAATCCGCCAGGATGGAGAATCCCTGATCCTGTATGTCATGCGCGACTCGGACTTTTATCACATCCAGGCAGGCACCTGCGTCTACTTAGCAAATGAATGCGGTTCCATACTTTGTTCAAACAAGAATATTGACATTCCGGTTTCAATCATGTTTGACCGAGGGACCTGAAGGAGCCAGGGTCAGATAAAAGAGAGCGGGTAGGTCCATCATGATACTGATGCTGAGCGGGGTGAGTGTGGGATGCGAGTATGAGAAGGCAGAATTGGTAGAGATATAAGCCATAAGACATGACGAAAGCGTACCTTGCTATCCATGAGACAATGATCAAAACTGGCCAAATTGGCGTGCAAATGTACTCTGACGACACTAATTTTTGATCAGCCATCACTTTCTGAAATTCGAGAGCGGTACACATACAGTACCTTTCCATCCACCTACGGAGTCAAACTCCATCCGAATCATGTCCGAGTGAACGCAGTATATTGCAGATTACGAGAAAGAATGCACATCGTTCGCTGGTGTCATCTGTCAGAATGGACGTTATCTCAAAGGTACCAACGATGTTTGAGATTCACCTTGATATCATCCAATCAGTGCACTGAAACAAAATACACAATAGGAAACAGTCGTCTGCCGCCACAGGTCAAGACCTCAGATGTGTAACCTATATTTTCCTGTGGCGTTTGCATTATCAGCAAAAGAGAGCCTTTGGCTCACATAAGATATGCCCAAGACAACGTACTAAACAACTACGCAAAGCTGCTGAAATGATTGGCTAATTCGCTAGGCTAAGGACATCAGGGGAGTTCAGAGTTGACCTTTCAATGCGATTCATAAGGTTCAAATGTCTTGTCAATACACAGTGGCCCAAACTCAGTGGATGAATATGATAGTCCTGCCAAGAACCGACATTCTGAATGCGGACGCGTTCGAGTCAAAGGGCCAAAAGGAGAAAGAAACGCGTCGGAGCCGGATCACGTGCACCGTGTTTCATTTCAGTTGAGGGCTTCGAGGCATAGCCCTTGTGTCTCTTTCCCCTTGCCAACCACCGTCTGCTGCAGTTCAACAGCGATACGTAAAGCATCCCAACACTACCGCTTTCCTTCTTTTACAAAGATGTACTTTGCTGGAGCTCCAGGTGAGTACGCTCGGCATTGCACGATCGTGATCGTGCGCGGAAGCAAATTTACGATCAACAGGTTCAAGACTTCAAAGCTTCAAGCTTCAAACTCGGGGTATTTCGAACTTCAGATGCGCGCAGCATTTCGACGAAGGCTTCAAATGATCAAATCCTGACATCTGGTGACTCTTACGAACCCTCTTGACAATATTGATCTTTGCGCTTGATATAACACGTTTTCGTCGTGAATTCTTATCACGACAGCACAATGACATTAGATATTCTTATGTGCGATACGTGTGAAGACTGTGTACAACCAAAATCAAGATCAAGACACAAGAGCGAGAGCAAGAAGTATTCAAGATGCAAGACCAACCGAAGCGAAATATTACAACAGCGAAATGCGACTATATGAACTATGGTACAATTCTCAAGATTATGGGTGTGAATGCAAGAGCAACGTCCAAGGAAAGTCAAATATTCAAGAGCAAGGAGCAAGCTCAAGGTCAATAGGCCCAGTTTCCATTCGCGTGAGAGCTGCGAACCCAACAAGCCGTCAATGATCAATGATCAACGACTGAACTTTCGCTTCAAATTCAAGCTTATGACTTGAATTCGTTTTCTAACTGTGCGCCACACTCCATCAAAGCGTTGACTGATTCGTTGTGACTTTGAAGCGAACATCAAGACCAGCGATCAAGAAGCACAAAAACAACACACCGTACACAAGAAACCAGAGCGGAAGATCCGACTATATCCTGCAAACCCGCATTGCCAGGCCGAGTACTCTGGGAAAGCGAAATCAGTGGTTGTGCTGTAAGATGGTGACAATGGCTGCGGGAATTCAAGAGGTTGACTGTTAACTCGATAGGAGGCAAGGACAACAGAGACTGCACGGACTGGCGACACGGGAGAAGCGGGTTCAGGAAACTGCCAATCAAATGCAACCGGAATCTATAAGTTCGCAACCCAGCAAACATTACAATGATTTCGATCAAACACAAGATGAAAAACACACCTCAAGTGCGTCCAGCTCCTCAACATCATCGGCAGATACGATATACGGCGTTGGTGAAGAATGCCAGAAGAGGTACACATCGTAGTCGTAGTCAGGCTCTTCGTCATAAGTTAGTGAGAGTCCTGGTCCCTGCCAGCGCTGCTGTGGTACGAATTCGTACATTTGGGCAGAATGTGAGTTGGCTGGAGGTGGATGGGGGGCAGGGTGACAAGGACAGGGAGAGAAAAGACGTTCCAACCAGAAAACAACCAAGCCGTTGACACTAAATAGGCAAGGCAAGGCGGCGGCATAGTGCTTTACGCAACAATGTGTTCGACGGATCGAATATGGTAGGTCGAACCAGATCACCGCGCGTGCCCAAAACCTGCGCCCGACGCTGCTCTCCGGTCATCTCAATAGCTTCCTTGACGGTGCCCTGTTCATACACAAGAGAGAGGCCACAATTATCAGACAACACAAAGCAGGTGTTTCTTGCAGGTTTGTCATGCAAGCGACAGCCATTGAAGATGACCCTGTTGTTAATCAACCTCGGTCGACAATGAACCTCTGCAGTCAAGGATACACGCAACGTAAGCAAGAATGCTGGTTCAATCCCTACAGGCCATTTCGTGCTAGGCACAGAATGCCCCAGGTTCAAATAGTGCCACAAGCACTGACGACGTATTATGTGACGAATTCAACAATCCGCATTCGCTCTGAGGGAACACGATGGGGGTCCCCCGTATCTGTTGCATACAGTGTGTACGCTGCAAAGGTCGCCGATGCAGTGATCATGCTCAAGGCTCTACTAGGGGACAACATCGTGACCTCAGGCTGCGTTGAAATCGAGGTCTATCGTCGCTGAAGGCAACGCCTTCATTCCCGATTCTGGGTCGAGAACACTCGTAATGGTGCGTCACGAATACATTATCTGGATGTACCACATCTTCAGTTTGTTTCCATTTCTCCCCTTCCTATCGCCTGTTACCTCGTCGGACTCCACACTCTGTCAGGAATGGTCCTGTGACATGTGTGACGGCGTGACAGTGCACAGGAAGAGGCTGAGCGAAGAGACAGAGGCAGATGGTTGTATTCAGGGTTCAGAAACAGATAATACTCGTGGGGCGAGATGAATATGCTGAGTATGCATATTCGTCTACGAGGATGCATATCTGAAGTGCACGACTGCGAGGGCCTGTACTCTGAGTCGTAGAAGTCTCGAGAGCCCAGCAATGGCTGTCCTATCTGCATGATATTTCGTGCAGCTGAGGATCTGGCAAAATGGACCAAAGCCTCAACGGATTGTCCCTGTGCAAGGTACGTGGGTGCTTCCCAGTACATCCCACAACGACAAACAGTGGCCGGTCACGTCTCGTCGCCGTTGCTCGATTGATTCTGAGGATTCTGCGAATCCAGCGGGTTTCAAGTCAAGGAAATATAGAAGTCTGCATACCAGGAAGTTCAACGGTGCTCATGTTGTTTCCGAGACCCTATCGTGCAAGCAGGCAGCTACAAACAGCGTATCGCCCCTGTACTTCTACAAGCAGCCCCGACTACCCGACACGCAACGATCGCCGCCTAGCTGTCTTGCGCTGAGAACCCTGTGAAGCCCCAAGAAAAGCTGCAGGGCACTACGATCAAGGCTGGATCAAGGTGAACGTTTCGAACTTTGTCTTTGTCGACGAAGATGGCCAGGGGAACGACCTAGCACTGTGACATTTTCTCGAAGTACTGAGGTGTCTTCTCGGAGAAGTCGTGCAAGTGTAGTGTTAGATGCAGATTGTGCAAGAACGAGGAAGAACATCCAAAACAGAGAGGCTCAACAGGAAGGTCTGGATCAAGGTTTGGCGAGCCTCACCCAGTGGCGATCAATCGGACTCTGCTTCCGCCATTTCCTTTGACCGCTCTCCTACTACTCTGCAAGCTTCGACTGGCCCGAATATTGGCTCTCCATGAGGCCCTTTGTTATCGGAGAACACAAGCTAAATGTGACCAACTAGGATTTCCAGGACGAAACTCAAGATATTTCTTAGGCCACTCGAGTTTGCGACATCCAGGACTAAACACGCAGACCATGAGACAACGACCCAGCACTCTCTAGTAGTTGAATGATGATCCAGATAGACGAGGAACGACAACATGTGCCTTAAGAAGAGCGTCGTTGGGAGACACTGGAGCTATTCTGCAGCTAGTGAAAATTCCTGCGCGACGAGTCTTGAGAGACCCAAATACCGTCCACACATTGTCTATGGAGTTTACAGAAATCGTCAGGCCGGCGAATCGCTTAAAACAAGACTACGCCGATGCCATTCTGTTATTGAATCAATGGTTCAAATCACTGGCTTTCTTGAATTACGCTTTTTTGTAGTCCAGGTTTGCAATTCATTTGTGATCCTGAAACCCGATAGTGACACCCTTTCTGCCTCCTAGATGTTGTGTCGACACTGTGATTGAGATACCCGGACACCACTGTTTGATCTGGATGATCTCTATGTCTGTCTATAGTGTTGCCTCACTTCCGTCTGCTACAATTACGGACGGACAGACATGTATCTATCTCTTCAATATCGCAAACACTAGTCATCCGGAGGCTGCGAAGGCCAATTTTCACGTTCGATACAAGATGAGACAGACTCTCAGAGTAGCAACAGACTATCCAATGAACGTTCAGACATTTCCAAGGGGTTGGTGCACAACCCACTAGTGCTCCTTGCTGCTGTCTCCAAGGACACACACAAGCTGACAATGATTCAATGATCGCAAAGTCCACCTGGCTTTCTGCTGCTCGAGAAGATAGCTGTTACCCGTGGCACATGCACATAGTAAGCATACATTGTGATACTTTGAAGTTGCGGTACGTCCAGAAAGAAACAATTAGACAACCAAGATAACTGAGATGAGAGTGCACAGCATATTGCAGCAATATCCGGTTCAGCCAATGTTTCGGGCCTTGGTGGACCTGTGTTCTGTTTTAAATTGCCTCCTATTGGTCCTTTCGTCGTCGGCAATGAACGGAGAGCGCATTTTGACAAGGTCACAAATTAAGGTACTGGAAGACAATGCTCCGGCGATTGCTCAGTTACGCCCAGTGAATTCGGGCTATAAATAGGAGGCCGCAGGCTACATGTACGGTATATACCGATGACGTTCTGCATGTGCCATATGCAAAGAAGGTTGAAGAAACCTGTATACAATGAATCGTACACAACTCGGTAAGCTATCCGTAAGTTCTTTGGCCTGTATGGCCATGTTTTAACCACTAATCCCCTCGGAACAGAAGCTTCGCAGTGACAATGTTCCACCACAGCTGCCACTGGTAAGCGTTTCAGACGGAACGCCTTCTTGGAACGCTCGTATAGATTGCAAAATCGTGCCGCAACGGAAGCTATAACAGGTGTTGTGACCTCCATGGCGTTCTTTCTTCTATCTCAGAAACCTCAAGTTTCAAAGTAATCTGCGACATGAACGGCGATCACCCTTTACTCCTCAGCTGTATATAAGTCATCGCTGCGCCAACAGAAACAAGGCGACCCGCATTTACTGACCCCAATCATGGTGTCTCTCACGTTCCTGGATTTCAGTCTTGCCGCTCTGGGTGTCTTCATACTGCATCGCTTTTTCAGCAGCAAACGTAGACAGTCCCTACCCCCGGGTCCCAAGGGTTTGCCTCTTATCGGCAATGTCCTAGATATGCCTTCATCGTATGAGTGGCTTACGTTCGCAAAATGGGGTGAACAATGGGGTAATTATTCCATGTTTTATTGGAGCCACCCTTGTCGCTTGAACTTGTTACGCAGGAGATATCATATCGGTGAACCTCCCTGGACAACATTTGATCATTCTCAACTCTGCCCATGACGCAGTGGAGATGCTTGAGAAGAAGAGCAACATTTACTCCGACAGACCGACATTACTGATGGGCGGCGAGATTGTGGGTTGGAACAGCACTCTGGCACTCACCCGTTATGGAGAGCGATTCCGCGAGTACCGCCGATACCTCACTCGGATAATGGGTACAAAATCTGCACTACAATCGTATCACAATTTGATCGAAGAAGAAACTTCAAAGTTCCTTCGACGTTTGTTACAAACACCGGAGCACGTCCATAAACATATTCGCAAGTAAGCGAATCAGTCATCCACATCTTTTATCTATTCCGCCTATGCTTATTCGCCTTTAGAACCGCCGGGGCCATCATCTTGATGATGGCATACGGATACGCTGTGGAAGAAGACGAAGATCCATATGTCAACCAGGTCGACAAGGCTGTAACAGAATTCACTATTGTAACAACGCCCGGGGCTTTCCTAGTGGATGTCCTACCAGTGTTGCGTTATCTTCCCAGCTGGTTCCCAGGTGCCGGTTTTCAGAGGATAGCATCAGAATGGCGAGAAGACTTGAGACAAATGGCAGACATCCCTTATGAGCTTGTGAAACAAAAGATGGTGAGTAGGTCAAGGTCTATGATAATGTCAACCTAACCAATCTGCCAGCGAGAAGGCGCAGCTCTTCCAAGTTTTACCAGCCGTCTGTTGGAATCTGAGAAGCTCACCCGCGAGAAGGAATTCAACATTAAATGGTCCGCAGCTTCTATGTATTCAGGAGGAGCGGACACCGTGAGCATGTCTTATACTGAGTGGAACATGACTACTCATGCTCCTCTTCCAGACTGTGTCTGCTATCTATTCTTTCTTCCTGGCGATGACTTTGAATCCCGAAGCACAGATCAAGGCACAGAAAGAGATTGACGTAGTGGTTGGCAATGATAGGCTTCCTACGATTGCCGATCGTGACAGCCTTCCTTACGTTGATGCACTCCTAAAGGAAGTGCTAAGATATAATCCCATAGGGCCTCTTGGTAAGTTGTATCGTGACCTGCATCTTTCTGTCGGTGTCACAACTCATGCATGCGGCGCAGGTCTTCCTCATCGAGTATCTGATGATGATATATATGCAGGATATTTGATTCCTAAGGGATCACTTGTCTTTGCTAACATTTGGTCAGCTGGAAACCTTCTATTCGTGCTCTTCCCATCTGATCGGTCATGCAGGGCCATCGCGCACAACCCAAAAGTGTACTCAAATCCGTCGGCCTTCAATCCCGATCGATACCTTGGAAGCAACCCTGAGCCTGATCCTCGAGAATTCGTGTTCGGATTTGGAAGAAGGTAATCTTAACTTTTCCTTTGAAGGTGACACAGTATCTCATGCATGATCCTTCGCAGGATCTGCCCAGGTCATGAGCTATCCTCTGACTGTTTCTTCCAGTCAACTCACAGTGAATTTCAGGCCTGAATTTGGCTGATACATCTGTTTTCCTATCGTGTGCTATGGTTCTATCCGTCTTCGATATATCCAAAGTAGTGGAAGATGGTGTCGTCATTGAACCAGTGAATGAATGTACAACAGGAACGATTAGGCAAGTTTCTTGAAACTACATCCTGTTTCTGTTTGTTGACCTGTTCTGACCGCTCTCCAGCCATCCGAAGGAGTTCAGATGCTCTATCAAACCTCGATCATCCAAGGCTGCCTCCCTCATTCTACCAGAAGCGGCGCGGAAGTGAGGCGTGCCTCACATATCTCGAACTTTGCAAGGTCAACGGGAACCAAGACGATCACCGCCATAACAGGCTTATATATGCCTTTCGGGCTCAGGAGGAGGACAGCTTTTGACCGGAGGGCTTTAGCAGGAGAGATTCTGCGGTCCCAACTACTTGCAATCAACATATCTTCTGTACTATCCGAAATTTCCCTTGATAATGAGTTCACGTATTCACATTATATGAATGTATATGCCCACGTTATACCTCTGTTTATTATCCACTATCCGCTAATACTTGTGCGACGACATAGTCGCCGTCGTGACTGACGCTGACATGTAGTGTGAACGTTGAGTCTTTGATAGCACGATACACCAAAGAGGGCTTTTGAGTGGTAGCCCTGTTGAAGCTTTCATATGTCAACTCCTTCCAGGTTGGTCGAAAGGTCGGATACAGCGCCTTATAAGCAGCCTCTTTCACAGCCCAACTGTTCAAGTGCAGTCCATTGAGCGTAAGATCATTTGGATTACGTTAAGGACGCACCGAACTGCGAGGAATTTTATTCTTTCATCAGAAGACGCGAATGGTCTGCTTTGCCATCCCGACAGCTCAGAAGAACTTAGAATACGGTGAGCCAAACGAGCGGCAGACCTGCGTCTGACCAGGTCGACGATTCGTCGTATCGACACGAGATCAATCCCTACACCTAGTATAGCCATAATGTCAGTGCCATGCAGATCGACCACTGGGAGTCAATTGGAAGTTGAACGACTCGATGATCGTAGTCGGATCGTAGATTTATCAAACTTCCAAGATCCAGATCTCGCTTGCCACAAACTTTAGAAACGCCCTTCCACGAGCCGAAAGTCATTGATGTAACCTGCTTGACCTTGTACATTATGTATACTGTAACCTCCGCATATATTGCTTCTGCAACAAACAGGCATTCAAATGCCGCGGCTATATCACCCAGTGGCACCCTTGCCTTCGGTTCAGCAACTTATGTCGCTCTTTGGAACACAAAGGCATGTTCGCGACACTCGCAAGCACCCAGTTTCTTTTTTAATAACACCATTTCCCGTAGGATAAGTGTGACCATGGGGTGTACCAGACACTGCCTGGACACCAGGGCATTGTCACCGCAGTCCGCTTTGTCCAGGGGTATGATGCTTTCATCAGCGTGGACGACAAAGGCACTATGAAATACTGGAAGAAGATAACTGGCGAAGTACGTTCCTTTCTTCTTCTCTCTGCCTTCACGTGAACAAAACCAATCGCAGTTTCAATGCACATTCACAGTGTCTGCACATTCAAAATCAATATCATCCCTTGCTGTCCTTAATGATACTATTGTTACTGGTGGTTCCGACTCACTTGTTAAAATTTGGAAATTGGAGTCTGGTATGTGTCTATAGCAATCTTACTTGCTTCCTGAAGAATGAATATCTGTCATAGATCAATGCGTTGAGGTGCAATCTCTAACGCTTCGAGGTCGCTATCCTTTATCCCTTGCGCTTTCTCTTTTGCCGAACTCTCAAGGTAATGTGCACACACTTCTTCGTATGGTCCCTGTGTCTAATTCATACTCAAAGCTTGTATACTTGCGATTGGTGCAACCGAGAAGACAATACAGCTATGGACTCGTTCCGAGGAGAACGTAAGTAGTATGAAGGAACTGCTCCGATTGATCTGCTAATGTATGCATCAATGTGCACAGTTCGTATATGCCGCTGCATTGTCAGGTCACGAGGACTGGATCAAAAGCCTAGCCTTCCAACCACCCTCGATAAAGGGCGATCCTCTCATCCTAGCTTCAGGATCACAGGATGGGACAATCCGATTGTGGAATATTGAGCCACACGTTAGACAAACTTCAACAAATGACGGCACAGTTGAAGGAGAACTCAGTGACGACTTACTAGATGCCTTTGAAGCTTCACTTGGTGATCTCGCAGATGCTGAGGAGGGGGGTCGTCAAATATCCTTGAAGCGTCACATGTTGACACTGAAGTCTGACCAAACAAGGTACGTCGGTTTCGATGTCTTCATTTCTATAACAAGATGACTAAAAGCCTAACAGTCCACAGCAATTTACGGTGACGTTCGATGCGCTCCTTATAGGTCACGAAGCTGGCGTCACGTCACTATCCTGGAGGCCATCCTCCATCCTAGCACCAGAGCCCACATTGCTTTCGACATCTACAGACTCTTCCGTAATTCTGTGGTCACCGTCAACGATATTCGGTTCGTCCAGCAGTCAAACAACATCTATCTGGATCAATCAACAACGATTTGGTGATATTGGCGGTCAACGGCTTGGGGGATTTATCAGCGGCTTATGGGCTTGTGAAGGTATGGACGTCACTGCATGGGGCTGGAATGGCGGTTGGAGACGTTGGCGCTGCAGACCCATGAGTGATGATGAGAGAGGGGCAAATGTGCCGGAAGAGTGGTACGAAGTTGGCGCAATCACAGGACATGCTGGTCCGGTCAAAGGACTCTCATGGAGCCCACAGGGTCAATATGTCATCAGCGCAAGGTATATATCACTGATTATTGAACTGTATCTGTCTTCCTGACGAGAATGCACAGCTTGGACCAGACCACCCGCATACATGGACCCATTCCTGCTGATATTAGCAATGTGGCTCCTTCGTGGCATGAGCTTAGTCGGCCGCAGGTTCATGGCTACGACCTCATTGATGTCGCTTTCCTAGATGCTACTCGATTTGTTAGTATCGCTGATGAGAAAGTTGCTCGCGTCTTCGATGCTCCACGCGAATTCATAGATCTTGTGAACAACTTGCAGGTTGCCGACATAACAGTCAACAAGGTATGCGTATAATTTCGTAATGAGTATTGTTTACTTACTCCATTTCACAAGGATGAGAGGCCCAGAGCAGCCACTGTACCTCCTCTTGGCCTGTCGAACAAGGCAGTCGAAGGTGCACTTTTTTTGGGCATCTCTTGTGCACTATGTTTACTCATCAGCTCGTGAAAAACCAGCATCGCAAGGTACTGAAGCACCAATTGAACTTGATCCATCTCGCACAAAGCGACGGCCGTTTGAAGGTGAATTGGCAGCAGCGACCTTGTGGCCAGAAATTGAGAAAGTCTTCGGACATGGTTACGAAGTAAGTGCTCAATCAATTCAATCTTCCATGACCACTCGCTCATGCCTGGTTCTAGTCAATATCTCTCGCTGTCTCGAGTAACAAGCAATTCGCAGCGACCGCCTGCAAAGCCGCCTCTCCTGAGCATGCTGTCATAAGGGTGTATGACACAGAGAAATGGCACCCGTTCGGTAGTCCTCTTTCAGGGCACGCTTTGACGATCACTCGGATTGCCTTCAGCCCCGACGATAGATACATCTTATCTGTGTCACGCGATAGATCCTGGCACCTCTTTGAGCGGAACGGATCTGGAGGTGAGTTGATTGCTCAGTTGCATTCTCAGGTAGCTGAAGTTCCTTTCAGACGGCTACCTCCCATGCGCAGGGGACAAGTCTCATGCTCGTATCATCTGGGATTGTGCTTGGGCGCATGAAGGTGATGTCTTCGCTACGGCCTCGAGAGATAAAACCGTAAGTACTGTAACGTCTTTCTTATGAACATTCACCTCATTGGCACGCAGGTCAAGATATGGCATATCAAGAATCTGGGATCCAAAAAGTGGCCAGCGGAGGCCACATTAAAGTTGCGTGACGCAGTTACAGCTGTTGCCTTTGCGTCCGCCGACTCTGATCAACGGTATGCCCACCATCAATTTGTGCATTCGGCTGTCATCCTCATTGTTTGCAGGCGACGACTGGCCGTAGGTCTGGAATCAGGAGAGATTGTGATATACTCCAATCCTTTATCCGCACCATCGGAATGGAAGGAGGAGCTATTTATCGATTCGCGGTATGTACCATGTCAATCACAATCATCAAGCGTGGATTATGGTGCTCATCTTTACCACAGACATGCTCACGTCGATCACATACATCGTCTTTCGTGGCGGCCGGGGACGAATGGCATGACAAAACAACTAGCAAGTTGTAGCGAAGATGGTACAGTGAAGGTATTACTCGTCCATATCGGAACAGTATAGACAACCCGAACACGATATGTAAAGAGGAGATCAAGGAAAGCTACGCAGTATACAGTGAGAGACAGGAACCGGGCAACGAGCTAATAACGAAACAATGAGGTAGGATGTGCGGTAAGGGTATAGAACACAGTAAGAACGCCGAGACGCGAGATGATATATAGTGGCAATGTGGTAGCACGAACGGATGAGCATGAGCAGAAACTGAGAGCAGGGGATAGGGATACACAATTGATACAAGTGAGGGCATTAGACAATGTCGCGGAGACTCATGGGCACTTCAGGCTGTAAAAACTTCGTCAGTTAGCACGAAAGGATTTAGGAGACATAAGACGTACGCATTTAATCCTAAGGGCAGGACAAATTGTTAGTAAGTGTGAAATGGTTCGCTATATCCAATGAGGCTCACTTGTAGAAGCATTCTATAGATCGCAACATTTCGACATCACCACCAGTCGCTGTTACGAAATTGACAACAACTCCAGCACGAGAGTAGCTGGGAGCAATGGCCGGAGCAACGCTGAAATATACATAAGAAACCGCGCAATCGGAGGCCAACGCTGTACATACCGATGCGCATACTCTTCCACAGCCTTTGGAAGGTCTGAACAACGTCAAAGCGTTCAGCGTAACTATACAGGGACGGCGTAAAAGAGGCGTACCATAGTTGATTATGAGTGGAACGTGGGACACTTCGGGAGTCTTAACCTGAACATCATAGACGACTAAGACTTTGGTCGTCGGCTGACGCATAATCGACTCATGAGGGCTTCGGAATTTGGCCAAAGCACTTGTCCTCGCAGCATGATTCATATCACTATGCTATAGTCTTGCATCAGATGTGGTGTCTTCACAACCATAATTCAAATTGGAATTACCAGAGGTACCGGTTCAAGTCCGCGGCTAGCCAGTTTGTAGTGGACGGCTTCTAGCGCAGTCATGCCCCCGACGTGGATAATTGCGCGAGGCAATTCGAGATCAGAAAAAATATCTGCAAGTGCGTCGAGCTTCCATTCGCGAGCTTGCACGGTCTCCGCACTCGTCGCACCCCGACCCGACCCGATAATGCCTAAACTGCCTTGAGGAAGCGGCTGTTCAGAGCGACCACTAGCCGTGAAGGCCAGATATAGGTAGAATTGTCGAAGACCGCGAGCTCCTTGATTTGTATCTGCATGAGTAACATTTCCATCGCGACGGACAAGAACTCGAACGGGCTCCCGAAGCTGAATGGTAGTAGCCAGGTTGAGAACGTCCTGCGGCACAGTATTGGAAAAAAGAGCTGTTTGCCGTTCAATTTGACCGGATGGACCGTTGCTAGCTTCCATTGATGGTGCCGGGGAGACGGTCGAAAATCGCCTTGGAGTATTCTGGAAGGATGTGCCAAGAGACGAGGTTGACCCGTTATCGAAATTTGAAAGGGACGATTGAGAATTGTTGTTTGTGGGAGTAGTGGGTATGCCAGAACTGACAGGTCGAGAGCGAGGTGGCGGCAGTAGCTTTACAACTTGGAAGACAAAATCGTGCAAGTTGCGTGCAATCAATTGATCGACTTCGTCGAGGACGAGGAAGCGTACTTCTCCACCTGGGATTCCTCCAGGCGATGTGAAGAGCGCATGCAGCTTCTGTGGAGTGCCACAGATGATGTGTGGCATATTCTGTTGCAAGAGATGGAGCTCAGCATTCAAATCATTTGCGGAAGTGGTTCCCACTCCCAAGGCAGAACGAACGCCAATTGGACCTCCAATATCGCGAATCATTCTTTGTGCTTGGGTTGCCTGATCGACCGTTGTGGAAATCATAACAACGCTAGGTCCCCGAACAAGCCCGCGGCCCGTGGAATACAGAAGCGCAGTATGAATGGCAGGGATTACGTACGCCGCAATACGTTCTTGAGTTGGAGGAGCCTGAGCAATGATATCGGATCCGCGTAACAAAAATGGTAAAGCGCGTTGCTGTATTTTGTTCGGAGGGCCAACACTTTATTCATGATAATGTCAGAGGGCATGAGATGAACTTTCTCGTGGAATACTTACCCGAAGCTGCTAAGAGAGCGCAACAAATCAGGTGCCAAAGCCAATTGTTCCCACTTCGTAATCATAGGTCCGCCGTCGCGGGATGTTTGGGAACTCGCGATAGACTCGCCCTAGCGGTATTGTCAGCCACGTGCTATATATGAAAAGTGGGACGTACTCACACCGACAGACTCACGACGGAGAGCAGATACAGATCTTCTCTTATCTCGGATGTCAGGACGTCCCAGAGGTGGTGTGCCATTCTCATGTGCCCGGGAAGGTATGTCTAGTGTACCCGCAGACCACGTACGCATGGGAAGACCAGGCATACGTTGGTTGGGACGTAAATCAGGACGCTGAGGTAGCCCATGACCTAAAGCAGCAGCAGAAGATAATGCTGCAGGCAGCATCCGGTTCTGAGTGATCTCTGGTGGCAGCAATCCATTGTTGATGCCCATGGGACCTGCATGCCCTGCATTGTGGATGTGCAGCTGTTGAGTCGAAAGTTGGAGTAGTTGGTCAACCGACATCGTCAACGAATTGAGCCTGTGTGAAATAGCAGACATGTCATCCGTAGGAGCTGGTTGGTTAGGAGCTATGTTACCCATTATTGAACCTCGAGGTCCGTTGACATTTGAACCTGGGAACGATGACAGCAGACCATTCGATGGAGCAAATGGATCCCTGAACTCCGGGGGAGAACTGGCACTGGATGATCTCTCTATCAGCATGTCCAGCTTGCGATGGACATCTCCAAGATCGCGCTGTATTTCGCGAGACGTTGACTCGAACCGCATCAAACGATCCAGGATGTCATTGATTAGAGGCGATGCCCTCAACTGAGTCTCAAGGTTATGTCCAATCTCGATGGAAGGTATCAATCCGGCAAGGGAATCTAACGAAGAGGGAGGAGATGAAGACATGAGGGAAGGGGTGTGGAATGATGACGACCTAGAGTTGGCTTCTGGTATAACGGGAGGTGTGTTGAGACGCTCCCGATTTCGTCCCATAACCGAAGCGTAGAGGGCGTTATGTAGATGGGAGCCGTTGATGGCGACGGACTCCGGGGTATCCTCCGTGTCGGGTATGGTCTCTAGGGTAACATGCATGCTACTCTCTTTTGTAATGGGTCTCATGAGAGCAGGATATGGTCTATCTGCTTCGACCTGGTGAACTGCTGGGGAATCGCGTTCGTCATCTCCCTGCTGGAATCGATCCTGTGGACCAAGAGCGAATCTACCATCCCGTTCGTCCTGCGACGGACTGGGAGAAGACTTGATAGAGCGGTAATCCGAAGGAGACTTAGAAAGAGTGGACGTTGATGAGCCATACTGCTCTCGAGTAAGCCTGAACCCAAGGCCAGCACCTCCGTCCTCTCTTCCCAGCGAAGCCCCAGGAAAGAAGGGGGTGGAGGCTGGATTCAAAGCAGGACTTCTCGACATGGAATCCATGGCGATGGCAGATGCTGGGCAACTTGCAATACTTCAACTGCAAGACACTGAAATGTCGGTTTAGCTGGCTACAGTTACGACCCCAAGTGCAAGGACCTTACCTTTGATGCCTCAAACCAACCTACACGGCCTCTCCCATCCAGAACGCGAGACTGATAATATAAGTAGAGAGAAAGGAGGGCGCGGTGAGGGAGAAGTACGAGTTTGAAAGCAGGAGGTTCGCCTCAATCCAGCCTCAGTCGCCAGCAGAACGATTTGGCGGCTCCGGAATAAATATTGCCAAAGGTCCACAGCTCGTGTTTCGACTTCTTGCCGACTGATGTTCTCCATCAAACATATGCTTATTGTACACAATACGAAACGTTCATCTATTCAGACAATAGCATAGTACAGGCAACAGACAGACAATGACATTATCATAATGAGAGGCGTAAACCAGGTCTTACTGAGACACTGAAGGTAATTAGGGATATTCCTAGATGTTAGTTAGTATGCAATATTCGCACGACCTTACAGTATCAAAGTTGGTTCGTAGCCTAACGCCCTGAGATGGATAAGTTAGCGACTGATTGTGATATAGAAAATAATGGTGATCATACTTCACAGCGTTCACCATCTTCTTGACAGGCGAGAGCAGCGTGTCAGTGACACCGGGCTCGCTGGGTCGGGTGTTGTTGTATTCATTGACTTGCTCGTCATATGCATACTCCGGTAGCTTGGAGAGAGACTGGGTAACCTACACGCGACTAGGTTGGCAAACTTTTTGACATCTCATGAGGGAATACAGCACATACCACCACCGGTACGTGGTCCAAGAGGGTGCCATCCTTATGAGTTGCCTTGTACGCCGACCAGGCATCCTTAAAGTGCACAATGGCATAAAGACGAGGCTTGACACTACCTTTGGGTAACTCACCCCCGTCACGAATGAATATAGGTGTACCACCACCGCATCTAATATCGACACTGCTGACAGTGTGACGTTTGAAGACCTTCTCCACCTCTGAAGAGGTAACCTTCGGAGTGAGCTGTGAAGCACTGTGAGTCGTCGACTGAACACTGACAAAAAAGAAACAAAAAAGAAACACACATTGCCGACATATGCGTAGGTAGGTCCTTTGAAGTTCTTCTGGCCCTTTCGACGTTTCTCTTGCAATCTTTGTTGTTCCTGGGTCCACTGTTTGGCCTTTTGCGTCGAGTTGGCCTTACGCTTGCTCGAAGCTTTGCGAGTAGTCTCCTTTAGAAATGAGACTGCTGTCTATACGTTTGTATGACTTTCACTTACTTGAAACATTGTTGCTGAGACATAGTGAGGATTACCTGGTGCACAGAATCGCGCCATGGAAATAAGGCTTGAAATAACGCGAAGGCAGGTATTTGTGAGAAAGACGTGGGTAGCCTCGTTGAGAACTTGATGGTTGAGCGATTCGAGAGTTGGGAGGACAGTACTATGAGAATGACATGCGACACGGGGTCACCCTATTTATGCAAAAAAATGATCGCGGCATTCCAGCCACAGTCAAAGAGACCATACCTCGGAGTCAAAGGTCGCCACTAGACAAAGAACCCCATCAGTGGACGTGTAGATAATTAACCGGCTAAATGAAACAACAATTGTCCTGGCCCATGTTGCTGTGGGACAAAAATTCTTGATACTCCGCGTTCCAAGTTCAGTAATATACATCTAAGTCATCAAATCCAACCAACATAGGACAGGGTTCAAGCTGGGACAATGAGGAACCACTTATGGAAGATCATCTCTGGGTCGTATTTCTTCTTTATAGCTTGCAATCTAGGATAATGCTGCCCGAATAACTCTTGGCTCTTCTCAGCAGGGGCCACTCCCGTCTTAGACGAAGCGGCATCGTCTGTACCAGCTGTAAATCATATTCAGACAATAGGTCCAATTAAGCCGCGTCATGCACTGACCATAATTTCCATAACCTTCACCTTTAGGCATCAAACCTGCCAACTCGTGAGCTGCAGCTCTCGCTGCCTTCCCCTTCTCCGGCGTGTGCTCTTTCCATTGGATAAGAATAAGTGTGTTCCCGTGAAGGTTACGCCGGTATGGGGTTACGTCAGCCGGAACGCTGTTGATCTTGTCGTGTGGCAAAAGCTCCAGAATTATCGCCACGTTCAGATCTTCCTTGGACAGCGAAATCACCCTATCAAAGACCTCGCGACGCAGGTCCTTCGATGGCGTGTCGGACAATAGTGCGCCTTTCATGTAATAGTTGAGACCAGGAGCCGCAAGCGCATTCTGGGAGACGTTTGTCAATAACACTGAAGTGACAAGTTACGGCGTCCTACCTGCATCCCGTTCACCTCTTCGTAAGGTACCTCCTTGGCCAAGTCGGCCACTGGGCCTAGGGTCCCGTTCAAATTCAAGTTACCAATTACCGGGATCAACCACACAGACTTACCAATATCGTAAAGGATCTTGTAGTGCTCCCGTCCCTCGGCTTCCGAACCATTGTAGAAAAGAGACACAACAATACAGGGCTATTATGGACACACAAGTGAGTCACTACACAAAGTAACAAGGACAGAGGATGAAATTTCACATTGCCATCAGGTCCCCTGGTCATAACGCTCATCAAAGACGCCTTTCCTGAACTACCAGCATTTGGCCACCATTTGTCAAGTGCCGCCCCAACTTGTTCCAGCTTGTCTGGGGTAAAGACAATCTGACCAGCGAATACTGATCGACGCTGAGGAAAGAGTTTGAGGACAAATTCGGTTACGACACCGAAGTTGCAACCGCCACCACGGATGGCCCAGAACAGGTCGGAGTTCTCAGAAGAATTTGCAGTTAAAACGGAACCGTCCGCTGGAACTATCGTAGCCTATGCTTCTATTAATGGTGCTGTGCTCATTGACATTGATATAGACTGACCTGAACAAGGTTATCTATTGCAAGGCCATGTTGCGCACTTAACCAACCATACCCGCCTCCGAGTATGAGACTAGCTTACGCATTGGCCAAATATGATACACTAAAAGTATATTCATCAACTTACCCTCCGACACCAGTCTGGGGAACCATGTACGTATGAGTGCGATCGATGGGCATATACTATGGTACTCACATGATTGACCGTACCACCGACAGTGGCAAGCCCATGCTGAATGGCAGCATGATCGACCGTCTTCCATACGGCACCACCTCCAATATATGCCAAACGTTTCTCCGCATCAACAGTGACACCGTTGATGTACTTAGAGAGATCGATCACTAGACCGTCTTCACTGGAAGACGTCCCGGCTGCGCTGTGCCCCCCTCCGCGTATTGCGATAGGTAGAGCATTGGCCTTTGCATACTTAATGGCTAAGGAGACATCCTGAGGATCCTTGACGAAGGCAACAACCTTGGCTCGTCTAGCAGCATTGTGTGCCCACCGATCGATGGCCTCTTCATACCCTGGATCAGAGGGGGTTACTAAATCTCCTTTGAACTGTTTCTTGAACGAAACGAAGTCCGTCATGACAGTATAGATACAGTACACGTATAGAAGGGGTGCTCAAGTACAGTTTTCCTCTTGCAACTTGGTCTCTTATACGTGGTCAGTTGCCGAGGTAAACGTCAGAAAGCCGAGGCTTGGCTTCTGCAGCTTATAGTTCGATGCTGTGTGACACACTATATCTTACATGTGCGATGTCAGCACAGAACAAACACTAGTACTGGAAGTTTGTCAGATGGATGACGTGAATCCACGGCGTACGATTGGGAAAAAGCTGCATGCACTTACACATCGGGTCGGCAAGCAATGGTAATCACCCGTGTATATTGCATATGCAGACAAGCTTGAAGAACACTAATTACTGTACCCCACAAACTCAATAGGACTTGGAAACGGCAGCCGACAGCGTAGTGTGAGAATGAAACAGTGCAAGTAGCATTCGATATGTCCATGTAACTACAGGAGAAGCAATGTCGCGAGCAGAGACAAACAAGAGACAAGAAACCTTCCACAATGAAGGGCGCCATCAGATCTGTAAAAGCCCGTCCCTACTAAGGTAACAAGGTGGTTGGTTGCCGAACGAGCGATGTCAACGCCGACACATCCCTAGGGGACGGTCGTGCTCATCTCGTTGCTGAACGTCTCGTCATTGGCGATTCAGTTGTGGAAGAATCAAAGAATTGCAAAATCTCTCTCCAAACTTTATATAGTGGCAAACCGTGGGAACTGCGCACGGACCACTTTGCATGCACCTGCATTCGTCGCAAGTTGGTCGCAAGCATATTCAAAGTGAAGGGATCGAATCGAATTCGTAGAAAGATTCATTATTTCATTGTTACACTAAGCAAGGGCAAAGGCAATATCGATACAGAACGGACACATGAGTAAATACGTTAAAGCAAAAACAGTGAAAGTCCATGTTGAAAAATTGAGAGATAAAAGCACCACATAAAAACCGCATATGAAATGAAGTCTTCACAGCTTCATACTACTGGCCTGTCGACCACTGTTGCTGCTGGCCCCCATCCTGTTCATCCAAAGCGAAATCCCCCAACGTGAACGGAATCTCGGGATCATATCCAAACGCTCCAGGATCAAACGTCTGCCACAACGCATCCTGATTGAGATCATTCCCTCCCAACGAATACCCACTAGGGCCCGCTGGATTATAATTACGTATATAATCCAGCCCACGGAATGGCAGCCCGGGCCCCGCGAACCCTGCTGAAGGCGGCGTAGTCGACAGACCTGACAGATTAACATTAAGATCAGGGCCACCATATGTTGTCAGGTACGAAGTATCGATCGTGGGGTTCGTAGGAGAGAAGCCGGTGTTGCTTGGATATCCCCCAAGGTTACCCTGCTGCGACGTCGACGCGATATTCGGATCAGCTTGTCCGTTCCAACGACCATCTGTTGGTGGACTTTGTGACAGGCCGAAATCGTACTCGAAGTGAGATGGCGGAACGCCAATGGTCGGTGACTGCGGGAGACCCATTCCGAATGAATTTGCAGACATCACATGCGGACTTGACTCCAATGGGTGCTCCAATACAGTGGTGGGCGGTGAAGGATGACTGTTTGCTGATACAGGAGAGCTATGAGCGCTGAGCGACGATCGCCCAGGATAGGAACTGGATAGGACGCTAGCCAGGGATGGATTGAATTCATGTAAATCGGTTTCATCCAGGGGTCGTTTCCGGGAGGTAGACCTAGCTCGTTGGCTAAGAGCTATTGAGGACAAACATCGTCAGGTACAAGCTACGACAATAAACACAATAAAGACTTACGGTCATGACGGTACAAAGGCGCTTGACGAGGTGAAATACGAGCATCCCGAGACCTATGTCTGGGACGTGATTTAAGCGTCCTCTCCGAAACTGGAACTGAGATAGGTGTAGACATTCGTCGGTCCGAAAGTACCGACGATGGTGGCGGAAGGTTTGGGCTTGTCGAAGAATTGGTTTGCATCTGACTAGTGGTGACTGCCTTAATTGCTTCAGTGGCAGTTCCCATCAAGTCTTCAAGCAGGTCTTTGCACTTGCGTGCCCCAGGCCAATGACCTTCCCAAGATTCCAAGACAGCCAGGCAGCTCCGTGATTCCTCCATTGCAGCTTGAGACGCTCCCATGTCGGTCGTGTGCATAGCATACAATAGAATCACGACAGCAGAGCTGAACAGATTTTGAATGAAGAAGGCGAGATGGTGACTCGGAGGGACCACGTTCTTGATGGAGGGTGCCAATCGTATGCACGCGCGCGCAGTAGAAACAGCTTTGGCAGTCGAACGAGGCCAAACGGGCTGATCTCTCTTCACCGGTAGGAAATTACGATGAAGAGTGGTCAGGATGGAATAATAGTGACTGCATAATACGGCACCCATAGAAACTTGCTTCTCCGTCATGGGATTTGACTTGAAAACTGCGGGCAGATCGTCGCACCATTTCGTGAGAGCCTTGTCAAGGGACTCTACAGAACGATTCAGCTCGTTGCGTTTCTCCGGTTCTAGGTGATCCTTGCATTTATCTAGAGCATAAACTTGACGGAGGACACGGCCGGCGATCTTGTACAACAAACAAAGTTCGATGAACCCACGCATGAGGGATGGCGTCCCAGGAGGCATAGTGGCGCCGGCGAAGTACTCCGGTAATTGTTCGTCGTCGACATCAACAGGCAGTTCCGCATCGCAATCGGAGTCCTCGATACCAAGTGGTCGACCCAAAGCGAGAGCCAGCATACGGTCCAGAGTGTATGCGCCCCACCAAACTTTGCGACGCGTTTCTTTCTCAATCGGAGTGATCAGAAGTCTCCGTGGGGATCGCTAGATTGAGTCAGATCATATGAAACAACAAGAGGCAAGAATAGACGACGTACATGTAGACCTATATCCTGTGCAGTACGAACTGCCTGTCCCACCAGGATCCAGGCTTGAGGTAGGCAATTCACAGAGCACAAAAACGACGACATCAGCAAGAAACATTGCACATGCTCCACTTGTATCGATGCATGACTGATGTAATGAAGGATCAAAGCCCTGTAATAATGAGAAAAATGCGTCAAGGACCATTGCTTGAAGGAAAGAAGACGACATACCTTTCGTAATACACCATGCCCATTCCAGCATCATCAAGGTTCTCGCCTCTTGTCAGACGGGGGTCATCCACCAACTTCGCACCACAAGCGAAAACAGCACACACGAGTGCCATGAAAGCGGTTTCCCGACGAGCGATATTTACGTCACCCCTGTTGTCCATAAGATACTGATATCGCCTGAGGAAGCTAGGCTTATCAACCACAGGCATGAGGAAATGGAAGCGAGCAAAGTATGCATCGACCTATATGCACGTATGAGAATGCACAGTAGAACTGAGAGGAAGGAAACGCACGAGTTTGTCCGCAAGGTCACGTTCAGGGTATTCTACTTCTTCAGGTTGAGGCAGAGCACGAACTTTGCCAAAGAACACTGAAGCGGGGAAGTAGAGCTTGTTTACGCTTGGTCCCGGTGCAAGTGGGTCCTCATCCATAGGCGATACTCGGTGTAAGGGGGAAGCGGTGATAGTACGGAAGGATTGGATGAGAGACATAGTGGACGATCCCCCAATCCAGCGCATCTGTCCATGTTCATCGAGCGCAAGCTGTCCGAAAGATTCCGATACATCGTCTTCGACCTTGATAGGTTGCATAGGTTCTGCACCCATGGCGTCGTCGATGCCGTTGCTGTCGTTCTGACTTTGCCTCTTGGGTAGGATGTTTGAGAGTGTGTTGGGTGTCACAGTTCCTGCTGGAGGTGCCCCAGAGGTGGACGGTAGATTCGACATGTCGATTCCGCTAGCCTGGCCAACTTGCTCAAGGATTGGGGCCACTTGTTGGAAGAGGGATTCCATATGAAGCAGACGTGCCTCGAGTTCTTGCACATAACTACATAGACCTTTGAATCTCAAGAGGTCACATTCACAGTGCAGCATGTGTACTCACTGTCTGCTCAACGCTGCGCGATCTTTTGTCTGCAACCATGTACACTGAGATTTTGAAGATGCGCATTGAGAACAAGTGGGCTCGACGCCATCGCACTTGATCTTCTTTCTCCTACGTAAGTCAATGATGTTTAGTTGGAAAAGTCCATCAGCAAGTGGAGAAGGGTGCACCTGCAGCTTTCACATGCTCTCCAGACTCGTCTTCTCTGTAATTGGATGGGCTTTGCGCCAGTATCTGGTGGCAAGGACGGGTCGTCGCCCTTCTTCTTCTTCGTTGAGGACATTGATGATGGAGGGATGTCAGACATGGCCTTTGGCTGAAAAGTGTCAGTGGTCATGACCGAGTTTGGGGCAAATTATTGGGTGAGATCGAGGCCGGCTATTGTCTGTAAGCGTGCCTGGCCGCTTGGACGCCCGAATGGGAGAGATAGGTCGCGGAGGGCGGCTTATGTCTTTACACGCCTACCCCGCCTGTCTACCCCGGTCACTGTCTGGAACAGCGTCGAGGAGTATGCAAGAATGAAAAATCGGTCGAGTAAAAGTATCTCATGGGTAGCCTGACAGGGTTATTATATAGGTGGCGCCTCGTGCCCGGCGCTGCGTTCTTACAAGTCTTCGGACGTCGCTCCCCCACGGTCTCCGGCACGACTCTCACCGCCTCTTTTGACAATTCCTCTTACGGCGTTCCTCATTTGCCAACTATCACTCACTCCATTTGTTTTCGCCGTTGCCAAACTACACCTCGGCTCCGACAAATGCTGTCTTCGGCGAAGTCTTCATGTGCAAGCTACATATAGTCCTATGGAGAAGCCAGTGCCTAGCTTCTGCGCAGACACCCTTCTCGCCCTCGTTTCGCTGAGCTCCAAAGATGGTCAGTGGACCACGATCGATGCTTCAGGAGGATCGCATGACAACGCCTGCGTTCTACAGCCTTCCTAGAATAGCTTACTCCCTGCTCGAACTTCCTTTAATCTGAGCATAAATCGTGCTTCTTTCAAACGCCCCTTTCAGACGAATTTCATTTGAGACACCAACTATACCTGTTATGCAAAAAGTGACGGAACCGTGTAGCACGAGTCTCCCCCGAAAACGGAGTTCTCATTCTTCTCTTGGCAATAATAGCTGCTCGAATTCAGGGTGCTGTGGCACTTTGTATTATTAGCTGTGAGAGTGGAACATCATGCACCAAGAGATAGCACAAACACAACAAACGGGGTCACATCGTTGTGAGAGCAAAGGAGTTTGTTGTCCACTCGGCATATGTCAAGCCTGAGATTAAGCCGCACGCCGTCTTTGCTATGGTTTACTGCGGGATACGGACGCCGCAACAGCCGACTGACTCGGGACACAGGATGGCTAACGAACCATATCCACATCCAATTTCCGATGATACGATCACATGCTGACTACATGGAAGACTAAGAGAGAACTCAGTCAAATGGATGCAGACAACAAAAACGGTGGAAACTCACCTCCATCAAGCTTTGACACCAGCAGAAATCGCCGTCATCTTCTCCGGCGAATCCCTCAAGTAGAACAACTTGGCCCTGCGTGATCGCCTACTCTCCCTCGCGCCCTGTCCTCCACTTGCCCTCTGTACCACCTGGATGTTCTTCACATGTGGAGAATTGACATAGAACTGAGTCTCTACTCCGACCCTGTTCATGACATTGCGAAGCACAAAAGAAGTGTCGGGACCGCGTCGTCGAATGCTAATCACTACACCAGCAAAAGTAGTCGGTGCGTGGTTGAGTTTGACAGCTACCACTGAACCGGGAAGCATTCTCTGTGGAGAACGCTTTCCGAAGTAGGTTTCAAGCATTGCTTGTTTATTGGGAGGTGGAAGAGTTTTGCGAACATATTCCATAAGTCCCTTGCCTTTACGAAGGCGCGTTGGGTCAGCTGGTGGTGTGACGGGTGGGATTATAGCTGCTTTAGAGAATGGGTATTTAGATGCAGAAGTGGATGGGGCTGCGGTGGCAAAAGATCTCGCGATAGTTCGCATCGACTTTAGCGACATGGTTGGGGATTTGAGAGTGTCACGCGTTGTATGTAAACGCGACAACACCTAGAGAGCAAGAGAGACTTTGGTGGAAGAAACTCGTCAACCCCGCGACAACATCTGGATGGAATTGCCTACGTTCGGTGTTTGCCGAATCGCTTCTTTTGGACAAGACATGATCTGGCTTGGGTGCAAATCTGAATGACCTATATAAGCCCGGTAGCAGCGACAGGGTATTGTACCAGGAGAAAGCGATATGTATATATAACAGCTAGCAACGACTAAGGAGGACAGATCCGTCCCAATATTACATTGTACAGGATATGTAGACAAAGCAAAATTCACAGGCAGACCCATGTCCATTTTTGTGAGACTAAAAACCAGCACGACCACGACCCCTGAAGGAAGTTGTCAGACGTCAAGCCAATTCGTTACAAATACTTGAACGCACCTGCCACGTCCTCGGTATGGACTATATCCGCCGTAACCTCTGTAACCGCCCCGGTACGTACCTCTAAAGCCTCCTCGTCCACGACCGCGGCCAAATCCAGGGATGTTGGTCCGTTTCGGTGTCACCTAGAGAGTCTATGAGCATGCAAGGTGAATTTTACAGGCTGAAAATTGAATATACCTTGAGGAGACGACCATGGAATAATGAGTTGTCCAACGCCAGAGCAGCGTCTACAGAATCTGTATCTGCAAACTCGACATACGCAAATCTACAAGGAGATAAGCATATCAGAACAGTGTAACAAGAGAAGGCATGCATACCCTTTTGGATGACCGGTGAACTTATCACATAGGATAGTCACACGGTTAATGATTCCACAAGCTTGGAAGTGTTGTTGAATTTCTTCCGGGGTTGAAGAATAGTCAACCTTTAGCCACGGGCACATGGATCAGCCCACCTGGGTATATCGCAAAAAAATTAAGACTCACATTGCCGACGTATATACTACGGCCGTCGGCTGCAGCCCTGTCCTCTTCAGTCTCCATTGGAACGCCACTTTCTGTACCTTCTGGACTGCCACTTTCTGCCTTTTCTGCGGCCGCCTGCAGTTCTCTAAGTTTGCTGGCTTCCTTCTCCATTTCAGCCACCCTCTGCTTCATGAGCAAAATCTCCTGCAATACAATGCTCGTCATTAGCACTCATTTACGGTCACAGAGAATCGACACACCTTTGTCTCCTCGTCGCCATCCTCGGCGATATGCTCCGTCTCAGAGGTGGCCGTTGTGGGCTGTGTACTCGCGTCGTCGGCCATGACGTCCAATGAAGTTGGAGGAGGAGGACCAAGTTGCGTTCGCGGTCAAAGCGTTCGCGCGTCGGCAAAATCATTGCCACGCGAAGAGCTTGCCTTTTATGGTAACCCTCATACCATGACTGCACTCCTCGGCTCTGACTGCAGATGTGCCTGGACTGCACCCTCCTCCGATACCACCAGCTCCTCTGTTAATATTTTCGGTTTTACTTGAACATGCCTCGGGCTAGGTCTCTTCGTTCCCTCGCCATCTCGTCAAGACGAAATGTGTCTCCCACCCCACCGTCACCAACATTCTCAGAGGCTACGAATGTCTCTGCAATGGATTTCGGTCCGAACGGACCAGCGAAGATCATCACGAAAGCAAACCTCAGAGCTAGCATACAAGCGTATGAGGATGTAAGCTCTGTTCAGACGGTGCTTTAACTTGTCGCTAAGGCTACGCATATAGTTGCTCAACAAATGTGCCGGTTATCGCGCAGCACTTTTGGCAATGTCCCAAGCCACTGCAGGGTTCGCTGATGCTATGGAAACTTGCGCCACGTATGTTTCTTTACTCTGTACAGTCTGTTTATTGCTCACTTACGCAGGTTGAAGGGACCCAACTACGAATCGGGGACGAGGTTGCAAGCTGCATCAGGGCTCCACCACCTAATGGGTAATCATTGGCATCTTATGGTATGTTACAATTGTAGTGTTGCTGAGAGTCACTGATTTTTTTCGATTTATAGGCAGAGACGCTTGACAAGCAATTTGAGAAGCCCCTTCGACAACATGTCGAGGAATATAAGACTATCGTTACGGTGATTACATATGATTATCGCGTTCATGATAGTATGTCTCAAACTTGACGTCATATGATAGGATCGTTCAAATGCATATGAGAGAGCTTTACGCCAGAAGAGCGACATCATTCGCCAGACGGAGATGGGCAACTTGAGAAAGAAGAACCGCAGTCAGTCTTGCGATTTTCTCAATCAATTGGTCTTTGCTTATCGTTTACGTAGATTTACAAAGCTTCAGAGAAGCTTTGGCTGTTCTCCAACGACAGGTTGAGGAACTCGACGAGCTCAAAGCAAATCACTATCAGGACATTGTAGAGCATGAAGAAGAGGTGTGGGATGTCGTTCAGGGCAAAATTTGCATCGTGGTCCGATCCACCCTCGATGTCTTCGACCGCTTTACTTCCAAAGCGTACGTATTATCCCTGCTGCAGTCGTTCACGTTATCTCAAACCTTTTCAACTAGCTCCGACCCCGTCATTGAGCCCATGCTCCAATCCGTGCCTGATCCATTCGACACTTATGGACCTCCACCAGCGGAAGACAAGATATTCAGCATCCTCCCTCCCTTATCCGTCATCGCCAATGTACCCTCATCAAGTCCAAGTCCACTGACTTCCTCAACGCCCGATCTTTCAAGTAGCGATAGTAGCGACGGTATCGTGTCGGCCAAGAGCTCTTGGACACCCAGTTCAGGAACCTACTTTGCGGAATCTAGTTCAGCTTGGGCTGATGCTGCAGGTTCACCACCTTCCGCCTCTGCCTCTGCTCCTATTTCAGCTCGCCCGGCTTCACCAACGCCCGTAGCACGTTCTATATCACCCCTCACCGTTCCAATACGTCGAAACTCTCATCCTCCTTCTGCTCCATCCCATCAATCTAAGAAGTCTGAATCCAAGCTGCGAAGCGTCCTCTCTGTGATAGACGAGACTACTTCCCGCCAAAATGGTGACAGTCAAGAGGGCACCAGTAGAAGTGCCTCGGAGCCGGCGTTAGCTACGTATGGACCTGTCTCATCGAATGGACATGGGACGATTCCTGATGACCCGGACGGGGGAGGTTGGGGGACGACGGTGAAATTGAAGTATTCTGGATCTACGTCTGTCACCATTGATGATGACCTTACACCACGAAACACTGCTCTTCGCTCACAATCTCCCGTTGAAACACCACACGCTAAAAGGAGCCTGAGCCCACATTCTGATGATACTGTTGTTCTTTCATGACCTCAACGACACTAACTAATGGACATGCGTAGATACCCGACCAGATACCGTCTTTTCTTGCTTGCTTACTTTGTTGTATTCTTTCACTATCTATTTTCTTTTTCTTGCTTTCGCTAATGTTTGTACAATGTACGATAATCAACTTTCCACATTCCTGTCGGTATTTATTGCGGGTTACGTAGAATATCACGACACCTTCTACCTTCCATTACGAGGTCGAACATTATACTGTTCTAAGACTGCGGGATCTGCAGGTGCGGGGCTCTGGAATAACAGGTCTTTCCCTGTCCCAGTCTTGGGGAACGCGATTACGTCGCGAATGGTTTCGGTTTTGCATAGGATCGCCATGAGGCGGTCGAAACCTGCATTCACAAGCCATCATGTCAGTACAAAGAGCAATCGCACGGGGCATTATGGCATCGAGAGCACTTACCGAGGGCTATTCCACCATGAGGAGGGGCACCACATCGCAACGCATGGATTAAATGACTGAAAGAAGCCGTCTCGGACTCACTTAGCTAAGAGACAACGAGCGATTGTGAGTGATAACCCCCGAAATAACTTTGACGCAAGGAAATAGAAGGAGATTGGATAATAGGCGGGGGGCTTACCTGAAGTACGTTCGAGAAGATGTATTCCTGCATTGAAGCATCATGTACACGTACAGACCCACCGCCAATCTCCACACCATTCAACACGAGGTCATAATGTTGTCCGCGTACCTAAGCCATTCCGTTAAGTATTAACCCCAACGAGAAACGATACCAACAGGACGCGGGTGGGCGCCAGGGCGTCAGGCGGAAGTTGGTACACTTACCTCACTGATACGGCCTTCATACAGTTTTTCAATGTCCTGCCGCATGGGCGCGGTGAACGGATGGTGGGAACTACTCCATCGGCCGTGTGCAAGGAACTCCTTGTCCTCATCTGCTCGCGTGAATAATGGAAACTCGGTGATCCATAGGAAGTGAGGTTTGGGTGAGAGCGTTAATTGTCCTGAGCATTGAGCTTCTTCAGATAGCGCTAGGCGAAGCTGACCGAGCGGAGTAGAACCACCCTGTGATGTGCAAGTTTGTGTAATGGATTCTCGCAATCTGAATAATAATATACGTAACTTACCTCAGCAATGCGAGGCCGTTTAGCTAACCATACGGTGCTACCAGAAATAACACCTAACGCTGCGTTGAGCTCCGTTGTCGATAAAGGCGTCACTTCGCTAAGAGTATGGATAGCCTTGCTAGCTTCTAGCCAGGACTCGAGGTTGGCATCCTTGATATCGATGCGATCCTAAGGAGTCGGTTAAGTGGTACGGATCTGGAACGGGAGCATGAAAAATGTCACTAACAAGGCGCTTTTCGACTTCCATGCCTTTAATCTTCTTAGCAGCACGACCGAAAATATGATGCTCCGCTTTGTCAACAATAAGAGCCTCCAAGATCTCACCGTGTTCAATAAGCGAAGACCTAAGTGGTTCTGGGAGGTGACTCGTGACGTTCTTGATCTATACCAAACATTGAGACTCTCGGTATCTCTGGTGGTAAAAGACTTGAGAAATATCGTACCTCTAAACCAAACCGTGTATCAGGCTTGTCACTTCCGAAGCGGGACATAGCTTCAGCATAGGTCATGACCTTGAATCTCTCCGGAAGTTCAAAACCTTCAACTTTTGACCAAACTGCGCGAACTAATCTTTCAATGATATCACGGACTTCTCCACCACCAATACGCCAATTGTCCGCAGTGCCGGTGGTAAGGCTGGGTATGTCTTCACCCCAAGAAACGAAAGCCATCTCCAAATCGATTTGTGTGAATTCGGGTTGTCGATCCTTTCGACCATCTTCGTCGCGGAAACAACGAGCCAGTTGGTAGTACTTGTCAACGGCACCTGAAGCAATGAGCAGTTGTTTGGCCTGTTGTGGAGACTGTGGTAGAGCGTAGAAGAGTGGTTCCGGGTGTGACTCCAAGTCTGTTGTCTCGGTATCCGGCAATCTGGATGAAGTGGATGCTAGTCGAGTTGGCACTAGGAATTCACGCGCACCCTCAGGAGTGGACTTGAAAAGCAGAGGAGTCTCGACCTCGGTGAAGCCTTTGTATACACATTGAGAGGGAAAACGCGAATAGGGATGCACACGATACATACCTTCCTCGTGCAATACATGCCTAACGATGTGAGCAACTTCGCTCCTCTTCCTCAGGTTACTGGAAAGTTCGGGTCTTCGAAGATCGAGGTAGCGGTACCGTAACCTCTGCTCTTCGCTTGGCTAAAGACATGCAGTTAGCAAGCGACGATCACTTATTCTTGGTCTCCTGAGACGAACGGCATCCAAGGCACGCGTACCAATTTCCCTGCGTGAGAAGACATGAAAGGAAGCGGCGAATCGGCCGCATTCAGGAGTCTGAACTTTGTCACTTCGACCTCGATATCTCCGGAGGGGATCTGCGTTTGTGAAAAAATAGCAACAGTTTAGTTAGACTGTGATTCTCTTCGGTATGGGGTGTAGGAAAAGAGCCTATGAGTATCACATGAGACTCACAGGCCGCCGTTGATGCTCAGGCCTTGCATGAACAATTCCTTCCACAAGCACGGTAGACTCAGTAGGGACCTGACTCATGCTTGCCAAGATGCCGTTGCTGTGGTTCATGTTCACTACAAGCTGTGTTGAGCCGTATGAATCCCGGAGTGGGAAGAATGACATTGTTTTCGCTGCCTTCCTACAGCATGAATTCATTTGGTATTGCGTGGTGAAGATATATGAGTATAAAGAAGCGCACCGCTCTGCCAGAAGCCATCCAGCAAGAACCACCTTTGAACCAGCATCCTGTAGCGTTAGTGCGCCACAATGATGGGTTCTCTTGGGAAATGAAGCTAGAGGGGAGTGAGCACGCTTTGCACATACACGACGTGTCAATATATTCACCGGCATGTTCTCGAGCATTTGTACAGAGGGTATTGGGTACTACCTTGACAGAAGGTCCATGCTCCGAATGAAGTCGAAGAATTGCATTATGTGCAAATGAACGTGTTTGAAGTCGTGAAAGCTGCCTGAATGGCAAACGTCGGAGTAGGCTCAATACGCGCGCAGACCGTGTAAGTCCATGCATGCTCCAGAGGACGCAACTCCTCGGGAATTGTGTGCAGCCCTACTGGAAACAACCCTAAGGAAACGATCGGGGGCGGAGAAGTACTCCGTGTAAGTTGAGATTCAAGGTATATAGTTTGAGGGCAAGAGATATTCTTGAAAGAGAGCCGAAAAGGAAAAGTGATCGGAAATACGTCGGTCGCCTCCAGTAAGATGTGCCCTTGCAGCTGGCCATCCCGGGTGGCAATAGAGTTCTTGGAGAACGAACAGCTGAACGAGAATTCATATGCATTGGTAGCGACGGTTCCTAGCTGACCATCAGACTGCTTCACTTCTGCCAATGGCTTCTGTCCTATGCATCTCAAACTCTACGCTACGTATCAAACAACTGCGGATCTCGAAGCTGCCCAGTCTCAATCGACTTAAAATGGGCTCTCTCAGCAAGGTTCACACTAGAATAACCCGTCTAAAAGGAGCAGCCTGGTACATCTACGATTAACGCAGGAACAGTAGGGTTATAGCGGGATCGAAACAGAGCACGTTCCCGCTTGAGCTAGGAAAGGTGATAAGAGGTCGACGCCTCACTGAGAGCACCAGGCAGTGGCAGGCAACGCCTCATGCAGTGCAGGCAAACGGCGCAGTGGATCTCTCCGTTGCCGTTAATCGCACTTGGTGAGGGAGAGATAGAGGGCCGAGCACAGGCTTCGCTAGTGGGACCAGCGAGGGTGACTGAGAAGTGGAAGGAGGGTACGGCAGGGGTGTATTTCTGGATCAATACAGACTTCGTACACGGCGATGCCAGCTGGGACATTCTATAACTTGCTAAGGGATACTTCCAAGAAGCAGCATCTCGCGAGTTGCCAATTGTCGCTGTCACACGCGCTGGGCGGCTGCAGTTAAGAAACTCAAAACAGTTCGTCGTCAATTACGCCTTTCATAGATCGCCTTTCACATCTTGATCTCCTTTCCTGCTTTCGTTATAAATGCCACTTCTCTGATACCCTTACTTCCCCGTTTCTCCCCCGCAGGCAGTCATGTCCTTTGTTGATCTCCCTCCCGAGTTGCTTGACATCATCTTTCAGCCTCTCGCCAACGCCTCCCTCGCTGCCCTCGCAAAATCATGCAGCTCATTCACCGACGTCGCAAACCGTCGCCTCTACCGCCATCTCTCCCTTTCATCTCACACTCACAACCTCTCCGCTGTCCGCACCCTAGCGGAGAGGCCTTATCTTTCCTCGCTTGTGCATTCGTTCGCCATCAGCCTCAATGACGCAGACGTTGTGCTTCACGGATACTACGTCATGTTGGCCAAAGTTCTGCAGGACATGCCTGAGCTCATGAGCCTTGAGCTTCTCATCAGTCCGGAAGCGAGTTGGATTTTGGAGAAGGCAACGAGCACGCCGTATCCTCGCCTCCAACATTTCACCACGTCGTTTATGCTCGACGGCAACGTAGCGGCATTCCTGCTGCGTACACCGCAACTGTTGTCGCTCCAAATTTCATCTACCTTTTCGTCTTCCGACATAGTGGAAATTCCTTCCACAGCCATTCCCAAACTGGCATCTTACACTGGTCCCGCCTCCCTGCTTCCCACTTTGTTCCATTCCCGGCCTCTCACATCTCTCCATCTGTCGGGTGACCTCTCACTCGCTGACATCGAGCATCTTGCTCAGGGTTCGCGCGCCTCAAGTGAATCGGTTGCCACAAGGTCCGATGACAATGGCTGTGAGCTTGGGAAACCTAGGGTAGAGGTACTGAGCGCCGTTACAAGTACACCTCCCGTCATCGTCTTGGAGGCGCTTGCAAAAGCTTGCCCCAGCCTAGTGTGTCTTCGCGTCATGACTACTTGTGCGTTCTGGGAGGCACCGGATCTGGTAAGCATACACGCTCTCACCCCGGTCACCATGTCATACTAACTTTTTTGACATCTCAGACGTTTTACACCAAGATTGCAAACACATTGACTTCCCTCCGTCAGCTTTCCGCGTTTGAGCTATCGGGGATGCATTGGGAATCCCGGCCAAAACCTATTACTTCCGTAACACATGATGGTCCAATTGTCGAAAAAGAATGGATCTCACCTCCGGTAACGCCTCGAGTGGTCGAAGAAGATCTCCAGCATCAGGCTTATGATGCCGAATTTGCAGAGAGCTTTCTCGAGTGGGCATATTAGTCCCCAATTCAATTTGCGGATAAGGAGGAGATACTTTCGTTCCGTTCTCCTTTGATATCTAACTTATTGTTTCTTTCTTTTCTTTCCGGGTTAAACGTCACCCTGGGGTTTCTGTTTTTGCTTTCTACCTAGCTCTTATTCGCGGATAATACCACCAATCATACCATAATGAAGTCGTATTCATAAACCATTCACATAAACCCTGTCTGCATAATCTCAACCTTCCCTGCTTCTGTCCTCGCACGTTATCTGTATCACGTAGCCTATCTCGGAGCCTTTGAATACATTATATGATAGACTTACGTTACAAGAATGGTTGATTGCGATTCAGATCAGAACAAAAAGTATAGCAAAACAAGATGCGATCCCATGCGAACGGATGCATCGAAGCAAAGATGATCGTCTCCCTCCTAGTTATGGTATGAGGAATGCGGGGCAATTAGCGAGAGAACCCGGAGCAAGAAAAACCGCAGAGCATTCAAGCTACAAGAGTGGACACTACCAGGCACAGTAGCATGCCTCGTTGTCCTCCCGAAAACCCAGCTCAATGGAACCTAGTCGTGACTCCTTCCGCCGAGAAATCAGCGGAGGCAATTACTGCCCGAGTAGAGTCCTTTGGAGGAGGTCTACCCTGCGAAATCATCTTCAACATCTGCTTCCTACGTTGATGCTCCTGACATGCTATCAAAAACAATCGGGCAAAATATGATATATCAGCTGCTGCCATTTTCCGCCTCGCCAAGGATGTATAGCTTATTGAAGCCAAACAACAAAGTCCGAAAGTGCACACACACCTTTCTTATGCTGTTTCCAATGTTGCTTCTGGCACTGAGGCCCGCAGTACCATACTTCGTGACATGCGGCACATCGCTTGAACTCGGCGACTGATTTTTCTTCGTTATTGCATCCGTCCCGGGAGCATTTTCTGAGTAAGAGGTTCCTTGTTGCCTCTTGCGAGTTGGCCCAATTCCATACATCCTCGGCCATCCACAGGTCCTGAGCAAGCCAGAGGTAGTCATGCGCCTCTTCGGGGCCATTGATGGACCGAGCGGACATATTCAAGCTCTCTGCAAGCATTACGTGTATCAGCAAGTACACGAATAATCGCAGTCCATAGAGACACATACTCGGCTGCTCCACCTTTGCTAGAATCTTGATCACAGTATTCGGGTTCATTTTGACTGCGAGATGGAGATATTGTCTGGCCAGTTCACAATCACCCCATAGTTTGAACGAAGCATAGGCGGCGGTATATAAATGCTCTGCAGGTGTCCACTGGGACATATCATCAATGGTCTCTTGAGTCAAAGGCTCTTGGGATGGTTCCTTCCAGTCACAACCGGCCTTTGAAGGAAGTGTCCCGTGGTGACGAGTGTCGCGCTCCATCCAGGCCTGAGAAAAATGGAGCGCGTCTTTGGTGCGACCCGTTTTCAAGAGCACGGATCCAAACCATGATCGTTGCTTCATGTTGTCTCCAGGACAGAGGCGAAGCATCTCAGTAATGGTCTCACTGAATAACATCGTAAGTACTCGGAATAGCATTATGTAAAGCCGGATATGCCACTTGCCAGCACTTGTCAAAACGCTTGTTCTCGAAGGAAAGTCGCACTAGCGATTGCAATACGCGCATATAGGGTCGCGTCTCGAGGATACTCCAGAAATTTCCCACTTCATTGCTATCATCGTCGAAGCAATTCGGTCCAAACGCCTGTTTGAGCTTTCCTCGACCTAAAAATCAATCTTCCCATCAACAATAATGTACGAAATGCACAAAACCCGTCTAATCGACCTTTGTGTTCAGCACTCTCAAGAACTTCTATACTGTCATCCAAAGTCGGCGCTAGGAATGCCAATTGGATGTACGCGTCCAAGTTGGCATCATCCGCTTTCAACGCCTTGTCTAGGTATGGAAGTGCTTCTATAGGTTTACGTTTCCTGCAGAGGTCTTCTGCGATCTCGAGGCTGGAGACACTCGAGTTCAGCTCTCCATATAACGATGCGAGTGGCGTAGACTAACTTCTTACGCGATACTTCAGAAACTGTTCCTCCGCCAACTCCGAAGAGACTCTCGGCACCAACGCGTTTGTTCATGTCTGTAAGGTTTTCGTCGAATGTTGAATGGTTTTGTGAGAGTTTGAGTGGTAGTAGAATACAAGTCGAGATGGAAACGCGTCTGTGGCACGAGGCACGCGGAGGCGCCGTAATTATGGACTTGCCCGGTATGGAAAAGCGTGAACACCTGAAGTCAATCGATTGAGAATAATCGATTCACTATGTTGTGAAGCCAGAAATATACCTGAAGTGTTATGAAACTGTCGACGGCAACTCCTGAATGGCACGAGATACAAATTCAGCTGCATCAAACACCTGCAGCCATTCCCCAACTGTCCTCGTCTCCACAATACATTCACCACCCTTATGGACTTTGTCTCCCACAAATCGACAAGCCACGCCAACGTATTGATGGGCAGAAGAACCTTCCGCAACGTCCAGTTGGAAGCGTACAAACTCCCATCCATGAGGTACTTGCCCGTCGATTCGAACGATGTCGCGAATGACGTCGTATTCAACCCTTCGAAAGTCAAATCCGAGTCCTAGTCCCAGCGCTTTCGTGTACGCTTCTTTCAGAGTCCATATGAGGTAGAACCGCCGAATCACTTCAGAATCTTCTACCTGTGGTGAAGGTTGCAGCATTCGCTGTTCCAACGGGGTGAGCTACAGACATACAACGGACTTGTCAGACCGCCTGACGAATGCAACATTTCATGTTTTGTTACCTGTTCTGAGAAGATCTCAATGAACTCGGGTAGTGATTGTCGGTGTGGTAGCCGAAGACGCATGACATCCACACCCAAACGGTAAGCAGGCGCGTCAAGAAAAAGATCCTCTCCCGTAGAGTAGACCATTGCAATCAAGCCATTGTCGTGGGTAAGGTTGAAACCCAGAGGCTGATGAGACTCAAGTGTCTACCTTCATGCCGAAATGAAGCTCAGAAAGGCAGCATCATTGCAAAAGACTCACGACATATGGTTTTCCCGCGTCTGTTATTTGGAAAGTAGCTGACGGGTAGGGTATGTTCAGCTCCTCGAGCAGAACGCGGGGAAGGAGACGTGCAATTAGACCTCCTAAGAGTATCAGTAGGTTAAATGAAGTGGGACGTGAGCACGGCGCAGGGAATACGTACGAAAAGCGTCCTCTTTGTGATAGAAGCGATTGATCCTTTGCCGTGACTCCGCATCAAGTAAACTGAGTGCTCTTTCAAAAGACTACGTACGTATCATTACAATTAGGTTTCGAGACGATAGTGAGGAACCTACTTCATTGAGGTACTTCGTGACGTTCTCGGAATCAAACGAAACCGCCCATACTTTCCACATAGGTGAGCCGGAGATGCGCAGACTAGGGACTTAAGCGGCTTAAAGAGTATGTTACAGTCTCCGCAGTGTCACCGTGAACGTGCACATGAAGGTAGGAAGCAAGTTAACGTCCCCGGTGAATCCCCGGGCTTTTGAATAAAGTTACTCGATCACCCTCGATCAAAGGCTTTACCGCTATCTCTTACCTCCTCCCTCTCGTATCTCGCCGGGTTAGACGAGGGACACTATTGGCAGCCAATGGCTCCTTTCACTACACGGCACTTTGTGTCCTTAGGCATGTTCATAATAGATGAACTAGATTTTGACGATGGAAGGACTTCGAGAGAGCAAGTGAGTACTGCCGATCTCAGAATCTGCAGTATATACTGAAGAGTCCCGACCTTACTAGATCGGCGGCGGTGGGACCTACGCAGCCATTGGTGCACGAATGTGGTATGCTTGTTTCTTGCCTTCAACTTGACAATGTTGGATGAACCATATGCTACATAGGCTGCCCGCAGACAAAGTAGGAATGATCGTAGACCGTGGCCATGATTTTCTTCCAGAAGTGCAAGCCAAGTTGGAAAGATATGGGAAAGATATGTGGTATTTCCGCGATGACAAGTCACGGATTACCACTCGAGCTCGTAATTCCTACATAGGAGATTCTCGAGGGTAAGTCTTCTGGTTATCGACTTTTAAGTACAATTGGACTGGCGATCCCGCAGGTTCGAATATCTTACCCCGCGTGTGCGTCTCACACCCCGGGACTTGGAGGACACACCTCTAGCCAAACCCTCCACACTTCATTTTATATGCTCACCCTCCAGAGCCATCGCCATCATGTCTGAGGTACATGGCATTCCGGACTGGAGACCGATAACCATATATGAACCGATACCCGTTCGTACACATTCTACCCCACAGTAATGCCTTCTTATTAAGTGTTCTTGGTTGCAAAGCAAGGACCGATGTGTGCCAGAAGAATTGCCTGCTCTAATTAGTGTAATGCCCCACATCGATATCCTTAGGTCAGTCATCCAAAAATCTATTCGAAGAAGTGGCCCTCTGAATATATGAATTCAGCCCGAATGCGGATGAGGCTCTTGCTTTGCTTTCGCTCCCCGGTCCCGTTGACAAATCAAACGTGGAAGCTGCGTGCCACAGATTTTTAGACATTGGTGTTGGAAAAGATGGAACTGGGTGCATTGCCATACGCAGTGGCAGCTTCGGCGCATACATAGCGACAAGAGGTAATGGTGGGAAATGGGTTGACGCATATTGGACAAAGGAGAATTCATCCCATGTAGTGGATGTCACCGGTATGTTGCCTTGTGCCAGCAGTCCATGAAGCTACCTTGTTCTTATCGCGCATACAGGCGCAGGGAATGCGTTTCTCGGAGGTCTTTCTGCTGGGCTTTACTTCACGGAAGGGAATCCATACCAAGGTTGGCTATGGTCATCTGCAGCTTTTTCAATAGAGACTGACATTCGGGATCTTGTTCCAGCTGCATTGTACGGAGCTGTATCCGCTTCGTTCGTAATTGAGCAAGAAGGGCTTCCGTCCCTGACAAGCAGCACTGTAGGAGCAGGAGTTCCAGAATTATGGAACAACGAATTACCTGCCACCAGGCTGGCACGATTGCGAGAGCGGCTACACGAATGAATCATAGATTACAACAGGCCTAGAACAATATATGCAGGTTTGCTAGTCATACAGGGAGGGAAATGCGAAGGGCGAACAACTGTCCTCGAAAGTGGTAAATGGAGGAAGCGTACAAATACAATAGATCATTGCTGGGTGGACTGGTATTTCGCGAGACTCTGCGCGAACAGCTCCTGCTGCTGCCTCAGCAGTTCTTCCTCGCTTAGGCCTGATAGCTCTAGCTTTGAGACCTTCTTCTCTCGTTCCTGCAACAATCTCAGCCCACATGTCATGTGTTTGACTAAGAGACTGACCTTCTGCTGTTGTTTGTGGTCTTTGAGGACGTCCTCAACCTCTGCTGTGAATGTTTCGAATCCTAGTCGCTTCATATTCAGTTAGCCGGGCATGCAACACTGTGTACGCATACAGGACACATACCTTGAGGGCAGATATGATATGTTCTGGAGCAATCGTCTTCTTTGCATCTTGCTCGCATATTTCGTTGGCCTCCGAAGAAATCAAGTGTATGTATTCTGCCGACATGATGTCAATAAGGGAAGCGGGACCTGTTCTAAGAAGGGGTCTTCACCTACACAACACTCAATGATCAGATCACGCGTGTCTTTGGCACATGTTACACCGTTTGGCAATAATTCTACACATCTAGAGTTCACAAACATGAAAGACCAAAGGAGAATAGGCTAGCGCACCCGCGATCATTTTGGCCACCGTGGCTTTCGGCAATGAAAGGTCCTCTTCCGAAGGAGGAGCAGCAGAATGTCCTTCGTTATCCGACATGTTGCAAAGGTAGTCTTGGCGCGTCGAGGGTCTATTCAGAGATTATTTTATGGAGGAGGACGCAGAGTAAAGGAACAAGAAGGGATTATGTGAAACTGGGATCATTTGGGTTTGACGCGAGACAGTGTGCTTTTATGTAGTTTGCCCTTTCGAAGTCCGCACGTGTCTCCTTTACCACCACCATCATGTCCACGGTATGTCTTGTTGGTCAACACGATTCATGGGCTCTATTCTAATCATTTGATCCATGTAGGTTAATCCAGTAAACCCGAAACCTTTCATGCAGGAGCTGACTGGGAAGCCTGTCTTTGTGCGGCTAAAGTGGGGATTAGAGTACAAGGGTTTCTTGGTGAGCACCGATGGCTACATGAACCTCCAGGTACGCAAGTCATATACATATCTCTTCTCCATGATGATCGCTCATCATTTGCTGAAACAATAGCTCGCGAACACGGAGGAGTTCCAAGATGGAAAGTCGAACGGTGCATTGGGCGAAGTTTTCATCCGGTACGTGATCTCTGCGATCTTCAGGCATAGTAGTTGTGCTGACGAGTCTTGATTAGGTGTAATAACGTGCTCTATATTATAAGTATCTGTCTCTTCTTTTCCTCACAGCCTAACTGATAGTTTCGGTCAACACAGGGAGGCACCACCAGAGTAACGCATCTCGTTATCGGCAGACTGACTGCTGCGACATGGGGGTGTACATATCTTCCTTGCCTGGATTCATTTGTTAGGGTTACGAGTGAGCAGCTCTCGGTCCCTTCGTGTCTGTTGTCGTTAAATTCTCTATAATTCGTGTATGATAGTGTATGACATAGGCTTCGGGCCACTCAAAATTGCTTTATGGCACTCAGCTGCAGCCTTATATGAGGACCTCCTTGTGACTCTCACCCTAAGTATGCATTCTCAGCGTTGTTATGTGCATGAATATCCCAACCGCAGATGTACAAGTCCCAGAGCATCGATCGAAGTGCAAAGAAAGAAGTAACAGTACAATGGAAGCAGACCCTCAACGTCTACGCTGTGAACGACCCGCCTTTCGCTTCGCAGCGATGCCCCCTTGCCTGTTCATCCCTCTTATAACCTTTGTTGGCAGTCCCTTCGCTAATCTCCATGACTCTCTCCTTGAATCACGGGGACCATGTGTTGAGATTCGTTTTGATGAATCCGAGGGTCCCAAATCGAGGTCCATTGCATCTGAATTGTGTATGGAGTGGTCAACTTGTATAATCGTACGGGACGGTTGAGTCAACAAACCTGCCCTCTCTCCTGAGCCCTCAGCATGAACTTGTTCTAAAGAAAAGGATCAGTTGATCAATCAACATAAACGAACAAGAGCCAAAGCGAAAGTGGGACATATCGAACGATATACAATGATTCGGGACAGCTTCGTTCAGGAGGCAGAAACTCACGAGTTGGATTATTTTGTGGCTCTCCCTCTTCGTCTGCAAAATTCGAGACGTCCTCAACTTCTACATCCCCATCCTTGTCTCTCGTTGTGAGCATTTTTAGCTTTTGATGAAGCCTATTCAAGCGGGCTGCTTCTGTAGCAGCATAAACACCCTCTTCTCGCTTCTTGGCTCTGAAGTGACGCTTGACTTTCGAACGAGTTGATTTGGCCATATTGAAAGCAGCAACGAAACGAAGGAGAGAGGGGTGAAAGCAACAAGAGAAACGAGTACAGTAAACTTGTGGTCCGAAATGAAGATCCTCACAGCGGTGATCGAGGGCAGATGCTTACGTAATCACAATTTACTTTCAAACTCATCTTCTCAACTCTTCTGTCTAAGCTAATCCAAAATCACAAAGAGTGAAATTGAACAGGACGGGAGTACCAGGACAAATTAGCCATGGCTGCGAGAATTCCAGAATTAACGTGTTGGAGGAAACCTTGAGATTCCCGAGCAGACTACAGACCCGAGGCGTCTCAGTATAAGGTATGTTTCTAGTGATATGAAGAGTTTTCCAATCACGAATGGCCTCAGTGAGTCGTCTGTCAGAGGTAAACTCAGTAACATGCAGGTTCTGCTGTCCAACTGTTCGACATTGAGATAAATGATGATATATGAACGTCGAATGTATGACCAAAAGTCTACAAACATCATTAGGAGTTCAGAATGCATTGTGCAACCAGAAGAAATGGACACACCTATGACTTCCGGTCGCTCTGCAGATGTTTTGATATCCTCTCCCGTTCCTCTTCCAATACCTCCAATCCCGCTCTCCCGTAACCCTCAGTGCCAAATAGCGCATTCTGAACCCGGTGCTCCCTCACGGACTTTGTGTCGCTCCACCTATCCACAAACTCAGTATTGGTAGCATAGGCAGATACCCCAGTGTTGCCAATTTTGGGATCCTTTCGCCTCGCGTTCAATTCGTTCACAAGCACGGCGTAATCCGACTCAGCAGCACTCATGGAGCTAACGACGCCAGTTTCGCTGAATGCGCGGTCTATCGCTTCGTCAAGGGTGTCTGGTGTTATGAACTTGTCGCTCTTGTGGTAGAGTGAGATGAGGGCGCGTAGTTTGTGTGGAGGAAGCGACGATTTTGATGATGATGCAGCGGCATTGGACGAAGCTGAGGCTTGAGAGGACGCAAATCTGCGCAGTGCGGTGGGAAAACGAGTCGTAGAGCGAAGTGCAGCAGAGGACATGGCTGGCAACGTAAAGGTAAACTACCCGATCCTCCACAAGTTTAGTCGGGCCAGGAGGCGCCGGTATGGGGTGCTAAGCGCCCCCTTAAAGTGCTGCACTTCGTGATTAGCTATATTTAGCCTATCCACCCATTGACAAAGATCAAGAAACGCGACATTGTTTATTGTGTACAACAGACCCTAGAACCTGAAACTTTGTGCACAACTAGGGTTGTTCATAGAATACTCATGCGCATGTATCATAAGGGGGCTTGCTGAATTGGTTTATTACCTGCCAATCTTCAGACCAAAGGCGAGGCTTGACACTACCTTTGGGTAACTCACTCCCGTCGCGGATGAATATAGGTATACAACCACCGCATCTGATATCGACACTGCTGACAGTGTGACGTTTGAACACCTTCTCCACCTCTAAAGAGGTAACCCTCGGAGTGAGCTGTGAAGCACTGTGAGTGGTCGACCGAACATTGACAAAAAAGAAACACACATTGCCGACATATGCGTATGTAGGTCCTTTGAAGTTCTTCCGGCACTTTCGACGTTTCTCCTGCAATCTTTGTTGTTCATTGGTTATCTGTTTGGCCTTATGCATCGAGTTGGCCTTATGCTTGCTCGAAGCTTTACGAGTGGTCTACTTTAGAAATAAGACCGCTGTCTATACATTCGTATGACTTTCACTTACTTGAAACATTGTTGCTGAGACATAGTGAGGATTACCTGGTGCACAGAATCGCGCCATGGAAATAAGACTTGAAATAACACGAAGGCAGGTATTTGTGAGAAAGACGTGGGTAGCCTCGTTGGAAACTTGATGATTGAGCGATTCGAGAGCTGAGAAAACAGTACAATGAAGATGGCATGGGTCACCTATTTATTCAAAAAAGTGATCACGGCATTCCAGCCACAGTCAAAGAGACCATAGTCAAAGATCGCCATTAGACAAAGAAGCCCATCAGCGGACGTATAGATAATTTACCGGCTAATGGAACAAAAATTCTTGATACTCTGCGTTCAGTAATATACATCTAAGTCATCAAATCCAACCAACACAGAACAAGGTTCAAGCTGGGACAATGAGGAACCACTTATGGAAGATCATCTCTGGGTCGTATTTCTTCTTTATAGCTTGCAATCTAGGATAACGCTGTCCGAATAACTCTTGACTCTTCTCAGCAGGGGCCACTCCTATCTTAGACGAAGCGGCATCATCTGTGCCAGCTGTGAAATCATATTCAGAAAATGGATCCAATTAAGCCACGTCATGCACTGACCATAATTTCCATAACCTTCACCTTTAGGCATCAAACCTGCCAACTCGTGAGCTGCAGCTCTCGCTGCCTTCCCCTTCTCCGGCGTGTGCTCTTTCCATTGAATAAGGATAAGGGTGTTCCCCCGAAGGTTACGCCGGTATGGGGTTGCATCGGCCGGAACGCTGTTGATCTTGTCGTGTGGCACAAATTCCGGAATTATCGCAACGTTCAGATCTTCCTTAGACAGTGAAAGCGCCCTATCAAACACCTCGCGACGCAGGTCCTTTGATGGGGTGTCGGACAATAGTACGCCTTTCATGTAATAATTGAAACCGGGAACCGTGAGCGCATTCTGGGTGCTCTTTGTCAATAACGCTCAAATGATAGTTTACGGCCGCCTACCTGCATCGCGTTCACCTCTTCGTAAGGTATCTCCTTGGCCGTATCGGCGACTGGACCTAGAGTTCGGTTCAGGTTCACGTTACCAATTCTCAGGGTCAACTGCACAGACTTACCGATATCGTAAAGGTCCTTGTAGTGCTCCCGTCCCTCAGCTTCTGAGCCATTGTAGAAAAAAGAAATAACAATACAGGGCTATTATGGGCACACAAGTGAGTCAATACAAAAGATAACAAGGTCAAAGGATGAAATTTCACATTGCCGTCAGGTCCCCGAGTCATAACACCCGTCAAACATGCCTTTCCTGAACTACCAGCATTTGGCCACCACTTGTCAAGGGCCGCCCCAACTTGTTCCAGCTTGTCCGGGGTAAATGCAATCTGACCAGCGAATACTGATCGACGCTGAGGAAAGAGCTTGAGGACAAATTTGGTTACGACACCGAAGTTGCAACCGCCACCACGGATGGCCCAGAACAAGTCAGAATTTTCAGAAGAATTTGCAGTTAAAACGGAGCCGTCCGCTGGGACTACCGTAGCCTATGCTTCTATTAATGGTGCTGTGCTCATTGACGTTGATATAGACTGACCTGGACAAGGTTATCTATTACAAGGCCATGTTGCGCACTTAACCAACCATACCCGCCTCCAAGTGCGAGACTAGCTCACGCATTGGCCAAATGTGATACACTAGAAGTATATTGATCAACTTACCCCCCGACACCAGTCTGGAGGAACCATCTATGAGCAAAATACATCGACTACATGTCCTATAGCACTTACATGATTGACTGTACCACCGACAGTGGCAAGCCCATGCTGAATGGCAGCATGATCGACCGTCTTCCAAACGGCGCCACCTCCAATATATGCCAAACGTTTCTCTGCATCAACAGTGACACCGTTGATGTACCTAGAAAGATCGATCACTAGACCGTCTTCACTGGAAGACGTCCCGGCTGCACTGTGTCCTCCTCCGCGAATTGCGATAGGTAGAGCATTGGCCTTTGCATATTTAATGGCCAAGGAGACATCCTGAGGATCCTTGACGAAGGCAACAACCTTGGCTCGCCTAGCAGCGTTGTGTGCCCACCGATCAATGGCTTCTTCATATCCTGGATCAGAGGGAGTCACTAAATCTCCCTTGAACTGTTTCTTGAGCGAAGCGAAGTCTGTCATGATAGTATAGTTACAGGGCAAGTACGAAGGGAATGTTTAAGTATAGTTTCCCTCTTGCAACATGGCCTCTTATATATGGTCAGTTGCCGAGGTGAACGCCAAAAAGCCGAGGCTTAGCTTCTGCAGCTTATAGTTCGATGCTGTGTGATACACTATATCTCACATGTGCGATGTCAACATAGGAGTGTGTCAGATGGGAAAGAAAGCTGCATGCACTTACACGTCAGGCCAGCCAGCAATAGTAATCACTCGTGTATATTGCATCTGCAGACAACGTTGAAGAACACTAATTACCCCACAAACTCAATAGGACTTTGAAACGGCAGCGGACATCGTAGTGTGCGAATGAAACTTTGAAAATGGCGTTCGATATGTCCATGTAACTACAGGAGAAGCGATGTGGCGAGCAGAGACGAACAAGAGACAAGAAACCTTCCACAATGAAGAGCGCCGTCAGATTTGTAAAAGCCCGTAATTGGATATCGCGCAAACCTATATGAGCATCCGATCCGAGCAGCAGGGAATGGAGCATTTATAACGTCTGGCGATTTATGACCCCCCCAATTTCCTACCGGCCTTTCAAGGCTTCCTTCTTTTTATTATTTTTATCCCTTCAGGTCTTTTAAATACTAGCTAGGGGTGCCGCAAGAAACCCGTTGGATGCTCAGAACGTATGGTTTCCATCGAACAAGACATTGGTCGAAAAAAGTTACACAACCAGTGTTGAGCGTTACATATCCAAAAAGGCCGTCCGGGCATATACAGTACACACAATATAAAATTTACAGAGGAGATTTCGCGCCATACCTCTCGAGCAGGAGCTTTTCCTTTTGCTTGATCTCCACAGTGCGCTTGGCGAGAGCAGGGGCTCGTTTCAACTCCCTCTGTCCAATTTGCTGAATATGGACCTAAAAGTCGAGGTCAGACAGAGTGCTCAAAGTCAGTAGTGGTTCGTTAACGTACAGCATCGGGTCCCTGTAGACGTCATCAGAAATGCTAAGCATTCGACATCAAAAGGAAGACATACATCTGCCAAGCGCAACGTGCGTAAGCCTGCCCATGTCCCAGCGAGTTCCTGGTCCTGACTGATACCTTCAGCCCCGAAGGACTGAATTGCACGGTCCACAACTTGAAGTGCCATCGATGGTACCACAAACTGAAAATCACGATCAGGACCCAACAGAGTGGTATTGCATATGTTCAAGTGTACATACCTTGGCGATACCGATCTCTTTCATAGCACCCTTGGCTTGGAACTTGTCAATCTGAAGACTTCGTCAGTGAAATTAGCCCAGGTTTCGAAGTTGGTCGATCTCACCTGGAGAGCAGCGCTGAGGACAAGGAGTCGTGCACTTTCGATTTCGGCTCTCGACTTGGCAATGTCAGCAATCACAGTCCCTAATGGCTCCGAGTAAATTGTCTGCAGAAAGATGTAGGCACATGTGTCCCTGCACGTACCGTGTTCATAGAGATACTTTCCAAATGTCTTACGGGAGGGATCCGTTACACGCTGGATCATCAAGTCCAAAGCCTGCGCAGCAGCGCCTATGGATCGCATACAATGATGAATACGACCGGGCCTGCGAGATAAAATTAATATGTGAGCTCAATGATGATTAGGCAGCGTCGATGGTGCGTACCCAAGACGGCCTTGAATAATCTAGGGTGACATAAGAAGAATCCACATCACGACGATATCGTACATACCTCGAACCCCTTGCCCCATCCGAGCACTAAATTGCTTAGAGGAACCCGAACGTTCTCGTAGATGATCTCACAATGACCTTCTGGAGCATCATCATAACCAAAGACTTTCATAGGTCGGATGACCTTGACTCCAGGGGTAGTCACTGGCACGATAACGATACTCTGCTGTTGATAACGATCCGAGTTGTTTGGGTCGCTCTTGCCAAGCACTAGATGCAGAGCACATCGAGGGTCACCAGCACCACTGATCCACCTGAAGACATCAAACGTTTAGAAGACAAGAATGAATCAGATAAAGAGGATACACCAGACCATTTGTGCCCATTAATGACAATTTCGTTGCCCTCTTGACGAATGGACGTACGGATATTGGTAGCATCGGACGAAGCAACTATGGCCCAATCAGAGGCGCTGTGATTAGTAAAAGTAGATCGAACCTACCAAATCTCTCAGTCATGGCAAATGCAGAGCGAGTTTGGCCATTCAAAAGGGGCAATAACCATTTCTCCTGCTGCTCAGGCGATCCGTACCTTGCCAGAACCTCTGTATGTAGAAACAAATGAACATCGAAGGAAGGGAAAGATACATCGAATGCATACCCATATTTCCAGTGTCGGGAGCAGAACAGTTGACTGCTTCGGATGCAATGGGGCCACCGCGGCCGAGGACCTCAGCCATTACAGCATACTGCACAATCCATTATTGAAAATCCGAACTTTGGAAATATTCGTACATAAAATATAAGATCATACCTCGAGGTTGGACAACGGTACACCGTGCTTCGGATAGTGCGCCTTGCTCAAGAAGAGGTTCCACAAGCCAAGCTTGCGAGCTTTAACCTTGAGTTCCGCAACGATGGGGATCACCGTCTTCCACCTCTTCACTGAGTCTTCAGGGACTTGCGAATGCGCAAGCCTGACAGCGGGGAGGATGTCATCCTTTTGAAGTAATTTAGAGTATGTTATGATTGATTATAAGACAAAGCTTGCCTTCATGAACGTCACAAGCTTCGCCAAGGTCTCCTTCGCGAAGGGTGAGAACTTGTCCTCAACCTATCGAAACATGGTCAGTCAGTAACGCAGTAACGACAACTGAATTACCGTGCGTACGCACCATTGCCCATGATGACTCGGACGTAAATTCAACGACAGGATGAGATGCCATGGTGGTGAATCTGGAGGTTGTTCTAGCAAGGAATCAAGCTGTTCTGGTCGTATATACCCCTCATTCCCCATCCTTTACCCCAGACCCGGCAATTCTCAGACCGGTCCCTCTTGCGGATCGGCGATCTATTAATGATCGAAGCACATGCGTTCCGCCAAAATTCTCTTGCTGCATCGAGGCTTTGACCAGTAACCCATTTTAGACTTTCTGCTATTTCTTGACCTTCAACTCCACATCACGGCTGGTTCGACATGACTTCTGGAGTAACGCCGTGCACATATCGGTCAATTGTTAGGGAGGTGTACAAGGCGGTAAGTGAATTTATACGAATCGCACGCTACACAATCTTACTCAAAAGGTGTATCAACAGTCTGTACATCCGCGCTCGACAAGGAGTAAAGTCATATCCTCCAACTTCCGGGCCATTTTCGAACAATGTCGTCAAGGTGATGAGCAAGCACACCTGAGTCATGACTTGCAGAACGCGCTAACGTTCATGCACTCGCAACGGATACACAAGGTAAGTCTTTCGGTGTTCCTTATTCTATTCTATCGTCTTCTAACCCTGTACCATTCTGTAGGAACTGCTTGAACGGTATAACCCTCTTCATGACCTCACTGTGGAGGAGAGGATCAAAGCTACAGCTCGTCGTGTTGGCCTTGACATGCCTGTAAAAGCTCCAACGGACAAGGAGTAATATCGTCAATAATACCATCATCGTTAGCAAAGCGACGTGCCGTGCAGTGGAATGACTGTCCTCCTCACGTAGAGGCTTCATCCATGTGAGATCTTGCAACTTCGGAAACGCACCCTGGCATTGCTCTGAAGGTCGCACTCTTCGACAGCGGGTACACCCAATACCATCTCCGAAAGCAGTCAAGATAGCACAGAGTTCTATATATACAGTACAACATTGTGTAGCAACATCGCTATTACCTGGACTTACTGTAAGTACGCAATGAAAGGAAGTTATGAATGAAGGTGAGTGATCTTGTTTCTATTATTTTTGAACGCAGCCGCTATCAAGTTTTTTCTCCCCCGCCCCAACAAAATTTACACTACACACGTAAGGGACTGCACGCCATGCTTCGAGGAACGAGTAGAAATACCATCATAATCCTTCTCGTCTTCGACGTCCAGAGGGTTATGAACCTTGTCAAGAGGCGTGATAGGGCTAGGCGTTAACGACGCGGGACTACTACTGGAAGCCAATAAGTTCTGAGTCACCTTTGAGGAGGTATGGAGGGTACGTACTGGAAATCCTCCATGACATAGTGGTCCGTGGTGACCAGAACCTCTGGACGTCGAGGCATTGTGTAACGGCGATTAGGCAAATTCGTGAAACGCAAAGGCGAACGAGGATATTCAGACATTCCTCCTGGCGAAGTCGATTGGATGTAAGAATCGGGTTGATTGAATTGCTGTAGTCTGATGACCAGGCGACAAGCAGCAATCGACCTAGTGCATTCAAAGGTGTAAATATTGACCATCTATTGGAATCTTGACAAATACGTACGCTATTGTGGCAGCAGGTATCTGTGGCCTTCTGGTAAGATTGTGATGCAGTAAATGAAAAGAGAACAACGTACGGTCGCAATTCTGCGGTAAGAGACGAAGGTTGAAAATCTGGCATGTACAAGGTTGAAATTGCAAAGACTCACATATTCATGATAGCTTTGGTTAAGGATTCCGGTCAGCACATTCAAATCAACATGGAAATGACGACTCACTATTCAAATTCAAGACGTTGAACACCTAACAACACAGTATGAGGGTGAATGTCGTTGGGACTAGAGCATGGACGTACCGCGGGAAGTGCATTGCAAAAGAATGTGATGAAGAAGTACACGAGCCCATCTCGGAACAACAAATGCCAAAGGTCCGACCGAGACTTGTGCTTCGCATAGAGAGCGACTACAGTGAAGCAAAGAATGATGAGATCAAATATCATCGCTGTCAGCGCAAACATTGGTGAGTATCCGGAATAACGATGGGTTTATTGACAGTATTACTCATGAAGAATTCCACGTTGAGGAAGACATGGTTTGTGGACCAGACAGTGCACGAATGCTTCGTGGGATCGTAAACAGCTGCTAAGAGGAACATGCTTCGCCAAAGGATGGCCCAGTGCGCAAGGCAGAGGATACAAAGGGGTATCACGACTTTGAGCTGCCGTTCCCAAAGTGCGATCCTAAAGCAGAATGAGCCAAAGTGAATGGTACTTGGAATTACAAGACACCTTACGTTCGAATCATCAGGGAGGTGGAGGCTGTCAGAATGGCCAAATTACCCGTTACCTGGATGATTCCGGCTCAATACCGCTGTCTCGTCGTAGAAACGCAGATCATACCGAGTTGAAGATATACAATGCATTGCAATCGATCTGAACGAGAGAAGGACGTCAGATCATGCAGTGTTCGATGATGCCAGTCCATACCGGAGTAGATATTTGCAAAGAAATGACCCTGCAAGTCCTATGTCAGTTCAGTAATTGGAGGATTGAAGCGTGAACTCACAATCCAATCAGAGCCGCCAGCATCGAATATCGACATAGGAAGAAGAAGGCTACGAAATAGGCTCATTGAACCTTCAACACCAGGAAGTCAGGAGAGGGTGTCAACTTACTCTGATGATTTACGGTTGAATCAGTATGCGACGTGAACTTTCAACAGAAGTTAAGTTACTCACCAAAGGCCAAGTGAATCTACGCGTCCTGCATATTAAGGACCACTCAAAGCCGAAGGTCTGAAAAAGCTCCCAGACGTAGAGACCAAAGAAGGCAAATATGATATTGCCATACACGTCTAGATGTATATGAACTAAGTGTCTGAAAGCCTTATATCAGGAACACGAAGACTTACTCGTCTCCTTTGCGAGCTCCTCGGGAGAAGTCCAATCGACCATGGTGGGAGGAGAAAAGCGGGCGAAGTGGGGGAGGAAAAGAGCCAGCGCGTGAAGACAGATATTAGTGCTTCATGTATAAGAAACGACAGCAAGAAGCGTCGGCGATACCGAAATGAATCATTCTGCACGTGTCGGGACGTAAGCTTCTCTGTGTCTAGTGTTTTGACGTTAGCTTTCGTGCGCGACCGGCGGGCGTTCACACAAATACCGTCCGTTAATGCATGAATTTCTGCATCGAGTTCATCTCTTGAAACAGCCTCCATCCTACTTTGCTATAGACCAGGAGGATATCTTTCAAGGCTGCGAGTGCAACGGAAGACCTGAGCGCGCCCTCCACGGAACTGGAAACCGACATCCTGAAATGAAATAAACCGGTTGACGTAGAATACGTTTACAACGCTCGCTTCTGCCGGACATCTTGCCACATCTACGCCACAGATACGTTCCTTAGTCCACGAGACGCTTGGTTGACCTGATTATACAAGAACGGCAGGCTTCATGCTTAATATTGCTGAACAAGCTTCCATGAAGCAGACCCAGGTCCCACGAGGGATTCAGCAAGCTTGCTGTTAGTCGCACCCGAACAATGCGGGCGCTCCGATGTTGAACACGTCTCCGGAACAAAAGTGCTTGACTTTTGCCGCCGGCATAACGACAGTGCAATGACACTCAGAGCAAAAGCGACCTGTTATCTGGCCAGCACAAATGCAGAAAGAGTGTACGCAAAGTCAGACAACGCACCATAAGTGAGGTCATCTCCAAGCACGATTGATACTGCGACAGCTTTCGGCCAGAATCGCCACCACATAAGTAGTGCAAGGCTGCAAATTATGATCCCAACCAAGACCTATATATCGCGGCGCCACAAATCCTATTCCGAATATACTGTAGGCTCTGAACGCGCACTCGGTAAACGTGTTTGGTACACCTACTGAGTACATGATGATATATGCTCCCTAACTGCACCATACGGCTACGTTGCCATCGGCCCCCGCGCTGACAAGCCAGGGCTGTCGGGGAACCCATTTGATCTGCAGGACGCCAAGCCCTTCATTAACTTGGTGTCCACGAAGAATTTTGAGTGGGACAATCAAAGGATCCGTCATGAGGTCGTTGTAAACCCTTGCATGGAAGATTTGAATCGAGCCATCGTCCGACGATGAAGCAAACAGAGGATAAGTGGGATGGAAGTGGACAGATCGGACGGCTCGGCTGTGATAACTACATGAAGCATAGAAACATGTTAGTGCGTCGACCATAGTGACTGAGATGGAAGGCAAACCGAAGGATCTTGTATGGCTTGTCGCTTAATTCCAAATCGAACCAGCATAGTTTACGATCGTAGCCGCCGACGATGAGATGATCACCCAACGGATGAACATCCATTGAAGATATCCATCTGATCCCAGCCTGAAGCGTCTTGAGGAGCTTCTGTTCTGCGAGGTTGTATATGCGGACATATCGTTGGGTCTGGGGAGTGGACGTGAGCAGATGCAATCAAAAGTGTTTAGACAGCATTCACTTACCGCGACGAAGAAGTGAGGTTTCGTTGGATGGAACAGAACAAGCTGAACCGCGCCCTTGACTTTCTTGAACGGGGCTTGCGAATGTCTTCGAGATATTTGGTGTATCCACACGCCACCTTGACCTTCACCGCTCGCTACATACAGCTCATGGATTAGTGCATGCTGACACTAATAAAAGCGAAAGCCCAAACTCACAAATAGTGGACAAATAATCTCCTTTACGATGCCATGCAATTTGCTTGGGCAATCCAGACGATGGCGGAAGGTCAATGGTAAGAATTGGCTTTTCGGAACTCGAAGACGCGGCAGATACAGAAGTCCATTTGACAGGCGACGGAGTAGCCGGTGCAGGGGGAAGATTGGCCGGTGAAAGGACAGCTTGAGTTGCGAAAAGAACAGGTGCAGGAAGGTTTGGCGGGATTACGAAGTGGAGACGTTCCTCACTGGGAGGACCATTAGCTTGACGAAAGAAAATATCACGACTTCGCTTACGTTGCAACAACGAAGAACACGACGTCTGTTCTCGGGCACCATTCAAGTGCACCCACTTTACCATCGAACTTCCACCTCTTGACTTCCTTGCCAACAATGACTTCCCAAAGACTGACATTCCCTGACTCGTCACCACTAACGACCCAAGCGCCATCCGGACTAACACTGACACTTCGAACTCGTGTCTTGGCATGGAGCACAGACAGCGACTTGTACACAGGGAACGGCCTGAGACTATTTGGACTTGGCAACTTTGGGATTAAGCTGTTTGGATCGATCTGCAATTTCGTCCTTTGGATCCGAGGAGCCAGGTAAAGATCCAGTTGTCTACTGAAACGTTCTTGGATGAATTGGTTGTATGCGGGGACCAGTCGAAGAGCAGAATATTTTTGAGGCAGGAAGTTTTGTTCACGATCTTCCTTTTCGGTTTCTTCCCATCTCTTGCGTTCTTCCTCGGTTGGTAGGTATTCTTCCGGAGGGTTGTATGATGCTGCATGAGTAGGCAAACGAGGTTTTGGAGCTGGGAGAGGTGCGGGATGGGCAGAAGGTTCCTCGTTCCAGATGGCATAGAACTGAGCTTTATCAGAGGCAGTTTTTGGTTTGTTCGGAAGGATACGACCTTGTCTAATAGCTCGGACAATTTTCATGACCTAAATCATGATGACGATGTTAATCTCAAAACGGAAACGCTGATGATAGAAATGTGAACCTTTTGCTTTTCCCATATACTTGGTACCCATCTTCGTTTAGGTTCCGGGGCCCCAGATAGTGGCATAATTTCCTCCTTGCCCTTCCCGGTGAACCATTCGATTGTAGGTTCATATGGGTCGTATTGTGCGTCTGGAATTTCGTTCTCCTGCAAGCGGCGGATGAGGTCAAGTTCTTCAGCAGTGAGCGGTTTATCTGCTTGAGCCTTCTTGTCAAAAGCAGAAGTCCTACATGATGTAGTTCGGTATGGATCATATGGAATAGACAAATTGAGCTCACCATGAATTAGGATCCTCGATTGTCTCCAGGAACTTGTCTAGCTCATCCCCACGAGCCGGCCGTAGGACCTTCCTGCCGTTAATATCGTAGCCTACATGTGGTAGTTCATCGTACCAATGCATGGGTATGTTTCCTACGCGGTTAGGAGCCTAGAGAAAGACAAATTGAGTACATCCAAGGTGAACGTATAGTATATGGAACGTACTTCCTCGGTGGAGGAATCAGAGTCATAGTCCGGTTCAATAGGCGGAAAGACCCGTTTTAGTTGACCAGTAATGTCTGAAGTGACAGTCTTGGCTTTGGGGAATATGTGGAGATCGTCGTCTGAGATATCGTCATCCTCTGACTGGTCTTCACTTTCTTCCTCTTCGTCCTCTTCATCGTCCTTGTCCTCGTCTTCTTCCTCGTCCTCCGCAGAATCACCCGGATACTCCTCATCCGCTTCACTATCACTCCGAGGGTCAATCTCAGGGAACTCGTCTACCTCTCCGTTGTCAGATTCATCTCCTTCCGAACCTTCGTCTTCGCTTTGCATTTCAAGCCCGACATTATGAGAGAACACGGTCTCCTCTGGCTGAGCGTGTTCCTCTGTGGCTGCCTTGCGCTTTTTTGAGTTTCCGTTGACACGAGGTCCTGCCATGTTGGGGGCACGGAGAGGGCAGAATAATGAAGGGAAATGCCAGGTTTCTCAGGACTTTGAGATGAAGCCGAGTTTCTACTTTTTGGGCGCTTAGAATTTGTTGTGATCGGGCACAGCCACACAAGTCGAGTTCAGGCTCAGTCTTGCATTCTGTCATTTGAGTTCTACCGCGTACTGTCTCTGCCGTCTGCGTTTTCATTTCCTCCTCAACTCAACAAAAATGGTTAACTACGGCGGAGGTAAGCGATATTGGCGAATTTCACGTGGACTAGCTTTGAATGCTTTGTTTAGACGAGGTCTCAGCCTTAGTACTCGACATTGGAACATCGACTGTCCGTGCGGGTTATGCAGGCGACGATACGCCCAAGGCAATTATCCCAACGTCTTATGGTTTCAAGAAAGACGCGTCAGCCGAGGAGGATGTCTCTATGACTGAACCTGGAGAGGAGGGCGACGCGTCTCCAAAACCTAGTCCCAAAGTCACCATGTACGTCGGCAATAATGGGCCCACCGTATGGCGAGAGGGTATGGAGGTCGCGCATCCTGTGCGTGACGGTTTGAGTATGTGATCTGTCTCGTACGCTACTCATGCACAGCACTTATCATTGAATCGAATCGTAGTACAAGACTTTGGTCCAATTCCTGCTCTCGCTTCATACGCATTCCGCGACGTTATGCGATGCGACCCTACAGAACATCCTTTATTGGTCACAGAGCCGGCATGGAACACTGCATCCAACCGTGAACGTATGGCGGAGATTATGTTCGAAGATTTCGGAGTTCCTGCATTTTACATCGCGAATACCGGTGTCCTAAACGCGTAAGACAAGATCTCCCCTTACGTAGAGTACTCCGGTTCATTCTCTGACGCGGTTGGGTAACAAAGCTTTGCAGCAGGTAAAGGTTCCGCGCTTGTCATTGACATTGGGCACGATACTGCGAGCGTGACGCCAGTCATTGACGGTTTCGTATTGCGAAAAGGTCGACATTCGCAGCTTTTCATACTTTCTGCCAGCTGAACTTTAAATGTACTCCTGTTTCGTAGGCTTGGCACACTCTGCACTTCCTCAGCTAGTGCGCGCGCATGCGCATCATCTACTCACATCGTCCAACTCAAGCCGCCCGGGGATTCAGCTTCTTCCCCATCAACTTATTGCCAACAAGCAGGTAAATTCCAGTCCTTGTGCCTTTTCTCTTGATGATATCCACTGACTGTGAACGATAGGCAGTTGATGCTGGTGTCCCGCCTCGCTTCACTCTTAGAGCTGATCGTCAGGCAGGCACTACCGAGTCCTGGCGAAAATGGTATGAAGACAGAGAAGTAGAAGAGTGGATCCAAGCCGTCGCTGGTGTTTTGGACCAAGGGTGGAACGAGCAGTGAGTCCAAGCTGTTGTCGTGAACCACGTATAGCGCCTAAGCTTGATGTTTGATATTTTAGAGCAGCAGCACAAAGAGGGGCACGACATTATGAATTCGCGACGGGTTACAATTACTACTTTGGCTCAGAACGTTTTTCGGTTGGCGAGCAGTTCTTCACTCATTCACCCCAGCTAGTTGTAAGTCTTTCCAAGAGGTTTTCGTCATTTCTGGGGTTTTACGTTCTTTATAGGCTTCCAACCCTAATCTTCCAAAGTCCATCCCTGCATTGATAACCCAATCCCTGAGTGCATGCGACCCAGATATCCGACAAGTGCTCATGGGCAATGTCGTCCTCACCGGAGGAGGCAGTCTGTTCGCTGGGTTGTCCGAACGACTTTCCAACGAGCTCTCAAGGAACTTCGCTCACGTACGTTTCATTCAGTCCTGCTCCTAATCTCATAAACTCATATGGGTGTTGTTGTTTAGGTCAAGATACATGCGCCTGGTAATCCCACAGAACGTCGCTATGGCGGCTGGCTTGGCGGCAGCATCCTTGCAAGTTTGGGCACCTTCCATCAGTTGTGGATTAGCAAGGAGGAATGGCAGGTACGCATTAATCATTTCTTATGGCGTATTATTGTTCGTTCATTAAGGTACCTCCTTCGTACATCACAGGAGCATGGAAGCAAAATCGTCGCACAACGTTGTAAATGAGATGCTGTGTACTCATTTGCTACTCATTCATCCCCCGTGTTTATTGTATCCGTATCCGTGTTCTGTATCATTGCTTCTTATGCATGCGATTGCACACTGGCACACCACCGCAAAAAAATCAGAGGGAAATTTGGCTTTGGATTGCATCAAGGGAGGGGTGGTATACAAAAAGCTCAGCGCAACGTAGACTAATTCTGACCTATTCGCACCTACGGCGAGAGGAACTTCTTTCAAATTCGACAATTTTCCCGACCTTCTGAGGTGCAACAGAGAGCTGATGGTGCTGATGATGATGATGATGATGTTATCTCGACCCGGGGGAAGCGCAGCTTCCCTGCGCTGTCCCAACACCTCCGAAAAATACATATCCGCGCGTGGAGAGCTTAAAAAAAAGGAAAGGAAAGGAAATCAAAACAACAACAACAACACAATCGCTGCTCGACCGTCTGTCCATAGAGACCGGAACCTCCGTATCCGGTGGGGCTGAGATGAGAAGAATGGACAGGGCATCCTGGGGTGGTGGTGGGGGTGAAAGGGTGAAAGGGGAAGAAGTGGGTGGGCATTCGGGAAAAAGAAAGGGTGGACGGCGACTTGAAAGCTGTATCGATTCAACTGAGTGTCCGGTGCAAACTTGGGCGCGCACGTCAATAAAAATAGGGCATGTCGATATAAAACAACGGGGGGGAAGGAAGCACAAAAGGAAAGTGGTGTTCTCAACAGAGACACGGGGCGGAAGTGGTGGGGTGAATAAGAAAAACAATATCGTACAATTCTCATCCAGATGGATTGGGAGAGTGAGAGTTATAGTGATGGGAGGGTATGAACTTGATCAGTACGCCTCGACCACCTCACGCCTCTCGCGAGCATCCAGCAGGGCACCAATAGCCTTACGGCGGCTTCGGGTAGCGAAGTTCTTAGGAACGAGCTCTTCGTTGTTGGAGGGAGGTCCACGGGGTTGACGTAATGGCTGGCTCGCCAAGCGCTGCATAGCAGCTGTAGGAGGGGCGACAACGGTGACGCTAGGAACAGGTCTGCCAATGCCCAACCCCTCATACAACTTCTTGGCAGCTTCCTCGCGAGGGGAAAGAGGTGGAACATCACCCATGGAAGAAGCGGTGCGAGGAGTGCTCGGAGAAGAGTTGGACCTGGAAGAAGATGACGAGCTATCATCGCCATCAGTGCCATCGTTGGTCACAATGGCGACGGAGGTCAATGGCTCAGATATCTCGGCGCTGAAACGCAATGGCTGGGGACGAGTCTTAATGGGGCTGATAGATGGAGGAGGCGAGTTCCGCTCTGCAGGGGGTGGTGTGATTTTGACCACCGGTGCTGAAGCAGTACGATTACCACTCAACACCGAGTTGTTTCCACCACGCCGCCACGACACCGCAGCATCAGACTTGGAAGGAGCGATCCCATTGTTGCTGTTGCTAGACGAACCACCGAGCGAGGTTCCGCCAGAGATGACGGTGGTGTAGCTGGGTGTGGTAGGCGGGTTCCTCAATCCAGAAGACAAATCCTCCTCGTACCCGCCCGACGGGACACGGCTGCCAAATCTGCCACCAAGAGAAGCGGTCATGGGAACCTGCTCCTCGCCAACGGCACCGAGTTTGGAAATCATCTCAGCCTGTTGGGCACGCCTCATTGTCGCAGAACGTAAGTCAAACGAGGTGCTAGTTGGGCCAGCGGAGGCGGGAGGCATAGCGCTACGACGAGCCGGCTGAACCTGTGGCATCTGTCGCTGACGCTGAGCTTGAGCGAATAACTCGGCCTGGTACTGTTGCTGCTGCTGATGTTGCATTTGCAGAGTCTAGTAAAAGCTGACTCAGTTGTGTCAAGATTCTACATTTGCGAATAAACTCACCTGCAGCCTGGCGATTTCCGTCTGCATCATCTGCAGCTGAAGAGCCTGCAATTGCGCCTGGGTGTCTGGCGTCATGAACGGGGACATGGGCAAGGGTCTGTTCATGCCCATTGTCTGCTGGTGAGCGAAACGATTCGCAGAACCATCAACAGCGGCGGTCATAGGCTGTTGCATCCGATTCTGTGCGTGATTGATGTACAAGTTCTGAGACATCATATCTGCCAACTCATCCTCTTCCTCATACAAAGAGTCGTTGTAACCGTTGTAACCATTCGAGACATAACGAGGCATATTGAAAGACCCGCCAGGAGCGGCAGTATGCGGAACGTTTGCCATAGGGCCAGAAGTAGAACGGACACCGCCTGTGCGAAGGCCGGCGAGAAGGGACGCGCGGTGGTTGGGAGCAGCTGTGGTTGCCATTGCGATGCGGGTTGTAGTGGTATAAGGTGAGGGTCTCAGCGAAGTAGGGTACGATTGAGTCGGAAGATGAAGAAGTTATACAGCTAGAGTGAGTGGCATGTGAGTTATCTGGATAGTATCTGAGTGGCAGGGAGGAGAACATACGGGAAGTTCTGAGCTAAAGCTAGCAGAAGAGCGATACGGTGGTGCGTCCTATTTTCTCTCTCGGAGCTGACTGGAAAACTTGGTTCGGGCTGGAAAGAGCAGTAGCAAAAATATGCCGGGTGGGCAAGCGATTAGAGGACAGGCAAGAGAAGTAAAAAGTTGGATTTTGAGGGCCAAAGGGGGAGAATAAGATGATAGAGAGTTATATATCCTAAAGAGAAGAAGACAGAGAGAGACAAAGAGATAGAGAATCGAGAGAAAGCCACCAAGGAAGAGGTCAGAAAGAGAGAGGAGACGACAAAGATCAAAACACTCTCCCTGCCCGTATAGCCATTCCCACGCCAGACCCCGACCACCCAGGCTCTGCGTAGACTCTCACTCATTATCATTATCACTCCGGTATCATACATCACGTATCCAGAATGTTCACTACTCGTACAGTACGTAGAACAATAACACGTCCAGGCCGCTCGTGATCCTTGTACAACACCCCTGATGCTCGCGCCATCTCACAGGTACTTTTTCGCGCTCGCTCGGACCCGTGCGTCAAACACCGGACTGCGTATCGGCGTGTGTGCAGTATGGAAAGGATTCAGCATTGTCTATTGTCAATCCTCCAATCAGCCAGCCCTCCTGCCACCCCTATTACAAATCACACACCTTGACATACAGCTCCCATACATCGACAAAGAACGCCTTGATCCCGTCGTCGTTTCGGGATTCGTGCAACAATACAAACTTCATATCTATTCCGACGTCATACCAACCGTGAGCACGAGTAAATGAAAGAAGCTAGATATCTCACTTCCAGGCGTAATGAACGCAGACACAGTCCATTCATTGAATTTGTCGACCGACTTTAGGTACCTGGACCACGGACGACCGTCAAAATACTATAGCTGCGGTACTCGGCTGGATACACACACATGGCATTCTCTTTCCGCATAACCTCTTCGATAACGTCTAGACTAGCATTTGCTATCATCTGAATTACATGCCTGTCCTTGCCGCCGCCCATCCTGACCGGTCCGCCTTGGATATGGTGTGCTTGCGTTGCACTGGAAGCACCGGATAGGGCTGTTAGAGTTCCTGCAAAGGCAGAAGTCGACCAACTGGGCAAGTTGGAAGCCAACGGAGACGTGGTCGTCTGTACCGGCTTCGACGAGTAATGTGTCAATTCATAGAGAGGTGTGTCCGATGGAGAAAGGAGAAAGAGATGGTGGGACATCGTATACCTGCAAGCCTGCAACGCATTCCCGGCATGGTCGTGTACGCGCCCGGCCAAATAGCCATCAACATCGCGCTATTGAGTGATCGGAGGTTAGGGTTGCGGTACTCTCAATCTGCAGCAATGAGCACTCCTTTCCTCCTTCGACGCTCTTTCGCCACTCCCTTTTTCAATTCTACCCTATCATGCAAACCGAGATCAGCTTATTTGAGTTCACTGCTTGGCTCTGGTCTTTCTCGATCGGCCCAACACTTTAGATTACCTCTCACGTTCTCCTCACAAGCAACCTCCTTTCCTACATTAGAATCATCATCCCTACTCAAGTTCCTCTCGAACAATACTTTGAGGGCGACGCATAAGTCGAGAATACCACAGGCCGGTCGCGTACGTGATCCGTTCAGAGGCCCTCCTCCTCCAAGAGGTCCTTGGCAGCGATTTCGCCAACGGATAGACTCATTGCCAAGTCAAGTGTTCTTTTGGGGTATACTAGGACTCAATGGTGCAGTATATCTAGCATGGTATGTTGCCCGTTCAAATGCTGTACGTCTCATTTGTGTCCTAATCCAAGAGGTCTCTTGCTAATTGGAGTGTCGTTTAGACTGTGGGAGGCGACCCGCGTCTATATTTTTGGATGCGAAACAACTTCACCTCGAGCATGAATAATCTACAGCACGGTCGGATGTCAGTTCATGAATATGCCCTAAAAGTATTCATATTAATATCTTTGCTTCATGATTGATAGATGGTCGATCGTCACCAGTACCATGTCTCATGAAAACACTAGCCACCTCCTCTTCAATGGATTCACATATTTCTTCATGGCGCCTGCAGTCTTGGCCATCCTCGGGAACGTAGGTTTCTTAGGACTTTACTTCGGAGGTAAGCGTTGAATACTTTTAGCCGAAGATTCACTCGAACATGCCCCCCCCCCCCCAGGTGGAATAATTGCCAACTTAACCAGTCTTTACTGGCACAACAATGTCAAGCTCCAACCTGGCTACTCCTCCCATGGCGCATCCGGTGAGTTGCTGTTCCCCAGTCGATTTTGTATCTTGAAATCTCACTTCGTCTTCAGGAGCGATCTATTCGGTGATATCCTTCTTTGCTTGTGTCGCCCCTACAACACAATTCCTCCTTTTTGGAGTTGTTCCAGTACCGGCGTGGGCCTTCGTTGCTGGTGTGTTCGCATACGATGGTTACAGCACGGTGCAGGACAAGGTACGTGGACGAAGTCTCATTCGTGTCCCTCACTAGACATATTCTGACTCTCCAAATGTCCAGCAATCCGGCACCGACACTGCAAACCACATCGGTGGACTGCTTGCTGGAATGGGTTTCTACTTGCGAAAGCGGTTCTTACGCTTCTAGACTAGAAAGGTTTCACGCACGGATACAGACATTTACATTCCTCTCTGACCGAGTCCATTGGAATATGTATCATCATAAAGTATCACCACTCGAGTAGGAAATTGAATGCAAGAAACCACCGTTCTAGTAAATTAACTACTAAGGATCCGCCGTAGGAGCGTAGCAGCCGTCGTCGTAGACTCTTCACCTGGGATAGGTGCAGGTATCGGATCCTTGGGACCCACTTCCTTGAAAGCGTAATAGCTGAAGAAGAGGACTTTAAAGCACAGTGCAAGACCTGCATGTAGAATCGCCAACAGGATAATAATAAGTCGGACGGCTTTGGCGTCCGCCTATATGATGTCACGATACAGTGATGAGTGAACGTGGTCGAGTAGTGAAGCAATAGAAAGACGCACTGAAGCGAGGATGGGATATACGTTCGCTACGAGGAAGTAACCTGAAATGAGGAAGGCAAGGCCGACCAGTATCCATCGAACGAGTGCAACTGGGATAACACAAAGTAACTGAATGGCAGAAGGTCAGTTTTAGATCTAAACTAAGCGGATGAGATAGCTCGTGCTCACCGAGACTGGAATCCAAATAAACTGTCCATATCCCCATACAGCAATAGCCTCAACAACACTCCACTCACCCACACCCAAATACCTCAATCCCAACCAAAGCAATACAGGTAGCGCCAACCCATAACTATACACCAAACCAACAGCGGTACTGAGCAGACCAAAGTCGTACTCTATAGGATCGGTTGGTGAAGAGCCTGCGGGGTCTGAGAGGTAGGCGGCTATTGATGATGCAAGAGAAGAGCACACGAATAGCGCGAATATGAGTGTGGTGAGAGTCCAGAATGGACCGTAGAGATCGGCGGAAGGGGTGAGATGTGTAGAGAGGTAGGAGCTTGAGGTTGGTAAGAGAGTTGAATAACATCGCTTCAGGACCTGATAATGTCACAGATGTCGAAAGAGTTAGGGTGCAATGAATAGTGAATCTAGTCAATCAAGTAGAGAGAGAAAAGGCGTACCATTTTCGTGTCTACGTCGAAATAGGGTTGGTAGTAATCGAGATTCCAAAAACGACCGCCTGGTGCTGGTCTATCCGAGCCATATGCTAGCGTGAGAGTGTCAATAATTCGCGTGACGGACAGCTAATGGAACAATTTGAACGTACCTGCGCCCGAATCATTTCTTGGACCTGTGGCATCACTGGTAGCTCTTGCATCAGTTCCAAGAAAGGCTGCAAGAGAAACACGACATTAATCCAACGGAAAAGATAGAGGGCCATCACAACTGAATGCATACATTGAAACCGAAGCCCTTCCGGGCCCTCCTCCATACGCTGCGGCTTCAAATGAGCTTCATACGAACAAGTTGGAATATACATGCACATACGTCGTCCGATTCTATGGATACATAAGCCATGGTCAATGGGTGTTGTGACGGGTAGAAACAAAGTATTAATGGGAATCAAAGCTGAGCAGTACTGAGCAACTTGAAGGTGATGCGGGGCGTTGAGTACACCTGTTGCCACGTGCAAGTGATCGCGAAAGCGCTTACGAGTGTGAAACCTAAATTGGGAGGTAAGTACGGTTGACCCCAAGTCGCCTTAGGGATAGAAAGCGAGGAATTAATGTTCTTCAGGGACAGAAGGATCCACTGAGCATGAATAAGGACACAAAAGTCCGACATTCTGCTTTATTTTCTGATTAATGGTCCGCATTGGAATATGCTACAACTTGAAAGTCACATCTCTTTTATGATACAGGTGCTACAGCACTACCAGTGCATCACGAGGAAACTGAGTATGACAGAAGTCCCAAAGTGAGCGTAACGAACAATGCTTGAAACTGATGGCAGAAATGCAATGTCGTAAATTGTTGTCAACGTTCATCGATCATCCTTCTAACCTATTCCTCTCCACACCTTGTGCATCAATCACCTTCTCCATAGCATCCAGCCACAATTCGACATCAGTCGCAGCGCCTCCACGGGTGGTAACACTTCCCGCCGTTTTACTTCTTATACCATTGTTTCCGTTGACCGAGGACGGCTTTGGAGGTAGCATTGATAGCGTGCCAATGTAACGCGCATGCGCAAGCACTGGTAATCGACGCAATGACCGGCCGGACATTCCTTGCGCCTGAGGAAGGCCTAAGTACCCAAAAGAAGTTTGAACATGATTGATGACACGTACACGACATTTGTCCGCCAGAGCAAGAAGCCTTAACGAAACCTTTCTTGATCTTTCTCGCCAGTCTTGAGCTTGGGGCTGCCCGTTGACTGACACGCCCGATGCGAAGATCGCTTCGGCTTGCTGAGCAAGACTTTGCGGGTTCAAGTCAGAAATTGGCTCTAATGACGGAGCCGCAACAGGAACCGAAACGAATTTTGCGGTACGCTCGTATAGCAGTGCTTGGGTATGACTTGGCACGTCCTGTCGAAGACTTAACAATATCAATAATTCAGAAATGCACGCAACATACCACGTCTGCAACAATACCCTTCGTGATGAGCTCGGAGAGGCAAGTACGCAAAATCTCGTATATCGCTTCCCTCGGTGGAAGGTCGACGTATTGTACGATATCTGCACGGTCGACAAATGCTGAATCTATTGGCTGAGGTCAGGACATTGAAGGACACAATTGACTTCAGCAGTTGACAAACCAATTGCTTTGGCGAGGTTACTAGTGGACATCACAAGCACGTTCTTTCTATGTTTGAGCTTGTCCAACTGTGTAAGAAGAGCGTTGACAACCTGTATAGAGATGTGTTATTTTTTATATGGTGATGTCGTCGAAATCGTATACATACACGCAGTGCGTCCGAAGGTTCTGTGCCGGCCATAGCTCCAGCACGAGCTGCGGTCAGCGACTCGACCTCATCTAGTAGTAAGAATTATGTGAAGCTGTTCCGAAGCATAAAAACATGCTCAATACCTATCAGGACAACAACAAAGGTCTCTTCATCTTCCACCATGTCCATTACAGTGCCAAACAATCGTTGAACGAGCTTCCCAGACTCTGAAAACCATCGCGAAAATAGTGAATGCGAATTGATTTCGAGCAATCGAGCACTTGGATACCTGAAATGCACATTCAATCAATTTGTGCCAAGATGAAAACAAAATGGACCAATGACATGCCGGTCGGACAGTCGGATCGACAGTTTCTGTGCCAATGCCCGACAAAGTGAGGTCTTTCCCGTCCCGGGAGGTCCATGTAGCAGGACCATGCGATTCCAAGAAACAATGTTGACTAAAACTCGTGTCAGGCACAGTGGCGTAGCGCATACAACGACCACTTACAGTCAACATCAGCATCGCTAAAGACCACTGTGGCGTAAATGTAGTCCAGTAGTTTTGACTTGATATCATCGGGGTATATGAGGCTCTCCCATAATCCCTCCCACCCAATACTGGGGAGTTCGCATACGGTTGCGGCCATGACTTCTTCCCCGTCACTTCTCCCATTACCACCTGCAAGCTCTTCGAAAGCGTCTGATTCCGAAGGTTGGTATACGTGAATTTGCAGTGAAATCTGTTCGATGGGTATAGAGGGTGGGGCGCATGGAGACTCGGATGCTATTATGCGAGCGACGGATGAGGCGAGGAGGGGGACGTCTTCCCAGCCTTGAAGTGTGGATGGAAGGTAGATGTGGGAGAAAGAGGATGTGATATAATTGTGCACCGCGCTACGGATGGTGTCGAAACGTGCAGTCGCGTTGGGAGACACTCTTACCTCGACTTTGCATACTGGTCAGATAAAGCAGGTGATCCTATGGATATAGCTCTGCGTACTATGTACTGGCCATATAGCCTGTGATGAGGAAGCACTGCTGGTGTCGAGCGGCGGATTCATCGTGTAGTCCAGTTCGCCATCCATGTCGTCCAACAACCTTGTTCAATATAGGATATCTAAGGAGGTATTGATGCAAAAGCGGATATCGAAAGGATCTAGACAAAGGAGAAAGTGCCACTTCGCGTCCACTCCCAAAACGCGTCACGGTATCGCGTTCCAGCCGGGCCGCCACTGCCGCCACGCGACGGAAGCAATCGGAGAAGAAGCATCTAGACAGCCCGCCAATGCATCATACTTGTGCACATCCTCCCTGCTCCTATGTCATCTCCTTCTTAACCCAAAACTCTTCAGTTTACCACACAGCATTAGCATATCATTAATATGGCTGACCCCGGCACTACCATTGAATATATCGAATCGCCAGAGGCTTCACCTCAGAGTCCTTCATTGCGCATTCGCAGATTGGAGTCTGAACTGGCTGAAGAGCAGCCTGAACATCCTCTTGATCCCTCTACTTTCAAAGCACCTGCACCATTCCCTGCGCCTTGCGTAGTTGTCGAGTTCTGTGATAGGGTACGTGTTCTATTTGCACGTCAACCGCTTCCTGGCTCATAATCAGCAACTTCGCAGTGTCGTTGGTATGCTTCTCTTCATGTAACGTTTAATCAATGCGGCATGGTATACTAAGCTTCAATTTAGGCTTCACAGAGCAAGCTGGGTGTCTACAGAACTCTTTCTGACATTCCCCAGTCCTGCTTTGAAGGCCGTGACCCTCATGCCACTCAATGAGGATGAAACCGCGGGACGATTCCGAATATGGCTTTATTGCCATGGCCAAGACCCTATCCTGGTCTGGGACAGAAAGGTTGAAGGTGGGTTTCCGGAGCTTAAAGTGCTGGTATGTGATCTGCGCGTTTCTTTCAATGTTTCAATGGTTTATTCTCGTTGTAGAAACAACGCATTCGGGACCGAATCCAGCCTGGAGTGTCCTTGGGGCATTCTGACCATTAAAACAGGCATGGTTGCAATTTGGATATTTACACTTGTATCTATGGAACAGCCGATTGTAGCCATGTAGCGTCACCCCTCACTGTACAATATTTCACACGAAATGGATAACAACACAAGCATATCGCTTCGGATTGTAGCAATTCAATACTATTAAGAAATACACACCTCAGCATAACTTTGAATGACCAATGTACACGCACACAATGCAAGGACGAATCAACAAGAGCTAAATTCGAATACCATTATACAGCTAATCCAAAAATGACAGACGAGTAAAAGACGAATGACTAAAAGGAAGGTGCGGGTTTGACTACTACTTCCTGAACCTACTGACTACTTCAAAAATCACGTATATACACAAGACAAATCTTACACTGATCCTTTTCATTCCACTCCGCCAATATATTACACAACGCACCAAAGTGTCCAAAAGGGGAGGAAAAACTCGTATAACGAGAGACCCCGTCAAAGTCCAATGCTCGCTTCTTCATGACCTCCATGTTCAAAGCGATCGTTCGTGGAGGAATCTAGCCGTACAGGGCCAGGTCCTGGTGACCGAGACCAGTGTCGTGATGGTCTATGCGGGAGTTCCGCCATCATTTCCCGTCGATCCTCTCCGCCATCTTCATCACCTGACAAAAACGCTTCGGTCTCCTCGCCAGAAAGCGGCCCATAACCCAACTCATCGTCCACTGCCTTGCGAGCAACGTACGAAAGGTAGAAAAATATTGCAAGGCAAAGTCCGATGCCAACGATTGTTGAATAATGTCCCAGCATACTCTCGTGGCCTGTCGAAGACGCAGCGCCATTAGGTTTCGTGACGTGGTATTCGGCAAAGGAATGTATTGAGCTGCCGATGCTCGTGTGGATGATAAGCTTGAATAACGAGAGCGCGGTGCAAAGCGTGTACGTTCGTAAAGTGAGCGTAGGAGACGCGGCGAGGAGACAGTTCATGACGTTGAAGGGATATGGTGCGAGGCGGATAAGGAAGAGAAGCTTTGGACGCTTCTCGATTGCTCGGACGACGCGCTTGATGGTGATAGTACATGAGAGCCAGCGCGAAATAGTCCCGCGGAAGTAGGTGCGAGAGAGAATAAATACAGCGATTGCTCCTGCGAGGGAGGCGAAATAAGAGATGATAACGCCAGTCCAAGGACCGAAAGTATATCCAGATAAGATAATGAGCGTGGAATACAGAGGTAGAGGAGCTATACATAGGATCATGTTTCGTCAGCTGATGAAAGCGAATACAAATAGTAAAACGATGCGACAACGCACGGAATGTAGTAAGAAAAATCAAAGCAAAAATGACTGCACGGCCTGTATATTCATCGGACTGCAACCAATGTGAAAGCTGGTCAAGGCCTGTATCGAAGGTAACATATTAATTAACAATCTATATTTGAGTTCTTATGGTAGATGAGCCACTCGCCTTCGAAAACCTCTGCTTTCCAAAGAGTGATAGCAGCAATGAAGCCCAGACTAGTAAGAGCGTACAATATTATAGGAATCCAGGGTTTGAGAAGATTAGCTATCAGGAGTCCTCGTGGACGTGTGTACGCTGAAGTCGAAGCTGTCCGAGTAGTGACCGAATATGGTGATGATGTATTCGAGAAGTGCGACGGGTGGGAAGAGCATTGCTGCCTTGAGCAAGGAGCGGCGGATTGTGATATTGAAAGCGTGCATATGCGAGGAAGCGGGCCTGGCGCGGTGCGACAATGCCTTGAAGAGCTTGGGACGAGCGACGGATCAACCTTTTCGTCAGTGTACTCCTTCATATGCGCGTTCCGAGGTGGTAGGTGTGGTTGTTGACAGCGAGTGGGCGACGTCGAGGTAGGTTGCGCAGAGGAAGAATGAGGAAGAGCGACATGATGAACTACAGGCTGTCCAGGCCTAGCTTCAGGATGTGCGCAAACCGATGCGTCCATTGGATTCCAGTCCAACGCGGTATGTACCTACGGGGAGAAAAAGGCGAATTGGGCGGCGCGGGGGTGCTGCCCAAGACGACGTCGAGGAGGAGATGATGAGGGCTTCCGGAGGAATGGAGCCACTGAGCTGTAACCACCTATAGCTGCTATCAATTTTCTGCTTAACGATCATTAATAGATTTAAGAGGTGCTCCCTGGCGTCTCTCCCGGTTCTGTGTACCGCACCAGCGCTATTGCGGTCCCGCTGCCTCTTCAAATGCCTCCGCCATTGCCTTTTCCGGCCCCTGCGCCAGTCTCGACGCCGGTCAAGAGAGTGTAGTAAGGTCTACACATGTTGGTAGATAATTCAAACTAAGAAACACTGTAGTAATTACGAGACTTGTCGTTTGAAGAATACAGAGTTTTGTACCGCTCCAAGGGGCCGCGAGGGCTGTGAGCGAAGAGTGGCTCTACAGCGGGGTTTTTACTGTCTGCGCTTCTAGGGGACAGCTCTACCTGAAAGTAATCGTCGCCCTCCCGTGACTGTGCAGTGTTTCGACCAATCACAGTTGGAGATAACACCGACTTGAGACTTGGCTTGAGAACACGTTCAGTGGAGCACAAGCGAAACGGCCATACGGTACTGGAGCTACACACGGCTATATTATAATACACCCACAAGGTCAAAAAGTTCACGAACGTTCACGTGCTGGTGAGTGTGAATGTTTTCTTCTGTCAGTGGCGTTGATTCACCGACATTTAGTACCAACTTGGCTTGATACAGTCACCACAATGCGTGCTTTAGGACTCTCTTCGGCATACCGGACGCTTTTGACATGTTCGCCGCACCCGTCTGGCAAACGCTTCAACTCAAGCAGTGGTCAGAAACCCGTTTCTCATGCGCAGGTTTACACGGATCTGATTCCGGGCATGGTGCCCATCGCACTGCTAGGGTCAGCTGTGTACTTGGTGCGCTGTCTTTTTTAGTCCTGAATTTTGCGTGCTACCGATTGAATGTGTCGTACATGACAGGGATTGCGATTATGGCAAACTAGTTTGGCTCAGGAGAAGTACTTGGACGAGGCACGTTCGAGAGTAGCTGCATTAGAGGCGGAACTCGATAGCCTCCGGAAACAGCCCAAAATCATCGCTGAAGATGGAGATCCCATTACACAGCCGGGGACGTCGAAACGCTTGTGGTTCTTTTAGGCCCATTTCTTTTTTCAAACAGTGGGCGTACAACATTCGATCAACAATCGACGTATCCGCCGTTTCAGCGACCCGCGCTGCTCTGATCAGTTTTGATTGTAGACATTCTAGGTGCGGCAATGCGTATCCGTAATCCTGTCGGATACTGCCTTCATGATGGAGAACGTGCCTACCACCGGCTTGCAATGCATAAAATCTAGGTTCTAATCATTTAGAGCCAGGGCGGGAAGTTGATATTGGAGTGCATATGAGAAGTCTATTTGAGCACAGGGGAATCAGTAGGGTGTTCTATATACGCAATAATACTACCACAAAGTTCCAAGCAGAGGATGAGAGTAACATTACGAAAACAAGGTAGAAGTAACAATAACACCGGGTATCAGACAGTGGAAGGTAAAATGGGCCAACGAACAATGGGCTCAGGAATGGAAAGAATGTTATGTGAACTTGGTCGCTTTCACGAGCGCAGTTTTGTGTCGATCGTAGAGCTTGGCAGTACTAAGAAGCAACATCGCATGTCAGTGAGGGCACTTAGCATGAACGGTTATATCTCACCCTAGTGCGGCTGCTGCCAAGCCTGTAAACGTTTGTACCGGACTCTTTGCCCGATTTAGTCGGAAGACATTATAAGCTGCAACCGCTTCAGCAGGTGGGCGTGAACGATGGTACTAGCTACTCACAAACATAGATCAAGTCCATTAAAAGCTTCATCCGTGTAATTTGGATCCAGTAATCCTGCCGCTGCAGTCGCTCCAATTCTTTCTGGTCTACTTTATTTGCGCTTGGGTTCGATTTCGCAGTGGCACCAGTCATGGACTCTGAATATAGCCGTGACTCCACTAAGCAACTTTATCATGAGCACCACGTGCATAGTGAAACTGAACAAGGAGAAGCAAACCTTGGTGTTTCAAATCCAGAATTACGCCACGCTCAACGCCATTCTCCACCAAATTGACAAGCGTACTGACGAACCAACACCAATCAGCAAAACGGCCCGCTCGTTCACCCGTCCGTCTACCAATAAGACCCAGTCTGGAGAAAGTTGAAATATCATCTGAGACACCATTCACAAGTTCCAATAGTACCGGCGGCGATGTATGTAGGAACGTGTGAAGCAAGGGTTTCCGTTTTGACGGCTTCGCCGGAGAGAATGGGTCAGTCGAGTTCTCAGCTAGGATTGTGTTCAATGGCGCCAGCCAGTTGAAGAGAATGAGACACTTTCTGAGCATGCGACGTTAGTTAACGGTGGCGCCTCGGTCTGAACATATAACGTACCTAGAGAGGGAGAACCCAGCGATTGCGGTCTCGAGACGCTTGAAGAGCGCGTTCTCCCATGATTGTCGCTTAGAGTTCCCCAACGAAGCGACAGATGTGTGGAATAAGAGATACATCCGCATAGAGTATTGCAGTAGTTTCTAAATGCAACAATCCATGTGAATACAATTAACACGACCTTTTACATCTCACAACATACGAATGTCTTGTCTCGGCCGTTCGCAGTGGTCAGCAATTCCTTCCACACCGCTTCCTTGCGTATTCTACGCCTCGCGTCTTGATGGAATTTCTCGTCTTCATCGTCCGACACGTCCTCCACCTCTATATGGGTCTGCTCCTCGGAAATTTCTTGTGAACTATAGACCTCGGCGCCGTATATTTGAGATGAAGAAGTTACAGAAGTCCGAGGTGTACGTGGTGGGTGCGACGACAAAGGATTCATTTGAATCTGAAATGAAGCATTTGATGGCTCATAGGAACTCGCGAAGTACCCAAGGTCGTTTGCAGAAGACGAGGCTGCAGGAGCAGAGTGTAGCCCAGGTTCAGCATGGGGAAAGGTTATCGAAGCCATGTGTTCGGCAGTCACTGTGCCACTGTGTCCAAGTATCCTCGTAGTCTGTATCCTAGTCAAGTTCACTGCCCGAGTTGCACCTCGACGCGCGCCTGGGACGCGTGGTCTGACATTGAGGCACGTGCCCTAACGCGGTTGTCGCCTCTTTCAGCTTCTCGCTGCTGCAGCCACTATGCTTTCAGCGGTCTGCACACCATAGTCCTCCTCTATCTGCTGACCTTCTCCTTCAATGTCTTCTGGCCTACGGTCCCCTCAGACCCCGCGATCAAGCGCATCCTCTCCTAGACCGACATTTGACACCGACTTGCTTCGAGCCTATGTCAAGAAGTTGCTCCAGACTACTCTACAGTCCGCCACTTGGCCGGAACCTCGCGAACGAGATCGTGTGAAGGGTTGGATAAAGGAGATAGGCGAACGAGTTAAAGAACGAATGTTAGGTGCGAGATCGTCCCTTTCGCCGATGCGAGGGCGAACACTGATTATTGCCAATGCAGAAATTCAACCGAGAGGCTTGTGAGTAGCATCTTGAATACTGGATGGTACTATTCTTGACATGATGTAGTAAATACGTTGTCATGACCCAAATCAACGAGAACCTCGGACAAGGCGGAAGGTGTGTGAACCCATACCTGCACCAATGTGATATCTCTAACTCTTGACCCTTGTTTTATCCAGGGCGGATATGGTGTGTCACTGGGAAGATTCGGACGTTGTTACACAAGAAGTATTCTATAATGTATGCATCAGTCTGTGTTTCTTTTTACAAACAATATACATGTCTGCTGTTGACCACATATATTCATTAGGACTCTATCATCTGTATCTGTGTTGCATTCGCTATTCGGACAGTATGAGATATTGCACCCTCTCTATACCCCGTTCTATCGCAATTATATCCTCTCCTTAAATTTCTGGAATGCTTCGTCAAGCCATTGAGGTCGGACGGTACTCTTATTTTGAATAACTCCTACATGTGGTAATTACCTCCACATCTAGCACATAAACTGTAAGCCAATGGCCCCAAGGTCATGTTTATCCCCGCGACAGATGGCATTTATCTCACTGATAGTGACCGTCTAGATCTTAATACATTGACGTTTACCGGTGATCGCTCCTTGCCCATATCCAGGATATCCCAGTTTTGTAACTGTTGATCCACGGAAACTGCGGGGGCTCCGATTGGGTGAAAATGATTGCGATTACGTCCTGCCTTGCTTCACCCTATGGCAAACAAGTACTCCATGACTGCATGGTGACTTGAGGGATTTATGCTGCTCGGTATACGTGTCCTGCGGTGCGTCTTCATCTCAAGGTGAAGAAATGAACCTCATGTCGTGTCACTTACCCATTGGCCCATCAGGTGCTCTGGCTCAACAGCATGTTACGACAGCAAGTGATTTGTGCTAAGTGGTATATTTGAGTTCCATTTCAAGTACAGTGTACTGTTGTCATCAGTATGATTGATCAAGTGACGACTAGAGAAAAAAGGGTCCCATCGTGATTAACTGTTACTGCTACAGTACGAGGGAAGATCTGATTTGGCAGCACATTGTTGTACTGGCTAAATTTCTATTATCCTAGTGCCAGACAGGAAAGCGGTAAACATAGCGAGAGCTTACTGTGGAACAGTCCGATGAACGACGTTCCGCCGACATTCCTTCCACGCTCCACGCCACTGCACTGGACACATCAGATCTTCTGTTGTAGGACCCCTAACAGTTCCGGCGTTATTCCTGTCATGATTTTCGAGCCCGATCTGGCGATACAGCTTCGTGGCGTTTGTGAATTGGGAAAGGGACGCCGGGGTGACTCGACAGTAGAAGTCCTCAGGAATCAAGTTTGGGAATGCCCTCCTCTCCAGATACGAATACGTCAGTAAGTTGACATCTGCTTGTGTCCTGCCGACAGTCGCTCATTTCCTGCCGTAGACGGGATTTCGACCGATGCTTTGACGTGGGCAAAGGTCTTTCCCATCAGACACACTGAGCAGAAGGTTTGCGTCCGTAAGTTGCGTGCACGCGCAGGTCTCCGTACTATGTGAACGCCATAGTTGTTCGGCTCCTGTGAAGTGTTGAAATTCATTCTACCCGTCGGCGGTTTCTCCATTCTTACACCCGATAACACTCCAGGACAAGGAGGAGTATGTATGCGGACTTTGCGGCATCTGGGATACATACTCTAACGGGAGAAGCGTTCTCTGGCGACTTCAAAATGCTTGCTAGACATGAGGCACCTCCAATGTCTTCTCAAGACGAAGAGAGAAGCAGCACAGCTTGCCCTGGCTTCTCAGATGTCTCTGCAGATCACACATCTTAGAGCGAAGTAAAAAGGGCGGGTGTGGTTAAGCGAAATTGACGGGTGACTTTTTCGAGACTCCCCAGGCTATCCGTGCGCGCAGGCAAATTACTGACCGAGAGTTCTCATGCTCTTCCACATGCAAGGCTCTAGGATAATCACCGGATCAGATTGGGCCCCACAAGGGTTCAACTGAAAACGGGGGACGATCTGCCTGCTGGCCTGGACTTTCTAGGCTCTCCATATGTCGTAAAGCGGAATCCCTACAAGGACGCGGAGGACTCCGTGATAATACATTTCTGTGCGCATCAAGACTGCGCTCACAAAGACTTGGGATCCAACCTCCTGTCTGGGCGCGAGACCCGCCTGCCGTCGCCGGCAACCAAGCGATAAGTATAGCGATAAGTATAGTGGACATGCATTCTTTATTCTATGTATAATGGGCACTCAGTTTGTGATCAGAAGGGCCGGCCCCGTGCGACTTCTCGAAAACACCCTCACAGTTCTGATATTCCCATGCCCATGCCCGAATGAACGTGCATATTCAACGGATGGTGGCGGTTGTCTGAGGTCTCTGCCAGCAACGCTGAGAATAGTATCCTTGACAGGTATGGTAAACATCTATGCATTCTCATGATACATCATTGAACCGTGGCGGAGATGAGAGCACAAGTCCGACTTTCTGGGCACTTACCGCTCATCGAGTATTCGTCAGCGAGCGTGCACTCATTGTACTGTGGAGCCGCTACCTGCTATACGTGGAGGCTGAGCACAGTCGTAGTTGGGTGTACATTAATGAATGTCATGGAACGACCTAGAACGTTTTAATATGTGGGCCCGGGCGTTTATGCGAAGCTGAGTTCTTGGGAGTTTGACTTCAAGCTTCTTCAAGGTCCGCGAGGTCCATTGTTAGATTACGAACTGCTAGCGGCTTCTAGTTTGTATACAGTCGCTGTCGACATTGAAATATTGCGACAGGAGTCCTGCTGCGGTAGTCTGGTCTTAGAAGACATAATGACCAATCGCGGGCACGACAATTTGGCCTCATCCGACACCCTAACTACGTCTGAAGAAGGACTTCCCATGCAAGAGCAGGTTCGCCGTTTAATTAAAGAATCAGAAGGTCAAGGAGGATGGGATAAAGCATGGTAACGCTATTTCATTTCTGGTTAGCCTCACGATGCATTGGCATTCATTCATTATGCCATGATGCTCTATTCATATAGGAAGCTAGGTGTCACACCATGGGATGTTGGATACGTTCAACCTCCGCTTGTCGACCTTCTAACTGCGAAACAGCTCGAATTTCCCACTTCGGGTCGTGCGCTGGTTCCCGGATGTGGAAGAGTACGTCCGATATAGTTCACTGTGTCTATGGCTGAGCACGATGATCGGTAACAAATGTCTAATCCTAGGGGTATGATCCAATTTTTATTGCGTCTACGCTGGGATTCGACACATTGGCAATCGACATATCAGAAGCTGCTGTTAACGCCGCAAACGAGTGAGATTTGCATTTTTTCATGGACACAATGAATCCGTACTGATCAGAATCCACGTGAGGCTTCTCGCTAAATCCACTCTACCTTCCTCGGGGAAGGTGACGTTCAAACTGGGCGATTTTTTCGAGCTCTCTGAGAGCGATGGCCAGTATGACCTCATCTATGACTACACGTGAGTCACAACGCAAAGGCAGTCTTTGTTATGCTCCGTGCCCGTGGCTGATGCCCGAGACATAGCTTCTTCGTCGCTATTCCTCCCGTGATGAGACAGGAGTGGGGTCGGAAGATGTCAGAGCTGCTGAAACCAGGAGGCTTTCTCATCACTTTGATATTTCCCATTGACCCACCGCAAGACTATGGTCCTCCATTCTATGTTCGTGCAGAGCATTACGTTGACGTTCTTGGAGAAGGATGGGAGCGCGTAGTTGACGAAATACCGGAAAGAAGTTCTGAACCACATAAAGGGCGAGAAAGACTGGTTGTGTGGAAGAAACTATAGTGCCCCTAACCGTACTGTTGCCAACCAAATGCATGTTCTACAGCGACTACTATATTAGTCTGATTTACCGATCGTAGTTCACGTGCGCTAACTTTTTGTTAGCGCCTGCAACTCTGGCAGTAAGAGCGTGGTTTTGAGCAGTGAGCACGGTCTCCTTATTCGTTGCAGGTCCGGCATGTTTCTCGTCTCGAAGCAATGTCTCAAGCAGATTCAACAATCAAAATGTCGTAGACACCTTCCACGAGTCGCCGTCGTGCGCAACATTCATGCCTCACCTATTTCTTCATTTACCCTGGCTCTCCCGACTGTGGAATTCCCAAGTCTTCCCACTCGAGCACGCGATACAAGGGAGTCTATTCAAGTCTTAAAGCTCCAAGAACTCGCTCACTCGATGAATGCCGTATCTCCGGACCCTGCAGTCGTATGGAGGAATTACCGTGGACTACTTCGCATCGAGCTTCCAAGAAATGTGCCTTTGGCAGTACACCAACGTGTCCTTCGCCTATGCACACCGTCTCCGAGGGAAATGCGACTGCACCTTGCAGAACGGATGAAGATGAATGCGCGTCCAGGTGTTCCTCACCTTTACGAGAAGCGCTTCCAGCAAGTCATCCATAATATCCGGGAAGCAGGTTATACTCCTACATTGGAGGATTACCACTATGTTCTGGAACATTTTGCTGCTGTTGGTCACCATGCAGGCTCACTCCAAGTATTACGGGAGATCGACGAGCTCAAATTTCCAAAAACATCAACAACCTACGCGTTATGCCTTCAAGCACTATGTCATAGTCTGACACTCCCGTGTTGGCATGAGGATCGACCACAGCTCGTGAAAGAAATCTCACAGACCGCTCAGAAATTGATCGATGAAATGTGGGTTGCTGGCATTCCCGTATCTTCGGTCAACGTCGATTTGGCTGTTCGCGTGTTGAAAGAGACACTGGACATGGAGACATTGGAGAAGCTACTGAAGGTTGTGTACGGTATCGACTTGTCCTTCCCCGATCGTCCACCTGTCGAGTATTGGGACCAAGCCAAGTCTAAACCAGAAACTGGTGATTTGGTCTCACCGCTACCTGGACCGCAACCGTTCACCACCCCAGCATTGAACACAACATTGGATATTCTTGGACGTCTAGGCAACGTCTCCAAGATGGTTCAACTGTTCGAGGTGATCACAGTTCCACTTCCGAAGGGTGTCTCTGAAGTGCCGTCTTCGTCATTCGACGAGGATGACGATGATTTTGGTTGCAGCAGTCCTGCTGTGTCCTCCTTTCCCTTGCCTCACGCGCAACCCAACACTACGACATTCTACACGCTCATTCGCTGGATTTGCGAGATGGATCACACCATTTTGGCTCGTCATTACCTTCTCTACGCCTTCCGCTACGATAGGGACATCGATTTTGCAATACGCAGGGCTCGCGTCGCGAACGTGAAGAACGGCGTAGACACCCCAATATTTGCACCCCGCGTCTCGATAACCCGGGGTATCTTGCAAACAGTAATGGGTGCTGCCAATCGGAACAAGAACAGGAATATAGAGATACTCAAATGGGTTTCGATGATGATTGTGAAAGTCCTGAGGTGCAAAAGGCACGATTTGAAGTTCTATTCTCTCTGGCGGGACCAAGAAGCTTCCAAACTCGAGTCGGCCGAAGACTTGTCCGAGTCAGAGGCGCCAGTAGCAAATCTGGCAGATGCCTCATCGACAGTTGAGGCCTCTTCGCCGTCACCATCAACAGCCAATGTCAATGACCCAGATGTCCCACAGCGGCCCACTCCTTTATTCGAACTCGACATCAACGACACCTCACTCCCTCCATCTTCAAAACAACGGTTATTCAACCTCGATTTACACATAAATCTCTTAGAGCGAGACATCGAGGAGATTTCTGAACTGGAGAAACGTTGCAGTGAAATCCTAGCTCGTGACACTCAACGGCTAAAGGAACGGTTAGGCCGTCGAGTGTGGAAAAGTAAAGACGTGTATTTCCGTGTGCCTGAGGGACGTAGGGTGGTCAGCCGAGAACATTGGCAGGAGATCGTGAACTTTCGCGAACCTCCTGATGTTCAAGGGGAGGATGACCTGGCAGACCTGGACGGACCTCCGCGGCGTTCACGACGTCGAGACCGACGTTCCTGAGCCTCTCTCACATTATCGATATTTCTATTCCAATATGTGAGCTCTTATCTCAGATATCGTACCGTCAAGTCCTGACTAAATGCAATGCGCATTCAGTGCTTTAGACCAATCTTAGACGCGTACATTCTACCATAGGAATGGATCGCCTGCACTCTGGGGCGTGGCATCGATATACCTTACGTGCTTTATACCTGTGCGACGGACGGCACCGTTATTTCCATTCGCCTGGTAGTACTCGATCTGGGTCCCCGAGACTAAGTATCGCGAGACGGGAAATACATTACCTTACGGAAAATACTTCCTGTTCGCAGCCTCTGGCTTCCTAGGCGTTCTGGTTGGCTTTCATTTTAGGAGCTGATTCGAAGTGGAGATGATGAACGAAGACGCATTTGTCGGTGCATTAATGATATTGTAGCTCTAGAATGGTAGTGGTAGTGCCCTAATATGAAGGATGGGAAGCATGAACACTGGCGGACCGCGCCTTATCTCTTGCTCAGTGGTTATGATGCAACGTGGCTCGATGTAAAGAAAGAAATACAGAAAGAAATAACATCGACAGCAATCAGAATAAGAGAACAGAAAACAGCGGAGAAGCAAAGACATGCGACATGACAAAAAAAATCGGAAGGCATTTACGATGCGGAATTTAACCTAGGTGGGGTACTTGTTCTGTTATCCAGCCGTCGTATTTCTTTTTCAAGTCTCTCGAGCCCAGATTGACCTACAGCGGCGGATCCTCGAGCGCTATGCTTATCAAAAAGGTACGCCAGCAGGTTCTTCTTGTCCTCTGGAAGACCGTCCAACAAGGTAAACATGTGCGTTTCATCTTGAATAACCAATTGAGCGGCAATAATTGAGGCCGCCGCGGCCTCTCGGACGACAATGGAAGACTGGTGAGTAAGAGCCTGTAGAAAACATGAGTCGCAATACTTATCCATCATTAACTAGTGAACTGACCGAAATAAGGGTGTCCCGCAGTCGCGGCAGTTCATCCTCCAGTACCTCCGCCGGGAGGCGTAGCATGAACTTACCCAAAGCGATGAGACCGAACGAATAAGTGCTGTCCTTGATGTCTGCGTTAGGCGTGGGTCCATTCCGGAAAGCGCGTAGCGCTGCGTGCATTGTGGTCAAACCATAGACCGCCTCAATGCGTGTTGTGAGCGCGTCTCGGAAGTCTGTAGTCGCCTGCATAACCTGATTACATGAATTGCGGCGTCAGCTTGTGCCAATAGATAAATATATACTCATCACTCACATTGCCATCGCCACAATAGCGGATTTGGAGAAGCAGTGAAAACACGTCAGATTCTCGACCTTCCAACAAAGGTGCCTGGCATTCAAGGATTTCCCAAAGGACGATGAGACCGTATTCTAAGACTTCGGGGCTCTGGGTGTCGTTGACTGTTATCAGCAGGCGTTAGCCTCATGTACAGCAAGCTCTGACTCACTCTAGTAGGGTCCAAAAACTGGATTAGGCTATTGAAAAATCGATCAAAGTTCTTTTCTTGGTTCCAGAAATCCGATTTAAGGGAGGGCATAGCGAACGATACTCCTTGATGGGAGGGACTTGAGGGATCGGATAGTGCCGGGCTGATCGGCGACATGGGCTCATTCACAGGGTTCTGCCTACATAACAAGGCAAGTTTCTTGAGTATGGATGTATCAGCAGAACCTTGTTCAAGTTTAGCGATCCAGCCATTCAGTTCCTGCCGATAATCCGAAAGATACCCCATATCAACAGACGCCGCCTGCTTGACCACTGCAAATGACAAAGACCACTGTTTTAAGTTCTGTTCATTTCAGATCTGTATAAGCTCCGAGACTTACAAGACATGCGCTTCATCCACCAATCACTTTGCATGTTCCGAGAGTTGATCATATCGAATATAGAAGTTGAACCGTTGCGTACTGGACTGTCCTGGAACAGCGCAGCCCTTCGAAGATTCGCAGTACTTCGATTGACAGGCGTCTGAGGCATTGGAACTGAAGTTGTGGGGTAGCTTGCCTCTAATACCGCCTGCTTCGGTTTCAGTCTCGGCGTTGCTTCGGAGCTTCCCAGCAGCAAGGAGTGGGGCATTGCGGGAATTTGCATGTCTTCATCCTCAGGTTCCACTAGTTCTAAGAGTCTTTGTGCCGCACTTTCTGCCTGTTCAGCGCGTGCCCGTAGAGCGTCTTCAACTACCGGTTGCGGCATTATATTTCCAGGGGAAGAGTTAGCAGCAGGAGGCGACAAGGTATTAGACACAGCCGGTCTTGAACTACTTGATCGTGGAGAGACCGAGGCGGCAGACTTCGTAGGTGGAGGATATCGCTCGAATGGTGTTGAGAACGAAATGAGATTGAGGGACTCATCCACATCCATATCCACTTCCGAATCACTGTCCTCAGGTATAGGGATATTTGACGCAAGTAGAAGAGACTCCTCTTCCTGACCCTCACCTCGCATATAGAGTCCTGCAATGGACAAAGATTCACGAGCATTTGGGTACGCGGTAGGCTGCGTCTGAGGTCGAGGAGTTGGAGTGGGCGGAAACGCGGCATGTGAAGGAGGTGGTGAGGCAGGTAAGGCAGTCTGAACGGCTCGTCGGAAGGCAGAGTTACTACTCGGCGGAGATATCTGGACAAGAGGAGACGAGGAACGACGTCGGAATGCCGGGTCGGGGGTAGGTGACGGTGGTGATGCAACAGGCTGGTTTCTCGTGTTCTCACGTGTATGTGCTGAAGGCACAAAGCCGGCACTCATCGAACGAGGCAAGGTGCCAGTAGAAACAATCCTTGACCTCGGCGGCGAGCCTGATGAAGAAGCGAGTCGCGAAATCGGAGAAACAGCTCGTCCGCCACCAGAAGAACTGCTCGTTGACAGAGACGGTGAAAGTGGACGCTTGTTAGGGTTTGGCGGCGAAGTCGTACGGGCCGCAGACGTAGCTTGATGTCTTAGTGTGGGAGGAGCTGTAGCAATTGCCTTTGCCTTCGCACGACTGGCAGCTATGGCGGCAGCTACACTACTCTTCTTTGTCTTGGGAGTAGTCGGAGGTACGCTGCTCGCCAGGGTATCGGGATTGGGGCACGCCCTTTCCAGTTGTTTCCTCGAAGTAGGATCCAGAGTTTCCATAATGACACGAGCTCTGTCCTTCCACACACCATCGAAGACCCAGAAACACTGGCGGCCTGTTTCTCTTACGCCAGGATTAGGATCGCCTAAAACTTTCTTGATGGATTTCTCCAGAATCTCAACACCACCTGCAGTCTCAATTGAATGCTTCGCCCTTGGCGCGTTAACTTCCAGGAATGTTTTCACGTGACCAATGGCATATACGCGAGTCTGAATCGCCTTATCTTGAAGCGAGTTCCACAAGAGCGGCAAAATGAATCGTGGCTGTGCGGAAGTGTTGTGAATGATAGTGGTGATTGTAGCTTGCGACTGTTGGGCAATGATCTTCTTCGTAAGACTCGCCATCCGGATTAAATTGAGGTACATTGGTTCGCAGACACCATCCAGAGCAGTGCCGAGTGTAAGCGCGAGTTCGGAATATAAAGAACAAGTATTGGCGGCCACTGTTGTCCGTAAGCTAATCAACTGCGAAACCCATTAACGAAGTAATAGTAAATATGAGAGCATATACTCACCGTCTTTACTGAGGCGTCAATAAATCCATTCTTTAGTCCATGAAAGAATGTCTCAGGATAACGCTCGTATACCTCTCCCTTGAGCATTCCTCGCACTCGGAGAATTGCTTTTTCACGCGCCGCCCAATTGTGCTCGGTCTCTTTGCCCTGAAAAAGCCGATCGCAGTGTCAACAAAACAGATCTTGTCAGGCACAGATCAATCCGCTTAGCTACTGCTGCCCTTACCTCGAAATGTTTTAGCATCGAAGCAAACTCGTTCTCCAAATCTCGAGAAGATGCGATCTGTCGAATTTTTCTCGATCAGCTCCACGAACAACAACAACAAGACCGGAGAGTCAATATTCAACAAGCGTACATAAACGGGCTTGATATCCACACCGCTACTGCCGCCTTCTGTTGGAATCGGTGAGGCACCTGCGGCGCGACTGGCTGGCCTGGAGATATCTCGGACATTGGAATGACTTGATGATTTTGACAATCCTATGGCGGTACCTGGCCTCTTCATAAGCGCAATGCTTGGAGGGACGTAACCGGCTGTGCCACCAGTAGACGCATCGCCATTCTCGGACCCCATTTCACTTGGAGGTGTGGAGGTAGTACCTGAAAGTACTTTCGAAAGGACGCCATCAACAATAGTCTTCCGGACGTTTTTCTTCGTCATTTCCTTCTTGAGATCGGCACGGGCAGCATCGGTGACTCCAGGTCCAGTAAAAAGCTCAACCACAGATTGCCGCGCGGATTCACGGACAGTCCCATCCGTGTCTTCTAGAGCTTCCACTAGCTGAGGTAGATACGACCGGATGGGGAATAGGTGATGAGTCCGCCGAATGTGTACGAGAGTAAGGACGGACTACAGCAGCCGTAAATGAAATATGTGTGTAGTCATGGCCCAAGGGTCAGTATGAATGGCAATAGGAAAAAACATAGGGAATTTGGAGAGTCGTACCTGTTCACGGACTCTCCACACTTTACTTCCCAACCCCACTTCTCTCATGTGTCTTTCAAAGATCATCAAGGGTGTCTCGGGCCCTTTTCCCTCTCTTGACTTATTCATACTCGATCCACTAGAACGGAAAGCCAAACCTCCGAGAATGACCAAAGATTCTCTCGCTTTCTCGCGTGCTTTCTCTCTACTATCACCAAGGCGATCGATAACTCCCCCAGGGGGAACGAAAGCCATGAGAACTTGTCTCAGAGTATGCAAATCGACGGCTGATGAGACAGATACGGAAGAAGTCGAGGCTGCGGGTGAAGTGGACGATGAGGCGGTCAGCGTTGGACGAGTGATCAGGCGGGGGATGAGGGTAGGGAGGGCGGCGAGTGTTGCGGTCGTGAGATGCTGATTCGAAGTACGAAGACATGTCTTGAACACCGTAATGAGTGCATCCGGGTCAAGGATCTATGAACGCGTGGATTGCAGATATTGAGACGTCAGGGACTCCCCATACTGAGCGCGTCACACACTCACCTCACTCCCTGCTTCAAATTCCGCTTGCAGTTTAGTGATCGCGTCGACTTTGACATCAACATCTGAAAGAAGGATAAATGCATTAATGAAGAACCTACTAGACAAGAACATGAAGGAGACGTACCGTTCGATCTGCATTGGTTTACAAGGCGCTCTATGTCGGATACGTCGTCCATCCTTCGTGACGAGGGTATATGATCAAGTCAAGACAAGGGATCTCAATCAGAACGAACGTGATAGCGGCGACGACGTGTATTCTACAGATTCCGCCAGCCTCGATATCTGGTGGGCAAATCTACTAGCATAAGCAGTGATGCTGAAGCAAGGCAGAATGCATCCGCCAACATTGGCCTGCGCCCGTCATACAAAGGGCGCCTATCAATAACGGGCGCTACCTTTACTAGGATCGCGAACGCCAGCTCATTGAATGAACGAATGAATGAGCCCAACTTGAGTTCACGCGGTTAATGGGCATGCCAATAAAAAGGTTCATTGGCATTTATTATTCAAGAAACTATGCGTAACGTATCAAGGCTGGTATAAATTGAAAAGGGGACTAAACGGAGGTATACGTGCGAGAAATGTAGGGTACGGTCGAAAATGAAAGGCTAACTGCAGCGATGGCATTTTTGGGTTCATGCAAAAAGGGAAGCTCTTCTATTAAACAGCGAAAGCAAAAAAAGAGAAACGAAAAATGCAACGGATGAATCGAGAGCTGGAGCGGCGAATGGAAAGGTAGGCAGTAGGGGGTATGAGAGAACTGGCATGCTGGTGACGGACAAACTCGGAGGCACGCGAAAGGCAAAAGACAAAGGGAACTATCAGAAAAAAGGGATACGAGTTGAACGAAGGGTGTGAATCGAGTGGGAGAGACGGTGACTGAGATGGCATGTCCGTAAAAAGAGGAACGAACAGAAAAAGACGATGATCATCCTCCACGCTGAAGATTCTGATCACCAAGTGTTGGTTTCCATAGATAGGACGGGCGGATCCGTGTTGTTGATGAAGGTTTCAGGCGTTTGTGACTGATGCCAGCTCCCAGAGTTCCCAGCAGGTGGCTCCAACTCCCCATAGCCCATTCCCTTCATACCCCTCTTATCACCTATCAGGGACCTAAATCTTCCGTTCCACGAATACACTTTTCGAGCTTCTATCACCGAATAAAGCGAGCGAGTGAGAGTCCAAGTCAAGACAACAAGAAACATAATCGGATCCATCCTTCGACCGTTGTTCGAGGCGTCTACGTTTCTTCAATTCCATCCTGCAACCGAGATACCGAGAGAAAGCCAGCTTAGAACAACCGGCATTCCCCAATTAGAGCTCGCCCGTCTTGGTATAATGCGGGATATGCTCGTTCATCGGAACAAAGCCAAAATCGGGCGAGTCTGGAGGTGAACGGGAGGCAGCATCTGTTAGCGAACCATTCTATGTGAAAATATGGGCTATAGCGAAAAACTGCGCAAGTGCCAAATTCACTCACATCGACTAATATCGGCACCTTCGTGTCCCATCGGTCCGTACCCATCGCCCCCAGGCGTGTTCGCAACCGAGCTGGTTGTCGACAGAGATGACGCAGAAGTCGAAGGGCGGATACTTCGACCAGCCGCTACACCCCCATACATGCCGTGTCCGTGAGAAGACAAGTGCGTCTGTGAGTGACGGACATCATCCGCGGGATGATACGCAAAGTCAGCCTGAGCCGGGTTGAAGCCATAAGTGTCTCCCATATGATCTTCGCCTGGGTGAGGAGACGTGGAGGGCCGATCAGAACCCGCAGAATGCGGTGGGTGATCACCATAAGGTGAGGGATAAGGCGACATAGCATGGCTGTGGCGTCTGTCCCTACGGACCAGCAAGGTACCCGAAGAGGGGTAAGAAGCTTTCGAGGAGTGAGGCCTCGAAGTGGGCGTAAGTGGCCGACCAGCAGACGGATGGTGGCTGGAATTTGGACGCGAATAATCGTGGTGCGCATATTGCGGCGGTGCCGTCTCATCATAAGGCGTCGACAACGAGGACATGGATGAAACAGAATATCCGGTCGCCGGACGGCTGTCTGGAGAGACCTGACCAGACCTCATCTGCATTGACGAGTAAGACGAGCCGTAGCCAGTCATACCCGCTGCAGAGGTGCGAGAGGGTACAGAATATCCGCTCGATGGGTTCAACAAGCTCGACAAGCTGCCATTCGAGTGTCCGCCTGCACCGTTGCTCTGCGAAAATTGCCAGCCATTCTGCTCAGCGTAAGGATATTGATTGGTAGGCGAGGGAAGCATCAACGCGTCGCGGCTGGAGTTCGTGGTAGAATAAGACATGGGACTAAAGGTGGACGAAGGTGGGGTATCATCTGCTGGAGTCAGCGGGTGAAGGGTATGTGGGGAGTGCGAATACATGCTTGTATGCGAAGAAATAGACGGCCCGTCTGGCACGGTGAGTGGGGGTAAAGTAGAGCGAGGATAACTCGCGCCCCAGCCAGGAGCCGTCGATTGCGTCAAAGGCGTGAAAGATCCTGGTGCAGAAAACCCGCGAGCGCGATTCCCCCTGCCAGGAGACGAAGATCCCGAGGGAATGGCAAGGGAAACGGGAGCCATCGAACCAACGGCAGAACGTGGCGCATTCAAGGAGTTGGGATCCAAGGAATCGCGCTTGCGAGGCTTGGGAAGTCGTGGCGGTACACGACGCTTGAAGTTTGCGACAACCTCCGGAGGTGAATGACGGTTAAGCGTGGGGTGCGCTAGTCAAAGCAAACACGGTCAATGAAATATTTGTTGCAACCGCGTAAATCGGACATACACCATGTGCTTGCATCTGGATCGTCGATAGCAGGGTCTACATTCCGAAGGTTCACTTTGCGCATGAAACCGTAGATCTGGAACACCAAGCATTGCTTAGAGGGAAACAAATAGACTGTTCAAAGCAACCGCTTACATTCAGTTGCCGCGAGAAACTGGCAAAGCGCGACTGCCTGTAGACACTTGGAAGGACATGCAAAGCCAACTGCTCAGGACGTTCGACGATGATGTGCTCTCCAGCAGGATCCCAACGAATCATATGGTGATTCTCGGGTCGCTCCAAGAGACTGGACATGAAAGGAAGGTCAAGGAAGAATCAGGCTGAAAATGCGAATGTACTGACGCATAGAGCTTGGTGAGAAAGGTAGCTTGGGGCTTGGCGGGCTGCGAGAGACCATCCTGCTTCGGAGCAGTAGGAGATTCTTGCTTCGGTGAAGGCGCAGTTGGGGACTGCGAATCAGCATCATGTTGACCGTTGGTATGCTCGTCGGAAACAACGGGTTGGGAAGTGACGATCTGTGGTGGATAGGACAGAGAACCGTTTGTCGGGAGATGGTAAGACTGCTGGGGAGCGTCGCGGCGCTGGAACTGAGAGCTGTATGTAGGGTAGAGGTCGGCCATGGTATGTGACCTCGAGGGAGTGAGAGACGGAAGCAGAAGGGAGATGAGAGGGCACGAGGCGTGGAGGGTTCAGGGACAGAGGAAGAGGAAGAGGAGGGATTCTTGTGGATGGAAGAAGAGAGACGGGAGAAGAGTCGCGGACGACGAAGCAGATTGGAGTTCCGAATATAAAGGAAAAGGTTAACGAGCGAAGGAGGAAATAGCCGGGGATGGAAAAGCGGTTTGATGGCCAAGTGCAGAAGGGAGCATACGGTCTCGAACCCAGAAGGGGAGGAGCGAACCCGGGCTGGCACAGGGACGGCGGTGGATTTAATTGAGAGGACCGAGGAGAAGACGTAAGAGGCCGCTGAATACGACCGAGGTTGCCTGAGTGGGCTGAGAGCCTAAGTGGGCTGAGACTCGCGGACGAAAGAGGAGAAGAGCGACGGAAAAGACAAGGCTGGGACGGCGGATATGAGGACTTATCTGCAGGGGAGTTATGTATGTCCCATCCTTTCCAAGCACCGGCTCAAGCTAGATTTTGGCTGCGATTCCCTTTTGGCGCACACCTGGCCAGTGACACTCCAGCCAGCCACGCGTCATTTGATCATCCGTCTTACCACTCCGCCGGGTCGCTGGCACCGCTCTCGGGGTCCTCCCTGCCGTCTGCACTCAACTGCCCTCAACTTGAACTCCTCCCAAGCACTCCAGATGCTGCCTCTGCTTTAGGCTGCACTCACGCCAATTCACCGCACTCGTCTTTCCAGATCGGCCCTCCTCCCCCGCCCGGCTCTGCCGCCCCCAAGACGCCCTCCGTCTTCCATCTGAACATCCTCAAATCTCTGATCGAACCCGTCCATTGAACTCTATTCACCAAACAGCAAAACATGTCGCCACAAACTCCCCGCTACCCTTTCCCTCGGCCTTCGCCACCAACGCGGAGCTCCCCCGGCCCACCCCTCTAGTCTCTCGTGTGAGCTTTTCGCTTTCTTTTGCCTCTTCCTCTCCCGCTCGTTGCCATCTCTCCAGCGTATCAGCTCCATTCACCCTCTGCCGTATGTCTTCCAGACCCCTCCTCGCTTTCCCCTTCATCTCCATCCCCATCATCACCAACATGAAACCCTACTCTGGGAGCTTGTTCGGACTTTGTCTGTTGGCTTCATTTGCTCTCTCGACATGCCCGCATGCCCCCTCTCCTTGTCTCAATACACGGCTTCTCGGCTCCTGCGAATCCCAGATCTCCCCACTGACAAAGCCTTACGGTCCTTACGGCCTGCTTCTTCCCATTGGTCGATCTCGATTCTAGGGTGACACCCTTCTTCTGTGCCCCTTCTCACGGACCCTTACCACTTCTGCCGGTCCATGACTTCGCCTGTCCTCCCATAATTCACCGGTCCAAAGATACGCGCAATTTGCCGCGAATCCATTCTGCCTATTTCTGGCATTATCCTTGCCAAACCTTCACCAATCCCAATATTCTCCCTATCAGGCCATCCTGCCTGCTCTGGGCCTCCGCAGCTCCATACTCGACGGGAGTCTTGTGTTCACAGTTGCCTGACAAGCGTTATTTACGAAACAAATTCTGTCGATCATCACCCAGGCCCGTAGAACTGTATCATCTAGACACTTTTACGCGTCCTTCAGAATTCGAAGCAGATTTACCTCTATCGAAGCGCGTTCTCACCTGCCTTCATCATGTCCTCGGTCTAAACTATATACGGACATTCCCCTCTAGAGCGCGCTGCTCACTCGCATATCTCACAATAGGCTGTCCGCGGGTCCTTTCAACGATAAGCAACCAAGTATGTACCCTGTAACATGTAAGCAGTGGGATTGAGGCTGTCTCCCCGCAATTTCCCCGGCTACTCTTCACCGAATGAAACTCTACTGTCCAGCAGCTGCACCACACGATCTGCTGGCAGGCGACAGCCCACACAGCAGTGATCGTACTAGCAGCACTGCCTGAAATCCAAATCTCATCCCACTGCATGCACATGCCGGGACCCCCAAACTCCAGTGCCCATCTGCTTGCTTCTCTCTTTCCGCCGGCGAGGTAGACGCCTTTAGGCGTCTTGCATATTAACATCATCGCAAAACATGTCCGTCCATTTGCCTTTTCGTAACTGCACGTGTGATACGGTGACAAAGCCCGAGCGTCCCATGGCAGGGACCAAGGGCGCTGCTACTGGTTGGTACCAGTGACCTGACACGACTGACAGCGCGACACTGTATTCGATTAGAATACGCTCGCGGGAGGCATCGTGTGCGTGAACGTTAACCTTGTGTGAAGCGAATAGCAACTGCTGAAAATCACGAATCAATCGTGTAGGGGGATTACAAGTCAGGACCGAGAGACTCGGAATTTTCTCCCCAGATTTTCATTAAGTATGCATGTTCAAGTTCATAAATGCCTTTTTTTGTTATTCGCTTGGAAGAAGAAGGTCCAGGAGGGATTATATGCACCTTCAATTTGTGACGCCTACTATACCTGCATTCATGTTATCAAAAGTGTCACCACCGACGTTGGCCGGCACTCTGAATTCACACAGGGTACAAATACGTATGTACATTCCATACACAGTGTGGGATATCATTCTGGGATGGGGAAAAGTGCGAGCCATCGACGGACTGATGCAAACCCGCCGGCATGGATGCCACAAAACATCTGTTGGCCGTCTCTATTGTTCAACTGTTCAACTGTTCAGCGGAATTGTGTATCATGATTCATGATGATGATCATGGTAGCATGATCTTTTCCCTCAAAGGACTTTCAACATTTCAAAAACACACATCAAGTCCGTTCGCTCGATCCTTTGGTAATCACCGCTTCACATCCTCATGTACAGTGCCTTTTCAATCAAGCAATCTACATTTACAGACTTGAGCGACTCCCTTGAATCGGGGATGTGGCATTGCCTGATAGATAGATGGCTTAGATGCCCGAGTTCACTGCATCAGGCCCTGATGTGCACTGACAGAAATGTTCATCTCTTGACTCTGTCCAGTTTCGTGATGATGCAGCCTGAGACCGCGAGCTATCGTCTTATTATACGGACCGCTCATATGCCTTTCGGATTCATCGTCGGACTAAGTATCTGTGAATAACATATTCAAACACGCGGTCGAGGATCTTTCCCAATGCATTGGCGACTACCTCGAGATTGGAGATATGGTGTGACTACATCATATGGGGCTTTCAGAGCGTCTTCGAGGACCTACCATGTGTATAGACATCTATGTGTATGCACCGTCGGGGTCGGGAGACGTTTGCCAATGCGCACGCATTAAAGTTACACTTACGAGCAATGTACGTGTACGTGTTAACCTCAGCATGACTGCATGATAGCGTGCTACAACTCGGAATAATCGCCGACAAGTACCGTAAGTATCCTCCCATATCCGACGCGTACCGCACCTTGTATTATCCATTACCATTGCTCCGAGTTGCAGCCAGAGCGCACACCGCATACACACATGTGTGTTGTTGCATTCAAACTCAAATACCGGCCATTCCAGATTGCAGTCAAAAACCAAAAGGTCCCGCGTTAGTTTACAACTAAGGGTATGACCAACTCAGTGGAAAGACCCCGGACGACTAGGCTAGTCACTAGTCATGGCACAGCGCCAGCGCTGCATCCCGTCAAAGTTGCTTCCGCGCGAGGCGCGCAGCAGTGCACATGCGGGAATTTTCAACGATCTACGATCGCATACCCCCGAATCTCCTTTCCGTTACCTCCAAGGCCTTACCTTTTTTGACTTAGCACCCTCGGAAGTTGTGTGTGCCAATATTAAAAAACACACTACACCATCTGTCACCGATCGTTATTGACAGGAGTCGCGTATATACTATAGATGCAGCTGGTAGTGGTTTCTACCTTAACATGTTCGAAGCAAGCTGTCGACAGTGACATAGAGGACGACGTCAATAAGAGCCGACAGAAATGGTGACTTGTTATTTTGAAAATTTCTAGATGTAAGGTAAGGTCTATGAGGGTTATGTTAGATAGCTATTCCGGATTCGCCCAGAGGGATCAATAGGGAGAGAGGTATGATGATATAGAGAGGAGAGGAGAGGAGAGAGGGAGAGAGGGGCTCGAAAGCAAGAGGGAAGAGAAACGGCGACGACGAAAAGGAAGGAATGCGGTCAGTAGTAGTTTGAAATATGCGATGACTATGAGGGAGCATGTACTTGAAAGAAACGGAAGATTGCGCTATAATGTTACAATGAAGTTATAAGAAACCCATGAATCAACCAACACAAGATGAAAACCATGATATGAACGTAAGCGGTGGTATGAAACGAAGCAACGCGGAACACGATAATGTCCACTTTCCTCCCAACAAGGTCGTTCCAACGAAGTGGTCAGAACGAGCGAGGAGGATGTGATGAGATGTACGTGCCAGGAGGGGTAACCAGCAAGCAAACAAAAAAATAACCGTACGATGCAAGAAGATCGACAAAATCCGGAATAGCGATTGCATAAACCAGGACGAATGGAGCGATTGAGCGATGGTAGCGAATTGCGAAGCCTTCTGAGAACGGCCTCGCTCGAAGGACGAATTATGCCAAATGAGCGTGCTGAAGAAGGCTCGGAATTGCCACATTGCGTGGTCATCATGCATTCATATCTCCCCATCGTATTGGAGCGTCATGCTCGAGAATGCAGTAAAGAGATCTTCCTGCACTGGTGGTTCCAAGCCATCGTCTGCCCCAGGAGTGCCGGGAAGACCAGAGCCTGCGGCGCCCTTGATTTGGCTATGGTGACCATGGTGATTAGGAAGAGGGGATGAGTAAGGGGAAGGTGATGGGAGTGTTGAATGCTGCTTCTCCAAATGAAGTGAGTTCGATTCGCGCATTTGGCGGAAATTGACAGCGTCGATGCCATTCGAGAGTGTTGGGACGATCTGTAAGAAGCAAATAACGTTCGTGTGAGCATAATGCGCATGGAAGCACCCCGGTATGTCAAAAGGAAGAGAAAAAAGATGTTATGATGCATATGGAGATAGAGTGCATAGTAAGAGCCGCGTCAAAAGGACGGAGGTACGGAGCAAATATTTGGCCACATTGGTCAAATAGAATGATTAGGAAGAGAATATAGTCATTCAACAGAAGGTATTATAGAAGACTGGAAAGGGCGTGGGTGAGCCGGCCATAGCACTATCGTAAGCCAAACCGAGCAGAAAGTGTCGAACTTTCGAACTCAGAAGGGGAGGCAGGTCATAGAGAATGATCGCTCGATATATACTATGCGCCTGTGCATTGACCAGCTCGATCATTCCGCCAAAGCAGAGTATAGCGATCAGAATCATCATCGTGAATGATGATGCCACCGTCCCGCTATCAGGACCAACCAGGGTTGTGTGGCAAGAGACAGCTGTGGAGACAAGTCCCGCGAAGGGACTCAGGCCTGAGTGCACGAGCGCGCACATGTGATTATTCACAACAAAATCTCCCGCGAAGGTCGCGGCGTGGTTGACGTCGAGGAGAATTTGCAAAGAATCACCAGACAGGGAAGAGAAACTGACCGGTGGTTGAGTGTTTCGAAGAAGACCCCAATTGATCTTCGAGAACCACTTGTGCTGCTTTACTTCAGAAGCACCACTTTTGCTTCCTAATCTCTTCATCTCATCTTTGTCAAGGAGACGAAGAACAACATCTTTACATGCCCTATACCCCGCATTAATTACTAACCACAATTCTTGGAATGAGATGTAAAACATACTGCGAAACTTTCGGTGTATCCCGGAAATGCACGGGAACATTGAGAATATTGTTGAAGGTATCATTTCGCTCATGGCCCTTGAAAGGTGTAGTCGCAAACTGAAAAGGATGACTATCAGAATTCTGCTCAAACCACCAGTAGCTGGGAAAGTGAAAGCAGAATATGAATTCGTCTCACAAGGTGTCTTTGCACGGAATATGACAACAAGAATGAACAAACGTACTATCATCTCGTAGATCAGAATCCCAAGTGTCCACCAATCAACTGCCGATGTGTGGCCAGAAGTTTGGATAACTTCTGGTGCGATATATTCTACAGTTCATGAATATCAGCCGATGTACTTTCACAGGCAAAGACACACTAACCTTCAGTGCCAACGAAAGAGTTTGTGCGGAAATCGGCGGTGCAAGACCGGGTATCGATTAAGGGTATCTGAGCAGAACACGGTTGTCCATCATTAAAGGACGAGGAGGATAAGCCTAAACTTAACATACACCGTTCTCTTCTTGGTGGATCATGGCGGGCCTGCCGCCCGGTTCGTTGGACTGCTTAGCCAGATCGAAATCCGACAACATTATATGTCCCGATTGATGAAGCAAGATATCTGTTTCCATGGCGATTAGTTGAGTGGTCCAACCAGGACTGGAGGCATTACACATACTCTCTGGCTTTAGGTCTCGATAGATGAAACCCATTAGATGTAGATACTCCAACGCCGCAGTAACCTCCGCTGCGTAGAAGCGTGCTGCATCCTCGGATAGACATTTCCCAGGCCTGGACTGCAGGGCACGGAAAAACTCGCCACCCATACAGTATTCCATGCAGAAATAGAGGTATTGGTCTGACTGAAATGAATGGTATAATGTCACAATGAATGGGTGGTTTGCCGTTGCGAGAATCTCCTGCTCTGTAAGTGCACGTTTGATCTTCTTGCGTTCAATCATCTCCTTCTTGGACAAGACTGGAATGTACTCTTAGACACCCTTGTGACAAGTACAACGCATACCGAAACACGTACCTTTCATAGCGAACAACTTATCAGTCTTCTTTTCTCGCACGAGATATACTTTGCCAACATCTCCACGGCCAAGCATTTTGATCTTGACGAAGCTGTTAGGTCCAACTTCCACCTAGAATGAAAGGTGTCACGTCATGAGAAGCTGTCCAATCAACCCCATGCTTAAATGCCTTACCTCTTTGACCTTGATGGAATGACTAGAATAAGTGCGTCGGAACGCAACCTTACCGGGGCCATCAGTAGATGTATGCGCATTAGTTATCCTGTCCTTCGTCTTCACTCCAGAGGTTGTGCTATTTGCGCGACCTTGGCGTATTGGACGTCCTCGCGATGCTGTCGAAGACGCCGACTCCAAAGAGTCCGCACCTTGATCCGACTGTGTAATGGTATGTATCGCTTCACCAGGTGCCAGTAACCCATTCTTCGTTGTGGTTGACGTTGATCGCGAGCCAAGGGAGAAAAGTCCCTTCGCATTCGGTGCAGAGGCAACGCGACGAATAAACCGAGACGCGTTTGCACCTATAGATTTCGGAGAGAGAGGCCCTGAACGTGATGCACTCGGTGGAGTGTTGGGCAGGAAGGACGACTGAGACGGATGAGCTGTGAGTGGTACTTTGTGGTTTGAACGACCAAGTATGCGCTGCTTATCCGACTTCGACTTCGAACGAGTCCTGCCATTGCCATCCTGATGTTCCTCAGCCCCGTTCTCTCCTGGGTGGGGCGTAAAGTAAGAGGGTGTGCTTGGTGAGTGGGGAAGCGCCGAATGTGCGCCGGTATTGTAATCACTGGACAGAGTATTTGCAGAGTTATAGGACGAGCGCTGGTCTGTGGAAGCGAAAGAGGCTGGTGTAAGCGAAGGATTGGGAGTCAAAGGAGTGAGGGTAGCCGATGTAGCTTCCGACTGTAACGAGCCAGTGTCAAGCTTTAAATCCGAAATACTCGTGAGTTTCTTCGAGGATTGGTTTCCCAACCGAAGGAAAGCCTTCCACCCAGGTGTGCTAGGCCCTGAAGGAGGTGCAACGTATGTCGCCGAAAGCTGCTGATGCGCTGAGGTGGGACTGCTGCTTGTACCATTGGTGCGGTTGGATGAGGCAGGCATGCTTGGTATGTAGTCAGTGATTAAGGATCAGCCAAGCCGAGAAACTTAGAGCCAAGTCGAGAACGAAAATACTTTTTGAAAGAGAAAGTATAGATCCAGTCCAAAGTGTACTGGATAGCGGTGAGAGCCCGCAGAGATGTTTTCCAGCGAGCGGATGTAATTACAACGACAAAGCTTGTTTACCTTTCCTGATAAGGCAATAATAATTATATCAGCAAAGCCCTGTACTAGACTCTTGCCGTATATGGATTGTCTCTCTCAGCCTGCAACATGTTCCCGAGATAGAAATGAACTCCCCAGGGCCATCTACTTGGAGCGTACTTTTAGGATGCATGTGGCATAGATATCGCCAGTATCTTAAAGTGTTGTACGCTTCAATGAGCCTTATGTACTTTACATAGACTGCAATATTCCCTGATTCATGTGAGGCATTCAATTTGTATCTTCAACTCAACTTGACACGCAATCCACTCCACGTTAGTGAAATTTCGAGCCCATAAGGCCGACGGTCCCAACATCAATAGAAAGAGACCGCGCGGAAATGGCATCCTCCGTGTGGTACTCAATAATTTCTTTTCTGACACATCTCCCTCCATGAGAGATTTGAGTGAAGCTCTACCCAACTTGGGCTAACTAGACTACGCCACTTCATCTCCGTCAAGAGCTAAACCATGATGTCCGTGAGTAAATCACGATAAAACCAGCTGTTACGCGTCCTAATCATGATCACGAATAAACAACTAGCCCAATCAGTACTTTCAGAGAACCTTCGGAGAAGTTCTGCAACAGACAATTTCCGTAAGGCTGGAATAAATTGCAAGATTGAAACTTGCAAGTGTATTAATGCACTATAATGAAATAACGATGACCTTCTCTCAATCAGAACATTGAATGAGTATATATAAAAAGAAGAATACCAGACGGAGTACCTGCTTCCTCCCCGAGCGGAGGTTGTTTGTGGGTAACTATGCATTGCTGAACACCAGACTAACGGTGTTCTCGTTTTGAAGTACATATATGTGCCGTTAAGGGTTCTGACACCGTGAGGATGCCGCGCTAGGATAAAGAATTCCTCGGAACAGCGAGATCATTGACCGCCTTCGTCCGCGATTCCGTGGACTCCTTGATAATATATACAATGTGGCGCTATTGACAAGCATGTCGTGTTTGAAATGGATGGTCAGAGAAGATCGGATAGAGCACTTATGTAGCACTTTCATTGCTAAATTGTTGGGCGGAGACTGTCTCGTTTCCGCGACCACCACGATATCAGGGGACTACGTCCGGGGCGTTTCGAGCTAGGCGTTCGGGATTGGCAGAGGACTCGGAGCGCGGCTGGAGGCAATAAAAGGCTCGTCAGTTGCAAGCGAAGGTTTTCCGCAGTGGGGAGATCTTCGCGATGGCCTAGACATGCAGCACATACGATCGAAATGACGTGCACTTTCAGGATACCATCAACTTCAGCTGATGGACTAGGTGGATTATCATCCTGAGAGAGATAAAGTGCGAGATCCAGACGCTTGGGCGAATCGGGGTTGTTGTGGAGCATCACTGTATTCCTTCAGGATAGTTCAAAACAGTGGAACGTAGCCCCAGCAGCGGAAGTCGGCTTGGCCAATTTGCTCACTTGCACGAACAGAGCAGAAATGCCATTTCTATCTTGAAGGTCTTGAGGGCGCGAAGCGAGAGTATGAAATGCGGATCGCTCACAGGGAAAGGATCTGAATAGTAGGTGCTTGAATAGTCGAAGCTTAGCTTCTTTTGCGATATATACTGGTCATCGTCAGACGTTTTCATAACGTACCGTGACGATGCGACGGCTAAACCACAGAGTAAGTAACATAATCTGTGATTACTAGAGTGGCCCCATTCACCTCCGAATCTAAGCGACAAATCGCAAACTAGGGAGTTTTGAAACCAATGGAGAGAGAGGATGGGGATGAGAAGGAATCCAAGATCTTCCTACCAGGCTGAGACTAGAAATCTAATCGGAGATGCAACACCATGCCTCGGATCCTTCCCTGGCGAAATTGTCCAAGGGCCCGGGGACGTAGATGATCCTATGCGCTGACTCTTGGAGAAGCTTTGAATGCAGGAAGTGGAAGCAGACCTCGCTGCAGAGATAAGTGCTGGGCGTGAACGAGCAAGCACCTCCACATGACGAACCAAATAGGAGATTGCAGGAGATCCTCTCTCACAACTCGCTTCTCCGGTTCAATGCACAGTGCCTGCCTCCGATATGGCTCGGGGTTTTGGTAAGAGGTGATCGGCTGCCTCATTGGTTATCGAGGACTTATCAACACCACACCCCACCCAGATGCGACCGGATCTCTGTCAGTGGTGTACGCTATGGTACACGTATGTTGTTACGTGCAAAGTCCACAACTACTGCGTAATATGCAACGCACAACTATCAAAAAATTAGTTTATGGTTCCGAGTAGTGATTAAAGATAGTACGCACTGGTAGATTGCGGCTTGTTGAGTGGGATTGCGAGAATTGGACAAGAGATTACTCAGGGCCGCGCTCAATATAGCACCTAGGCAGGATTGTCCGATAGCGGAGGTGTGCTGCGGGATCTAGGGAACCAGGGATGTTTCATTCAGAATGAAAGTGTGGGTAGAATGCGGACGTTTCGATCCTGCTAAACGCTGCAGAAACGAAGCCTGCAGCAAGGAACATGAAGCCGCTTCGGCACGTGATGATTGTCCAACGATTATCGGTACCGTCAAGACCTTCGGTGGACAAAAACGAAAGCCACTTTCTCTGGGGGTTGTGAAAGAATAGTTGCGTCTCACACAAGGAGTATCTGAATCAAAATGAATTGACACATGCCGAGATATGTTTCAATCCTTGAGCTAAAAAATGTTCAGTCAGAAAGCAATCACAATGAATAAAAAGAATTTGACTGAACCCCGTTCTCTGGTGTATGCAAGACGTCGGGATGTGAAATTTCTACAAGAAACTCGAAAGCGCCAAGACGTGAGAACGGATGGCCTGGCGCTCGCGGTATGAACATCGTTGAGAAGCAATTGCCTGCTGACCAGCCGATACTCCGAGAAGTACTCGTATGTAGATCTCGCGGTTCATAAGTGTGTATTCTCATTGCAAATACAACGTTGCGTCTGGTTTGAGATTGTTCTGACGTTGTGCGTGTTGAACTCGTGTAGGAGGACATGTTACGTGCACTATACAAATGATTTAACGGCGTTAATAATGCATGAAGTCTCAGAGAAATAGGAGCAGCACACCCAACATTGGCCGTGAAAAACCCCGACAGGAAACGACGTGATCGGAATTAGAACATTCGAGTCCCTCTGATATGAGTACCAAGGGTCAACTGGCGCTGTTAAGACGCAATGGCCGAGACTTGCTGTTTCAGCCTTTGCAAGTCAAAGCGTATCGCACAGCTGGCTTCAACCTCGGATTCAAGAGAATTGCATCAAGGTGGCTTGTAATCTGGAACACAACTTTAGTCACCGAGTCGATTTCATGCACAGCATCGCAGGAAGACGCTTTGGGGAGCAATCAGTTCAAAACTTCACGAAAGCGGGGCGGGAAACTGGCGGAATGCAGTACGATTCTTGCTCAGCAGATCATGAGCAGGAGGAGCTTTACACGCACAAAATTTCTATCAGATGAATTTGTCACAGACTTCTGCACCTGAGCGTCGAGATTACGGGATGCTATATCGAATGTGTTAAGCATGCCATGACGCTCGCTGCGTCGCTATTCTAGGTCCATAGGCAGGATAATGTGCCACGACGTCAGCGGATCAGACATAATGCAGACCTGCCATTGACCCCGACCTGATTACTCGGAGAGACTCTGAGGAAATTCGGAAATAGAATACTTAGTATATATGACCACACCTCTGCAGGAATGCGCCCATTGAAGAAGTGTCCATGAGAAAACAATGAGACATAAGAGCTCGACTTGGACTATGCGTCTCGGTTGGACGAACCACGAAAGTTGCTATCTTGCTGCTATCAATCGGGTCGATTGAAAGAAGCCCGTATTCGATCACAAGTTCAAATCACAGTGCCGTCTCGTGTACCTGCCCACGGGAATTTTCCCCGGTCTGGTCGGAACCTCCCGTCTGACCCATCATCGCAACGCAAGCAAAGCGCTCAGGTCATTGGTCGTGCCGACGTGCTATACATGAAGCAGTACGCACAAACGTTTGAGTTGTACTTTCTCCACGCTGAGCAGGAGCTGTCTCGCAACCCCCTTGAGATAGCTTAACATTAATCCGACTGATGCAATGCCGGAAAGAAATTTCCACGGCCGAAGGAAACGGAAGATGACCCATGCACGCACCGACCTCGTCCGATCAACCCAGATTGCCATTCCAATTACCCTGTGCATGCAGGCGTATATCAGTAACTGAACCTCCCAAAATCATATCCCATGCTGTCTTGATTCTGGTGAGTAAATGTCTTTCAGCTTCTTTTGCGAAGGTTCACGGCTTCGGCCTGTGGGTCTGTCTGTTCGATTTCTTACCACTCTGCCCGGCTCATCCGGATGCTTCCTTTCGCAGGACCTCTTAATTTCGAGAGGAGATATAACCCGGATACTGGCTAAGCATATTTCATTCCCATTGGAAGTTGCTCATCTACCCAGTGCTCCCAATGACCCCATCTCGTCGACACCCTTCTGAATCTAGTCCCCTTCTCGGACGGTCAACAGATTCACTTGGATCGTACAGTTCTGTCGATGATGTGGACCCGACTCCAGTGACCCCTGTAACACCACTCAACAAGGTGTCACGAACCGATCTCATCTGGGTACTCGCGGGACTATATAGCGCAGTATTCTTGGGGGCACTCGATGGTACCTACTGATTTGATCCCTACATGTTGCAAGTAATCATTAGACGTGGGTCTTGTAGGAACCATCGTCGCCACGCTCCTCTCCCCGATCGGGAGCTATTTCAACGAATCAAACCGTGCTTCGTACATTGGCACTTCTTACCTTCTCTCGGTATGTTGCTTTACGCCGCTATACGGTACGTCTCTGACCCATAGAAGACCCTGAATATTACTGATCGATATCGGTAGGCCGTCTTTCCGATATCCTTGGCAGAAAAGGCGCCATGTTATTGGCGCTTTCGTTGTTTGGTACGTGTTTGAGTTCCGTCAAATTACTTGGAAATACTGAGGATGTTTGCAGGATCGGGAACGTTACTTTGTGGATTGGCACCCTCAATGGATGCTCTCATTGCCGCGCGAGCAGTAGCTGGCATGGGAGGTGGTGGGTGGGTGATCTTCATTTGAACCATTTCGTATCAGACTTCTCATGGGATTCAACAGCGTTATGACAGGTATAATACATATGGTCAGTTTGTCCACGTATGACGTCATTGATGAATTCTCCCCGGTTCTTGCAGTATCCAGTATTGCTGTAACGGATCTCATTCCTTTGTGAGTATGATATTTTCGTTTAAGTTTGAATTCAAAGTTGACGCCAATAATCCAGGCGGCAGAGAGGCCTCTATCAGGGCATGACGAACATGTTGGTTTGCTCATGTGGTCGAATCTTAATTGCCTTGCTCACGGATTTGTGACAGCTTGTTTGGCCTTGGCGCTGGTTTGGGCGGTCCCCTTGGCGGTTGGATGAACGATACCTGGGGCTGGTATGCATTTGCATTAAATGGGTTGCGCCTTACTCACGATGCACCAGGAGATCCGCGTTTCTTCTCCAGGTGAGCATTCTTTCATGAAATTGGTTTCATTAGAGCGGCGGAACCGATAATAACTTGACCGGACCCTTCCGGCGTTCTGATAGATGCCCATTCTGGTATTCTCTTTCCTCCTTGTTATCGCAAAAGTTTCCATCAGGCTCCCAGATGAAGTGCAGAATCAGCCCATCCGAATAAAATTACAGCGACTTGACTTCCTGGGCTCGATCACGTTGGTCAGCACGGTCGGCTGTCTCCTTCTCGGTCTTAGTCTCAAGTCCACCGAGGAGCTTCCATGGACTCACCCACTTGTATGGGGTTTATTAGTTGCGAGCATTGTATGGGCTGTCCTGTTCGTTCTTGTAGAGGCTCGTTGGGCACCATTCCCTGTAATGCCGATTCGATTGGTTACGCAACGGACTCCTCTTGCTGTCTCACTTTCTAACTTGTTTGGAAGCGCCGCCGCATTTTCCATGGTCCGTGTTTCTTGCTTTCCAAATCCATCTACGCACGTCTGTTGATGACATCGATTTATAGATATATAATGTCCCATTAGTGAGTCTGCCTATTGATCCTATGTTACGGAGGGTTAACCGCCGTGTAGTACTTCTCAGCTGTTCGATTGGACAATTCTACTGACGCAGGTGCGTAACGCGCGCCGATTCCAGGCGACGTATTTGGAAGTGTATGTCTAATGTTTGGACCTGTAGGGCTCCATTTATTACCCCATTCGGTACGTTTCTGCGCGAGTTTTGCATGAGGCATTAGAATTCATGCCTTTTTTTAGTTTGCGATATCAACAGGAAGCGTGTTTGCCGGCTGGTATGCTTCAGGTGTTCTATTTGGAAAAGACTTTTCACATATATTAACCTAAGGATCATGCGGAAAACGGGCAAACTATATACCTTGACCCTTGTGTCCTCCGGATTGACGGTTTTCGCCACCGTCATGATCGCTCTATGGGACGAGAATACCTCTGGATTTCATTTATGGTTTGACATCTTCCCTCAGGGCTTAGGCATGGCGAGTGTCATTACTACAACTTTAATTGTGAGTTTCCAGTAACTGTCTAACGTATAATTTGGCTCACCTTGTTGTGAAGGCTATGATAGCCAATGTTGTTAAGGAAGACTTTGCTGTAGCCACAGGGAGTGAGTTGACAAGCGCGATAGCAGTTTGCACGTGCTGATATATATTTAGTCACATATCTTTTCAGGACGACCGGGCAAGTTCTTGGTGTCAGTCTGAGCGGTGCACTATTGCAAGCCATACTTACATCCAAGCTAAAAGAACGCATTCATGGCCCGGACGCGGAATCTGTGAGAATTCATACCTTCTTCCATATGTACTTCTTAATAACCCAATTTGTTCGAACCTCCAGATCATCGAGAGTATACGGTTAGTCGATGCACTGTGCACGGAAATACATCTGACGGTCAACGTGTGTACAGACATTCCACAAGCATTATACCCGAGCTTAGCGAAGCCCATCGCAGGGCAGCTGTGACTTCTTATTCCGATGCTTTACGCGTCGTTTTCATCTGTCAAGCAGCTCTTAACATCATTTGCTTCATTTGTTGTTTGCCGATACAAGAAAACGTACTACCGTGAGTCAACTGACTATCACAGAAGGCAGACGAATACTGACGTCATTTTGTCGTAGTGGGACTCACGAGGAACAGGAGGAACAGTACAGAAAACGACAGAACTCGATCCGCCAGCCTAATCTGGACGATCGAGAAGCATCCTGACTACAATGTATCATTAGCACCAATAATCCCACTAGTTGTAGTGTATCTAACCATAGTGAAGTGACAGGGACCTCGTGTGTCATAATAACACGAACCGTCAAATGTATAAGCTTTCATCAATAATAGTCATGCAACTGAACCAAACTGCCGGTCTGAACTCGTTCAGAATGTCCATAGATTCATACAAGGACTCACGCCGAACAACACCTCAGAAGGCGTCGGCGATTCTGACCTTTGCGATGACACTCCAGGTCGGAGGTTGATGCTGTGATCAGATATGTCAATCCTCAGATGTAAGATTGAATTAGACGGTTTCTTTGAGAAGGGTAGATAGGTCCATTATGAATGTGGTAGAATTGGTTTCTTCTCCTCAATCCATTTTCTTGGCCTCTTTTCCACAACCATTTGTTGACCTCCTTTCATCCTCTTGTCCATTTCTCCATCAGCGAAACGGCCTCGGGTTGGATGTGCAGGACATGGCAAGATATCAGAGGCGGAGACCGTAAGCACGGACGCAAATGCAGTGAGGCCGAAAAGATATGAGATGAATGCTCGCCGTTGGCGAGGGGTAAAGTGAAGTGCTCGAGATGTGCGCATGTCACTGATACAAGTCAGGAGTCAGTTTCAGAGGGTATCGTGGCATCGAGAGTATTGTAACGATACACACCTGGCTCACGGATCCATTACTCCCCTTCCGGTACTATCGTTGGGTACAATTCGCGACGTAAGCTCTTAGGCTCACAAGTCGTCGTCGAAGGTTAAGAACGTTTAGGTTTGGTCCGGGCTTTAAGCTAACTTTCGCTCTGGGTCGTCCTATTGGGTGATCTGGCGTCTATCTCAGTACTGGGCTTTCCTCGACCGTGACCACCATGTCTCCCAACATTCGAGTTCTCCGTGATATCAAGGCTCGGCATGGCGTGAACGCTAACGAAATCGCTCGAAGAGCATACCTCTATGTTGCTCGCAATGCAAGCTTACCCGCCTCTGTGCGCTACCAAGCCCAGCTGCAGCTCAACACTTTCGGAAGGTACACTCGACCTACTACGGTGAAGAACCGTTGTGCAGAGTCAGGAAAGGGTCGTGGTATCATGAGCGAATTTGCTCTATCGAGAGTGTGTAGTATCTTTCCACATGGCACTTGACCTTCTGAACTTTGTCTCTTTAGTTCCAATTCCGACTTAAAGCTCGCGCAGGGGAGCTGCCTGGTGTTCATAAAGCGTCCTGGTAATCTTTGCGCATTATTACACAGCTGTACGTTTTTCTATTCAAACATTATGATACTGGAGACACTGAATGACCTTAAACAGCCAACCTATACATTCTACAATACATACACGATAACATGCGACGACTAGAGTCAAAGCAAATATAAAACATCAGAAGATCCAAAACGAGGTATCTTGAAATTAAGTAGGGAGGTTCGGCTCTGCAGATGCGTATTCCGTCACAGACAGCTCCGGTTCACCCCGTTCTTTTCGCCAACGGTTGATGAAGCTCAGAGTCTGCTTATCCACCAAGAATCTATGTGACATTAAAGTTTGAGTCCCGGAACAACGCCTTCATTATGAGACTATGAGACCACATACTGGTATGTCTGTAGCCAACTTGTTTTAATTTCCCAGTTAGCATGAGCCAAAACATCGTCACCATGGATGATGACCGCTGTTCGGTAGTCGTGCAAGCAGTCGACGAGATTAAAACGACCTAGAGGTTGTCAAGCGATGTATTAGGGGGTTCAAGGACGAACATACCACGCAGTAGAATCATTCGATCACGAAGCTCTGGATGTAGGATGCCATCAATTACACTCTCTGCACGCCAGAGTAAGCCGAGTTAATAACACATGTCTGGTCAACAAACATACCATGAGGGATGGTCCTGAAGAACTTAAGGTATGAACTTGCTATGTATCAAACGTTACATAGAAGACCTTACCTTTGAACCAGGGTCGGTCGAAGCGACGAGGGCAGGCAGTACTGACTATTACGTTTGTAGTTTTCGAGGTGGTAACTACCAGGTAAAAGCTTCAGTGAGATTCAGATACGGTCATCCCGCTAACGTACTGAATTAGTTTCATAGCTTCCTCGGTTTTGGGATTGACTTCTATTTCATTCGCAGACTTGTCTTGTGGCGAGGTCGGACCACCGTTTGAGACAGAAGCGTTAGTATTTATAGCCAAAGGCAAAGACGACACAGGTGATTCAACGATGTTCATAGGCGAACTCATCGGTGGTATATATGTCGATGTATATGTGCCCTGTGCGCTGACGCTTGTTGCCGTTGGAGCAGGATATTGGCCAGAAGGGTTCGCAGGCGAAGTGGGAGGGACAAACATAGGAGACCCAGATGTACCACGTAGCAATTCATTCAGAAGACTGCCCTGAGAAGAACCATTCTGCGGATAGAGGCCACCAGCGGGAACAGGAGGGACGGCTGGATTCATAGGCACAAGCAAAGAATACCCTTCGCGTTCATCATCTGCACCGGGAGGCCGAGGTCGTTTCGCACGCGAGCCATTGACATCGTCTTCAGCAGAACGTTTCGAAGGACCTGCTGCTTGCGCATGCGATTGATCTCTTTTGTGCCGCTGATAGCTCTCCCAAGCTGTGTCCGTCTCCGAACGGTTTATAAAGTTGTTGAAATCGTTCAGATCCCAGCCCATTTTGGGTAGCACACCGCCGGCTCCGTCGCCAATGAAACCGCTGAGATTACGCAGTAGACCTCGGAGAACCTGATTCTCCTGCATAAGGTCTCACAGACACCGGGTGTCAGTACGGTCCTATGGCAAGAGCATCGATGGTACCTTTCATGATTTTGCGCATCTGTGTGAGGGCTTCATCCTTGCCTCCAGATAAGATTTCGACACTAGCTTCAAGGTCACGAATCTAACTCCTAATTAGCTACATTCACCGAGCGGCGCGAAGGACGTACTCGTTGCTGCTTGCGCAGACGAAATTCCCGTTGCGCTATACGATTCTGGTCCCGTCTAGCTGCTTGTGAGCTTACACGATACATTCAGCCTTTGGCGTAAGCAGTATGACACCATCAACTTAGCATACTTGGGGTTTTTCTTGCGGCCAGGCTTCCCTGACGCAGCGTTCTGGTCGCTGCCGTCCTGACCATTGTCAAAAGGAGATCCTATGTCTGAGTCCTGTAGAGATGATAGCGGGGAATGAATGTCAGCATAAAGGACAAAGTCTATTAGTCATTTGCTGAGCATAATAACATACCTCGAGTTCACCAGACACGCTCCTTTCTCGTTGATTGCCTGGCATATGGCACAATATATAAATTCTGTCGACAACTGATAGGGACAAATGGATAATAAAGACAAATGAAGTCTAGGGATGTTCAGAGACGAAGCTTGGAAGAGGCAAGAAGACTGTTTACGCCAACTTGGTGACCAATCCGTTCAGTTGTCAATGCCGTTGACCCGCAATCTCCGACCCGCCTTGCCGTCTCGGCACGATTACTCCCGTCAACTACACGTGGTCTCCAGATCGGGCTTTGCCGGGGATCGGGCACCACCTCGATCATTGCTTCTGCCAGAGTGATCTTGCCACTTGAACTTTGCCCCAGGGGCCAGGAATTCCGGACATCTACATGTTGAGATTTCAGGCGTAGCCGACCTCTCGCGCTTGTTCTTCTTAACCGTTCCCTTCTTCCATCACAGCTTTCTTACCGCGACTCTGTGCATATGACCTCGACCTGTGTGAGTTTTCTTCACAGATTACGCTGGCTATCAATCATTGGCGAGTCCTGTGCCTATGTTCTCTTTCGAAGCTGTGGAACCCGCTCGCGAAGTCGAAACCTTCTATCTTGTAGGTCGCTGAGCAGACGCGTTATGTTATGGTGTCACAAGCTTATCGTGACGCGTCGGTCCAAGTTCGTCAAGTACTGTGAACGTGAAATATCTAGCGAGTTTAATCACCAAAATCCACCGGCAGAAGTCGAAAATCCATGCGAATTCGCTGTTGTTGATCTCCGAGCTCCGACCCTGTGAAGATGTGCTTCTTCTGTATAAGAACCTCAAAATGTCCTAGTGCAAGTCAGTTTCCACCCCAGGGTACTTAGAACGTCAGACGTGTTCCTTCCATCATTTATGTGTCTATCCGACGCATGTGTGTGTGGTTCAAAAATTCCTATTATTGCTTGCAGCTCTCTGAGCGGTTATTCTACGTATTAACCATTCTATATAGGTCTTATATCCGCGCCAACCGATTCTCGGTGGTGCACACATTCATCTCCGAGTCTAGTATCACCGTGCCTTTCTCAAGGGTTGTCATCGAACGGTATGTGTATCGTTCTGCTCTCGCTAAATGTGCTATACTACTGAAGTGACATTTTTTTCTTGCGTATTTGGATGTTGAACAGTACATGAAGTGCGGCCTGTGTACACCGGATCAGCCTCGCAGTTACTTATTGGTTTAACGTGGAGGTCGGATGCTGAATTCGTGCTGGCGCATGCCATAACGTCGTCATGCGTTTCCCTGGACATTTCAGCGTGATCATTGTAATGCATCCCGGATATCGGCAGCATAAGCAAGACTTGAACTAGGATTTAGGCTCCGAAGGTCTTGAGGATCGATAAGCTCGTGCTCTGATGTAACTGCAGTCGCTTCAGAGGCGCTATCTCGTCTTGGTGTTGCCTGTACCATTCAAAGCACGGCTTGTCGATTACCCACCATTGTTCTCATGTCCGTGCGATTTGCCGTCATGGTATGTCCCTTACTCGTCGTAGGATGCCCACGCAGCATTAACGTTTCAGTAGCTCTTCCTCATTGTTCTGTATCTTAATCTCATCACCGGTCCACATACTGAGGACCGACCACGCGAGTTAGGCTTAGACTTGCCTGTAATCAGATTAAAGAAGAGGAAGATCGGAAGGTCTGCGGTCGTATTGCCTCATATCGAATCCCTTAACTTCCGGAAGCGGCTCATTGTCCTTAGATTTAGTCATCTGTTGCGGTGCCCCTTTACCACTCACCGGAGGCTAACCGGCGTGTCCTGAATGATATATTTATTGACTGGACTAAATGCTTCCCCAGTTCCTTTTCATCTTTCATTCATCCGATCATGGCTGGCGACCTACTCCTGCACTTGCACTATTCCGACAATAATAACTATGATATGCGAACGTTCCGCCTGAACAAAATAGACGAAGATGGTGCCAATGAGGTGGAGTTCTACAAGGTATCCACTAGATCTTATTGCAGGCTCGCCGAGCATATTACCGACCGTTGAGAAGTTTTTCCACCCGCTACCTGACTCCTTTGCGAGCGAAACGACCTACGAGCGGATGAACCTAGTGACGGGTCAGTGGGAGAAGGCAGGGCACATCGAGTGGAATGGCAGGAACAACGCCAACGTGTATTTTGGCGGCATGAACCCTAAAGTGAGGGACATTATTACGGTTCATCTGTATCATTGTCTAATCGGCGTTATACTCAGGTGAACATCCGAGAACTACGGAGAGTGAAGAAGAGCAACAGCCAGTATGTATTATTCACCGCTATCCACCGTGGTATGAACAAAGCATGTTCATGTTGATAGGTCACGACGTTTCAAAGCTGGTGATACTGAGTACAAGTGGAAGATTTCGCCGGAGGACGCTGGCTTGTTTGTGAGTAGTTTGGTACAGGCATGGTGCCTGCAGACGGTGGCTCATTTACTATATAGTGCGAGACGAAGCGTGGCAAGGTCGTGGCAACGTGGACCCACGATACACGAATACTCACCGTAGGAGACCGTGTCCACGAACACTTGGATCGTGTCGTGGTGACATTCTTGTTGAACCTATGGATGTGGCAGAACAAGTGGTGGTAGATCCGAAAATGCTGTCTTACATGTGCCCCGTATGCTTGCTATCGCCTAACGTTGTACTTATCGTTCCATCGCTTTCGTGTACGTTGATATTAGCAATCTATTCGTCATTCAAATCCCGATGCTATACAGATATGACACTGGTCGTACTAAGATGGGGGGGTCGTGCCGAGCTAGTAGATGAATGAAAGTCTCAATGTCGGCGGGGCATGCAGAATAGTCTCCGAAGGAGTCCCACAGCGGCAAGATATGATAGCGGCTGGCTCGGCGGACGTTGTCAAGGACTGTGCACGTAAATGCGAACGTGGCTAGTGTCACCACTGATTCGGTATGTGTCTTCCTCAAAGATCACCGAGCTTCAAATTGTACCACTAGGAACAAATCAGAATCAGAGAGAAAGGGACAAAAACGTAAACGACGCACTTCTCTTCGTCCTCTTTTTGTACATTATACGGTGACCACATTCTCTACAACGAATCGGTTCTCGAGACCTAATCTCGTTTTTTGCTCCGCAGTCTACACCGTACCGCGTGAGTAAGCTTTCCGATTAAAGCATGCAAAAGGCTCACCAGCACAGAGATACTCCATCTCTTGTCGAACAGGTGGCGCAAAGTGCTGGGTTCCTGCAGGATTACTCGGGTTATTCGTACCAGGCGCGGAGTTCATGATGGCAAGAAGGAAAGTCAGTGTGTATGTGTGTTTGGCGCCGGTGGCTGCTTCATGCGTCGATCCTCTTTTAATTTCTCTTCTATTTCCTGAAAGCAATTTCGATCGAGCATTTGTTCATGCCCTCTCTTCAATTTGCATCGTAGCTCTGGGAGGAAAATGTTCTCGTTTGGGTTTTTCGTTCGCTTCAACGGTATATTCGGTCATAACGGCCGAGCGGTCAAGGCAACAGTTACGACGCAGTGGATCCCCGTGGATGTTTCATATGTCCTCATGCGATACGATGCAAATTGGAACAATATCTGAGATTGTTCTTGTTCGCTGGAGTGTTTGGGATGCATGTGAATGTCGAGTTCTCAGCCTGTAGCTAAGGCGGTCAGAAACCTTGTGAGACTCCATACGTTGAGCTGTCAAGGTGGTGAAACGAAGATGTCGAGTATAGTCGAACAGTCAAGGACGGGACAGGCGAACAGTCTCTAGACAGCCAAGAGGCCCATTGAATGATTGGAAATGATGCATAGCTACAAAACCCGTTGGAGACGTTGATGGGGACCTCAGCATCTGCCATCATCTTTCATTCTGGTCAACATATCTCCCTCCTTGTCTTTTACCAGGACCGCATCTCGGGAGTGTTTTTCAATGAGTATTATGGATTCCGTGGTCTTGGTTAATGCATCGCCCTGCCGATGTCGTATGTATCGACGTTGCAACAGGTAACAACACCATGTCTCTTTGATGGATGATCGTCATGTTCCGTTAGGTTCCCCTCCCACTCTCCAAGCAGTGTGTGGTTACACAGCCCTCGTAGACAACAGCAACGACGTCCGATTTTTGTCTCCTCAGCGCATGGCGACGCGCTGAACCCACTGGCATGATATCCCGTCTTTATCTCTTCCCTGGCAACCCTCTGCCAAAACGGAGGTGGCAACCAACCGTATCCATGGCCGCATGGATATAATAGCACACCTATTCTAAGAATCACTCCTTCTCTTTCAAGGTCGCCCCTGGCTTCCTCATTCCTCTCCTTCGCCATGACTGCCCTCCCATCCTTCGTTGAGCTCATGGCCACTCTCGGCCTTGACAACAACACAGTGTCCACTGACAAGCGTCCGCAACCTACCTCGTTTCCTCACCATTCCCGCTCTTCTTCATATTCCTCCACAAGTTCTGCCGGTTCTCGTTCTTCAAGCAATGTAACACCATCTCATTCCAATATTTATACCGAGCCTCCTCCGGCCATTTACATATCTCGCCACCGCAACTCATCCAATGCTTCTGATCGAGATGGAGAGTTAGAGGCAAGGCGCCAGAGGACGAGATATTCTCCTTATTCTCCTCCAATTGTAAGTGTGCTCTGTGTGGCGCAATAGAACTTTCCACTTATTCATGATCAAATAGTCACATGCGAGACGCGGTAGTATGCCAGTAGTCCCATGTGATGAGGAACCTCATGAACAACCGTCTCGAGTACGTCACATTCAACCTGGCAGTGTTGTTAATACAAATGCTTAGTTCATTTTGCAGGCATATTCCACCTCGCCTTCGCCTCTCCTGAAACCACGAAGTGTAGGACGTCGATCGTCCGCCCTCGGCCTAACCTCGTCTTCGAAGCGTCCAGAAAAGTTGGTGCTTGCCGATCCAGAACTTATGGGCAACACCCCAATTTCGACCTTTGTGCGAAGGCGAACACCTCAGGCATCACCCATCTCGCCGACATTCCCGCATCGTTCTCGACGAGCCGCAAGTACTTCAGTACCTGTGTCGCTCCCCAAACTGCCCACCTTCATCTTCCCGGCACCTCAGTATACACCCAGTTCACAGTCTTCCGATACCGAAGACGACGACATGGGTCTCAATACGGATGATCCAGTCCATTTGGGACCATCCCGCGAGGTATATGCTGTAGGTGCTTTGCGCTCTTTGCGCCACAGCGATTCCAATATCCCCATACGCCGCTCTCCTGCCCTCGAAGCTCATGTGGGACAACCGATTACCCCCGTTGCTTGATTTATTGTTATTATCCTGCATCTGTACCTTTTACTTCAACAATTGACTGTATTTGTTCTCGGACTTTTCTTGTATGCACATTATCCCCGTGCTTCTGCTGTAGTAAACAGACACCACACCCGTTCCCTCTCTCCTTTTGGGGCTTTCTGACTGGACACTCGTTCTTCAGTTATCAACTCTGTTTGCTTCGACTCTTTTGTGCCCTTTCAACACACGCTCCCTCCCCGGGCGGTTTATCCCGCCATTGTCCATTTCAGCACCCATCACAGATGTCATTCTCTGCATCATATTGTTAGAGTCACACAGTCCTTTACGTAGCAACAAACACACTTGTGTCTATTGACGGCATCCTGCTATAAATTTGATACATTGTCGTGCCTAGCATATCAAATTCTTGTTTACAGCTCCTGTAATTAGCTATCCTTGGCTCAGTCATGATCCTCTTCATCGGGGCCGGGACAATTGTTCTCAAGGTCTTCCTGGTCATTGTACTCTGTACCGCACCAGAAACAATAGGCATATCGCCGTCGTAAATACTCCAGGACCAGAGTGAGTCTATCTTTCGGCTTTCAATAAGGTTAGATGGATGCAACAGCGACAACAAAGAACAGAACGTACGCCAAGTCGCAAGAATTGAGTGGCTTCCTTTATATCTTCCTCCGAATAAGTTGTCTTCGCAAGTGTAACCTTATCCTTGCGACTCTCGACATCATCGAGAGTTGAAGTCAACGGCTGCAATGCATCTGCCTGCATTCGAGCGCGTAGGCGTCCCTCAAGAGAGGTGTCAACGCGGTTCCGATGAATGGAGGCAACGAGAACAGGATCATTCAAGGCATCAAGGAAACCCTCCGGGAATCCATCCGGATTGTTCGGGTTCAACCACAGAACATTGAACTATGAAATTCGTTAGACGTGCCTGGCAGAGACTGCAAATTGCCAAAGCTCACCTCTCGTCCATCTTTCTCATCCAATGTGACACAAGTTCGTTGGGCAGGTCCCAATTGACCTTCCGCACGTCGTTCTTCATATTCTTGACGGGCGCGGTCCCGGAAATCCAAATGGTCGCGATCCTCTGCCATCTTCGCCATCTTAGCCAATCGTTCAGTTGCGCTGGGTGAAGCGGCTCGTTTGCCCAGTCCAATCCCCTTCTTGCCTGTAGTTGTGATTAGTCCAAGGACATAGTTTATAAGTTGGCAACGACGAACCTGCCCATTCACTCAATGGCAGAGGTACCGCTCTATGTCTGGAAGCAATGGTAGCCATACCATTGGCTTCATCTTCTTGAGGTTCGGAGAGCCTTCGCTTTCCAAGAACATACGAAGGGCCCGCAGCAGAAGTATCAGGTTTAGTCGCAACCTCGTCTGATGGACCCAATGTTTGACCAGGTTTGAATCCCATCTTCATCATCATCGCCAATGCTTTATTCTGCTGTCCAGAGCCGGCTTCTTCTTCTTCTTTCGCCCGCTCGAAGAGACTCTTGCGCAGCCCTTCTTCCCTCGACTCCAACTCCAACTGCCGTCGGCTCTTCTTGCGATGTTGAGCATTTCTCAATGCAGCAAGTTTCTCAGCCTCTTTGCGACGTTCAGAGTATGTCTTTGGTCCAGAAGATGTAGCAGCAGCAGTTGCGAACAGAAACTTGTCAGAGAGATAGTCGTCTTCGTCTTCAGACATGAAAGAGCGCTTAATTACCATGCTAGGTTAGGCATCACAATCATAAATATTCGTTTCCTATCATAAGAGGTGGACAATGAACAGGATGTAAAGCCACTGGCAAATTGACAGAGCGACTGTACAATACGATGAACTATTAACGGCACCAGTCCGCAGAATGAAATGCAGGCACAGGTAGCAGTACAGAGCGGAATCAGGAAACACCACTCGCAGTCGGAAAGCGTGAACGAAATCGCAAACTAAAGACGGCAGGAGAAGAATAGTCAGGAGCGGGGGATAGTAGTGGATGTTTGCGCAATTAGAGAAGCCATTCCAGTCTAAACATTTAGGATGCAGGGGCAGCGACAGGAGCAGCAGCCGCGGCCTCAGCAGCCTCAGCGGCTTCGTCAGCCTTCGCCTCAGCTTCGGCCTCCTCGTGTTGGGCATCGACAGCGATCTTGACAGCAATGGGCCTACCACCAACATCCTTGCCTTGAAGGAGCTCGATAGCCTTCTTCTGCTCCTCCTCACTTCCAACGTCGACGAAACCGTAGCCCTTGGACTTGCGGGGCTTTCCCCAGCGACGGCGGACGATGCGAGCGGAGTTGACGTGGACATCCGCATCAGTGAACAATGCAGCGAGGCCAGCATCATCGATAGTGAAGCCGAGATTGGCTACGAACAGGACAGACTTGGAGGGCTCTCCGGCAGGATCTTCGCCAGCGGGACGTTGGGGACGCGGAGCACGGGGCTTACGAGTACGCTTCTTGATGGCCTCACCAGATTCAGTGGTAGCAGCAGCCTCGCCAGCTTCAGCACCTTCACCTGCGGCGGCTGCTTTAGCACGCTTGGATTTACGCTACAAAACATTTAGTCAGACCATGTCATACCAGAACTAGCATATATGCTGCTGTACCTTGTTGTTTTTCTTCTTCTTGGGCTTAGCACCCTCCTCAGTAGACGGGGCAGCGCCTTCAGCAGCAGATTTATCAGCATCGCCGTTGGCCTCAGCCTCGCTAACTTCGCCAGGAACGGCCTTGCTACCGCGACGACCGGGCCTTCTCTTGTTGAATCGCTTCTGCTTCTTTTCCTTGTCCTTTTGATCAGACGGCTTGGCGATCTCGACGATCACCTCGCGGCCATCGAGCTCCTTCTTGTTGAGGAGGTCGACGGCCTTCTGTGCAGCTTCAGCACTGGCCAAAGAGACGAATCCATAGCCCGCGGAACGTGTTCCTCGAAGGATCACTTGGGCGGTAAGACTAAGAGGATCGAGCATAAGCGATGGGTGCCAGCGCATGCCGTGATGGCCAAGTGGGAACTTACATCTCGCTCTCTACAGGCTCAAAGAACGTCTTCAGCCCTTCATCCGTGGTAGAATACGCAAGGTTGCCGGCGAAAACCTAGAAAGAAGGATGAGGAGGAGTTGCGCCACAGTGTGGACAAAATACTGACTTTGAAGCCGGGCTCTTCTACTGCAGGGGACTCTTGCGCAGTCGGAGGCACGCCGTTCTCGGTGACAGGGGCGGCAGGGGCGTCAGACATTGCTGGGGGAACGAACTGGTGGATGGTCGTTGGTGAATGAACTTGATGAACCGGTTTCTTCGTGTCAAACTTGGGGGTTGAAAGAGAAGTGGCATTTGCGGTCACGCCTTTATTTTGTCTCTTCTGGAAAACTCCGATCCATTACGTTGCCATGGCTGCCTCGTTGTTTATTCCATCATCTGCTGGCACTCTTCCCGAGGCTCATCTGCGACTGTCTCAAAGCGCGATGTTCGCTGCCTTGCACTGCACAGGCACACCATTTCTGCCTGCCAGGACGCAGAGCGAGTGTGCAGAGGGCGGTCACACCGCTGAGAATAAGATAAGCGCTGGTAGTAATGATTTCCAACTCACCTCCGACAAAACGTCTCATTGCATCCTCTATCCGTTCATACTTCGTCCACACACATACACAAGTATTTAATCTGAACAAGCTGCAGTCTACCCTCGTTGTCCTGCGAGAGAACATGCAGCCGTCACTCTCAAACAGTTCCAGACCTGCTGCCCAACTTGGCAGCTTATGTAATAATATTCAAGCCCCGCCGTATATTTCCCTCGCGACGAGGACAGGAACATCAACTCGTCCTTTTCCCGTCCCTCACCTGCCCTTGGGCACTTACATTCCTTTGGACTTTCACGCTCCTTCATTGTTTGGACGCTAATCGGACGTATTATTCGTATACCCAATAACAATGGCCACAACAAAGCTATTTCACCTGATCGCCTTTACGGCTCTCGCGCTTTTCGCCTCGTCTTATGGACCTGAGCCTGTTAATGCCTTGTCTACCCCTGGCTTGCATGCCCGCCATCATGCCATGCACGATACCATCGCCAGGAGGAAGCGTGATACCACCAAGCGCGATTCGCCCAAGCGCTGCAGACAGCGCCCGTCTTCCTCCATTGTTGCTTCTGCAACTTCCGCTGCTGCTCCTCCCCCGAGCAGCGCACCTGCTCAGACAACCTCTAAGCCTGCTGGTACAACTGCAGCTCCCGCGCCCTCTTCTTCTTCCGCTCCTGCACCTTCTCCTGCTCCTGCTCCCCCGAGTGGTGGCGCGCTCGATGTTGCTAAAGTTGGTCTTGCTTGGCCCAATGGTCCTGATGCCAGTCTGACCCACTTCCTCACTCCCAACGTTGGAGCGTACGTGAATCGTACTTGCGTCGTTCATCAAGCTTTTTTGCTTAATTTTGCGGTTTTAGTCTCTATACTTGGAGTCCATTCTGTCCCGACACCGACGTTCAATGCTACCAGATGTTGTGGGGTGGTGCCTCTGACAAAGTCTCTGAGTTCAAGAGCGTGGTTAAGCCCGCTGGCGGTAACAAGCGTGTCATTCTCGGCTTCAATGAGTACGTACTGTGATTCTATTCTACATGTTGCAAACCCTGATGGTATCGGAAAAGGCCCAATGAATCAGGTCAATCGAACATGAGCCCTGAGTTTGCTTGTGCCGTTTGGCATGACGCCATTGAGCCCTTGGCTAAACAAGGATACACCCTCGTTTCTCCGGCCACCAGTGGAAACCCCAAGGGCATTGACTGGATGCATTCCTTCTTCAACTGCTGCAAGGACTGCACGGTTCGTATTTCAGCACACTATGCAGCGTTTTCTGATCACCTATTATACCTTTACATAGGTCCATGCTATGGGAGTTCACTGGTATGATATTCATGCCAAAGATTTCAAGAGTTGGGTTCAGAGATGGCACGATGAATTTGATGGCCGTGATGTACTTGTCACGGAGTACGCTGTCCAGGTAAAGTGCTACAATTCAGGACCTAGGCCTTCTGTCTAACCATTCTATACGTCACCGTAGAACTTCAACGGCGGTCCGCAGGCGAGTAAGGATGAGATCTTCGCTTTCCATCAGGAGGTTGGTCCTTGGTTGGACTCTCAGCCATGGGTCAAGGGCTACTTCCCCTTCGGTTTGCACTTTCTGCATTGGATGTGATGTCAATCTTGCTAAATAGATGCACTCCAGGTTTCATGCACAACCTTCAAGGTGTCAACACGGACAATGCTCTCATGGCTGGAAACGGCCAACCCACCGACCTCGGTTGGAAGATCATCAACAACGCTTACTAAACGTATGCTGCGTTGTCGCATCTATTAAGAATTTCTCCTGTATACCCTTTTTTGTCATTCATTCTGCAGGACCGTGGAGCGGCTGGTCAGGTTGATTCGTCGTGGTGTTGTGTTTACAAGACTAGGGCTGCGCTTCTAGTATTCGAGCTTGCTGGGTCTTCTTTTACTACTAACCGAAGTTCCCAAGTTCATACAAGTCTATTGGTTTATCGTACCCTGTGCTTCTTGGTTTATCGTATCCTGTGCTTCTTATGTACTTGTCGTCATCTCGTACTACTCGATCACTTCCAAGATAGTACATTCACGGTCCAAGGACTCGTTCTTCCTGGTTACCGTTAGAAGATTTGAAACTCTTGTTTTTATGACTTTCGTGATAGTGAAGTAGCAACGACGTCACTTCGGGCATCCGTGTCTTATCCCACGGTAAGATTAGAACCGTTATATTTGGCTTCCTTAACTAGTCTGAATTCTGCGCCGGCGTTGAGTGCAGTTCAACAACATGTCGGTCAAGCTTTCTCCTGCGATCAAGCATCTGTTAACAGTTAGGAATCCCAACGCACCACCGGCACCCCCCATCGCAAAGCTTTTTAGTGTTTTAAAATCAACTCATAGCGATGCAAGGCAAAAGCAGGCTGTCAATGGATGGTTGACATTGGCAGTGAGTGGAACTACTTTCAACGATCCTACGGGAGGTTGATTACATGCTTTTTGTGAGAATAGACATGCTCTTTGCTGACAGCAAATATGCCGTCTTCCGTGGGCCACCTGTATCAAGTCGCGACTAGAACTGACCCTGATGTCGCTTCAACGAGACTAACGGTCTCAGAAGCGACCAACAAGGCTGCTCTCATCCGTGAAGCTGCCCTGAAGAGCACCATCTTCATTGGTGTGCCAAGAGTGAGTAATTAAGATGAAGTTCCGGCTGATGAGCAAATCCGTTATGATCACGGTGTAGGTTATTTTGTCGCTTGCAGGACTACAGGCCTTTCTCGAAGATGACGTGAAGGCAGGCCTTCGGAAGGAGTCCAGAAGGTAACATTTATATTATTTTGATGCACACCGGCTCGGACATGACGCAACTGACGTCAATTCAATAGGATACCAACTCGTGAAAATATCGATGAGCTGCAGGCCCGGGGCAAAGCCTTGTGGTCTTCCATCTATAAACCTCACGCGGAAAAACTTCATGCAAAGCTGGGTGCCTATCATCCGGACTTCATTGGTGAGACTTCTATTCTTTCGAGCTTTCTCCGTCCGACACTACGGGCGTTCCTACGCTATGGACTTGGTGCTGCAAAGTCTATCAAGGTTCCTTGGAATGAAATGACGACTTTGGGATTCGCTTACGCTCTTTATAGAATTTATCATACAAGCCTATGGATCGGTTTTGGCCCCTTTGCCCGGAGGGGCAACTGAACAAGGTAATCTCAGTCGCGCATTAGGCTCGGTCGTAGGGATTGCTTGTCTCCGTGCTGAAGGCGGCGTTGGTCCTCAGTTGATCAGCCACGTTTTCGGTCTGTTGAAGGCACGAGATGAGGATGGGTTATCCGATGAGGATTATTGGCTGGCCAGTGATGAAGGGACTGAATGGGTCATTCGTACGGTAGACCAGATCTTAGACGTGGTCAAGCCGGAATCTGGCCAGCATGTGGCGGCGAAATTATGAGTAGTGTACTTACGTTTGGCGGTAAAAGAGCTGCTTCGTATATAAAGCTATTAATCGGGAACCGGCGTCTGCGCTTATACTGAGGACAAAGTAAGCATGCAGAACAACGCTCTCGCTTGACTAGTGTCGCATAGTCCCGCGCATCCAAAGGAAAGTTCTAGCTTCAGACTCTGGTTGCGACGGGATGAAACTATAGTACACAGATATACATGCGGGAATAATGAGACACTACCAAATAATACATTTTAGAATCCGCGGCAAATTAGAGCAATAAAGTCAATAGAAAAATAATGATCGACGTTCACAGACCAAACGCCATCACAAATCGATACAACATCGCTGTCACAGTCACAGTGTCCATGAGAGGAGGGTGCATCTGTCAAGGTCGAGATGTAGGTGAGCAGATGTATGAGTTGACAGTGAACATACCACAATGCCAGCACCGGCGGTACGGCAGAAGTGAAGTTCACCATACACCTCGCCGAGATTATAGCGAACAGGACGGGTGGGGCGATAGAAGGCGATCACATTGCTATTATGGTCCTCAAGCTGTGGACGATTGAGCGATGACCCTTTTTTGATATTCGGTGTGCATGCAGAGGACGTACGACGATATCACCAAACTGATTACCGCTCGGTCTCCAGCGGTACTGGTACCCATCTGGACCATTGAACACCCGATAGTCAGGCTGCGCAAAAAAAATGCAGCTGCATGAACACAGATAATGTAATTTCCGGACGTACGGGAGCATTGGGGAGGGTTCGAACGAGGTCGGACATGGGAAGAGTACTCTTTATAAAGAGTAAGTTACCACGGGGCGTATGGACGTTAATGAAACGAATGACGTACTTTGCCTATGACGGCGCGACCAAGACCGCCGTTGGAGGCCCATTCCAGTTTTGCAACGCGGTCTTCCTTGTTGGCTCGGATCGCACGCCAAAGCGTTGTTACGCTGTTGCCTTGAGCGTTTGCTTCGGTCTAAAATAAAAATTAATGAGACTCCGAACGATAACGTCGGAGGGGGGATACAAGGGCGTACCTGGAACCGATAGAGTACACCGTAACTACTGAACAACTGGCTTTGGCGGGGATCCTGATTTGTCCATGAAAGGATCTCATTAGCGGAGCTAGACATATCGACGGGTGTGACACGAGAGAGTACAGGTATCAGTGGGGACAAGTCCCGGTCGGTTGAGCTGAAAGAAAATTGAGGATGCAAAGACTCTTATATCACAGATGAGCTGGAAAAATCTGGGATTCCGGTGATGGTCGATTTTCGATCGGGAACGTGTATTGGGTGACACATAGAGTAATGAATACAAAGTATTCAACGTGGGCGTGAAAGAAAGAAGCCCTTCATGATCTTGACAGACTGAGCCTTGTCTAGTGGTGTGTAGGTCCGATTCAGAATCATCCATCCGGTCAAGGGTATGAAAATCGAGGAACAACACGAGGAGGTATGTAAGCGCTGTGGTATTCCATGAGACTTGGTGACACAGACGCGGCAAGTAGCTCAGGCCATTTTTGCACGTTTGGATGGAATCGAAGGCCATGGGTACCCATCACCAAGGCCACAAGGACTGTGCGGATGGTATTATTCGAAAGGATGACTACAAGCAACGGCATCCGAATCGTAGATTTCCCTGTACAAGCGGATGCCATGAAGAAACAACATAAAGGCATTTCGCGTTCTTTTCCAGGGATATTTTGTGCTTATGGCGCGCCTGGCGTTCCTTCCTGCACGAGGTAAGAAGAAATCTTGATAAGGCAGCTCAGACGCAAGGCATGGGATCGACAAGGGAAATATTACCCGAATGCTGCCAGGTGCTGCCCGGATGAGCGGTTCAGCTGGACAAGGCGTGGACAAGGCGTGCCAGAGCTACCATACACAGTACAAAGGGTGAAGGAGATAAGGTAGGTTTGGTCCATCTTCTACAGGTAGTCGTGTCGTCTTTGAGTTCATATTTGCGTAACACAACGAACCCCTGTGGAGGCACCGGTGGGACAAAACGGTCGCGGTCCACACAGCAAATTGTATTCAAAGATGGCAAGTCGGGCATATCAACGTGGAGAGTTCATTTAGATAACGCTACCCGACCGCTCAACAGACCCTTCGACTTCCCAATCCATTATCCCAGGCCTTATTCTGCTGCTTACGCAAAACGCAACTTTGTTCCCTTGAACCTTATATGTTCCCGCTCTGGCGTCCATCAGTGAGCCCATTGCCGCCCAGACCACATTGTATGTACGCAGGTTGATGAAGCCCTTCAATGGCCGACGCGGTATTGGACACGGGTTGGGAGGACTAGAAGACTTTCAAGAGGCATGACGGTCGGGTGCTGATTATTGAGATAAGTAGTCTACAAACATAGGATATCAGGCACATCCGCAGACACCTGCGAGTTCTGTACAGACAGTCTATCGAGCTCCGGGGCGGGCAACTGTACGGACGTTGAGCGATAATCAATCGTCTTCAGCGGACATGTATTGCGAATTGCACACGAAGAGACGCACAATGTAGCATGTATGTTGGCGTTCCGGCTCACGGAACGACCTGCACACCCAATGTCCTAGCAGTCCCTACTATTGTGCTAGCGATGGCTTCGAGCCGGAGATGCTTTAGATGTTCATCTGTCGCTTTAATTTTGGCAATCTCGTACACGTGTTTGAGGCTAACGGTGCCAACAAACTCGTGTCCTGGTTTTGCGGTGCCTTTCTCGATCCCCGCCGCTTTCTTCAAAAAATATGATGTTGGTGGTGTCTTCGTGATGAAGGTGAACGTTCTATCAGGCTGCACGGTGATAAGTGTTGGGGTTGGGACACCGGGTTCTATGTGCCCTGTCCGAGCGTTGAATTCTTTGCAGAAATCCATAGACTTCACACCACGAGCACCGAGAGCGGGTCCAACAGGCGGAGTGGGTGCAGCTTTGCCTGCTCCTATCAAGAGGCGCTGTAAGGGAAGAATGCGAGATCATGAAGCAGTGATGTAGGCGAGTCTTTGCGTTATACAAGACTTACGACAACCTGCGCCTTTGTCTGTAAAGCCTTGGACATGACGACTGGATGTGATGGTTGACCGTTGCTGGGGATTGCAAACCTAACCCGCCGAAGTCTATGACGAGAATAAGTACGAGAAAGTCGTCAAGAAAGAGTTGTCGGTGCCGCGTCGTGTGGTGGAAAAGTGCTTGTTATTGGTGGACTTCGAACAAGATGTCGGCGTCTAGGAAGTGATCGGCCGCTACTACAGATGCCTTTTTGGGAGTGCTTACGAGTTGCTGCATGCATTGGTGGCAACAGTCCAACGGCCGACGACAACAGCAATCCCTCCTCCCTCTCGACCATCACCATGAGGGTCTTCGCTATTATCCTTGCACTTGCTGCTGCCAGTGCCGCGAACCCTCTCTTGTTTAAGGAAAGTGAACAGCGTCCTCTCGGGTTTCAGCAACAGACTCATCCCGGCTTCGATCTCGACCTCAATGAACGCCGCTTAATTCAACTGGAGGGTCAAGAGCCTGTCTGGATTACCGAACTTGAGAAGGCGCGTAGCTACAGAACCTACGTGGTATCCTCCGCCGTCTGATCTAGATTCATCGTTGGATAGATCGGCTTGAAAGCTCAGGGTGTCAATTTCTTTGATATGTGATTTCCTTCCTTGTTTTCGAGTTGCTTCGTCCGGTTTAGACTTATTTTGTTCTCACCTATAGTACAGATACCCCAAATCTTGGTCTGTCGGCTCGCCTACGCTCTGGCTTCAAACGTATGTTTTTCCTTGCCAACGCGTCTTAACACCAATTAAGACAATGTTGCTTAGCCGACTTCCCATCGCCCAATGCCTCGGAACTCGTTGTTCCCGTTCTGAACACCCTGTCTTCTGACGGCCCCTTCGAGAACTTGAAAGCATTAACAAGCTTCAGAACCAGATGTGCCTATTCTTCCATTTCTTCTATTTAAACCCAGTGATTGACCCCGTTTCAGACTATCGCAGTGACGTAAATTGCAATTGCTTTGAGATTCGTCTGGCTTTTGCATGCCCACAAATCCTCTTTGCTCTCACAGACCGGCCGACAAAGCCAACAATGGTTGCTATCGAAGATTTCTGAGGTAACGTAATGTCCTTTTCCGCCGTTTCTCTTCCACTAAATTTCATTGGTAGATCACGTCCCAATATGCTCCGACGTCTCTCCAGCAGAATATTTCTATTGGCGAATTCTCTCATTCTTGGGGCCAGAATTCTATCGTGAGCCCATCCCCTACCCTCGTTTTTTGGTTTCCGCAGTTACGAGAAGCCTGTATCAGATTGTCAGAATCAACGGTTCTTCCGCCACTGATGACAGTGTAGTCATTGTCGGCGCCCACCAGGACAGGTACGTTTTCCTTAATAGTTCTTACTACCCCAGCTAGTTACACACATGTTTGTGTAGCACGAACATGTGGCCCTTCCTCCCCGCTCCTGGTACGCTCTTCCCACTATTAATTTTAGTGCGCATTCGTTCATCATCAGACTAGGTGCCGATGATGACGGCTCTGGCACTGTGACTATCCTAGAAAGCTATCGTGCATTGATATCTGCCAATTTCCGGCCTATCCGATCGGTAGAATTCCATTGGTATGCGGCAGAAGTAAGCCTGAGGCTTCTTTCGTTCCTGTTTCAGCCCTTTTTATCATATCTGTCTATTAGGAAGGTGGCCTGCTCGGTAGTGCTGCTGTTGCCCAGGCTTATGAGGCTCGCTCAGCTCATGTTTACGCTATGAGCCAAGTGAGTGGCTCTGCCGGCTTTACTGTCGGCCATCAGCTCAATGCCGTCCACTGCAGTTTGACATGACGGCCTGGGTGAAGAAGGGGACTAGAGAAGAAGTTGGTGTAATCACGGATTATGTAGACCCAAGGTACTGTATCGCTACTCCCACATCTGCTGCCTTCATGTGCATGGCTGAAATTAGCACTCTACCACGCGTGTCCTTCCCTGCCCGCTAGTCTTACGACGTTCAACAAGAAGCTTGTTGAAGAATACTTAGATATTCCCTATGTCGAAACTCAATGCGGCTACGCATGCAGTGATCAGTGAGTCGATTCTTTCTTGTCAGACCAGATCCACGTTTAATCTAATCATTCGTCTAGTGCCTCGTGGGGCAAGGCTGGTTATCCCAGCATCTTCAGCATCGGTAAGCTTTGTATCCCGCAGCTGCACTCATAGAGGTCACCTCATTTGGCGCGGTTATCATAGAGAGCTCCTTCGGGAATTCCAATAAGTTCATCCACAGTACCAGGGAGTGAGTGTTTTTTACTGCCTAGTTGTGAGACGCCTATTAACAGAAACATCATAAGTACATATGATGTGTCCGAGGAGTTCAGTTTCTCGCACATGCTAGAATTCAGCAAGTTGGCAGTCGCCTTCGTAATTGAGTTGGCCGGATGGTCAAAGGACTCGGCATAAGGACCTCACACCGCCTTGGACTTGGGACTTGTTTAGAAGACGTGAATTCTTGCTTCTATCATTCTTGATATGCCCAATGAATTGACACGATGTATGACTCTGCTGGTATGCTATTACGATATATGTTCTGGCCCAAATACCCTTTACAAGCGAAATGAGTTACCGCTGTCTTGAGGCTCCATTACGAATGTCCCAGCACGTCACAGCAGTATCGCCATATACCATGACGACACGATCGGATAGCACAGTGTGCACGGCGGGCTTCTCATGTTTGCGGGATATCAAGAGGACTGCCTTCTGTTGGAGTGATGGTTTACGTGAATCATTGAGTTCAAGCGTTAAAAGAAACACAAGGAACACGTACAGAAGTCTTTCGAAGATCCCACACACAAACAGTTCCGTCTCTATAGCCACGTGCAAAATGGCGGTCTTCCACAGATCCCTTCGTGAAAGATCGGCCATATCGCTTGTCGCTGTTAACTTCGCGATAGCCGAAGTCAAGACAAGGTTTGCGATTGAACGCGCCCCTGCGCGTGTCATAGAGGGCGACTTGATTGTCCAGATGATCCATCTGGCCCATTTAATTGTCATCACAATGCACCCTCGAATAAATTGAACATAAACGAACCTCGAGGAAAACGTGCGATTCACTGGATGGATTCACATGTATTTGAATGAGAGCATTGGACAATTTGTCAGATTTTGGAAGGCTAGCCGCCTGTAGACATGTCGTATAGATCCGACTACCTCCACCGAAAAGGACGGTGCTGTCGTGAGATCGGAACGCAAGTGTTTGAACCTTCTCTGCGTGAGTTGCCGCGACTTCCCTGGACCTTTCGATATACCCGTCTCCTGTAGACTTGAGCGTCCACAATCGAACTGTATGATCGTAGCCTCCGGACAGGAAACGCATGCCATTTCCTGCTAAAGCTGTTAGGCTGGATATGCCTCTAAAAGGTCGTGCTGTCCCAGCAGTAGTATTTTCATGCACCTTGCTGTACCCTGCATGCTTGAGGTCTATCCGCCTTAGCTATCAGGTGTCAAGTTAATACTACTTCTCAATGAGCGGAAATGAAACGCATACCTTGCCCTTAACCAGAGGAATCAGAGATATCTTTGGATTTGAAGGTCCAGCCTCATATCCAAGGACAGCGATGCTGTCATTCAACAAGCATGCGTCTGTCACAAGCCGTTCTTCTTCGCAAGGCAGGGAATGCTCCGGCTCCCGATACCTAGGGATCAAGGTCATGAATCACACCGTCACCTAAAAGTACTCACTCACAATCTCCGGCGGTGGATAAACTGAGCATCCCCACGCATATAGACCGCAACCATCGGTAACTTAGGATTGGTAGACACAAGAAGACGGCGAGCACGGGCATGCTTTGGTCTCGGCAGCCTGATTATGCGCCCTCCTTCACTTTCCAGCTGCTCACGAAGTTGATCCACTCCTGCATGGTCCCAAGACGAAGACGGGTTTGTGCTGTCAGAAGAGCTGAGGTCAGTACTACTTTCCGAGGAGCTCTGTATCGGGCTAGGGTTAGAGGCATGCAAGGCTCGGTTGGCTTTATGAGTCGATGACCGACGTGGTGGAAGAGAATGGCTAGATATATTGTCCGACTCAGGAGCAATACGTGAGCCCTGACTATAACTTCTTGGCGTGTTGTTAAAGCTCGAAGAAAGACGCGATCGTTTGCGTGCGGTTTCCATCTCACTGCTGCTGGCGGAAGAAGGCGGAGAAGGACGTCTTTTGCCTGATGCAGTCCGCGGATGTCCCATTGATTTGATCTTTGCGTTTGGAACACTGGTGGAAGGGGAGGCCACCTTGCTCTTACCGTTGGAACTTTTTAGGTGCAGACCAATGGCCCGAGGTTGCGATATACCGAGATAGTTTTGAGTCGGGAGTCTGCCTTCCTGCTCCAGTCTCGACAACGCTTCGCGCGCAATGCTTCCTGCAACAAGCAGTTGCCCGCCATAAGGGTCCGAGTCCGGAAAGGTTGTCCGGATCCTCGGTGAACCAGGTGCCGATCGCAGGCCTTCTGCATTTTCATCGTCTGTCTCATATCCTTCCGTATCTTCACTAGTCTCAGTGGCGTCCAATGCCTCACGCGATGACTTCGATGAGCCATTGCTTTGCATGTTTCGCGCACAGGGCGTGCAAATTACAGCAGTGGGGAAGACAGTCCTCGACGTGCCCCCCATTACAATATCGTTGGGATCTTCTGGGCTGCTGGATCTCCGGGCATTTACCGAGCTTGTCCGAGTGGTGTATAGATCTTCATCCGAATCGAGACATATTGGGTCTTCCGCGACTCCAGTTCCTGCTAGATGAGACACTGTGCGCATTGCTGGGACGGTTTGCTTGAGATTCTCTCGTGCAAGCTTGGCTTCATCAAAGTATTGGCTGGAGATCGATGTATCTCAATGTAGAGTATAATCAGTGATGTAATAATCGCACCATTGGATGAGTTGGTCATTGTCCTCTTCTTTAACTGAACGATCTAGAACCCTTTTGCAAGTGATGAGTATGAGATCAATTATGTCGAGATTGCAGAGCATCGAAGCTACCATTCGATAATCACTCCATCGGAACTAAGACTGCATGAATTTCAGAAGATACATCATCAACAGGCTGTTACTTACAGTACCAAGGGTCTGCTCGTCAAGCGTTTACCAAAACGCGTCATTTCGTGAACCTTCGGTATGATGCAGTCGCGCCAAAGCTCGGAGTTAGTCATTCCACGAGGAAACACGATTCGCTCTGTCCCACGGGTACTGTTCCTTGGTAGAGGGTAGTCTTGATCAAGTTCCTCGTCTTTGAGTAGGTGATCATCTGAGGACATGCAATGTGATACCTGAAGGTTGAAGTTTGAGTTTGAAGTATCACTGCACCGACCACTGTCGTGACCTCGTGCAAACCAGACTAAATAACCACAGGAACTCAACGCCAGAGGTAATCAAAACCTGGGGGACGGAAGGACTCGTGATGGAGATAATGAGTATGCCTTTAACGATGTGGCTACTGGGAACCAAACATTAACGTTGAATGTTGAACGTGAAATTCGTTTGGAAGTCCAATATTGAAACGCTGGAGCCGGATCACCACCGGTCCGTTGCGATGACGGCTGTATGAGTGAACTTACGGCCTGAAGAAGACGACCCGGGAAGCAAGCTCATCCATCGTCGTGAATTATAAAAACCAAACGTTATTTTTTAGATCAAGATGAATAACCCAATGGTGACTGTTATTCCCGAAGTTCGATATGTAGCACTGTGATGGAAGTGACCTTGTACTATTAATAGAGCAGTGAACAGGAGGATTAAGTTCTAGTAGGGAATAAATGTTTACCATCCAACGTCGTGTTGGAGAGAAGAAAGTGTGATGCTAAGCTACCTTTAAAACGCTGTGGGACACGCAAAGGGAAATGCCGGAGGCCGGACCCCGGAGCGCCTAAGTGAGGCATTCTGCCCAAGTGAATGTTCCTCACCAGTTTGTATGCTCAACAGTGACTTTTTCACTCCTTTTTTGTGCCAGACATTAATTCCTATCTACATAGTATTATATACCAAAATGTGCGATTTTTAGCGTGACTGTAGAGGGTGGAGAAAGCGGTCAAAGGCCATTTACTTACATACCTGCCTAATTGGGATGGGGTTTCCTCCATCAGAGGCCCTGATGCCGCGCAGCGCATCTCCGAGAAATAAGCGGCGTGTCCCATGAAAAAAATGGGCTTTTGCTTTTCATGGGACACGCATTTTTTGGCTGGAGTGTTGGCGCAGAGCGTGTCCCATGAAGAATTCGCATTTTGGCTCTTCATGGGACACGCATCCGCTTCTCCTCACTTTCCCTCACTTTCCGGCGCTTTTTTTTTCATCACTAATTCATTCTCGACTATCTCTACCTATTGCACATTGTCCGGCACTCCCCCGACCGCTCCCCGCCCTCCCGATCACCGTTCGACGCGTCCCCGCCTTCCCCCGCCGCAGTGGTTGGGGTCCATCGTGTCCCGGGACACGCACTCAGACGCCCTCCCGCCAACGGCGCTTTGGCGCCCGTGTCCCGTAACAACAAAGTTAAGCTACTCACTAGGGGTCACAAGAATTCTGAAGGTATTGCCATATCTGGCGTTCCGAGGCCAAATCGGGTAGTGCGTAGCATGGTCGCGAATGCAAGACCTTATAGTTTGCTCATACTAACGATCTCAGATCACAGCTAGATGTTTTGTCGATATGAAGGCACATTCAAAACTCTTTCTCCTATCTTAGTATATCTTAGTAGCTCTGTAATAATACCGACTACAATGAAGACACCCCGATCCTCCAGACTCGAGTAATTGTCACGAGCTTCGTTCATACGAATCAAAATAATATGTTCACTATAGGGGGATAATCTTTTAAATTCAGTTGGTGCTTCAAGACTGTATCACCTTCTCATTAGTTTCCGCTCCACGGCTGCTCTAATTAGCTCAGGTGCCTGAAGACCAATGTTCTACAAGACTTGCCTTTCCTGTCCGATTGATCGCACAGTTCTTGACGGAACTCGCTTCCTGTTTCTTCCAGCCGCGCTTTGGCTAGCTAGCCCACTTTCCTGCTGCACTCTGTACTATGGATCGAGCGCGAAGACGAGAGGAGGCCGACAAAGCCTACGACGTACAAGTAAAAGCGGGTACCGAAGGTGCATTGAGGTACACGGCGATTGGCATGGGACTAGCCATCCTCGGCCATTACACTTGGCCAGTCTTCAGGTATGCCCCATACATCTTACATAATGTCTAGATAGCTTCATTCCTTGCACCAGACGACAAACTTTGGCATTCAAAGGATTCCTAGTAACAGGCTGTTCGTCACTGTCGCTCCTATTTTCCATTGTTACTGACGGCCCCTCCTTCCGAAGTTGCAATATTCGGACTCGTGGTGCACGCTGAGAATGCCCTCCAGTCGCTTGAAGCTGAACAACGCCGTACCGAATCTATCATTCGTCGAGAGGCGAGGATAGACTTGACTCGGCGAGGGCTTGTACCGACAGAAACCGAGATCGGGAAGTGGAAAGCCGAACGTCAGTCCCGAGAGACTCAAGGAAACGCTACTCCAGGATCGGAAACTCAGACGTCATGATTCCGTGAATATATACTATAGACGCGACGTTGCGTAAGTCTACATAACTCTTTTTAAAGTGCGTGACAATCAAGGGCAAGATTATGAGATAACGACAAACTGACTGCAAGTAACGATGTCCATGGATGACGAAACACGGTTCAAATATATACGACAAAAATGATGGCTTTCAGATTCGAATATTACACTAAGAGACTTGTTCCGGTCATTAGTACTGCCAATTACCGTCCGAGACGGAAGCGGGGTAACCGTGAGGGAGATACTGCGATGGGGGTCTGGGCAGCGGCCCCGGATACAATGCCTGACTGGTATTGGCCGATGGAAAAGGTATGCTGATCACCTCATGTTGTGCCTGCTGAGGCAAAACAGGAGGCGGTGGAGGTGGAGGTAAAGTCTGGAATTGCTGCTGCGGAGGATATCCCATGGGAGGGGCTGGAAGGCTGGGCCGCCGTGTTGGTCTGGCCTGTCCTTGCGGCTGCGCCGGAGTCAATGCTTGTGGCAGCCCCTGCGGAGATACCTGGTGGTTCTGCGGGAACGAGGACGAAGGCAGATTACTGGCAGGTTGCAGAGGCGGCGGGGGGCCCGGAGCGGGATGGTGCTGGACGGCTGTATACTGATTGACAGACGTACCAGGTAGTGGAGGAGGGGGAGGTACCTGGCCATTAAAGGCAGCTGCAGAAAAAGCTGACGCCGAACTTGGACTGTGTGATCCTGCGCTACTTGATGGAGGTATTGGTAGAGTAGGCTGCTTTCGACTGCCTTGGGGGGTGCCGTTCTGACCAGGTTGAGGTAGAGGTCTGGATCCCATATTTTGCGGACTCTCGTTCAGAGGAGGTGGAGGTGGAACATAGGTATGTGTCGGCGATGGGGTAGTGGGGAAAGGTCCAGTGCCATGTTCTATAGGCACGGAGTAAGAATGCTGAGGTGGTGGTGGAGGGGGCGGGATCGAAGATTGCTGTAGAGGCTGGGGTGGAGCAGGTGGAGCAGAAGTCGCTGGATGAGTCGGTACGCTTTGCTGAGAATGCGGGGGTTGATTGGATACATCAGTAGGGGGATATTGTTGGTACGAATAATTAGGCTGTGCAGATGGCAAAGCCTGGTACGACGTGGAAGGCCGTAACGGCGGGACGTAATGGGAAGGCGTGGGATGATGTAAAGGAAGTTGAGAAAAACTAGACGTTGGAAGGGGTGGCTGAGACGGGGGTAGCGGTCCATAGCCTGTAGGTACCGGCGTGACTGCCGATAGGATATTAGGCGGTTGTGCACCATAACCTAAGGAGGCTGGCGTAGGTGCAGGAGGCAGAAATCCCGACGGCTGTGATGGCAGAGACGGTACGGACATAAATCCAGATGGTGCAGGTGTGGGTAGTGGGAGAAAACCCGACGAAGATGGAGGAATACTATATCTTGGCTGACGTGGTGGAGGTGGATAGCCGGACCCAGAAGACTCATATGGCGCCTGGTATGTACCCGAATGTACTGACGAGAGGTAAGATGACGTCGAAGCAGGCGGGCCATCGTAAGAATATATCGAAGCACTCTCAGAATATGAATTTCGGTCATAACTGTATGACTGATAAGAAGGTATTTGTGGTTCCGCAAAACCGATGGAAGAAGAGGGACGTGGGAGGTGGCCGCTTGCCGAGGGCTGCCTCGAAACTCATCATCATGTTCTTCCAATGACTTCAGACACACTTACCGGAAAACTGACTCTTCGGTGCGAGTTCTGTACGCCAAGTTCTGCAAATTCATTCGTCATCATGTCCACGGAAGACGATGGAATATGCTGCTGAGAGCGGGACGTCTCGTAAGGTGGGACATAAAGGTCAAGCTTCGCGGCAGAACTCGAAACACGAAGAGAACTTGGGATGGAGTCTCGGCTGAAATCGCTTCCAGCTGTAGAAGGCAAACGCGAAGAACCATTCCGAATATCGCTCGGGGGAGGAGAGTCTCCAGACGGAACAAAAGAACCCGGACCTCCATAATTCTTTTTGGACTTCGGTTTCTGGGAGACCTTTCTAACTGGTGGTGGCTCCTAAAGTAGCCTTTAGGGAAATGCTAAGCAACAGGTGCAAAGTCATGCTCACATTGGACCAGAATGTTAATTCAAGATACACTTCGCCGCTGTATTTATCCTTATGCATGAGCGTGAACCACTCTGCAAAGATATAGTCATTATGCAATGCATCCGGTCAACAGGATAGGGCTTACCATCGGTCTCGCCTTTAGTGAGGACCTCGGTCAAATCAACCTTGGTCTCGCCAATCAAGTCAGGTTCTCTGAGATCTTCTGCATAGCATGCCAGACCCATGAACTTTCCTCCCCGTATCTTGGGAAGAGCCTTCTCCTTCTTTGGTGGGGGTGGCGGAGGTGCACCGTCGGGGGTGGCCACTACTGCCTCTGGCTCAGAGTCCTCGTAAAGGGTGAAACGAACCTCCTCGTCCCACTCAGGATGTTGACCACCGCGACGAATTGCCTTGGTTCTTCTCTTTTCACCATTATACGACACAGAGCAATACGGGTCTTGTTTCCCAATATGTCGCTTGTTTGGTAAGTTTCTCTAGCGTGAACGGTATGAGCTGTTTGAAGAGAGCCCATTCCGGACAGAACACACCGCTTTCAAGATCACGACGATGAGAGTCCCAATCTCTCTTGGGGTAGCAGCCATTGATAGAAAGAGTCAAGGAATGGGTGGCGACGCGGTGGTGTCAACCCGTACTTATAGCGATCTCATTGAGACAGTGCAAGCCTGGTGCCGCAGCCACAAATGTCAACCACGCCAGACGCCCCGAGTTAAACATTAGGCGCTCTCTCATTGTTGCAAGCTCCAGAATTCAAATTCAAAATGTACAAGTTCAGTCAAAATAGGTGATCTTCAAGACCGCAAAGTGAATGATGGGTGTGTTCGTCTACCACGTCCACAATTCAGAAAATTTACAGAACGATTTGTCTACTCTGAAGACGTGATCATAACCAAGCACATCGCCGTCATGTGCCAGATTCAGCGCCCTGGAACGTAAGGTTTGCCATCGTTGAAGATCAAATGGGGTTTCCTGCTCCCCAAATCCAACAGCATTTCCGCAAAGTAGCTGTTCGCCCAAGCGAACCAAGGGCGAGTGTAATCGGATGGGTTATAGATAGACACAGATTCATGAATCAGTCCTAGACCGTTCGTATTCTGAACAGGTTACAGGATAGTCAGAAATGGCAATGCTGGACGAACTGCCAAAACGCACGTTCGCTATCAAATACAGTGAATTGAGGATCTCTTGGTCATCATCCGTGCCAAAGATGGCAGATATATGCGACATAGGCCTGCATACTTCTGTCAACCAAATCACTGATGTATTGGTCAAATGTAATGTTACATACCATGGGTGCCATGCATCAACGTGCGGTCCACTTTATATATCAAATTATCACACAATACCATGGAGGCGGATCTCAACGCTAAACTTACCCTATGCCGTTAAATGCCTTTCCAGCAGCAAAATAGGGGTTGTTGCGAGACAAAAGTACTTTCCGAGTTGCGACGTACGCTGGGTGAGATTTGTCCAAGAACCCGAGATAGGGTAGAGACAGCAGGGACTGGAACAGTTCAGATGAGTTCGATAGGGTCACAGCTGGTATAGAATACTTACAGGCACGTTGGCATCATCCATTACATATCTACCTCCAAAGCCTGTATTCGGACCATCGCATGAGTATTGGTCTGAATTTTAATGTGAGGATCTCACCATTTGTCTCATATGCAAATATGTTATTGACCAAAGTAGTGTTCCAAATAGCGTTATGAATACGCGTGCTATACTGTCTAGCAAGTTGGCTGACATTCTTCAACTGTTGAGCAGAGTCTAGGATGTTTGCCAAGTTCGATAGTTCGACACTGAGCATTGCATTTGCTGGGGTCAGGAATGCTAAAACAACGTGTGCGTTAGTCTCTTAAGGCATTGTTATGATGTTAATATACAATAATGTTCGTACCGAACACACTGATGTCATCGGAAGGTCGGTGATGTGTTCCAACAAGACCGGTATATGCCTTGGGCTCGCCATTGCCGCCATTTGGGACAGCAGGTGACAGTGCACCATTCCCTCCGGTCCAATTGTAAAACGAGACGAGATTGAAATCATCGTCAAACGTCGCTTGGGATTGTTCGTCAATTACACGGAAGATCTGGTTGATTGCAGTGTGCCCTAGTTGATCCTATGAAATCAGGGTGGCTTTCAAGAAGTCAGTGACTTACAATTGTCGTTCATAAATGAAGCATCCTTAGTAGCTTGATAATAGGACCTTGACAATTTCAAGAAGCCGCAAAGAGAGTCGATTTCATACTGAAAATGAATTAACGGATCATTCTAGACTTCGATGCGCAGGTAAAAGTTGTCTACCTTGCACTCGAATACAATACGGTTATCCACGGGACTAGATGTAAAGTTGAGTTATGCATACTCGGAGGTCATGAACGGCGGGACACACGGATGAACCAGTACGCCGTCTGCCCAGTCGTTGTGCGAGGTAGGCAAACCGCTCTCTGGCGGCGGTTGGAACGCGCCGCAATACGGATACTGTGAAACGTAACGAGCCTCATTGTTGATAACGGCTTTGACAAGCGTTGCGAGTCCTTTGTCTATAGACAAAAGCGAATGATAATGCGCGAACTAGAGGAACTCATCAGACACAACGTTGTGGAGGATCACGCTTTGCATACCTGATTGGCTGTGTCTCTCAGCCATTGTGCACTACTCAAAATTCAGAGTTTCGTTCAAGATGTGTATTATATATTCCGTACGTAATATCCTGGAGAAAGTGAATGAGCTTAGGTTTTATGTTCAAATAGAGAATCTTACGCCCGTGATAATAAACGCAAGGTTCTCGTTCTGTTTGCCAATCAGCGTATACAAAGCTCCAGATTTCCAAGACCGCCCCCTTACCTCATCGAAATATTTCACTGTCGTATCTATAACAATCATAAATGTGGATTCATGCGAGAACAAGCAATACACCTACCAAGTGTATTCGGGAAGGTATTTTCGAACAGCCTAGCAAGGTCTGGGTCTTTCAAACGAGCTTTCATGTCATCGATGACTTTCTGAACAATTCTTCCAGTTCTTGCTTTGCTGTTTCTGTAAAAGAACTACATACCTCAACCGCTGAGCTGTTGAAAGTACGACATGCAGGAGCTGGTCTCATGTATGGCAAAGCCAGAGGGCCAGAAGACTTGTTTCCTTGCGGGACCTTTCAAATATAGAGTTAAACTTATGAATGGAAGACATGATGCCCACGAAAGTCATACCTGAGAGAATGTGGTGTAGTCTGGACATTGAGCCTGCACGATTGCCGCGCCTCCAAGGAGAGCAGCAAAGGCACCCAGACCCAATTTCATCGTCACTGTATGCCAGGTGTCAAGCGTCCACCAAAACCGGAGGAAGGTCTGAAACCACTCGGCGAGCATGCTTTCGATGCTTTATACTGTCAACGCGAACAATTCTCGAAGCAATCTTTAGAATGGAATGACAGGGCGGTCCGTAACCGACGTCTCGATGCCGTTCACGGGGACAAATTCATGAGGTTATGGACTAAATAAACTCTACCCTGCTGACCTTGATGAGGTTGAGGAAGTCGACGCGCCAGCGTTGCAATCACGTCGGACGCGGTCACATGCACAATGATCGGAGGGTGTTGAAACCAGGTTTAGAAGGTGACTAGGAATTGCAGGGAGAAGGGGAGATACGGTGGCTGCAGACGTACACCGAGCGTGGCAAGGATACGCCGAATCTCGTTTCTGTTGCGATACAAGAACGACTTCAGCATTAAGACACAATATGACACATACAAGCAGCACCATCGTAAACACAGATACTTGGCAATACGAAACGCAGATCCTGAACCAAAACAGAACTCATGCGACTGAACGAAAGAGGACAATAGAAAACGTGACCAAAGAAACATAAACGAGATACTACTAATCGAAGGTCAGTAAAGATATTGGTATAACAAGAACAAAACTTGCCGACTATGGGAATATTTGAATTAGGGTATTTTCAGTAAGGCAAAGGGGTAGATGGTGCAGAAACAAACGTGTCCGTATGGTTGTCGCTGGTTGCGAGACTGTGGAGGTCATCTTGGGAAATTTGGTGTGAATGAACAGCGACAGCATCCTCCTGTTTCTCAGTCGGAGTTGCGTCAGATGGGGGCAATGGCGGGGCAGCCTGGAGAGGTAGATTTGATCGTTTCGGTGTTTCGAGAGACTTTTCCTTAGTAGACGCACTCTCCTCGGATACATGCGCCTGCAGTTGCAATGGTGGTACTTGAGCTTCGGTAGCATCTGACTTAGCAGTATCATCCGTCTCGGTGGTGGATGTGATAGAGAGATGTTCCATATTGTTCGCCAGATGGTCCGAAGGAGGGCTGGTGTGATAGTGCTGCTCAACGCCAGTCTCTTCCCGTTCCTCAGCACTCCCTTCGGCATGAGTCAAAGAACTGCCCTCAGTCTCCGCAATGCTTATGGGACCAGTCCTATAGCTTCCATTCGTCCATAGGCTCCTTTCTCTCAACCCGCTGGGAGTCCCGGGACCTAGGCTTGGGCTCGTACCACCCAACCTAGCACTCCAGCCACTTGCTTCGCTTTCCCAACTACCTCTCCTTGAGCTTCTTGGACGCAGCGCACGTACACTAGCGTCGATGTCGCCAAACAGATCGCGGTCTGCATCCAACAATCGTTCATCATCACCTTCTCCATCTGCATCACCAACCAGGAAATGACTCGTGCTGTCCCCAAGACCATGCCGATGGCTGAAATGTGAGATAGAATCATCCGCTATTGAGGTCCGACCAGACAAAGCGAGTGCGCCTACTCCGACTCGACCTGGAATGCCGAATGCAGAAGAAGCAAGCGTGAGCACAGATGCATCATCCATTGGTGGCGAAGAGGGCCTAGGATTATTCCGGGGATGGTGGGTGGTATGCTGGGGTGCTTGTAAAGGCCCATGGCTCGCTCCGCCACGAGAAGAACTTGAGACATGGCCCTGGGTTGATGAAGGACGAGACGGCGCCGTAGTCGGCGGCAACACTGAGAAGGTGATAGAGCCTCCGCCGGGTCCACTGGAATGTGTACGAAGATGTGCACCCAGTCTGTGGGTAGGAATGGTTGGAGTGGGAGGTGCTTGAGCAATATGGGCCATACCGCCAGTCAAATCAACGCTAAGCAACGTAGTAGGCTTAGTGCTCGCCGCCATACTAGCGAACGTTCGTGGATCGGAGAGATACGAGGATGAAGATCGGGAGGGTGAAGGTGAAGGGGGTGTGCTAGGTGGTATAGGCCGCATTGACGCATCTTCGTCCGCTTCGTATACACTATTGGGTGACCAAGTTGAATCCAGAGCACTGGACGTGCGGCGTGGATCAACTGAGTCTGACCTACGGCCGTCAGTAACGCTACTATAATCATCCTCCTCGTTCAATGATATGGTGTTCGGTTTAGTGCTCGTAACAATACTAGCTGGTCGTACTTGTTTCACATTCTTGTTATTCCGTTGTTTGGCCAGTGTGGCAGGTAGTGGTGGAACCGGCACAGATGATCTACGTCTTTCCCTGAAATTGGGCGAACGAGTGCCGCTAATGCGCTGAGCACGCAGTGCGTCCCCGTCTGAAGCTCTCCTCGCCCTTGTGCCTGCCAACTTCCGCTGGAACCAGTTTATGAACGGCTTACTGGACTTTCTGGCTAATTTCTTCGTTTGGGATTGAGTAGCAGGAGTGGTCTGCTGTTGTACTGGATCTGAATCGGCTTTGGTTACGAGGGGTGGTCGCTGGGCAGCCTCTTTCTTGTTCCTAATGGTTTGATTAGCATCTGGCTGGCGTCGGGCATCCTTCGAGCTAGGCTTTGCAGTTGAATCCGTCTGCTGAACGTTCGTAGGCTTTGGCGAGAGAGGTACAGGCATCGTCGTGGAGAGGTGGCAAGGAACACGAGGGAGCAAGGAGAAAGTGCGGCATGTGGTTGTTTAGCCGAGAGCCATTGACATGGGACCGTAACAGGAACCGATGATCCCGCTTAGCCTTCTACCATGATCCTACGCAACCTCCCTCGCTTCTACAGGCCTCTCTGCTCAGAACTACATACCCAGTCTCCGTATCCAAACTTTCCGTCTCGCAAATTGCATGGCAATGCTAACATCACAGACCCACCAGCCAGCGGCATGTCTGCTAATATCTCACTCGCTCATCCTCGGGATCCTGCCTCATCGAAGTCTTCAACTGTAGGCTCGCCAGGCAGCACTAGTCCACCGGATATACACTCTGTGCCACCCCCATCCTCATCCGCACCTCCTCCGTCTCCGCCACCGCCAATCAAGGACACTGAGGACACTGAGCATGTACCAATACCGGAGAACTTTGCACCCGTTGTTGCTACTCCGCCAATAGAATCAACCCTACCATCACCACACCAAGTCGCGCATCTGCAATATGCCACCCCTCCTTTCAATACTCACAAGTTCTGCAGGCAGTTAGAGTTGTCTTTCCCAAGAGAATCGGCAGAAGGTCTCATGCGTGCTACTCGTGCACTACTCGTGGACCGCATAGGCAAGGTCAGGAGGGATGCTTTGACTAGCAAGGACCTTGAAAGTGTACGTCTCGTCTCGTCAGGTGGATATATAATAAACAATGTTATATCTTCTATGTTGCAGCAAGAGTATCTTTTCAAAGCAGCACTGTCAGAGCTGCGTACCGAAATGACCATGCGCGCGCGCACTGGATCTGCTTCAATGAGATCCGCGACCGCTGCACTTCGCCGAGAAGTGGACGCACTAGACGGGAGGATGAAGGAAGACTTGAGTAATCTGAAACATGAGTATGTTATTCAAGTCGCTACGATTATATTCATCTTTGCTGAATCTTCCCACTCGTAGAATCCAGATGGAACTGGATAACAGGAAGAACGAAGCTAGAAATGACATGAAGCGACAGGACATCCAGAATGAGGTTTGTCCACATCATATTTCTGGATACATATTGTAATGTATCGCCGTCAGGAATTGTTGAACAAGTCTCTCGTTACGCTTGGCGAACTTCGTACCATGATGGAAGAAGCTCGCTGGGACAATATGCGAAATTCTGTCGGTGAGTGGGTCGATTTAGATGCATTCTGCTCTTCTGATTTCAAATGTTGAACGTTTGTCCAGCTGCGTTGACCGGCTTTTTACTCGTCATAGTGCTTTCCATGGAGTTGCTAGTCACGAAGCCCAAGCCTCCTCCCCCGCCTCCTAAGCCAGACATCAATCATCCAGAAGCAGAGGGGCTTCAGAAGATGGACTGGGTTACATGATCATTGCCCTCGCGCTCTCTTTATCACTCTCGGACGATCATCATGTCTCCTTGGATTATTTCACTAACCATATTCAAATTTGAACGGGCTTACTGGGTATGCTTTTGTATCACATAGCATTCACTTTCCTTTACACATAGATCATTCAAGTCATTCACTGCATAGTATCCCTACCGGTACAAATCAAACGTAATTATATCAATACACCCTTCTATACCTCCTCCGATTCAAGAGATGAGAAAAACCATAAGTGCATCACCGAACGTCAAGCTTCTCCAACTTCTCCGCAAGTGCAGCTCCCTCATCCTCTTCCTTTGGTCCCTTCTTCTCCTTCGGTCCTGGAGCAGCAGCCCAGTTTGGTTGTTCGGCCGTGTGTACACCCTTACTTTCCGCCTCCTTCAATTCAGTCACCTTGCCCGTATCTTCCTCATCCTCATCTTCCCAGCTATCTTTGATCTTTGCCGCCACCTCTTCAGACACCTTCTCCTTCCGCTTCTCTTTTCGCTTCTCGTTCTTCTTCGCAGATTTCGACTTGGCAGCTGAAGACGAAGTAGAGGAAGCGGTTGGAGGGACCCAGCCTATGATGTGCCCTTTCGGGAGCACTGTTGCATCCATCTGGGCCTGCTTGGTTCCTCGGAAACGGCGAACATCTTCTTGTGGTGTGAAACCGGGTCTAATCTTTAGCTGTTTACGGACTCTGTATTTCCAAGTGATTGTTCCGATAGGGCAACAGAGAGACCAGCACACGAGATATCAAGTGAAGTGATAAACATAAACATGAAGAGATCGAAAGAAAGCATGAGCATATTGATCACTCTGAACCTGATCAGAGAACGTACGTGCCGTCTGGTCTGCGAGATTCTGGTATGACGCGTTCGAGTGTCCTAGGGTCTAGAGTGATACCCGCCGCACTGGCCTTAGGGAACAGGTCAGGTTTCGACATGATGAAATGTTGAGGATATTTTCGTCTGAAAGAATACTACACAAGTCAAACAAGGAAAGAAAGAGGATTGAGAGCAGAATGAGAGTGTAATGGATGTATGCGGTCGATGTTCAAGTCGAGGAAACAGACGCGCATAAAGAAGCCTCGATCGTGCTCGTAAGCGCCGCTTGATCGCCTCTTCCTGTTTCTCATCTTCCTCATTTATAACCGACTGGATACCCTCGAACAACTCTCGTAACTTCTCTACTTCACCTCCATGCGCTACGCCGTACTAGTAACAGGCCCTGCAGGCGCAGGAAAATCAACATTCTGCTCATCATTTGTCACCCACCTTCAAACATCAAAACGTACAGGTCACTTAGTCAACCTGGACCCTGCAGCAAACAGTGATGCATTCGAATACGAACCTGCGATTGACATTCGTGACTTGATAAGTCTAGACGATGTCATGAGTGAGTTGGGCTACGGTCCAAATGGCGGTTTGGTGTACTGTTTCGAGTGAGTGAGTGTATCCAATTTCATGTGCTTCAAGGGAAACATCTGGACGGCAGCGGCGGATGAATCATGCGAGCAGTTTGCTTACTTATCTCTCTTACTTTCTGCAGATATCTACTACAAAATATGGATTGGCTTGAAGAAGAACTGGGTGGTTATGATGATGACTACCTCATCATTGACTGTCCAGGTCAAATCGAACTATACACCCACCATCCATTCCTATCCACCCTTGTCCGGAATCTGCAGAGGATGGGCATCCGGACATGTGCCACTTATTTGATTGAATCACAATTCATGGAAGACAAATACAAGTTCTTCAGGTACGTTACGAGAGCTCCCCTTTTTTGTTTGGACGTCTTGCTGAGTGATCCTCCTTATCTTACAGCGGTGTCTTGTCGGCAATGTCGGCCATGGTAAACCTTGAAGTGCCTTGGATCAACATCATGTCGAAAATGGACCTTGTAACGAGTAATACGGAAGACTCGGGGAGTGGACGGAACGGTATACGAGCGACGAAGGATATCGCAAGGTACGTTTATCCCCATTCTACCCATATTATAGTTGTCCGATGCTCACAATAAAATACGCAATAGATATCTTGACCCAGATCCTCTTCTCCTGGTTTCCGCACCTGGCAGTAGGGACGAAAAGACGGAACGAAATTCAAAATTCCACGCTTTGAACCGAGCAATAGTTCAATTAGTACGTTCTCGGACATTCCTTAGATATTCGCGCCATTTGAACTCATTGGGGTGTTTCATTTCTGCAGATCGAGGATCACCCGCTTGTATCCTTCCTACCGCTGGACCTGACAAACCCAGATTCAATAGAAACCGTCCTGAGTCATATCGACTATACAATGCAATACGGCGAAGATGAAGAGCCGAAAGAGGTACGTTGCTGTGTTCCCTGTCCAAGTTGTCGTTCGCCACCATCAGTTCTTCCTCTCCTCGATGATAAGCAAAGTTCGTTCATTCGCTAACTTGGTCCTCTGCTCTCTATAGCCGACAAATCTTGATGAAGGCGACTTTGCGGACCTGGAGTAATCGTAGCCTTTAGTCCCGTGTGGTGGGAGTTGATCTACGGGAGGGACGGAGCCCTCATGTATCTGACACACTGTATTTGACCGATTTAATGCATCCTGTAGCACTAACGACCCTTAGTTTACAAGTCTACCCTTATCATCATCATTTCCACATCTCCACCGTACTGACAAAGCCAACAACCACCCAACATTCAAGCTTCAAGCTACAAGCATCCTACATCGGGCTCCGAGGTCAAATTCCGAGCTTAGTAGCGCATGTGTCATGCGTCTGCTAAGCAAGTAGCGCTATGCATAACGGCCTCGCAGACGCTGCTTTTTGACCATTTTGACTGGATCTTCGCTTGGTGTCAGCATATCGCTAGTGAGAATGGGTACCTTACTATCCTATCGCGTGCGAAAACGAAAGGTCTGAAGGGTTTAACATGTCAGGTGTGTCATTCTTAGTGTATTCGTCTGGTGGTGAATTAGTTCACTCATCGTCGGCGATCCCTGTATCCCAACACAGCTCAACACGTTTTCCGTCTGATTTCGAACGCCGATCATTGTATTTCCTTGTCAGCAACGATGTATGTCATATTTTGCTCTCGCTACTGTGTGCGACTAACATGCCAGACATATTGCATCTAAGTTCAGGGTTCATTCTCTCGTTTGAATTGAAATCCAGAAACGCAAACCATTCAGAAACATTGACGCGTGTTATTTCAAGCTTCTCTGCCTATCTTTACAACTTTGAAGCTCGAACGCTTGCTAGAACTCAGATCCTTGATACCAAGTCTATATCCCGCGCTTTCCGGAACAGGCGTGAGTACCTTGGTATGCAATCATCAACCTTAACCATATTGATCACTTATTAGCGGCAGCTTTGGAGGAGGCCTGAAACTTGAAACCCTACTACGAGTGCGTCAATCCAAATGATCCCCCGCCTTTGCATTCAATCAATATTACCGCCGCCGCACGACTTGGGTAGCCACCACTCATGACCCAATTGAATTCACCCTTAATGCATTATGAGTAAACATTCAGAGTTTGACATACACCGCCCATTGCTCTGAATAGCATCTTCGCCATTACCTCCTGGATGAATGTAGAGTCAGATATATTGCGCAGCACTGCGGTCGTCGGGAGGCCGCAAGCTCAAGCTTCAAGCCTTCAAGGGTCCTGTGTGTTGATTGGTGGAGACTTGAGAGGACCCTGTAACATTGGACTCTGACAGGCCACGCTTTGTTTTTCAAGTTGGCGACAAAGATATATGTGGACACTGTGACCGCGGTGGGCTTCCGTGACCGACGGATTCTGGTAGTGAAGAATTAACAAGTGAAGCACAGGGCTCACTGTCAGCGCTCAGTGTCCACTGCGGGCATTAATTCATGTACCACCTACTGCCGTCGTATGCAGTTTGTCGAAGCAGACTCGATTTATACAACCATGTCATACTCCGAGCCTCCAAAATTACGATAGGAAACATAGAGACATTCGTTTACGTACCACAGTACTAAAAGTACTACTAAGCAACCAACGTCACAAACTCCAGAGGATCAGCGAAACTCCAAAGAAGTTTAGAAAGACGGAGTGCTGGCTGGGAACCTTGATACCGACGTTTCATTCCAGATAAGCTGTCTCCACAGTGCGATCCACTTTACTATGTAACCCTAATATCTGTTTGGCAGTTGACCGACCCTGATGATGCGGAGGCCTGACGTGAAAGTACCACGTTCCCGCGACTCCTGAGGTTTGACATTGTTACGAAATCACATGGAGGGCTCGGAATAGATCACCTGTAGATACGTTGCTTGGTCAGTCGTGTTATAACTATTATATCATATACGGTTTTTGAATGATTCGTTTGATCTCACAATGAGCTTGATGTCATGCACCCTAGGAGCACTAAGCTACAGAAGGTATCCAGGAATCGTAAACGTGGCATTGGTATAACTTCAGCGTCCAAAGCAGAAGGTTCGTGATAGTCATGATTGAGTCATGATATGATGATTAGGCCCAAACTGCCGTAGGACGCCAATCGGAATCCTGTTACGGTGGCAATCATGCTTCATTTAGACATAAATGTCCCGTAAGAAGGAGCGAGATATCGAGAACATGAATGCCGTGGAGTTTGGCAATTGAGTGGTGAACAGACGCTGAAGCCTCGTGAAGTACACGCGTAGAGCGAAGAGGGGGAAGAAGGAAGGGAGATGGGAGCCCCGCCATACTTCCGATGTGGGTGGGGCGGGGGAGGAATATCGGAATGGGCAGGTAGGGTACGGTAGGGACGTATTGTTCAAACTCGGTATGCGATCGTTGGAACAGCTTGGGTTTCAAGATGCCTCGCGTTGACCAGGAGGCAAATCACAGGCTGATCTTGCGAGCCCATTCCTTGCACGTATACAAATGATGAAACAGTAAACTGAATATCCGTACATGTTTTCGCCATCGTCGTATAGTATGGGAAGCTGTGTGGTGGAGGAGGTCCAACAATAAACCACCGCAGGCAGGCGGTGAAACCATCAATTGCATGGCGGGGTCACTGTGACTGTAGGTATCGTTGCGCCTCAGAAATGGGCCCCAAAAATGCTGGAAAAATGCGGAAATTCCTGTGCTGAGTAACGATGGACGTTGAGCCTCTCCGACGGAAGGGGAAGGCAGAACGTCGCGACGTGCGGACGGAGCATGACGAATGAGTGACTCGCCTGAGTTTGAATGAGTACTTTGATATGAGACAAAATCTCTTTACGCGGGCATGCAGGGACTGGTAGCGTTGGCAGCGCTCGATAGAGTTGTGAAATCTGCCGCGGGGGAACTGAAAATAGACATAATAGCCTCGTGTATCTGTCGGTGGCGACGCTGGAGGACGGAAACAAGGTTGCGAGACGGAAGCATCGCTTAGCGCCGTCGATCAAAAGATCTCGATCTGAGGAGCCGGAGTGCCCGATCACGGAGGAAGAGACATACCAAAAGCAGACAACTGTGCCGCATCTTTTGAGAGAAACGGTGCGCATCTGGATGGCGATTCTGTTCCGGGCTGGCGGCAGCTCCGGAGGAACGTCATGTTTAATTTCGAGGTAATAAGCGAGTGGATGTACAGATCCACTCGCAAACTTTCTCCCATCGCCACTCATCTGAATATAAAATCACCATGTATCCTGCAAGCTATCCAAACAACTCTGTTCCCTTCCCCCAGACTGTACCAGTTTACACTCAATCGCAGACACCTTACCCTTCTCCTTACGCATCTTCTTATCTCCAACCGACGATTCCTTCTAATATGCCCACTTACGCCTACCCCGCCCATTCTTCACATCACTCACGTCCTCGCGCGCATTCGACCTCTTACAATGGCTACACTCAACCGGTAATTTACGCACCGAGCCATCACAGTCATGGCAGTCGCCGTAGCCACAGTCATTCTCGCAGCCACGGTCATGGTGGCTCTCATTCTCATTCCCGCCACCACTCAACCTCAGGCTACCGTGACTCGGGACACAGACATCACTCGACGGCTGGGTACAACCAGGCGTACTACGCTCCCGCACAAAGCTACTACCCAAGTGGCGGACACCAGCCATATTACCAGCCTTCTGGTCATTATCAGAGTAGTCCCCAAGTAGTACGTGTCGAGAGCCGTCACCAGCACAATGTGTTGGTACGTATCCTCCTTCTCTTTGTCCCTTACCATATATATCCTGACATTTGATCTGAATTTGTAGGCGAATCCTCATCACTCTTATCATTCTCGTCGATACTCCGAACCCTCTTTCGGCGAGCGTCTTCGCCACTTTTTCACCTTTGGTGGCTCTTCTCGCCACTCCCGTTCGCATTCGCGATCTAGGGATGGTCGATATACGAGCACCCGTAATATCGGCAAGGTCGACGACAGAGGCAGGGAGATCTATCGGGTCTAATTCCCCTCCCATATCTCCCATTCATCAATTCTTGCTTCTTGATCAGGACTCACGAATAAGTTATCTTCAGTGCTCAACGCTTGTACTCTCACTCTCATCTTTATTCCTATCTTGTTTTTCACGTTGCTTTTGAATTCTGTATCCAGGACCATCTATGCTACTCGAATACCTCCAACTCGCCCAAGTTCCTATTGTATTTCTTGGCGTCATCGTCCCTCTTTCACCCTGCTTTCCTTGTCTTTTGTTGTCTTACTACTACTAGCTCAAGTCTGCCTAGGTTCCAGTCTCCAATTGTACTCTATGTCTGCTACCCAGCTTTTACGACCCAAATGTAATTGTACGCTAGCTCCAGTTTCTTACAAGCAATCGAATGCTTTTCAAACATTTTTACTGGAACGTCAAGGGACGACATGAGGAACGGCTCACAATCGAGACAAGCACATAAGATCTATTATAACGCAGACCAAGTACAGTATACGATATATCTTTCTCAAGCAAACAAGCTAGATCTATGACTAGTATCGATACAAAAACTATATACAGGATGTAAAGACAACAAACAACAATTGTGGAATCAAATATACGCGTATGCATATACAGCAATAAGTTCTAGAACAAAAAAATAGGGAGGGGGCATGAAAACTTGGAAGCATATACAAGCATGTATATATCTATGAGGGGTCTAGGGAATAAGGGTGAAAAGGAATGAGAAGTAAGGAAAAGAAAAGCCATTGAGGTTGGAGCATATGGTACAAGATTCAAGGAGAAGGTCGATGTGGTAGACACGTTTTACTCCTTTGGGAATACTATGGTAACTCATAGCATGAGACGACGGGAGCCAATACAACAAAAGAGTGAGAGAGTGAGAGAAAAGAAAACAAAGGAGTGAGCAAATCGCCCACAGGCGTTTATAACGAAACAATAACAGAAACGAATCCAGAAAAGCACAGAAACGTCAAGTGCGTGAACGCACGGCTTTGAAGGTAGATCATTCGGTCGCCATCTCGACGTCTCCAAATTGATCGTACCCACCACTACCGCTCGCAGAGGCAGCAGCGCCAGTGGCATTCTTATTTAAAGACGCTTGTTGCCACAACGAAACTTGGTCCACAATCTTTGACATCGTGTTGATGACTTGCACACGAGTTTTGACTTGACTTGGATCATCCCTGGGGCCTTCCCACAGGACAGCAATACTGACTTCGATCTACAGAGGAAGCCGAGGTCAACGTAAATCACACCACAGATAGTTAAAAATACGAATTGATTAAAAGAACGAACCTTCTCAGCAAGCTCTGCCAAAGCCTCTTCAAGTGCATTCCCAACAGCTTCAGCAGCTTTGGTCAGTCGACCCATGATGACGTCCGCTGCACCATTGAACACTTCATCCTTGACACCATCCACAAAGTCATGGAAGAGAGCCTAAAGCCAACCAATTAGTCTGAATTGCAATCAACTGACACAAGGCGAAATGTGCTCCCTCACCTTTTGACGAGCCACACTGCCCCTACCACGTTCCTCCATGGCGCGCTCATATCCATCGACCAATTGGTTCTGCACATGAGGGGCCAGACAACGACTAACTTCCTTCTGCTCGGTATTGATAGTATCCCGAACAACGTCGATAGTCTTCCTGAGAGCGACCTTTGCCTCGTCCAATGACAAGTCCGCTTGTCCCTTAGCGCGTTCCTTCAAGCCCTGAGCAGCAGAGTCTTCGACTTCTTTGAGGAGCTGTTGTATTACTGTAGTGGCGGACTTGTCAAATGATGCAAAGAGGTCGGATTCGAAGACTTTGGACCACGAGCTGGCGATGTTGCGCGTGAATGGGTTGCTTAGCTCGACGTTGAGATCTTGACGCCAGGAGCCATTGCGACGGAGAGCTGTCCGGAATGTTAATGATTAAGGCTGGAAGTGAACGATGATCGAGCGACTTACTGGCACGATATGTAGCCCAGTGCATTGATGCAGCGAAGTTGTCTGAGGTCGGTACAGCAGCTGCGGCAGCCTGGATTATAAAGGTTAGTAATGGCGTAAGTCTGGATCATGAAAAAAGTTCAGATCGTACATTAGTAGCTCCTATTATACACTTCTCTTCCAAACCATCACGGAAACGATTCTGTAATTCATGAACGCAGTCGTCAACGACTTGTCTGAAGTCCTAGATTTTTATGAAGGTGTCAGTGTCTGAGTAATGGATTTTCGCAGAGCTATCGTACCCTGATGAGCCGTGGAGTGACACCAACAGCTTCCCCGTACTCATCGACCTTTTCAGGTTTCGTGTTCATGGAATAGAGACCAGCGGCGAACAACCCATTGGTCAAGTCACTCAGGTCCAACCCTGGCATATCCACATCCGAGCTGGCCCATCCGCCACCATAAGCTGATGCGCCGTCGTCGTCCATATCGTCCGGCATAGATGACTCCCATTTCTCTCGCAGAGTCTCTCGGTCTCCTACGGTTACGTCCCCAATGCCCTGGAAGTATGAGCGAACGGAGTTGGCGAAGGTCTTCAAGTGAGTCAGAAAGTTCCGGGCTGCGCGTTCTCGTGAGGAGACTGTCAGTGTGTGGCACCATTCTTGCAACTCGGGTACACCGGTGTCCTGTACATTTGTAAAACAGGTCGAGTCGCCATCTCCCTTCACTTGACCTAAAAAGGCAGACATGAGTTCATTCATGTACAAAATCATGAACGAAGCTCTTACCTTTGAGGCGGACATAGTCTCGAGAGGAAACAGTGAAAACGGGCAAGTCGATTTCATCATAATCTTCATGGTCATGTCAGCGTCAGAGATTTCCATAATCTGGGTAGCACTCACTGCGAATATTGACAGTTGGATCAAAGCTATCAGGGTCGCGCTGTTCTGCAGCAGCATCTAGAGAGGATTCAGTTACTGTTACGCAATATTTCATAATCAGTACTGCATACCGTCAAGGTCCTTTAGACCAACTCGAAAATCTTCCTTCAGGACGTCTCGTGAGAACTAAAATACGGTGAAATTAGTAACAAAGAATAGAGATCAGGTGGCTCAACACTAACCTCCGAACGCTTTAGAGAGCAGAAAGCGTTCTTTTCCCTCTGCGCTTTCGACTCCCTCTTCTTCAAGGTGGCAAGTTCATCACTCGCCTCCTTTCTGAGCCTTCGACATTCGGACAGATTCTTCCTGCCTTCCTTGATCACTTCCTCCAATTCCTCGATCTTGGCTTTGAGGCTTTCCTGCGTCACTTCCTCCTGCGCCTCTTCATCATCGTCATCTTCCCCTTTGTCGCTGGAAGCATCCAAGTCGGCATCAGAATCGTCGGATTTCTCGCTTTCGCTATCTGAGTTCTTATCGCTGCCAGAATCAGAAAAGTCGAGCTCCTCGTCGTCGTCAACGATAAAATCGTCCTCTTCATCATCTGACACAGTCTTCCGCCTCTTTGAAGAACCTTTGTCGCCGCGACTGCGCTTCCGCTTCTTGCCCTTCGTGGAATCTTCCTTGGCTTTGGGCTTCTTCGCGGTTAAAAGCGGAGCAAACGATTTGCCATTTTGAATGGCCTTTAGATGATCTTTGTACTCTTCAAGCAAGGGTCGAGTTTCCTTGAGTTCCTTATCGACAGCTGTAATCAATCATGAGTATGCATAGTGATAATCATACCTGCAGCCATTTCTCACCTTTCGCTGCCGCTTCAGCATCATCTTTCTTTTCTTTCCATTCTGCCATCTCAGCCCTGCACGTGTCTATTTCCTCTTCGATTGGCTCCAACTCGGGATCATCGTCGAGATTGAGTGCACGAATAACCTCCGAACACGATATATCATCGCACTTAGTAGCTGTAAATCAATGTGATCAGAATCGCTGAGACAATATGTCAGAGAGCAGAACATCATATACCAATGAAAGTGATCGCGTGTGCATCGTAGCTAGAAAGATAGGTAAGTAATGGAATGTGGGATAGTCATCCAAAGTGTGCACGTACTTTCCATCTATGGAGGAGGACAGTCAGATATTGGTTCGAAGCCCAAATGATATATGCAGATGACTCACCCATCATGAGCTGCATCTTGAACGCGTCGCCCATAAGGTCTACGGACATCTAGGGTCAGCCTCGTAGATGTTACGACTGGAAAAATGTGACTGACCTCTTGCAGTCTTGTCATCAACAGCTCGCGTAATAGGTGCTAAGATCCAGATGCAATCACATTTCTTCATGTAGTCTTTCGCAATGTTGTTTCGTGCAGCGTTGGCATCGGCAACACCAGGCAGGTCGACGAGAACTGCGCCCGTTGATAAGGCAGGTGCGTTGCAGTGTACGTTTACTTGTCGAATCAGAGGCCAGAAGGCGGGACCATCTGTGTCGTCCTTGTCCTTTTTCTTGCCGGTCTTCTGAGCGAACTTCTCTAGCAAACTCCTGCCCTTGGATTCCTTCTCTTTCTCCTTGCCTTTCTTCTTGTCGCCACGTTTCTGGTCCTTGGAATCAATGTATTTCCCGATTTCTTTGGCAAACGTCTTCGAGTCATTAGCGGTTATATGCTTAGTTGTTCCAAGAATGCTGGCAATTCCTACATAACGCAGATTAGGTGAGCACGTTCTAGTAAGTCTGCAGTACATACGAGGATCGAGTGCAATGATATGATCAATCGACATCTTGACTAGTTGCTCTTGAGAAACTTTGGGATACACCGCATGCACCTAAGAAACATCATCAGTCACTGAGATCGCTGGTGCACCCGAAAGCGTTCAGTTCCCACCTTTTGCCAGGCAACACCTGCATCGCTACGCAAATCCGTGCTGCGCTTCAGGTTTCCCTCTTCATCGACAAGGTCGTCCAGAAGGACAGCCAGCTCCTCACGCCATTCTTTCTCAGATAGAAAAGATACGTCGGCATCGATTGTCCTCTTGGGGTGATAACCGATTTCCGTCACGACAGCAGTGCAAGCTGTGACAAAATTATAAGAAGACCCACTGAGTTGATGGGCAATTTACTCGCCTCGCATGCCACTAGTAGGGACAATGTTATCTGTGGATTGTGTCAATCTTAGGATCACATGAATAACGTATCGTAAACGTACCGTCGAGGATGGCATTGAGGATAGAGGATTTTCCCGCTCCAGTTGCTATTAAACAATTGTGAAAAGGGATGATTACAGTGTGGGTGAAACGACTTACCGCCACACACAGCGATCATAGTGCTTGGGGCACCTTGGGATTGCAAGCTGGACAAAGACTTAGAAGTTGACTTGCCTCGTCTATGTGCAAATTCTCACCTCTCGATCTCGCGTAACCAAACGTCCTTACGCATCTTACTCCCGATTTCGAGCTTCTTGATACTAGCTTTGATAGTCTTTACCATCGCCAGGCCTTCCTTCAACGCATTCTCAGGTACGAAATTAATCTCATCTGCTGAGTGAAACTCTTTGAAAAGAGAAGGTATGGATTCAGATGTTATTGGCTGAGCCCCAACTGTAGCATCTTGCATCTCGACATCTTCGCATTTCGGAGGTAGACGCGAAGCAGTTGCCGACGCGCCGTTAGACAAGCCATGGCTGGAGGGTTGAGCAGTGCCAACTGTGTCTGATATCTAAAGAAATGTTGAGTGTCGCCTTAGCTCAGTGAGGGACACTACTTACAACGCGTGTGTGGTCAATGACTTCATTCTTCACCTTGACTTCGCTGCCGGGGGCGGTAAGAGCCACACCCGATGACTTCCTAGCAAAGAAGGAGGTGATTTTAGGTTCTGTAGGTTCTGGTTTAACGATGGAATGCTGCAAAGAACATTTGCCACACCGCGTCAGAAGCGAATAAAGTAAACCTTGTATTTAATGGACGCGACATACCGGCGGCTGGTTCGCGCCCATGTTTTCCTTCTGACTCGGGTCCATGAGCCCAAAGAACGATGCGAGTGAGCTGAGAATTGTGCTGCTATGAGTAAAGATGGCCAGAGAGAAAAAGTTGTGTAGGATCGGATGATCGTCGCGTAAATATGAGGCGTCGTCAAGTGGTGGACTTTGACGAGGCCAAAGTGAGCGTCAAACGCGTACCGTCACACCTTGTCACAGCGCGTCTCTCGACCGTCCCTCGCCTAGGCTTGTCACAAACTAATACTTTGATGTCATGACTTTGACACTTCTGACTTCGGACTGTGGCGTTCTGGCCTACGATGTAAAGAAGAATATTATCCTAAACAAGTCAAAGCCTTTGGGGTAACCAATGTCCTTTCAACTGCCTCGCAATATTTCTTTCCACATGTGACAAAGCCTGAGGTCGATTTGAGGATGGGCCTTCGCAGTCAAAAGAGTCACTCGTAATGCCAAGAAGCAACGCACGGCCCTGTGAGAAATACTGTAGCTCCGATGGTGCAGACTGCTCCTCGAATTCGGTGGAATCCTCTTCAGATGCGGGGTTAGAAGAGGTAGACCAGGAGATTTCTGCTACCCGTTCCCCAGAGACAGAGATTATGTCGTCGCGAGTTTCACCCTCGCAGAGGTCGAAAAGATATCCTTCGTCGTCCTCTATTATTGAAGCCGAATGGGCTGCGTATTCCTCGCTGCCGGGATCGTGAGATTGTAACGGTGCAGATGCGCTTTCCATAGCGTTGTTGAAGGGCATTCCACGCAAATTATGTTCATCATCGTACATGTTTGGGTGCCGTGTGGTGTCCGTTTGGGAGTCTGAATAAACGGAGGCATCGTCGGGAGAAAGGACTGCAAATTCGTCGCTATCGTAGCAAGCACCTTCACAAGAGTTGTGAAACGCAGTATCCAGAGACATGGCTTCATCCTCGGAAAGCGTGGGTCCTGAATGCAAATTTGGCCTCAAAGAAAATGACTCATGGACCCAGATACTTGCATCGTCCATTCCACCGTCTTCTCCCTCAGAAAGCTCCGCGTTTGATGTATTCTCATGAATGATCTCAACCTCTGGATATGCCTCCGACGAGCCAGCGAACAGATGCAGATGCAAGCCTGCGATGGACTGAAGTTCGCGGTCAAAAGAACAGACAGTCTGAACAGATGACGGTTGTGGACTGATAAGCTCGCTTCGATACGGCAATTCTCCAATTTCGACCGTGGACCGCTGCTCTTGCAGGGCGGGAGATTCATCCTCGATACTGTCCACGGGCGAATCTTCATCGTTATCGACATGTACTCGTTTGGCTTCGGTTGGTTGCGAGTCGACCTCTGCAGGCGAATTTCTGAAGTATTTCGAGACATCTATTGGTGCAGGTTTTGGATATTCTGCGAATAAAACTTGTGATGCTGATTGAGAAGGCCGCAATGACACTGACGACTGTGATTCGGGTTGAGGGTCGTCTGGACCAGTTGGAGATGAAACGAGTAGAGGTTCCGCAGGCAACGTAGCAGCATTCGGGTAACTTTCCTGGGCAGTCCATTTCCGAGTTCGGGTGTCAACAACCATACTTTGTGAAACCGTAGATTCTACGTCCAAGGCGTTGTCGCCAAGTTCGATGTCCCAGACCACAGATTCAGCCTCTCGAGCTTTCGTAGAGTCATCAGTGATGATTTCTGGAGCCATGCTTGATAGTTCAGACGATTCCTGAGTGCCGCGACAACCAGGACGATGAGAGGCATTGCGTGCTTTGACTTTGCGCGCCTTGACAATTGATTTTGGGCTCCTCTCGGAATACGTTGACGAACTTCCAGAAGTGATACTATTTGATTTAGCGTCAGAAACAGAGACGGACGAGGTTGTTGAGCATTGCTGGGTTTGGGCCTTTTTGTTCAGGAACTTTGCTTCAGACCATAACAGCTTGGTGTCTTGTTTTGGGAGAAACTTGAATATCATTATCTAGATTTGGAGCGTCCGCTGTACGTACTGTTTGACTTCTTGCTCCTGGATGGCGATAACGCCTTGCCTTTGTGAAACAGCCCAGACGATGGCTTCACCTGCAGTGCGGTATTTAGCAATCAAACAAGGTAGTGGACAATATACCCACAGTAAGCCGGCCAGACCCTATGTTGGGAGCTGAAAATCCATGCATGAGCGCAAGGCCAGCAGCGAGATCGCCTCCTTTCGGCTTCTTGGATGGTTTGATCTTGGCGCGCTTCTGGTTTTGCTTCATGTCGATGGTCTCATGTTGATCTGAATGAACGATGTCAGAGGACGGAGGGCTAGGTTGCAGAATTGCTCGCTTGACTCGTCTTCGTTCTCGTCTTTGTGTAAGTCCTAGGAGGTCAACCGTACGTACCAATCAAGTTCTAGAAGTATCGAGAACGGGGCAGTACGCACGAGCATCTCCATCAGAGTCGGGGCTGCGAGCGCGCTTCTTGCTATTCGTCTGTGCACATGTAGGTTTCTCTTTCTCTCGTATGTTCGTAAAATGTTCAATCTTAGTTTGCTTGTACTTCTTATTGCTTGCTGCCCGAGGAGGGCTCGTTCTCTTGGCTTTCTTGGTTTTCTTTGTATTAGAGCCCTTTTTCTTCTTGGCTTTCTCTCCGTTGGGGCGCGCTTCTACGGCTTCATCAAGGGTCTTCGGTTTCGCGGGCAGCGGCACGCGAGCCTTTAGTAGGGGAGAGCCATTGGAGTGCAGTTCTGTCGGTTTAGAGCTGATTTCCACACGAGGGGGTGTTTCCCATGCAGCCTGCACAGCGCGTCCTTCTGCAATGTGAGATGCTCTGAAGGTCCTCTGGAATTGCAGATACGCTCGGATGAGTTCATCTTTGTCGACTTTAGAGGAAGTGTGTAGCGCTCCCAACGTCAATCCAAACTGCTGCTGCGCAGTGCCTACCATGCAGCGGACGATGCAAGTGGTATGACGGCGTGAAAGAAATATTGCGGTCACTGATCACAATGGTACGGAAGAAAGCTCAGTATTGCATAATTACGACACCTTCCTATTGCACTCATCGCCTGGCAAGCGCCCAAACTTTATACTTATTCTTAAGTTTAGCTCAAGTCACGATTTGTTGACGATACCCTTCATGACATCAGATGTACAAACGTCGCGGGCATTGATGTAGCTGATTATAATGATAGACTACAACGGTACATCGTCTAACAGAAGACATCGGATTACCCGCTACCAGTCGACGGAAGCCTCCGTCAAGCAGTATAGATAAAGAACATGTTCCTAATGACACTATGAGAAAAGGGGAACTCAACGAGAAAACGCGATGGGCTTACTGTTTGTCTGTGAGATCAAGGAAAGCGTGTCTTTCGCGTTCCTTTTGAACGTCAACGTCCGTCCAGCCTCTCCGGGCTTTTTCTTCAGCCAGCTTAGCTTGCTTCTTCTTGTTGAGGCGCAGGTTAATCCACCGAAGCAGGAACGACACAAATAGTTGTACAGTCAGAAGGACGAGTATCGCAATCTTGCCCGGAATGTATGATGGAGCATCTTTAGGCAGGAAGATCTCCGTGCCAATGATATTGCCTAAACTGAAGGATGCCAGCGTAATGGCGTTGATAGTGTTCTGCAAGAAGGCTGTAAGTTTCACACAAAACTCTGCATGATTTAAAAATAACGCACCTTCTTGGTATGCCCACTGGTATTGCTGGCATTATAGGCGTATATTGTGGACAATGCACTTCCGAATGTGCCGATGATGTACGATGCTATACACAGTTAAAGATGATGTGTGACAGGAAAATCGACGAACGTACCAAACAACAGAGCACCCTTCTTTCCCGAGTCATTCAACCCAACGAGCATTGCGGAACCGATGATTGTGGGTATCAAACACATGACAATGGGCAACATGCGTTCATTCTGTGGAATGTATTAGCGCTACTATGCATGTTACGGACTGAACCATACTTGCCTTCCTGTCAGAGTACCAACCACAGAGCAGTACTGTGATCGAAGCAATCAGGCCGCCGGGCGTAGCTAGAATCAGGGTTTGCTTCGAACTAGTCTTCGTTCAGCTCACGCAAATTCTCGGCTCGTCCGTCTACTCACGTATAGCCAAAGTTCTTGATAATGATGTTGCTGACTATATTGACCAAGGGTCAACAGCGTTCCTTTACTCGGACAAAAGAAGAAGCACTTACAGTTGCTGAGAGCGCCATTAGGGATGCTCGCTATAAATTGTCAGACCATGGAGCGAAATATTGCGTGATCACAAGAAACGTACTCAGCAAAGTCGTTAAGACAATGAGCCATGTTCGTATATCGGTGAGAGCTTCTATAATCTGGTCCTTCTTCCATTTTTTGTTCTCCATTCCTCCTTGATCGTCACGAACACGTTCCAAAACCGCGATACGTTCTTCCTTCGTGAGCATGTGTGCGTGTATGGGTGAGTCTGGCAGCCAGACAAGAACGCAGAGCCCCACGAGGATAGCAAGACCGCCGAAAAGTAGATAGAGTATCTTGTAGGGCGTGATATTCTTTCCGCTGTAGAAGGAAATGCCGTAGGCGACGAAGCCACCGAAGACCTGCGTGAGGCCTGAAACGCAACAAGTGAGAACGACGACTGATTACGTTTCTAGGACGCCCGTACCATTCTAATACAGAAAAGTCAGCGACCAAATGTATGACTAGCTCGCTGATCCACATACCATAACATAGAACCAAGAGATTCTCGTTCCCTATGTGTGCATGAGAGCCTGATGCTACGCAACTAGAACATCAACTCACCTGCTCGTCTTTCTTGTAAAACATGGAAATGATCAAGATCAAGATGGGAGCGACACAACTCTCGCACATTCCTATGGGAGCCAACTTAATGCCCAAACCCAAAACAAAATCTGAGCATCCCACACTTACCTAGCAAGAAACGAAGAGCGAAGAATCCCCCGAAGGAAGTCGTCGACGCGTGCAACATCAGAACGATTCCCCAGACGACAATATTTGCTCCTAGAAATATGTCAACTAACGATCAATGATGAGAGAGCATTAAACCCACCCAGATATTTGGCAATGCGGAGTTTCTGCGAGATGTACACTGTGGGGAACTCCCACACGAGGAAACCTGCATATTGTGTCAACGACGAGATACAGAGCAGAAGATCAGAAGCATACCGAGATAGAATGCAAGAGACACTAGGTTATAATGCTATAGTCCTATCATAGATGGAGGTGTTGACAGAAGCCTTACAGTGAAACTTACCTGGCCAGTGATCGGCAAACCCATGATGCTAGTATGCCTCAACGTCAACAAAGAATGGTAAACACAAGTGTGTTACTGCCAACCTTGCATAATTCAACGAGGTCTTGTCGCTGTATCAGCAGGCAAGTCAGAAAACCATCCGCCTAAAGAAGAGCACGACTTTACAGAAACTGCGTGAAATAAACCGCAGCACAGATTGGCGGAATGAGAAAGTCCTACACAAAGCGTTCAGTCGACATGTTCACTGTGAGCATTTCAAGGTGCTCACCAATTTCCGACGCAGCTTCTTGTTATACTCCTCGCTAAACTGAGCCTCACGCTCCCGGCCTACGAGTTTGAGGGCTTCATCTCCGTCCGACGAATCAACGATGGATACTGCATCAGTCTCAAAGACATGTTTCTCCTCATCCCTAGAAGCGGAACTCTTCTTGTCCTCGCGAGCATCAATAGACTTCTTGTCGGTGATAGAAGACATTGTGAGGCGAATAGAGCGTTCTTGGGATCTTGTGAGAGACACAAGATTACCCACTGGTGAGGACCGGCTTATATTGTGCAGTCATCTGGAGCGTGCTATTCATGGACAATCCACAATATCAACGATAATATGCCAAGATAGCCGTGTCACATACTCAACAGGAGGATAAGGGCTCGTAGAACGAAGATAGGATAACGGCACACCATGCCGAACTCTCATCCACGAAAGTTCCTGTAAGTTCTGAGTGGGAAGCGAGGACGATAAAGGAACAAGTATAGCAGCGTGGAAGCATTCGACTATTTGTGGAAACGACTCGTTAGTGTACCTCCGCCCGACCCGGGTTGAACTCATGATCATACATTATCTATAGTCTCAAGGCAGAATACTCAGTTGTGCCACACGCTCGAATGATGGAGGTATACCGCTTGATTCAATGATAAAGATATAGTGCTCTAATGTGGGGTAACATCCGGTACTAGTGTATATTCTCAACCTATAGCTTCTGGATAACCAATGCTGATGCGGCACCACCCTGAAACAGAGCGATTCAGCACAGCGAGAGATAACATATATAAGGGATAGACGTACCCCGTTGCAGATTGCCGCAGCACCGTATTGTCCTGATTCGAGAGCGTGGATAAGTGACACAATAATACGCGCCCCTGAGTTTCCGATAGCATGTCCAAGAGCGACGGCACCACTACAAGTAATGTTGAGCGATCTCTCCCGAATACATCAATAACAACGAAGCTTACCCGTTAACATTGATCTTTGCGGGATCAACGCCAAGCGTCTTCTCCACGATTCTAACGACAACGGAGAAAGCCTCGTTGATCTCGAATAATGAGATATCGTCGAGTGTAAGGCCAGCATTCTTTACGGCAATGGGCAAGGCAACGGAAGGGGCAGATGGGAAGTCGATTGGTTCAACACCGGCATCAGAGTAAGCTAGGCAAACAAGAAAAAGTCAATATAGCTTGCATACGAGAACGGAAAAAATCTACTGACAGAGGACTTTCGCCAGAGGAGTAGCACCAAGTTCCTTTGCCTTCTCAGCTGACATCAAGATAAGAGCCGATGCACCGTCGTTCAGTGACGATGAGTTCGCGGGAGTGATGGTCCCGCCTTGCTTTTTGAAGCTCGGGTTGAGCGTTGGAATCTTCTCGTAGATGACACGTTTGAACTCCTCATCTTCCTTTACGATAGTGTCGCCCTTCTTGCCCTTGATGGTAACTGGCGCAATCTCATTTTCGTATGCACCGCCCTTCCATGCTCTCTCCGCGCGCTTGTATGACTCGATACAATGGTCGTCTTGCGATTCTCGAGAAATCTGGTGCTTCTCCGCTGCGTGCTCACCGCAGTGGCCCATCGCGAACTTGTTGTACACGTCCCAGAGACCATCGGTCTCCAGCGAGTCTCTTACCTCAAATTTGCCGAACGTAGGGTTGTGACGAGGAAGCAAAAAGCTGAAAGTTGCGTTAATTAGCAAATAGTAGAAGGATAGTAAACAGAGTAAATGGTCAGGCTAGTCACAATCAGAGTAAGGCTCGCCAGAGTCCTGTGGACTTTGAACTACTTCGGCGGGTGCAGCATTGTTGCACCCATGAAATGGGCTTTGACCATGTCCAAGCTCTGATGGAGTTCCCTGTGACCCGCTTCGATAGGACTCAGCTTCCACTTAGTAGAACGTGTGTTCTATGCGTAGAAGCTGGCCTATGAGCCTAGTGTATAATAATTACTTACGGCGCGTTGCTCATGCTTTCCATACCACCAGCAACAACAACAGATCTGTATCCGGACGAGATGCTCTGCGACGCAAGTATAATGGATTTCAGGCCGCTAGCGCAGACCTTGTTGATGGTGGTGGCATCGGAGCTAGTTTTCATACCAGCGCCGAGTGCGACCTGCCGTGCCGGGGACTGGCCAACACCAGCTTGAACGACATTGCCGAAGAAGAGCTCCTCAACGACAGCAGGGTCGACTTTGGAGGTCTCGAAAGCATGCTTGAGAGCAATTACGCCAAGCTGGGGTGCAGTCAAAGTCTTCAGCGCGCCATTTATTGATCCAACGGGGGTACGGGAGGCAGCAACGATGACAACTTCGTGGGATGACTGGAACAATGTCAGAAAAACGGGGCAACTTATGCAGCTCATTGCACACACCATAGCTCGATGGAATATGGCGGAGACAGACCGGCGTGCAGAGGAAGAAGAGAGGGCTTTACGTGCAACAAGCATCGCGGTTTCAGTGCTTTTATAAATGTGTTGAGTTAGCGCGGAGATGCGACCAATCAAAGTCGTACGACAAAACTACTCAAGCGAGACACGATATTTACTCGAATCGTGCAAGCAAGAGGTGAGGAAATCAGCTCGGAGTGGCTGAGAAATGTAGAGTCGGGCCAGTAAACATGACCGACATTATATACTCTTTAGGTCGGGAGGAACTTACCCTCCCCCCGGCACATGTGAATCAATTTTCCCCAAACAGCTGACATCGCTTCAATTACTTTTAAATCGAGCAAAAATTAGGCAATACACCATTCCCTATACCATTACACTACTGTTATGTGGAGTGAAGTCGACAACGTTACCCAATACAAGGAACCAGGACTCTATCCATCTCGCAGCTTGTTCATGATCTCCCCATTCCCCCACGGACAGTATTTCACTTACCACAGCCGAAGTATGACAAGGATGAAGATACCAGCTTGGTGTACCCAGAGTCGGATGGTCTCCTTGTGACAGCATCGCAAAGGACGAATCTGGTACGTTCAGTGCGAACGAGCCACCTTGTTCATCGGGAAACAATCCTTCCCGAAAGAGTGGTAGACGGGTGATTTCGGGAAGCGTTAGAGGTGAGCCGCCTAGAGCATCGTCAGGCGAAGCGCACGAAAACCCGATTGCGATCCACCCACTGGTATGATGTGCAGTAAAGTAAAGGGCTGGGACCTGATACGTTGGAGAGTAGACAACGGAGAGTGTAACCGTCACTAGTTCGCGGATAACCTGAGGCGCCTCAGCATCATCTTCCGGCACCTCAACGTAAACTTCGTCAGTTTCATCATCGAGATGGTCCTCGCAAAGAGAGTGGGCGGGAATAGACAAAGATCGAGACATATATCCGAGCTGAGGGAAAGACTAGGAGCCATGATTAAACACTGAGTTCGGGATTGGCGGTGTTGGGCGCACAGTATGCTCATGCCAGTGCCAGCCTGGGGGGTATTTCCTACGAGAAATTGGGTCCCGATCTAGAGCGCATTTTGATATGAAGGCCTTGCATCCTTCTTCAAATTCAGCGTGTGTGAGGGTTGTAAAGGACATGAAGTTCATAATGTTGGAAGAAGCGCTCGTATGTGGCGTGAGACTTCGACTTTGCAGTTGAGGAAATAGAGTTTTCAGCCACCGCCGGAAGTTCCCAGGCCCAGCAAACGCCTAGTGGAGGGAGGCAGACCACACTACAAGCCCGTCCAACTGCCGGCTCAATCTTTGCGGTTACTATTCGTCCGCCCCCCTTTCACTTGACCCACCATGGCTGTTGGAAAGGTCCGTTGGACTTAGGCCCCTGCGTTTGTGTTTTGTGGCCCTGACCGTGTACTCTACTCTAGAATAAGCGTTTGTCGAAAGGCAAGAAGGGTATCAAGAAAAAGGTCGTCGACCCATTCTCTCGCAAGGGTGCGTTACTAGCTTTTCGGGGAGTATCGCGGTGTGTTGAATCTTTGCGTAACAGACTGGTACGATATCAAGGCTCCTTCAATTTTCGAGGTCAAGAACGTGGGCAAGACCCTCGTCAACAGGTCTCAGGGTCTCAGTGCGTGCAACTCTCTTCATTGCTTATGGTGTACACTCTAAACCTGTTGCAGAAAACGCCAATGATTCGCTGAAGGGCCGCATTGTCGAAGTTTCTCTTGCCGACCTAAACAAGGATGAGGAGCAGGCCTTCCGCAAAATCAAACTGCGCATACAGGAGGTCCAGGGCAAGAACTGCCTTACCAACTTCCACGGAATGTCGTTCACATCTGACAAGCTCCGGTCACTTGTTCGCAAGTGGCAAACCCTCATTGAGGCACACGTCGACGTCAAGACGACCGACGGCTACCTCCTCCGTCTTTTCGCTATCGGTTTCACCAAGCGTCGCCCATCACAGGTCAAGAAGACTACTTACGCTCAGTCATCCCAGATTCGTGAGATCAGGAAAAAGATGTTCGAGATCATGACCCGGGAAGCGACGAGCTGCGACTTGAAGGAGTTGGTGCAGAAGTTTGTTCCTGAGGCGATCGGTAGGGAGATTGAGAAGGCCGCGAGGGGCATCTACCCTTTGCAGAACGTCTACGTTCACAAAGCGAAGATCCTCAAGGCACCCAAGTTCGACATGTCGAAGTTGCTTGAGCTTCACGGAGAGTCAACAGACGTGAGTTGTTTCGATATGCTAATATATTGTCACCCACGTTTAACCATAATTTCTTTCCAATCAGGAAACCGGCACACGGGTGGTCAAGGAGTTCAAGGAGCCTGAGATCCTCGAATCTGTCTAAAACTTCCCTTACCTTGTATCCTTTCCATCTTTATTGTCCTTTTATGCAGCAGGGTATGACAATGCTATGACCATGATTCGCTTTGCTTCATGCACCTCCTTGTTAAGAATCGAGTGGATCGCTTTTCCACAGTACTATCAAGACGGTGAACGCTGACAGAATATTGTCTCATCGAGATAACATGGAAAATCCGGACTGAACAAGCTTGTCGTCTGTGAATTCCTGTACGATGCACCCATTAGATATCAATATCAATATTCCTTGCTGTCCTTGGGGGCGATTTCATTGGCTCCAAGCTCTTGAGTGTGCGAGACGAAAGCACGATCGATCGGTAAGCCACTGGGATGATGCAAGCCTGACCGCATGTAGCTCTAAATTTCTTGACGGTTTCTCCCTGTTTCTCCCTACGTTCAATCATGGCGGATGTAGAGTACCTGAAAAGCCTTCTAACGGCACATCCTGATTTCCCTCAAAAGGTAAGAAACTGGAATTGTCCTACATTGTTACTTGACGTCTGTGCACCAGGGTATCGTCTTCTTGGATATCTTCCCAATCTTGAGGAATCCAGTTGCATTTGAGACCCTCGTCACAAACTTTGTACACCATCTCAATTCGAAGACAGTCGCACAATCATCGTCCAAGAAGATTGATGTTGTCGTTGGCCTCGATGCTCGTGGATTCCTTTTTGGTCCAATCATCGCCATGAGACTTGGAGCTGCGTTCGTTCCTGTTCGCAAAAAGGGGAAGCTACCAGGGGAATGCGTAACTGCCACCTACGAGAAGGAATATGGCACAGTATGTTTTACTGTTGTGTTGAAACTGCACATAGCTCATAATTCTGTTGTAGGATTCATTTGAGATGCAGGCAGATGCAATCAAACCTGGCCAGAATGTAGTAGTGATCGACGATCTAATTGCAACAGGTACGTCTACAGTTGCCTCATTAATTAGTCTGTGTTACCTATTTACATATTTCAGGTGGCTCTGCCAAGGCTGCAGGCGAGCTTGTCGCCAAGTGTGGTGGCAAGACTCTCGAATACTTATTCATCATCGAGCTATCCTTCCTGAAGGCAGCGGAGAAGCTCGACGCCCCACTCTATTCACTGGTTCAAGTGGACGACGATTAGGAGGTTCTGATTCCCATTCATATGTATGAATAATTTACTACTACATACTGCTACATGTACAGCATCAAACAAGCAACCGTGTATTGAGCAACGGGTGCCCGTTAAGATACAGCACTCGTCGAGGATCCGCATCTGCTTTTCTGTTAGAGTCCGACTGGTTTCGATCGTCCCTCCTGGTATCCCCTTTCTCTGTTACGGGCTCAGCCTTGGAGGCAATGGCTAGCATGACATGGCCCATTCCATGAATTTCCGCCGCATCCAGCATTGATAAAATAACCTCGCCGTCTCCTTGTCCGATGACCACAATAGCGACGTCGTCGAGAGACTCCCCGAGAGCCTTGATAGCTTTCTCGTCGGCGGATGGGTTAATACCATGTTCCTCATCGCTGATAACTACGACACCAGAAGCACCAGCCCTTTTCCCGTTGATAAGTTTCTCCAGGAATCCGCATTCTCCACGGCGTACAAGAACGGCCTCCCCTTCGAATTGTTGAGTGAAAGGCCGACAGCCATAAAGGTTCTCAGCATCGCGAACCAGGCGTACGCCCTCTCCATGACCAAACTTGAGCGGATGACTCTGTTGACCAACTGGGTCCCCTCCGAATAGAGCGGTGTGTGCGGTAACGGTGGTCTCGAAACTGCCTTCATATATTGCAGGTTGTACCTGAAACATTGGGTCCACATAATGCAAATAGATCCGGACGTCTATTTCTGGTACTCTTGGACGTTGCCCACTAGAGTCAACAGGGCTTTTGCCATCCACGGGAGCAAGGAAGAGATCGGTATCGTTGACATAAACCACCTGCCCGGTCTTTACAGCGAATGGTCCAACTGTGACAGATCTATTAGTCTCATCACGGTCACTGGCATCTCCAACAAAGATGTAACATACGTTTTGTGATGTCATATCCTTTGCCATCTAAGCGACTGACTATATGCGTCCGGATCCCAGACACGTTTTGCAAGATGTAACCATCCGGAACTGTGATTATCTTTTGAGATGTTGGGTGAAGATCCTCCGGTACAACCTTCCCGGAAGGAGACAGAATAAAGTTGTAGGACTGTTGAAAGGTCAGCCAATGTCTGTGAAGCATCAACAAACCACTGACATAAAGATCGGCTTTGGGAACCTCGCACCAGCCATCAGGAGACCATGCCGAGGCTTCAGTATCGATCGCGACGGACCCAATCAATTGTCGAACGTATTCCACATCAGGTCTCGAGACAACACCGCCAACTAGTCCCGGGGTATGTTCACCTGCTCCAATTATCGGAGGTTCATATGCAGGGCATTGCAAGTGTTCTACTCCCCGAAGTTTGCGTCGGATGGTAGACATTGGTTTTTGGTGTGCCCTGTCCATGCTGAGCAGATGACCTTCGGTTGTCAGGACCGCGTTGGAATCATCATGATTCAACGGATTGTCTTCATCGAAAAGTAGGTAGAGGTACTGCAAAGGAGTCAGTATAGGAGATCGAATGGAACAAGAATCAAACCTTTAAGGTCTCCGATAACACAAATGATTCCATACGATCATCTCGAGCGTTGATTCGGAGGTCGCTGATACCAGTGAGACCACATTCAACTTTTGCTCGCATTTCGATGTCATGAAGGATTCGTTCTGGGTTGTACCTTGGATAAGTGAGAGCGTAGGAAACTGACATCTATACACACCTCCGACATCTAGATAGAATGGATCTTTTGTTGCCTACACTCAATTTGTTCAATATAGCGTGGAGGGCATGTTGGAGATAAACGCACACGATAGAGATACCATGTCGACTCAACAAACTCTATTGTAATAACAGGATGAGACATCAATTATGAAACATATTGTCTGAAAACTTTACCTGGTCGTAATGGATATTGCGTTGATGTCGCCTGTTTGAAGTTCAGATCCCAAACCTCGGGCAACCCAGAGAACAACTTCCAGATATTCCAGTCTGACAAGCCGTGGGTCGCTTTGATTAGCACGACGACTGAGACTACTCACAAACCAAGTGTGATTTGATGGCATTCTCAACATCTCCAGCGAGGACTTGGAGACCTGGCCAGAAAGCGGAAAGGGAGTCTAGGGTTCCGTACGTAGCGTCACCCTGGGTAGGAGATCAGCTTCTGGATGCGTGATGCCTTCTGATATACAAACCGTGTGAATGCTCGCGCTCCGATACTAGAGGATGTTTGTCAAGCATTTACATATGGACACGGTATATATCCACGCACCCCGAAGCCATCTGGTGCTCGACAGTATCTCATAACGGCGGCGTACGATTCTTGCCAGACGTCAAGAAATTCCACATCGCCTGTGTGTATGCAACACCATGAAGAAAAGAACTAGATATGTATGTGATGAACAGCTTACCGCTGAGAATGTACCATTTCAGAGCATACTCGTAGAAGGAGTCTACACCCGCGCCAACACTGCTGACTTCCGGGTGAAGCCATGCCTACAAATGAATTAAAGAGCGTCTGGCCCGGGAAGAAAGTAACACGTACACCATTCCATATATTGATTGTGTTTCCGACCAAACCAATATCCGATCTTCGGTTCCACAATGCGAAGAAAGCTTTAGAAGCAGCTTTTTCAAAGCGATCGTCTCCAGTAAGTCGACTTAAGGTCCCAAATTCTAGAATAAGGGAGCCAGCACCGGCCGTGCCTGCATAACAATTATGTTATGAACTAGTACTAGGCAAAGAGAATGCTTACAGGTATCAATTGATTCTCCTTTAGGGAGACCGTGCCTAAGATTGACCTGGTCATTGGATTAGCATGAGATATGAATAAATATATGATTCAGTATACTCGGGCATATGGTAAAGACGTTGGTGTCTTGAAAGCAGGCAAGAGACGAGTTCCAAGGTCATGCGCCATCGAGAGTAACTGGCCCTGGTACCAAGGAAGGTGGAAGGGTTGTCCGCTTTGATTGGCAAACTGGTGCCCAGCAAGCAGGCCGCCAAGAACACGAATAGTAGTTTCAAACACCTGTGGTTTAGTGTTGACGTCAAAGGACACCCAGTCGATGACATCCCGAACTGCTTTGTTGAATCCTTGGGTATCATTGAGTACAACCAGAGTATCTAATGAGTCTATTAGCGTCACGGAGAAGTTTCCTGCCACGTCGTTTGTTGCTATATGTGCGCTACTCGTGGTGAGTTGGTGTGCAATTGCGAGAACATCTAGTCTTACGGGTTGTGCCAATCGGGACCCCTTCCAGTACAAGATAGTGGAGCAAGCTAAGAAATCTGTCAACAAAAGTTGTAAATAGCATACATGTAGTTGATTGTAATACCTCATCCAAAGGGAACGCTACCACCGACGGTGTTAGCCTTGACTGGGCAGGGCTAGTTCGGGCCTACGGATCACGCACCAAACCTCATATAACTGGAGAAGCCATGATACCACAGGCTTCTTGTTTTCTCCCTGGGGAAAGTATTGACTCATCAATACAGTCGAATTAACCTGAACATACCTAGCTTCAATCTTTCTATGAGACGTCCAATTTACAGAAGCACCCTGCGCTATGCCAACGGACTGCTCGTAGGACCATAATCGGCCCTCCAATGATACAATTAGGAGAGCAAGTAGTGTTTGAGGCCAATACCTCGGCCACTGCATATGAGGCCCTGACCACTACTTGGAGATGACGGAAAAGAAAGTATCGTCACTGTGAATGCTGCGCATGATCGACGTGGAGGCTTCGTTTCAAGCTGTGAGCGCTCCGACAGTCCACGTGGAATTTGCTAAAGTGGATGGACACATTCGGACCCATAGTAAGTACTTAGCTCTCTTGGAGAATGTTGTTTCAATAAGCTGAATATTTCGTACAGTTGTGCGCAGCTATGTATTGCTAATCTTATATGAGAAATGTCATAATTCTATGAGGAACATGACCGATTCAGGTTGTCGGAGTACTTATCCAACTCGGAGGGTTACCGTCGCGATTTCCTCATATGTAATAAGGGTTAGTAGCCTGCATATGTGCAGAAGCTTCTTGGCAGAGACATGACTCAGGCTGCTTCATGAGCAACCTCCAGCGTAGGACTTTTACATAATTATTCGCGGAAGTCTCAATGTGTGAGCGTGAGAACTTGAATCGGATGCTGATACTTCCGAAGCGGCACACGGAATCAAGGGCCGCACTGGAAGAGCAACGGTCGACATAAAGGACAGACACCGTAAACAGGAGCGTGTTTACTTTCTACCGCACTCACAACCAATCAAAGTCTCCTCGCCGTGATTGGTCAGGATTGGTCGTCTTGTACATACGGCGACACGCGCGCTTACGTACAATACACGCTTACACTTGGCGCGACGCGTTTGTCCATACGCGTCCGACACCAGTCTCGTTCTCACAATCACCTGGTATCACTCAGCACTTCGGCGTTTTGCCAATACCAGGTCCTCAAACATACGACTTTAACGACTTCTTGACTACGATACAACATGCCGGACGGTCAAATATTCAAGGTAGGCTCGCTATTCCTATCGTCGAAAAGAGTGACTAACCATCGTATCCCAGGCCACGTACAGTGGTATCCCTGTTTACGAGATGTACGTTGACGAAGTTGACGCGTTTTGTGTGTCTTTAAACTTATCCCCCTTTCTTGTAGGATGTGCAAATCGGTGGCAATAATGCGCCGTCGAGTTGATTCTTGGCTGAATGCCACGCAAATTCTCAAGGTTGCTGGATTTGATAAGCCGCAGCGCACACGAATCCTCGAACGTGAGGTGCAGAAGGGTGAACATGAGAAAGTTCAGGGAGGCTATGGAAAGTACCAAGGTGAGTGATTTTCCACGAAAACAATGACTTGCATTAAACTACTTTATCAGGAACATGGATTCCTCTTGAAAGGGGAATTGCTCTTTGTAAACAGTACAACTGCGAACATCTTCTCCTTCCAATTATTGACTTCCAGCCGGATGCAAGTAGTCCCCCATTAGCCCCGAAGCATCTAGTTGCTGCGGCTGCACACAAGCCTGCCAGTACACGACGTGCGGAGGCAGCATCTGCTTCTTCGATAAACACGCGATCATCTCGAAGGACGGTACCTGAAGTCGTAGATGAATCGGAACGTGACACTGTTTCCGTCAAGGGGTCGGAGGACGGCACCATGACACCTTCGCCATCTGAGGCTTCCTCTAGCTCACAGACACCATCCCCTATACGAAGCAGCCCACTTGCATCACAATCTACTATGCTTTTAGGGGATGGATTTCACTCTCCTACTCCTGGGACGCGTCGCAAACGGAAAGCCAGAGCGGGAGACGAGTCGGATGATTCACACTCGGAAATACCAGCGGAATACCCTGAACGCCATGGTGAACGCCTTACTTCGGCGTGCTACGCGGAGGAGATGTTAGAATACTTTATCTCGGACGCGGCTCAAATACCCGACCTCCTCATCCAGCCGCCTCCCAATTTTGATCCCAACATGGCCATTGATGACGATGGTCATACAGCGCTGCACTGGGCTAGTGCCATGGGTCGCATTCGTATAGTGAAACTGCTTCTCACTGCTGGCGCTGATATATTCAGGGTGAACAAGGCCGGACAGACACCACTCATGCGAAGTGTGATGTTTGCCAACAATTACGACGTACGGAAATTCCCCGAGCTTTATGAGCTCCTCCATCGGTCCACGCTAAACATCGACAATAACAATCGCACGGTCTTCCATCACATTGTTGACGTCGCTATGTCCAAGGGAAAGACACATGCCGCGCGGTATTACATGGAGACGGTGTTGAACCGTCTCGCCGAGTACCCTAGAGAATTGGCTGACATCATTAACTTCCAAGATGAGGACGGAGAGACAGCTCTCACTATGGCAGCGCGGTGTCGCAGCAAGCGATTAGTCAAACTGCTCATTGATCATGGTGCCGACCCCAAGATCACCAATCGTGACGGCAAAAGTACCGAGGACTATATCTTGGAGGATGAACGCTTCCGTTCTTCTCCAATGATTCCTTCGCGGACGGTGTCGATGTCATATCGAAACGCACAAGCGGCAACAGGCCAGGCTCCATACGACTTCCCCACAGATACCAACGACAGACCTCCAATGCATCATTCCGTCACCGCTCAAAAGGCAGCCACGCGTTGTGTGAACGACGTTGCCACTCTATTGGAGAGTTTGGCATCTGCTTATGACCAGGAGTTGAAGGATAAGGAGCGCGATACAAATCAAGCTCATGCTCTGTTAGGGAACATCCAGACGGAAATCTTAGATAGCCAGCGGGCGGTCAACTCACTGAAAAACCAAGCACAGAGTTTGCCGCAGTCCAGGCAACGCCTGCAGGAGTTAGAGACAGAGCTGAGGTCCAAAATGGGTACACGATACCGCATGGGATGGGAAATGTGGTTGAAAGACGACGAACAACGAGAACGGGCCGTTCGTGATACACATGATGGTCATATCGCGCCTGACTCTATCGTGGATGGGGTTTGTCGAACTGCTCAAGGGGACGATATAACGGATTTAATGGCCTTACATTCGAACATCCCAACAGATCAGCAACAGGTGAAGGAGGAATGTGATCGAATACGAAGCGAGTTGGTTGGACATAAAAAGCGAAAGTTGGACTTATTCGACAACTTAATTAAGTTCCAAGCAGAGGCAGGAACAGGTGGTCGGATGGCAGATTATAGGCGACTCATAAGTGCAGGGTGTGGAGGCGTTCCACCAAGTGAAGTCGATAACGTTATAGGGATGCTTCTGGAGGTACGTTGTTCATATCCCACTTCCTATTATCATGCTCAACGTAATTGATTAGACACTCGAATCCGAAGACCCTAGCTCCTCAAGTTGGGTAGGAAATGCTTCAGCAGTTTCGGTGGGATAAAGCAATCTTATTACGTTTCTCGGTGTCTAGTGATGATATTTATCCTTCATGTATTTCCCCTAATGTATCCATACCCCATGGATTGTATGTACGAATATTGACTGCTCCGAATCATTCCAGACAGGCAAGTCTGGCGTAGGCTTGCTGAATTAGGCCATTGCGTCTGATTAGGTAATCCTATTTTGTCGAGGCGGTTTTGGCATGGCACATTGCTCGCACTGAGTTACGAGCACTATTCTTTGAAGCGTACTGTAGGTCTGGCCAACCTTAAGCTTACGGTCCTACTGTAACTTGGCTTTTCCGGAAGCAGGAGCTTTGTGTAGCAGCTCAACACTCCCTTTCCTCGCATCCGTTACACCCAGCAATGTCGGGGTATAGTCGTCAACAGGCGTTGAATGTCGCTACTTCCTCGCCTTTCACTAGGGACCTCCGTCATGTTAAGGCCGTGATACCTCGCTTCTGGAATAACAAGGGTGCGTGGGCTGACGGAGGAGTCAATGCAGTGATGACGAAGGAGAGGATAAAGTGGTGGAATATCGTGCCTGGGGACCGAGTTCGAGTTCTTGGTGATCCCGAAAGCACTATCCATGAAGTCTCTCAAATTAACAGACTCTCTAACCGGGTCTACCTCAAATCTCGCAGTGTACGTGCACATGTTCCCGTTAGTTCGAATAATCCCTCATAACTGTGTCTAGGCCTCCGAAGATACTGAAAATGTGCGTCCGCCCAGGGACAAGAATGTCCATTACGCCCGGTGTCAATTGCACATTGGAAACCAAGAATTTCCGGCACGGAAGGGAGAGACTAAATCGAAGACCCTAGAGTATGTCGCGTTGTTTTCGTGTTTGCTAAAGCTGATGTTCGTGTTTAGTGTGTTTGCCACACGGCTGAGTACAACCGCACCTCGTTGGATTCCTTCTGAGCATAGATTTCATTGGAAGCGTTTTGCTGTCGCTACGTTTCCCCGACTTCCGGAATACAGCAAAGATAACCGCCCACGCACGCATATTAAGTGGCCCAAACCGTTGAAGCAACGATTGTCGGATGGTTGGTACCGTCCTTGTCACGTTGATTGTACATGACTAAATTATCCTCGTCATAGCAACTCCTTATGAGACGCCGTTGTCGGTTGTGAATGAGATCACCTACACTCTTCCGCCGTTACCCTCAGATGTTACTGCCCCATTACCTGCGCCCCCTTCGGAGCACGAATATATCAAAACTATCTCAAAGTCGGACGACTACACGTTCAACGCTTCACTACCGATCGAGGTTCATGTGCACAAGGAACTTACCAACCCCCACTCTCGAGCGAAGAAGCAAGAGCGCTGGCAAGCTTACCAGATGTACCGACGCTCTCTGTTGCACCAGGTCATTCAAGCTGAATACAAAAGCCTCCGAGGGCGCACAAGAAGGGAAGCAAGAGCCGAGGCAACCTTCAAGTGGCGCCAGCAACTTATCGACGAGCGTAAGGCTGAGGCAAAGAGGAGATGGTGCAACCGGGGACAAGAGGCGAAACTTACGAGCAAGAATGAGAGGAAGGCTCGCAAGGCAGACAGGTTGGACAAGAAGCTGCGCGACTTGGTCATTCCCACTGCTCCTAATCAAGTCATTCCGGGAAAGCAGGCTAGGCTTTGAGTCTGTCTCTTCTCCCGCACCTATATGGTACTCCAGTGTTGCTATTGATATGGAGGATTAATACACCATTTGCTTAATGCTGTCCTCGCATCTCATCCTACTGCTGACAGGGATTTCCAACTTCCTTGCTTGTTTTGTCATTCACATCCACATCCTACCGCCAAATGCCATTACATATGTGTGTGGCATGTGCATGAATACGTAATATAGTGCGACTCCTTGCGACTCTCGATCCAAACGTTACCAACGCGTGCGATCTGTACGAATATCTTAGTACCACTCGGTTTATCACACTTCTTTCAAGAGTGAGCTGCAACACAATGTAGATGAGTATTCTACTCAGACTCAGCGAGATATAGCGTTCAAAGATTCAGTACTCAGTATGCGTAGGCGGATCGTGTGGGTCGGCCGCAAACGGTGTCAGCAGACGGTGATGTCAGCCACGCCTGCCGTGTTCGGTCCGCAGGTCAGCGCCTGCAAGCGTTAACTCTGATGAGCAGAAGACACCGAGAAGTTGAAGCTACATATTTGGCCCAAGGCTGAACCCTAGAACCCCATCGCTCGGAGAATATTCGCGAGGTCTTTCCCCCTCCCATAATGTATAACCAGAGTTCTGAGACCCTTGATTCTCCAGAGACTGAGATCGTTGTGGCCGATCCAGGAAAGGCTGAAAGGCAAGCACGAGGAGAGCCCAAAGTTCCTGAAGCTCAACAGGACACCCGCTCGTCCTATCTCGTGGCACTCTCACCTGAGGAGGATCCTGAATATCTGGCTGTATCCAAGAAATGGTTGATAGTTGTCTGTGTCAGTACAGCTTCACTATGTGCTACTTGTGCGTCTTCAGTGGTATGTATAATCCAAATTCTTTAATCTCCGATGACTCAAGGAGCCTCGTTTATTATCTCAGGCTGCATTCACTGAGACTGCTGTCTCGCAAAAGCTTCACGTTAGCGAGGAAGTCGCGATTCTAGGTGTCAGTTTGTACGTACAAGGTCTCGGTACGTCATGAATGCATTCAGGATCTTTTCTATCAGGTAACCTTGATTCACGCTCAGGTGTTGGACCATTACTGGTTGGACCATTGTCGGAATTGTATGGTCGTAACATCATCTATCGAGTCTCGTTTGCATTTTTCTTCATATTTTCCTGGCCGGTTGCATTTGCGCCGCACATCGGTGCGTACCGGTCCCGAAACACTTGCCTCACAACTAATTGCCTCAAATAAAGCGGTCTTCCTCATATTCCGCTTTTTGACTGGATTCTCTGGTGCTGCTTTCTTGACCATTGCAGGCGGCAGCGTCAGTGACTTATTTACGAATGACAAAGTTGCAACGTAAGTAATTCATCGCCTAACATGAAGTTTTCTGACGTGTTGCTCAGTCCTATGGCACTATTCACCATATCTCCATTTATTGGGCCTGTCTTGGGGCCTCTCATCAGCGGGTAAGTATAATGTGAACATTGTATTCAGAACCTGCTTTGACCGGTTTCCCCAGATTCATCAATCAGGTCTGTGAAGATAGTGCCCTATTCGCCTAGTGCTCACCTATCTGTGTACAGCATACTAATTGGCAATGGACTTACCGTGTTATGCTGATTTGGATCTTTGTGCAGTTTGCCTGCCTTCTCTTGGTACGTAATTGCTCTTGTTTGTCAAGTGTACCGTCTGACTATTATCTAAGTTTGTACCCGAGACGTACCAGCCTGTACTCCTCAAATGGAAGGCGCAAAAGCAAGTAGTGTTTCCTAAGCATGAGAATGGGGGCAAATTATTCATGCCTTTGCTCCTTAGACTGCGAAAGACGACAGGCGACTCGCGGTACTATGCCCCCATTGAAAAGCAAAACCAGTACAATTCATTACCACGTGCCATCTTGATGAGTTGCTATGTACCATTCAGTGCGCATGACGTTCTAGTTTGTCGTATCGCAGACGGTCTAATGATCGTCGTAGAGCTTCTCGCACTAGATAGGATGGCACTCTTGCTTGACCTATGGTGCGTCCATATCGCTAGTTGTGTGGTTATTTACTGATTGTTAGGTTTATAGGAACGCTCTCATACTTGGAATCCTCTACCTCGCATTCCAGGCGTTTCCGATCATCTTCGAAGAAGGGCATGGTTTTTCGGTGCAGATGACGGGCCTTACATTCTTAGGTATCGGAGTGGGTATGTTCATCGCGCTGCTCACTCAGCCCTTCTGGAACGGGTGAGCCTCTTTCTTTCGTATCGTTGCTCGTGTCTGAAAATGAACTCGATCGCGACTTCGCAGTCGATTCCGTGCTGCAGCTGCCAAGCGCAATGGAGACCCGCCTCCCGAAGTGCGATTGGTTATGGGTCAAGTTGGCGCTGTGTTGGTACCAGTCAGCCTGTATTGGCTTGCATTCACGACATATCCTCATGTCCATTGGATTGTGCCCATCATTGCTTCAGTACCATTTGGCACAGGGATCTTGTATTGCTTCACATCCACTTTCACATATCTCGTGACCGCGTATCGGCCAATTGCAGCTTCAGCTATGGCCGCAAATACATTTGTGCGGACGTCCTTCGCCGCTGCATTCCCTCTGTTCGCCAATCAGATGTATCACACGTTAGGAACGGTCGGTGCTACTGCGTTGCTAGCTGGATTGACGACAGTATCAGCACCCCTACCGTGAGTCCCTTCTAGTCTCTGTCTGCCTTGATCCAACAGCTCAGCGTTGTGTTTGTAGATTCATATTCTATAGAATTGGCGCACGACTTAGAGAGAAGTCATCTTTCACTCAAGAGCCTCAATGAGGGACGATCACCACTAGACAGACACATCACTGCATCTTACACATATCACTTACTTTGCACATACCCCTGCATAGTTCATTCACGCATTGCCTCTCGCACGGTGTTTTTTTTTTGGCTTATTACGCATTCTAGACATGACTGGGAAATGATGACATGGTTACGACATTAGACATTTATTTTTTGCCTGAAAATTGTGCACCTTGAATTTCCATAAAAGCGATCTCCGGCACTTGAGAATTTCGTGCACCAATCAGCTTGCACCGGGCAAGAGCGCTTGCCTGGAGCAACGTAGTCTGATTGGCCGGGCAGTAGAAGGAAACGTAAGCGCCCAACTTCTCGAGATACTATTGGGCGACGTGAAACCGAATTATAGGCCGTAATATAAATATTCGCAAGTTTCCTGCAGGCCTCAAAGCGTCGACTGGCGTTTTCACCCGAGTGACTTTCCCGCGTTTGCCCTTTACCTCTAACCACCATGTCCCTTTTCGCCGCTCGTATTCCCCTTCGCCAGGTAGCCCTCCGTCGGGCCACTGCTGTGCCCTCGCGGTCTATGCACGCTGGAGAGTACAAGGTACGTCAAAAGGTCGTAGCGGTGCTGATGAACCCTGACTCAACATGAATGCCAGCATCTCCCCTTCGAGACGAAGAACAGGACTGCGTTCGGTCTCAAGTTTGTTTCTTACCTCTTGACTGGCTTCAGCATTCCCTTCATTGCTGCCTATTACCAACTGTAAGCGTCTGGTTTATTCCCGCCTCGAGTCCGCTAACATTTTTTCCTACGCCTTACAGCCGCAAGTCCAGCGGAGGATCATAAACTCGAGGGCGCCCAATAGATGCGTTCATAGAATATATTATGACCATACCCTCAATCTGCCCATAATCGCGTCTTTGTTCCAATTAGAGGATAGAGAATGATAGAGGATAGATTCCGCGCACATTCACAAATAGAACATCGACAATGATTTATTCAGACTCTATCTCCCCTAGCTGTCCGAGTACATTCTCTACGGCCTGTGCATCATCTTCGTCTTCGTATCCCAGTTGTTGCTTTTGCAGTTTCTTGTTGATCCTGTTCACTCGACAACTGCATATTCGTGACATGAACTGAGGGTCCCCTTCCAGTGCATCAAGCGCAAAAAATGCAACCATGCGTCGAGCCACAGTGGGCGAGGGGTCCATTGCACTAGCCAGTACCGTGTCATGAACGACGACTGGTACATTGTCAACCTATGACGCAGCAGTGAGAAAATATTCCGCTTACCGTCACATCTGGTTTGCTCGTTCTCCCAGCTTTTGACAATCTGGTGTTCTTGACATCCTTCCGCTTGGAACCACTCGTATAAAGCAATATTAGGATGGTGAGAGAGCGTTTGCATCCTGATGTGTTGACTAAAGAATGGTTCCAAGACCTTATGGAAGAATGCATCTGTGCCAACCTCCGAAAATCTTTCAGAGACAAACAGTGCACCAAGCAAGGCTTCCACAACGTCTGACAGTACCTGTGATCAAACAATGAGCTACTCGTCAGAGGCTACTCAAATTCTAAAACACATTACCTTCGGGGCCGGAACCTCTAGCCAGTACTGACCTGGCTGACGTCCCTCTGCCTTTGCCTGTTCGAGTTCTTGGCCGCGAAGAATTTTGATCTTGTTTGCGAATAGTTGTATAGACTTCTCAACGTCGCGAGAGGCGTATTGAATATGCTCGTATAACCCGGTGAACACGCAAATCGTCGCCAATGTAGTGTTGAGGACCATTGCGGACTAATACCAAAGTTGGATAACCCCAACATCATGGATGAACGAACCTTCTCACCTTCAGCATCGAAAGACCTCCCGACGATAATAGTGGGTAGCGTTTATAGACATTCTTCACGACATCTGGCCAATCCCGCTCAATATCGTCAACATGGTTTTAAACGTTGAGATTCTACTCACAGAAGTCCAAAATGGCGTCTCCAAGATATTCCAGCCTGTCGTACCCAACCACCTGCTGGCTTTGTTGAATCGAATTGTGAGTCTGAGGGAGGGAAAAAGGTCAATCACGATCAATTTGAAGTTCCATTGCCAACACCTACCAATGCCTCAGCCAGAAGTGCTGGCTGACGGAATTTAAATCCGACAATAGCCTCGACAGCTTTGACTGTTTGCGCTGATAATTGCACTGTTTGCTGCCCACTGGGAACATTGTATTTTGATTCCAAGTCTGACCATCGTTCAACTCCAGGAAGTGGTACATTAAGACGCTTGGCTACTTGAAGAGCAAGATCGCGATCACGGGAAAGATACGCTGCTCCAATGATTGCTTCGACGACATCTGCCACTGTCTGGAACAAGAGAAGACATTGTGAGCAGAGATTGAAAACCATCTCGTCCATTGAAACTAACCTTGTCTCCTAGCCACTGAATGGCTTGTTCGTCTTGCTGCTTCTTGCGTTTGCCGCGCTTAGCCATAGTTGAGCGAGTCACATCCTCGGGTTGGGGAAGATTTGCAGGTTGGGTAGCAGAATCAGACGTTCTTGACATCTTCGCCTGATTCTCACCGCTACTCGCTGATGGAGGCTTTGAGATACCAGACTGTTCGGAATCTTGTCGAGGTATTGTTGGTTGCCAAACCTTGGGCAGGAATGGCTTGCCTCGAATGAGAGCCGGAAGGCCTATTGCCACAGCGCCAGTATGCAAGGTCTTGTTGCTGACAATGTCTCGACGAGCAGCGTGTAAAGTGTTCTCACGTTTCCCGGGCATTGTGACATACAGATAGACGGAGGCAACATACTTCAAATATGCATCCCCTGAAACGCAACACAGTCAACCCTTGGTCCGAGAGAATTTTCAATGGGCATACCAAGGAGTTCCAACCTTTCATAACTGGACTCTGTATCTGCGGATGGAGGGAATAGAGCTTCGAAAAGATGCTCTTCGGAAAGCTGGTTATCGAAAAGGTTGTCGTTCAGCTGCTTTGCAAGTAGCTGATCGCTGATTCTATGCATAATTGACGGTAGTATCTGTAATGTTCGGAAAGTACTAATACGATCATGAGGATGAGATTTCATGACCACAGTCGTGATCCACATACCTGGCTGGAATCGTGAATTTGCAACACAATTCAGGGATGAGATCTGTATCACGTCAATTATTGGTACCTTCATGAAGTTCGTCATCACTCACACTTCATAGGTGTCCGTTGCGCGGTTCTATATGGCTTAGCCACAGGGTTAAGGTAATCCACCAAAGGAGCGACCGGAGACACTTGTATCATAGGTTGATTCTCGTCTCGCAACCCTTCGAAATTCTTGCGATGAGTCTTGCAGTAGTCCAAGAAGCTAGCAAAATCCGCTTCACGCTACGGGGTTCGGTCAATAATTCTCCATACAGCACGCATTGAATCGTGCTCACTGGACTGTCCTCCGCCTTGCTCAGTGGAGTAAGGTCATGTCGCACTTCAACAACGTAGTGTCGATTCGTGAATTCTACCCATCTATCTTGGACAATGGCGTCTTTACAAGCTTCATCGAGATCGGTGCCTTCGGTGACCAGCGGCTTTAAGCAGTTTTCCGCAGCCGTCCTGACCAAATCCCATGGTATGTGCTCAGAAATTGTGGGCCTCGCCCATGCGTCGGATTTCCTCTGGAACACATCTGTGGAATCACAATTAAGAGGAGCCCAGAAATACGGCAACTCTTCAGCAGAGAAATTTAGCTCTTTATTCGTAAGCGTACGGGACACTCGCAAGGTATACAGGTGAAGCAGATGTAGCTTGTCTTCATCTACCTCCAATGGCGCGCCACGCTGAAAAGAGACTACGGCCTTTTCCCCTCCAGAGAACACGCCGGATTGTCGCAAAGGAGGGAAAGGTAACCTTGTGAGGACGACGACCGGAGCATGCGCTGCATTCCCTAGGGTTCCCTCTATCTTGACTACCAAGGGATAAAGTGTTTGCGAGCTTGCGGAGAGCGAGTTGGTCCAGAATATGGGGGTAGCTTTAGCATACCGGCGCATGCCGCTGGCGGCAATGGCTTCTGGACCAGTGGCGTCGTCAAGTATTTCTGGTAAACCACCATGAGCATTGGGGAAAAGAGGATATTCCAGAAGTCCATGGTGGAAGAGGCTCTGGCAAGCCAGGAAAGAAGCTTCTCTCTGGGCTTTAGCCGGCGTCGGCTTGGGAAAGCCAGTGATGGTATCCTGAGGGAGCCCCTCCGGGAACTTGACTTTGCAAAGATATTGACCATTTTGAGTCCGTGTCACTTGAAACACATGGTCAAGGTCCAAATGGTCGTCATTTGTAGATGCACTTAAAAACCGCATTAGGACGCCCTGTGCATCTCGAGGCCTAAGTTGGCGGTTCGTAGTGGGGTCTTGAATATAGCGCTCTTCATCCTCGTCATCTCCTTCATCAGTCGGAGCACTGGTAGTTGCATCACTGAAGGGACAACTGCTTTCATCTTCGCGTGCTGGTTCCCTGGAATCCTTCCGCTGTGATGGAGAGGTGCCCCAAGACAAGAGCAGCTGTTTGTGCGTATCATTTCCAGCTTCTGCCATGTAGACCATATGAGAACGGTGTCCTTCGAACAGCCTCGTGAAGTTGAAGGATGGTCGCGGTTCGCCAAACAGGTCATACCTAACATTGAGATTAATAGGAGAGCGGGTTGAAGGTGAAGGCATGAATCATACCACACCATTGCGGAAGGTTGTATGATACTCATGTTCACAGTATGCTTCGAAAGTATGAGTAAATTGTACGTTCCAGTTGCGAAGCGTTCCAGAATTTCGTTCTAGAACATGGTCAGCTGTGAACAGCGGTAGTGCTCGATACACGTACTACGTTTTTGCCACGAAGGGTATCCGATGGGATGATTACGGCAGGACGAATGGTGTCCATAGTTTCGTCCACGCACTGTAACATCTCCACCATCATCGTAGCGACTGCGCTATGCCTGACTACGTCAAGGTAAGAATTCCAGCTTTTGGAGTTTGACGCAAGCAACACACCTATCACAATGCCACGAAAGTCTGCAGCATATGGCTCACAAGATTGAAGAATTTGGACGAACTTTGAGAACTGCGATGATACATTCGAAGACGAATACTTGGAGAACAAGGTCGGCATCTCGAACGTCCATGATTCTATGAGGTTATGCATAGCTGAACGAACGGAATGTTCAGTTTCATCTCGTGTACCGGAATCCAGAGACTCCATCCAACGACGCCAATATAAGTCTGCTGCTGAACTACCCAATGCGCTCATGACGCGTTTGGCATCTCGGAATCGACGTGAAAAGTGGCCAGAAGGATCAAGTGTGCGAAGCTGATTATACAGCGTGGTTTTACTTTCTCCTGGAGGAGGTTCATAAGTCACTACCACCTTTGCGAAGGATACTGGGACGTTGGTTAGAGATGTGAATCTCATATGCACAATTCGGAGCAGACTAACCATTGGAACCATTGTCCTCGACTCGCTGTCTTTTCTGCGGACGTCCTATATCAGAAGTAGACGAGACTGATCCTCCAGCGTAGTGCCGTTTTCTTTCAATATGCGACTCATTCCGTTTGGAGGCCATCTCTGATCCCTACTATGCTTGAACGCTGAGAGGGTCCTAGAGACTTTACTGATGCGGGTACAATGAATAAGGCCTACGTATTCATGCATACGCACGCGACTTTGCTTCGCTGCCAAGTCGGTCGGATGAACGGCCTCCTGCGATGAGGCACTGACAACCAATGGTTGCTACAGCCTACCAAACGTTGAACCTGAAAGAGTGAAGCAGTGCGTCAGACGCCCGTATACTATTTCGATCAAGCATCCGGATTCCGCCAAGCTCTCTATCCACGCCATTCTGCATCGCACCCCCAATGCTTGCTCTTTGGGTCTCTCCTAGAGGCACTGAGACCCTCACGCTGTGGTCATACCACCAACTTTACCCGCGAAATGTATAACAATGCTCCATTGATAGTTAACTTGGGTTCCACTTTTCAAGACTCCGATACTCGCCCTAGGAGCTCGCCACCACGAAATAAGATTGGGCCCGAACCATGCCTCATTGAACGATTACCTTCCACAGGTGAGTTGTACTATTCTATTCTGGACCAAACTGTCAACTTTCTGAAGCTTTTATCCAGCGTGAGGCTCATTTCATCTTGCCCAAAGCCGTCATCAAGCAGTTACGTCGGGAACCCAGTCCCACTGTTGAAGAAGAATGGCGCGAGGAAGCTGAAGAGGCTGAAGAGAATAGCACAGAGCAGAGCCCCGACGATGAGAATGTCCATCCTCGACCTGCTCACACTAGGCGGCGTAGTGTGTCTTCTATACTCTCTTCAATATCCTCCGCCACATCAAAGTCTGCATGGAGTATTTCGTCACAGAGTAAGGTCAGCAAGGCTTGGAAAGATCCTGAGGTATGACCTCTGTAAACTCGAGAACATTTAGCTGCTCACGTTTAAGAAATAGCCGTATGAGGTCCTCCGTGCAATTGAAAAGAAGGATATTATGTTTCTAATGGAGATCCGAGATCGCGCATTTCATGTGTGTTACTTGCTTAGAAAACCTTGGTATCCCTAACACTTTTTCTCAGCTACTAGTACGGAAATCTGGAGGTGCAACGCCGCTCCTGCACGCTATGCGAATAGGGCAATCCCATCAGGATGTAGCCATTCTTCTTTTGGGAGCATTTTCGCGATACGTGAACCAACTTCAAGATGAAGACATTTCGAAGCCAGCAACAAAGGTTCTTCTGAAGGCACTTCGTGAGGACTCGCTATTGTTCCCGTACCTGTTAATAAATGCTAATATCGTAATCAGGCGCGAATTTAAAGCTTGCAATCGACTTTGGACTGGCGACCCAGCAAAGTGACCTTATTGCGTCGTTCTTGCAAACACTCATCATGAGTGAAGGTGACAAATGGGTCGCCAATCAAGCTTCCAGTGTAGGCCTTGCTCTTCGTGCCGGTAGGGAAGGCAAACCAGTCCATACGGCCGCCGCTGCTGTACGAAGTTTCGCCACCAAAGAACTTGGCAAAGCAAAGATTATTGCTGCGCTTGAAGATTAGTATGTCTTCATGCTTGAAACGATCTGCCCCTTGCTCACTCCGTTTGGTCAGTGTGGCGAATGCTACAGCTGATTTGTTGATGATAGCTGCGTGGTCAAATGTACTGGATGCTATAAATACAGATGATTCAATACCGGTGAGTATCATGATTGATTGCTCTGCGTCTTTTGACATCATACGTCTTGTCAGACATATTACTTTGCTCGGGACGACCGGGTATACAAGGCGTTTTGTGACCGCCTGGATCGACACAAACAGGTGATTGAACGAAAAGCGAGTCGTCGGTTGCGCTGGCAACTTCGAGTGCTGCGGAAAGTCATGGAAGGCCGCACGACAAATTATAGGGTACGTCCATAATCGACATCACCTTCTGTCCCAACTGACGTGCAGTAACACAGAGTAAAGTCGAGCTTCTGGCTGAAGAGTTCGATGAAGGAGAAGGTGTTTGACCTACATCACATCTTGAACTGTACACAGTCTTTTCAAGCGACATGTATCATACCATATATCGGCCACCATTCATACCCTGGAGTACTAGCATTCGAGTTTGGTGTTATACAATGCTTGAAGCTGAAGGTCAGTGGTCAGTCTTCCTTTTCATCCTGCTCGTACAAGGTGCCCTCCGGATGCAAGCCCACAATCCGCAGTGGCGTATCATCGAGCACATAGTAATTGGCATTCTTGCGGAACTCCCACTCCATGCATGGCTTTCGGCTTTACAACCGATCATCCCACCACGGGAGTCCAGGCATCCTCTGCAAGTGCCGCCCTGAGAAGGGTACATTCTCCATTTCCTGTCCTTGTTACGTAGCTTTCATAAGAGTAGGTTTAAGTGTTACTATATAGACTAGAAGAATAACTTCATCCCCCTGTAATATACCCAGCCATATACAATGACTAAACTTAGGGTAGCAGGTAAGAGATTCAGCTGCACGATGCAATATACCCAGATCGTAGCCAGGGGTGGGGCCTGTATGACGATAAGCCAAGTTCTGCATTTCTGTACCCAAATAAGTTTACCTGTCTCATGTTGACCGTCCAAGACGCGACATTTATGATATAGATTAGACGTATACCCATAGCGAGGGAAAGAACGAAGAGAAAGCCTTGCATTGCCCGAGTCTGTTTGTATCGACTGGCTACGTATAGGTTCATCATCTCGCAATCACACAAGAGGAGGAAACATGCTCACTATAAAATATGAAAACAGACAGGACTACCAGACACATTGTGAATTGTTTTGGGGTGCACGAGCTTGCATGAAACTACTCACAAGGTACGCTTGGAAGCATTCGCTGAAAAATAGCACCGTACGTCGGATGTCTACCATACTGGTAGTGTATTAAACTAGAGATCATGTCAATGTCGCAAACAATCAAGGAAAAGGATTAGATGTTACATCTCCATCATTATGAGCAGGAACGAGTGCAGTATAATGAGATTTATGGCACTGAATATCTCTTCCACAAGAGGCGAGAGTCCTTCAGGCTCCTCGTCGCTGTTAGAGCTTGAGTTCGGGTTCTCGATAGGGACGCCCTTCAGTATGCCAGATTCCTTTATGATTCGCCATTGCTCCTGCTCTGGAATGTCCACTGACGGCTGTTGGTTCTCTTCCGTGGCTGGCTTTTTTGAAGGTTTGCGATTTCGGGCCATGGATTCCGATAAAATTATACAACAGTGTGTAAGATGGAACTTTGGTTATACTAGGAGTGTGAATCAATGGGGCAGTACGAGATGGGTACAGGAGTTTGCGAGGATACATAGATGATGATGCAGCCTCTTCAAGAGACCTGCTTGAAACGACCGGCGTGTCGATCACGGCATGAACGGATCAATCCTTTCGATCACGTACGATCAAGTAACCAAATTTGTTCAGCGACACAAACGATAACTTGCCCTGCCAGGGTGCGTTTTTACTGGCCTTTGCTATTGATCTTGAGCAAATCATTTATCTTACCGCTTTCCCAATAACGTTTCGCGATTACAATGAAAGACGGAGTAATGGACAAGGATCAAGAAGAGCTTCTTCGCATCCTAGAGACGCATGGTCAACAATTCATCGGCTCATTCGACACTCGAGTGGTCAAGGGGAAACGGAAGGAGTCTTCGGGCCTTGTGGCGTCGAAACAGAAGAGGCGAAGGCTGGAGGAGCATTCAAACTCTGAAGAAGATGAAGAAGATGCAGAGGAGTGGCACGGATTCAGCGATGCTAGTGGGTCACATTCAGATAGGGAGGCAGACGATGATGGTGGTGCGTCAGATAAATTACCTTCTAGTCTAACTCATATATACCAGGACATAATAGCTCAAAATGGTTCGAGAAATGGCCTACCCAGAAAGCCAGATTTGGTCGTGTTCTCTGAGCAGGATATCTCGTCGAGTACATCGACATCTCAGCCGTCAAAAGCTCAAATGAAAGCTTTCATGGTGGGTGAGCGGCGCTCTGAAATCTTTTAGTCGGTGACATAAATTGATAGATGCTGCCATAGTCATCGAAGGTTGAAAAGGTGAGGAAAGAAGTATCAGATGATCGTGGCGGGAACAACAGTGAAGAGGATGAAGAGGGTGACCTGTTAGTCTTTATTCCCTCTGCACGGGTCTTAACCTGATGTCCCCTTGCAGAACCAATCTGCAAAATGATGCATTATTACATCGTCTGGTCCATACCAAGATCCTATCAGGGTCCCTGAACAACGACCTCGATCTCACACCTGCCCAGCGACGAAAAGCACTTGCCGGTCGAGTACTCGAGGCTGCAGGAAAGGTTAAACTTGGGAAAGGAGAAAAGGCTGTACGCTCTTCCGAACGTAATCGAGCGGCGAAACATGTTAGAGATGGATTGCTATCAAAACAGAAAGAGCGCAACGAGAAGATGCTTGAGGAGGTAAATACATGTTGTTGGTTCGCTAAGACCTCGCTCACTCTTTCCTTTAGGCCAAGCATATGGGCAATTATCACCCAGCACTAAAGAATGTGTTCGATGATTCATCATCGAAGGCAGGACCCAAGCGAAGGGAACGAGGAATGAGAATGGGGGTCGGCTCATTCAGTGGTGGTGTGTTGAAGTTGAGCAGGGGTGAGATAGCTACAGCGACCGGAGCCCAAAGAGGTAGAGGCAGAGGCAGAGGCGGGAGTAGGGGCAGAGGTCGAGGCGGCAGAGGTTCGCAGAGAGGAGGTCGGCGATGACCATTTGAACACATATTGTTATTTTTCTGGCTATGGGATCATATAATACACACTGGTGACACTATCGACACCAACAGCAACAGAATACAACATAGCATAATATCCATAATGTTCGTAAGTCCAAGTTTCTTCCATGGTTCCAAGCATGACCACGATCACCTTCGTGAAGTATGGTGGGAGCGACTTGAGGAACTATGGTAGGAACGCGCCCCCGAAGACGCAGGAGAACCAGCTCTACATTTCAGATATTAAGTTCAAGAGTTACAATGTAAAACATTGCGATACTCACCCTGGTGTCTGACGCCGCACTTCATCTAGGTTGATCACAGGCGAACCGTAAGACCTGCCTCTTTCTCCTTCACGGTGTCTCTCATGATGCCTGTGCGAGGATCTTCCTGATGAACGAATAGAGTCATGTCTGCAGATAGGTTGAGAGCTAGGAATATCGTGTACTCTGCGGACCTTCGACTCACCCGCTGTTACCTCCATTCACAGATGGCTCCACGTATATCACATTCGGGGTGTTCCTGGTTCTAGATGATGTGCTGTGGGACCTGAACATTCATTAGCCATGTTACTCTGTCCAGGTGTAGATGCTCACCGGTAATCATCATACCTATCATCGTAGCGTCCGCGACCCCGTTCAGCGTGTCTGGATGAACCATGGTGTGAACCACCGTCGTATGCAATCCTGTGTTGTAGCCCATGAGACAAAGAAAGTTTGATGGTCCAATTCTCCTTACCTGTCCCTGCTATGATGATGTCCAACATCTCTGTGTTTTCGATGGCCAGAGGCGTTATAATACATATCGTCAGATTCACTCCCGCTGTCATACGAGTCTCTGCCGTCGAAGCCCATACTATGAGGGTGTGTCAATGATCTGAAAGACTGAAAGTGTCTTAAAAAGAAGTTAATTTACCGATATATTTCATTTCCAAATTCGTCCTGGATTATAACAGGTCGTTGAGGTCGTGGTCGATAGCGTCCGCTAAAATCGCCAACCCTGACACAAACCATCAGCTTTTGCAATGTAACATTTCGGGACGACATACCTTGTTAATTCATTGCCATTCTCATCTTCAAAGATAACGGGCGCACCACCGGGTACGACATAATATGTGTCCTTCTTGCCATGGTGTCCAGGTGCTACGACAAGGACATAAGGTGGGTACTCTTCCTCCTCCGATGAATAATAGCTACCGGAGCTACTAGACTGATCGAATCTGTAATCTTCTCTGCCCACGGCGTGCCGACCGTAGGAGTCATTTCCTCTAATATGTCGCTCCGGATAATCTTTGTGGGTATGTCGAGAGCGTTCAAAATCCTGGCGAGGAGAAGGGACGTGTCCGTATTCAGGTTGTAAACTCTCGAACCCCGTGTTGTTCACCACTACAGGATGATTCGAAGACGCAAAACTCCCATGAGTTTCAGTCGGCGTCTGCATATCTGTCCTAGTATACCTCTGGCCCTCTGTTGGAAGGGTGATGTCGGTTACTGGGCGTGACGTGGGACCACGGTCCGCAAAGGCTTCTTGCAAGCGACTGAAAGAATTCTCCCTTTGTACGATGGGCGGTGGATTGGAGTTGAGCTCATCAAAGGTCTCTTCTGTGCGAGTATCGGTTGAGCCTGGTGCATGATGATAGTCTTCTGCCGCAGGTCGTTCACGGCTTCTGATGTAACCAGGAGCGTCGTAAGGTGAAAAAGAACCTGAGGGGCGCTCCACGAATTCTTCTTCCCACTATCGAAGAGTGTTGTTAGTAGTCGTCAAACCTGCAGTTTCAAAGAGAGATGTACTCGACCGTCCTCTCGAGGCCTCCTTGACAGAATCTTTCGCCAGGTCGTACCACTGGAAGGATGGTGTTGCTGATAATGATATTCATTATAGCCAGAGTCCGGGTAGTGATCCCCCTGCGGGTGGTCTCTGGAACGGTGGAAAGTTGGGAAGAGTCGAGGCATAATAGACGATCAACGTCAAGGACGGATATAATGATGAGATATCAAGAGTCTGATGGGTTAGCCAGTGTCTGGGTGTGGAGGGACCACCAGAAAGAACGAAGTGAACAGTCAGTATTGGAGTGGCCATCCTCACACCAGTTAAGGTCGCGTCGCTGTAGCATCGTGGTAGGCATGAGGGATAGGTGCAGCTAGGGCACGCACATTCGGAAGCCTGATTCAAGAGGTGGGAAACGCACGGATAAGAAGCGGAAGAGGATTCCGATAGAAGATGAAGATGAGGATACTAGGAGGGTGGTTCATAAACCGATTCGATGCCAACGAGTCCTGTGGGCCTTACTGAGCTCCAATTGGAAGTAACCCCAGCTGACATTCTCCGCATTGTTGAACTTCTGAATGCATCTGGGGTAACACACTTACTTCATTTGTATCACGCGAAAGCCATATCTCACGTTGGAAATCCGCAGTTTTTGGAATACCCAACATCCTTATCGCGCAACGTGAAAAGTTGTATTAACTACAAGACTATAGTCGTTAGATCATCACAACATTCAGAGATTATGTCGGACTCACGTGTCATTACGCTAACCAGTCGTGAACATGTGTGCCACGTAGGGCGAAGGGCTCTAGGTTACATATGCAGTAATCTCGCTCCAATGCAACTGCTTGACTTGCTGCAAAGCAAGTGACACCTTATAGATTGCATCCGCGGTTTGACCGATAGATGTGGGGTTGACTACCGAAGCTTGGGAAAGGAGATTTATTCTCTCTGTAAGAACCCTTAGTGAAGATTCCAGGGCCCTCGCCGTTCCTTCCAACGTGGCAAGAGTCGCACTTGTAGGTTGCAGTGTTGTACCAGAGCTGGCAGAACCATTGTGTGACGACGAAACAAGTTTTGATTTCGAGGAAGATGGTATCTACATTGACGGAGTGTCAGCTATCGGAAGCGAGGTCGTCATTATCAACAAACCTTTGACTGTGAGTCCCTCCATGGTGGCACAGTCGATGACTGTAAATCCTGTATGATAGTCGATGATAAGCACAGATCAAATTACCTGGTGAAATTTGACTCTACCGGGATCTCTCCGATGCTAGTAATCGTCTCCATATCCTGTCCTCTTGAAACTGAAGATTGGGCTGGTCTATCAGATGGAGCAGGAACCGGGCGTGAGGATGGCCCAGCTAGCGGTGCGGACGTAGCCTCGGTAGAAACCAGGCGCACGAGCCCGTTTTCATCGGTCTGGTCGACATAGACGGTATGGCATATAACGCATTCCTATCATGAAAGTAAGCTCTTATGTTCTCCGATATGCTACAAGACTTGCTTTTCGTGGATCCCTCTCACTACCAGTCTTAGGGGGCCGAATCAAAGGAATACCATAACATTCCGAGTTAGGGCATTCATCTGCTAACATGGCCCACCCTTTCAGCATTCGTTTGCCGATCTCGGACGAGGCTAAATCCGATTGTTGTCGGCGACGCATAACTTCTTCGGTATCAACGGGTGCAAAAACAGGTGAGCTGAATACGCTCGAGACCTCTGTGGGTGGTGTTGACGGTCTGGAAATATGGGTGCCGGAACTCATGCTAGAGTTCACACTCGAAGAGCTAGCCGAATGAGCCGAATTAGTAGCCTCCTGGATTCTACTCCGTATAGAATCGCAACAGGCGCAATAATATGACTCCGGGCTGTGTGCTGCAGGTGAGCGCATTAAGGGAATCTTGCGACAAGTCTGACATATATCGTCAGTCAGAATCTAGGAGGGGAGAGATGCATGATAAGTAACAACACGTGTATAAGTAGCATGTTGTACACACCCATCCCTTGAGCATGTACTCGCCAAGTTTGGGAGAGATGTCGACCACGGTGCTCATCGCGGTTTGTGGTACAGATGTCTAGCGCCGAAGAGATGCCGCTCGACACGGTCACGCACATCGAATGGGGCGCGGTCACGCGCTGCCACGTGGGAATCCACACGCGGCAGCCTCGCTGCAGCAGGCCAGTCTGAGCTTGCCTTCTTCAGGACACCCATCCACCCTTGGACATCGTCCATCGCGTCGACCTCACATAGCCTCTGTCGACACCCATGGCGTCGGGGGGAGAGCCATTGTGCCACTTTGGTGGCAGGTACGAGTCTACAGCGCTCGTCCCAACGACTTTGATTAATATCAACCATTGTATGACAGACTATATTTTACGACCTTTCCTCATCCTGCACCACATCCGGATGTCCTGAATAGTCAATCTGAGTCTGAGAGTCAGCCTCGAATACGCGGTACACCATGTCCAGGTCCATCAACGACACCTGATGACGATGCCAAGTACTACTACTTCACCGTCGATGATCAGTTCCTCTACCTTTCTTTCTATCAGGATTGGGGTCCATTCAACTTAGCGATGGTTTACAAGTCATGTATTCTTATTCACGAACTGTTACAGGTCAGCACCCTACCTATGCAAGCGGTCATCATAACCTCTAACCTCTGAACCATCAGGATCGAGGACTGTCCTCACACAGACTAGTCCTGTACTCTTCAAGCGACCCAAGAAAGAAGGCTAACGCCGCACTTCTGATGGCACTATACGTTGTGAGTATCATTTACGCATCCATCTTATGCATCCTTCTAATGTTATGTCAGATGATCGTGCAACAACGACCTCCTTGGGAAGCTTTCCACCCGATTGCAGAATTGGAATTCATGCCCTTCCGCGATGCTGGACGGGGTCGGTCTGACTTTAACCTCAACATTCAGGACTGCCTATGGGGCATCTATAAAGCCATGCAAAATGGTCTATGCGATATGAATGAATTCGACATCGAAGATTATGAATATTATGAGAAGGTGGAGAATGGAGACTGGAACTGGTTGACACCCAATTTCATCGCCTTCGCGTCTCCTGTTGACCTTGCTTGGATAAAGAAAGAGAAGGAGAAGCAAACTCAGATGGCCGACGGTCCAGCTTCACCAAATAAGGCTGGGGATCTTGCGCTGCAGCGCAAGCTACCAACACCATTCCAGAACTGCTTGGATTATTTCGAGAAGAGGAATGTCAAACTCGTTGTCCGACTCAATAATGCCTTGTACGACCGACAAGTCTTCCTTGATCGAGGTATTCACCATACCGATCTCTACTTCGATGACGGTACGAATCCTACGGACGAGATCGTCCGGAAGTTCATTGACATGGCCGATGAAGTGATCGAAGCAGGGGGCGTAGTCGCAGTCCATGTAAGTATCTTTGCCATCTACAACTATAAATTATTTCCAACCAGTACTTCAGTGTAAGGCAGGCTTAGGCCGCACAGGCACTCTGATAGGTGCATATCTCATTTGGAAATATGGCTTTACAGCAACCGAAGCTATCGCCTTCATGCGTATCGTACGTCCAGGGAGCGTTGTCGGTCCGCAACAACAGTACATGTACTTGAAACAACTGGAATGGGCAAAGTGGGCTGCAGTGGATGAAATGAGGAGGCTACAGCGCACTGCTGTCATCGCTGCCACCACTCTCGTTACACCCGCGACTCCGCCTGCAGAAGACTCCGACGACATGGTTGTGGAGTCAGCCACCAGTGTCGCCATCGTGATCCCATCAACTCCACCACCTAGGTCGATACCCCCCGTAACGCCTAGTAAGCATGTAGCGGCGGCTGCCGCCAAGGCGAAAGCCATCTCACCACCCGGACAACCAAGAAAGACACCTGCTGCTAAACGAGTCGCAACCGATTCTGATCAAGAGGATGACGTTTTACCTCCACTTCGCGCTGCGTCAGTGCGTAGAATCAAACCGAAACCTGCCTCTGCAAGAGCTGCAGGTGCTCGTGTCACCACGGCTGAGGAGAGATCCGCGCGGGTGACGAGATCTACTGCTACAGCTTCTCAAAGAAAAGGCGCCATATCCACCAACACAATCAAATCTGCGAAACCAAACGGACAAGCCCCGAACAAGATACCTCGTCTCGCCGACGACACCTCTGCCAGAGGTACTACCACCAACAGCGCTACCCTAGATGTACCAGCCCTCGGGACTCGCAGCAGAGGCCGTCAATTGACAACCCCTACGCCATCGCGTTTGCCCACTTTGGTACCGAAGAGACCAGGTCATAAATCCACAACCTCAGTCCAAGAAAATGCGGCATCCTTAGCCTCGGTCAAGGCGTCCATTGCGCCTGCTGATTGGATGACCAATAATGCTCCTGCTGTGGTGGTTGCAGGTTCCAAGTCTGGACGTCCTGGTCTCAGACCAATACGACGACGCAGGAGCAGCTTCAGCGCTGCCGATGTTGTTGCATGACATTAGCATGTTATACCTCGATGGTATGCATTCCTCTCATTTTGCATCGCTCTCTGCAACATTGCATTGTGTATATCTATTTCAACATCGCATCTCACTCTCTCTATCGGTATATATATCCCCTCTTGCATCGCGATTCCCCCTCTTGATTCTTGCGCCATTTTGGGCTGATTTAACAGGATCTTGCAGAGATTAGGGCTGGTTGCATTTTACGAACAATGTATACAGTATATGGTTCATGTCAGATTTTTGAATGATCATAATGAACATCACCATGCATACGCCTCGTTGAACGGCCAGTGGAGCTTGAATCTCGCAGAATCCGTTCCTGAACGTTAGGTTCTCTTGCTACTAAATCACCCGTCTAGACGCTACAGAAGATGTTAATGCCTATAATACAGAGTTTGATTACTTTGCTGTATATTTGTGCACACATTGGAAGAACCAGCGCAGGTCTTCTGGATCAACTGCGGGTGTGATACCATGACCTAGATTCGCTATCCAACCTTTCGGAGGCTTTGTACCCCGGAAGCTCTCAGACATCCTCTTCACCTCTCTTTCGATGGCATCCTTTCCCCCATACAGAACGTTGGGATCCATGTTACCCTGCAGAGCAACCTTGTCTCCAACTAAGCGACGAGCCTCCGAAGGCTCAATGCACCAGTCGATACCAAGAACATCATATCCACCTTGCTCGGCGAGTTGCGAGAGAGCGTGGTTCGCACCTTTCGCGAAAAGTGTCATGGGCACGGCGGGGATCCCTTCTGATGCTAGCTTTTGACGAACACCGCTGGATATATGTTGTAGCGTGGGAAAGGAGAATTGTTGGAAGTGATGAGGTGCAAGTTCGCCTGCCCATGAATCGAAGACTTGTAGCAACTGGAAAAGGCGATTAAAACTAGTGCATGCAATATCGCCTATAAATGAGAGATCTACCTGAGCTCCCGCTTTGACTTGCCCCACCAAAAAGTCGACACATACATCAGCTATACGCATGAGGAGCTTCTCCGATTCCTGCGGATATTGGAAAAGCCAAGTTTTGGCTTTCTGGAAGGTCTTACTTCCGCCACCCTCAACCATGTAGGCAAAGAGTGTCCATGGAGCTCCGCAGAAACCGATCAAGGGAACTTCTCCCTTGAGAGCGTTTCTCGTCATCGTGATAGCCTCGAAGACATAGCCAAGTTCCTTATTGACATCGACATCCTTCGTGAGCTTAGCAATATCCGCAGGGGTATTTAATGGATCTGGGAAGTAAGGGCCGGGTTTCATTTCGACCTCCATACCCATGGCCTGAGGAATGACTAGAATGTCGCTGAATATGATAGCAGCATCCAAGAGACCTGAGTACCGCCGGATGGGCTGGATGGTGACTTCTGTCGCAAGCTCTGGTGTACGGCAGACCTCAAAGAATTCATGCGACTCTCGCACTTTCCTAAATTCTGATAAATATACGTTAATAGATTGTACTACAGAAAAGATCCAGAAGAACGCACCTGGCAAGTATCGTCCTGCTTGTCGCATTACCCATACCGGTGCACGCTCTGTCTCTTCTCCTAATCGATCGTTCGCATGTCAGGATGCGCCAGAACTATGTGTATGCAAGTAAATACCTCTAGCAGCCCTCAGTAAGAGATCATTCTTCAAAGGAGGAAAAGTCATGGCGATCGGAAGGGAAGAAAGATGCTGGTATGACCTCTCGTATCTTTTATAACACGTTACACTAACTGTACAGAGCACTGCTGAGCCCCTGTAAACGTGTACAGCTGTGCGTGGGGTAGGAGGGTGAAACTGGAATCCGGGTGAGCATGATTGCCTGAACGGACGTGCGAGCGCAATCGCGTCTCCTGGGAGTTTCCTTGCTTTCACCACTCATGTTCTCTCCCATAGGCCGGTCTCTTTCCACTACGTTTTACACTGGATTCTCGGACGGCTACAGTTGCCATAAATTATGCGCATTTCAGAGCCAAGTCAATTGGTTGATGAGTGAGTTGTGATGTCCTTATGGCGTCAACCATGTCCCCCTTACTCTTCCAGGTTCAAGAAATCTGGCGAATTCGACCGCTTGAGACGCGAATTGCTGTCACAATTCCGCGATGGCGTATGTAAAATCTACGGGGCGTTTACTTTGTTTGAATATTCAACATGTCCTCGTCATATAGAACTCCATGGCATCGCTTGTGACCCAAGTGGAAGATATCGTCAAACGACAGCTGGTGTCCGATCAAAAGCTGCAGTATATGTCGGACGCTGTAGCATATAGAGAACTCTTACAAGAGGTCGACAGGTATGTGGAGCCGTCTCACAGTGAAGTCGAACATCTCACTGTTCCACAGATATCCTGTTGTTGAACGTGCCGCCGGGGGTGTGACAACACTAGCGGACCCTGCGTTCATTTCGTCCATCCAAGAAGAGTTGTCCGATTTACTTCTAGAGAATCGACACCCGGGTACTAGCAAGAAGAGTATGTGTTTGCGAGGAATCTTTAACCGTTAGCTCATATTGTTGTAGGTTTAGCTGCCGCTTCGACATCGAGACATTATGTTCCGTCGTATCAGGACAATGACCATAAGCACGGAGCTGGCCATTCGCATAGCTATACATCACAAGTCAGCGATGCTTCCCCGCCAAACCAACAAGGGCAATTGCCACAAGCCACCGAAACTAACGACGACCCTCCCGAGGATGACAACCACGGACTGAGTTTTGATTCAGAGCATACTCCTATGGGGAAAACGCTAGCGATCAGCGACACTAGTCCTGGGCGTGTCGGCGCTGCGGCTGAGGCATCTGCACCCGCACAAACAATTGTGGAATCTCCTCGCGATATCCCAGTTCATGAAGATGGTCCTCCAATAGGTAGTACGTGATAATCACAGTGGAAGTGTTTTCAAGCCAGCATTCAGATGAGAGGTCAGTATATCTGTCGCATGTCCCTGACTATATTTTAAATACTTCCTTTGCAGTGCTGAGTGTGTATAAGTACGCGTTTAGAGCAGGGCTCGGCAACGAGAGGTCCTCAAGGCTCCTTCACAGTATATGCTAATCTGAGATACAGTCTCTGGTTAGCCGGCGGAGCTCAGCGTGGCCGCCAACCCCACAGTCGGTTGCAGAAGGGAGGTGCCTGACCGCAATTTCTTTTATGCACGAGCGCGTACGTTCCCGTACTTTCTTCCTAATGCTAACGTTTAAAATGTAACCTAGTCCCTATACCGAAAAGAAAAAAATTGAAGTGCGATATGCTTGGTACCCAATTGTTTTTTTCTTGGCCAATATTGTCATCTCGGTCCGATGTCAATAAGGATGTATCTTTCAATATTGCAGATATAGATCGAACACGCGTTTCTCTTCAATCGAATGTTAAGCAGAGCTATTGGAGACTCTACGCTGGAGTAACATGGCCAGGAAACTCGATCGGCGCCAGTCGCAGGAGTCAGGCGACATCAAGCCTTTTATTCTACTCTCGGATTTATTCGGCTTCATCACGCCTAACAGCTCATCCGTACCAAACGAAACGCAGGTGAGCACCATCTGACTCTTGCTGACCACCGTGACCCGCTATATAGTACACGAAACATGTTCAAGCCACCAGGATTCTCATCAGGCTTCTCTTTTTTCACGTACGGGGCTCACGGACTCAAGCGCGCATTGAATAGCCATGGGTTCTGACGTGGGTTGGTACCCCAAACCTGTTACCAACTTCGAACATTAACCCATCAATCATTAGTACAAGGATCGCCAAAGCCGCGCTCTGTCGCAAGCTTCGTTGACATTGAGAAGCCTATCATTGAGCATTCTGAACCTGGCCTGCAAAGCCCCCAAGTCAATGGCAGAAGGATCCTCAGAAAGATCGATCTGAGGGTGGTCCCAGTCCTCTGCGTGCTCTACTTGCTAGCTTTCCTTGATCGGTTCGTTCTTCTGCTTCATTGCTTTGACGAATGACATAGAGTTCCCGACAGAGTAAACATTGCCAACGCTACATTGTTTGGCTTGAAGGAAGACTTGAAACTTCAGGGTGATCAATACAATACTGCTTTGGTTATATTGTGAGTAAATAGTGACCCGCGCATAGTCGTTCGCTGATGACTTTTTTCCAGCTTTGTTCCCTATATCATATGCGAAATCCCATCCAATGCGCTCTTGAAGCGCCTTAAGCCTCATCTATGGTGTGAGTACAGCGTGTTTCTGATTGGAAGCCTCTTACGCGTCTTCGTCTTTAGTGAGCGGATGCATGTTCATGTTCGGCTTGACCACCTTGCTCCAAGGTTTTACACAAAATTATGGCGGGCTTCTAGCTACGAGATTCTTCCTAGGTAAGCACGCGGCTGTTGTTGTTGCTCTGACCCTCCCGCTGATTTATATCAAGGTGTTTTCGAGAGCGGCATGTTCCCTGGATGTTTCTATCTGCTTGCTATGTAAATATCGACGTTCTGAGAAGCGACTTTATACTGACCTTGTCTCCGTATTAGGTGGTACCGTCGTGAAGAGGCCCAGAAGCGTTACTCATTTTTCTTCTCATCAACCACCCTTGCTGGGGCGTTTGGCGGCCTCTTAGCCAGTGCTATTGGCAAGATGGATGGTGTCCGTGGATATCGTGGGTGGCGTTGGGTCTTCATTCTCGGTATGCCTGCATAATTCCGAAGTAGTCCTCATCTAACTTAATTTTTCCAGAGGGTCTATTTACTTGCGTTGTGGCAATCGTCTTCTTTTTCCTCATTTCTGACTTCCCTGAGGAAGTAAAGTGGCTGACAGCCGAGGAGAAACAGTTTGTGAAAGATAGGCTGTATGATGACGTAGGACACTCACAAAGCGACGAGAAGATCACTTTCAAGAGCGCGCTAGGGGTTCTGAAAGATTGTATGTTGCGTCTGTCTAAGGTGACTGAAATACTAAATTTGCGTAGACAAAGTAATCATCGGAGGATTCATGTACTTTGGCTTGATCGTTCCCGCTTATGGATATGGTACGCCGTATTCGTCTTGCAGCGTCATCCTGCTAATGCCTTTGCAGCTTACTTTGCTCCTGCAATCATTCAAAGTATCGGCAATCACAGCAGCATTCATACACAATTGTTGTCTGTCCCTCCGTGGGCTTGTGCATGCGTTTTGTCGATGGTGGTTGCCATCATCTCTGATTACTCTGGACATCGCTATATCTTCACCCTGCTCCCGACTCTCGTTGCTCTCGCGGGCTTTATCATCCTTCTCGTCGTGCACGATAATAACCATCTACAGTATGCTGCGCTATTCCTGGCTTCTGCAGGATCATATTCTGCTATGCCGATAATCGTCTGTTGGTTCAATACAAACTGTATGTCCTTTCTTTTGTCGTACGTGAGCTATAAGCTGACAAATAAATGACCATAGTGGCTGGGCACAAGAGAAGAGCAGTTGCAACCGGTTGGCAAGTTGGATTCGCCAATAGTAAGCGGATTTCATGTTTGCGTGGTCGGCGAAATAATGACTAATCTTCCCTCACAGTTGGCGGTATCATCGCCGCATATTCTTTTGTCGCCAAGGACGCGCCTAAGTACATTCCGGGCTACAGCATCTCCATTGCTTTCATCGTCCTATCAATGTTCGCTTGCGTCGCATACCTCGTCGGCATCGCATGGGAAAATCGTGAACGAGATCGTGGAAACGTTCGCGGCGTTGACCTACCAGCAGAAGAGAAGCAGAAGTTGGGTGACCTGAATCCGGATTACAGATACATTCTGTGAAGGGTGAGAGCTGAACCTGGCTATTGGTCTTGGACAATATTGACGGAGTACCGTCCAGGTCAATTATGCATCACACGATATAGCATGCATACTCACGACGCCATATACGATATTTTGCATACGACTGTATCATGAGCGCAAAAATTAGGGTTTGCAGTGTCGTCAATTGTAACAGTAGTCAGATGCGGATGTCGCTCGCGTTGACGTTGAGACTTATGTGTCAATGGTTTCCTTGAGGCACAGAGCGTTGCGGATTTTGCTCTGTCACCAGTAGGTCTTATTTCAAGCAGTACTAGAAACTGTGATTATATCTAATGGATCTGCGCGCATATGCGCATAATTTTCATGAGATATGAGAATACTAGGAATAGGTTCGGCGGTGCGGGTGACTAGGCAAAGTGAATGTTCACTTCTGCTCAGAAGCTGGTAGGATTCGATCACCGATCGTGTCGCGTGGCATCACGGCGACGGCCGGAAGGACGTGACCAGACGCATTTTCTGTGTTGCATTCAGAGTTCATTTGTCCAGCTCAATCAAGCAGCCATGGCAGTCAGTATACTCAACCACTCCGTTATGTTCAGCAGACTTACGAATATTCTTTAGAGTCGGTGTGCACACGCTCTGCGAGCAGCCTCTCGTTCCCATTCTTTCATCCGGTCGGTTCAATTTGCGTTTTGGCATGAGACGTGTGCTCACTATATGGAGCAGACCTCATGCGTTGGCTTTCCGTTCGAGATCACTTGCCACTGCTGCCGCTGCCGAGACTTCCTCATCTACACCTCCTCCTCCATCACCAGTATCTGATCCCAAACTGACGAAGATTGTTGATGAAATCTCTGGGCTTACATTATTGCAAGCGGCAGACCTGGTTTCTCTCTTGAAGGCACGTCTATGTTTATTATATCGCATGAATTGCATACTTACCCTAGATGTAGACGAGACTTAACATTCAGGAAATTGCCATGCCTTCGGCTGGGCCTGCGCCCGTGGCTGCTGTAGAGGAGGCTCCAGTTGAGGTGAGTTTGCGCAATGCAGTCTCGTTCACATAACGCTCATATAAGTTCAAACATCGTAGGAGAAGCCCAAGGAAAAAACTGTCTTTAATGTCAAGCTTGAATCCTTCGAAACTGCTGCTAAACCAAAGATTATCCGGGAAGTCAAGGCTATGGTTCCTAACCTGACACTCATCGATGTGCGTGCTTTCGATATTTTCACCATAACGTAAATGAATTTTCATCTCTCTACAGGCCAAGAAGTTCGTCGAGTCCGTCCCTACGATCCTCAAGGAAGGCCTTTCAAAGGAGGATGCCGAAAAGCTCAAGAAGACCTTCGAGGCTCTGGGTGGTGTTGTCGTTCTGGAGTAATGCTAGATTTTACCCTCTATACTCATCTCTAATGCACACTTGACCATTTGTGTGTTTCGCTCAACCTCGAAAGTACTGTAAGATATATGTAAGATATCTTCATATTGCACAGGAAAAGGTAGAGAAACAATGATTGCTACAGTGCGAGACTAAAAGGTGAAAGCAAATGATGCGAATGGGGCGAATGCGATATAACATGAACATGCCCAGAATGCTAAAGGAGGGTGTGGACCGAGTGCTCAATCTTCTGAGAGATATCGGTATTCGAAGCGGAAGTCGCTCTTCTTGCGTTGACACCAAGAGCCTTCCCAGTCAAAGTAGACGTAGACTCCTTGCTCATATTCCTCCGTAATTGCTTGGGGCTCAGAATGACGCTGGAACCAGGTGAGATACTTGACGTGGAATCGCCATGATTGTCGCTTCAGCTCTTTAGCAGCAAGGTATCTTTAACACGTCAAATTAGAACATAACAATGATGAAGGATTCCTTTGACTTACTGTTGATAAGTGCCTGGATGGAAATAGAACACATAGAAGAGGGTTTCTACGTCGAGCTGAGAGAAGATTCCAGGCGTGTTCAGAACGGGATGAGGAGTTTGAGGGTAATACGATGGGGTCTGGAACGGATTACGAGGCACGTAATACTTCGGTCTGAAATTTATGCGTGAGCACACCGAGAAATCATAGAAATACTGAACACGTACTTCTCCGTATCCTGCGGTTGCGGCATCGTCGTATAGCTTCCCTCCAACAACTTATGAACCTCGCCGAGATTGGACATACGATGAGGCGCTATAAGGCAACGTGTCAATTGTCATACGTAAATTGCAGGAGTGTCACCATGCTGTGCTGACCTTTCTGCTTGACGTTCTCAAACGACATCACTAGATCAGATAAGGAACCAGGGAATGCAGTCGGAGCTGTCGGTCTCTGTTGCTGCTGAGACAAACCCTGAGACGGTGCAGCGGATGGAGGCCTGGCACCTTGAGGTTGGGGTTGTTGTCCGATCACAGTTGGATGCACTTGCTCCGACGCAGGAACCTTCACACCAGGAGGGAACTGCAGTAGCGCTTGTTGCGGTTGTGGCATTGGTGACGTGCCAGGAGCCTGCGGGCCAGACAAAGCTGAACGCGCTGCTGCCTGAGTAGATGTTTCTTGTGTTGTCGGAGAGCCACCTTGCAATGTTGATACTTGTGAAGCTTGCGAAAGACCGTTTGCTGCTTGTTGCGGTGCACTTGGTTGGGTTTCGGGAAACACCTACGGAACAGTCAGCACCGTTATTCACAACTTGCCAGAATGGAGGGATGACATACAGATGACGTAGGGGGAGGATGTGAGACAGACGGCGACTCGGTGGCAACTATCAAGGAAGTTAGATGGCTCGCTTGCATACGCGCAGGGCACTTAACTTACGATGTCGTATTGCGGCACGCGGTGATACAGTTGGCTGACCGCCTGCGGGAGGTGCTTCTGAAAGAGCTGGAGAAGCGTGCGCGGAATATAACGAACCATCCGCTTGTGCTACCGATGCTGATGCTGCAGATGACAGTAGAGGGCTCGTCAGAGATGGGTGTGTTAAACTCGGTGAAGACATCGCTGCTGTTTGTTCAGTTGTTGTTGTCGACGGTATTGACGGTGGTGTAGGTACCGCCGATGGTGTACTTGTTGATGTTGTCGTCGCTGACGGCGTAGCCGGCGTTTGAGAGGTGGCAGCCTGTGATGGTGTGGGTGGGTTGACTGCCGCGGCTGCTGCTGCTGCATACTTAATTGGTAAAGGTGCGGCAGAACGAGGTTGCGGTTGTGGCGGCGGATTGGGTTTCAAAATAGATATAGGACTGGGTGAGGGTTTCGAAGCTATGAATCAAAATGAGTCTCTACAGGCAAACGAAGCGAGTACGCAAAGACAGACCATCCGCTATTGAAGTTTCTGATCCGTTTGTCTATCAAGTCACGCAAAACGATAAGACAATATGACGTACTTCGTAGCTGCAATGTCATCCCCGTTGACTTCTTCAGGACCGGACTTCCATCCCGTTTACTACTTGCTACGCTTTCCTCGTCATAGAGCTTCTTCGATGGTGTTCGTGGAGGCAAATCTAAAAGACCAAGTTCAATTAGAATTTAAACTAAAGACCCATATTTACAACGTACCTTCACTCGCATCTTCAGATTCGTCGGTATCGTTGTCATCAACAGCAAGACCGAACTTCTCCTCTTCCTCGTCCAGGTTGAGCTCATCGTAAATGCCCTCATCTTCGTCAAATTCCTCTTCCTGCGGTTCATGATCTTTGAGTCATTCCAAAATGTGATGATGTTCATAGCGCGACAAACCGTATTGCTCTCGACGAAATACGCGACGTCATCCTTCAAAGCATTGATCCTCTCCACCGATATCGAGCCATTCTCCAACAGGCGCAGAATGAGTTCAAGTCGGCTTATATGCCATTTCCGTCGCTCATTCAGTCTCTCAAGATTCTCCAAACGTTCTGCTTGTGCTCCACCAGCGCGATTCTTCCTCTTTCCGCCACCCTGCAGGGTCTCGATCTCTGCCTCGGCTTGTTCGACCTGCATTTGGAGCTCCTCGACTTGTGATTGTAGCCAGTGTGTGATTTCAAGCTTCTCCTGTGCCTTGGGATCGAGTTTGGCCGACTGTATTAGACCCTCTTTCGAGAACGCCTTCGTCTTCATTTCTTTCTCGCAGGCCTTGAACTTCTCCATTTGCTACGCGTAGACAAAGTATGAGCGCGTCTGCGAAATTCAAGAATGGATTATCGCGCACCGTCTCAATAAGTCTGCGGTTGTCGAGAAGCGCACTCTTGTCCTTGATGTCATTGCTCGCGACCCACGTCTTTATTTGATCTCGAAGTCGCTGGAGTTTCTTGATTTGGGTTTTGAGATCAGTTTCTAACTTTTCCTTCTGCGTCTGGTTCGTTGAAGCTTGCATCTTGTCGTATATGCTTTCAAAGAGCTCGACACCCTCCGAAACCTTCTTAAGCGTCCGGTCGATTTCGGCTACAATTCATTACGAGTATCAGCGTGCGAATTGGGGTTCTACAAAACATGCATGCGCACTCTGTAGTTTTCGTGCCGCCATGTTGCACAGGAGTCGCCAGAATGAAGGACGAAGTAGACGTTGTCGAGCCTGAGACTGGCGCTGTGCATCTACGCCGTAAGCGTTTATTTGTTGTCATGTGTTTGCGCCATGCCCATATTTGGACATCTCACTTTCCAACGGGGTGAGGAGATAGGTTAGGTACGTATTTAATAGCTAGCGCTGCGAAGCTATATGCCAGCTGCAGGGAACGATAGTTGGAACTGCAAGGTTCCCATAAATACTCCGTATCCCTGGGAATGAGTACATCCCTAGTGTGAACAATTCCCTTAAGCCCCAGGTTCGTGCTTCCAAGTTCTGACATGTGCATGAACGCTCGTAACTATAGTCGTCAAGATCGGCCTTGGTTACAAAGCAAATCCGGACAGTGTGAATGAATGCATCCACCGGTTGCCAAGTGCATCACACAATGCGAGTAAGATATCACACAGAACCAGGTAGAAGCCATATATTGGCATGTGCGCAGTCATCGATTCGGGGTCTGGCATAAATTGCTGAGAGAAAAACACTCTTTGGTTATCAGGCCGGGTGGTTCTAGTCTTGTGTTGCCAGTCCGCCATGCGTCTCTAGAGCAGTCGCGACGTGAGCTGAGAAACACGAAACGGTAGAGCAAGAACTTGTAGTAGCTGGCCCTGACATGTCAGTCGTCTTGAAGCGGGAAGGATAGACTCAACGCTACAAAACATGACAGAAATGAACAGATGTATACAGAGACATGGAAAAGATTCAAGATTATGTACATGCAAAGACCCGGTCCGTCTTGACGGGTTTCAGTCCTTTACCATTGTTTTAGCATACCGTGGGAATATTAAGTTTGAGCAGACCAGTGGACCTCGCTTAGGGTTGCATCTCTCCTTCCTGCGACTTCCTGCGATATCCCTCTTCACGCCTCTTCACGACATTCTACTTGTATTGCTCGCCTATTTAACCTACCACCATGAAGTCTCTACGCAAGTCCCTTAATGGAAATAAGGATCATTCCCATCACATCCCTAGCCCTTCCTCGCCCCTGCCTCCGCTTTCTAAACCTATCAACGCTATCCAGCCCCCGAAGAAGGTTATAAAGGCCTTGCAGTCCCATCGAGCTACTGCCCCCCAGGAGCTCTCGTTCGATAAAGGCGACTTCTTCCATGTTGTCAACGACGTGAACCAAGGACAGTGGTATGAAGCTCACAATCCAATTTCAGGCGCACGAGGCCTAGTCCCGTGCAGTATGTTCGAAGTATTCGGTAGAGGAGCAGTAACCTCGTGAGTCTATTTTATATAATTCCAAATTGACCACTCTGAACACTGCGTACTGTAGTCCTAGTCCTAGATTGACCCAAGCACCGAATCCAGTGCAGACACAGTCTCCGATGTCCCCGAAAACCCAAGTCTACTATGCAATTGTTCTGCATGACTTCATAGCAGAGCGTGCAGACGAATTGGATGCGAAAGCTGGTGATACTATCTCTGTCGTTGCCCAGTCGAATCGGGAGTGGTTCGTCGCCAAACCTATCGGCCGCCTTGGTAGGCCGGGACTCATTCCAGTCTCTTTTGTGGAGATTCGAGATCCCGCTACTGCGTCCCCTATTCAAGATGTCAATGCGTTGATTGATAGCGGTGCTCTTCCCCGGGTGGAAGAATGGAAAAAGTCGGTCATGACATACAAAGCGAACAGCATATCGCTTGGTGTTATTGAAGATCCAAATGCGTCGCAGGCGACGCACTACAATTCCAACAAGAATGGCTCAGCTGCACCGTCTATCGATGTGCAGAGTCCATCGCCCACCCCTTATCAAAATCAACAGCAAGCACCGCAACCTCCGCCGAAGCAATCCATACTTCCTGAAGGAATCTTACTTGAGGCATCCGTCAAATCCTTTCATTACGAGATGGAAGAGTATTGGTTCCTTGTTCATGCGACATTCCAGCCGTATCCATCCAACAGCTCCGATCCACTTCCTCCGGCAAAACATCTAGCGCTTTTCCGAACTTACAACGACTTCTATGACTTCCAAGTTGAGCTTCTGGATACATTCCCGCATGAAGCCGGTCGGCCTGACAATCAAACGCGTATACTGCCCTTCATGCCTGGTCCTGTGGAGCATGTTGATAAACAAATCACTATCACCCGACAAGAGGAGCTTGACGAATATATCCGTCAGCTTTGCGCACTCCGATTCTCAGCCAGATATCTTCTCGAACATGAGCTGGTTCGCCAGTTCGTTAGCATCAAACCAGGAGACGCAGAACAGGATATCGAACCTCGTGTGTCGGATATACAAGCGTTAGCAAGGACGTCCTACGGAGGTGGACCTGATTCCGGCGCGAATTATGGGAATGATATAGATTCCCAGTTCGATAGGCTGCAGGTCAGCCAAAGGCCTGAACCGGGTAGCGATGTATCTGAATATGAAGAAGAAGGCGACGTCATGGGACGTGGACTCGATGGAGATGCATATGACTACTACTCACAAAGTCATCATCCGTATGCCTCCCCAGAGTTGTTGCAGAAACCAGTTCAACCGCTTCGCCTGCACAACCGTACCGATTCTTCCACGTCTCTTCACAAGAAAACCGCCAAAGGTCACGCTGCCAATCATTCTCGATCAAGTTCAAGGGCCAATTCTCCCCTTCCCCCTTCTGCCCGCTACTCCTCGTTGGAAATTGACCCATACCAGACGAATGCCAATTCACGCTCCTCTCTTGCTTCTTCCCACGAACCATCACCTGTGTCAATGCGTTCTTCGCAGACTCCATCGGTGGCTACCTCTGCCACATCTCTTTCCGGCCGGTCACGTTCTCAGTCCACTGCCACAATGAGTACGCCGCCTATATCAAGCAACAACCCTCAGACTGCATTTGTGAAAATCAAGATCTTCGACAATGCTTCCGACGATGTTGTTGCCATCCGAGTACATCCGCGGGTCACCCATTCACAACTATTGGAGAAGGTTAGGGCAAGGCTTCCCAACGTGATTGCCTTACGATACCGTGACAGCTTGCGGAATGAACTCGTCGATATTCGGAGCGACGATGAGTTAGGGAGCTGGATGGACGGCGCAGATCGGCATGTGCTGTATGCTGAATGAGCTGTTGAACACTTTTGTTCGGTACGACTGACTGGGATTCAGAATTTCATCAACATCTTTCAATGACGCTCTTCTTCTTCCCACTGTTTCCATCTATGATTTGACTTGTACCACAACTTTAGCTATGCACCAGCTCATTGTAATCTATATGTTTCGCCCTTTGTATCATTTCCACGCATAGAATAGTCTTTACATAGTACTATATCCCAACGAGATGAAGATGTTATACCCGACCAGGAACCAATATGCCAGGAACTATTATGCATTGTGATATCCCGAAGTTCGAAGCCTCGACTTCCGAGCTCTCGACTGTGACAGGCGAGATGCAGCAACCAACCCCGAAGCGCCCGCATTGGATTGAGCGTTTTGTCCCGCCTGGCGTTTTCATTTTATCTCATACTAAGCGTGCGCGAGGCGTTTGCAACTTTGCACCGTCCCACGTTCTGCTCACGCCTATCGCAAGAAAAACCACGGCCCACACCATGCCTTCATGATCCCAACGGACTGACCATACAACGACAGTGCCCTATCACTCTTTACTACCACTTACCAACAGTCATGGTCGTTCCAGACGTCGAGGCCTCGACTTTAAATATCCCCCCTCATGCCTCGGGGGCGTCCAGCACACAGAGTCTAATCGAAGCTGCGGAATCCGTGCTTGTTTCTCGTCTCGCTATTCCGCCCACCCCACAGGATGCGCCTAAGACAGGTGAAGGCGAAGATACCTTGGAGTGGCATGAGGTCATCGAACTACAAGCATTCAGTGAGAGGAAAGCTTGGATAGAGGATAAGATAAAGGTAATTCTTAGTGCAAGCTAGCTCCTTGAGCCGAATAGTTTATCTAGCGTTTTAGCTGCTCGAACAAATGCCGCCCATCGAGGTCTTCGCCGGGATGGACGCTGTGCGTTCTTCTGCGGAGACTACAGAAGGATTGCCCTCCAGAGAGGAACTGCAGCAATGGGTAATTGAACACGATAAGATCGAGAAGGAAACAGAAATATTTGACTCCGGAGAACTAAAGAAGTTGAAGAAATTCACTAAAGGTAAATCGGTCCTCCACATTGTCTTTGTTTGCGGTCTTCATAACTTGTTATGCGTCTTCAGCGGCTGCGTCACGAAATCTCTCTCCTGCAGACACGGACCTTATTGAATTGACCCTTACGACCATATATGAACTCGACAAACTGATGCGTCTCCTGCGGGACAGGTCGGACAACTTAGAACTCCTTAGTGTTAGACTTACCTGGGAAGAACGGCGCATCAGCGCTTGGGTGGAGCTTCGAAACATGCTTGCAGACATCAAGCAGTTCTTGAGCAATCGTGCGCGATGGTCTCCCGCCATTTACGACCAAATGGAGGATCCTAGTAAAGATGAAGAACCTAATAGTTCCTCTGCTCCCCTAAGACGAAAAGGTTCCACGGTGTCCCTTGCTTCAGTTGCTTCAGAATCCCAATCTTCCCCCGCCGCCTTTTCAAGAAGTGCTCGTTACAAACTATCTGAATTGCTGTCCAGGGACGCGGCGCAGTATGCCAGCCGGGTGTCTTCGCTCAGACATAGTAAAATTAATCCTGCGGGCAAGACACTTGACAGACTGATCGACGATAGTCGAAGACCTGTCCCCGAAGAATTGTTAGACGAACAGGACAGACTAGAGGATAAAGGTATCAACGAAATGGAAGACGTCGGCAAGTTCATTATGAATGTTGTCATGCAATGGAAGAAGTAATTCAGATTTCTACTATGTCTACTTGATAGCTCATGGTGTCCAACAGAGCTGATGAATTCTTCGTTGAAACCGCAAAGGATAGGTCAACCGCTCAAGCCCTCTTGGAAGAGATCGAGTTTGCATCTGTTCGTCATCCTACCGCTCGACAGGATACGTCATTCATCTCCCGAACGAACTCCTTGATGAAGCGGCTGGAAATGAGAGGGGATCCATCATCGTCTGCCGCTTCTTTTCCTTGTCCCTCGCATCCATTGTTCCCGGATCAAATTGACTTCAACGAATCTCTACTCGAGCTCCTGTCATCAGAGCTTCGATCTGCCTCTGAACTTGCCACAAGGGCCGAACTATCCGCCAAGAGATACCACGCTGATTTGGAAGCAGCCCGTCGCGTCGAGACGCTTTGCAAGGCCTCATCAGAGCTTTCCGCGCAGTTAACTTCGTTCATCGCACGTTTCGAAAAAGGCGATAAGAACAGCACCGGCGATGGAACTCCCCCAGATCTTTCATCTGAAGACTGCCTTCAGACCACACGTCATTCACTTTTCCTTGCCTTACTGCCATCACTATCGGATGGAGTGGAAAAGGCAGACGTCGAAGCTTCTAAAGTGCTTCAAAGCGCCTATCTGGCCCTTTCGGATTTGAATCATTCCGGTGTAGACCCACAATTCGTCATCGATTCAAAGGCGCAAGTTGATAACCTGGCCGCGACTCGTGAGCAGCTAGCAGGAATCCGCAAAGTGGTAACAGGTCGTGTAACAGTTCTTCGCGAAGTGCGTCGCATCTGGACCAATATGGAAGCGGTCTTCAATGAACTAGAAACTAGTCGTCAGGAATTGTCGGAAGGCATTGAGCAGTCAATGTGGAAACCTCAGTCCCATCATGATGCTGCTCTTCTTACCCCAGAAAGCTCCATCGCTAGCTTGCCTCCGCCCGTCGAAATCCCGGATACGTCTTCGCGTTTCGAGCACATTAGTTCGCAACTGCAGGTCGATGTTTCCCTGTTGGTGTCAAGTTCGATCGAATCCCGTCTGAAAAGCTACCTTGAAGATTCATCTCAGCAGTTAGCCTCCTTTTTCCAGACTATACGATTATTGGCATCTCTTATGGACTCCGTCCGCAACCAAGCCTCGGCTATGACATTCCTACAGGAAGAGGTCAACGACCTTCAACTTCGCATAGAGGATTTGAGAAGTAGGTTTGAAGTCGGCACACAGGATACACTCTCAGGCCGACTCTCTGGTGACGAGCTAGTTGTTCAGCAGGCAACGCTAGACGCTGACCTCTCCCTACTTCACGACAATCTTCGTTCCTTGTTGGATAGCTTTTCGCTTCGCGTTCCTTTCATTGCTAATAGCCAAGTAAATGCTAAGTACAACCCCCATTCGAGGCGGCCATCTTTGTCGGCAGGCTTCAGTCTGGAAGTCCTGCGACAGTGTGCCTCGACCGGTTTGGCTGTTGACCCCGTAGCCATTGATCGAACTGTCCGCGCAGATTGCAATGCGTTCAGCATCCTTCTGTCGGGAGCTGAGCAATCTCTATCTCAACATGCTGCTCATTTCCGCTTAGCGAAAGTGGCTCGAGCAGTGGATATCGCCACACAATCTCTCATGGACCATATACATCGAATAGAGGCCAATCTATCCTCGTTGCAACAATCGGCCGAGGATCGTCCGACCATCGCGAAGCTGGAGACTCTCACAGACCTTTCCGAGTCATTGGCTACATTAGCTAGTGGCGACATCGCGGCCCACGCCTCCTCCCTAATTTCAGCCCGGGATGAGTTGCGCTCTTTGAGCGACCAGGCTTCATCTTTGGATTCTGCCACTCGTGCCTCTTTGGTGGCTGGCAGACAGCGGGATCTCGATGATGCGGAGTCTCGGTTCAACGATAGCAAGTTCAAAGTTGAAGAACTGACTCGACGCATCTCGAATATGCGGGCGGAGATTGCACGAGAAGAAGAGACTCGCGCGCGGGAGGAAAACGAGCGATTAGCTCGGGAGGCTGCAGAGAAGGCGGAGAAAGAAAGACTTGCAGCACAACAGGAGGCGGAAGAACGACTTCGTCAAGAAGTTCTGGCTGAACGCGAACGGTTTGAGAAGGCTACTCGACTAGAAGCTGAGGTAATCCATGTGAACACCTTGCCCGCTGTCGAAGAAGGTAGGTGGTGCCGTACGTGAATACAAATTGTATAATCTGACCATCAATCGAATTAGATGTGTTTGCCGCGCAGACATCAGTTTCTCCGCAGAGCTTAACCCAGGAGCTATCGTCTCTTCAAGACCGCATTTATTCGCTACGAACTCGTCTGCGATCCCTAGGCATCATGGACCTCTCTCGGCCAAGTAGAAATGGCAGTCTCCCTACGCCAGAGCAGTGCAATACTATCAACGAACAGCTAACGGACATAGCGGACGAAACAGAGAACCTTCCTTCTTCCGTACCCGACAATGTTGCTATCGATACCGAGCTGCACTCTCTGCGAGTGGACGTTGAGAATTTATTGAAATCGATGATCCGTGTTAACCTGTTGGCTAAACTGAGGGCTGCTGTGGAGAATTGTGATAACGCCCTCAGTGATCTTCTCGAACATATCGACAGCTATCCATCTCCGCCAACGGGCGTCCTGTCGTCATCCTACACTTCGGATACTACCCAACCTTCGGAGGCACAGCTTGATGCCCGGCTCTCGTTCACGGAAGGGCTCATCAACGATATGACTGCAATCTATGATCAAGTGAAGGACGACCCTCGAGCTGTCTCCGAACATGATCGACTCTTGCAGACGTGGGGCGAACTACAAGCCATGGGTCAAGACCGGCTAAGTGGACGAAAGTCGAGACCTGCGAGTGTGATGAGCTCAGGGAGGAGTAGTAGAGCGTCGGCTGCAGCCGCTGCCACCACCAAGAAATCGGCTGGATATTCAAAGCTGTCGTCTGGGTCTCCTGGCGGACAGCTCCTTGCACCCCCACCTCGTAGTACTCGCAGATCTTCATCTGGTGCATCAACGCGCCCGCCACCTAGTCGTTCTTCAAGTCGAATGTCCGTTGCAAGCAATCGTTCAGTATCGGGTCCCATCCCTACAGCTACTTCCAGGTTGTATCAGTCAACATTCGCATCTCGCCAGCGGACTACCAGCGTTACGTCCACTACATCCGCAGGAACACCAACTGCGAAACCTGCGCTCCCTCGCACATCCCGCCCACGTGCCCGGACAAACGAAGTGGCACGGACGGCGTCGCCGGCCTTTTCTGACATTTCTACGTTTTCTCTATCTCGTCCCAGCCTGAATGTCTCCCGTTCATCACAGTCTACATGGGCTCGTGCCCCACGGGAGTCTTTTCCCTCATTCCCGCGGTCACCTCCTCTCCGTGCCACAACACCCAATTTAAGGAAACGCTACGTACCCAACCCCAAGAACAAGCTCGATGTAGCTGTCGGCGATGTCGTCAACAAGCTGCCAATGAACGTGAACATCAACATCGAAGTTGTAGCTGACACTTGGAAAGATCAGAGCGGCAAGTATTGGATAGGTGATCAAGATCCCAAACTGTGTTTTTGTCGCATCTTACGTTCTCAGACTGTCATGGTGCGAGTAGGTGGTGGATGGGCAGAGCTGTCAAAGTATGGTCTGTGTTGTTATGCAGCTCCAGTATCTGACTAATTTTATTGTATAGATTCATCAAGGACCATTTCGCTGATGCATTCCGCCTGCTCCCTGAATCCCCGCCAAGGGCACGGATAAAGGAAGAAAAGTGGATAAGTTCTGCCACATTAGCTCAAGCAGCTGCAAGACGGACGCCTGACTTACCTGCGCCTCCTCGGACACCAGAACCGTCGACCTCCATCATTCCCTCTTTCGCTTTGTCTACACCCAGTGGCAGAAGTCCGCAGGGCATCAATGCTTCCCCGTCCCCAGGATCGCCACTTACTGCGATGCAATTTATTCGCCGTGCAGATAGAGAATCGCCCGCTTTCCGGTCGGAAACACCAACGAAGTCTTCGCACTCTGCTGTTGTTCCATCTGTACTTACAAGGGCGCCGGCTTGGCGCCCATGATACCTGTTGTTGTGTTTCTTGCTTTCGTGTATACCTGCTTTCCCGCAAATTGTCTCCTGCTCATTCGCGGACCATAGCATCCGTCTGACTCTCGTTCGCTAACACTCGTACATATACTATGCCTGGACATATATTTACCGTCGCCCATTATTTAGTTTTAGTTCATTATGATTCTTCCCCCGCATGTACGCTGTCTGTAGGACATTTCACGTCTGGGCTTATTCGAGATCTCTTACAATATTCGTACTTCGTCTTTCTGCTGGATATGATTGTCTCTACCTTTATGAACCCTGCTACACTCTACTGTATGTTCTCAAGCTAGCTTACCTCGATCGATCGCGATGCGATCACGCATTGCTACCAGTATTCTCGCTCCGGGTAGTCTGTTGCAACTTCCCGCTTTCTTTCTTACCTGATTCTATTGTCTTTTGTCGGTCTCATCCGCTAAAACCACTCATTCGGTTACAAATGGACAATCTGAAATGCAATATTCTGACTTGCCGGACAGCACTGTCTGACAAGGCCGTGGTGGTGAGTTCACAAAAACTTATACGTGACTGGCACTCAACACGCTACACATTTCCTTAGACAACATGTTTGTTTTTCGTATATTATTTGTCAAATAGGCTAACTCTCCGAGTGATCACCGATACAAGGTTCACATATCTTCTGCGGTGAGCCGTATTGTTATTGCCAATCCAATATGCCATTGATGGTGAAGATGTAGTGGATTGTGCCAATACACTATTTAACGACTCACGTCTTTGCCCTGGTGAGATATTTCGAATACAGTATGTAATAGCTAACGCCAGACAGCCTGCGAGACATCCTTAACTGAACCGTGAGGATCATGCTGCTTCACTGATCCACACTACTGACTCCATATATGCGCACCTAATCAGCGACGATGTTGTGGTACGTCTAGAGATGAAAGCGTGGACCGATAATACGTTCATTTACAAATGATCATCAAGGTTTGCTCTCTACATCCCTCTAATGACTACAAGACAGTGCGTATATGCACACGGAGGGACGTTCTTCTGGCTCATGAATTTATAGTCTGTTCTGTCTGGTCTGAACCCTGCAACCATCCTAGAAATATGCAGCCGGTAAGGTGATAGATTTCGAGGTCAATCGCAACTTATTCACGCCAATCGGGATCAGGGCAATGTCCTTCTGGCAGTATCAATGCCATCAAGAGCTGTAAGCTGGGGGATGCGGCTTGGCATTGCAAATATTGACGAACAAACAGCGCATTTCAACTTACAGTGCTGCGTAACGTTAGCGAGAAGAGTGGCTATCTGCAGAAAGAATTGGACAATGCCGTCAGAGAAGGTGATTTCTTCATTCCTTGCAGATTATAATAATGCTGAACCTTGCTTCGTAGCTCGAGGACAAATAAGTTTGCTCAATAGCAAGATCTCTGGTTAATAATTTTCAATTTTTTCTCTATGGATCGCTTACTCGATTTAGCAGAGTTGGAACGAGACCTTGAATTGGAGCGGCGTAAGTCAGGAACGCTTCAAGATTCCCTCAGAGAAAGAGAGAAGGAGTACCAAAAGCTAAAGGTTACACTTTTGTGTCTGTGAATCCGTTTTTATTCACGCATACATGCAGGGTCATCTGGACAAAATCAAACGCAAGGCACTACTCGCCCCTGGTAGTGTTGGCCAGCACGATGCTATGGGAATCGGAGCAGAGAGACACGTACTAGACGACGGAATTCGGACAAGACCCCAAGCGGGGTTCACTGGTAATACTAGCATGGATATGGGAGCTGTGATAGGTGGAATGGAGGCAAACGGGGTAAAGTCTGAATCCCTCGATTAGTTGTAATGCACTGACACTAACCCAGATTCAACGGACTCCAATCGCCTCCCGTACCGCACAACAAGCCAATATTTGGCGGCAGCCACAATTACAAAACAGACCCAATTTCACTGCACAACGACAACCATTCACCGCCAATCCCGACCGCTCTTTCAGGTCCCATACCACGGTGTCGGACCAATCAGAGAATGAAGTAGAGAACCTCGTTGGACAGGGATCTATGCGCCGCTCTAACGGCAACCAATCTGGATGGCCTGCTTCTCGGAATCTACAGAGGAGACCAAATCAGCCAGGTCAGTACGTTCTTTCATTTCGAGATCGCATAGGCTAACAAACAGAATAAAGCTTTCCCGCAAGTGCCTCAGAGAAGAGGCGGAGGAAAATTCAAGCCTGCCTCAATTTCATGACCCACCTTGCAAGAAGACGCGAACGGACGTTATTCTCATTCAACCACGGTGAGTAGAATCGCTGTATAGATAGACGTACAATGCAAAAGGACGGTTCCAGGATACCGGAATGATGGGTATAATACAATATTGTTAGTCGGGCTTGCGTAATATCATAACGAATGTCAAGTCCATGAAAGCAGGAATCAAATACTAAACGTGCGAAAGAGATGATAGCAAAGAGACCGTAGCTGGAAACAAGGAGATCAATCTATTAATCATAGCGAAGTGTCCCACTTTTCTCATCCTCAAGATACTGTCCAATTGCAAGCATGTCTTGCCCAGTTCTCCGAAGATACGCAGCAAGAATCTGACGGTCCGCATGAGGAAGCAGGTCAGCCAGCTTGTCAACTTGCTGCTCGAATTGTGGACTGGTAGATTGAGCCTGAGCTGGCAAAGACCTCGAAAAGAGCGAAGGGCGCCGATTAAGAGCACTGGCGCGATGCGTGTTACGTCGCGAAACAGGTACGGGTTCAGGCGCAACAGGTTTGGGTGGGGGAGCCATGGAAAGGGTCTGAGATCTGTGCATCTTGTTGGGAACCGCTCGAGGGCCTCCGGGTACACTAGGAGGAGTGGTGACCTGAATCTGTCGTGGCGGACTAGGGTTCGACTTCGCGTTTGGCAACCGCTTGGTCAATACATTAGGTGAGGGTCCTGTATTGACCCCACGATCCTTTCTCACACTGGTCTTTCGTCCGATAGAGGCGAAGAACCCGATTGCGGAAGCCTTAGGACCTGTCGATAATGGGACTTGGTATGTCCGTGGAGACGATGAAGAGGGCGACAGTAAAGTCGATGTCCTTTTCGGCGGACGAGGAGTTGTCGCGAGTGATGGATATGGAAGAGGTGGTGGCGATCTAGTGGAGGATGCGTCGCCAGTAGCCCTTGACGAGAGATCAGTTGCTGTGGATGCATCTGGTCTGATAGGGAATGTTGCTTCGGAAGCCATCGAGCCGTGTGAGGGGACCCGAGGCTGCGTATTGATAGTCACGGACGAGGGAAGAGCGGGTCCTTCTCCGTCGGTAACCTGAGCTATGTTGATTTGTGCAGGTCGAGAACCAGTGCCTACAAACATTGTTAGAGTTGAGCTATCACTTGTCGCTCTATTCGGCTCACCCCGAAGCTTCATTGTCATAACCCAATCCCCAAGACCGCAATCATACATAGCCAATTCATTGATCCGATCCGCGTAGAGTCTGATTCTCTCCGAGGCGTTCTTCTTACCTACAATATCCTGACACTGCAACGCAGCGGGATACCGAGTCTTTATCCTTGGTTTAGGTGACCTCATTATATTTCTAGGATAAGAAGGTGATGGTGTTCGGGAACGTTGGCTTCTTGATGCTACACTCAAGGAGGTGAATGATGGTGTACGAGGTAAGGCAGAGAAACGCTTCAGGTTCGACAAGGTCACTTTGAGGCTATTGCCAGGCTTGGACGTCGACGCGAATTCGCCACCTTGCCAACTGTCGTGTTTGGGTGGCGGTGGTGGTGAGGAAGACATAACAGAAGGAGACTTGGGCATACTACGTCTGATGGAAGCACTCTCAGAGGAAGCACTTCCACCGTTCGGCGACGCAATGCGATTCATTTCCTGTCGTAGACTAACCCAACTAGGTTCTCGGTGAAGGCTAGGAGCAGTCGCCTCTCTTCCCTCCCCTGAAGTTATATCGGCGGGCTCGGGACACAATCGAATTGTCTCAGACAACAACGTCGGGGGATTGACGTCTTCGCTGTATGACTGCCGATTTTGATCTGAATCAGCTAAAGGTAGGGAAGGGGAAACAGATGATGATGAAGGGGGGAAGGCTCCTTCGCGACGATGAATGGACTTGGTTCGTTTGGCATGGTGATGCGACTCGTCGGCGCTGTCACATTCAGACATGTCAGTAGAACGATCAGAAGTATAAAGGACTGAGCCTCACGATTTGCTTTCATTCTCATCTGTATAATGAGATGCATCGGACAATTCCGAGTCTTGCCTCTGCCTTGTCACAACATTTCGAGAACTTGACCGAGAGGCTAGTACGACTGAGACAGACTCAGGCAGTTGCAAGGACTCTTTCAAGGCTTCAATCTTCGCCTTAGAGTCAAGTGGATGCGCATTGGGTGGCAATGGCGTTCGGAGACGGGGCGGACGGGGAGGAGGGCTAACAGGACTATCATCTTCAAAGACAGACCGAGGAGGTGGTGGTAAGGGCCCAGCAGTTGAATGGACTCCTGGTTCGTAAAATACAAAGGGAGAAACGGGTTGACGTGGAGGGCTGAGCGAAGGTGAAATATGTATCGTTGGATTACTTGGTTGCCGACGCATCACGCCCTCTGTATTCAAGCCCATGACCACTGGTCCGATCACAGGTTGCCCAACATCCTTTCCTTCTCCAATTTCAGGAGTGCGCATGGACGTTGATGCAGTAGCAGGTGTGGCATGATACGACTCGTTGAAAGAAGTTGTTGCAGAGTCTGAGAGGTCCGGAGTAGCCGACGGCGAAGGAGACCGGGATTTCGCCGGAGTCTGGAAGATGGGGACTTTGAGACCATCATACTCATCATGCCTCGATAAATCGACACTGGCTCCTACTCCTTCTGTAATCGAGTATATTCCACCAGTGCCAACTATGCCTATATCTCGCGACGTCTTATGATGCAATCGGCTTCGAGCACCAACGTATGTAGCTTCCGATGCTGACCGGTGGTGCCCGGAGGTTGGGACATGTTCAATTATCCGCTCAGCAACGATCGGAGCCGAAGGAGGTGGTGTTAGATCTGTGTATGTCTTCGGAGACGCGTCTGGCGGAGCGATCAGTGCAAGGTCATTTACGTGTAAGCCCCTACGCGAGAGTAAACGGCTTGAAGAGCCAGATCTCTCCTCTGATTCATCGAGTCGACTTCGTTTATGGAACCCAGACAATGGTGCGCTTGAATCCATCTCGACAATAGCTAAACGGCGTCTATCCGAACCCCCTTCAGAGGGAACGCTTGACCGACGTGTATGGGAGAAGGCCGAAGTCGGCGGGGGCTGGCTTCTTGGCAAGTCCTCTTTGACTACTTGCTCATTGTTTTGATGAGAGTCCGAGGAGTACTCTGAAGGGGTGTTTGAACGAGATGATAAACTGTTTCGTCGTGACAGTGGCATGGAAAGGCAAGTATTGTCTTCAACCGCGCTAATGTCGTAGGGGCCTCGACCTGCGTGTTCAGACTGGTAATAGGACAGAATCTGATCCGTATCACGGCGGACCAAGTTTGGACGTTGAAGTATTCTATGAGAAGCTTGTAGCCAAGGACCTTAACGGGGTACGAAGTTATATATACTGAGTGTGCGTACCCAAGCCTGCGGTCAAACCCCCGTCTCCAAAGCTGTTCTGCGGCAATACATCACCGGTGCTCATTGTGAGCGCGGGCAGCAATACGCGAGAGTCTAACACAAGTCACAGATCACAGAGAGAGGGGAGTTGAAACCATAGCGTTACAAAGGGAGGTCAACCTAAAAGGTGCGCGGTTGCTCTGCCACCGGCGACGTCAGAACAGGAGGCGGTCCCTTTTCGGCATGTCTTCATGCAAATGAATCGGAGGCAACACTCTAGCCCGATAGAGATGTATCCTTCGTGCCTCTGGATGGCGAACATTTGGGCGTCGGTAACTCGCGTTGTGTGAGAGGTGACCGCAGGCCATGAAACTGATAAGTTGTTAATAACCATTATACATGTAGTATACATCCAATTTTCACAGCAACGATATACAAGAACGACACTGAGTTTACCAGTCCATCTTTTTCTTCCTCTGAGCAAGAGGCGCGATAGGTATCTTTCCCTTGTACCCAAGCCCATCCAACCATGGCCACGACTGACTCCTACGCCCTTCGAACTCGGCAATAGAACTATCCTTTTGCAAAGTCAAAGCAATATCGTCCAGACCGTTCAACAGGCAGTGTCGACGGAATTTGTCTGTAGTGAATGGAATGGCGGGTTTGCCGTTTGGCCTACGAACTTCTTGCTTCTCTAGGTCAACTTCCAACTCGAGACCAGCCTCAGCATCCTCCGCAAGAGCTTTGCACTCTTCTTTTGACAAGGTCACCGGCAACATGCCATTTTGCATCGTATTGTTCCGGAAGATGTCGGCGAAACTGGGTGCAATGATGCAACGAATACCAAAATCGTTTCTGTAGCAACAATCATGAGAAAGACAGGTCGCATGCATTTAAAAGAGTGGAGTAGAAGTGGACTTACAGACTCCAAGGCGCGTGTTCTCGAGAACTTCCGCAACCAAAGTTAGCCCCAGTGCAAACGAGAATCTTGGACTGTGTGTACGGTTCTCGGTTCAGGATAAAATCAGTGTCCTCTCCTGTACGAGGGTCCTTTCGGAGGGTGAAGAACAGGGCGTTGGCAAGACCGGTGCGCTTCAGCGTCTTCAAGAATTGCTTGGGAATGATCATGTCAGTATCGACGTTATCGATGTGCAATGGTGCCGCGATCCCCTTGACGATAACGAACTTCTCGACACTAGAAGGTGTCTCAATGGGAGGCAGGGGTTTTGATTCTGGCGACACTTCCTCCTTCACGCGATGTTCAGGCGCAGGTGAAGGAAGAACAGGGTCCGTCAAGAACTCCAATTCGCTTGCGAGTTTGAGTTTGGGTCCAGCAGCGATTTGCCTCTGTGCCTCTGCGCCCAAGAATTTCCTGACATCCGTCAACTTCCCAGTCATGGCTGCAGCTGCGGCCATAGCGGGACTGACTAGATGCGTACGACCGCCGGCACCTTGACGACCTTCAAAGTTACGGTTACTTGTGCTTGCGCATCGTTCGCCGGGTTCCAACTGATCAGGGTTCATACCCAAGCACATGGAGCAACCAGCTTCACGCCAGTCAAACCCTGCTCGCTTGAATACGACGTCAAGACCTTCCGCTTCAGCGTGCTGCTTGATGAGACCGGAGCCGGGAACGATCATGGCGTAGACACCATCAGCGACTTTAGCATCAGGGCCTACTGCAAGGACGATTTTAGCTGCAGATCGGAGGTCCTCGATCCGACTGTTGGTGCAGGAGCCGATGAATATTTTGTCAACTTTGACATCTTCCATACGAGCACCTGGCGTGAGCCCCATGTATTTCAGTGAACGTTCGACAGAGGCACGCGTAACTGGATCCGAGATTTTTGCGGGGTCAGGAACGGTGCCTGTAATAGGGACAACGTCCTGAGGAGATGTTCCCCAAGTGACAGTAGGGATAATATCTTCTGCGCGAATATTAACCTCAACGTCGAATTTGGCCCCCTCGTCGGACTTGAGTGTACGCCAGTATGCCTCTGCGCGATCCCATTCCTCTCCCTTGGGTGCGAGGGGTCTATTACGGAGGTAGTCGAAAGTGATTTCATCAGGAGCGATCATACCCGCACGAGCACCGGCTTCGATACTCATGTTACACATACTCATACGAGCTTCCATGCTGAAACCTCGAATGACTGAGCCGGCGAATTCCAAAACGCAGCCTGTACCGCCGGCGGTGCCGATGACACCGATGATGTGAAGGACTACGTCCTTGGAAGTGACACCTTCGTTGAGAGTACCTTCGACGGTGATGCGCATGTTCTTTGCTTTGCGCTGTAGGAGGGTTTGGGTTGCGAGGACGTGCTCGACTTCAGAGGTACCGATACCAAAAGCGAGAGAACCGAAGGCGCCATGTGCTAGAGAGAGAGACAGTCAGTAGCTGCTTCTCAGTGCACTTGAAGTGAACGACGCTCACTCGATGTATGTGAATCACCGCATACACAAGTAATTCCGGGGAGCTATACGGAACTTTAGTGCGAATGAATACGCAAATATGGATTCTTGACGTACAGTGAAGCCCTCTTCGGGACCAATAACGTGAACAATGCCTGAATACATAAAATCAATTTCGAGAACTTTAGTAGTTCGATGAAGAATACATACCTTGTCGCCTGTCGGTCATACCAAAATATGTCAACCCGAACTCCTTCACGTTCTCCTCTAGAGCTTGAACTTGTGCCCGAGAATCTGGCTGTGTAATGAACGACTGAACGTTTGTGAAGTTCTTTCGTGACGAGGTCCTGAGTTTGATTGAATGTCAGAACGAAAGAGGTATCGAGAGAAGTAATGCGAAGTGGTACTGACGGGACATTGTGATCGACTGTTGCGAGAGTACAATCTGGTCGTCGAACAGCACGACCTGCTTGTCGTCTGCAAGTAAGGAAGACATCAGCACTGGGGGAAAGCAACTGGAATGATAGGTGACTAAGACGTACAAGCTTTCAAATGCTTGTGGACTGGTAACTTCGTGAACCAGATGACTGCAAAGCAAACATTTTAACTATTGAATACATACAAAGGAGCTTGAATACACACCGGTCAATGTAGATGAGACTCAAGCCATCCTCCTTGGTATCGCTATATAATGATCGAGGTGCATCAGCCGTAACGATCACTAAGCAATATTTCAAGACTTACATGACATGGTCGTCCCAAACCTTGTCGTAGAGAGTGCGAGGGGCTGCAACAGGTGCTGGCATCGTAAAGTGAAAGTGAGGGTTTGGGAGGAAGAAGGATAGAAGTGAGGAGGAGGGGTTGGGTGTAGAAGTAATCGCTGCGTGTGGATTGGACCGTTTTATGTACTGTAGGCCTAGATTTCAATTTAGCATTCTATGTGGGGTTTTCGGCCGAATGGACCGAATATACCAAATTTAGACGCCGCCACTAAACGCGATCGAGGACGTGTTTCGGACGAAAAACGTGGACTTCGGTTTCTCATGTCGACAAATATATTCGCAAGCTGTATTGCGAGAGGACGACTCGGCCGAACATGGTGAAGCAAGAAATACGATGCGGCATTTACTTGCGAGTTAGTATCGTGACGAGAGCTTAAGTATTTTTGAACTTTATTTAATACCCTGACTCAGCACGATGAAGCTTGGTGGGACCGCGCCCGCATAGAAAGCCCGTTATATATCGTCCTAATTAGGCCAAGACGTCTACTGCCACTGGTGCATTAATTTAGAGGGAGATCCATTGGCGGGCCAATATGACCGACGTTTGTTCGCAGGGCGTATCATGCGAGACACGATTGGAGGCTTGAAGCTAGCGCGCTGCTTGAAGGACTCGGCTGGAAAGCATCTGAAGACAGGTGCCTGACAAAAAAGGCAAGTGATGTTTGGTGACGTCGGTGGGTATGACGCCATGGACCTGGCACTGCAATATGGATCAAGGCGCTCGCTGGGAGTATAACCTTCTCTGTCGACGCTCATCCTTTTTCCCATCGCCATACTTTGCCTGCCACCATGCCTTCCGGTACAGGTGTCGTCGACGCTTTCAAGAGTCTGTTTCATTTCTCTGTCGTTTTTATTTCCTTTTGCTTACTTTCTCCACCCTCGAGCACAGACCTCATCAGACACGGCAAGAACCATCATAATGCAAGACAACAAGAAGCCGATGCTCAATATCAGTCCAACATAGCTGCCCAACAACAACAGCAACTCCAGCAGAAGCAAGCACGCGAGACTCAAGCACGAGAAACGCGCGAGCCACGACAACACCAAGCACAGCAGCAACAGCAGCAAACACAGGCGCGGACTGCCTCTCCCAAGTACAAGGACGAAATCGAGAAGATTGTCCAGGAGGAGAGAGAGGCAAAGAGCAAGATGCCTTCCTACAAGGGTCTTGAGAACTTCAAGCTCCTTGACAAGATGGGAGAGTGCGTATTCATTGCTTGCCTTTTCCGCTCCATTCATTTTGATTGATGTGTCATCAGCGGTGCGTTTTCCAACGTCTACAAAGCTATCGATCTACGAACCGGGGAAAAGGTCGCTGGTGGGTTCCCCTTGTTAATTGTCTGTTCTATCTATCAGACCAACTCCTTCATCAGTCAAGGTCGTTCGCAAGTACGAATTAAGCGCTTCACAGGTTAGTACACTGTCTCTCTAGCTCCCCCTCTTGTTATCTCATTTTGCCTCTATCTATCTCTCGCGCGCGGCAGGCTGGCGATATGCATCTAAATCGCGAGTTCAAGAAGAAGCCGCGCGTGACAGAGGTACCCGATTTTCTTCTTATATTGTCTTAGCCGGACCTTTCTCGCTGACTTCTGGTCTTCCGGTCATCTTCTATAGCGAGCAAATATTCTGAAAGGCACGTTGATATGTTTATGGCCCTCTCATTTTGTCGTTGACCGTAGTAACAGAAGTGCAAATCATGCGCGGTACCAACCATCCTTCAATAATCAAGCTCATATCTTTCTCTGAGTCACAAGAACATTATTTCCTAGTACTCGAACGTATGTCGTCACATCTCTTGATCGATGTAATTGACGCCAAGGGTCGCTTATGTCGTGTCTTGGCTCCGCAGTGATGGAAGGTGGAGAGCTCTTTCACCAAATTGTCAAACTCACCTACTTCAGTGAGAACCTGGCGCGGCACGTCATTCTCCAAGTCGCACAAGGCATCCGTCATCTCCACGAGGAACGCGGTGTCGTACATCGGGACATCAAACCGGAGAACCTTCTTTTCGAACAGATACCTGTCATCCCGTCCAAAAATCCTCCACCGAAGCAATTTGAGGAGGATAAGGAGGATGAGGGTGAGTTTATACCAGGAGTTGGCGGTGGCGGAATTGGCCGCGTGAAGATCGCCGACTTCGGTCTAAGTAAGGTCGTATGGGATGAACAGACGATGACTCCATGCGGGACCGTTGGTTACACCGCTCCGGAGATCGTGAAAGATGAACGATATAGCAAGAGTGTCGATATGTGGGCACTAGGCTGTGTCCTGTATACCCTTCTTTGCGGTTTCCCTCCATTCTATGATGAGAGTATCAACGTCCTTACCGAGAAGGTTGCTCGTGGTTATTATACGTTCCTCAGTCCATGGTGGGACAGTATCAGCGACACCGGTAAGTGACTTTTTTTTCTTTCAAAATTGAATATAACGCTCACGCATGCCCATAGCTAAGGACCTGATCAGCCACTTGTTATGCGTGGATCCTGCGCAACGGTATACAATAGACGAGTTTCTTGCTCACCCATGGTGTAAGGCTGCTCCTGCTCCGCCACCACCACCGACTCCGGCAGCTGCCTTCGCCAACGCTCCACTCGACTCACCACTACTGGCATCTCTCCGAGGCGGTCGCGAGGCTCGTTCGCCAGGCCTGGCGACACTGAAAGAAGCATTCGATATTACCTATGCGGTGCACCGTATGGAAGAAGAGGGAGCACGTCGACGAGCACAAAAGGGTGGCGCGAATCGTGGGTTCCTCACAGGGTTGAACGAGGAAGAAGACGAAGATGAGGAGGAGAATCTTGTCGAAGACACCCGCAGACGTTACGGCGATGAAGTTGCTGACGATCTGGAGGAGAGACGAAATCGAGGGGCCGGGCAGAACCAGGTGCAGAACGTGGCTGTTTCTCAGGCTGCTCGTGCTGGAGCGAAGACAGCTGCGAAACGAGCCGTACAAGGTCAAACACGACAAGCAGCCCCGGGAGGCGGTGGATTTGACGGGCGCGCCGGTCAAAGAGACCGAGGCAGAAGAACAGCTGGCGTTACATTCGATTTGCAGCTGGATAACGCAACGCTAATCGGTAGACGGCATAAGCGTGCGGCAGGGAAAGAAGGCGCGTCCGGTAGCCCGTTAGCGAATCAAATCGTGTCAAGGGAAGAGCTGCCGCAGAACCCCGGAAGCCCAATGAGAGTGGATTAGAGCCGAGCATATTCACACCATCGTTTCTCTATATCCAATTGGCTGGGCGATACCCTGCGAGGCTCATCTCGTATATATTATCAGTCTGGAGTCCTCATCTGGCTCGTCCGTCAGGCGTACCATGTCCTTGTGCACGTACGCTCTCGTCTCGCGACCGCATGGTTATTGTTACCATCTGCATCCCCGTCCTCCGTCTCCACGCTACCCTGCACCAGCCCACTCTAGTGGGGCGTTGAGTCTGACATTCGCTCTCACTCTTCTTGAGAGCTCTCTCCGTACACCTTGATGCTGACCCTTATACCATATTCACCAGACAGACAGACGGACAAAATCCATTGCTCATATGCAAATTACTGTCGTTCGTTCGTGTAGTATATATTTATCTGTTAGTTTGCATAGTACCAGTTGCGTTCCATGTATCCGTTAGGATTTTTGTGCGAGGTCTTTCCGTTGCATCCATGTTTTTTTGTACATTGTACGGTTGTCGTGTATTATTTTCTCACCTTTTGGAGCAGGCTCTTCTATACACGACGTGAGTAGCAAAGGGAAAAACCGTGACCACCGCGCCGCCGCCTGTTCCTGTTGTGAGTACTTGGAGACTTGCCTAAATTGAGCGTGATGAAAGGTGCAAGGGATCGATCGCCGCCGACGTTGTGGCTGTTCGGGTAACGTAACGTTGGTCAACTGTTATTGTTGCCGCAGCCTGGACCACACGCTCTCAAAGGCTTTCACTTTCGTTCGATACACAGGACACCCTTCTCCTTGCAAGAATGGCCGAAGAAGCATCTTCCGAGTCAGATCCTACTTCGAGCGAAGTTGACTTCATGTCTAACATCCTGGCTCCCGGTTCCTCTATGCACCCAACCTTCCTGCTCATCCTCGATGGAGCTTTCGCAGTATTGCTGTTCGTTCTGCTCGGAATGGCTGTTCTGACGAAAGGGAATATTCATGTGTTGGCGTTGATTGCGATCGAGGGATGTTTGTGGGCGAGTGTCAAGTGGTACGTCATAGTCATGCTGAGTCTCCATGTTGCTTCACGTGTATGAATGATATCGTGTGTAGGTTTGTGAATGAGTTCCAAAAGGCTCAGGCTAACTTGCCGCCTGCTAACAAACCGGAAAAGAACGACGAAGTTAAGGAGGAATAATTATCGAGGAATCAATCTATTTGCTACAGTTGACGTTGGGGTATCACAAGGGTATCATCCTCCGCGCCACGCTAGCACCATGTGCCCTATTACGAGGCATTTGCAACCAAAAACGACATGATCACGCAGCCATCTCAACCCGTCCTTCACTTTCCTGGTACCTCGCTATGGTTGTACCACTTCTTCGTCGTCTGTACTGCAACTTGCGCCAGCGTAAACACTGCATCCGTTCCATCAGCATTTCCCCGAGACACTGCCCTAGCCTTGGGACTCACATTCTCGTTCGGTACCATCAAGACCTTCCCTGAAGGCACCACTTGGATCTGCGGACCCAGCACCGGCTGTAGCAGTAGTTATAGAGGCGAAGTGTTGGGCTTGGTCTATGACTTCCGGGAGTCGAGAGCGGAAAGTCTGTTGGTGTGGTTATGAGATGAGGGGACTGTATGGAGGATTACTCGATGGACGGACGTACTTTGACGAGAATCTCGGACATGTCGTTTGCGGGGGCGTCATTGAGTCTATGCAGGTCGGAAATTCAGAATGGCTGGGCGTAGCTTTTACTACATACACTCACAATTTCATGATCATCACCCCGAATGCGTACCAAACACCGCCTTGACCTACCAAGTTACAAAGCTTGACGCTCTTGGGTTCGGCATTCAGGGCATTGCGGACTCGTGAAGAGAAGGGTGGTGGAATATTGAAGTCGGCATAATCACTGTCATGTTTGCATCTTTGGCACAGTATACGACCGACTGAGTTGTAAGTTGGACGCACGAATAGATTAGGATGTAGGCCATCCACATTGGAATGTTAACCTTGCTCAAGGGTTTGATCTATGATTAGCGATATTTGAGAATCCTTCTATGTGTGTATAACCAGTTGGGAGCGAACATCTCGTTCGTTACCGCCGTCCAAATGACCCATCTCAGGCACCGTGACCTTGAATGTGCATTGTACCTTCTGGTTTTCGGCTAGTATAGCGTCGACGTCATAATAGTCTTCGTCCATAGGGTGCAAAGTGTGGCAGTGAATTTGGCGGAAGGAACGGAAGACGCGTAGTAAATTGCAGCCACCGACGCGTCGTGTAGACGCCTATGTCACCGGTCGGCTCCTCGGCACCTGTTCTCAGCTGCATTTGGAGCCGCTTTCGTTCTCTCTCCTCTTCACTCAATACCATGTCCTACCTACGATGCATCTCTCTCAGAGGGCTAACTGCCATCCATGCCATTAGAATTGCTCCATCTAGTTTGGCAGCTCTTCATATACAACGACGACTGCCTTCCTCTCAATGGCAAGCCCGACAGTTCTCATCATCTCCGAAACGCCAAGCGACAGCCCAGGAGCCGGAGGTCTTCACAGCTGCGTTTAAGAGCACAGAGCTGTTCAGAGAGATTGCAGAGAAGCCGGAGGTCTTGCAGGCGACGAAAGATCTCATGCAGGTCCTTCAGGAGGAGGGTAAGTGTGCGACGCCGCATGACCCTGAGTAATGCTAATGGTTTATAATCACAGGTGTTTCCCTTGACCCCAGTAACCCACCTTCGGCAATGAAGCTTCTTCTAAATTCGAGGATTAGAAAACAGTTGCTTCATACGGTATCGGTGTTGAAGGAGAATGGCATTAGCGCAGAGAGGCTTCAGGTTCGTCAAGCTGTCCTCTTCATTCTGACCAATTCTTGTTAACTCAACATCTGCTATACAGGATGCGTATAAATCAATTCATTCACCTAATAAGACTGAGAGTAGCTGAAGCATCGTTGTATATACCATTCCTCGTCCATTAATGTATTCTATTCTGCTGCGGAGAGTTTCCTTTTTAAGACAATGATCGAAAACATGACGTGCCGCCCATATGTAATGCAGACGCGACTCAGAGCTGAACGCGATCGCCTTGCACGCTTCGGTCAACATCAATATTCATCCCTTTGCTTCCACTCCCGAAGACATGGCCAATGAAGTACAGGATGTTATTATGGATAGCCCTGGGGCAGGCCCGTCGACTGCTCCAGGCATTCCTGTGGATTCAACACTGAACATACCCACCTCTGCTCCTTTGCATCCGCTGCCGTCCGCACATTTCTACTCTCTGGAATACCCTGGTTATGTACAGTCATGTTCCATACCACTGGCTGTGGAGCGTCTCGGAGGTCAAGCTAGGCTTGACTCTGCCTTCAGACGTGTAGCGAGCATGAAGACTGATTTTCCACTGGAGCTGAACTTTCGACCTGAGAACCCTTATTCTCACCCTGTGTCTGGCGAGGTTGTTCATACCAGCAATTTGCTGCTAAAGGTTGTGAAGAGGAAGAGAAAGAGGAAAGATGGTATGCAGTTGGATGGTGAGCCGGTTGGCGAGTACACAGCGGAGGTAGTTGGTGTTGTCCCAAAAACAGGGAGGTTTCGCGGTACGTGCGATTTAATTTGCCTCTTTTTGAGTCACTAACCAAGGGTAATATAGCTATGGCGGACTTCCAGTTTAGGCCGAATATGTCAGACCCAGTATCAAAGCTACGGACTGCTTTGGCAGATACAGATGGTATAACATAATTTCGTTTCACTTCATTCTAGCTAACGACATATGGCAATAGTTGAAGCCATCATAAATTATTCCATTCCTGAAGAGAAAGAGGACTATACAGTGCCGGTGAATGGAGCACCCGCAGACATCGACCCTCAGCTTCTAGGTGCGGAGGGTGTAACACCAAAGTTGAGGAGTAATCTTCGTCTTCCACCACCAACATTGTTCAGTCGGCAAGGTATACCTCATAACTATAAGTACGTCCATTACAGCAACCCCCCTTGAGTAATCTACCCGCGGAGCTGACTATACTAGCTATAAGGCAAACACATCGTCAATCGTGGCTGCGGTCGTGGATGAAGAGACCGGCGAAGAGAAGAAACGTCTCATCAACAGTACAAGGTGGAAAGGTTATGGTCCCATCGCTATTTATTACGCAGACGACAAGGTGCCAGACAAACCGTCGGCCGTGGTGGAGGAACAACGAGAGAAGGCAGACAAGAAACTCCTGAAGCGGTTGGAGGAGGTCAATTGGTCCTAACTACTTATCAACGAGACATTGACTTACTTTGGGAACCTTTAGCTTTTTGCAGAACGCCCTGTTTGGACACGGACGGCTATCCTGAATCAATTCGAGCCATTTGAGGTTCGTGAAATCATCAAGTGAGTATCAATCTGTCATCGAACAGGCGAGTTGGTCTGACTGTACATAGTTCCAAATTCCTTCTTCCTTTGGTTTCCTACGTATTTGCAGACGGACCCTGGAGAGATACACAAGTCCGACTGGGGTACGACCCACGGAGAGATCCACAAGCACGATTGTGAGTAACCTTATTGCCGCAATTACTGTTGCCTACTCATTGATTTCCTCGACAGCTACCAGAGGCTGTATTTCAGGAATACCCATCATCCAATCCTCAGAACATCGGTCGTCGGTAGAAAAGCAGACAATCGAAGTGATGGTATCTTTGAGGCGATTCGTAAAGAAGATAAACGGTCAATACATGTGCCCTGTTGTGTTGCAGCTGCTGAAACTAACGATTGTGAAGGTCGCATATATTTGACGGGATCAACGCCACGAAGGAGACCGCCGCGTTCCAGCTGTGCGATATTTTGGACGAGATGCTGAAAGAAATGATAGAGGACGAGGAAGATCTTCGGGAAACCTGCCATGTCAGTTTAATCTACTTCGTCTCATTTTCGTAGCTAACTTGCTGTGTAGGAACGAGATGGTTGGTACTCCGCGCAAGCGTTCGATCGCATCAAGATTGTCCTCCGACACAAGTTCTTCTCTCTTCTGATCGGACATGTCGCAACCAGGGAGGAATGTGAAGCTTTACTTGCTTCTACTGAGGGAACAGACAAGCTTCCTTCCAAATCTGCGCCTAAAGTACGACCTGGCAAACACAATATGGCAAAAGGAGCACTCAGACCGGAAGATGCTGCGGTATGTCCTAACATGCTTTATCCTGAAGACATAGCTGATCATGTTGCAGGCGCAAAGACTTCTGGCCACCATCGACGAAAAGGTCAGAAAGTTCTCTAGTCAGAAGTAGCGCCGAGCAGTGTATTCTTCCGATTCCTTGCAACATGTGTATTTTTATCAATACATTCCGGTCCACACGCAATATCAGTGTTTTGGTGTTTTCATTTTGCACTGAACGAGACGACAGCGAACTCCTAAGCGTATTGCAGAGGGCATAGGGCATGGTGGCGGAATTGAATACATAATGCGAGACGTGTCGAATGGAATGGCCAGAGAACGAAGCCCAATCTAACCCCCGAGCCTGCGTTTCTGCCACGAGAGACGATAGGAAAGTAACGATCGTTGGAACAGATCATTGTCCCCCTCCGACTTTCTGCTCCGCACGAGCTTTTCGCTATAATGAGATGTCAACTTTGGGCATCCGATGTAAAACTTGTGCACGTACTGAGCCGACAAGTGCGTATTTGGCGTTACGGCGGAACTGCACAGCAGTTAGATCATGCCATTGCGATGCCCGTTTTGGGTGAATAAACACACCTTAGGATCAACCTGAATCAACGTAAGTTGAGTATCTTCAATTCGCAGCATCGATAGAGTACGTACCCCCTTCATCGAACGTGTCCTGTGGCTCTTAGGCGTCTTGATACCATTACGGTGAGCCTTCTTGTTCTGGTTGTGGTTGGTATGGCTGATTCACGTCAAATGAAGTACGATCAGCATTTCAAACTGTCTAGCAGCATTTCTATAACAAACTTCTTGGATTTGGCCATCGCGACGTCGGGGGGTCCTGCGGGTCTTGAGCTTGCTACTTACCGCTGATACTGAGCTCAACGATCTGGGCGGCTACGGGCCGGTGGCTGAGGAACTGTGCAGTTGCTGTCTCGACGTCGGGAAATCCCGAGACGCCCACCTCCCAATGCGGTGAACGTGGTTCGGGATGGCCATGTGCACCTCTCGTATTCTCAGTTAGATTCTCTTTCGTCGGAACTTGCGCTCTTGGTGCATGTGTGGACTGTCAGATGTGTCCATGCATCCACTGATTACGTCCTATGCATTGTCGTTTGCTCCTTTTCGCTGAGCAATGGAGATTGTGACTGGACATCTGTCATTCATGGAATACTAACTATGCGGGGAAGACTGAATTGTGGTGTTTGATAAATGGCGTAGCATTTTCTCAAGGTAAATCTACTCTGGTTAGTATACACCTGACTATCAGGTGAGCCAATATGTTGCCGGCATATTCCTGCTTCACAAACTCGATGCTTGTACATCGTTGAAGTTTTACTGATGTACTGTGGCGTGTCATAGAATCACAGGTTGTCAAACGAAGCCACCGTGTGCATGGCAAATGAACCGTCTGTATCACTGTCGAAGTTCTGACGAGTGCAACGAAGCAACACCGCGGCATCCACTTCGGTGTCAAGATGGTGTACAACTTGTGTATCTTTGTGTATCTTTGTCCATTTCCACATCTAATTGTAGTTGACTGCAGTTGATACGAGGAACCCTGCAAGGTTCGGCCACCCCGACCCCCAAGTGCAAACAATGCTCGTAAGCTGATATATAACCAATGCTATCTCCCGTTTAGCGTGAAGATGCTTGGTAGCTTCTCACGATGTGGCAGATTGATCTCTTCCGATATCTCGATATTTTTGCTCACAACTCTTCTACAGGAATCATCTTGAAAAGCCAGGCGGTTCTGGATCTCCACACCATATCTTATGATGACGCACTGATGTATGCCCTGGCCATGACGTATGTCTCGTAAGACAGTGCTCTCTCACTTCAAAAGGCCAACTATCCTTGGCTACCGACTCTTCATCCTCCCAAGATGTACGGGGCAGATGCGCCAGTGAGTCGCTCCCCTCTTCTCTCGGGTTTTTCTTCATAGAGGTTGTCTCACTCCAAGGTATCGTGTCACCTGCTCGGTCGGAACTTTATTCAAACATAATCGTCATACCCTCTTGGTCTCCGTCGATCTTGGGTACACCTGCCCGGGCCCTCCCGCAACCAACACAATACCTGCGCTCTGGATTCGATCTGCGATCCTATTGGCTGAGGCCGCAGTGCCGAAGGTCGTGAGTGACGGTACTAGTTTGCCTCGAGGCTACCCTGCTCGTCACCGAGATTCTGCTCGAGAACCCTCATGACGAAGAGGGTGGCATTGCGTGCGAGCTGCAATGTAGCTCCTGATCCTCCAAAATTGCGATCAGGTTTTGGCACAAATGTTGACTTGCAAGCTCGATGATCGCTAACGTGAGTTTTGTTGGGATTGCAACGCTAGGGTTGCTATGAGTTGAGTACAGTGACGCTCCCTTGACGATGGGGAATGGGACGACTCGACGGTGCCCAGCGGTACCCGTGTCATCGTGAGTAAATGTCATGTGGTCTTGTCACTAGAACTCACGAGTCAGCTTGAATAGAACATGTGCCATGCACACGTTTCCTAACATTGAATGTCTATCCTCCGCCTTTACTCAATCTCCGAGCAATGTCTGAGCTATTCAACTTTGGGCGATACTTGACTTTCACCTCCGTGTCGCGCCGAGCTCGGATTCTGTCGCGAGACTCTCACACTGTTCATTCTGTTCCATATTGTCGGCTTATCGTGGTTTCTCAGACTCCTCTGTAATGGAAAGTCCAGCCAACGAAGACAGCGCTTTATCCAGGGTTCTCGCGTCCTGGTGGTCCAGCCCTATGGAAGAAGTTCGGACAACTGCTGGTTCAAATACAGCTCGCTGTTGCCTGGCGATTATGGATGATAAGGGCCTCGACTCTCGCGTCTTCCTCCCACATCCAGGCGATCGTCCTGTCATGTCACCTGTAATGGCAGTGCCCTTCTCATCAGACGACGCCATATTTACTGCGAAGTCACCTCGGCAGTAATGCCTAGAAACCTATGGATGTTTCTGAAGCTGATGTCCGTCATGCACCCTGCCATATCCATGCATCTTTTGGTGCAAAGTGTGTGTACACTCCTTGCTTGTGGTGCCACAATTTTGCTACGAACTCCATCGTTGCATGAAAAGGACAGATCCCCGCGTTCCCGTGACCTGTGGGTGTGGATGCACAATTACTCATTCGTCTCAGCCTGACGCTGTTACTAGGTTCTATCGCATATATCTCAATACCTCGCCTATTGCCATCATAGAATCACGGCGGGCCTATGAAAGTTCTAGAGGGCCTTAGTTATCGTCGCATTCATTGGTTGACAGCCAGCGATAGCACTGCATACACATGCTCAGGTCAGCACACCAGAGTCAATCCAGGGATGGTTCTATCAGAGAAGAGTAGGCAATTGGAATTCTCTCGTAACTGCCATAGGCCGCGGTCGAGCCTTAGCTGATGTACCTGGTCTGACTTATTCAATCCTCAGCATTTGCAACATGGCATGTCTTTCTTAATGCAACGACCATGGGACGCCAGTCGGTGTGGCATGCTTCCGATGGGAAACCGTGACTGTGGGCTTGTGCCTCCAAGAACTCACTGCTTTGTCGCGTATACGGATACTTCTTGCTTTACGACATTCGCCGAACCAATGCTCGTGGTTCCCAAACTGTTCCTGTCAATTATGCTGTCTTCTTAGCTCCCCGATGGGCTTCCTGACCAGGCCGTCGAGAACAATCCGCACCTTTATCACCACCTATCAGATCGTATCTCAATTGAACGTTCTCAAGGATGCCAGTGCTAATGTCAAATCCGGCGGCTTCTTAATAATGCAAGAGTCCTCTTCGGTTAGCCGATGCGTGAGCGGTTGTGTTATAACCTGTTATGAATCTCTTCTCTGTTGTCCGATCTCGCCCATGTGGATCAGAATTTCCGACGGACCGTCAGTCCTCGGACGTCTTGCAAGACGCGTAGCAGTTTTTGCGTGGAGAACTTTTGGTCCGGACGACGTGGTTTTTGACCGGATGCTGTCATACCATGCTGGGTGAGCACACATCTTCTAGATCTGTGCTGGGCGTCGCGTCATTCTTTCGCAGTTAACGTGTGGTAGTATTGCAGCGTGAATACACTAGCGCGAGACAAGCACAGTTAAAGGTGTACGAAGGGCAACATGTATACCGACACGTCCTTAAAGGGGGACGGTTATACAATATTAAAGATACACAAATATGCAGCCGATACAAGTACAGTGCCAAACTATGTCTAGATAAATATCTTAGGCAAAGACGGAGAGGACATGTATGTGGGGATATCCTCGTAGCAGGTATAGTGTGACGGAGGAATGTGAGAAAATGTACAGTGGACTTAGGAGGAAGCAACACGACACGAAACCCAAAAGCGATATAAAGACGACAGAAAACCGAAGAAGAGCAAAGATGACAAGCAGAAGGAGTCAATATAAGAATGCAGGGTGAAGAATATGTTTGATAAAAGTACATATGCAGGCACGAATCTGTCCGAGAAATGAGGAAAAATCGTTTCATAACGGGGACGTTCTGTTCGAGAGATGAGATGAATGCGATGAAAAAATTATACAAGAGCCGGATGGGTTGACGTATGATGACCAGTGCACTGTGGCTGAAGCCCTTGTACATCCGAGATAAGTCCAGGGTGACAATGCAACATGAGACAGGCTGTGGAGGCGATCCGGCGCCATCGTGAGATGTGTTGGAGCAGAAATACTGTCATGAATCTTGCGGAGCGGCGAACGAACAAATGGAACATTGGAGAGAATTTGGAACGTCTAGAGAGGAGACTGAGAACTGGATTCACACTGGTGTCTGGAGAAGTTCGAGGTCGAGCATGGCCTGTCCATCGCTCGTGGGATCATTGGCATACGACGACATTCGGCCTCCACTTATAGCTGTCGTAGGATAGTTTGCGCGAGGAGAATGCTTCATGTTTAAAACAAGATGTCAGTGAGGGTTTGATGACGTCGTGACTATAAAGGGCGCTTACTTTGTAGAATTTTCCCCAATTATCGTCGATTTCAACAGATTTACTGTTATCTTCGATCTCGGAGCGCTCACGATCATCCCGGTGCTCTCGTTCGCTTTGGCGTGCTTGCTCGCGGTCGTGTAGACGATGGGCTTGAACAAGCGCACCGAGGTCCTTCCCCTTGTGATGTGCTCTCTCGCGCTCACGGCGTTCCTTGGAGCTGGGATGTAGCTTTATCAAAGGTTGTTTGAGATGTTCACGAGGCTCGGGAACATGATCTACTTGCTCTCCAAGACGATGCGGAGCCGAAGGCTTCACGGACAAGGTGGGCGGGAAGGAAAACGACGAGTAGGCGACAGGACGAGACTGTGCAGCGGAATGCGTACGATGTTTCTTGCTGCGGCTTTTATCCTTTGACAAACCAACGACAGAGCCCTGAGAAGCTTGCTTGGTTCGGTGCTTATCCTTTTGTTTGTTATCCTGCTGCTTGAGCCGATCCCACTCGCGACCTTGTTCTAATTTGGCTCGAGTTTCGGCGCCGACCTTATCCTCCGAACTAGAACTCTGCTTCCTCATCAACTTCGCACCAGCAAGATCAACAGGGGCATCGACTGTGTCCTTCTGTCGTCGCTCTGGAGGCGAAGTGTTATCACTCTCTGAACTTCCGCTGTGAGCCCTAGACCTGCCTCTGGACGCTTTGCCACTTGAGCTCGATCCTGAAACAGAGCTACCAGAAAAGCTTTCCGACCGATTCTTAGGCAAGAATGGTCCATAAACATCCGGCTCCGCGACCCAAGCTCTGGAAGAGCGATCGCATAGCTCTGTCAAACTCAGTTGTGACACCTGAGAAGAAGGTCGGTTGCCTTCTTTGGCCATACGAGCGGACTGGCGGAACGAGGGTGGTTTCGTGCCAACGGCCTGCACGGGTGCCGGTAAGGGTCTAGCTGCAGAGACATCTCCGCGAATAGTAGATGTACGTTTCCATGAAGCAGAGGTAACACTACTTGCGACTGACGTAGAATCGTCGACGGGGATGGCGTACGTTGACAAAGGAGACCTTTCAGTAGCCGTGGTGTACGCACTTATCCCTGTTGAACTGGCTGTCGAAATCGCGGGGGAACGAGACTCTGTACGAGAGCGAGGTGGCGTATGGGGGAAGGGATAACCATCGACTACCGGAAGCGGAGAATGAGTTCCAATCGAGCTGGAGGTCCGAGTGACTGATTTCTGTCTAAGGCTTTCTTCGGCAACAAGTTCACTGAGAGCACTGGGTACGCTGGACATGGAGGACGAGGAAGGGATCGGAGAAAAAATACCGGCAGAAGAAGCAGAGCGAGAAGACATGGCGCTCGAAGAGTAACTTTCACCAGATTGAAGATGGTGGGTCGAGGGTTGGACCTCCGAGACAGACATTGGAACGAAGGCGGGACCCAAGGGAGAGGCCGAAGATGACTGTGGTGAACTAATGCTGAGACCGACCACATTCTTACCTCCGGACGTGCTCCATCCCGATTGCTTCTGGTAATCCCACATTGGTACCGCAGTCACAGCAGTAGGATTTACGAACATGATGGGAGGGAACGGTGGAGGATCGGTTGGCGTAGGGAACGCCGTTGATGTGCTGCCCGATGAAGAAGGCGCCCCGTCTCCGGAAGATGTGGGAAGAGAGGAGAGCGGATGCGCCTGCTGATGTGGATAAGAATGTGGAGAGAGGTTATGGGCAAGGGGAACGAAGCCTGCAGCACGCATACTGGGCCCGACGATGCATCGTGCATCAAGAGCCCCAAGAGAATGTCTGGCTAGCTGAGAAGCAGTCAAGGTCGGACGTGGCTTTTGAGCGTAAAGTAGGTCGGTAGAAGGGGACGCTGGGGGAGTTGCGGGAGAGCCGGAAGCTGAAGACAAACCGGAATGGGTTGTGCGAGAAGATGTGAAGACAAAAGCAGTACTGGGATTAGAGGAAGAATTGGAACTCGTATTCGTTGCAGTGGTGGAAAGGATGGGCTTAAAGGCATCAAGCTTGAGCTTGGGTGGAGGCGGAAATTTCCTGGAGTGCTGGTGTGAGCGATAGGTGGGGTTAAAGTCAGTGTTCAAGGAACTTACGATGAAGGGCCCTTGGGCGAAGTTGGCACGGAGGTGTCCGACATCAGGAGCGTGTGCAGGACTAGGTCATGGTCGTCGTCGTGGACGACGAGAGGGTGGAGGAGAAGGACAGAGGTGAGTATGTGCGGGGTTCGCAAGGGAGACCCAGACTCTATATGGCGGTCTTGCCCCACTCGCGTTTCTCCATTTACTCCCTGCCTATTCGAGCACACTGTCGGACCAATTTGTGGCCGGACTTTTTTGCCAGAATCTGCCGAAAGAACCGCCTGGCCCAATGAGGTTATCTATCATTATTTATCTAATCTGGCTCCTGACGTCCATGAGCAGCCATGAGCAGTGCTATCGGTCCTTGGCGTCTCCTGCGAAGCCACTATCTGGTCAGGACACAGACATGCTACCCACCGCTGCCTATCCTTGCAATTCCTCTCTCCTTCACAGGCACCACATCCTACTCAACCCAAATCCCCCGCAAACTTCCCCCGCGCGCGACCATAACGATGTCTAAGTTCACTCAGGTCAATGTACCTGCAACTGGAAAGACAATCTCTGTTCCCACCGGTCTCTTTATCAATAACGAGTTTGTGCCGTCTGTGGACTCCCAGGAAACTATCCAGTATATGCGTCTTAACATGAGCCTGGCTCTCCGCTTGTAAACTAATGCTCTCCATCTTACCAGGTGCATCAACCCAGCAACTGAGGAACCCATCTGCTCCGTGGTAGCGGGTATGTCTTGCATATGATTGTCTGTCATTCTGTCTAGCTCTAGGGCCCCATTCGTGATTGTCTCTTTACTTCAAAATCTGTGGCTCGCAGGGAGCTTGGTTGGGAGCGGGATCCTTCTTCGTTTTTAGTTCACACGATACTTTCGTTTAGCGTTACGTACTAAATGTTAAACCCTCTACTTTGTTTACCATTGATCTTGCTCTTTTCCTCGGGCTTATATCTGCACGTCTAGGTTCCGCAAAGGACGTTGACGTTGCTGTCGCTGCTGCACGCTCCGCCCTAAAGACTACATGGGGAAAGAATGTCTCCGGCTTCGAGCGTTCCCGTCTCTTGAACAAACTCGCAGATCTCATCGAACGAGATGCTCAAGAGCTGGCGGAACTCGAAGCTCTGAACAATGGTAAACCGGTCAAGATTGCCAGGTGAGCTCCATCCCAACGAAATCATGTAATGTAACTGTCGATATACCTCCGATTCAGGGACTTCGATATTGGTGACAGCGTAGGTTGTTTGAGATACTACGCCGGTTGGGCGGACAAGATCGTAGGCCAGGTGAGTTTGATTTAGAGCTTCGGTCATTGTGGTGGTTGGATACACGATGACGGCCCGAGTGTCGTCGTGCTGTAAGGTAGACTGACAGGCTTGAACATTTCATAATTCGTCTTGACTCGACCCATCTCTCTACCATTAATCATTCGTTGCACATAATGTTTTCGTTATTTTCATGCCGTCCAGACCGATTCAAGTCGGCACCGGGGAATTGCTGAGTATGTACCAAGGATGGTGTTTCAACAGTCCAGTCTCGGCTCTCGCATTCTATTTTGTTCCCCTACGCCCCTTTTTGATATCTGCCTGACGAGTATTCTCTATTAGTCCATCGACATCGATAACAAGACTAAACTCGCGTTTACTAAACATGAGCCAATCGGTGTTTGTGGTCAGATGTGAGTTTCTTGGTGGGATATAGGGTGTTCTCCGCCGTATTGACGGTCTATGCCGTTTATAGCATCCCTTGGAACTACCCAATTATGATGTGGTATGTGCACCTCGACTGGTTTCATCTCGTCCTTGGTCATTAAGAATGAGTTTCATAGGGCTTGGAAGGTCGCGCCTGCCCTTGCGTGTGGTTGCACCATCGTCATGAAACCCTCGGAATTCACGCCGCTGACTGCTCTCGTATGTGCTCATTTTGTCATCTCTAATTTGCTCGTGTTCCCGCCGTTGCGAGAAGGTTTGGTTGACATCTGCTTCCACGCTCTCCTCATCATTCTGGTTCCTTTACCGATGGCACCATTCGCTTCCTGTTGCTATACACGCATTGAATCATGTCTATTTTTCGCTCTATCTCCCGCAGCCATTTACGCTTTGGCTCGGGCATCATTGCGCGATTGTACGTTACGTGCATTATTGCAAGGGTCGCTGTCTGGGTCGCGGCTCGTTCCTTTGCCGCCCCTGTCTTAGGGTTCCACTTTCGGCCGTCACTTTATTCTTTCACATTTACATCTAGACGTCTGAGCTCACCGCTCACACTTCTTACACGGATCTATAACTTGTACCACTCCTCAGGTATTGGAGTGGAGCCGTTTTTCTGGGCCCTTAGGTCCAGTCCTGAAACATCATGGAGACACCGTGCTCGCCGACCAAACTAACTCTCAGGTCGCGGGCCCGAGTGCCTCCGCTTCCGTGACGGCACCGTGGACTCTAAGCTGGTCATTTCCTTCCGCAAGCGTCGCGACTTTTTCTAGCCTTGACAGCCAACTATTGGCGGCGGCGATAGGAGGATCTTACCTTTTGCTGGTCGTGCGCGGTTAATGCGTCTCTCATGGGAACCTACCGCCCTGAGAGCCTGATTACTCTCAATGTCGTGGGCGTATTGTTTCCCTGTTTTTTTATTCGGCCGAACTTTATCTTCGTGCGGTTGTTTTCAGCGTCATATGCCGATATTCGATCGGTATAATATATCCCCGCACTGGTGAACGAGTTTGAGCACGTTGTGACCGGTCGTTGACTGCTCCCTATCAAGTTGACGAATAGTTGCGGATGCGTGGGTGCAGAAAGCAACTCTTCCTGATGTCTTCCCGTCCTTGGGTCCTTGGACAGTTAATAACTGTGAGATCACAACGCACTTGACCACTTGATAGGATATTCTTTTCTCTTCATTCACTACATTCGTGCAATGTCGTCAAGCTTTCATGGCTGTGATGTGATATTCGAATAGCATCACGCTGACCCCGTTTGTATCTCTAGAAACTCTCTGAACTCGTTGTAGAGGCTGGGTACGTTTCAACCGATCATCATTCTCATCTCAATTCAGACTATTTTTGCTCTCTTTCGCCCTTCCGTTGTTCCTAATTGCAACGGTTCTCTCGTAGTTTCCCTCCTGGCGTCGTGAACACAGTACCGGCCCTTGGATCCGTAGGAGGCGCAGCGCTTGCTGCTCATCCTGGAGTGGACAAAATCGCCTTTACAGGAAGCACCGTCACTGGTCGGAAGATTATGGAAGCGGCGGCGAAAAGTAACTTGAAGAAGGTCGGTTTTGGACGCTGGTATTATATTCATACAGTGCTAGAAGCATTGATCTACCCGCACGTTGTCATAGGTATCTCTGGAGCTCGGTGGAAAATCGCCTCAGCTCATCTTTGAATCTGCTGATATCGATCAAGGTTCGTACGACAGTTCCTGTCCCCACTGCGACGATCGTAACGTGGCTAATCACACCCGACCTTCCTCTCGGTGTGCAGCGGCGAACTGGGCAGCACTTGGCATCCTCTACAACACCGGCCAAGATTGCACCGCTGGTTCTCGTGTATACGTCCAAGATAGCATCTACGACAAGTTCCTCCAGACTTTGATTGAGAAAGCCAAGGCTTTGAACATTGGCAATGGCTTTGATGAGAAGTCCGGCGGAGGACCAGTAGTAAGTATTCGCAACTGCGGATTTGCCACGCTCTATTGCACTCTTCTTGTCCATTGTTGAGGGCCGACTCTGTCGGCAGTCCGTCGTGATGTGCTTCTCTCCATCGCCCGTGTTCTTTTTGCGAACATAACCGTCCAATGCCGAATCGGTGTTTCTTGCGCCGGTCTGCGATTGTTGTTCCAGTTTTGTGGGGGTGGCGACGTCGCCGTACGTGGGAGGCATGTTTCACGACTATTGTTGATTTCAGCCCCTCGAACCCCACGCATTAGCAACCCCGGTGTTACTGATGATCACAAGCTTCAAGCTTCTGGAGCTGACTGTTGTGATACCTTGGTTGCTTCCCCCATGTGGACTTGGCCTAGTCGTGTTTATGATGGGAGTTAACTTGAAACTGACGCGTGTCGTTGATCCTCTAGGTGTCGAAGGTTCAGTATGATAAGATTTGGTCATACATTGACGCTGGCAAACAGGAGGGAGCCAAATGTGTCCTCGGTGGCGAGAAGCGGCCGGGCAAGGGCTACTTCGTGGATCCCACCAGTGAGTATACCACGATGACTATATCTTCGCCGCCGAGTATCCTCATTATCGCCGTTTAGTTTTCACCGAAATAAAGCCCGGCATGAAGATTGTATGTTCTGCTATCAGTTTCTCAAGGGCTAGCCAACATTTACCTTTTTTTTCTTCATCCCAACAGGTGAAGGATGAAATCTTCGGGCCTGTGCTCTCCGTTGGTAGATTCAAGACCGAGGAGGAAGCCATCAATCTTGCCAACGACACCACATATGGTCTAGGCGCTGGGTTACACTCTAGTAAGTTTCCGAATTTGTCTTCCCCGTTGGAGTTGGCTATTAGGGCGGCTCTTACTCCGTGCTCTGCGGATCCCTGTTGATATTGTCTGTTCTCCCTGACCGCCGTGTCTTTTTTTTTTACATGTTTAAGGTTTGCTTGGCCGAGACTAACAATTTTCTGTCATCACAGACGACGCCGGCCAATGCATGCGAGTCTCACAAGCACTTGAAGCGGGGACAGTAAGTTCACATCTCACTATGTAAACGAGGTCGTCAGGTGTCAGTCGCTGCCATGAACTGAGCTAGTAGCTCATACGTTGGTGTGCATAGGCGACCTTAGAGAAAAGCGAGGCGTTTCAGACGACGTGATAGCGCTATTAACAGCACTATGCGAGGACGCCGTTGATTAAATTTAGGAATACGCTGATTGACGAGCTTCCACTTTATTCTAGGTGTGGGTGAACCAGTACAACCTGTTGTACAACAACGTACCATTTGGAGGCAAGAAGCAGAGTGGCATTGGTACGTTGTCATTTCTCAATATTCTGTTGTTCTGGTGCCTTGATGGCGCGATTCGCGTTGTCGCCCTAGGCTAACGCTAGATGATATTGATGCGCTACCTTTCGACACACTCTTCCCCGTGCCCGTGGCGAACGAGCGCTGACCATGACGTTTCGTTGTCGCAAACTTCATTATCTTCTCGTCCACGAGGCCGTTGGATGGTTTGTTTGGTCACCGACGGTGGTCTTGACTGCCGAGTTGGCTAACCGATTGCCTTTTCGATCGTGATATGAGAGCTGTGCATCAGTGGCGCTTAATGATCTTCAGGGACATCTGCAAGATCGTGAGCTAACTTCCTCTTCTTTCGCAGGCAGAGAACTTGGCAGCTATGCCCTTGACGAGTATACGTCCGTCAAGGCGATTCAATGGAACTACGGTGAGAAACTTGACTGGCCACTTTGAGGCCGTGATTTCGCGCCTTTCTCGTTATCAATCGCGGTATGAAGGCGATTCCAATGTATGATTATATATATGAGAGGTTTTTGAGTAGCAGAGGCAGGATGTGTCACAACCTTGGTCTCACGTGCTGTTTCCCAGTGGATATGTATTACATAGCTAGGAGCTCGAAATTCCATCAGTCCCAGATTCATATTTAGTCAGTGTTTCAATGCCAGAGAATATTAAGATGCGATGTAATGACTTGTCGTCATTATGAAGGTAAGTTTGTTGGTCTCCATACTCATCAGCAACTACACACTGTTGTCTCATGATACTTTCTGACTTTCGTGGATCACGTACATTGACTGTCAACGAAATCAGAGTTGTTAGCTACCGGAACTGAGCTGTGATCTTCCTATAAGACACATTTGAAGTTTGGGGTCGGCTGGTCCAGGCTTTCAGTGTGAATCAAGCAAAGATCTGTATAGCTTCGGTTTGACTAGACAGTAAGATTGTCTGAATACGTAGCAAAACCTGGATGAATCAGTCTACAATTTCGTGCTAGGACGATGCGATATCTCCCGCATATAGTACACTACAAGAGCATGAACATCAAAATGCACGGGGTATAATCCAACAAACCCACGCATCTGAGGGAGCTTCCCCGATTTCTTCGGGTTGAGTATTTGCAGTCGACGGAGGGCGGGGCTCCGTCGTTGCTTCCCTCCTCTCCGCGTCAAGTAAAGGATAACTCTTGACTGTTGGTTGTCAGGGTCCGATTTTCACCTTAGGGTGATATCGAAGATATATGTTGAGGGAATTTTCTCGGAGGAACTCGAGCGACTCGAGAGCGATTGAGAGTCTGTACACGCATCACTGAGAATCGTGTCCGCGGATCTTGTTATTGATCATGCATTATCACAAGGGCGCAATGCACTTACCTTGTTGTCAGTAACTTGAACTCCGGAAGGTTCATACACCTTTGTACGATCTCTGCATCAGTGATTTACCGTGGTCAAGACCATATCTGGACCGTGCACAGGCTCCTCGACCCCTGGGAGTACTTCATTCTCCATTCAGCTTGCATATGAAATGTAAAAATTGGCCGACACGTCGCCTTTCTAAGTATATAATAGCGCCATATAGACCCACAGCATCTTCTAGCATACAAACCTAAGGTGGTAAGTACACTATTGTTGATCCAATCCACGCTGCGGAGTGCTGCGCAAGGTGCAGAAAGAAGTTGGACGCGTGAATCAAATTCCCGTGGAACTTAGTATGCCTGATTTGGTTGTGGTGTATGTCCGTGAAGTCCAACACAAACAGCTTACTCACCCAAACACCGCCCTCACAAACCAGCATCTTTGCCGGAGAACCTTATGTGGAACGTGACTGTATTTGTGAGCAGCTAGAAGACAGAGTTTGCTGACTACTGTATAGGAAAGCCGGTATGGCCTTCTCCGACTGTTTTGAATGGTCGGGAAAACTTAGTACGATCACCATCAGTAAATGTTGATCCCTGCGCTACCCCGCCGGTGCCAAATGTAGACAGACACCTTATGCCCGCCTCTATTCCAAATCCTCAATTACCTTTTCTCTCCGTCGGCGGTCTTCTTCATCGACACGTAGCCATGCGGTATAAACCGAATTCTGTAGCACATGGTGTATCCTCTGCTGAACAATCTCAGTTGATGCACCAAGTCACGCTGGCCTCCAAGCTGAAGATCCGTGGTCAAGTTTCTCTGGGTGCTGCAAATTTCCCTATTTATCCAATGTCCAGGCAAGGAATTGGATCCCAAATCGGTACCTAATCTCACTAGTCACCTTACTGGATAAGGGGGAAGCTGTTTCCCCTCGCTCATATCGACAGTAATTGATATTGTCGGTGATTTGCGAGATCAATACATGTGGATGATGCGCTAGCACCGACGACAATGACTGGAACTCACTGGAACCCTCTACTTGTCAGGGTCGTCTTCTGCTCGGCGAAACAAATTAGCAGGGGCAGTGCACAAATGATCGAAGGAACCCATCACTCTCAGGCTTGCAGGGGCAGGCTGCTGCACCCTGTATGACGATGTGGTCGGCGATTACATCCTTCTTCTATGACGCCAGTGAGCAACGACTGTCAATAGACTACCAATATTTACTATGATACATGATGAAATTATGTTAGAACAGTATCGCAGAAAACGAGAGGAGACTCAAATGAGAAATCTATGAGGTTGTCCGGGGTAGTGCCTGCAAACGATGTTGAGGCGCAAAGGCTACATATGTGGATGTGGTATGTGTTCTTGATCGTAGCTAAAGTCGAGGATTCCAGAGCAAAGAGAGAAGAGATTAGCGATATTGGTAGCCTGCGTTTGTATTCTGAACGTCGTTATACGGGTGACTCTGCACGTCACACTTGTCCATCAGTCGGTAGTCGTCAACAGAGCAACCAGCAACCTACCAGGGAGTCATGTGAAACCAGCCCTGTCGCGCGAGGATCAAAGGTATCTGTTTCGGCGTGATAGTACTCTCCAGAGAGATTGCTGCCATGACACAGAAGTTCAGTGTCATGTGGGCATCCTAGGTACATGGTACACTCACGACGTCGATGGCACTATGTATTGATTTCCCATGGGCTGACCCACATTTTCGTACGAGTAAGACAATCCACTGTTTTCCATGGCAACGTCAGATGGGATGAATCCACCGTGCGCCGACATTCCTGCGTAGGAATGTTGAGATGGTATGATCGGTCGCTGGGCATAAGGGGCTTCAGTCCTGCCAGTAGGTGCACTGTAAGGTTGTTGTGCGTGAGAATAGGAGGATTGGCTGTAAGCAGATCCAGTATATGTTTGCACAGGAATCCCCTGCGGGCTGTATTGTGTTTGCTGAAGCATGTCAGCGCTTTGTCCTTGGTGGCGTTGCCACTCGACATGTTGACTATACTGGGAATATGAAGTGGAGTCGTAGGGTACGCTCAGCGATCTAGAGGACTGTTGCCATTGTGGTTGCGTATACTGATCGAACGAATACTGTCTCGCATGTTGATTGGGGTGCATACTCGAATTAGGTATCGGTTGGGGTGGAGGTGACTCGTTTGACGTGGCCTTTTGCTGACTACAGGGGATGTACTCGCATTTCATCCCCCGCTTCTCGCACCGTTCACATTTGGGAGTAGTTCCCGTACACTGGTACGGCCCAAATTAGCTTTGCGCTCAGAAAGACTGAGTGGGATAACGAACCTTCACTTGACGCCTGCGGCATTCCGTGCATGCTATAGGGGTTCGTTTACTACGAACCACAGGTGCAAGAAGGTTCTGGTGGTCTATGGAAGAGCGTGAAGCTAATAACAAAATGTAAATTGCTTATAAATGCAACAATGGGGGATATTGCGTACGGCCGGAAGATTTCACCGAAGATCCCCGTGAATTGGTGGGGCTCGCGCTACTATGACGGGAGTTACTTGGGTACGCGTCCATAGTGTGAAGGGAGTTGGAATATGAGGCGGAGGAGATATGCTGAGTATGCGCAGGATAAAGAGACTCTTATAGGACAAGTCGATCAATGTGGATGCCGACGGCAAGCGTCTGGGGCGATCCAAGATTCGGACCAAGATACGAGTAGACAGGTATAGACTTGTCGAAACATTTTCTCGCGTGCTTATGTCTTCCTCCACGAGGTCAAACCCAAAACGAAACATCAACACCGATTGTTGGGAGCTAGAGCGTCAACGACCATGGCGGTGAAGGCAAGCGCTGCGCACCTTCCTCGTCAGGTTAGCGTGGTCTACAGGCGAGCGTACCTTGGAAATCAAGATGATGAGCTTCCACGGCCATAAGTGACAAAAAACAAATGACAGTTGTCAGCCTCCGATAGTCACGCTGACGTGCAGGAATCGGCAAAGCATTTCCAAGCCAGAATGCGGACTCTCGACTCTGAAACGCTTCGTTGCAAGCAGCTGCAAGGGGAACCCTAAAACACCACGTATACGGAATTGACCGGTTGTCGCCCAGGCGTCTCACGCCAAACGATATCAGAGCTTCAGGTTGACTGCTACCTGCACGCATTCGAGGCAGGACCTGTCCGAGAATCATGTCCTGATCTGTATGGTTGCCGTGGCTGATCCACAATCATGCCAAACATCCACAACGATGCGTCGATAGTTGACAGGGAAGAGACATTTCCACAATCGCCATTATCGGCATTTTCTTCTTGTCAACCTACATCATTGCTATAATTGCTAATGACAGATGGAAGGGGGGATCAGCAGCTTCTTCAAATCTTCACTGAAGAATGCGCTTGACAGGGTGGCTCAGCGCAACCCAACCGATAGGGGGCTCCATATCCCACCATATCCCACGAGATCCCACGTTCGCCACTGGCCCACCAGTACTGGTCATCAAATTATTAACCGGTGACCAGGTGTGATTGAACTTGGTTAGGTCTCAGACGGCCAGGAGGTGACCGCCTGCACCAAAACTCATCTAATTTGCCTCCTTTTGTACGTAGAAAATATCCATAGATGGAGGACACACGGAAGTCAGTGGAAGTTCCTGAACGAGAGATATGACAGATTACAAGTAACCATTGCATCATGATGCTGTAACAATAAACTATACTTAATGGACTATACTTATAAGCTTCTGCTCAATTTTAGTAGAGCCTTCTATCATGGAAGATGACAAGCATTCTAGATGATCATCCTTGCTATTCTCCGTTTTCAGTAGATCGGACCGTGGTCAAAAGGCCATCTTGGGCCCACAATATACGTACAGCGCGAACAAGCATCATGACATGTTTACAATGCAAGGTAGTCTCGGATCTCCTCTTCCGACAGTTTCCTAAAGGTAGGTTTGTAACGACCTGTCCCCTCGACCTTACCAGCCTCGAGTTCTTCCAGACTAGGCACAGTGATGATGCCAATCTCTATGGTTTTCTCAGTCATTTGACCTTCGAAACCCTCCTTCAAAGTCAGGAGTGCGGTGTGGATTGCGTCCTCTAAGCTGATGTCGTCATTGTATCTGTAGAAGAGCTGCGTTGTGAGTTGGGATGCAGAGAAGTCATGTTAAAGTTTGCTTGCCGTTTCTCCAGGAAGGTCTTCGCGTTGACCATGTTCTTTCCGATAGCGCTAGCCTTCCATGCCCAGAAGGACCCTGATGGATCGACTTGATATAGACTAGGACCCCGAGTAATATCCCAGCCTGCGACAAGCAGCGATACACCATATGGTCGAACACCTCTGGTTCCACAGATCATATGAGCCACTATCGGTAATATTAACTATTAACAATTACAAGCTCACCCTGATTGTGTTGCTTCCTGCATGATCGTAGCAATTTCTTGCGTCAGTACCTTTGTTGGTGGATACTCGCCGTGGATCTTCCAATATGCTTGGGCACTCTTCCTCGCTTTCGTCACAAGTAGCCGAAAGTCGGGTCCCATTCCAGAGTATACGAGGCCAATGTTTGGACACACGACAGCCACCTTCTCGATCATAGAGTCGTCCATGAGGATAGATGAGGACTTCTTCTCGGTGGCGATCACGATGCCATTTGAAGCTGGGACAATATCGTATGAGATTGTGCACTTCAGGGTAGGGGTCAATTATACCTTTAATCCCCAAACTTGTTGTCCCTTGCGAAACGGCGGCGAGGGCATGTTCGATCTGGACGAGCTTTCCACTCGGGGAGAAGACTGTGAGGGAGTAACTACAATGAACTCTCAGTATCTGCCGCGGCTACTGATTACACGTTTCACATCACCTGTATGCTCCACCTCCTGCACTGGCCATGTCGTTGTGTAGTGGGTATGTAAGAACGAGACGGGGTTATACAGAAAGGGCGCAATTGAAACGAAAGTGTTAGGTGAACGAGAGCAGCTTGACTGACGCGTCCGTACACGCGTCTTAGACGCCCATAATACACGTGAACCTAAGCTACTCTCGATCTACGCGGAGCCGGGTCATATTCTATGCAGTACTCCCACTCTCATATTGTCTAGGAAGCCGGACATAGATCCTGATAGACTGGAATGAAGGTTTTTATCTTCAGAATGTGACACTTTTCGTGATATATTGCAGAGTCTCCTTTCAAGCTAACCAACATCTTACTACGCTCTACACGGATTCTGACGCACGCCGTTCCTAGTTGGCAACACATCGCAGGTTGCCGTGGTCCACGGAGTATTCATCGAGCTCCATGTAGAAAAACGCACTCAGATCATCATGAACCTTTCGATTCTGCTCCAGGAGAGTCCTCTATCCGCGCATCAACTGTTCGTCACTCGATCCGTCCTCTATCATACTTCGTGCATGTACTGACAGGTCACTGCTACATACGTTGCTCACAAATGGCGCATATCGGATGGTGGTTTTGTTTTCAATCAGGCTCAAAAGCAGATCGACCTCAATACGCTTCTCACGAAAGGTAAGTGTCTGAATCGCTGTCAAGCCACTTGGCACGACTAGATCTGCTATCCGCTTATAGGACCGACAGTACTCTCACACCTGACGGTCCTGGCAATCAGTTGCACGAACTAGTCTCAGCCACATTACCTGTTAACTGCGAACCAAGCCAAGGGGAAGCCTTCAAGGGACCTCGGTCTTCTATGCACTTATTCACATTCCCGAGTCGCATTATTCGCTCATTCGCCGGTCGTCTTAGTAAAATAACGTTAACGGAGGTGAGTGGCTTACGAGAAGCTAATTGGTCCTGTAAAGTTGGAAGCGGAAGTGCCGTACATGTTCAATTGCTTTTGGGAACCGCTTAACCTAAAAAACTAGACCCCGTTGACGTATACACCGAGGCTACGTGGACGGAACAGCCGCCCATAGCTTCTCAGGTTGGACACGGCCGCCAATCAGGCGATACTTTTCTAATCCCCTTGGGACTGCAACACTGCTTACTTCAAGTGTAAACAGGCACCACAAGAATTGGTACGCTTCTATTCGGTTCCAATCCTCAGTGGGTACAAGTTGAGCTCGATGTGCGGTGTAAGCCACACCTTCGTCGGTACTTCCGATGATTTATTTACGTAGTGTTGCAGCAAGTTGGATGGTCCCTTATTACCTGTACTTTCGACAGATGGTTCCTTCACAGATGTAGTCCGCAGACAAAGTTTCTCAAAACACAGCAAACTACTCGACTGTTGTCCATAATACTCGCTTATCACATCCCCGTGATTCGTAAATCACATTCATTGGTAACTACGCTATGATACAACAATTATCCTTATATTCTCAGAATGTTCATAAGTTTACTCGACCTTGAGAGGCGTCGTCCTCAAGTAGGGCTGTCCGTAGGTGAGCATGATAGCACACTTGATAGTGGAATGAAAGTGCCTACCTTGTGAACAGTATGTTCTGGGAACAGAGTTTTGGCTTCCTCATTGGAGACGGTAGGGTGGACAATGACATCCTCGCCCTTCTTCCAGTTGACAGGGGTAGTCACGCGATACTTATCGCCGATTTGAAGAGCTGGAACGCGATCAGCACATGAAATACGTTAGGAAGTGGACGTGATGGTAAGATGTCAACTTACAATCAATGACACTGAACCAGTAACATCGTTTCAGCCACGAACTTTACGCTGAAGATCGAATGGAACACGTACCGAAGGATCTCGTCGAAGTTACGACCAGTGGACGCCGGATAGGAGATGGTCAAACGAATGACCTTCTTTGGGTCGATGACGAAAACAGTACGAATCTGGTTAAATTTGTTCGTTAATGAAACGAAATGTGACATTAAAAGTAACGAAGTACACACGGTGAAAGGAAGACCCTTAGCATCCCTGTTGGTAGCATCCTGCTCATCCAACATGTCGTAAAGAGTAGAGATCTTCCTGTCTCCATCGGCAATCTGTGATAATAGTAAGCTAAGCAAGATAATATGTGCATAATCAAGGGGCACCACGTACGATGGGGAATTCAACTGAAGTCGGGGCGACCTTTGAACCCCATTCATTGATATCCTTCACCCACTTCTCGTGGTCAGCAAGACTGTTGGCGGAGAGACCAATGACCTTGACATTGCGCTTAGCGAAGTCAGGGGCTCTGCAGACGAAGGTGAGCAGCTATTGCAGTAGTGCCCAGGAACGACGAGCATACCTCCTTGCGACTTCAGCAAGCTCGGTGGTGCAGACAGGGGTGAAATCACCGGGGTGAGAGAAGAGAACAGCCTACAGGAGAACCTTTGTGAGCGAGGTATTGTTCACGCACTATAGCAGACACATACCCAAGAATCCCCGATCCAATCATGAAACTTGATGTGACCTTGAGTAGTATCAGCCTCGAAGTCGGGGGCAATGTTTCCTAGACGAAGAGAAGGCATGGCGGTACGATAGGAAGCAGGGAAGAAGATAGGGATGAGTGCAGGCTTTGGAGGGGATTGCCGTGTAGACGCGAAACACTTGCATGATTGTTGCTTTTATAGATGGCAGAGAAGCCAAGTGGGACTGACGTCGGAACGTCGAGATGCAGTCTAGATAAGATCAGTTGGGTGATCATCGCGTCTTCCGTTCTCACGCTTGCTCTACCTGTGTTCCGAATTATTCGAATGTTATCCATTGCGACATGCGAAGCACAGAAAACATCATTCTTTAGTGTGAGCGAGTGACTAGCATCAATAGGCATCATGGGATGTACAATGAGCAGCTCCGATAAGACCATCGTCGGAATAGACACCCGTTGGCAGTTGCCCACGAATAGGCAACTGCGGGGAGCCATGTCCATAATGGAACTGACTTCGTGCCTGCATGGGAGAATATATATACTACAGGAAAGCCAGCCAGACAGGATCCGGTTAGTTATGATTATCCGCCCTGCATGTGACAAGTCAAACACAAGATACATAGTGATACAACCCACCAGACAATACAATGTCAATAGTATGCTACAGCATGAAGAAGACTGTGGGGGTGCTTCTCTCGGTGAGCCTGCAAAATCTGCTCTATCTCTTCGTCAATATCGTTGGTTGATTCAATCTAGGAGAAAGAGGTCCATGTCAGATGACGCGAGAAACACAGAGTAATTCTCACCGCAGTGGCAAGATCGACTATCGCCTTCCCTGCTATGTGGGCCTCTTCGTGATTATCTTTGATTTCCAAATTAATTATATGAACGGGCTTGTTGAAATCTCCACCTCGAGTCAGAAGATCTAACGAAACGATACCTCAGCAACAATTCCACGTTTCTCATATCATGAAATTGCACTTACCATCACAGACAGCGTCAAAACAACGCTCTTCGCAAGTTATCACGACGTCTGCCACCGTCCTAGTGTCCTGCCATCGCTCGGGAGCTACTTTAATTTTCCGATTACGATCCAGCATTTGAAGTAGACCGTTGGCAGTGTAACTATTGGAACGCGTGAATGAACACCTGGTTCACATCGGCATCTCTTCGTCCACTCACAGTCGAGGATCCTTATTGTGCAGTTCTTCGTAAATGTCATTGTATGGGGTACCAAAGGGGTATATGTTGGGCTTGTCTATGGCAGGACCCGGAAGTCTAACAGCAGATCCAGTTCCAGATGAGATTACACGAAAACCAGCTTTGCTATGCCATCTGTCAGCGTTATGGATTAAGAGAAAGGTACGTGACGAACATACGATAATACATAGTGTCCTTCCATTGATCGATTCTGCAGTCAATATTGAATATGTCATCGAAAACAAACAACGAATGGCGACAAGTTCCCACCTGATTGCTCGCGCAGACTACACAGAAAAGAGGTCTTGGCTTATAGATAGATGAATTATTTGATGGTAGTGATTGTTGTGGCAAAGAAGAAGCATCTTGAGCCTCTTGCGCTAGTTGTTCATTTGATACAGGACCAGATGAATATTGCATGGGCGGATATTGCGAGTATGAGCTTGTACTTGGTTGTGGATATGATGAGGTCGGCGGTTGTTGGGACGGAGGAGTTGGCTGTTGTGGTGGCGTTGGCACAGGTGAATTTGAGTGGGGTCGCTGCTGCAAGCGAGGATCCATACGAGCCAAACGAGGATCACGCGCCCTTCGAGGATCCATGGTTGTTGCTTGACGTTATGGGGCAGTAACTGACTTCACAAACTGAAAAGTCGTGTAATGAGCTCAGTGCACTTGGCAATGAAAATACAAGGTAAACTTCAGCAGTATCTAGAACATTTTTCTGTCTCCTTCTCGACCCAGCTGAGTGGTTACTTCGCAGGTCGATGCAAGATTCCACTCTGAATCATCACTAGAGTAGCTGAATGGAACGAAGCATAATTACCTGGTCTACCGTGGATGACAGTTTTGAACAAGCAAGATAAGCGCCTACTGCGATTTGTTCCGATGGCCAAATATGGCTTGAGGATAGACGATGTAGTGCAACAAGGGCAAACAGAGTGGTGACCAAAGCGTCCTGCATTTCCAGACTCGGACGCTTTCAAAGCGACCATCCATATACCTGACTCATGACTTAATTTATCCCGCTGAAGGTAAAGCAAGACACTCTCATGTTCCTCGACATACTCATACCTCCGCTTTTCCAGATGGCTAATCTGTCTGTCTTCCGTCGCGAACCAACAGCTGATGAGATTGCAGCGGCGGCCTCCGAAGTTCTCAATCATGAGAAGGCCGTCTCACAGCTCCAGAGCCAAATACAGTCGTTGCAGTCTCAAATAAACGCACTTAGAGCAGCTCAAGCGGACCATATCCGGACGATCAATAGACACAAAGGTGTCATGACCCTCGCTCGTCGACTTCCATCCGAACTATTAGCACGCATATTCGAGCGTTGTGTCAAGGACGGTTGGTATCGTGCACCTCTTGTTGTGTCTCAGGTATGTTCGCAGTGGCGGACAGCAGCTCTGGCACCGAGAGTATGGTCACGCATATACTTGAATCTCGATGATCCGAGTGCCATCAATAGGACAAGATTCTGGCTTAGAATGGCTTCTCGAGCACCATTACATGTCATCCTCCTCTCGACCGGGCGCGTGCCAGCAACTCAGCTGCTCAGAGCTATGGAACTTCTTCTGACCCATGCTCCCGAATGGAAAACGTTCAAATTTGAGACAAGCGGCTTTCATCATGTACAGCTGGTAACACTGTGCATAACCCAGTCCCATTCATATCTTCCCAAATTGAAGAAAGTGTCCATCACTACCGATACACTCCCTGGGGTAGAAATGAATGGGGAGGAGGAGGAAACAATTGATTTTGCAGATGCTCTTGACTCAGAACGGGCTCCGAACCTGATGCAAATCTCACTATCCTGCAAGTCTGTTCCCCCGTTGACCTTCCCGTCGCATCTGCATAAATTGGAACTCGCCATTACAGAATCTCCAGACTCACGCCCGCTTGCTGCGAGTGCGCTCATCGCGCTGCTAGAAGGCCTTCCCAATCTCACACATCTGTGCATTTCCATGCCGTTCGACTATGAGCGGGAGTATATTGACGACGGGGATCCGCAGGGAGTGACACTTCCCGAGTTGACGTCGTTAATAATCTATGGGCCTACCGACTTGAACGGGTTCCTATATTACCTTCATACCCCATACCTTCGTAGACTTCATCTTCGTTCTCTGGAGGACCGTGGATATAGACAAGATCCCATCGCACCCAGCCTTCTGCATTTCATTCGAGATACCTCAAGTTTCTTCTCCAGTTCGCCCATAGAGGTCCTCGAGCTGTACGACATTGATCTTTCTCCGGAGTATTTCGCTTCGTGCTTTCTCTCCCTGCCAAATCTCACTGAGCTTCGTTTGCACGAATCGTCTATCTCCGATGGCACGTTGCGGATTTTGCAAGCCGGAGGTGATGGATTGTCCGGATGTCTCTGTCCGAAGCTGTCCAAGTTAGACCTGCGGTGGTGCGCAAACCTCACTGGGCGGGCCCTGGTCGAACTGCTTCGAAGTCGCCTTCCGGGCGGCCTTCACTGTGGCTATCCTGCATATCCAATGCCCGGACAGTATTCGTATAGTGAGGAGCTAGTGATGTCTCCAATCACCGAGGTCACTGTCATCAACTGCTGCTACGTCGAAGAGCAAGACATCCTAAACTTAGCCGTGATGTCGCTGTGCCGAGTAGTCGTTAAGGAGACAGATTATTGTGGTAAGTCCGTGTCATTGACTGTCTCCGATGCTGCGACGTTCTCATGAATATCCCTAGCCACCCGCCGATGTTGTGGAAATGCTCGCTACCGACAACGGTTGCAAATGCGCCACCTCTTGGGTCTCCCCGCGGACCAGAAGGCTCAGCTTCGGCTCATTATATGATGTCGTGAAGGAAGACACTGCGTGTAGATTCAGTTTTTCTATCCGCAACTGGTTTCATTTTCCTTTTTTGATACCTTCGTGCCTGACATCTGTATCTGTAGCAACTAGAGTGGTCACTGCCGTGCGGGAGCAAAGGAATCAGATGTATATTGGATCATATCTTCCAGTATCTTTATTACCAGTTTGTTCCTCCTATCATGTATCAATACCAGCTTCGTCCTCGGATACATACATCGCGAATCATGCGTGTCTCAGTAATGACACGTTGAAAGCGGAAATACTAAAAACTATATGTTTCACGCCTTTCACCGTCCTTCAAGGCTTCCTCGAGAAGTGTGAAGTGGTATTTGGAAAGGCCTGCATCGACTTGAAAGAAGAGATCTCGTGTCTTCTGCGGAAAGTGGAAGGCCCTGATGAGATCGGTTTCTCTCCGTATTCCCACCTTTCGCAGCTGATCAGCTATTTCCAACAGCGCCGGATCGAGGATCAGTAAGAATGTGTCTAGCTTGTCCACCTCTGGTGCGCCGAATGACAGTGGTTCTGGTTCTACTGCCCGCAGAATAGATAACCCTGCACTAATACTTGCAGGCGACTTGATAATCTCCTCGAGACTTCTTGTTATGTCGTTGTTTATCACTTCTGCGTCATTCTCCGTTACTTCTGTGTCGGTTTCTACAGCTCCTGTGGTATGTCTGCGGTTATCGCCTTGGGTAGGCTCAGCAGACATTGTTGCACGCATAGACAACGCATAGTCTTGGACTTCCTCAGATTTGGGCGGCTTAGAAAGAAACAACTACGGTCAGTGGGGGCCTGTGTGCACATGAAGGTGGAAAGACACACCACAAACCGAACACGGCGTTCGGCGGATGTCTGTTTGCGGTTTTTATGTCTTTTCACCCTTGGCGGGCTCCCGCTTGAATGTTTGCAGCGATGAGTTGTTTGTCCGAGATATTTGATCATGTAGATGCGAAGAGGCCATTGGTCCTCAAATCGCATCAGGCGCGGGAATTGCTTGCAAACCTGCGTGCATGCATGCATGAGTGAGTGAGTGGCGGTATAGGAGATAGAGTGAGCTATCATACCGCTTTCAGGAATCTCTTCCAATGTCGAGAAGTTTGGCGACTGAGTGGTCTGTCCAGCTCCAAATGCTCCGCAGCAATCTTACGAACATCATCCTATGGACAACATGTCTGGTTTGCGATCATGTGGGGCAAATGACTTGAGGAGGTCCGTACCTTCCAGTCACTGAACCGCGTATACTCCATCCCGAGAGCTGTGCGAACCGCAGGCAGGTCAGCATTGAGGGGTCTGGGTATGAGTTTGGATGACATATTCGAGACACAAAGTCTGAGCAAGATGTAAGAGAAAGCCACTATCTGGGGAGGGAGGTCGATGCATGGTCTAAAAACCTCGGTCCAAAGTCAATACAAATCAGTTCATCGAGACATGCTGCAGACATGCTTTTCGGTTAGCTCTAGCTTGATGGCATACAGTGAAATGGCAAGTAACGGGTGAAAATATGTATTTAACGACTGATACGGAAGACCTAGTACTTTGGAATATTTCTAGCACTTGATCAGCCCCAGTGTGCATCACAGAGGTCTTAACTTACGTTGACTGACCTTACTACCTTGCAGTTGTCATATTGCATGGCTCTAGACTTATGTCAAAGAAACGAATGGTCAGAAATGCGCACCTGATGCGGATGGTTGAGGTGCAACACCAGTACTGTATTCGCCGCATTACCTTCGAAACTTTATGAGGCACGGTGTTTCCCGGCTTCTTTGTGGGCCGCTCGTCAAATGTCACGGTGTCTGGTATGCCTGGTCTGATACACGAGGGCGGACATGGCAAGCCCTATCACTAGTCTCCGTTAAACACGTGTGACAACGGTGACGAGACTATTCTTGGTACATTGAAGGTGATATGCAAGAAGGATAAGGTGGGGATCCTTGAGCTCGTTAGCCTCGGAGTTGGACGATCTGAAAACGCAGTTTACCAGAAGTTTACCTAATGTTTATCTTCCAGGGGTTGGATCCGACCGTTGAAGGCCGTACATTTCAAAATCTACAGGAATGTCATGCATTCGGAATTCTTGGAGACTAGAGGATCTATGACTTTGGCAAATGTGCTGTTAGCGGATGGTGGAGTCACGAAGATGGAGCATGTAGCTTTTCGCGGACTACAGCATATACTGTACAGATAATGGATCCATAGTCGGATATTGCAAACGTCCCTGTATCAAGAAGTAGAAGAATAAGGCATGTCCCACGATAGCTATGGATGAGTTACTGAGATTCAAACATCCTTTGCGGCAACTTTCGCGCGAAGCTTCCGAACGAGAGATCTGTGATGAAAGCTCGACAGGCCTATATCTATCCTGAATAATAGGTATTGGTCCGATTCTGACCATGACAAGGTCTCAAGTAGGCAATCTTGATCAGTGATGCCTGCTTTGAGAAGGCGACGAAGCAGTTCGTCAATGTCATCCTTCAGCTCCAGGCCATGAAGGAAGTCCCGAAAGACGGGAGCATTTATGTCCGCCTATGACTTGATTTGAGCAACCACAACTGCATAGCATGCAAACGTATCAGGCACATACTTGACTGCCGGGCATATTTGTCCTAGATGTCCTTGCCTGCAAGAAGTTAAGTCCGATAGTGGACATTGGCAAGAGCAAGTCTGACACGTACTCTGTTCTCAAGCATAGACTGACTTCGAGTCTGAAGGCCATTTTGTCTGGGGCAGCTATTGTTTCCAGCAGACTTGTTCTGGACTCGGAAGTGACCAGATGTATTGATATTCTTAGATGCTTTCTTCAAGCGCCTGACCTTGGAGCCTAGGTATCTCTGAGCAAATGCCTTGACAGGCCATGCATCAGGATAGCGATGGAGAAACGGGTACGCATCGCAAGCCTAATATGGGTGTGAGCTTCCACAAGGTGAAAAGAATGAACACAGACCTTGTTGACAAGTTCTTGCCATTTCTCCTTGTTTTGGTCAGAGTAGGATACGTTAGTGTCTAACATCCGACGTATCAGGGACTTCAAGAGTCCCTGTGCATTATCGATGTTTATCAACCATCATGGAGTTGTGAGGATTTTTAATGACGACATACCGTTAGAGCTATAAAGGTGTCATGGTCGTCTTGAAGTCCCATATTGAGCTGAAGGTCCCTCCTGATATCATGTGGAGGTGGTAAAATGACGAGAGTATGCTCTGCCATCATGAAGGTCTAGCGAGACAATATTGCGAAGCAATGAGTTGCGCTTTCGTATATATATGAGAGCGGAGGTTTTAGAAGTACCACGGCGACTACACTTTCACAGAAGTGACAATGCACCCTCCGAAGTACGAGATCATAGGGATAGATTAATGGTGCTCATATAACTTAATAGGGTGATATTTAACGGGACATCCTGAGATGAATCCTAGTTGATCGCAAACGGTGGAGTCGCCACCAGCGCTGGACGTCTGGACGGTGAATTCAATCAACCTTCCATATTGGGCAGGCCAGATCCTGTACTTACGCGTTCATTCAAGGACGCGTCTACCTTCCACCACTCTCTGTTCCTGTCACTCTCTACGCTGCCAACATGGTCTGTATATCGTCTCCATGTTTGAAATGGGGATACTTACGCGAGGCTTTAGTACAGGAACACTTACGACTCTGATAACACCGTCTTCTCCCCTCAAGGCCGTCTTCACCAAGTGGAGTATGCGCTTGAGGCTGTCAAGCAGGGCTCGGCTGCTGTAGGCTTGAGGTCGAAAACTCATGCTATTCTTCTGGCACTAAAGGTGTGCGGTTACAAGCTTTGACTCATTGATGTCGTCTTACATCCTTCGTAGCGATCAACGGGAGAACTTGCGTCATACCAACAGAAGATGTACCGAATAGATGACCATGTTGGCATTGCGATCGCTGGTTTGACTTCTGATGCCCGTGTACTGAGGTATGTCTCTGCTCTTTGGATGATTTATTGTGTGATGAACGTCTTGTGTAGCAATTTCATGCGGCAGCAAGCCATGTCCTCCCGCATGGTATTCAACCGACCGATTCCCGTCAATCGTCTCGTTTCCTCCATTGCTGACAGTACGTTTTCTTGTCAACGTACATTGTGAACAAGACTGATTTCAGAGCCCTTTAATCCAGAGGCGCAAGTAAATACTCAAGAATACGGACGCCGCCCGTACGGTGTCGGTTTCCTTGTGATCGGACAGGATAAGACTGGCCCACATCTATACGAGTTCGCCCCCTCCGGCAACTCCTATGAGTATTACGCCATGTCCATCGGTGCCCGGAGTCAGAGCGCAAAGACGTACCTTGAGAAGCATTTCGAGAGCTTCGCCGACTGTATGTCATTCTGCTTCACGATGGTTATGAATGCGCTGACACTCTCATTTTCTTACCACTAGGCACTCTAGAAGATTTGATTCGTCACGGTCTCCATGCACTTCGCGAATCGCTTCAACAAGACAAGGAGTTGACCATTAACAACACTTCTATTGGCATAGCTGGTCCCGCTAGCGTACACGAGAAAGATGTACCGGCTGGAGGCTCGTTCCGTATTCTTGAAGGCGAGCCTGTCGAAGTCTTCCTGAAGAGCATGGTGCCGAAGGAGACCGCAGAGGCGCAGGCGGCTGAAGCGCCAGCAGCTGAGGCTCCTCCTGATGGTGCTGCTCCTGCCCAGGCAGGTGACCAAGATGTGAGCATGGCAGAGTAGAAGTTTGGGCTTTATCTTTGTATTTCTTTTACGCTTGTAATGGTTACATTTTCATGATGCAGGAGATGTTGAGCGAGTGGTGTGCGTGTAATTGCGCAATGCATACTATACGAAAATACAGAATGGCGGGATAGAAATGTGCTACAATGTATGGGGGTACCCTAGATACCATAATGCAGGGATTGGTATCAACTGCTTCGTGCTTTGCGAGCATTCATCTGAGTTTGTCTCCAGATTTTAGCAGCAGCTCCCGGTCTCCTCAGCGAGACTAGAAGGTGCATCATTGTCGTGAGTAGCATCACACTGCCCGCTTGATGCATTGCGGCTAAGGAAATTGGTACCAGGTAAATGAGCGTCGATATACCCAGCAATACTTGCAGGTTCGCCATAGCGAACGCTGAGAGCGCCATTCTACGTGCTAGCGGTGGAAGTGCGGCACGAAGAGTAGGTCTCAGGGTCGCTGCGTAAAGAGCAGCTGTCGAAAAGTACGTTGTGATTGCCTGGCGGAAGGATATTCTAAATTTCCGGATACCAAAAAAACTGAACAACGTACCAGACATCTATGATCGAATTGCACAGTAGTGGGATTCTCAAAGATGTTTCTCCACCAAATATCGGACCCGTCTGGTTTCTTCGCGTAGAGCGGAGAGAAGAGTTCGTCTGAAGGTGGTGCCAGGCGACCACCCATAAGTGGGAATTCATTGTACAGGAGTCCCGCATCGAGTCCAGCAACGAAAGCGCCTGAGAAAAATCCACTATTAGCATACAGCATTCGAATCACAAGGGAGAAAGAATATACCTGAGAGCGCTGTAAGGAACACAAGTCCAGTGAGCACTTTCGAGTATCTCGCAAACCGCCTCACTGCCGGGTTCTCCAGGACACTCTTCCATACGGCGCCAGAACCGGTATCCTTCAACCCGCTCCAAACACCTTTCTTAGCCCACCTCCAGTCAGTGAGGATACTGATGCCTGTTGAGAACATCCCAGCATATAGAACGAATGCTGTTCCCAAATGTGCTGCAAGCCTGTACTGTGAAACGCGAGGGACTGCTCCTGGAGTCTCCAAAAGTGAATCCTCTAATCCGGATTTGACCATGTACCATCCGAGTGCTCCCTGGAAACCAATGAGAAGAGCGTAGAGCGATAGGTTCCTTGCTAGGGATCGAGGCAACATGCGTCGAGAGGCGAAGTAGACCAGAGGCACAACAAAGCCAAGACCGATGAGGCGACCTAAGACTCGATGTCCCCATTCCATGTAAAATATTGACTTAAATTCGGACAGTGAGATGGAATGGTTTATCCTATGAGGACATTAGCGAAGCGTTGAGTATTGGATTACCGGACATACATCTTGAATTCCGGGGTGGCCTTGTATTTCTCAAATTCCTCCTCCCAATGACTCTGTGTCAATGGTGGTAATATGCCTGCGATTGGACGCCATTCTGTGATACTAAGGCCGGACTCTGTGAGACGGGTGACACCGCCAACCACGATCACGGCAAAGACGAGGGCGGAAGAAGCCAAGAGCCAGATGGCTACAGAGGGAGGTGTTAGTTTTGGAAGAGCATCCGCATTCGCAGAGTCTGATGCTTCATTGGCTGCTAATGTCTCTGCACTCAGAACTCCTGAGGCATTTGAGGAGAAGAAGCGAGGGTCGAATGAGAGACGAGTCGAGGTTACTGCTCCCGATAATGACCTGCACTGGCTGCGTATTGTAGACAGAATACTGCTTTGTCCATTACGCGCGAACTTGCCAGCCGCGAATGCCGATAACCTCTGGCTTTGGAGAAGCGGACGCGCTTGGACGGAAGGTTTGTGAACACTCCGGAGAAACAGCTGTTTCTGCGGCCTCAGTGCTGAACACCTCGCCCAGAGCGACGGAAGCATGCCTGAATGAACGGCTGCTTGACCTCAAAGACTGACGGCGCGTAGACCTGCAATGAAATAATATGTAAGTTGTATTGTCTGGCGGGAATGACCAGTGAGGACACGGTGATTTGCCAGTCTATATACCGGCTTGGGCGGGGCGCTCCGCCGCGATTGCCAAACAGCGTTGAACAACTTTTGCCCAGCGCGAAACTGGTACTCGTCTCGGCAGGTCTCGATCATCCTTACATCCACCGCACTCGTCATTGAAGAGCTTGCAATGTCTCTTGTGTTCCAGTCAGTACGACAGGCTGTTAGAAGTTCAAAATTACCCTCGTTGGCCCGCACGTACGCGGCCACTTCTGTGCCAGCATTAGATGCCGGAGAACAAGTGATCTACAATAAATTGAAAGAGAAGTTCTCACCGAAGGAACTCAGAGTGCAGGATGTTTCAGGTATACACATAGATTTATTATCAGGTCTGTGCCCTATTGACCTAAAATAGGTGGATGTGGATCATTCTATGCTATCAGCATCACGAGTGATGCATTCAAGGGCTTACCTACCGTCAAACAACATCGTCTCGTAAATGAGACCTTGAAGAAGGAGATAGAGGGCATACATGGCCTTCAGGTAAGCCGTTTAATGGTGTATGATTTGCGAAGTTGACGGTTCTCTAGTTGAAGACGTCTGTGCCGCAGAGTTAACCGCAATTTAACCACGTCTTTTCGAGTCTCCGGCCTGTCATTATACTGACGGACGACATCATGTCGCGAGCGACATACTGAGAGTGTTATAGAACTGCGGTGTACCATGAGGAGTGGTGCTACATCTGAGTGGGGATCCATGCTATGTACGATGCACAAAACTATTGTAAACATAAAAATACTAATATACCAGGGTCATAATCCATGTACTCAATCCTCAGCATTCAAGAATGCATCTAGTTCGGCGTCAAGTTCCTCCTGCGTTTGACGTGGTCTCCGACCTGTTCTCCTCTCCTCACCCCTACTCTGCCTCTGTGGTGTTGGCTCACCTAAGCGATCCTGTAGACTTGCTTTGTGTCCGCCGACTTCCTGGTCTGGCTCTTCACTTGGTGAACCCCGAGCATTCCGTCGTGCACGTCGGGGAAGTGGTACTGTAATTCGAGACTCGAGTGACACAGGATGGGAACGAAGAAGGGAAGTCCTTTCGAGAAGAGTCTTGTCAACCTTTCTTCGTGATCGCACTGGTTTTGACGGATAATCAGCCTGGAGGGAGTCAAGTTCTTCATCTAAATTCCCCTTTTCCCATCTATCTCCCTCCTCCATCGCCTTCTGTCGCTTGCGAGCCCGTTCTTCAGTCTCTCCCGGCTTGCCAGCCTTTGACCCGTGCTTCTTATAAAACTCGCTTTGCTCCCAAGACCCCTTGCTCTTAACATCACCCGATGTTGCCCAGCGCAATCGAATAACACCCTTTAAACCTTCGCCAGTACCGAGACTCTTACTAATTCGTTCCTCCGGCGGCCATAAGTCCATGGGAATAGGTTTGGCAGTAAGAGTACCATCCCCTGAAGGCTCCTCCCCAGCGAATTTAGAGAGATATCGATATGCTTCGCGGGCAGCGTGCCGACTGGAAAAGACCAGGATACATGTTTTGTCGTCGATCCATTCGAGAGCAATAGGGTGCGAGTCGAAATGAGTCGCGTAAGCAAAGATACTGGATGTTGACAAATGTGATATCGGTGTCCCTTGAAAGAGAATTGCATTGTCTCGAATTGTAGTATTCTCGATGTCTAGATGCATGTGATATTCAATTATGGAACTTTATACATGAGTCAGGAGCAACCATACCCTCATCCATATCCTCCTCTGCATCGTTCAAGTTTTCGACCTCATATTTACGCTGTTAACGAGAACAAGGCACGGACGGGCGAGGGAATGAACCCAAAGGAAACAGATGGTCACTTCTTCATTAGGCCTTGCATCGCGCCTTCATGTACTGTTCTTAGCGCACCTTGCCCACTCTGGCCGCCAGGGCTACTGCATCAGAGATGAGGTAGACTTTGTTCGCACCGATTCGTTCCGCTAGAGAGGCACTTGCGGGTGCGGGCACCGTGACATCGACACTACTCGTGTCGACTTGTTCTGAGTATTCAACGGTGTCGTCGTATGACAGAGAGATCTCCTGGTTATCCAGGTCGAGTTCAACGTCGGGTGTCGTATCCATAATGATATGTGAAAGCAGAAGAGGAAGTCCAAAGTCAGCAGCGCAAGCGGCGAACCAAAGACGCGGTGAATGTTCAATGCTTCTTATTAGGTAAGCACCCGATCGTTGGCGTATTTTCCTTTTCGCGACCTTATTCAAGTGAGCTGCGCCTTGCTCATAAGATCTGATTCACTTTGTTTCTCCTCCTTTCCTCTGTTCTCACTTTGTTCTTGCAATATTGCTTTTATTTTCTACTGAACAATGTCTGAAGGCGAGGAGACGGTCGTAAACAAGAATAAGAGGCATAGGAAGGAAAAGCGTATGTCAGTGGTCATCCTGACCTCTACATCTCCTGCTAACTCTTTGAAACAGCATGGGATACAGATGATATTGATCAGTGTGTAAATTCATTCTGAATATCTGACATTGTTACTGACATGACGCTTGATACAGCGTGCGCCCATATTCGTACGAAACCATGATTTGTCTGCTGACCCTTCATACAGTGGAAGATAGATGAATTCAAACCTAAAGACAACAAGGCTGGAACCTTCACGGAGGAATCTTCTTTCGCGACTTTGTTCCCCAAATACCGCGAAAAATATCTGCGAGAAGTATGGAGTGCCGTAACGAAAGCTTTGGAACATCATGTACGTCTCACTGGATACTCTCTTTATCCGTTTGCTGATGCCTAATCCCTCCAGGGTATTGCATGCACGCTCGATTTAATCCATGGTTCCATGTCAGTACGGACGACGCGTAAAACATACGATCCGTACATCATCCTCAAAGGTCGTGACATGATTAAACTGCTGGCGAGAGGTGTCGCCGTTGGACAAGCGGTGAAGATTCTGGACGACGACGTGGCTTGCGATATCATCAAGATTGGCAATATTGTTCGGAATAAGGAGCGATTCGTAAAGAGGAGACAGCGGATAATTGGTCCGGACGGAAGTACATTGAAAGTGTGTTCTTGTTCCCAACTGTTGCATTACTTGAAAATTCTCAAGTCATGTAATTTATCTGCAGGCCATCGAGCTTCTCACCCAATGTTATGTCCTGGTGCAGGGAAGTACAGTCAGCGTAATGGGTCCACACAAAGGCTTGAAGGAGGTTCGACGGATAGTCTTGGATTGCATGAAAAACATCCATCCTATATACCGAATCAAAGTACGTTCATTCCACGTTTGACATGTGCAATTATTGATATACCCTGTATCAGGAACTTATGATCAAGCGCGAACTTGCGAAAGACCCCCAACTGGCCACAGAGTCTTGGGACCGCTTCCTACCTCAATTCCGCAAGAAACATCTCAAGACCTCTGAGAAGACGGCGAAGAAGAATGAGCGGTTAGAGGAGAAGAACGAGGCGCGGAAGGTTGCAGGCTTGGAACCCATTGGTCAACAGAAAGAGAAACCAGCCAAGAAGGTGTATACACCGTTCCCTCCCGCACAGCAACCGCGAAAAGTAAGATTAAATCCCTGGCTTTGACCCAGAACACCTTACCAATTTCACTTTCGTTTAGGTCGACCTTCAACTCGAGTCTGGAGAGTACTTCCTCAAGAACACGGAGAAGGAAGCGAGGGACGCTCGGCGGCGCAAAGATAAGGTGAGCACCAGAGAAAGCTGGTTCAATCAAATGTTCCCGCACCAATGGCTGACGATATTTCATTAGCAAGAAGAGGTTGCTGCAGAAAATCGGGCAAGACGAGCCGAGGTATTCGTCGCGCCGACAGAAACCGCTGCGCCCACCGTCGAAGAGAAACGAAAACGGAAGCGCGAGAAAGACTCTGAAGCTATGGCCGATGGAGATGGCGAGAAAGAAAAGATCAAGCGAAAGAAGAAACATAAGAAGTCGGAAGATGCGGAGTCTTGAGTCCCATCTTTGCTTACATGTATTCCGCATTCTTGACTGGTCATGTTCATTTAGTCCTATACTGTTGTTGTCGATATATCCAATTCGCTGTTCATCGATATTGACATCGTTTGACTCAGTTTCATCCGCACTCTCCGGTTGCACCCTCAAATCATAGCTCATGCCATGACAATCTTTGCTGAGGTTTGGAATGCAATAAGTACAAAGGACATGTCATATGACAAGTCGATTCCTGCTACATTGAAATCGCAGAAAGAAAAGGAAAATCACAGTCAGCATTGGCAAATGTAATAGCGCTGTTGTGGGGTACCGAACCTATGCCAAGGGTATTATTGTTCGGCCATACATCCTTCGTCCGTCTATGGGTTCGTCAACTACAACAGTTCCAACCTTGACGTAACTTTGGTGACAGCGAGTTAGTATGGGTCCTTGGGATGCTCCCAAGTTCCCAAATGGTTGTCCGCAATATCATCTTCAGGGTCTTCTTTCTGTATATGAAGAATAGTGCCTACGAAGCGTGATAATGTTTTTGCATCAGCTTCGGTGATGTTGTCACATGCATCAAATACAAGCTCCCGGATCGCCATATTGCGCTCTTTCCTATATTTCAACGCGGCAGACAACTCCTTCCACATTATGTCTTGCGCGAGACCTCCGTGGTTTTTGCCTTTGAAGGAATAAAACCAAATGGTAACTTTTTCCAACCGAGGAAAACAGTGGTCGCTTTCGTTTGTGCCAGCTTTGCCACCTATTTGACGGCTGCTCGTGAGCAAGTCAGGTAAGACATTCGCTGATGCCCCAGAAAGATCCAGAGTGCGAAGGTCATTCATATGGCCGAAGTTGTTTATAAACGTCCCTGTGGGCATGGGTCCGAGATGGGCTAAGCTGAATAACTGTACATTGGTTAAGGCAGGCCGCATCTGAGTGCAGACAGCGGACATAACAGGGATGAAATCGCGAGTTGGCCCAATGCATATATCGAAGTCCTGTAACTCCTCATTCCGAACTGTCTCCAAAGGAGGGACGGACGTGTAGGCGTAGATGGCGACATTATCCTCCAGGCCACGTTCTGGAATGATGGCCAGGCTGAGAAGGGGAGAGGGTCGTATTACGTGCTCCCCCAACAGGCGTCGGGTCAAGGAAGGCATCACTAGAGGTAGGTCTTCCTGCCACTCCATAGTACACACATTGAGGTAAACGGCGGCTGTAGAGGGTAGCGTGAGGCGGTTCAAAAGATAGACGCAACATATAATGTCCGATGTCAGCGCAAGTCGCTGCAACTGGGGCAGGGTCACGGATGCTTCTCCTGCTGATACATCAACTGATAGAGGGCCATCTGGGATCGGTAATAAAGGTAGGGCGAAATCCAGTTCCAGGTCCTGGAGTGAGGACAGTTTTTGTAGGCATATGATAACGTCGTCCATGGTGAAATGGGTGTGGATGAGGTGTCTAGTCTCGGTCATACGGATTGCCAAGTGCGTGAGTTGTGATGGAAACCGCCAACGCCACCACCGGAATGCCATATCCAACGTGCTGAGGCGCTTTAGTTTGGGTGGATTACTTCTGAGAAGGTGCTCTGTGAGCGAAAATGATGGTATGCCTTTCTTCCTGATCTTTTTCACCTCGACGTTGATTGACTCGAGGATTGGCGTGAGGAGCTCGACCCGGTAAGTCTTGCACGCATGACGCGCCCACTCTACGTATGTAATGATACTCAGCTCTTGAACCCTCTCCAAGTTCTCAAATATCATATGCAGGTCCTTCTTCAAATCATCCTGGTGGAAACGGGTGTGTTCTGATGGCGTGGTATCAATTTCCATCGATAGAGGTAATTTGCGGGAACGCTTCAAGCAACACTCGACGAATTCCGGATGAGGGTATCGTATGAGAGTCCAAAGGTTGGAATAGGCTAGAGCAATCTCCCGCCAACGATGACATGTATGTGTGAGGAAGAGGACTGCGTTGTGAGCGCAATCTTCATCTCTCATTTCCGTAAAGTTGATTGGAGGGAGCAAAAGTCTGCATTCCATGAAAATCATCGTAAGCAGGTCGTCCGGAAGCTGGGAGATGTATGCCAGCGCATTTATCTTTCTTCTGAGCGCGATTAGCGAGTCTTGGATCTCGCGCGTTTTCGGATCCGACTCTGGTTGACCATCAAGGCCCTTGAGCTCTGACTCTAAATCCAAAATGCGAGCGCATAGGTTATTTCGTCCACTTGATGAGGAATCTGTCTCAGTTTATGGTCAATCATGCACATGGCTGCCATGAGAGCTCGTACCGTTCATTCTGCATTGCCCGCGCAATTGAAAGTATGTACGGAGAGGCACTCAGTAGTCAAATCTCAGCTTCCGATTCGTAGCATCGTCGAGACGCTCAAAGGGAAGCAGTTGCCATATTTGGAGGACCTTACATGACTTCGCAGGTAGAGATGGTTGGCCGGCTCGAGCAATCTCAGGAGTCAAAAGTCAAGGACAATCAGCGCAAGGAAATCCGTCACAGCAAGCATCAGACTAACTAAGTATACAAGAGAATATGGAAGATCAACAACAGGAAAGGAAGAGAAACCAGTCAAAGCAATCCGGAAGAGCAAAATGGAAGGTAAACAAAAGACCGTGGGGAAAGCATCGAGGACTAAAACTAACAGCGAAACCTCTATGTGTGAAAAAAAGGGATCATTACTTACTCGTGACACATCGTACTAATCATGAAAGGACATGCGACAATCATAACAAGTGACAAGGCACATCACTTCTTCTCCTCCACCTTCTCCTTGTCGTTACTGTCATGTTGGAATATGTCCTTCAGCTTACCGAAGAAGCTGCTGGTACGCTTCTTTTTGACACCCAAGCGAGTGGAGACGGTGCTCTTCGGACTTCCAGTACTCTCGCCATGCTCCGAAACGTCAGCAGAAGACGTCGACTTGCGATGATGCCGACCCAAACTTGGGAATGGCATTCGCTTGTCCTTACTCGGCGTGGATGTCGTAGATGAGGTCTCAGCTGTTTTTCCCGTCTTACCATTGGTGGCTGGTGTGGTTGATAATGGTGCTTCGGCTGGAGTGGGCGGTGGAAGCGGAACGGCTGCAGCAACATCTGCAGTAGGTGGGTGGGATGCACCATTCACCCCTGGGCCATGCGTTGAGATACCTTCGATTGGTGGCGCGATCTCAGCAGTTGCCGCAGGAGGCAGGTTAGTGATTAGGGGTTGTACTGGCACTGGCGGAGGAAGGACAGCTTCAGGAGCTACACCAGGAACAACCTTTGGCTCGCTGGGTTGGGGACCCTCTTGTTGATCAGCCTTCTTCTTAGAAGGCTCAGTCTGCAAGCAATGAGACATGGAATTAACACAGCATCTAAGCACATTCTAGACATGATCTCACCGCTGTCGGTTGCTTCGTTGGTGGTGTCTCCACTGGCGTCGTACCTTTTGGCTGTTCAGGACGGGCGGGGGCGGTATAAACATTGTTGATGTTGCCTATTGGGTCAAGCTCGGTGGGTTGAGTATCGGTAGTCGTCCATCGACCATCAACAATGTACTTGTAGGCGATCTTCCGCCCCCAAGGAATCTTTACCGCTGCTTCAAAACCCGACTTTGTGCGCGTAAGATGAATGGTCTGCGACCACTGTGAGATGGAGGGTCAGTGTGACGTGGTACCTCGTATCTCGACTAGGGACATACACCATCGAATTCGCCTGTCACAACTACATCGTTGGCTTCAGGATGGGGCCTGTCAAATACGAGAAGTTAGATGGAAATCAGTATCTCACCGTGCCTCTACTTACCATTTCAACGTGGCCTCGTGGAACTCAGGGCCGGACATGACTGACGTTAACGTTAAACTGATACAAGGCAGTTAATTAGCTTCACTGGATGGAGATGTAATGAAGCACTTACGGATAGGAGAAGGAGAAGTGAGATGCCGTCGAAGACGGTGGGTAGGACGTGAGGGTAGAGGGTAAGAAGGGATATCGCGCGGACGGTGGGAGAGAGAGAAAGTCCTCTTCCATTCGAACTTATATGATGCGCCATTCAATTACGGCATGTGTAAGGCCAGGCGCGTATCGGCGTCACCCGCGGCGTTTCCCCGACCCGACGTCCTGCTTCACGTCCACCACCACGTCCAACTGTTCAAGATTTCACGTCTTCCCGCCATTCCCTCTGTCTTGTTCGCATTTGGACCCTATACCCCGTCTTGCTCTCAACTTGCATTTCAATCATGACAGTCTCCAAACTACTCATAGACGAGCAATTAGATACGATCGATCCTCTGAGACATCTGCTTCAAGACTCCGACGGTCTCGATGTAGCCGACATCGTTCCTGCCCAACCACCTTCGATACACAACCAGACCCTTGACCTATCTTTTGTATCTTCTCTCAATGGTGTCCCAAATCCCATTGTGATTAAGCTGGCCGTTGACGCTTCACCGGGCTGTGGAGGTATCGCTTGGCCGGCAGGCGAGGTATGTTTCATCACGAAATCTTCGCTTTGGCATGTTTGATAGACTATGATGCAGGTACTATCCGCGTACATTTCTAGACGAGGGTCGTTACAAGGTAAGAATGTCCTCGAGCTAGGCAGCGGCACAGGACTTGTCGGGCTGGTGGCGGGTACACTAGGAGCCCACGTATGGATCACAGACCAAGCGTTCGTTTCGTGTCTCTGCCATATGTATTACCTATCAACCAACAACAGATGCTTTAATCATTCAGTCCTCTGCTGGACATCATGAACTGCAATGTAGAGATGAACACTCTATCTGAACGCGTGAAGGTGCTGGAATTCAATTGGTCATGATCGCAATCCCTCTATGTACATCTCAATATTTGCTCATATATTACTCATCACTCGAGCAGGGGCAGCCCAATTCCTGAAAGTCTTCCAAGCCTCCATATTATACTTGCTGCCGACTGTGTTTACTTTGAGCCTGCGTTTCCTTTGCTGGTACAAACCTTGACAGAGCTAGCTATTGCGAATGAAGCAGAGATATTGTTCTGCTATAAGAAAAGGCGGAAGGTGTGTTCACCACAAGTACTGGACTGATTCTCGTTCTTTGCTTACCCCTGCTTAGGCTGACAAGAGGTTCTTTACACTACTTAAGAAAGTGTTCACTTGGGAAGAGGTTCGTCGGCTGCCGCCTTTTGAATTGTAAATGATCAAGAACTTTCTCTCAGGTCACGGACGATCCCAACCAAGCAATCTACTCAAAAGAAGCTATATCATTGTTACGCCTAATGCGTCGGAGAAAGTGAAGCATGTGAGGGTTATGTAGTTGCTTTGGTGTTCTTGCTGTATGGTTTCTGTAGAGGTTAAATCAGAGAGAAAACCGACAAGTTGTATTGGACAGTGGGTGGCGTTCAACCTGGTCCTCGAGGCCAATGCAAGTAGGCGCCCATAATAGAAAGCCCAACGCGCCCATTGTTGAGTGTAGGCGCCCATTGTTCACCGGCCCCGGACGCCCTCCGAGCAACATGGTCCCATCCCCTTTCACCACAGACTGGGCCAACGTTTGCTTTGTCGTCTCTTTGTCTTGACCGTCCATCCCGACAAAGCTGTTCATCTTTTTGTTCGGCCACATAAGAAACATATATAGAGTGTTCCTCAGAATCCCGCTATGGCAACTCCAGCAACTCCTTGGTTGTCAATGTCAGGCCGCCATACTGTCTCCGTCGGCACCTCCCTCTCTCGAGCCTTGAGGGCTCGTAAAGGAGGGGCGAGTACTAAGTCCTCTAAGCTTCCGGAGAAAGATTTCTTCTCATTTAGATGTGCGTTTGTCTGCCGTCTCCGCGTGCCACGGCTTACCTACGTCCACCTTGTTAGATAACTTCAAGCCGCCATCGGTCGATTCAACAAGGCCTGGCGTGGTTGAAGTACAGAAGGGAACAGATGTCACCAAAGTTACCGTTGAGAGAGCCAGTACACATGTGAGTTATATGTTAACGTTGTCCGTGGCGATGTGAGGACTGACGCCCCACAGTCCAGCGATGGAGGCCATATCTTTCTTGGAAAAGAGGAGCCTGCCAAAGATGTTGAATGTATATTAATTTGGAATGAAGAGGATGATGTACGTTTCTTTCGTTTCTTGTTTACCATCACCCAACCTATCGCTCGTTGGACTGTAGACCTTTACTCTGGAGAAACTTGATTCTACCGTAACATTGATCTATGATCGCAAGACGACTCATGGCCGTCGTCTATCGCGTATGTTACTTGCTTTGCCCCTATATGAACCTGCTCACATTTACTTCCATAGCTCCTGGATCTTCCTCTCGCCCATCAACGACAGTGTCTACACCGCCATACCAAACTTCCGCTAGCCGGCCAGCGAAAGCTCCTGCCCCGTCCGACGATCTCGAAGCAGAACTTAACATGCTCTTAGAGGAAGATGCGGATGGCGAACCAGAGGATGAGACTACGTCATTCCTGGTGTCCTCCGCTAACGCAGGCACTACAAAGGGTAAAGCACCAGCCAGAAATCTGAATAAACCGTCTACGAAAGCTTCCAAACCGTCACGTAATACTGCTCGAAATGTTTCACAAATGGAACAGGAAGAAGAGGACAGCGAGGTTGACAGGCCCCTTGCTCAATCGGTTTCGCGTCGTGTTCCGTCGACGACTAAGGCTGCGCCAACGAAACCACAACCAGTCAAGGCCCCTTCGCCGGTCAAACCTCCGTCGAGAGTCATTTCACCGCCTCATCCTTCTCTTCCTCCTAAGCCTCAGGTTTCACCTGTTGTCAGCAAACAAACTCCCGCTAAGATCAACAGTACATCAGTGAGTAGTCGCAAGCGTGACCGTCCTGCCACACAGGACGACGAAAGCATGCCCAAGCCGTCACCTCCCAAACGTACGAAATTACCCCCGCCTAAGTCATCGACGACCAAAAAGCCACCACCTAAGGAAGAAGAAGCGTTTGTGTTGGAACTCCCCGGCACTTCATCCATGCCGGGACTCCCACCTATATTATCACAACCAGCTGTACCTGTTTCGGAACCACCTGTTGAAGCACAGGATGATTCCGAAGAAGAAGAGTGGGACGACGTGATTGCACCCATAACAAATGCAGGACCATCGGTTCCTGTGGTTGCGCCTCCTCCACGTAACATCCAGATGGAGGAGATCGTCCCAACCGCATCTCGAACGGAAGATCCATACTCGCAAGTCGTTACGCTTTCAGAGGACGAGGATGTTGGCATGGACGACTTCGAGAAATCGCTCCATGAGGAACTCGATAACCTCGACAATATTGAGGAGGAGGATTTCCTCACTGCTGCTATGACAGCCTCTGCGCCAGAATCGCAGGGTGGTCGTCCGATGAGTCTGAATGAGCTGGCGGCTGCAGGAGCCGGAGGGGAAGCTGACAATATATGGGGGGACGATGACGATTATTCCAGCAGCGACGATAGCGACGATGATTAGCTAGACTTGCGATTATCTGTTTCTTCTCTTCTTTCATACTTTGTCATTATTGTAGTGCATTTCATACTTCTCTTACAGGACTTACAGGACTTCGGCGATACCATAATATCTCACTTATACACTAGACTGTTTTTCATACCCAACTCGTTTGCCCTGATGTATTGCGGAAAAATGTACACTGTACAAGTATGTATGTAATGTAGGAACCAAAAAGAATACATCGACCTAGGCGAGTCCGAGAAAAGGAAGTTCTACACGGCGTCATGATGATTGAGGATCAACTCAGTAGTATCACATAGTCCATTCATACGTTGCGTCCGTAGCAGCCTTCAACGCTGCAAATCCCGTCGTTCTTTTAAGAAGACTTGGGAACCGAAGCCCAACCGCTCACGCTAATGCTTCCTGACGCCGCGCCGCCAGAAGCAACGTTGTTGGAAGAGGAAGCTGTCGCCTCGGGGGCACTTGCACTTCCGCTGGCACTGGCCGCAAGAGCACTGGCCTCAGCAGGAGTGATGGTTTGAGTAGAGCTAGTACTCAACGCAGAGGCACTGGCGCTAGAGCCTCCACCGCGAGCGAGCTGGCCGATCATCTCGGGCTTGGTGTCAATGAAAGCCATGGTGGGGCCAGCGATGAGCTTGTCAGTTGCCTGGTCACGGACGTTGTTGTTCAATGGTTGTGCGTCAGAAGTGACGAAGATAGCGACGGGTCCGTTGATGCCGTCAGGCACAACACAGGCGGACATGGGGAGAACAACAGCGAAGGGGGCGCCACCGACGAGCATTTGGCAAGAGAGCGACTAATTACAAAGGCAGTTGAGTGAAACAATAAAAAAACGACGGTTGTAATTTGCTTACATCGGTGGAGACGCTGCTGTTCAATGCGGGAGACGAGAACGTAAGTGCAGTTCCGGGAGCCACAGTTCCAGTGTTGGTGATTGAAAGCGTAGGGTTGGCTGAAATTTGCGTCAGTTTACATATCCTTGATTGCCGCAAGAGTCTAGCTTACCAGGAATGCCAAGATCACACTCGGAGATGAAAGAGGTAGCGATTGCAAGGACTTCACTTGGGGTGAAGGCAATATCGAAACCGGACGGAATAGCAGAGCCCTGAGTGAGGATGTTCAAAATAGTCTGGTGACGAGCCTCGACGGTCAAAATAGAGCCAGCAGCTGTGAGGAGAACCGAGTCGGAGATGAGATGGGCTGCGCCAAGGTAAGCAGAGACACCAAGGTTCTCCACAACACGAGCGGTGGCAGCCATGGTAGCAACATCAGTCAATGCTGCGTCAAAGTTGAACGCGCAACTGGTTATAGGTGTACCGCCTTGAGCAATAATCGTTTCCTTTGGTAGAGGTTTATTTAGTACAACTTCAATTCTACACGGAAAAAGGGGAAGATACCTGGAGAACAGTCGTATGTATCGACTCGTCAATCTGAATGTTCGTGATTTGCTCAATAATAACTTGTGCGTTGCCAAAACCGGCTGCAATGAAGTCAGTCTCCTGGAACTTCGCAATCGCTTGGGTATAGAACTGGGTTTCGAATTGTTCTAGTACATGGGCGAATTCTATTAAATTACAAAAAGTCAGATTAGTGATTTCATGTCATGTAAAATGAAACGACATACTGAGCACGAGGAGATCAGTAGGGTTGGCTTGTCTCCTGACCGGAGCGGCAGAAACCAAGAAAGAAGCCACTAGGGCGACAGAAGCAGAAGCAACGGTAGAGAAACGCATTGTGAAAACTGAGTGAAATGCCGGATAGAAGAACCTGCTGGAAAACGAGTAGGACGGGTTGTTTAAACGAATGGAAGTCCAGGGGCGCTACCGGGCAGCCCTAAAAGATGCTATAGACAAGAATAAGAGGGCAGGGAGGCAATGAGCTTTCGAATTGATCCAAGTTGCTTTTATACTTACCGAGTGCAAAAGACCAAAAAGGGGGAGAACGAACGAAGGGAGGAGGATGTCAGACAAGCAATAGCCCTTGGCGACGACTCCTTTTATTCTTGATCGAGAGGATTTTTGATCCACCACATCCCATTACCTCGGGTCGGGGAGACCGGTGCTCCTCATCCTCTGAATTCCCATGGCAACATCGTAGAATTCGAAAACTTGGCCCGACTGGTGAAATCGTTCAAGAAGCATATATTTCTCGTGTAGAAGTCGATCCCAAAAGCCGTGTTTTTAATATCGAGCAACAGCAAGGAGAGCCTGCAAGCATGCATTTACATATGAAGTTACGTAGCATTGGCACACACTGACAGCAGTGCGCCATCCATCGTTCAATGAGACAGATGTTGCAAAGCCCGCCATCTGTTGTATCGCCAACTTTGATGGAGACGAAAAGCACACGCCCAGGAAAGCCAATAGGATTTCGAACATATATCACAAAATGCCACCAATCAGAGTTCAAGCGGAATCCTAAGGATGCCAACACTGACCCCGCCCAGCGGGACGCCAAGGGAACTTGACAGAAATGCGTACAAGGATCGCGTTATTTATTATGATGATTCGAACATCCCGTCTACGATTCTGACAGTGAGAACACCGCCTAAACGAGACTACCTTATAGATCTTCTTGCGCTAACCACCTTGACACCATAGCAAACGATTCAGCTGGTTTATCGTGTGGCACTGACGTTTATCCATCAGCCTCCGACAGTGATAAAGAGACAGAACAATGTTACCCATATGACCTGCGCCTCGGATCGTTGCGAATGTCAAGACTCCCGACTTCTTGGTTTCCCCAGCTTTGGTACCGTGCACGGTCCAGTCTCGCCATTCCGCCACATTGTATTGACTCTTCCCCGTCCAATCTAGTTTGTCTACCCAAAGCTTATTGGCAACCCAATTGCATTGCCAATCATATGTGCCAGCATAGATCAATACCCGAATACCCCTTTCGAGCAGTCCAGCCACGTAAAATTGGGCGGGTACCGCATACTTGTCCATGTGAGCGTTGAAATTCCGGCCCACTTCGGAGCTGCAGGCAGAGAAATTGTTCGGACTCTCTACCCCTAGTAATTGTCGTGTGTCCAGGTTGTTGAGATAGGCAGAGATGACCGAATTCTCCAGGTAACATAAGTCACCAATACACGGCTATTTTTGGCGAGATGTTTGGTCCATCACCTGGAATGGATACCATATTAAACAAACTACTGCTCACCTTCGAGATATCGTAGACATTTCGACCTATCAAATGGATCAGCCGGAGCGTGAGAGCCTATTTCCGGTTTACTGACCACTTGCCCAGTATCCAGTGCTCAGCTCGCTATCACAGAAGTTCACAGCGGCCCGACAATCAATTGAATCAAAATGATCTACACAGTTACGCTGCATGGCATTCAAGCAACGAGGAAGCTGAAGAAGAAAGAAAATTATAGTCCAACGAGTCATAAGACCTCCAAATCACTCACCGCGATCTTCATGCGAACACAAGTGCTGATATGCTGAAAGGGTACCTCGAGTGCCGCAGTTCCGCATTCTATCTCATAGCGACCGGAGTAAAGCCTGTGAGAGTATTTCGTCACCTTTCTCAACGTCCTGGTGTTGGCCCGCATTCTGAGACGTACGTGGAAATATCCGTAATACCGTTACCAATGAGGACACTTTGCAAATTGAGCGTGGATTGACCCCGAGCTTGTGCGAGGGCATTCTGGTCATAGATATAGCTTGCAAAGGAGGGCAGATACCTCCCCTTTAGCCAGCAAAGTATGAGTATTGCCATACCAAAGCCTTTATGGCAAGCTTTTACACTGTAAAATGCTAGAACTCACACCGTAGGATTCTCCGGAGAGGTGGAATGGTCGCCCGGAGAAGCTCGAGAACATGTCGAAGAAGATAGTGACAAATGCATGGATGTTTCTCGCGGCGTCTTCCGTCGTTTCAACAGTCTCACCGTAGTCGGCATAAGAGAATCCAACGCCAACTCTGGAATGGTTACTCTTCCTAAGTAGATAAAAAATACTCGAGTCGGATGCACGTACGGTTGATCTAGGAAGAAGATGTTTGCTTCAGAATTCCACGAGTGAGGATTCCAAAGGGTTCCGTTGGTAGATGAGTTGTTCATGTCGATACTGCATGGACCTAATTCGAAGGTAGGTGTGAGGATAGGCCAAGCGTTCTAGGTCCGTATCCGTACCTAGCTCCATGAGTAATCCCATAGCGGACGAACACCCAGGACCTGGCGGCGTTGCATGGAACGTGTTGTCTATAATATGAAAAGGACATTCAAGTAACTACGTACCACCATTAATCCACATCATAACATCATCTACACAACGGGACATCGGTTAGCACTGTACCATATTCAACGAGGATAGTTCAACCTTTCTCAGGGTTTCTGCGACTTTCGAAAAAGTAGAAGAAAAGATGTTTTGCGCCTTGGTCAACGTCTAGATATCCTGTGTAAACACTTAAAATGCAGACAGCTCAATGGACAACCAGAAACGGCGGCCTCCAGAGTCATACTTCACAGTTGGATCACAGAAATCCGTCTTCTTGATGCGGACTTGGTGGGAGGGAAATCGCGGATGATGCAACGCGGTGTAGTCCGTAGAACTGAGCGAAGAAAGATAAAGACTCTGCACTACGGACGTGTTCTGAGCGAAAGACAGCTTAGAAACATCCAGAATGGATTGGGTTTCAATCGCTAATGCAAGTCCAAAGCAGGCCATACCCGGGAGACCGTTCAACAACCTCATTTCCGGGCTGTATGGAGGGAAAGAAAGAGATAGACGTGCACATGTTGGCTTGTGTTATATCAGGCCACAGTGAGAGACTCGATGCACTAAATTCAGCTGCTATAATAGGTTCCCGCTAAGCGGTACCATCGGCCCGGGCCTTCATATTCTTCCTCCCGACGATCATGGCTCCTCGTCTCTGCGCACTCTGTGACAATGCCCGGGCAATCCTCAAGCGTCCAAAGACTGGACAACAGATCTGCAAAGAGTGTTTCTTCTATGTGTTCGAAACAGAAGTACACAATACCATTACACAGGCTGGTCTCTTTCATCCAGGAGACCGTATAGCTATTGGTGCTTCTGGTGGTAAAGGTGAGAAAATGGCATTGCAACAAACTCAATACATGGCAATTCTAAGCTGCATGAGTAGATTCCACCGTCCTAGCTCATGTTATGAAAACTCTAAATGACCGGTATGACTGTGGGCTTGAGCTGTTCCTCTTGTCTATCGATGAAGGCATAACGGGATACCGAGATGACTCCCTAGAGGTACGCTTTTGTTTTCATGTCCTGCGTCTTCGAATCTGATCCGCGTGTATGCAGACTGTAAAACGAAATCAACAGCAATATGATATGCCTCTCAAAATTCTATCGTACGATGAACTCTACGGATGGACAATGGACCGCATCGTCTCACAAATTGGGAAGAAGAATAACTGTACATTTTGTGGTGTATTCAGACGGCAAGCACTAGACAGGGGAGCTTCGATGCTACATGTCGATCATATCGTCACTGGTCATAACGCAGATGACATTGCTGAGACCGTCTTAATGAATAGTAAGTGCTCACTTTGTTTAGTAATGCCGCTCCTGTACTTATCTCATTTGTAGTCATGCGAGGCGACATCGCTCGTCTAGGGCGATGCACACTCATCTGCACTCAAGGGGAGGATACTATCAAGCGATCCAAACCCTTTAAATACGCATACGAGAAAGAAATCGTGATGTAGGCTTTATTCCCCCCTCATCCAGATATAGAATCTTACAGTGTTACAGGTACGCATATTTCAAGAAACTCGATTACTTCTCTACCGAATGCATTTATTCTCCTGATGCCTATCGCGGCCATGCGAGAGTGTTTCTGAAGGATCTAGAAGCTGCTCGACCAAGTGCTATCATCGATATCATTCACTCAGGAGAGGCATTTGAGGTGAAGAATGAGGTGAAAGCAACACAGAAGGCGCAGCGTAAGATTGTTTTCTACCTGTTAGGTACTCGGAACTCACTAATATGATTTGCATTCAGAAACTTGCAAGAGATGTGGTTATATGTCAAGTAACGAGTTATGCAAGGCTTGCACTTTGCTTGAGGGTCTGGAGCGCGGAATGGCGAACGCCGGAATCGTAAGCTTTGATAGTCCTGCTGGTTGCGTTCCTCACTGAACACGGTTTCTTAATGACAGACTGATCGTGCTCGCAAGAAGCTCGACGCTGAAGGACCGGCGCCAGAAAACCTTCGGACGATACCCATGTTTCATTTACCCAGCAGCAGTAGTACTGGCCCTTCCACCCCAATTTCGCTAGAGGCGCCCGCGTGACATTGTTATAACCGTCTGAATGTTTTTCTCGCTCATAAGACGTAGATGTCCATATATCAGGTCGCCAGTGTTCCAAGAAGTGTATCGATAGTGATTATGTATAATATCTAAGTGTAAGCATTATGTACCATTTCAGATGTCCTCTGGGTGTGCAGAAAACAAAGAAAAGCATGGAGCTATGATATATGTCTACGTGAGGTATCATGAGGTATCTGAGGTTGGCAGAGGAGCGCAACGTTTGAACGTGATAGCAAGTCGCCCTCACAGGTGGAAATGTGACGCAACCTGCGCATCATTGTGTGCTTCCGTTCTGTGAGTTCCCATTCTGTGCATGCCCGTTTTTCTTGTGCCCATTTTGCATGTGCCCGTTTTGTGGATGACCATTGCCATTATCGGCCTCTCCCTTGACGTTAACCGTCTCAAGTTTGGAGAACGACTGATACAAGCTCTCGCACTTGTCAAGTAAGAATTGGCTCTCCTTTTCGTGTTCGGTCCATTCCAAGACCGTGACGACCCCAACGCGCTCTCGGCCAAACCTGTCCGTTTCTGAACCGAACTTGAGAGGTGGAGGAATGCCTTGCTCTTCAGCTATCCTTGCGGCTTCTGCGGACTTGAGTCCCGAGGAGTATAGACTGCTGGTATATAGACCATCATAGAAGATTGGTCCCGGGGGTATAGTCGAATTCTCGGTATGCCGAAAGGTCATGAGATGAGTGGGTATGTAAAGCAGTGGGACGAGGGAAAGGTGTACTGCGGCGATCGCAGCTTTAAAGGGTGTTATAGTGTGGTTTGGAGAACCACACCATCGCACCTACGGGCATAGAAGAGACAACGTCAATGGAAAGGCTTGGAGACAAGACGACTGCAGCTACTGACAATGTAGAAGACGAACAACTTGATAATTTCCAAGAAGCTGTAGACAAGGTCTTTGGTCATGTTGCTTTCTGATATACCAGGATGGACAAGGATGTGTCTGAAGGGTGAATCCCGCCCTATGGATGAAGCAAGCAAGGAAAGCCGCGTCGCAATGAGATCTATTTCATACTTAGACGCTTCATAGGACAGGGTGGACTTGATGCATTGCCAATCATCGTGATTATATGCAGCAGGGGAGGCCTCTAGGGAAGACATCCATAATATACGCGCAGGTTGGGCGTAAGTCTTATGGTACAAGACAAATGAAGGTTGCAGGTGGCGGAACTATCGGATTGGTCAGTTAATAATCGCAATGAAACGACATTGAGCGCAAGCGTACCAGAACATAATGCGCAAAGATATTACATTGCCATACAAACCCGAGCCCGTCCCCACTCGTACGCCCGTTAAGTTGCTTCTTGAACTCAGTTACCGTAACTCCAACAATTGGGTGGCTCAAGACCTGGTGTATCGCTTTAGGCCAATTAATACCATTGAAGGTGCCGCACCCTGCGTTACATATGAGATGGGAGATGTAAGGATACCTATAATGCGATGAAAAATACGGCGGGCGGCTAGAAACAGGTGTCAACGTACTTTCGAGAGATCACGTTGGCAAAGCGGAAGACTGAACGGATGTCCGACATATCTATAGGAATGAAGTCAAGTTCCAGATTGTCTCTGAATTCGTCCGCGTGTCCGTCATAGTCTGGTTTCCTCTGCTCCCTAACAACGTGGTCATCGAGGAGATCCAACAGCTTCTGGCGAGCATCCATTGCCCGTGTCTTGCTCCTGCATGCCATAATGATAGTGAGGGCATTGCAGGGAGGAATACCCTCAACATCTCCGGGTGAAGCACTGGCATCCAGGGGTAGAAACTGCGGCCTTGCATCTAATGGGTCGGATGTGGAGAGTTGTATAAGCAGTCGATGACATATACCAAAACCAATCCCACTGCAATTCCAGAGAACAATGAGATTCTCGTCGGGTCAAAAGTATCTCGGAGGACGCGACATACCTATTCGCGCCAGTTACAATAATAATCAGCCGGGGACACGACATTCTGAAGCTTGGGAAGGGTGAAGGAAATCCCTTGGGAGTCTTGCGAGCATCGTACGTGAACGAAGTGGATTTTATTTAGACGCCCTCATTGCGTCTAAATTGAGAGTTCACATTGCTCACACGAGTAGTAGAAACAAAAGTGAATACTGCAAGCAATAAAGAACAAAGTACAATAGATGGAAACAAGATAGTAGACACGAGAGTAATATCACACAATCATGCCTCAGACTTCCGCTTCTTCTTCTTAGATGACTCTCCGTCGGCCTCAACAGCAGCGGCTTTTTCAGCTTTACGAGCCTTTTTCCTCGCTTTGCGTTCTTCTTCAGTCTCACCGTTGTCCTGGAGAAGGAATATGAGACAACGACATACAGTGATCGTGAGGGGAGGGCCTTACCTTGGGTGCGGGATCTCCGTTCACCTCACTCTCTCGCCGCTTCCTCTTCTTCTCTTTCTTGTCACCGTCAATCTCCTTCACAACTGCCTTCTCGTCATCACTTTGCACCCCCTTCTCTGCCTTCCTCTTCGCCCTTCGCTCCTCCTTGGCCTTCTTCTTTTCAGCCTTAGCATCCAACACGGCCTGAAGCGCCCGCTCCGCAGGCTCTCGCTGAGTAGGCACCAGGTCAACATCATCAGCAGCAGTGTTATACGTCTTGGTCTCTCCCGACATCTGGAAGCGTTGCTGCCTGTTGCCATTCTGAGCAGATCGGATGCCGGAAGCATTACCGCCTTCCTCTAAAGCATGGAGACGGGCTTCCAACTTGGCACGGTTCTCGATACCTATTGAAGGAGCCAAAGGTTCAGACTTGCCGTCCACATCTGTCAAAGCGTCCACACGGATCGACAAAGCAGCTTTTGTTGCGACCATACGCGCCATCTTTGACATCGAAATCGTCAACACCTGCCCATATCAGAATCAAGGATTCCAAAGCACGTACCTTGCCCTTTAGTTTTGGTGGTGCTTGACCAATCAGCGATGCCTGTGCAACTACTGTCAGTTTTTATCGAAGGAAAATTGGGCTGCACAACACGCACATGGTAGATCAAACCGTATTTGGGCGTATCGTGCTTCGTCTTCAAAGCGCGGAACAGTGCCTTCTCAGCACCAAGAATCTGTACGGTACTGGCGGGATGCTTGGCGAGGCTGAGAAGACTACCAGCGTGGCTGATTAACCGTGCACCAACAAGTTCGCCGACCAGAGCAGTGAGATTAGGTGCAATAGCGTTCATACGATTGCGAAGGTATTCAGCAAGCTGTGTGCGGTAGGCGGATATCGAAACGACTTGATCGCAAAGTGCATTGATGTGCGCAATGTCAGAGTCAGAGATTTCGGTACCCATGGATATTTCTGCTGCAGCCTTCACGGTAGCCTCGAGATCTTCGGGCAAAACGGATGAAAAATCAGTGGTGGCGGCGTTGGTACGGAAACCTGGAAGAAAGGCGCGTCAAGGCCGTTCAACTATGCTATCGAGATGGTAATTACCCATTGCCTTAATGACTTTTGCATAAGCGACGTTGTCGACGATGATTTTGGCGAGTTCGGGAAAATGCCAGCCATACCATTCCTACAACGAAAGGATCAACAGGCAAAAAGTAAAGAAAGGACGAGCGCTCATACCTTCACTCGCATGGCATAGATGTTGATCTCCTTGTCGAGGTCGTCCAATAGTGCAATAGCCTGGACGACCATAGTGTCAACTTTGTCGGGGGAGAACTTGAGCTTGAACCTGATGCGCATATGCCGTAAGTGCACGATTCTCTGCTTGACGCATGAAGGAGCATACCGTGATAATGAATGGCTTAAACCTAAACTCATGGTGGCCAAATCCTGCGGGTCGAGGCCGTCAAGGAGGGCCGCCAGTTGTGATCGAATACCACGGAACAAGTCACTGGAAGCATGAGGGACGATTTTGATGCCCAGTTTCTTGCTGATTGAGTGTCCTGTGGTGAACATCTTCACATTCAATCGTCGCTCAAGCGGAAGATCAAAGGTTACACACCAAGTTTGGGGTCAATTACAGCCAACGATTCCTTTCCTTTTCCTTTCCCAACGACTTCATCTGAAAGGAATTGCTTCAATCCTTTGCCAAGTTTGCTTTCCTGGATGGCCGTAATCTCTTCGACGGCAGTTGCTGTTGAGGTAAAGCGGTGTATTGACTTTAGTTTGAGACTTGATAACGCAACAGAGAATCACACGAGGTTCCAACACACAGTGAGTACCCTATTCCGAGAAACAGAATGAACTCGAGCGTACAGTTTATTGGCTTTCTCTGGCGTCTCGAAATCTTCCCAGACATCCTCACTCTCTGCTTTTGCCGAGTCCGCGATCTTGAAAAGACAGTAGCCCAGAGACGTCTCGTATAGGACGAGCATTTTTAGAGCAAGAAATGAAACAGAGGAAAGCAAGAGATAAGCTGGGCCAACAGAAGTTTGTCACTGGGATGGTCAACGATTGAATTCCCAGAAATTTTGAGAGTCGTGGGAACATACCCTAGAAAGGCAGTTTGATGGCTGATGAAGTGATCGAAGCAAGCCCCGATCATTTCTTGAGTATTCTCCTCTACTTCACTGTGTTGAACGGTATCTCTCCAACAACAGCGTCAGACAATGCCTAGAGAACACAGGAAGCGCGGCAAAAAGCAGAAGAAACAGGCGAATACAGAAGACGCTTATCCTCCTAAACCTGTCGTAGATGAAGCTTATGACCAAAATGAAGCTGGGCCTTCATGGATTGTTTCGGCACCGCGTACTAGTTCCGAAGTCAACGACGAAGCTCCCTATGGATACGTCGACGCTGAGGTCAAGGCATACTTCCGTACTGTAGATCTACAAATACGTGATTGGCAGGAGAACGAACACCAGGCAGAGGCTGAGCCAGACGCAGACCCCAATGAAGGTGAGTGTTATTTTGTATCAATTTGTTCCACTTCCTCACGCTACAATCCAGACAGACGTCTCTTCTTTGTTGCCGCTTTAACTGAAATGTCTGATAAAGAGAAGCAGCTTGCAACAGATCCAGATTGCTCTGTCGTCTTAGAGCGGATGATTTATTCCATGGATGACTTTGCACGCAGAGTGTTCTTGGACAGACTCAGCGGTTCGTAAGTGTACCTTTTATTCGCCAAAGGCGTACACAACTTAACCGGACTATAGCCTGGAGACTCTCGTTAAGCATAGGTTCGCATCTCACGTCTGCCAGACATTATTCGCAACTGCATCCACGACAATTGCTCGAGAAGTAAGTCTAAATCTTCTGCGGTCGTCTCATATCTTGAAATATCTATTCAGTCAAAAGGAATATTTCCTCCATCTTCGGACTCATCTGAAGAGGGCGAACTGAGAACTCTGACACAGTTGATTCTGGATGCATGTGAAGTGCGTTTCGCGTCTTGGCTCTGCTTCGCCCATCACTCACATATGTGGGATGTGTAGGAATTACTTCCAAGTATCCCTTCGCTTGTAATGGATCCATTCGCGTCGCACGTATTACGAGCGTTGTTGAGTCTACTTTGTCCCACCATTTTCCCTCCAGAATCCTCGCATAAGCCTTCAACCATGCGTTCCAAGAAAAGTGCCGCATATAAAGCGAAGCAAGGCCCCTTGAAGTCTGTTTTTACGAATGATGCCGAATCGCAGCTGGTGGGACAGACCATTGTGCCGAATGAGTTCTCTTCAATAGCTGCACAATTTGTGACAACTCTACGGGATCGCCTGGATGAAAACGAAGTTCGCGTATTGGCTGCGAATCAGGTTGCTAGTCCCGTCTTGCAAGTGAGCCACACTTCTTGCCTTTCAGCTCCGCATGGTCTTACTCAGTTCTGCAGATGCTATTGGAGGTGGAGGCAGACAAAGAAATGGCTGATGAACCGGGTTCAATAATGGACCGTGTCCTGGCTGGATTGATCTCTGCATTGCGTAATTCAATTCATTGTTTATTACTTTGCCATCTCCTCATGCTTCTTGGTTTCCAGACGAAGATCCCACTGCTGTACCCGAACCGTCCGACTACGTTGGTACTCTCTTACGTGACCCTACTTCATCTCATCTTCTTGAAACTTTGATATCTCGTTCCCCCGAGCCCGCGTTCAACGTGGTATGGGACACATACTTGAAAGGCAAATTTGCAAGATTGGCAGTTCACCCTGTTGCCAATTTCGTTGTGGCTAAAGCACTCGCTCGGGCCAGCCCAGCCCAGATTTCACAAGCCTGCGAAGAAATCAAAGCTGTAGCAGGCAAGATCCTCAGTAGGCCATGGTTTCTTCTATCACTCCGGTCTCTCTTACTGATTGTCATGTTTGCTAGAGGCTTCGCGTATCGGTGTATTCCGTGCTCTGGTAGATCGTGCCGCGGCCTTGCATTCTCAGGAATCGATTGTCATCGAAGTATGTTCGTCGCAACTATCTTAGGTCTTCGGCTAACTGAGTTTATTGCCTATGTCCAGTGCATAACAACGACTTTTGAGCTGTCAAGTGAAGACGATTACAAATTAGCTGTGCCTTGCATATTGCGTTTGCTGCCTGCCAGTGTGAGTATCTTGATATTTTGATTCATTGCAGCAGTCTGACACTACAATAGGAATACCGTGTAGCCGTGGAGAAGGCCCCAAAACAACCCGATACTAATGAGCGTCAAGCACCGAGGAGAAGGAAAGAAGCAGAAGATCCAATGGAGCCTAAAACGCAGGGTGCTGTTCTCCTGCAGTCCATGCTTCGCTTGGAGTCTCCCTACAATGAGTTCATTGTGAACAGGTAAGTATCAGGGTAGACTTCCCATGTCTCAATACATGCTGATATAGATTTCCAGCATTCTGTCGCTCCCGATGGATGAACTGTTGAATATGGCATATCACGTCACTAGCTCTCGAGTCCTCGACGCACTATTGGATTCGCCTACCGTTGCCTCTAAAAGCAAACGCAAATTTGTCCTGTCTCTGATTGGTCACTACCATGTTCTGGTCAGTGACAGGATTGGAAGTCGAGTTGGGGATCGTTGCTGGGATTTTGCAGATCCATATCTAAGGGTTAGTATTGCATCACATCTAGGGCCTCACCTTCCTAACGATACATGATCATCGTAGGAGAAGATCGCTCGCTCACTCATCCCTCATGAGCATACACTTGCAGGATCGTTCTGTAGCAGATTTTTCGCTCGCAAGCTAAATTTGCATCTGTTGCAACGAAACGTGGATGAATGGAAGGATATGCAAACGAATAGTAAATCTACCGAACAATCCAAACCCCAAGCTCCTGCTTCAAGAGTTGCATCGGCGCCAGTACCGCCAACGAACGTTGCTGAAGAGCCCTCAACGCACAAATCTCAAAAGCGCAGGAGGAAGGACAGAACAGAGGACGAAATTGACGAACTCTTCGATACAACTCTGGGCAAGAAGATCAAGAGGGCTGGACTTACGGATGTAGAGCCAGCGCAGGTCAAGACCAAGTCGTCTGAAAAAAAGAAGATTGTGGAGGAGGTGCGGGACAAGGGGTTGAAGGATATTCTGGGTGCTATCCGGGCAGCTCCAAAAGATGACAGGATTCATAGCAAGAAGAAACGCGCGAAGTAGTCGGCAGTTCTGGAGTAGGAAAAGTACTGTACTGCCTATACCTCATGTAATGGCTTTATACTATTGTGGTCACCTTGCTGAATGTCACGGTACAACAGGCATGGGATTCAATGAATCCCGAGATAAATCAAACGCTAAAAGCTACAAGCTCCTACAACACGGTCTATACACAGAAAAAGAGGTATCTAAAGTCTTAAGACATGTCCACATCGCCGTCGGCGTCTGGACGAGGCTCTCCTCTGACAACAGAGTTAACCAGCTCCCTTCGTACCTCAATGCTGATTTGAGGGTGTGGATTTGCTCTGACTACATCAAGTAGAGCGTCCTTTTGATCTGGTGTAAGATCGGAGGAATACCTGCAAGTGCACATGGTAAACAAGAGTGTGAGGTTGGATATTGATATTTCCTCTTACCGTTGACAAAACACTAGAAGACTTTGGTGCCAGAGGACAGGTAGTCGATCGACATCTCCTGGTGCACGAGCCTTGTACGTATTCGAAAGTCGAATGTAATGGAAGACAAGCGCGTCGACGACTTTGTATGGAAGAGCGTGCTTCTTGTCAAGAAGAATTCGGATGAATAACGAGTTGGGTCCTATGATGAACTGAGAGTGAGCCGAACAGTTATGTTCGAGATTCGATCAGAACTCACCGGAGTACTCCATGTTCGCAAGTCGAATGAGGGCAGCAGATGAGTGTAGAAGCGGGACTTTCACTTTTGCAAGAACCGAGGCGATAATGGCAGCCTCCTGCAATGTGCAACCTGACTGCTCAAGGCTGTTATGGTGATCGTCCATCTACGAAAGGAAAAAAAGATACATACGTTCAAGAGCGGGAAAACAATTCCCTTAAAGAAAGCAGCAGGTTTGTACAGTGCTCTCTTCAAGGCCTCATAATAGTGCACGTTCAATTTCCGGTTGTTCTTGTTCCTTCGTTGACCCTCCTTTGTCAAACCGATGTCTTCACGAATGGCATCAAGTAGCACGCCCTCAAGGAAGACACGTGCTTGTGGAGGTTTCATCTGAGAGACAAATATACGGGTTGCAGCATAGCACGCCTGAGGTGTCCAGTTTTCTGGTTTTGTGAGCGCAAGCATTCGGGCCCATGTTGGAAGGGAGGGAATGATTTTGAATGGCTTAGGGAGTGGTCCGGACTTGTAACGTGAAAGAACGAGTCCGACTCTAAACTTGGGATATCAGAAGGGAATGTTTTGAGATAGCTCTGAGCTTAACGCACTTTGTGTATAATTCGACAACCTTGGGATTCAGACCCAAAGCAGGATCAGGCGGTCTGCTGGGATCTGCGTCGAGAATAGTGGTCAGTCAGACTCATCATGGAACCGACGGTAAGTCTCGCTACCTTGCTCAGTTTTTTTAATCACGGTAGTCTTCTCTGTCTGCCCGCTTTCAAGCTTTGCAAATATGATATCGGCCAACGTTCGACGCTCTCCCGCATTTGACGGGAGAAGTGCATCAAGTGTTTTGAGGTCGCCTTCGTCTATTTCCTTGATAAAGAGTGCTTAGCATGCACCGGGATGAGATGCAAGTATAGAACACACAATCTCCTCAATCTCTTCCACTTCATCTTCGTCGTATTCGCCCATGTCATCCTCATCCTCATCATTCACGCCTTGGCTTCGAGGTACAGTGAAAGCCGTCCGGTCATCGAAGTCATCGTCCTCATCACCTTCCGAGGCCTCCAACTCTTCCTGTTGGTCCCTCGCTAGTTCGAAGATTCGTCTTGAGGTTTTGGGGTCTAGAATGACCTGTGAAAATTCAGATTAGGATAGAGCGATGGTGTCTCAGGTGATATGTACACACCTCTCCATTTTCCTCCTCATCTTCATCTGCCTTTGATTTTCTGCGCTTGTTTGGGCGAGATAATTTGCCATATTTCGCATGTATCTCGTCCTCGCCGAGTTGTACGTGGAGGGGATCGTGTCTGGACTTGCCAGAAGCCTTTGCAACGCGAGGCATACTGATGAGAAGCTTGGAGAAGGAGGCCGGTGTGCGAGTAGAAATTTCGCGGATGTGGATGGGGATTGGATGGGTGATCGACCAAATCGGGACTGATGGAATGGAGGGCACGGCGTCAACGGCGTCGAAAGACAGAATAGCTCTCCTTCTCAATCAAATCACCCCTCCAGCAAAATATTAACTTTAGCTTTTCCCGCGAGGTTTATAATCCCCGTCTTCCACAGTTCAAGTCTCATACTCTCTTCTCTTCTCCTCTTGCTAGGCCACCCAGAACATGTCGTCCCCTCCACCGGTCAGTGCCATTTCATCATACACGCCCCTGCACTGCTTTCGTCCCGCAGCATGAGTATTTCACTCACATCCATCTTTGTGTCTAGATTCGCACCCTCGACAAGTCTGGGAAGGAAATCACATCCGTCGGCTTCCAACGCTTTGGGTTCGACTGCGAGGTTAGCCTGGATGTCTTGAGGTCCCTATACTTGCGTCCCCACTACGTAACAACTGTCGCTTCGAGCGATTCTACCCTTGAATTGGATGCCAAAGAAGAACAGGATCATGCTAAATTCACCCAAGGGCACGCCGCCTATCAGTCCAAATCCATCTACCATCCCGATACTCAATCAATCTCTTACACCACCCTTTCTCGCTTCCCTCCCGTTAGACTGCTTGCCCCTTCTCAACGCAAGCGAATTCTTATTACAGGCGGCGCAGGTTTTGTTGGATCCCATCTTGTTGACCGTTTAATGATCTTGGGCCACGAGGTCACCGTCCTTGACAACTTTTTCACCGGTTCCAAGACCACCGTCAGTCATTGGGTCGGCCATCCTAATTTTGAAATGGTTCGACACGATGTCGTCGAACCATTCATGATTGAATGCGACCGTGAGTAATGGGCGTTATTTTTAGCGCAAAGATGTCAACTAACCTTCTGTGCGTCTTCTCCTATTACAGAAATATACCATCTTGCCTGCCCAGCCTCGCCTCCGCATTACCAATTCAATGCCGTAAAAACCATAAAGACCTCTTTTATGGGAACGCTGAACATGCTCGGATTGGCGAAGCGCACGAAGGCGCGGTTCCTGATCTCTAGTACTTCAGGTAAGTTCTGTTTATTAAAAGCTTATTGATAAATCCTTTGACGTGTTACAGAGGTGTATGGTGACCCTGAGGTTCACCCTCAACCCGAAGACTAGTGAGTATTTCGTGTCTAGTGAAAGGATTTTCGCTCACCATTTTGCCTAAAGCTGGGGTCATGTGAATCCTATTGGTCCTCGTGCTTGCTACGATGAGGGCAAACGTGTTGCAGAGACCCTTACGTACGGTTTCCACCGTCAAGACGGTGTCGATGTTCGCGTCGCACGTATCTTCAACACTTATGGTGAGTGTCCGGAACGCATACATACGTCTCTATGCGGATTTTTATGTTGTTTTCATGATCAGGTCCCCGGAGTATGTTAAGAGATCCATATATATTCTACGGTTGTAGAGTCTAATCGCTTTTTAGTGAACCCCTTCGATGGACGCGTTGTATCCAATTTCATCGTGCAGGCTCTTCGAGGTGAAGACATGACCGTTTACGGCGACGGAAAGCAGACCCGCTCGTTCCAATACATCCACGATCTTATCGACGGACTTATTGCTCTTATGAACTCCGAAGAGACCCGTCCCGTCAACCTCGGCAACGGCGACGAGTTCACCATCGGTGAATTCGCCGAGCTCGTCCGCGACATCGTAGAGAAGGTCCAGAAGGAAGATGGCATCAAGCCCCCTCGTCGTGTCAACATCATATACAAGCCGATGCCCACGGATGATCCTCAGAAGAGAAGACCTGATACTACTCGCGCTAAGGAGGTCTTGAGCTGGCAACCGAGGTGGACGGTTCGAATGGGTCTGGAAGAGATGGTTCGTTACTACAAAGCCAAGATGGCTGAGGGTGGCATTTAGGTATGTTTTCAGGGTTACGTGTGTTGACTTCTCTAGCTGGTTTTGGCGTGATACTTGTCTCCCCACTCGGTTCTTCTGTTCGTTCTCATAATAGTGCCAAAGACATTGTAGACAATTTTGTGATAGATAGAAAAGACATGGACACGAAGGTACCTATGATACAGATTGAGATCCAAACGGTATATCCGAAAAGTGTGGAGTAATAGAGGCCGTAACAAAGATCATGAGCTATATGCTAGAGACAAGCTTTAGGTTGAATGGTACGCTGTACAAGTGAATTACCTGCCCGAGGTGGATATCTAGGACGGAGAAAGGGGCAGACCGGTGGTGTAAGCAAATACAACAGGATGTAGACTATATCACCAAGATTGAAGGAGAGTGCTCGTGCGCCAGAGATGAGTGGGAAGGAGTGTGGGTTACCGTAGAAGCCGAATGAGTTGTTTTTGTACCGATTTCCTTGTGTCACTGCGAGTCGGTACCTTCTCAATGGTAGAACCACTGGAATACTCCGATCGACGGGAAATGCTAAACGTAGCCAGCGACGCCACGTCGTCTTTCTCGTCTGAGCTCGGGGGTGGGTCAACCCACACTGCAGGAGGTTTGTGGAAGGACTCCCTTCGCACTTCGTCTTGACCATCCAGATCTTCTTCTGACAGCCAATGGTCTTTACGCTCAGAGAACCTGATCCAGAAACCTTCAATTCCTGATAAGTTGTTGAAATGAAGGTACCTACTTGCGTATAGGCCGCCCGTCGGCACCTAGAGGAGAAAACGCACTCCGTTGACCCTTTGCATAACTCTTCACCAACTCGATATGTTTTTGAGCAGTTTCGTCATCACAACATGAGAACGACAACGGGGTGAGGACATCCCGCTGCCGCATGGAAGGATCCTTCTTGAGTAGTGAGAGCCTCTGGAGGGCGCGGGACATTGTAAATTTAAGAGATGACGCAGCACATTCATCATGTGGGCCAGGACGTTCCAGCGTGGCGAGAAACTTGGAGAAAAGCTGGTTGACAATGGAGGACCGAACAAGCGTTATAAACCCGACTCGACCTGGAGATGATATTGGTTTGATTGTGAAGTGCTGCATCGCTGGAGTCATAAGACCTACCGTGCACTAGTTGTAGCATGGCTCCGTTAGGAACACCCACGAGTTTCTTCCTCAGCGCTTCGGCATACTTGACAGGATACAGCGCGTTATTTGCAGCCTGAAAATATGCGTCAGAACATATCAATAGATGATGGTGCAACGCAATGCGAACCTGCATGATCATTACCGGCATTTCAATTTGAGCCAGTTCATCTGCCGTCAGTGGTATTCGCTGCTGCACAATCGTATCAGTCACCGTAAGCTTGAAATAACGATTTTAACGAACATCATGACAGAATGTTTGGATGAAACTCATGAGATAGGACCGCCTGAAAGGGGGATATGTGGTTTGCCAAAACGAGACAAGCTGGTATTTGATCGATTAAGCAAAACAAACAACCAGTATCTTGAAGAAGGGTATTCACCTCATCCTCGAGCTCAACTTCAACCAGCTACATAACTTCACGTCAGAGCTTGAATGTAAATCCATCGAAGATCATACCTTGTCGGCGTGAGCGGACGCCAGATGTCTCTCCGCGCTCCCAAGTGACCCCAAGACGTCGCGATAGGCTTCTCTGTTACGCTGAAATTGAATAAGAAACCATGAAATACACACACCACCACAAATTGACTAACGTCACTAATGGAATTCTGCGGGGAACCACCACCTGCTTTGCCCAAACGCTAAAACAGACAGTTAAGGAAGCGAATAGCGTTGCCTAGAGATCATGTACCTTCCCGGCGGCAAATTCAAGCAGGTCTCGATTCGCATGTTCGAAAGTCGCCAGATCTTGAGCATGGCACCACAGACTCAAGATGTCGTCAAGACTGTTCAAAACATCTTTCCTCCTGGAAATGATATATCTCAGTCCATACTGTCAAGAAAAGGACAAATTTATTTGACACGTACTCTTCTTCCGGGGGAACGTTACACAATGTCAAGCTTAAGCAAAGCTCGGGAAAGCTGAACACGACCTCAGTGACATTCGTATATATTTAGCAAATAATAAAACGTACAGGATCGCCAGCCTTAGCGCAACCAGGACAAACACCTCACTCGCGAATATGTGAGCAGCAGGTAGCCGCAAGTGATGGAACGCGTGTGCAATGTCCGCTGCCGCGACCCAAAGATCATATTTGCCGCTGAACTTGCACACCGACTTTCCCGTAAGCCTCGTGTCCAATATGACGATATTGTAGTTCTCGTTCAAGCGGGGATCGTCTAGCTGAGGGTAACACCAAGTAGAATCCATGATGAACGGATGCAGCATAACGATAGTCGGCCGTTCGGGCTTGAAATCGCCGACATTATTATATGGAGAGTTTGTGTAGTACCAGAGGGAAGCATAGTCCTCCTTCGAGACGAGGTCAACGAAGGGCATAGTTATGGAGATCTGGCAATGGTGAGTGCGGGGGACGACATGAGGGCGTCGGCTAATAGTCAGCTCATTAAGGACTTATCCTTGAGGGCGGGAGCAACCGCCATCCCCCCCTAAGCCAATATAAAATACATCCGCGCCGCCGATCGCTGCTGTTGTTTGTTGACACGTTGACATAAGAGGCGTCCCCCACTATCCTCTTTTTGGACTACTGTCCTTGTTCCCTCCTGTTTTGCCTTTCACCGTCCAGGCTCTGAAAATAAGGCCGTTACTTACTTTCGCACGAACATGAAGATCGAAAACGGTGCTTCTCTGGTAGGATTAAGGGACTTTTTTGTCTCATTCAGGGCTTTCCCCAGTGTCCCAGGAGACGCGAACGAGAGAAGCGCATCATCCAAATTTTGATTGCCTATAGCGCCTATCACAGCGTATTATGCCAGTGGAAGATCACGTCTTCCGCTGCGCCCGGCCTGCCCATGTGAGGGCTTCCAGAACATTCATTCCAGATGTCCAAGTACTTTACCGATAACAGTTGCCCATAATGGCATAGATTGAACACTCTCCTGTCTCATATTTTATGCCAGCGCACACATAGACACGCACTGCGAGGTATTGTACTCGATCATGGATCTCTACAGAATTGCAAACGCCCATATAGCTAGGGGGTACACAATTCAAGGATGGTGCTAGTGTGCCGTGCACAAGTGCCCATTGTATGTAGTCCAGGATCTCACTGTTCCTGAAGGAAGGCTTGATCACTGAAGAGATACGCGTATGCAGCGCATGTGCGACGAGTGCTTCTAGAAAGCCAGAACGTTCGTTCAGGCCAGAGGCCCTTGGCATCGATGTTATGCGACATTCCGCGACGTCATTCTAGCAGCCAATGTTTTCCCGGATAACCTCGTCTTGTGGGTCCACCCGGATAGATCGTTAACAAGATCAATTCGAAAGGGGCTCGGACAGAGCCCCTAAATAGGCAACGAAGCTCGTTAGGGGGTTCGAGCCAAATCTATCATGCAAAAAGGTGTCAGTTCATAACGTGCTCACTGGAAAACATTCGAACAACTGACGCGAGTTGACAACTGAATAAGTATTCTTACGCGTCGAACCCTGTCAGAACCTGAATGACTCTCTGTTGGCGCTGTACGTGAAACGCAATGAGTGTAAACCATGAAAATTTTGAAAATGTGAAGCATACTTCTCTGTCTGCTTTCGACGAAGTGGCAAATATGGTCGGTACACCCAGTGTCTCCAACGCAGTCTGCTGCTTGGCGAGGAGCCCATCCCAAGCAGGCAGCGCTCGCTGGAGATCGAACTGGGCCAGTTCTCGTCGGAAGTTGTCTGTCATGGTCTATAGGGTTTTACCTCAGATGCAAGCTTTGATGACGTTAGAGTTCAAGCAACATACGTCGGCTTCGAATTTTGTAAGACCTGCACCAATCATATTCGCTCTGCGCAAACTCGGTCAGCAAGAGGCACGATGGGTACGTCGGTCGATGCCTACTTCGTTTTGGCTGCTTTCACCTTCTCTTCCTGAGATGCAAGGATCGCATTTCTTTCGTCCCAAAGTTTCTTTTCGAGCTTAGCTTGCTCTTGCTTCATCTACTTACAAGGTCATCAATCGACTCAAGGAATTTTCAACTAAATAGAACGGACAGCAGATATCGCCTCCATGAATTTAGGATGCTCAGCAAGCCGAGCCAGGAGAGGCAAAGACTGCTGGAACGACAAACCTCGGACATCCTGCTTCTGCGGAATGGAGGGCGGTGTAACAACTGCAGGTTCTGGTGATTTGTAAAAGGCAGAGCTATGTGTTTCAGGATGGTAGGGCGCGACATCGGAAATGTGTTCCGTTGTGGCAGGTGGAATTGAAGCCTGCAGCTGAGACAGCAGAGAGGCTACTGAAGCCGTTGGCACTGCTGAAGTAAGAGAGGGTGTCACTTCATGGCTAGCTGCGCTAGGCAATACGCTTTCATATACATCAGACGTCGATGCAGGCGCAGGAGGGGGTGGAGGAAGGGGATCGGAGGGCGCTGCAGATGAAGAAGTAGAAACAGGCGGCTGCCATGCTTGCGCAGAGCGCAGCCTTTCAAGTAGGGCTTTTATGCCTGCAGGATCCTATATGAGGCAGAATGAGCCGTCCAGACCTTAGTCAGGATACTGTGGTTTGCGCTACGTATGAAGCTCACGTTGATGTTAGTGAAGTCCATTGGGTTGCATTGAACAAAGGCACCGGCGCCTGTAAGTTGGCAGGTCGAACACTTTTCGAGATCGAGCATTGTGGCGCGGTAAACGTGCCAATCGTCGATCATTCCAACCTGGAGAACATTACTGTATGAAACCATCCAAATTTAAACTATTCTACATAGTATCTAATACCTGCGGAAGTACTGCTTCATGGCGAGACTTTGCAGTGCAAAGGCTTGCAAGCATACCAAGCATTTACTCCTTATGTATATTGTAAAAATTAATGTGGTACATTGCTATAAGACACGTAAGTTGTCGATACCATTCCCCACATCCGCGACGGCTACCATGTCAACAGAAATACACCTCGATGCCATTCGGGTCGGCGACTTCCACAGCAATAAGTACACGATCCAGCAGGGTGAATGAGGTCAGCGACATGAACCTTGGCGGAACACCGCAACTGAATCCTTGAGGGATGAATGTCGCATACGTCAGTACCTTGAACGCAGCAGTAGTGCGATGCTGTAGCGCTTCGGCGAGCGGAAGTCGCAGTGAAGGATTAGTGAGATCCTCTCTGCAAACACGTGTGAAACGCAATATGTAACCAAGAGGTCTGGGGATAACCATGAGCAATTGCACCCGTTACGCGCAACACGTTGGAAATATCAGGTGAGCGGCGGGATACGCGACCGGCGGCTTGCTGAATGGATTCTGAAGCTCCGCGGTACGTTGCCTTCGTTATCAACTGCCCTGACGACACTAGCAAGAGGTGTAGGGGTTGACTTGTGAGACAGTGTTCGCTTCGCTAGCGAAGAGAGGACGCAACGCAGACTCCATTACGTCGCTGAGCGTCTGGCAAAGGGCCATTCATTGAAGATGATACATGGTAACGTACTGCCTTACGAATCGCGTACACACAGAGCAACGCGCTAGGTAAACCGAGGCCGGTATGCATATTCAAAGTGCTGGAAGGATTGGCAAAGGACAAAATCAACAAGTGGAAGTTGGATGTAAAGAAAGACGTAAGAGCCGGCGGCGGGGTAGCAGAAAAGGGCAGATCGGACCGTGATATCGGGCGGATAGGGCAGGAAGGAGATGAGCCGGGGAACACGCGGCAGAGATGGACAGGAATAAGGCACAGGCGAGGTTGGGACTGGGGTGTGAGGGGGGACGTTGATTGGCTGGCAGGGGGAAGCCGACCGGATATAGACATATTGACGCGTGATGGGATGGTTACGGGCATGTTTGGGTGTCCCGGATTAGGGCAGTGGGCGTGGAAAAAGGCAGGGGCGGGAGAGTGGATGCGGAGTTCGCACGGGGATGGCCGTATGTAGTTGGGTGGAGGTGGTCGTCTTGGGTCTGCTTTTTCTGCTCCTTCGTCCCCGCCGTCTGTTGTTGTATTCCCCCAGTCTCTTTTCTTTTATATCCTCCTCCCACCATCTCTGCTATATCCTCTTTCTCTTTCTCCATCCACATCTGCGATGCCTGCGCAGCAAGAGGCGACCGTCACCCCTTCGTCCCACATGATGAAGACGACGAAGCGCGGGAGGCCGTATCTAAAGGCATGTCCAACCCATCCCCACTCCGTGCCTTTGTATTTACCTCTTCTCCTGCAGGATACCCTGGACCTTTTCGCTACCTTAATTGTCTCCCTCGAGCTCACGACAAATAGGCAATTCTTTCGCAATTTCCCCAACTCCTTCCTGACGTGAGTATCATTACGTCTTGTTCGCAGCGCACCGAGTTCTCATCCACGCCCGTTGCCTGCAGTGACGATGCTGCACGGAACCTTGCCTCGCTCAAGTTCTCGCAATCTAACCGCGGGCCTGATCCGAGAGAACCCTCACGCATTGTTACGACCACCACGACCACGACCTTCTCCATGACCCGCGACATGGCAAAGGCCATGTGCCAACACTTTATGGACGCCCGTCTCATCGAGAATGCTGCCGATCCCGGTTCAAACCTCTTCAAAGAGCGGGGTGTCTACGTACTCACGCCGAAAGGCCTTCATGTCCTCGAACGCTTCATGAGCAAGAACGGCATTAATGGCGATCATCTCGCACACGTATTCACCACACAGCCCATTTGTATGAAGCTTCTCCATCTCGAGAGACGATCAACAGATGACGAGATCATCGTCTCCCATTCTGTGATTATCGCCCTCTTCCGACGCTTCGTTGGGAGATCTCCAAATTATCCGCCAGACGATCTCGAGCAGATGGATGTCTTCCAGAAGTACCATGAGCGTTCGAAAGGTGTCGCGTTAATGGATGTCCGCGAGCGCGCTGGACTGAACCGAGCTGAGGTCACCACCAAGAATTGCTTCGCTGCCGTGACCGCGCTAGAGTGGCTTTGTGACTTCACTTCTGTCATCGGACGAGAAGAGGCTGCGGAAATGGCTGCTCAATTCGTTCGCTATGGTCTCATCACCCTGGTTAGCGATAAGCGGAAGAATAATGACTCTGCTATTATCTTCACTGTACGTGGTGCTGCTGGTGGTCCTAACTCGACCATCTCGGTATGTTCGCTTTATTCTTCCCGTTGATGCTACATACCTGACACTGATATCGCAGCAACATGGCGAGTTCCGCTGTACCGCCAAAGCCATCTACAAGGTCACTGATGAAGGTCGTCGGGTTGCTCGATGGGACCAACCGGACGGCGCTCGCGACTCTCCCAACAACTCCAGCGCGAATGTGTCTACAAATACTCGTGCTTCAGAGGATCCTGTTGAAGAAAACAGTGATGCAGCAAAGCCGGCGACTGCTGGCGATGCCAAGATTCACCGGCGTGTTTCCATGACGGACAAACTGAACAACGCGAAAGAGGATGATAGGAAGAACCACAAGGAAAGCAACTCCGAGCGTCTGCGGTACATCATTGACGAACCTCAGCTTCGCATATTATTCCGCGAGTTCCTGAGGGCGAACTTCTGCGAGGAAAACCTCTCGTTTTACTTGGAAGTGCAGGACTTCAAGAAGAAATTCAACATCACTTCTAGTGCTATGGCCGCTGCTGGTCCGAGTACGCGAGGTCAAAAGGCCGCGCCTGGTCAAGCAGCGATGGAACGACATCATGAATCGCTCATTCAGATGGCCTTCGTTATTTACAACACCTACCTGGCGCCTTCAAGTCAATGTGAGCTGAACATTGACCATGGACTGCGGAACGAATTGTCGGGCTACTTGAGCGATGTCATCACGAACATGACCGGCAAGCCTTTCTCTGGCCGTGTGGAGTTGGATCAAGCGAGTGCTTTCAATGCGACACAACTACGGGCGATGATCCAGCTGTACGAACGCATTCAAACACACGTTTTCCGTCTGATGGCGTCAGATTCGGTCCCTAAGGTGAGGATCGCTGTTTCTCGTTTGCATCTTCCATTACTGACTCTTATGTTCCTATGCAGTTCATCAAGACACCTCGTTTCTTGGCGCTGCGGATAAAGCTGCACGAAGATGACGAGACATCGATGAAGGATTTCCCGTTGATGCCGTCTGGTGCATCGACACCGTCAGTACCACCAGGCTTGAGTGAGGAGGAGGTCGGAGGAGCATACGTCACGGTTTCTCAGAGGGCAGTAGCCATGGATAGACCACATACGGCAAACCCGGAGAAACGACACACATAACATCGCGCAAGTTCGCTCGACGTCGCATCATCTATTGCCACATTTATGAAGACTGCCCAGGGCTCTCATGCCTCTATGCCTCATGCCTCAGCTTCGCGCTTCCTCACTGTCCTATGATTCTATCAACATTGTATCATGCTGTCTCTCACACTACTCTGACTTTTCCTTTCGACATTCGCTGTCCGTCATCCTCGGTGTCATCTCTTCAACTCGCTTTCGCCGTTCCTGCATAAATTAGGCTCGTCACACCCCGGTGGTCCGTATTTTCGCATTAATCAGACTTTTCCACCTTCATTCTCGTTCCATTGACATGGCCGGGGTCGCTTCCCAAAATTTCTCGCTATCCTTGTCTTTCATATCATTCTTTCCCAGCCGTGCCTTCGTTAGTGCAAGGGTTTGCAAGTCATCGATACATCCTTTTCTTCGTCTCCCCATCGTATTGCTATTTCTATTCTTTCCTTTGCATTCTGTACCATCGGCATATAATATCTTACAGACTCGCCTATCTAGTAGTCGGGATTATACTAATACAGACGGTTTCCATTGTCTCCATACCGCCTATTTCTTGTTTGCCGCGTTACATGAGTACGTCGCCGAGAAGAGACCGGTGAGAATTATCACACCCAGGAACAGCATAAGTATTATGGTACCTTGTGTTGCTAGATTCGTTCGCGTTCTTCCGACACCTACGTGTACCAACGCGTGAATCCCTTGTATGTCTTGGATACTTAACCCAGACGGTGATCGTACTAAGGCTGGGGCTACGGATACAACTGGTATGACGTTTTCTTCAACATACAATTCACCCTTTGACTTTCAGCCGTAGACACTAACCCCAAGGTTCCTGATCCTGTAGACAAGAACAGACTCGTATCTACTAAGCCGGCGAATCGCCCATTCCTCGCGTGAGCTCAGAACCAATGAGCTCTTGTTTTGACAGCATTTAACTATTCAGCCCTTTTCAATAGGCACAAGGAGTATCGCCGAAAGATGGAAAAGGAACACGAGGCATGGGTACAGCGCAGGAAGGAACGCGAGGACAAGGTCGCTAAAGGAGAGAAAGTTGGACCTGAAGAACCCGATCCTACAGACGAACCTGAAGTAGGCTGCCTGGGTCTACTGAAATTCCTGATCATGGCTGCCGTGGTCATTATCCTGGCTGGTAAATTCTTCACTGGGAGCTTCCTGTGGGAGATGGACTTGCCTGACCTTCGGCAATTCATTCCGGTGCGTCTTCACTTTTCGCGAGTTTGAGGCTCTGTGACTAATACTGACTAAAACTCAGACGAACCAGAGGCTGTTCTCAGAGAGCATGCTCGCGACCTTTGACGGTAGTGACCTTGATAAGCCCGTCTTTCTTGCTGTATGTGAATTCTGTCCTATTTATTGCGGATGAACTCAACCATCGGACTTTTCTTAATGTAGATTGATGGAGATGTTTATGATGTGACTGCCGGCCGCGCGACATATGGCCCAGGAGGTTCATATCATTTCATGTGTGTGCATTGACATAATTTCGGTGTTCTGGGATATTGACATGTAGCCTCCAAGGGCTGGACGAGATGCTGCGCGAGCCTACGCCACAGGTTGTTTCCAGACTCATCTCACTCATGATATTCGAGGCTTGAGTGAGAGGGAGATGCAGGTACGGAGACTCATCGTGTAAACTAAATCTCGGCCATTAACTTTTTCGTTCCGATGATCTGTAGGGTTTGGAACATTGGAAAAAGTTCTACACCGAGTCAAAGAAATACCACAAGGTTGGCCGTGTCTCACATCCTCCCATCGATCCTCTCAGTCCTATCCCTGAACATTGCGATCCGAAGAAAGCGGAGAAGGCTCAGGAGCGAGAAAGAGCCAAGGCGCATGAGGCGGACTCGAAGCACAGCGAACTATGAGATCGAGGATATTTAGATAATTTATAGTATGAATTACAAGTCTACAGGATGATGGTATAACAACATCAAGTCCGGAGATAAAGACCGTTGTGTCCAAAACAGGGCTTGAACCTGCAGGAGCTCAACACACTGGAGAATCTATGAGTGAAAGTCGAGGCGCAGGCGTGAAGGAAATGAAACTAATCTAGGCTATCATCGGGCAGGATCAGCACAAGGCGAGATGCATAGAAGAGGTACGACTTACGTAGTAGCGTCACTCTATGGCTTGTGGTGGTTAGAAAGATAGTTCTTCACTAGTGGGAAATCCGCCATGGAGGCATTCATCATGGCGGAGTACCTAGTGTCACAGTACTTCGCGACGACGATATTGCCTCGCCAGGCAGATGAGTCCTTGTAGGAACTCCTCTGAATCTCGCGGATGCACTTGTTGATGGGGAAAGGCATCCCATCCCGAGACACAGTGGGGTAGAAGATTATGTATGGAGTAGTAAACTTCTTATTCATGCCATCAAGTGCTTCCACTAGCTGTGAAATCATGTCCAGCGGCATCAGTGTGTAGCTCAATGGAAACGTTGAATCGTGGCTGGCATACCTGGTAGTGCCACGCTCGCGGACCTAGGCCTTCAGCAATGTAGTCCATATATACCTCGGGATGTGGCATCCTTCCGCAACGGAACGGCTCAGCAGGGCTAGCCAGGGGAATCAAGATAGGACTGGTCATGAGGGAAACGAGATGAGGCGGTCGGTCGTCGCAGGGAAAGACGATAGCCTCGTAAGACATCATCTGTTCCATGGTCTAGGTAGAGGTTGGTGATCAAGAGAACAAAAGAAAATTTTTGGCTCTCACTAAGCGAGTGTGAATTATGAGAGATGTATGTAAATTTCGGGCGTTGAATGTGAGGGAAACATTGTTCTTACGACGGGTTTTTATACTATATTCAACAGTCCCGCAACGCGGCCAGGTGCTGCTGATTCGAATTGAACTGATGAACAGCCATTCATACACGACCGCCTGCGAATCCCCTTTGCAAGTTGCTGCTACAGGTGCAGATCCCATATTGTTGCATGACGCCTTCGATGCGCCTTTCGCTGGGCTCTCCTAGCGAGAGGGGTAACTGGGTAATTAACTCTAGCAGGACTAGGACACCTGCATCCCAATGGTGGCTCGTCGATCTAGGGACAAGACACAGTAACTGGGCAAGTCACACTGATTTGGGGCCATAACACTCACTACGGAAACCCCTGTCATTGGTGTGATGTACGCATGGATGCAACCCGAGGCACACTGTACCCTATCGGCATCCCGACCAGATGCTTAACCAACGGCAGAATCTGAAAATGCTTTTGCAGCATGTAAGATGTCTCGGCCCACAACTTGGGATATTCAGGGCGCTTCTGAATACCATCGTACTTCCATCCGGCGTTCTACGCATTCCTGACGACAGAGATACGGACCGATGCTCATGGTCCAGCCGCACGTACACATCTGGTGATATGGATCTGTTATTTAATAATCAAGTCATAACACACATGGGAAGTCATAGGTACGAAGCATGGAAGCTCAATACTGGACTGCAGTACTGGCGGTCCTGCGATCGTTGAAAGGTCGAGGGTGGTATACACAAATCTGCACATAGTTAATTGCAACATCAAAAGGTACGAGCATCAAGCTCATCTCGAAAACGTTCAGATGGACATCAATGAGGGTTGATGAGGTGGGGAAATATGGCCGAGGGAGACAGCCAGAATGCACATGTCCACGGTGAAAAGAAGAAAAAAGTGTTTTACAAAGTGAATCAAGAAGGGCGCAGCAATAAAAGTCCTGGGGTAGGTTCCCGCCGCAGATGCATCACAACGAAACGTACCAAACACGATCAGATCTGCACAATACTTCCAGAAATGTTTCTTGTGAAGATCGGGGCCGATCGATGCCTGTCGAAAATCCTCCGTTCTGCCTCTAACCGCAATCGTAGCTTTTCCAATTGTTTCTCCTTCGACACAAATAACTGGCCTCGAGGAAATGGCTTTGAAAGATGGGCACCATACGTGTCGCCAGAAGGAGAGACTGGATCAGAGGGTGTAGGGATGTTGTACATGTGGACGGGAGAAGTAAGCTTGGAAGAGAGAGGGGACCAAGATGCTAGTGATGACACTGGAATGAAGTTCGTGAGCGTATGAGATAATCGGGCTGCAAGGGTAGGTGAATTGAAGGGCGATGACAAAGAAAGAGTTGGCGTGGAGGGTGCTGGTATACATTGCACATCGCATTTCATCTCCGAGACCGGATTGGGCTGCGCAGAGATGGAATCATCGATGCTGTAATGAAGAAGTCAGGATCAACCGACGACAAGAAACAAGGTGTGAACTGGCGTACATACTCGTGGAAGCCTTTGATAAGGGGCTAGTCGGCCTTGTAGAAGGCACCGGTATTCTTGAGATCACAGGAGAGGATCGTCGAGGTTGTGGAAGGAAAGATGCCGGTTTATTCCTTATGACAGGAGGGGAGACCGAAGTCGAAGGTCGGGGGCCTATGGCGGGAATGGATGTTGGCGATGGGCTCCATCTGCTAGGTGGTGTCGAGAAAGAGGAAGGCGAAAAACCAGCGAACGCAGATGGAACTGGCTTAACTGGCGTAGTCAATACAGGTGACAGCGTGAACGACTTCGTAGTTGTCGGTCGGGGAATTGAAGACGGTGAGGATCGAGACGACGGAGTGGAGGGCTGAATATCGGAAGTAGCCGAAGAATCTAGAGAAGCATCCTCCGGCCCTTCAAAGAAAGGCGGAGGGTTGAAGGTAAAGATAATGCCCCCCTCCACCTCTTGACCTACAAACTCATCATCAGCGACGTTCAACAATTCAGGGTTATCGATCTCTTCGTCGTCCTCTTCTTCCTCTTCTTCTAGCACAACATCCAAAGCAGTCTTCGGCTGGTCATGCTGCCGAGGACTGTCAACCTCCACACCGACGTCCGCAGGTAGTATGAATGGTGGGAGTTCATCGTCACTCTCACCCAATGCCTGAGAGAATATGTTCTTTCCACTTTCCGCGGAAGTAAATCTTCCGAGGGGAGGAGAATCATCCACATCCTCCAAGCAACCAAAGAACCGATCAATCTCATCTATTTCACGTTCGTAAGGAACCTCCGCCTTGAGAGGGAAAGTCCATGTCTTTGACAGCGATGCACGGCGAACATGACCTGGTTCGGGTGAAGGTAAGGGTGAAGGAGACGTCGAATTGCAGCGGCTGGACGCGGTGAGAGGTGGCACGTCGAAAGAATCCTCCTCGCTGTGAACGTTAACTTGACGATGCATGTCCTGAATGGAGCCGAGTGAAGACGCTGATGACGAGGAGTTGAATGCATAAGCGTCATTCTCATCCTCATCCTCATATCCAGCTAGTTCATTATCATTATCCGAGCAGTCGGTGGCGTCATCTCGACTGTCCGTCTCATCTTCCTCTTGCACAGCTTTCAGCTCGAAATGAGGACGATCGGTGCCATCGAGGGATTCGACATCCGTGAATGAACCTGCGGAATCAATGGATCTGAATCCAAGACCACCTCGCCTGGCAAACGGCCTAGATACTGATGCAGAGACAGGTTTGGAGGGGAGACCCTTGTACTCAAACGTCCGAGGAGTTGGGGTTGCTAGGAGACCTGCAACTTCCAACTCACGTTCAAGTTCCTCTCTTCTGCTTCGTTCCGATCGTAATGCTTCCTGAACGGCGGAAAGTTCATTCGGGCATTCAGAGTGTTGCTGCACTTGGATCTGGAGCGACATGCACTCTTGACGAACGTTGTCCAATTCGGACCTTGCGTCGTGATACTTGTTCCACCCGTCCTCTCCCCAGGCTGTCTTCTCTTCGATCGTCTTCTGTAAGGTACTCTTCTCGATCTCGAGTAATCCAACTCGTTCGCGAGCAACCCATGCGTCACGACGTTCATTTTCGACACGTCGCATCAGCACACCAAGCTGCTTCTCGGAGTCAGCAAGCCTCGCGCGCCATCCGTCAACGTCCCTCTTCAACTCATCTCGTTCCGATTTCAGATCCGCAATCAACTGCAGCATTTCATCGCTTGGTGGCTCGCTCTGAGCCGAGACATCCGAAGCGTAGGACTGAGGGCGAGAGCGCGGCCGTGCAGACAGTGCACGTTCAAGATCACTTATGCGCTGAACAAGCGTCTGATGGGCTTGGAATAAAAAATGCTGCTCCGTAACGGAGAGCGGACGTGATCCACGTGAAGAGGCACGACTGTAGTCACTGTCCATGCTGGAGCTCGAGTATCGCTTCTCGGAGATCGGGGTCATATCGGGTGTAGGAAGACCAAAGTTCATAAGTGGACCTGAATCTGAGGATGAATGGTAAGAAATACTGGTGCGTCGGATAGGCGTAGAAGATGGAACAGTGCTTTGCACATCCGACGAGATGTTCAATGAAGGACGTCGCGCCAATGTTGCGGACGCTGAGGTTGTAGATGTGACCATCATTGAGTGGCGCTTGCGGTTTGAACTGCCAAACTGGACGGTTTCCTCGCTGGGATCTGGGTTTGTGGTCAGCGTGAGAGACCTCAAGCCAGAACGGACGTTAGGCGAAGGTGAAGGTGTGGGAAGATCGCCGTACGACAACGCTTGAGAAGATGCGAGAGCGAGAGGCTTCAGATTGAGGCTTGCTGGGCGATGCCTGACGGGTGCAGGAGATGGAGTGGTCACGACGACAGTGGGTTCTGCAACTTCCTCAACTGGGCTAGAGGTCATCGTGACATTGTTGTCCTCTTCCTCCTCTTCTTCCTCTAACAGAGTCCCCAATTGTTCTATCGAACCTGACGAAGACATAAACTTGCCAAAAGAGTCACGGTCCCGCTTGTTGCCCATGATAGAGCTGAGACCGCCGCCGAAGCCTGCACCCACACCAGGAGGATACGAGGGCTTCGTTGCTGTACGAGATGTGTGAGTACTAAGCATTCCTGACCCAACCAGTAAATGAATACGTACGAAACTCAAATGGGCGTTGAGGGCATTCCGGAGTGTCAATCTCGGGGATGTCCACCTTAGAGAAGGTTCCGACATCAGTCTTGCCCTCGAGCGTCCAAAGTGCTCTGCGACGAATAGAATCCTTGTCACCAAGGTTAATGTTGTCATCTGAAGATACTGGAATCGCGGGCAAAGCGATGCCCATCATCTCAGCGGATTCATGGCGAGTGGATACAGACGAACGCCTTCTATGATGTGAGTTCCGCTTAGAAGAACCTAAAGATGATCGAACAGGTGAAGGTGGAGGGGATTCGAGCTTGGCTGTATTCATTACAGACATAGAGGTGCTCGCGGAGGCAGACAGAGAAGAAAGAGATAACGAATGGTTGCGAGAACGCGAACGGGAATGTGAGGACCTGCGAGCTGCAGAGTTTGATTCGGATGGCATAGCATTGCCGAGTTTGAAGGCATCGAGCTGAACCAACGATATTCAAAATTCACGAAGGGCGGCGATCAGCACAGCAGCAAAGCTTACCCTCTTCTTATCAGCAACGTTGACGTCCTCTGAGAACGTGTCGATGGTAACTGCGGTATGGTCCATGATTTGAATATAGATTGTTGGGGAGAGAAACAAAGAGCGACTATTGGAGAGAAAGTGGGTTTAAAGGAAAGACTGGACCGAACGAGCAGTGCTCAACGTCGGTGGTGAACGATGAGCTCGAGAACGACACCGACAGGACGATGGCGGGGGCAAGAAGGGACGAAAACGAACTGCGCTGTCATCGTCTAGTACAAATATGAACTTCGGCGTTTGCCGCCACTGATGATACCACCCTGCGTTCCTGCTTTCCTCACGAAAGTTTCCTCGTGGGTCGGTATCTGTTTCAACTTCTTAGACCAGATGGTCCCGATGGGACTGCTTGCTTTTTCTCTCGAGCCTGCAGTGTGCTTGTCGCCGTATGCAGCCAGCGATCCTAAACTCTCGGTACCCCGTCGGCATATCACATGCGTCCCTTCCCCGCAATGCCATAATTACAGTCGCTCTCCTCGATCCGCCCACAAACTCTCTTTAGAGGAGGCCGGGACCGTAAACCTTTCCATCGCAGAGACTCTCAATAACCCTTCCATCTCACTATGTCTTCCCGCCCGGCCGTTGTTAAGGTGGTACCAAACCATACCATTGTGTTTGTCTGTGACATCCAGACTAGATTCCGTACGCACCTCGTTCTCGATGTGCACTCCATAACTGATCAGCATTACCACAAGGCACTGCTATTCATGGCTTTGATGAGATGGTCATGACCGTAAATAAGATGTTGAATGTTGCCAAAGTAAGTACAATCTAACTTGTCCATCGCATCGGAGCTTCATCTTCTGACCTCTGTTGTTAGGTTCTTGACATCCCGGTCGTAGCAACAGAGCAAAACTCCAGAGGTAAGCCTCTCAGGCCCAGCGCTCACATAAAGTTATCAACGGCTCTTAGCCCTTGGACCCACGGTACCGGAACTGGATATCACCAGTCTAGGACCCCTATACCTCGGCGCAGTCGACAAGACGTTATTCTCAATGGCGACCCCTGAGGTGCAGAAAATATTAGCTGAACGTGATATCAAGTCAGTGATCTTGCTTGGTATTGAGGTAAGTGACATTGTCAACTTGGAGGAGCTCAACTTCATGCATTTCCAGTCGCATGTATGCGTTCTTCAGTCTGCGCTTGACTTGTTGTCGCTTGGATATGACGTGCACATAATAGCCGATGGCGTGTCGAGCTGTAATAAAGAGGAAGTTCCCTTTGCTCTTGCAAGGATGCGCCAAGCTGGCGCACAGATAATTACTAGTGAAAGTGCAGCCTTCCAACTACAAAGTACGTTCATTTTACATTTGCTTATTTTCTTTTGAATATTCATGGTAGTACGTAGTGGATTCTTCACGACCGACTTTCAAGGCATTTTCCACTGTCATCAAGGACGAGAAGGAGCGGACAGCACAGAGCTTGCAGACGTTGTTACCTGTGAAATCAAGTCTATAGACATTCATCATATCTTCAGCCTGCATGTCATTTAATATAGCATGATAATTGGAGGAATCTATGTCATTAATCACGTCCTGTCAATTGCCCTCTACAGTGCTGGCGCTGAACAACGAAGGGATGCATCGTTGGGATGGAATCAAAAATGGTAACCGTCTTTCCTAAAGCGGATGTTGTTTATCAAAACCTTCTGATCCAAACAAATGCACGCGCGGCTTCTTTCCCCTTGGGGGCCTCGTTTAAGCGGCAACGATTATTCTCATCTTGCACGGTGCACATCCAAGTGTCTTTGAATCGATTCAGCTATTCCCTCCTTCCATAGTACCTCGTCATATCTCCTTCTAGATTAATATCTATTCCTCTGACCTCACGTTCTCAGAAGTGACTTCGTGAACGCGACAATGTTCGGATCGCTCATCCACCTAGGCATCGACGCCGTCCTGATCAGCGCATTCTTGGCTGGTATCAAACGTTCTACAGGCTTGACGTAGGTTCTCTTTATTCGAAGTGTAACCTACGGTTCTGTAACGTGTTGTTACAGGCCACGGCTGTCAGATGTTCCAAACAAAGATATCCGTCGTGAGTACCCATCATTGGTGTGTTCTCTAGCTGTCCTGAACCAGTGCCTTTTCTAGAAATCCTGCGATCGTATCTAGAGTTAGGCACGTAGGACGCTCCTTGCTACGAACGCTACGTCTAACGTCGCATTTAACACTATCAGGGGAGTATATATTCGACTTCGCGGTGGTGATCTTTGGGGTGAGCAATTCTTTCCTCCTTCATCATTGAAATTTACGCCTAATTTCACGCAGCGATCATCATCTTTCGAGAGGAAGCATTAAGCACTATGGTCATGCCTCACACCCGACACGTTTCTCTTCCCGCCCAACTATAACCCGATTTCTTACTCTTTCGCGCTTTGGATTGTATCAGTAGCTTACGGCACGTAGACTCGGACAAATGCAGGGTATCATTATTCCCGTGTACAGAACTACACCACCACTCCTATCGAAACTTGGCTCAAAACTGTCCGCATGGGATATTTATCCTAGGAAGTTGAAGACGAAAAAGTGAAGGACTATGGAACCCATAGCGAAGTCTGCAAATGCGCTAAAGTGTCGAGGAGTTGTCAAAGGGTGCCTCAAGAGAGGAGGGATTGACGTACCGTTCTGGAGATACTTCTTTGAATTCAGCTCGGTTCGCAGGGTTCACTTGGGAACGCAAAGATGCTGTCAGGACAAACTGGCCAACGGTACTGGCAAAACTATTCATAATCAAGGCATCGTTAGTTTCATAATACGTCTTGAATAGTCATATTGTTAGCATACCCAGCCAAGAATGCATTGAACGGGAAGTTGGTGACAAGAACGCAGTATAGGAATTGTATGACACCAGAAAGCATAAGGAACACAAGGAAGGCGTCGACAGTTTTTAGGCGGGAGGATGTTGTATCATTATATGCTTTCCAGAGTGAATCCAACGCGTTCTGTGAGGCGGGAGTAGCAGGAATGGATTGTGAGGCAACCTGCTGCGGCTGCTTGGCTGGTGCTTTGGGACCCATTTGGAGCTGAGTTGTGCGTTGTTACAGAGAAAGAGGAGAAATTATCGCTGGGTTGGCACCGTTGGCAGTGTGTATGTGAACTGTACGATGCTCACACTGAGAGCAAATGAGTTTCCGTGAGGGTATTGCAGTTGTACCGAAATTGCAGACACCGATCGACGTGTACCACAAACGTGAACGGCCGGGACGGGCCGAGCTCTAAACTCGCCCAAAATTTGGAGTAGCGCCCGATTCGTTGAAGCTTCCAGCGAACCAGGTGGACGACTCGCTCAATTACTAGTTCTGCAGTGTGCGCCGTCTACACGTCGCCGACCACCTTTGACGTATAGCCGTAGCTATGAACAGACTGGGTCTGCAGATTGCTGCGTCAACGCGAGCGGCGCGTCGTTCTGCACCTCGTTCACTCGTGTGGTCAAGATGCCTTCACAGTCGGAAAGAGTTGTCATACCCCATTGAAGGGGGTCTTGGTGATTTCCTGCCTCCTGCGGCTCTTAAAATGATTGCTGTGGATTACCAGCAAGGTCTTTTGGACCGGTTGAATGACGAAGTCAAAAGTACGTCCATGATGTTACTCACTCAGATGTAATGCTGAACATGGAACTATTCATAGATACTGAACAAGAGAATAAGAGTGTCGTGCAAACGGTCATTGACACCGCAGTTGACCCAAACAAAGTTCTTGCATTTAGTTATGCCAGTGAAGCTTTGAACAACTCTTTTTTCTTGGAATGCATGGTAGGACTTTACTGAGAGACCACCGCTCCGAGGATCTGACCACGTCTGAACTACCAGAAACCGCCGCCGGTTGATGACATCTCCCGTGAAAGGAGTATTGGACATGAGCTAGGAACACAAATTCGCACCAGCTTTAGCAGTCTCGAACAACTGAAGTCGAATGTTGGCGCAACAGCACTGGGTATGTTTTCGTCGGGGTGGATCTGGCTCGCCTGCGACCAATCTGGACATCTTGCCGTGATCCCTACATTCGGAGCTGGGACGCTACTTGTGCGGTCACAGCACCTCCAGCTTGAGCATTATAGGACTGTTGTTGGCGAGGATTTGACCCCACCTTCGCAACGGCAAAAATCACCAGAGGAGTTACCTGAGAGTACCCCGGCCCCGCATCATACACCCAGTCCTCCTCCCGCACCGACCTCACCAGCCTCGGGCACATCACATCCGTTACCACCCCTTCATCCGCACACTCCGTCACGCACATTCTCCACAACAATATCAACTTCTCTCGATGTGACTCCCAATTCCATTCACTACTCTAGGAGTGCAGCTCCTTCCAGCATCACAGGCCAGAAAGACAAGGATCCCTCAAAAATTGGTCAGAACTTGTTCCCACTGTTCTGTCTGTCGATGCATGAACATGCTTGGGTCGGTGCAGGTTACGGTGTCTGGGGCAAGGAGGAGTACGTGAAGAGATTCTGGTCTGTAGTAGATTGGGTCGCAGTGAGCGATGCGTTTGTCAAGTTCACTCGCAGATCGAGGGGGGCTTGACCGAGCTGGATCTTCAATTGTGTTGCTTTCTTGCATGAAATAGACCCCTGCTCATTTGCTATCCACATATAATACTACTGTTCTACGTACTTACGAGACTTTTATAGACGTGGTTGTAATGGACAGTATCGGGTTAGGGTTCAAACTAATATTACAGTTCGAACGTTCTCGAAGGTTCATCCAAAGCGAGGACGTCGATAAATCCAGTCATAAGCCAGGCCTCCCTTACTGTACCAGTCTGCTATCCATCCTAACTTATCCCTTTTCTCATCACGAACATAACGATACATGGCAAGCGCACTGAAGGACCAAGGAAACAAGGCCTTCCAGGCAAAGGACTACGACAAGGCAGTCGAGCTCTTCTCCAAAGCTATTGACCTTGAACCAGAGAACTTCGTGCTTTGGTCAAACCGAAGTGCTGCGAAGGCTGCCAAGAAGCAATATTCCGCCGCTTTGGAAGATGCCGAGAAGGTATGTATGGTTCTGTGAACAGCCGTTGCTTGAGCCTAACATGGCGGCCACAGTGCATCTCAGTCAACCCTTCTTGGTCTAAGGGTTATGCCCGAAAAGGTGCTGCCCTCCATGGTTTGCGCCGATACGATGAAGCCATAGATGCCTACGAGTCTGGCTTGCGACTTGAAGACAATCCTGCACTGAGAAGAGGTATCAAGGAAGTCTTGGATGCCAAAGGTGTGTTCTACGCCTCAAATCAGTTCGGACGCAGGACTCTCATTACATTGTGCTAACAGCTGCTGAGGAAAAGGGCGAGGGTGCCCAAGCATTCGGTTTCGAGAAGATGTTTGCAGACCCAAACCTCCTGGGCAAGCTCGCGGCAAACCCACGTACAGCGAAAGACATGGCGGATCCGAAGTGGGTCGAGACTCTGAAGTTGTGTCAACAACAGCCAAAGCTCGCTCAGAGCTTCCTTTCTTCTGACCCCCGTATGATCAACGTGCTTGGCGTCCTGATGGGCATAGACATGCAAGGATTCGAGCGCGAAGCTGGTTCTGAGGAGTTACCTCCCGGTTTCAAAAAGTCCCCCGAAGCCCCGTCTTCACCTCCACCGCAACCACAAGCGTCAACATCGAAACCGGCTGAGCCTGCTCCCGCCCCTGCCCAAGAACAGGAGGATGTCGAGATGGAGGATGCCGAAGAGGCTAAGGCTAAGAAGGAGGCCGAGGCTGAAAAGAAGGCCGGTTCGGAAGCCTACAAGGCAAGAGACTTCGAGAAGGCAGCTGCTCATTTCTCAAAAGCTTGGGAGATCTGGCCGAAGGATATCACCTTCCTAACCAACTTGGGTGGTATGTACCTGTTCCAAACGCTTTGCCTACTCATGACATCTTACATCTTGTTTTGTAGCCGTCTATTTCGAGCAGAGTGAGTACGATAAGTGTATCGAGGCCTGCGAGAAGGCCGTCGAGGAGGGCCGATCGGTAAGTACCCGATGGTGCGACGTTCTACCAGCAGTATATACTGATACAACGGCATAGTTACGTGCAGATTACAAGCTGGTTTCCAAAGCCCTCGGACGAATTGGCACAGCTTACGCTCGAAAGAGCGACTTGACCACTGCTATCAAGTACTACCAGAAGTCCCTCACCGAGCACCGTACTTCCGATATCCTTAACAAGCTTCGGGAGACAGAGCGTGCACAAGCTGAGGCAGCACGTTTGGCTTACATCGATCCAGAGAAGGCCTCACAAGCTCGCGAGGAGGGCAATGCTCACTTCAAGGCTGGAGATTTCGTCGGCGCTGTCAAGGCGTACACCGAGGCCATCAAACGAGATCCCCAGGATCCTCGTGGTTACAATAACCGTGCTAATGCCTATACCAAACTTGTCGCTCTTCCTGAGGCTCTCAAGGACGCTGAAGAAGCTATCAAGATTGATCCCAAGTTCGTCAAGGCTTACATTCGCAAGAGTCACGTTTTGTATGTGATGCGCGACTATACCAAGGCTATCGAAGCCGTTGAACAAGCTGCGGACCACGACGCGGAGAGGAAGCATAGTAGAGAGATCCAGGAGCAGGTCATAAAATGTCAACAAGCGTTGTTCAGCCAGCGTGAGGGTGAAAACGAGGAGGAGACATTGCAGAGGGCGATGCGTGATCCCGAGGTTGCGGTAAGTGGTATTTCGGAAGATGCGGTTTTGTGTCTGGTTTCTGACCTTCACGTTTGATTGCAGGGAATCATGAGCGATCCTATCATGCAGTCTATCCTTCAGCAAGCACAGTCCGACCCTGCGGCTTTGCAAGACCACATGAAGAACCCCTCAGTCCGCGAGAAGATCATGAAGCTCATCAACGCTGGAATCATCAAGACCAGATAAAGCAAAGGAATCTAAATGTTAGGATGCACAATCTTGGGTGTTGTTTTGACTATTGCATGTATCACTATCGCTTTCCACATAATTGCTATGAGTACATTAGTTTGGATGATCGATGATCTAAGGCGAAGCCCAAGACCAACCCTGTACTTCCTGGAAAGCACTTAGAATACGATCTTCAACAACCATTCCATCCTTGAGTGTCTCCGCACTCCCTTGCACTAACTCTCGCCATATTTTGACATTGTCGTGAACTTCACCCGGATTGCTTAGGCCTACGACAGTAGGAAGATCTTGCTCGTGGGCTTTACGATATGCAAAACCTAGTGCGACATTGGGCAATCCTCCTCCGGGCCAGCTTTCCTCTAAGCATGTTTCATGAGCCTTACGAGCTGCGTCTCGTACAATAGGAGGTGCAGGATGCCATTGTGGCGGCGAGGGTGTTAACAATCCCATGTTTATCGGGGAGGCAGTGACGAATTGGGAGACACGAGCGCGATCGCGGAAATGAGGAAGGAAGGTAGTGAACGTGTCATTTTGAAGATTGAGATGAGAATAGGACAGCAATACGTCCAATGGCTCAAATGGTGGTGTGTGGAAGATCAACAGTGCGATGCGTAAAAGGACCGGAAGGGGGTATCCTGAATACAGCCTGCTAAGTTGTGAACGTTTGATAGGTAAGAATACACTTCTACCTGTGATTCCGACATGCTTCACAATGCCTTCCTCCTTCATCTTTCTAAGTTCTGCGATTGCGTCAAGGATGATTTGATCACCGGGTCCCCAAACTTTTGCCTCCTGACCCTCTAGTAGACCGTATTCTGACTTCTCAGAGCTGAGAGCGAGCATATGATTACCTGACGAACGCGGCTGAACGTGTGAACAGACGAATTCCACGTCATGAAGATAAACTGTGTCAAGATAATTCGTGTGCAAACGTTCTAGACTTCGTCGCACACTTGCCCGAATGGTCTGTGGTGAATAATCAAAATGAGCTGCAGTAGGACCAAAACGTCCACATTTTGTCATCTACGTTGGGCATTCCTGCTTAGATATGCGCCCCTCATGAGATAAACAACGTACCAGGCGGTAAGACGACCGAGGAAATTCAGGTTCCAGGGTCTTTAAAGCTGTACCTAGTACGATCTCGGATGGACCATAGAAAGCGGAAGTATCGAAAGCTTTAATACCATATCTATAGGAAGGGTCTATGAAGCCAGGCTAGAGTCGTAAGTAACGTCAATAATACATACCGCAGTGCCAATCTGACGGTACGAATGGGCGTCGTGCTTGTTAAATGGTCGTCACCGTTGTATTGATAAGAGAAAGATGCTGCTCCGAATATAATCTCTGGAAGATGCAAGAGGCCTGTTTCTTTCTATGGAATTCAGAATGGGTAGAATGGTTGTGACAAGATTCATCTTACTACGGCCAGACCAGGTCGAGGCTTATCTTCCTCAGTATCTGGAATATCATCAAGAGGGGGCAGAGTATACACTGGCTGCGGTGAGTCTAAGGCAACCACCATCTTGATCTTACGGAGATTTAGCAAGAAAGGAGAGCGTAAAGATTGCAAACAGCATCACGTTAAGGACACAGTTGATGGACAAAACGGGCCGCCGCGGCCGGATGGGGTGTCACACGAAACGTCATGCCTCAACGGAGCAGACAGAAAGAATTCGATAGACGGATGCAAGTTAGTTACAGAAGTTTAGACAGGAAATTATGAGGTTATAGGATTAAAGCTCCTGTGCACTATGCGCATAGCGCCCTTTCAGAGCTTTTTGCGTTCCCAACTGCATAGCGATCAGTTAGAGGAAGGCAGCTCAAAAGAGCTCAAAGTACGAACCCTTTCTCAAAGTGCTGGTTCACTGTGATCAACTTCGTACCTTCATCTGGCTTAATGTCGTTCCAAGGCGTGGGGTTGTCACGAGTCCAGACGACTGCGAAAAGAGGTTAACTTGGCCATATGAACAGCCTACAGTTACGTACTAGTTGGACCGCGGGCAAGGCGGGTGAGATACCATGTACCGCCCCCAAGGACAACGCCGACGATAGCCCAGCTGACAATGTCTACGCTTGAGAACGCCTAGCAAGCCTCATAACAATGGACTCACATAGGGAGAGCCTGTATAAGCGTAAGTTATTCACAACACTAGATAAATACAGGATTTATCAAGCTGACCTCAATGGCAAACCAGTTCCTCATAAACGTTCTCTTCAGGTTAGACATTGTGGTACAAGCCGATCCTGCGAGACAGTAGAAATTGTGTGGTGAAGGTTCGAAGACAACTCGGGTGAGCAGGAGCAACCACCCGATTCCCACGACTTATATAAGCGCTCAAACGCGTCGAGCCCAATCTCGAGGCTCGGGTTTTAGTCTCGTCGACTCCAGGCAATAACACACTACATAAAAGTAAAACATTACACGATATAATGCGTAGGTCTCGAGTCATTTATTCAGCACTTCCGGTAATCCCAAAGATCGAAGAAGCTATACTTCTTGGCACTTTACCACTAACTGTACGGAATAAAGCTGGAACGGCGGCAAGGTCGTAATCACAAGATAGGAATGCTATTGAGTGGCTTGTCCAAATTTTTGAACACGCTTCAGACGACTTGCAATCTCCGCACGTAACTCCTGTACGAAGGAGCGAGCGCGGGAAGACAAATCGTCCTGTGAATCTGCCGCAAGAAGTACCTGATCTATCAGGGTATATGGCAGCCATGTCACGAAATTGCCTCTGGGCTGCTCAGTCGCCAAGCGCGCGTCACTCTGAAGAAAGAATATTAAGACAGACACCATATCAGGATAGGCAGATACTGGCTTACCTTGTGCATTAGAGACAACACTTGTTCCAGCGCAAATTCAAGGAGATCGTAGCGCAAGAATGCCCTGATTAGAAACTCCGGATGGTGTCTCTGTTATTTATTGAGTATGACTAACTGGCAGTTATTGTATAAGGCGTACCTCAAGCGATTGAACCAGCCATGGGGGAGGCGTGGACGACCTGTCGAAGGCCAGCAGTGTTTCAAAAACTACCTTGCTATAACTGAAATCTGTGTGAGGCCCATCATGTTTCTCGAGGGAATTTCGCAGATACCGCCAACCGCGATCTGCATATGTCCCAGGCCATGAAGATGCCTTGTCGGTGAGTAACCAGTCGGAGGTGTCTTCGCTCCTGTGCAAAGTCAGTGGAGAAGGGTGGTTTCGGAAGGTGGACTTACATGACGTCATCTAGATATCGTTCTAGTCGTATACACTGGTTTGTTAAGTGGGCGAAGACGTCGCTCATATCGACATCGAGATTACGTGCAGTAGCCATCGCGGTGTTGAAACGATTGAGCTGAGCAAGTTTCAAGACAAGAGCTGATGGAGACAGCGAAAGTCCTTTGCCAGCTAGTGAGTTTACACTGACATCGTTTGAGTGATCTACTCACCACCGGCCGAAATAAAATGTGGATCACGGCCGTTCAATTCCATTTGTGCATCCAAAAGTGCATGCTCATACTGGATATCGGCCAATTGAACAATTTCCGCATCCTTCTTGCCGAATGCATACTTGCTTTCTGGTACGTGCACTGATAATTTCTTTCGTTTCCGAGGCTGGGGAAATTTTTAGTGATGTTGAACAGGTTTATATCGCAATGAAAATGACCCACTTCCCGATCATGGCCATTCGTGAGCGGCATAACGAACCAAGCGCTAGCTGGGTCAATCAGCGATAATGCATTGATACTGACGACATAAGCTTCAAGTTGCAATTCCGCCAAAGCATCGAAGTCTGCAGGATTGTCATACAAGGTCCCCAGCTTCCGTGCCCGTTGATACATTACAGCCGCCGCTGGAAATGGCATAGATTCAGCCGCAAGGTCACAGTTCGAGAAATGGACACTCACCATTTCGGAAGTCACCTCTTGAAACGTGCCATGTATAGAGTATCCTCGAGTAAAAGGGACGTATTCGCGGATCTGCATTCCTTACTTTGAATGACAGTGCTTCTTCCACTTCGGTGGTGAGTCCGGCAAAATTGAACGACATGAGACGATCGACCGCATTCTCTTCGCACATTCGGTAAACCAGTTGACTGATACATTCACGTTTCCTTCAGAAGCTGTTAGAAAGATAAGTCTGTTTGCCTAAAGAAGAAATGAACTTACAATTTGTCGTATGGACAAGCAAGCAGTGTCGCGTACGAATCCTGGTACAGACCGAGGTCTATGAGACCTCTAATCACATTGTACCATAATGAGCTCGTATTCAGACCAGATGGGGCTACCGAAAGCGCTAGCTGCGAGAAGGTCACTTCATACGACGTGACACCCGCAGCTTTGAAGAGGGAGGCCGCATGTAGGTAGAAATGGAACGCTGAGTCATAGAATCCACCAGGCAACACAGCTTCTAGTGCCTCCCGGTCGTCTCGCGACAGCCCACTATTCAAACCTGCTGATAATAATTCAATACGGTCATGCGAGCATGGCAACTGCATCTGGCCATGTACTTACCAAATACGCCTGCGAGAGTCTCCATGAAGGACGCTGCATCATCATATCGACCCTCATCGATCCATAATCGAGCTGATACGTAGCAAACTGCAGGTGTTCTGGGGAACCACGCCAGGCTATCTCTTGTTGCTTCGTGGTAACCAAGAAGCCTGAGCCTTTCACAGAAGGCCACTTCATCCTTCGTCGCTGTCGTAGCAGAAAGGGATGATAATACCCCCGTGGTGTCCAGGAAGTGATGGGCAGCAGTTGGAATACTAGAGCGGAGATCGACTTGGTCTATTAACCGGTGAATCAGGGATATCGTGGGTGCATATTGAGGACTCGCAGAAGACACGTTCATGTTGCGGAGCCCCGCAATGACTTCTTCTTCAGTCCCGGTCCCCTGAGAATTCGTACTAACAGGTTGACGCGAGGCGTAACGCAGTATCGCGACTCCCCTAAACACGACAAAGATTTCTTCCAGCAGTGATGCGTCCCATTGATCGACCTCTTCTGAAAGGAAGAAAAGCAACGTGACCAATGTTATGCAAAGGTCATATCTTGCATGAATGGAACTAGTTGCATAGGATGCCGCAAGGGCTCTTCGCCATTCCAGGTTTGGTGATGGTAGCAATGCATCTGGTGCATCCTCGTCTTCTGTCTTAACTACGCCTATCAGGCCCCCAATAACATCGAGGACTTCTCGTGTAGCAGCTTGAATGTTTCCAACGCTGGCAAGGCGACCAGTGATCCAACTGTCGAGGCCCTCGTCCAGATCATTCTTGAAAGACAAGCTCGATGCTGTGTCCTGAATGATGTCTGCATAGACGAAAGCAACCTCCTGCTGCGAAATGCCGACCAACTTGGACTCCAAGTTTGCCATGGTTCTCCGGCCAACCTTCGTCCGGAGCATCCATAGGATTTCCAATAAGGCGTACTGTGGGTCGACAGGGACTGACAAAGAGAAGTTGCGATGCAACTGTAGCGGCGTGTCCGGATCCACTACAGATGCCAGCCTCTCCCTCTCGACTATCAGGACCCCAGAATGAGACTCTGCAACACCGATGGACAACGGCCAACGGACACTTCTCTCGATCTCTCGACAACGCGCAATAAAACCCTCCCAGTCCCTCTTTAACGCACTCCAATATTGATCATACTGTGGCGCACCGCTGCGCGGGTCTTTCGTGAGTTGCACCGTGCACCCAACGACGGCAGCGATATTCTCGCCCAAAGAAGTGTAAGTACGCAGGGGATTCAATTGCGGGGGTTGCTCGCCATGAAGGGAGAGGCATGCGTCCGTGTATTGAGACAGGGCACGTTTGAGGGTCAGGTCCGAGAACATGCCTGGACGCATGATAGCTTCAAAGTATCTATCCGTAAGGGACCCTGGAGAGAGTAGTAACTCATCAAGGTATGCTGGGGTAAGTTCGACTTCAGGAGGATAAGTTGCAGTTCGCCACTCTGTCTCTCCGTCGGTTTTGGCAGGATTGGCGAGGACATTCACCCATTGCACTACTGATTGTCCCTGACGATCCCATAACGTGTACAAGACTTCATCCTTCACGATAAAGTCTTGAAGATGACAGTGCGCACTGTTGGCAGAGCAGTCAATGACCTCTGCAATTTGAAAGTAATCATGAGCCGTGCTGATAACGTAGAATGCTCCTGCATTCAGGGCAGATTCGGAGGGAATGAAAACAATGACATATGGAACTTCGGAATCCTGAGAGACGAAAGCTCGAAGTAGACGTTGAGGATCAGCTTGAAGGAGAGTTGGTACTTTGGAAGAAGTGGGGGAAGTAAGGGCTTGGCCTCCTGACGATGTAGAGGGAAGTGTTTTCGCAGCAACGCATCCGATGCCAGTCCAGAGGCGTAGTGTTCTATCTCGCGAGAGTGACCAAACGTACGCAATGTCAGTTGGTTGTGGTAGTGTTGCAAGTGATATTATGTCCGAAGCACCAGGTATTCCTGCATGGAGAAAAGAAGCGAGAGAATTGAATAAAGAGGTGTGATGAAAGATATTCTCATCCCATTGGTCTAAAAGGCAACAAAGCTGAGTACACATTTCATTTGCATCGTCTATGGTGAAACATACCATCCTCCGAGTCGTTTCCTAAAGGTCTCGCTTCCAATCGAAGTAGTGAGCCATCTGGCAAGGACACAGCTACGCAGTAACTTCCTTGCACTTGCACCAAAGATCGGCTGAGATTTCCGTGGACCTTCGTGACCACATATTCCCGCCACCACTTCCTCCCGGGTATTGAAGTATTGTGCCAGAGTATTGCACCACCTTGAAGTGGTAGTACAACTCTGAAGAGCGAACCAAAGTTTGTGAAGGCAATGACATGTAGCTCTCGGGACTCCCAAACGAGCAGAGAAGGACATGGGAGGACGATGAAGGGGAAGACAATACGTAAGGGTGTGACCTCATGAGTCAACGCTATGAGCTCCAGAATGAGTCCTCCATGAAGGAGACGCATCAGGATAGTTCCTGTTTCTGGAGAGTCAAAGATCTGTGAATAGGTTGCATGTTCTGATGGCAAATCTGCGTCTGCTGCAGGTAACGGGAGAGGTGCATTGCTCTGTTTGGTGAGGACTACGAGACTGCTAGCCTGAGTTGGAGGATACAGCGGTGAGAGATGCGTCGCAACCAGAACATTGTCGGCCATACGGACTCAGATTGACTGGTCGTTGAATTTTGGATGAGGTCTACGGAGCAGCAACAAGACGCAGGGTACACAAAGTGCCATTGACGCGAGCCTCACGCGTCGGTCGCACGGTCACGTGGTCACGTCCTCATTCTGTCGATCGCGTTTCTGCGCCACAGACAACACAAACCATACAATCTCATACTTGGCACTTAAAACCTGAACAGAAAACAATAGAAATGCTGATTACGACCGGTATGTGTGGCTATGATAATGTACTCGAATAAGAAAAATATCCGAACATGACAAGAATCCAAATCCTATGCTACATGAAACCTGTGGAAGACACTATCGGCATAAAGTTGCCAGAAACCCAAGAACCAAGAGAAAAACAACCCAACAATCACATTTGACCTCCCCCTCTACCACGGTGCGAAGTGTCTGGGCGTTGCACATAGTCTACGAACTGCGACCACTCCGCAAGCCCAAACCCAATCGAAGCACCCCACATGGAGCTCTCATCTGCTGGATATGTGTATGGCGCGGCATTGTACCCCAAACCAGGATTCGTCATGGCTTGTGGTTCCATAGCGCCATGGTGGTTATATTGCTGACCATTCGTGTAGTTTGATGAGGGTGCAGGATAGAGGGCGGATGATGAAGACGAGGGAAGCAGCATTTGGTGCTCTCCGGCCATCGATGGCATATGCGGCGTATGGTTTATAGCATTCTGCGCGTTGGCCTGCTCGACTGGCGCGTTATATCGCAAGGATGATACGGGATGTTGCGCATGTGCGGGAGCGCCAAGTGGGACCTGTGGATGTTCGTATGCTACGCGGGAAGTATTTGGTGAGTCCAGGTATTCTGCGTCATCCCCAGAAAGAGCTGGTGAGGCCATGGATCTAGGCTGCGGAGGCTCCTGATACGGGAAGGCCAGTGTCTTGACCAGATTCAATACATCAGCTTTCTTGCGTTCTCTCTCCGCTGTAGTATCTGGTGTAGGGGAATCTGAGTACAGCGGTGCCAGTGCCTGCAGGATCGTCAACGCTTTGTCTGCCACCGGCATCCATCTACTCTGTTCTAAACATGACGTAGCCTTGCGTATATTCTCGCGGAACAGGCTAGCAGCTGGCTGATCTGGGTGCGATATGAGTTGAAACGAGAAAAACATGGCGGCACTGAAGATATGGAAGGGTCCCCAGTTCATGTGCCCCGGCACTGCGAGCGCTGTATTGGAAAGGAAATCTGGTCGTGCTTGCCCAACAAGCGAGATTAATGCACTGGCAGCGCTGACCGCAATCTCGAGGGAGGTCGGAATATGGGCATATGGTCGATGCAGGGTGAACCGGATATGATAGTACGCAGTCCGAATAATCACACTCTGGACGCCAAGCCGTCGGATAGAGACAATTGGACTACCAAGGGATCGCGCGATATGATATTCGTCAAGATCCATTTCGGGGGGGAGGTTATCCATCCATTGAGTCAGAAGCTTATCTCCTTCTTGAATGGAAGAATAAGACACGGCACGGAACGAGACTGCATCCTCCATGATGTCGCCAAGGATGTAAGCCAATCGAAACAAGGCGATATTGGGAAGGTAAAGACGTCCTGATTTGTCGAGAGCTGGTTCACAATAGGATGGGAGGCGAGTGTTGAAGTGATGAGATGCTATTGCTAGAGGCCGACCAAACATGAACGCTTGCCACCTATGAATTGGTCGCAAAGCAACACCCATCAGCTATCGGTACATCAAGAAAGCAAATGTAAAAGAAGCAAACCTTTCCAGCAGTACAATATGCCACCAAGCCCATCGCCTTCTTTCGGCAACAGCCCTTGGGAACCTTGAGTTGCCTGGATCTCTGTGCAATCCCATGGCTGTTCCCATGCTTACTAGCTCTCCCCGAACACTCCAAGTTTCCTCCGGGTCTTCTTTGGCATATGTCAAATAATGACACCGTACAAGCAGAAGCTCCACGAGCTCGAGAGTATATCCCTTGCCGTGTCCTTCCTCGCGCAAGGTGCGCCGGTACCTATCCAGCGTTTCCAGCATGATGTCGTAATATTTACGACCGATGTCTTCGACGCTTCCCATGAGGCTAGCCAGGAGTGCATGACCCGGTGGTAGGTATCTCACCGTGAGGGAGATGAGGATGCACACCGTGGCCAAGATGATACGATCACCATTCAAACCAGTCTTGAATCGCTCCCATGCGGCAAGAAAGGCTGGTTGGTTGACGTGTCGGTATATCCAATTGCAGTATTCGAAATAATATTCGACTAGGCCGTCAACTGTATGCACTGGGGGAAGCATTGCGACCAAGTCTTTATCGTATGCAACGTTGGCCGTAGGTGCGATTGATGCACTGGTATCCTCACTGGATGGGCCACCTTCGCCTGGACCACGTTCATAGGAAGACCTCCCCGAATTTTCACTGGAATCTTCTTCTTTCTCAGCCTGCTTGAGATCACCAAATGAGCTTAGTAGTGTTCACATCAAGACCAAAACGTACCATAATTAGATGGGAGACAGCGCTAGTAGGGCCAGCGTAGTATCCTCCAGTTCCCTGCTGTCCAAGCATACCAGGCGCATGTGGGCTACTTGCAGCTTTATCCTTTGCTGGAGTACGCGGACGCTCGTAATCAAGCATATCCCGTGCAAGTTCCGCCGCGCCTGGCGTAGTAGATGTAGACGCATGTCGCGCAGAAGGGAGGATGACAGGTGGTGGTGCCGATTGGATTGGTGGCCTGGAATTGGGATGTTGATATACGTACGATTCTAGAAGAGATAAGGAATGTCGTATACGATTGAACTCTGCGCCCGGGTCGACGCGAGACTGCCTGAACGCCAGATCAAGGATTAAAGCCCATATTCAGAACATTCCACGTTAAAGGACAGGATCACTCACTGAGAGTCCTCATTGCGCGCCGAGGCCTCAGGCTCTTGGCCTTGATAACAATGAGCTGTTGTCCCTGCAGCGAACGCAGATGAGTCGTAGTAGCACCACGCGACACGCTTAGAATACTTACCTCTGAGAATACATGATGAACATGGGCGATTCCTGTGAATCCGAGGACAGCGAGGAGATGGTGTTAGCCTCAGCACTTTCCGCGAAATGAGAACAGCGAATCCCTGATCCGGGCATTACGGCCGGACATTTCGTCCCCAGACTCTCGCTTGGGCACTCTGCTTTTGCGAGAAGTCGAGCGGTAGCCCAGCCAAGCCTCTTTGGTTGAGTCCTCCAAATCGCGAACAGGAGCTTAGCTATAGTGACATACTGACCTATCGCATTTTAGCTTGCTGTTCCTGCAGGGTTCACAGTTGATAGCTTTGCGCGCTCGCTTGGTTGGAGGTGGCCGAGACCCGGAAGGGTGATTCGAAGATGAAGGACCTGGAGAATGTGAACGCGGTTGTTTGTGCCGCGACTGGCCTGTAGGCGCAGATTCACCGTCAGCTTGAAGATTTCCGGGCATTCTGCCGCGGTTCGCTGCTTATGGTCGTCGTGGAAGTAAAGTGGTCAACAATGGGACGAAGAATATAGGGCTCATGTGCGATCCTGTCCAGGCTGGAAAAGCAAACGCATTTACGACGGCTCCTCGTGCAGGAAAGCCGCTGGGCGTCTTGACTGCCAAAAGCTTCTGCTCTGTCCCGGGTCTGTCGGCAGTCCGGTCAGCTTGTCGTCGTTGCACTGCTTCCGCGTCGATTAGGAGTTATCGAGGTACGATCTTGCAGTTGCTCGATGCTGACGCGAGTAGTCACCATGATATTCTCCGTATAACGGCATGTTCCAAAAGTTGTAGGTCCATGGTGTGCTTGGTCTGAAAGGGTAGTAGTGGTCAAAATCGCTTATCATTTTATCCCTCTTGGCGCATCCAAGTCGGGCACTTCCAAGGCGATTCACAAGATTCACTTCAAATACATATAACATACTCTGGCTCGTTGTACAACAGAATGTCGCATTACCGATTTAAAACTGCTGATTTTGAGCGTATAGAAAAATAGCCGGACTTTGACTTTGACAGCATTACTCCATCTACTCTCGTAGCTGTCAAGATCAATGGTTACATGTTACATCCCCGCGGAGCAACCACTGTGCACGGCACCGCTCCACTTTACGATCTGCAGCCTCTGACAGGGGGGTATTGCCAATTCGTCAATGTGTTCCAAACCGCCATGGAGAACTCCTACGCGCATCGTCGCTAGCAGCTAGGGGCTCCTGTCAGCACTAAAATAGCACCGTGTATCAGACTCAACGTACGTTCTGAGCTGCATGTGAATGGTCATACACGCCGCCAAGAAAGCTCGCAGTCGCATCCTTACCAATATTTTGGACAAGAAGTCGACGACCTCCAGGATGCTGATCCAGGAAGTCACTCATGTCATGAATGAAGCCCGAGATCACGATCAATGGCCTGCTTCGTGATTGGGCTTGAACTTTAGATTCGAGTGTTAGATGCCGGAAACACGGTAGATGAATGTCCTTATAACGCACAATTGTTCCAGCTGATCACTGGCAGATCATTGGAAGACGGGGGCCAAAGAATACGATCAACCTCGGCTTTCAGAGACTTAAGCTGCATCGTGAGCATACTCTTCTTGACCTCAACATCGGGGAACCTTCGAAGGTGACTCGCCAACCCGATATAGGAACAGGTCGCGATGAACCATTTGGTAGGATCCCATTGATACCATTTCACCGCGTTCCGGTAATCGATGGGGAATTGGTGGTGGAAGTTATGATAACCTTCTCCTAGTGTCACAATGGCAGTCAACAAGTGGTCCCTAGGACTTAGTTTGTCATCGAAGGTTGTATTTCCCAGCCAATGTGCCAGGGAGTTGACGCAAAATGTTGACTAGGATTTGTCGTCAATAAGAGCAATGTGTATCGGAACGAATGTCACAAACGTGGTGAACGCAAGTGAGCCTCAAGAAACCGGCAAAGAAGAGACCGCCTCTCCAATCATCCCAGAGCAAACCTGGGACAGCTGCAGGGACGAAACCGCCGAAAAACAAAGCCAAGACAAAGAACCACCGGTGTTGCCAGTCCACAACTGGGTTCTGCTTGAGATCACTGATATCAGCGGGACCTGGCCGCGTACTAGGCTTCACAAGCATCCATCCAATGTGCGACCAGAATAAACCGTGGTGGGCGCCATAAGGGTCAAGATCGGTGTCAGTGTATCGATGGTGTGCACGATGGGATCTACTCCACCACTTGATGGATCCTTGGACCGCTCCCGCTCCTGCAGTAGCAAGGAAATATTGCAAGGGTTTTGTGGCATTGTACGATCTGTGTGACCATAGACGATGGTAACCTTAAACACCTGTGAGTAAACACGCTTAGTGGCTCATCCGAAGTGAACAGACCGGCAGTGATGCCTGACAAGGGCTTTAGCAGTCATGACACATAATGGTCAGAATAAAAGATATTACCTAACATATTCCACACATAGAAAGCAATACTGAACAGAACTGTTTGCGCTACCGCCCGTGTAGTGAAGATACCATACAGCGATAACAAAGGAGTTGTGGTAATAACTATGACGTTGAACCAGATAACTCGCCCAGGTAGATTGAGAAGAGTAATGGGAGGCAAAGGTTTGATAGCTTCTAGGTGACGATCAACGAACGGACGAAACTCATCGGACTGCGCTTCTGCAGGCGATGGTGCTTTTGAAATAGTTGATCGAGCTCTGGACAGAGAACGTAGCTGTGCAACAGGTCCACGTGCAAGTCGTTGTAGTCCACAGTCGGAGAAGTCGCCAGAGTTCATGGTACGCACCGAGGGAAATGACATCGCAAGATAAGGCGAGGAAGCTCGCCAGGCTTTTTATAAGGGAGGGGGAAAGTCCATCTCTGGTGTTCATTGAGGAGCAGGCGGTATCTTTTCATTGTGCTGATACTTATCCCACGCAGAATCCTAAGACATCAGACGACGTCAAACATAGAACTCCGCCTTTACTGAGTAGAACATTACCATGACATGACCCGTTTCGTAGTCGAAGCAAAGGCAGCTGGGCGTTTCGAACGTACCTACATCAGGAGGGGTCGGGACATACTCACTATGCAGACGCCACCACCTTGGGTAGTCAGCTCGACTTTCCCGTCACTCTGAATAAAATCGCGTGTTTCCTGACATAATACAGCCATTCTTCGAAGAAGCTTTATCGTATACTCGGTGTCTGTCGTGAAGCTGCCGTATCTCGGAACGACACATGGGCGTAGACGGAAAATTCCTGAAGCAGGCAACGGGGCCCGGAGAAGTGAGCTGTAGGAGCAGACATGAGAAAACTTGAGCAAGGAATCTGAGGGTTACATTATTGAGTTCCACGAACTCCCTGCATTACATATGCACCGTGCCACCATCGACTACCAGCGCCATTCCACATCACCAGTAGAACGCCCTCGTACACCCTTGTACGGTTTGTACATCTCACCGGTTATCTTCAACTGATCTACTTTGAGTGAAGAAAAACTGTGTTGGGGGATTTCGAATCTTGCACGAAAAGCATGGGATGGTCGGGGCTGTTCGGCACTGAGGGTATAATTAACATAAGCCATCGTCCAGAAAGCAAAGACAATTTGAAATCGTACGTCGAAGAGAATGTTCCTTTCAAGGAGAAGCTCGAAGACGGCGATACTGCCTTTATGTTCCAGTGAAGAATCTGTATCAAGAAGACATGAAATGGGGGACCGTTCTACGTCAAGGAAGTCGCGAATTTACCCTTGTTCGTGGGTCGAAGTTCCATGACGTGTTATTGGAAACAACACAACTTGCAGAAGTAGCACCTTCTCCAAGGTATAGTTCCACGTTCATGTTCTCAAGCACCTTTGTAGTCAGACGTGATGTCAGGGCTACATCGAATGAACCTGACATAGAAGATCAGCGCGTCTACTGATGTTCGGTACATGCGAAACCCACCCCCGTTCACTTCGCAGTCTACTGACGCCTTTAATGCAAAGGGTACAGCGACATGATGTACACCTCCCGGAGTATATTTGTATTCCATCAGAATAAATCGACCATCTGGCGGGACGAATGACAGGTTTTTGTCTCTCGACCACCGTTGCAAACTTTGACGTCGGTCAGAATTTTAATGTCGAAGGAGGGTGCATACGATTGCGTACCGAACACACGGATGGAACGAACAATCGGTTAAAGGCTGAGCATTGCTGAAAGATAGAAGCAAATCTGGGGTCCCTACACGTTTATTATTAGTATAGCTTGACTACTATGTATAGGTATATGACATACCAGACAGTCTGCAATTTGTGTGGACCTTGCCCCAGACCGAGCTGACAATGATACCGCCATTCCTATGCAACAGGTAAGACTTAGAAACGTCAACAAATTGAATTGATATTCAAACCTACTTATTGACCACCGCTTTTAGCTCCTCCGCGACGTCAAAAAATATCTCGTTGCTGTTGTAACGCACTCCCACCTTGCGCCAAGGTATGGGCGAAGCAAATGGATGTGAATTTGTTCCCGGACTTGCGAGCCCAGAGACGCCAGCGACAGACAGCACTTTCGAAAGTAGGGACGGAGGAAGGACGATGTCCTTCAAAGCATTAATAGAGGTCGTGGATGGATGTCCACCCGCATCCAGAGTTTCTTCCAAAAGCTTGGTTAAAATTTAGCTCATAGATTAAGGGATCCTTCACGTTTTAGACGAACCTGATAAACTACATCGAAGTTCTCTTTCAACGTTTCTGCAGAAAGCTGCCCAAAGTAGTCGCGAAGGATACTAATGAACGTCTCCAAAAAAGCAAAGACATATAGCGGATCCGCTGACTCCCGGGGTCAGAAGTGCAGTGATGCATTCTTATGCGCACGAGTGAAGGACATACTGTCGCCACTCATTAGACCTAGGAATCTCAGCTCCCCGCGCTTGACATGGCAGCACGCGCTGGGACCGTCGATTCCGGTGTTGGGGACATACAGTACTGGGTCTGCATCTGCAGGACGAGGAGCTTTAGAAAGGGCATCATTCAGAGCTTCGATGTGAAGTAGTGGGTATGCAGGCGAAGTCGAACGGAACCCAGATTGTACGATAGGCCGACTTTAAAGCGTCTGAGTAACATGAACACAAATGACCGTCTCATTGAGACTTACCCGGTACTATCCAGAATAACAAGACCGTCGATCGCCATGTAACTAACGCAATAGTAGAGTGAAGGATGTGAAAGCGCGACGTGCGCTGGTGGTCAAGGCAGGTGTGGTCGTGTAAGATGATGCTCCGAGTCGGCAAGCTCGAGTCTCGAGATCGTCGATCATTCATTGAAGCGCTTGTTTGTACAACTTTCTCTCGACCTCTCATATCCCTTTCATCGAATTTCGTTAAGGTGAGTAACTCTACCTTTTACGCTTTCAAGATCACCCAATTGAAGCTATATGATCTGTCTATTCAAGTCCAATCGCAGATGGTCCGTCAGTTCAAATACCACGAACAAAAACTTCTCAAGAAGGTCGACTTCCTCAATGTACGTTCTACCCATTTCTTTGTCACTTTCAGCCTGCTTAACGTTAGGTAACACAGTGGAAGCAAGATGCAAACCTTCGCGAGATCAAACTGATGCGACGTTATCATATACAAGACAGAGATGACTACCACAAGTTGGTCTATCCTGCTCACGTCTTCACCGCTCTCTCTTAATTTTCTCCTCAGGTATAACAAGCTCTGCGGGTCCTTGCGTTCCTTTTCCCATAGAATATCTCTGCTTCCACCACAAGATCCTTCCCGCTCAAGAATGGAGGCTCAGCTGCTCGCAAAGCTATATGACATGGGAGTTCTGAATACCTCGGCGAAACTAAGCGACATCGAGAATAAACTCACGGTCGCCGCGTTCTGCAGGAGGCGTCTAGCTGTGATCATGTGTATGTCGAAGATGGCAGAGACAGTCAGCGCTGTGAGTCTTTGTTTTTTTCTGTTATTGCCCGAGATCCGTCTTTGGCTCATACCGGGATGCTTCGCAGGCAGTGAAATTCATTGAACAGGGTCATGTCAGAGTAGGCCCTGATACCATCACGGATCCAGCATTTTTGGTGACAAGGTATGTTCTACGCGTTCTCGCCTTTGAATTGTGTCACTCATCAATCAATTTCATAGGCACATGGAAGACTTCGTGACCTGGGTAGATACGTCCAAGATGAAGAGGACTATCATGCGGTATAACGATGAGGCGAGTCAATTTGTCTCTTTGCCTTTGGTCCACATGATAAACCTTATGAATCTTCTATAGCTCGACGACTTCGATTTGCTATGAGTTTAGCGCTTGTTGCTGTTCATTCAGCAATCAGGCAGATTTTGCATCTCACACCAAGCGTGTCTGTCCATGCAGGGCCGACTCTGTTTCAGATCTACGGCAAAATCTTGCAATTCGTGACGACGAAGGGACATGCCGTTGCGATCCCTCTGTCACTCTGGCGGGGGTGATCTTGTCTTGCATTCTCGCTTTTGATTGAGTGGGAATCTCCAATGTACCTTGGTCTAGGGCAGAGTTGATCGGGCCAACAGGTCGTGAAGACTACATGGTTAGCTATTTTGGCATTGTTGTATAATAGTACATTGCAAGGCATTAACCGAATCTTACTACAAGAGTACTTCTGCTAATTAAGAGACGTAATGGTAACAACGCGAAGAATTCATTTCCTGACCAAAGAATGAGAGAACGGGGAGAAAAAGAAAATGCCCTTGTATGTTGAATGCTGTCTACCAGTTCTAAAAGTTCGATGCTAGACAGGGCCTGCTGTCTATGGACTCGCCATGTGAGAGTCGCCTCCCGATCTGCGTGCCGATCGCATCGACTCCTCAACGTCAAAACCCTCTCTGCTGCTATCTCCTTCATCCGTATACGTCGAGTATATGCTCGCTGCATCTGAGGACGCAGAGGAATGTGTAGGTCGAATAGTGGGTTCATCGTCAGTAGATCCATCGAACTCGGTCTCTGCTTCGCTCGTTGCTTCCGACACCAGCGAAACTGGGCTCCCTGACCGTCTGAGCGGCCTGGTTGGGCCAGCCTGCGGTGTCTGTACTACCGAGGGTTCCGCAACGTAGTCTGAGACATGAGATGCAACACGATCGTGTTGTGCACCGACGTAGTTCATGTACTTAGTGGGTGCGGCAGGGGATGGTCCGTTCGAAGAAGTGCGAAGGCTAGGAGGGGGTACAAGTGATGGATCGGCGTTGGTTTGGGAGAAACGGATGAGCTGCTCTGCGTAGCTTTGCATCTCTGCCATCGAGATCATCAAGCGGAAGTCATTAAGCAGAAGGAACTGTAATTCCAGCTGGTTAAGTTCGGCCTGTGGAAGTCCACCGACCTGAGTTACATACGAGGTCAGTGATCCGAGGCGACATGAGATGTCCTTGAAGGCTTACCTTGGCATATCGTGAGTTTGTATAAAATACATCACTAAAGAACTTGCTTGCAACAGTCACTCCAGCAATGACGAGACGATGGATATTGTACGAATCGATCACAAATAATCTCCCATTCGCTTCTTTTGCCAACTTCGACATGCGATCAAAATAGACCAGCAACGAGAGAAATACTTCGTTACTGGCGGGACAATATTTCAATATGCGTACAAGGTAGGCTTCGAGGGATATAGAAGGAATGTTTCGCGCATGGAATGCCAAGGAAGACGTGCTCGACAATGCCTCTTTTGAAGCTGTTGTGAGAGTATTCCATATAGGAGGGTGGGGTTCTGAAGGCGAGCAAGATGATTTATGCTGAAGTGGTATAGACGACCCTCCTTCCCTGCGGGTTAAAGAGTCGTTGGTCGTAGCGATCTGAGTCAGCAGTGAAGCTAGTAATCGTAGCAGCTGTTGGGGATCATATGTATGAATGTTGAATGGCTCCGGCTGTGGTTCGCTAGGTGGATCGATTTGCTTTCCCCTCTGATGGGAGAAGCCATCCCCACTGTCTCGGCGAGAAGGTGCTGGATGGGGAAGCTGGGAAGAAGATGGAATGTGAGGTAATGGACGCCTAGGAGACGAATGGTCCTCCCTAAGGGAAGGCCGGCTCGTTGATGATGCAGGCAGTGTTGATGAGAGTGAAGGGGTATTCGAACTTGTTGTGACCGTAAACGAAGACGGTCTGCGAGGACCAGGACGCACAGGCCGAGTAGTCGTGGAGGATGGTGTGGATCTATGAGAACAATCTACGGATGTATGCTGGACGGGGTGGGCCAGCGCAAGCATACTTCAAACGTGTGCGTTGCAACAAATATTGTCTGGCCAATTCTCTCAGGACGAATATAGGATGTTGTGGTCGTGAGGGCGGAGAAAATGAAAAAGGACGGATGTGGCCAGAAGAGAAAGAGTATGGTGGCCGACAGGCGCGACAAACTTTCGTGAAAAGCTGCTGGCGCTTCCATTCCCCGTCCACAATTGGCGCGGTGGCGTTGCACACCATCGTCCGCGGCAAACGTTGCTCAAGCAATGATCGTTTAATGAACGTGGTCGCACATGTCTTCATAGCATTTCTACGACTACATTCAATAATAACCACTACGAACAGCGTCCTGCAGTATAACGAATAATAATCCTTGCAAATAATGCAAATAATGATAATCAAGTAACTCCTCGCGATACTAATACAAGCCGCCCACTGGCAGGTCACCCACATACTGTACTACTCGGATACTACTATACAGCTCTCTCCACTCGACGGCAGTGATATATAGTCCAGCGTCCTCGGGGCGCGACGAAATCTATGTGTCATGCCGGAGCATGGTATAGAAGGCTGCGTGGCACCAACTGGAACAGGGTTGTGCTCGACGAAGCTATCGAGCGGCAGCAGAGAGCGCAAAGGTCTGACTTGACTCAGTCAGCCCGGGAAAAGTTGAGACACGCCCAATGGAGGATCCGCGAGTTCTTCGGGATGATGGCACAAATGGAGATTGTTGAGCAGGACTACCTAAGAAGGCAAAATGCGAGGCGGAGGTAGACGCTTGAGACGCTTGAAGTTGTGCAAGATAAAACGGATCGGTATTCGCAAAAGTTGAGGTGGGCGACGCCTCGCCGTATTCCATGGAATGTGGCGAATGCATAGTGGAAATTGGGTGGTCGGTCTGGAAAGAACGTGGATAGAAGGAGTGGTCGTTCGAGGGGAAATGTGTCGAGTACGAGCAAGCTGAGACAGGCGACGAAGGGAACAACATTTCGTCGACCATACGCTCGTCTTCGTCCATTCGGTCGTCATCGTATCCTAGCTCTTGGGAGACCTCACTAATAGACTCTGGCCTGGCATTCCTACTTGCCACACTACAACTTCGACTGCGAGCTAGACGAGCGTGTTCGAAACTGAAGCTAGTCGAAGGAGTTCGGTTTGTAGGTGTATTATACGGCTGAGTGTATCCCCCATGGTGCACTTTCTGCATGTCTAGTGCAGTTGGACCAGTGTGCTTTGGCAGCGCCTGGGAAAGCTGCTTCTGTACAAATCGTGAGTTTCATCCGTGTATTTGAGGCGGAAAAGCAGAAATCGAACATACCTGCAAAGCAGCGAGGTCTATAGCCTCCTGACCGATGTGGTTTGCACCAAGGGATGCAACGAGGTCGTCTACTGAGATGCTCATGTTGAGAATGTTGGTGAGTGTGAGGAACAAGAACTGCAAACACAGGAGAGGAAGGATTCTGCCCCGGTGTCCATCATCTGTCTCTTGGTTAATCTGTCTCAAATACCCCGGACCGGTCCCGAGGCATTGAAGCATGGTCCCCTCTCGGATAACGCCGGCCCCGATCACCATCCCCACCTCCGACTTCACCCCGCACTGCAGTTCCCCCGAGAGCTTAAACTTAAGCTGTGAATAAGAGACGATCTCACAGCTTGGAAGCGCCGGAAAGCAGGCAATAAAATAACACCGACAACATTTAGCTCGCCCGTTTCGTTGTTAGCACGAGCATTCAATTCATTTGTTCCTCATGAGTCAAGTCAAGGCGTTATTGTCATCGACTTGTGTTAGGGACTCAAACATCCGCGCGTCGGTATCCAACAGTACCCGAAGTTCTTCCTACAAGAACAAACTAGGTCAGTCTCGCCGTCATCTATTCATATGAATGATTCACCTCCGCCGAGGATGGGCACGCCTGGAGTAAACATTGCGTCACTTCTCTCAGCTCCTTCTGAAGCAACCGCACGTCTGTGCAAATGTCCGAGCTATCAGCCGAGTTCAGAATATGTACAGTAGGTCCGTTACCTTCATTGTCCTCTCCAGTATCTTGAAGGATTACCCATCTTTGTGCAACGGCACTCATAACGGTGCTCTTCCACTTGTGCATTCGCGGAGCGCATTCTTGGATCGTCACTTGCAAGGCACGCAGTGATGTAATTTGAAGTTGCGGCGATGACGAATTCTCGAGCCTTGCTGTGAGTGGGAAGACTAACTGTGGGATGATCGCCTATACGAAGAAAGTTAGTTGCGCATATACTAAGACGCTTCTCTCACCTTCAGGTATCTTGCTGTGGCAATCCCCAAGGCCTTAATAATCACAGGTAAAACGTCGATTGTAGCTTCGACAGTATCCACGTCTCGCGACGCATAGGTCCAGATGCTGCCTATTATGCAGTCACCAAGCAAAGTGCACAACTGATCAAATCGTGCACCAGAGCCTTCGGGTGTTGTCAACCGCGCCAGCGACACCCAAGTTAGCGCGACCTCTCGGATGAGATCAGCAGTCGATGGGTTATGCAAGAAGGTCATGCATGTCTTCATACTCTGGCAAGAAGGTTATTTTTCTGTGAAAACAGAAAGAATGTGGACTACTCACCGTCAGCAACAGCGCATCAATTCCAGTCCGTTTGAGTAAGTCAGATGGCACATTCTTCAAAAGTTGTGATACAATACTAAGTCCTTGCAATTTGTATTGGATCTGGTAATCGTCAAGCAAGATCATCATTGGCGGAATCAGCAAATGCCACAGTCTCTCATATGTTGAACCCTATTAAGGATTAAATCATCGCCCCCGATACGGAAAAGTCGGGATGAAGCTTTACTTGCCTCCATGTGTGAAACACACCATAGGATGACATTCACAATGCCCGGGTGCGATTTCCATACCTGGCCTTCATAGTAGTCTTGTTGAGCTAAAGGACCGCCTAATGTCCGAGGTAGCTTTCGCGCAGAACTTGGATTGAGCATGGGGTGAGGGTTGGCTTGAAATACCGGTTTGACATAGAAACTTAATACGCGTTCGAGTAATGGCACACTTGGCGCAATATGTTCTAGTATACCTGCGCAGAGGTCGTAACGACGGAATGGGTTGCTTAGCCTGATTGATGTACATACCTTTAGCTAACTTCCTGTCAGTCTCAGAGCTCCATAAGCCTTCCCCGTAGAATGCAGCCACAGCGTAAGCAACAGCTGCTAATCTTTCTACATCATCAGTTTTGGTGTCAGAGTCACGCAGCTTCAACTGAAGCTGCAATAAAGTTGTGTGTGCATCGCGCTTCCAGTGCTCCAACCGAGCAGCATCTTCTTGAGAGCCGTTCTCTGGGTCACGAAGGTCGGAAGGGATGTGTAGCTGGTTAAGAATGGGTTCAAGTTCTGCAAGACTGGTGAGTGTGGACATGACGGAGTCATACCAAAGTCGCGATCGGGATCAACAAACATATTAACAGACTCAAAGCGACGCGTGTCGCACGTGCCATATCTGTGCTTACTTCTTCCCTTCATTCGGTTTCATCGCCGCAGTGAACGATAGGAGACACCTGTTTTGCTCCTAAATATTTGCTGTCTGTGTAGCTTGCACAATCAAGCATATCTCATTGTATTCTTCGCCCCGAGTATCGCTGGAATATTTATCGACACTAATACCCAAGGATCCTTCACTCCACGGGTGGCTAACGTTGTTGCACTTCAACCATGAATACAAAGCTACTGTCTAGTACGCATCATCTGAAAACCATCCTATTCTTCCACTTACACTTTTGAACCTATAACTCAGACCCGTTCAACATTACCTACCCAACCGCCGTCCAAACATCCCTTTACTCCCAAGCATCCTTCGCCAAATTCGACCCCAGTGGTCGTTTCGTAGCAGCCGGCCTCCCAGACGGCTCAGCACGAATATGGGATCTAGACACAAAGAGCACTGTGCGTTGGCTCGAGGGACATGTGAAAGCGGTCACTAGCGTCGAGTGCGTGACTTGAATGTTTTCTTTGAGGACGTGAGTACTCATATTGCTTTGTATTGTATCTCGTTTTGTGTGTGAATGTGCTTGCATGTGAAATGTAGTTGGTCGAGATACTCTAGATATGTCTTGACGTCTTCGAAAGACTGGAATGTGGTAATTTGGGATCTGGCGTCGGATACGGACCCCCCGAGGCGTGTGGCTACTGTGAGGTTCGATGCGCCTATTGCGTCTGCTTCGTTTCATCCAAGGAATAGGTCAGTCTTCCTCGCGGTGGCTCATTTCATTCAGCGTGAGCTGATATGCAGCGAGATAGTCAGATCCTGCTCGTCCTACTGAGCGTCGGAGAAGCGTACATCGTTGACTTACGAAAAGAACACCGTGGACGTACAGAACTTTGTGAACCCGACGACGCGGACGAGGATAGCAGGCAGAGGTGTGTATCACTGCTGTATCTTCGTTCCAAGATAATGACTTGGTGTCCAGGAACGCTGCATTCACAGTAGCCCGCTTTGACCCTTCAGGAAAACACATATTCATAGGTACCTCTGCGGGCTATATTGTTGTGTTCAACTCTAGAACTAAGACGGTATGTCAGCATTTCCTCAGTGTTCCATTTTTAATATGAATATCGTGATTATTTCACCTGTAGATGGTCGCCAGACATCGAATAGCAGGCGCAGGAATCTTAAAAGGTCTCGATTTCACCAAGTCCGGACGGTACGTCTTATAACTTCTTCGTCCTGTTTCATCAGCCTTTACCATGACTACCTTCAATCAGCCGTTTGGCGACAAATTCTTCAGATCGTACTCTCCGCCAATTCAATCTCCCTGTATACCCTTCACCCCCGTCAATCCCCACTTCCTCCTTCACCCCTCCTCCATCGTCCCCTCCATCCAACCTCTCAAATGGTGCCAATGGCTCAAACGAGATGAATGAAGTGAATGGGACTATAAACATGGACGCGTCGATCCTAGAAACGGAACTCGAACCGATGTATCGCTTCCACGACCCAATCAACAAAGTCGCGTGGCATTCGATGAGTTATAGTCCAGATGGGGATTGGCTTGCGGGTGGTATGTTTCAGTTTATTAACATGAGATGATGTAGGAGAATTGAATGGATTATCGCGCAGGGGCGGCGGATAACGCGACACACAAGATATACATCTGGGACTTACAAAACGAGGGCCAGTTCGCGAGTGCGTTGGATGGTGGGAGGGAACCGCTTGTACACATCCATGTACGTCTTGTTACTCGTTTTATTACAATCCCTCTCCGCTTCTTTTCTTCTACAAACTCATTAAATCTAATATTGAAACCACATTGGTTGTGATAGTGGCACCCAACAAAACCCATGATAGCCTCCACAACCAACCGAGGCAACATCCTGATCTGGCACTGCCCCACTCCAGAGAGATGGGGTGCCTTTGCGGGTGGGTTCGAAGAAGTGGACGAGAATGTGGAGTACGAAGAACGGGAAGACGAGTTTGACATCGTGAGTACTATTATCCAATTACTTTCTTTCAACCAACATGTCGGTTTATCAACGTTTTGATATATAGGAAGACGAATCAGACTTTATCATGCGCAAACAGCGCATGGAAGAAGAACCCGTGGACATCTTCGCGCTTGAGGACACGCCAACCTCTACTTCTCTTAACGCCCTCACAAGCACCACTACGAACGGCCACTCTCATAACCCTCATCATTCTCTTTCTGCCCCTCTTCCTCATCCCCACCGACAATGGCATGACAGTAGTAGCGGTGCAAACGGAACGGAGGTAGCCTCACGATCTCGAGACGAAGACGAAGATCTTGCGTGGGCCGACGAAGACCCCGATGAAGATTATATGGAGTGGCGGTTGAAAGTGCTGATGGAAGAAGACGAAGATGTGCGTTAGAGATTCGTTCTCGTTTCCCATTGGCTATCCAGGATCATGGCATTGAGTATCCAATAATTTTCTATTGACATCCTGGATACCACCTTTGCAACACGTTTGAGTGCAGATTCGCTGGAGCAGTCTCGTAAGGACTTTTTTCGAAAGGCTGCGAGGTCAGGCATCAGTGCTACGCGTCCCGATCACCATGGGCTCCACCGAGAGAGACGGTCATCTAATGATAAACATCGGAGCAGAACCTTCCTATTCTTGTCTCCTCGCACTTTCAATTAATATGGATACTAGTGCCTTCAGGAGGATTTCATTGCTCCTTGCACCTGCTCGAGTGCTTCAACTATCAATTCGGCTTGTCAGAGTTCATGCCTTGCCTGCGTTGGCGACTTGCACCGTGAGCGCGCGAGCGCGTTCAAGCTATCCTTGGGTTACGAGTCGCTGGTCTTTAATACACAGGATCCTACGCAGCGTCAGTTGCGTGAGATTTCGAGACGCGTCTTTCAAGCATAATCAATGAAAGCCATGCATCGCCAGGATGCTAGCAGTGAGGTGCGTATTAGCTTTTGTCAGATATGACTGACAAAGAACGGTGGTTCTTCTGTACACGTTTTATGCTCGCGTGTGCATCTATTTAACCACATTCTGCTCATCGCAGGCTGTGCCAACCTAGGTGGCATATGCTCGCCCATCTTATATGTACAATGGCAACTATTCCTTCCAAAGACACTGCCGTCGTTAACGCCGATAATGCAGAGCCTCTCTTATTTCCCTCTACCACCGATGGTGAGACATCTGTCACTACCTTGCCTCTCGAAATATCTAATAGGATGTACTCAAGATATGGAAGTCGGCCCCGATTCTACCAAAGTATGTGATAATCTTGTTTTCCTTGTGTGTATTTGTAAACTCGGTATGATCAGGTCCATAGGACACCCAGGACCATCTACGAAAGGCCTTTATCTTCCTTACCCGACACACACGAGCCTATAGATATCGCTCCCAAGGCCACGCTCCAACGCTACCGCCTGGTATATTGCCGGCGCTTCGTTGATGAATGCACTCTTCAGATTGACGGGTTCGACGAGTTCCCAAATGTCGAATATGCCACGATATCTTACGTCTGGCATGGCAACAAACCAGACTCTATCTGCGAGCTTGGCCAACTGTTTGCCGTCAAAGGAGCTGAAGATGCTGATTTAATTAGCGTCAACCTTCTGAGGCAAACCCGTATGGTAGTGGCTAGACAGGCTGTGCATCCTGCAGACTGACCGTGACGATAAAAAGTGGCAGATTGCTAAAATGTTTCAGCTTTACCAGTCATGCAAGCTGTGTATCGTGTTGCCTGCGGGTTTGCAGGTTATCACTGACTTATAGAAGGAGACTACATGGTTATATCGTGGATGGACACTGCAGGAAGTCCTAGCTCCTCCTATGGCTTGGGTGCTTTTCAAATGGGATCGAGGAGCTGGAAGACTAGGAACAGGTACGGAGTCTGACTTGCACTCGGACTGGATCGAAGGAGGCCCGATAACGGAGAGCGCTCACCTCTCTGGACGACTAGAAGTTGAACCTGGACAATCAGCAATGGCGGAATTTTTCTCATTTTGCGCGGCTCCTTGATGGGTTTTTGGTTTCAGCCGGCGTCCCAACCATGGGATAACATATTCAGCAATCAGTTCCGCGTCGATGTCTTCAAGACTCCACGCTCTAAACTCGCCGTATTCGAACTCCCGAGAGAAATACAATCGTTGGGATGACGGCAGTGAATGTCCATGCTCAGCAAGTGCGTTGGCCCTTGCCGCAGCCATGGACCCGAAGGTTCGCTTCTGCAGCACTGCACGTACAGTACACGGAATCATGCCATGTGGAAATGTGCACTCATGTGAACATCCTCTCGACCCGTCGATATGGTTTTCAGTATCATGGGTCTTTTCGGTGTCACCCTCGATACATATGCATATGACAAGGATGACAGGTTAGGGGCAACGATAGCGCTTATGAAGGCAATACTAGAGAAAGGTGGTAGCGCATGCTGGTTCGCTGCGTCAATCCATCTGCCACCTTGTGACATCAGCTCTCCACACTTCCAACCCTACCTCAAACGAGTGTATCTGGGAAGGCTCTTGTTCGACATCAAAACGGACTCGTATATCAACCCTCGAATGGGTCGATAATCAGTTCCCGTGTTCTGAAGAGTGCTCGATGCCAACGGGCACTCTTGATTCCCGTGGGTACTTGATAACCACTGTGAAAGCGGTGCACCTCAAACCATCCATGAAGGGTGAGCATGAGCACCTGCGCGATGCGAACGATTCCAGCGACCCGGGTTCTACATGAAGATCTAAAGGTTGGGTCAACGCCTGGTCAGAGCATAATCTATGTATCGGTGGTCCCGATGACTGGCGCGAACTATTAATCGAAGACAGGGGCATTTGTGATGAAAATCTGGTAAATATCCACAGAGCCGAAGAATCCATTCCGAAACGTCGTTACGTCTGCATTTGCACGGAAAGGTTGATAAATCGATATGGTTTCGTGAAGGGAGTCCGGAAATGGTATCAGGATGAAAGTACTATGGATGACTCTGAACCCATGGTGCCTGTTACGCTCAAGCTTGTTATCTAACACGAAACTCCATGTGAGATGCCCTGCAATGGATGAAGGATAGAGAACCCTAAACGGTAATTACTAACAGGTGGTCTCCCTCAGGCAGGTTCAGCGTTCATCGTTCCCTCGGGATATCTTTATCTGACCTAGCAGGATGTTTGCAGACTCATAATAGCACTACAATTTCGTACAATGACAATATTACAACTTTTATTGTCGTCACTTGTAAAGCATCTCTAATAAATGTATCATACACGACTATTTTATACCACCAGCTTAGTGGCCGCATGGTGACCCGTGATCGTTATGAAGTCCATGATCAAACAAGCAAAAAGTCAAAAATCAATATTTGAGCTTGACAAGAAAAGCAAGAGAAATCTGACTATGTATCGGAGGAAAAATGATTATACTACTGAGAAAGCGATCAAGAACCGAGGGAACAAGTACTTTGAGATCAATATGAGAAGGATGAGCGAGATGTGAGAGTACAGCTACTAAAGAGGTTAATGGGAATGACACAAGAAGCAAGAGAGGATGATGGGGAAAAGAAGACTATCAGAATGGCTACGTAGTAAGTGGTGGTGGTGGAAGTGAAAGTTGAACGGCGATGATGCATGATGTGTGATGTAGGTATGGATGCTGATGGGAACGATAAGCAAATGGAATGCGAGCAGAAGGCGCATAGGAGCGACAAGAGAGCGATGGCGAAGAACGATGGGCAAGAAGGTCAACGTGCAGAGGAGAGAAGAGGTAAGCATGAGGGACGTGTGTAACAAGAATCCCAATGTTCAAGCTCAACGATTGCAAAAAGATGGGAAATCGCAACACTCAAGCAAGGCCATTAATAGCCATACCCTCTCGATCCACCTCCACTGACCATGGTATTCACATTCTTGCTCGCTCCCGGCAAGCTCACATTCACACTGACCGGCGGCCCACCAGGGCCTCCTGCCGGTGCCTGACCATTCGACCCGTTCGAACCTGCATTATTTGCCTGTCCGTTGTTGCCATTCACCCCGTTCACTCCATTACCGGAATGCCCAGAGTGGACTCCGTTTATGGGTACGGCGGCAGAGGCGCCATGATGGGGACCGACCCCGACGCCTGCAGCACCGACAAGTGCGCTGAGCCGCGAGATCTCTTCTCGTGCAGCGACGAGGGCAGCGGTGAGTCGTTCGTTGTCATTTGAAAGATACTCGACTTTGGCTTGCAACTGTGCTAGCCAAGCTTTCTTCCGTTGCCTGCACTTTAATGCAGCTACAGAGGAAAATGAGCACAATGATAAAGACGAGAAGGAAATGACGTACCTTGTCTGTTTCGTTCGAGGAAGTTGCGACGTTTCTCTTCTTCCGTCTCTGGCTTCTTCGGCTGCCCATTACCCTTCTTGCCGTTGGCCTGCGGGAGTTCTTCTTCTTCCTCTTCTTCCTCCTCACCAAAGTCCAAACTCTGAGTCGAGGCCCGTCTAGCGTTCTGGGTAGCCGTCGATCGTGTGCGCTTCGAGCTGGACTTCGGCGGAGGCTCTTCTAATGCCGGCGAGGGTTCGTTTGCTTTACGCTTTGTGCCTCGCTTCGGAGGAGCGGCCGGAGCAGCCGACTGACTGGCATTGGCAGCGGCGGCGGCGTTCCTCTGTGCTTCTTCACGCTTAGTCAGCTCCTGGTGAGCCTGAGAGAGGAGGAAAAGCCCATTGGCAGCAGTATTGGCAGCCGTTGCAGCACTGGTGACATACTCGGCGTTGGAGGAACGGTGAGACGGAGAATAACCAGCGGTGACATGTGACATGGACAGGGGTGAAGGGTTACTGGTAGAAGATGAATTTTGGTGCGAGTTCTGTTGGTTGGAGAGGACGCCAGTGATGGCTGAGAGGGTGTTTGGAGTGATAGTGGCAGCTACAGATGACAAGCTCGCGGCCTGACCAGCGTTGTTGTTCATCATGGCGAGGAAAGCAGCGGTGTTGGGGCTAGGTGGGGGAAAGCTGACGGGCCCCCCGATAAGGGGGGTGAGGCCCGTCGCTGGAGTGAGACCGGTGCGAGGTGTGAGGCCAGTACGGAAAGAGGCAGGGTCAAAGGACGATGATGGCTGGTGGTGGTGAGAAGTAGTCTGAGGTTGGGGACCTGTGAGCATGGCAGGGGAGAGGGGCCCCGAGCGGAGAGAGTTGGAGAGACCAGCGGAAGAGAAAGCCCATGAGTAATTGGCGGGGTCGGAGGGGGAGTTGATTGCAGCGACAGGAGGGAGAAGAGGCTTTGGGTCTGGCGAGCGAGACTGGTTGTTGGACTGGCGGGATTGGGGACGATCGGAGGGAGCATCGTTGGAGGAGGACTCGTCGTGGGTCGGGGACTTGTGAGCAGTCCGGATAGACGAGTCGTTGGAGGGCCGGGCAAAGGACTGCTCGAAGGGATTAGGCTCGAGATCAAAAGTGCTCCGCTTTGGGCGGGGCGGCGGGGGACGTTGGGGAGAGCGGTCGGGAGGCGGAGAAGGCGGGGAATGAGACATTAATGGCTAATAAGCCCACGATGGACAGACGCAGTGAGAGTAGTGACGCAGCGACAGTGACGCAGGCAGCTCTGACGCAGGACGATGGTGGTCTCTCCCTTGTGACGACAGTTTCCTCCTTTTCCTTATGACGTGGGTCTTCGTCATTATCTATACTCCGTCACTACAGCGGACTTTCAATTCCTCATCAGGTGCCTGGGTCTGCCCAATCGGCACTCCCTCTATCCCAACCTTCTCCACCTCCACGCGCCCGCCTCCCTCCTGACCAGCCGCCCCCGCCGCCCCGACTCGTGCCCGCAGTCGCTGGGAACGTCCCTCGTCCCTGAACTCCGTTCCGTCAACTCACTCCAAACACGTTCCCTTCAACACTCAGACTCACTCCACCCTTTTCAATCCTTCCAATCTTCCTTCCAGGCCCTTCTCGGCAATATCCCAATGTCATTCTATTTCATATCATCAGCAGATCGCCCTGCTTTGTCACCCTTATCGTTGAACGTTGATTCTCTCCTCGCAGCTTTCTTTGCGCTCTCTGTGGCTCACCTTGCACTCCATATTTTCCTCACCACCTCTCTCCACTTTTCCTTACCACCGTACCTCGATCACTCCGGGCTCGCCGAAAGCACCCAGACACCACCGACATGAGAACCATTTCGTTTATAAAAACTTTCCATTGGCAGCGTCAGGTCGGCTCTCGGCTGCAAATCCGCGACAGTGCGAGAAAAAGGCAAGTAAAGAAAGATACAGTGCTTCTGTTCCTTGTCTTCTATATCCACCGATACCCCGCTCGTATAACGGACATGAGATAACAACATGAACGTTACCACTCACAGAAATGAGGGAATGCGGTACATGCCTTTTTGCTTCGCTTCTCAGAACTCCAGAGTATCGCGGTAGAAGCATAGGTGTTAATTAAATACGCAAATGAGAACTGTTGTGCAGTTACTTCGTCGGTTGGGACATGAGAACCAACTGTTTGGCAACATTCGTATTGTGAAGGGTTGCCAGTGGGTTGCCCAAGGTCCAAGTGTAGATAACACTTTTGGGACCTCTGCCCTGGGTCGTTGGGTTCCGTTTTCGGACTCGATCGAAGGATGTTTCTAGCCTCGATACGGAAGCATGCAAGCAGTCGCGTTTCAATAGGATAGAATCCGATTCCGACGGATTCAGTAGGCTTGTACTCGGGCTGGGTTACAAGCCCCTCGATTTAACGCGGACTAAAAAATGCCGTCAACTGCAGATCACACATGAAAGTAGCACATTTTCGGGACCGGAGTAAAACTGGGTGAGGATCGGAGAGATAGGGTCTTCACATCCGACTTGTAGGGTTGAATGTCGATTGTTGAAGGGGAAACCTCTGACATATAGAGATAGTCAAGGACTGAGGGTTTTGATGGTGCCCAAGAACATAAGCAGCCTTGTGTCTAGAGCAAGTCGGAGCACGCTCGTGACCCAGGCTACCTGCAGAAGCCCTACGAACATGCACTGCAATTAGAATCATCTTCCGGGTGACGGGTGATATGAACTGCTGGTCATCCTCACCCCGGACGTCTGTCAAGTCTTTCTCGAATCGTATTCATGTCCATGTTATATTCAAGAGCTCCAGATCCGGATAACGTGAAGTTATGGTTCTTGCCGTAAGTAGCGATGCACTTTTGAGCTTCTTGGAATGAGGACCAGCCCCAATCATGTGGTTTGAAATTCGAACTATGAAATGAAAGCGTCCGAATTCGAATTTCAAGCGAACTCAGACGCAGTTCGAAATCGTCAATGACAGAAGACCCACGGGAAGCCAAAAACGAGAGTGTAAACCTCAGGGCGAAAAGGATCGCATCAGTAATGGGCTCTAACTCACAAGCTCATCATCACCTAGGATACTTGAATTAACGGCAGAAGCTCTGCACATAAACACGCACATCACACTACCATTAGAATCCTGTTAGTATTGAAAAGCGATACAGAACCGGAGATCATCCTTACCCGGCGTGGTTATTATTACAAAAACAGCTTCTCGAACCGCGTTTATTTCCGGATCTTCTTCTGTAGTCGCGCATGCTGCAGAGAGGACTTGGAAACCGGGGTTGGGATGTCATATCATGAGTACTAAACTGCGGACTCGGAAGATAGTCGTGAATAGTCCGTGTTGTGCTACTACCATGAAATCTATTGGAATTTCATTGGCAGCACGCGCGAAAACACGCAGCCAGTAGCTGAATAATGTCTGGGATGTCGAATCAATACAAGCCAATCAGGGAAACCGACGATCACACCTACGCTCTAGTTCACTTACGGAGCGAAGCATTAGTTATCGGTAGTCAAACACGATCGGCGCAGCTACATGCAGCGCTCCGACATCGTCACTTAATACATTCACGTTAACGCTCAGTCCACTAAAGGAACACGTTCTGACTTTTCGGATTCCATACAGCCTAGCACCGTTCATGATGGAAGACACGACTACAACTTGACCCTGAGTCAGAGATCTGACATTTCTAGGTAGAAAGTGCCCTGAACGTGGTCTTGCTATAAGCCTCGAGGCTTAGTAAAAAGGAAGTGAATGCCAACTTTGGAGACAAGTCGAGAGCTTGTGGCTGGGAGGGCTGGAAGGGCGGAAGAAAAGAAGCCGTGGTTGGGCCGAGTTATTGCCACCGAGGGGAGCAAGAAGGACAAGCGCAGAAGAGCCTATTGGTGAGAGGATAGATCTTGACTCGGAGTGGAGAGCTTCGCACGGAATGTCTTTCAATGGAATCGATGGAGCCTAAACTGGTCATTGGTTCAGCCATGAGGGAGAGTCCCTGGAAACCTGGAAAGTGATCTTTTTGGATCTTCGGTGCGAAGGCGTACGGCGTGTAGGGAAAGACATTGGATAGTCTTCAGTTAGACTGTTCCAAGGAAACCGGTCATTAGGGACCTAGTGTCACGATTCTGTTGAACGAGGCTGCTATGTGAAATGATAAATGAGCTCGATGTTTAGGACATGCGTGTACATCCAATTAGCAAGTCACCTGAAGGACTGTATAGAGTTACTTAGAGACGTATCGATGGTATTAGATGCGTCCGTGAAGGAGATCCAGGGAGATTGACAGAAGGTCACAGGCTATGCTGAAACGTGGTGGGTCAGTTGCACAGTTACCAAGTGCCATGAGTCAAGCCAAGAAGTCGGTAGTGCTGGTTTAAGTTGGGAGTGCCAGAACACTCCACTTTGGGTTGGTGTGGTTGCTATTGATAGCAGCTTGTGAACAATCGATGGTGCAACTTCAAGCTGAAGGGAAGTAGTCTCCGTGTCTGACTCTATGCCATACAAGGCTCTGCATGAAGGTTGATCCACGCAAGGGAAGTTGCTCGAGACCGAATGAATATGTGTCACACGATGGGAGGGATGTCTTTCTACAAAGGGAATTGAAACTCTCTTCAAAGCCAGAAATAACACGGAGTAGAAAAGACGGGGATCCAAATTCAAGTCTACATGTATACACGAAAAGTTACAAGGCGGGACACTCCGTTCTATCCTATAGCCACCTGAGATGTAGTTAACGATACATAACATTTAAAGTCTTTATCTTTAATCGATGTCAACTGACCCCGCGCAAATCGTCCCAAGGAGAAACATGGACACGTTGGAGGGAAAGGGAAAGGATAAATAGAACTAGGGACACAAGAGGAGGTAGGGGGTGCAACGATACAACAATCGGTGGGAATTAGTATGTGAGGATGCTATACGGGAGAGCTGGAATACAGTTGTTGTACGTCGTTGTACCTTGGGATTGTTGTACAGCTGATGGTATCAAAGACCTTGCTTAGTTGCTTGTAGCGCGCACAACGCAGCTGCGGATGGACGTGAGCTGAATGCACATATGACAAGAAGCAAGGAAAGGAGACTAACCTCCAACACCGCTACCATCTTTCGCGAGACCGATATTTAGACGCGCCTCCACTTCCTCCCCAACGAGTGTTCGAACGGATGCACGCAATCGTGCATTGAAGTTGGGGTAGTGCTCGATCAGACTAAAAAGTTGCGGGTCAACGAGTGATCGGTCACAATCGGAATTCTGAAAGATGATAAAAGACTCACCTGCCATCAACACCAATGGTGATCTTCTCATCCTTCGGCACGAACCCACCACCCAACTTCGCTTTCTCTGTCTGCACAAGTACAGCAGCAATCGCACATCCACTCAACTTCGCAGCCCGATTGGCTACCAAACATGATGTCCAGTGTACAATGGCAGCATCACGCAATGTAACATCTGCTGCATCCAAAGCGAATCTCTGGATGACGATATTGCGTATCCTCTCCAATCGGGACCTGTCTTCTGGCGAGAGTTTATCTACTTCAGTGAAATGGCGAGTCGGGGTTGATAATGAAGGGTGGGGATGAGCGGCAGAAGCGTTGGAGATCGCATGTGAGCCGTTGACTAGCTTGTCATTCGATGAAGGCTGGTCTCGGCCATTCTCCCATGCTTGTTCAATCTCGCTCATGACGGCTGTATCTAGCCCATAGTGTTTGTTCAGTAAGGCGCTGGCCCGACCATTGAAAAGGATCGGATATGGGGCGGCATCGATCAGGGACAGGATAATGTTGCGCGTGATCTCGCCGAGGTACATGCCTGAGATGAATTTCTCAAAAGCTTGGAGACGGGGATTTATTGATTCTCGGTCGAGTTTGTTGTCATAAGGAGTTGTTGGAAGTGTCGTTCGCTACAAATAGTATTTGTGTCAACATCGACTATGCATAGACACTGACAAGTATTGTCAGACGTACTGTGTTATTAAATGCTCCCCATTCTGTGTTCACGACCATGTCGCCACCATGTTTCCGCGCTGGTGAGTCGCCCAACTTCGTAATGTTCTCCACTTTCTCGACATATGCGCCATTAGTGCCAGTCCCAAAAATACTACCTGTTGGCATGCAGATGTAAGGAGAGAACGATTACAGTGCAAGTGAGATACCTACCAAGTATGCAACCACCAGCGGTATATGCGCGTGAAAGCAGAGCACCAACAGTCTAGTTACATCATATACTCCCTCAGAAAGGCATGAAACAAACAACACTTTGTACTCACGTCGTTCACGAGCGCAACACATCGTACATGCAGGTGCTTCCTGTCAAACGCGTCCTGAAGTAGCTGTACAACATCATGACCAATGGCATTCTTCGCTGAGAAGCCCTTCGTCCATGTTAGAACCTTGCCTCTGTTGAGTGCAGTCTGTTCAACAGGGAAACTGAATGTAAGACCGAGTGGAACTGCAGGGCTTGAATCACTCGTGTCAAGGAGGTCGAGCGCTGAACTGCCCGTTGCAAAGGGATCTGGGGGTGCGCTGTTAGGTGAGCTGGGGAATTCGGTGAGGAAGGCATCGACAGAGTCAGCAAGGTAGTCTAAGAACTCTCGTAAGTGCTGATAATAGACACAAATACGATGAGTGACTGACCAAAGAGGGCAGTAGCTTCTCCAGTCTTGAGAGCTTCTGATACTCGATACTTCTGTTGTCGTAGAGTAAATTGGTGATTTCCTTTGAGTTGTACTTCGCAGACTCGACTGAAGAGTGTAAAGTAGGTTGCACATTCGGTTGTAAGGATGCGCGATCTTACAGGTTTGTTCCACCGAGATCGAGGGCGAGGAAGGTCCTGCAGGGAAACTATGGTTTAGTAACAATTTGTAGACATAGAAGGCACAGAAAAGTGCCAAGTATGAGGCTCTCCAGGCATTACGCAGCACAGCAAACGCCGAAAACAAGCGATGTGAAGTGATATATGTTGCTTGGCGCTCCCCCACACTAATGCCGTACAACCGTGGTACATCCCGATCGTAGCGAGGAGTTGCAGATGCTTTGAATACCTTAAGGCCAGTAAAGCAAAGAACATGATAGAAGCAATGTAGCCTGCGGGAACTTTTATGCTTTTCAAGGAAATGGCAGGACACTTGGAAACTGAAATGCGCCCATGCATAAGAAGAATGGAAGACTAACCCTGTTTCTGAACCGTTTGGCACGCCAGTGACGAACGTAGGGCTTGCAATACAATCTCAGCCTGCATCACATAAAGCGACAAGGGGGTCTCTCACATCATGGCCATGGGGTGATTATACTCGCTTAAACCGAGTCGAAAGTCCTTGAGGAACTGGTCGGTGATTCTCACGAGCGCATCGTCTGAGAGTTGAAATTGCGACTCGATGGCATCGAGGATCTGTCGTGCTGAGTCCTCCGTTGACCCTATGAGTGCAGAGATGGGAGCCATGGCTAGAACGAGGAGGAAGAGAGCAGGAGGAGATCAAGAGCAAAAGTTGCAGCCGCGAGCCAAGAATGTACCCCATATGACATCGGTGCCGCACGTGATCTGATCGTGCTTCTCCCCGACGTGTGTCCGTTTTCCAAGGTCCTTGTTACACTATCACCAGTATCCCGCCAGTGGGTGAAACGTTAGTTCATTTCAAGTATTGTATGTTTGTATACTTCTAATGTATGCTGTGGTGTGAGCTGTTTTTTGGCCCTCAATTAAGACATTTAAGGTCCACACCCATTTACACGCCTGGCGTTCTCGGAGTCCGATCGAGGCGGCATAAGGCTTATCGATGGCCATGGGCTGCCTACTCGCAACGAGACCGTCCTCTCCCGGTCTGACTTCGCAACAGTCGCAATGACAGTCGAGTCCTCCTTATCGGCCTTCCTATCGTGCAACGCCGTAGTGGTTGGGTAACAACCAGGGTCGTATCAGGTGTTCGACGTCGTATGAACGCGGGCTTCTATTGAAGTTTCTCCGTCGAAATTATTCAACACGAGCATTTCGCCGGCAACGACAAGCAACTCATAAGCGTCCTGAAATTCAAGTTGCTTTCAATTGCGACTGGTTCAAAGGCGCCTATTCGAACTTAGTAGACCACAAAAGGAATAACACCAAGCCTCGGCTGAAGCCGGATGCGGAAAGTCTGCCTCAACATCGTCAACGACAACGCACACTGTCGAACACTGTACTCTCCTTGTCAGTCGCATAATTACTGTTTAATCAAGCGATTGAGTCGCTAACGCGCTTTTATAGACACTAATGGCCTCAAAAGCAGCAGTTGCGGCGGTTGTGAGTTTTTCAGTCATCCAAGCGTTATGATCGCGACTCGTGGACTCAACACCTCCGCAGGATTTCGCTCGGGTGTACTCATCCCTTGGTCTCGGCAAAGGTTCGAACATATTACAATTCTAAATGATGCCAACCGCTCATCGTCAGCTCGATATAGAGACCGTGGCTTCCCTCCAGGCTTTCCGCAAGCGGTACATGGATGCCCAGCGTATCCATGGCCAATCCTCTGCTCAACCCACAACTGTGGACCTCGAACACTACCGTTCAGTGTTGAAGAACAAGGCCGTGGTTGATGAGGCTGAGAAGCTTCTCAAGGAGTTCAAGCCCGTGACATATGATGTCAGCTCGCACATTAAGGCCATTGAGACTTTCGAGGCCAAGGCTGTAAGTTCGACATGAATACGATTCATTTTTTCCTGCTGACATATTATCTTATAGGTTGCCAAGGCTCAGGAGACCTCGCAGAAGATCGACGTTGAGTTGAAGGACCTCCAAGCTACCCTGGCCAACATTGAGGAGGCTCGGCCCTTCGACGACTTGACTGTAAGTGGTACTGTACATTTATGCCTTCTCCTACTGACGCTTTCTCGATAACTAGGCGGAGGAGGTTGGCCAAGCCCACCCACGCATCACTGAGGCTGTGGAGAACATGCTGAAGAAGGGCAAATGGACTGTACCTGGTAAGACTCGTCCACCCAAGCTGCCCGCTCTAATACTGATGTCATTCCACACAGGCTACAAGGAGAAGTTCGGCGACCTTTCACTCATGTAGTTGTCTATATATCATCAATTCAATAGACTGGTGCTGTGATTGCTTGACAATTCACAATGAATATGTGCCTGTACGACGTGAAGTTTGATTTGTGAAGGTATTGAGCCGCCGGGAATGCATTGATACAGATGCGAGGTATAATGACTAGTACGAGAACGTATACAACGGAATTACAGACAACGATATAAGGAAGGTATGACGAGTACAAGCAATTCCAGGCTGTAGAGCGTCAGACAGGCGTAACATGGAGTAAGAGCATGGCAAAGAGCTCCAGGGCAAGGTGTGTGTTGCGGGGTATGATATAGTAGTGCAAAGATACACTAGCAGTACTAGAAGAGATCCTCGAGTGTCATTTGTTTAACAATGTCCTGCGATGCGAGATCAGTTAGATTGTGATCTCGATGAATGAGCGGATATTCCACTGACCGTATTTGAGACCATCATCACAAACTCTTCGAAGCAGAGTTTGCCATCTCCATCCTTGTCCGCCTCCATGATCGTCTTGTCCACGATCTGTTGCAGTTGACCGTCCTTCAGGTTGTTGCCCACCATCATCTTCAGTACGAGAAAGAGCTCCCCGTTAGATATGAACCCGTCCCTGTCCATGTCATATACTTTGAATGCGACTGCGGTACGGATGTGAATAACTGATGCCAATTCAAGAGCGGAGGGAATAATGCATACATCGTAGTTTTTCTTCTCGCCCGCCTCGGCTACTGAATGCACTCAGTCCTCCCACGAATTCCTGGAAATCTACGGTGCCTCCGCCGCTACGATAGGCGTTAAGTTTGTCATAATAGGAAAGGTGTAAGAAGTTGCATACTCTTCGTCGAAGATTGCTATCAGTCGCGATGCCAGTGGGTTGTTCGCGATCTGAGGGATTTGCAAGAATTCTTCTCGGTCTATTGATCCTGAACCATCACTTTACACGATAAAATACCTGCTTGAGCAAAGTTGGACCACGTTGACGGAACAAGACGAATCACCTATCCAGTTTCATGAATCGTTTCTTTAGTCGTTCCAATTCGCTAACATTGACTGCAGCAATTTCATGTAAGACGAATTGTATATATGCGAGGGAACATACAGTTGGACCGCTTCTGCATGTCTTCCATGAACTGAGAAGCTGTAGGGAAGACCTTAATGAGCTACAAATGCACCCAGATAATACAAAACGGTAAGCGAACGTGATTGCCCCATCTTGAGTACAGTATCCGAGAATCCAAAGGTTGGCGATGAGAGTGAAAGTGCTCCGTGTGTGAGGACAGACGAGGTTGAGAGACCAGAAGCTGAGAGACGGACGACGACAACGACGAGCTTGAGCCTCAGCTACCGGCTCAATCAATATATTGGATCGAGAAAGAGATGCGTGGGAAAAATGCCCCTCCTTCCGAAGTACCTCTCCATTGGTTTTGGCGGTGCTTTGCTTTTCGTGCCCTCGACGGCCCAAACCCTGGAGGATGTTTGCAAGGACAGCAACTGGACAGTACAGACTCCTAATACACACAGGATCATCTGTCTGCTTTGCTTCTAACTCTCGCCTGGTCACGGCAGTGCACAGCCGTGCCTGTCCTACTCCCGGCCGGCATATAAATCTTTGTTCTCTTGTTGGGTCTTCTGGTCTCCCGGACAACTGCAGACGCTACCGCAATACTGCACAGAGCGAACAGAAACTGGTTCTGTCTGATGCTCAACGCCAGACAATATACGCTCTTTCAACACCTCCAGGCAAAGCTGGGATTGCCGTGATCAGAATTTCTGGCCCTGATGCACTCAGGCTATGGCGTTCGGTGGTACAATTGAAGAAGACAAAGCAGGAGTCCCTTCCTGAACCGTGGAAATTTTACCGTTGTCGTGTGGTCCATCCTGAAAGCGGCGAAGTTCTTGACGAAGGTTTGGCGGTATACTTCAAAGGTATTGTTACATTGTACCCTCGGTGCGAAAGGTATGCTCATGAATCACAGGTCCTAGGTCCTTTACCGGAGAAGATGTTCTTGAACTTCATGTACATTCGGGTCGAGCTGTCTTGTCGTCAATTCTCAACGCTCTATCATGTCTGCCATATTGTCGGCTTGCTGAACCGGGAGAATTTACGCGACGAGCATTTGCTGCTGGCCGTATGGACCTCACTCAAGTTGAAGGTCTCAAAGATCTCATTAACGCAGAAACTGAAAGTCAACGGAAAGTTGCGCTTCAAGCCACCGCTGTTGGTTCATCACTCAGTTTTCGACGGGAACGACGTTAAAGTCTCTGCTTCCTTCAGGGTCAATTACGCGGTTGGCTAACTCAACTGAGAACGGACATCATCAAATGCCTTGGTCATGTGGAAGCTCTGATCGACTTCAGCGAGGAAGACATTGAAGAAGGGATCCTAGATGACGGTCAGCCTATTACGGATGTGATGCAAAGCTTATATTCAGAATTGTTTCTGTCAGCCAAACAGCGTGCAAGGGATATTGCTCGGCATATCGGTGAACAGCTTTCAAACTTCAGACGGGGTGAAATTATGCGTTCGGGTCTACAACTAGCTATTTTCGGCCCTCCAAATGTCGGCAAGAGCAGTTTGTTCAATTTCTTCGGTACGAGTTATCGGCTCTCGGAGGGAAGTGTCACAGTGCTCAAGAATAATATGGACTGGGTTACAACAAACTGAAGCACAACGCGAAGCTGCCATTGTCACGAATGTTCCTGGTACAACACGGGACGTACTTGAGATATCTCTGGACATTGGGGGATTACCTGTCGTTCTTGCTGATACCGCCGGATTGCGTGAAACCGAAGACATTGTCGAGAAGACTGGCATCGAGCGGGCTACTGATCGGTGAGTGATGATGCTCAGTTTTGAGTGCAGATGATCACCTTCTGCAGTATAAACACCGCGGATTTGTCACTTTTTGTTCTGTCATTACCGGACCTAGTCAACGGCGGGTCCTCTCAAGATTCCATCTCAAAAAACATAGATTCGATTCTGGCATCGGAGATCACCTCGGATAACATATATGTTCTTTTGAACAAGCGAGATCTATTACCCACAGAAACATATGAACGACTCGAATCTGGCTTACAAAAGTGGAACATCCGAGGTGCATGGGCAATTAGTTTAGCAACAGGCGAAGGTACACGCGAGTTTTTGGAGAAGTTCGAGCAGATACTCAAAGAGCGGTTGGTCTCCCATTGCGCTTGCAAGGATCTACATTCATATTGACTTCATCTTGTTACGCAGATACGGACTGGTTGATGAACCGACTGCCTCGGGTCCTCGGCCACTGGTCAGCAATGCCAGACATTCAGTGCATCTTGAAACGGCCTTGCGGTTCATCAACGCTTTTCTTGATACCTGTAAGCTGTACACGCCAGTGACAAACAAACAACAAGGCTGACCGTTTCGACCCCCTTGTAGCTGATGCAGACGTGATCCTTGCCGCTGAAGAGCTCCGATATGCTGCGCAGGCCGTTGGTAAGATTACCGGACATATAGACGTAGACGATGTACTCGATGTCATATTCAGAGACTTTTGTATTGGGAAATAATACGGGATGTTGAGTAACAATTGTATAATGGACGACTGCAGAAAGAATTCGCCCCCGCGATTGTTGGAAGCGTGAGAGTCCTGTGCAGGAGACGTGCGCCTCGAAGCCTCAGTTCAACGGAGGACGCCTTCCTCATCTTCCTGCTCTTCCTCCTTCATCGTTGTCCACCACCGCCTGCCTCGTCGGCCGCCGTGCACATCGTCCTACACGACTCCGATCACGCCTGCGCTGTCTGCTCCCACACAGGCCACATTCGCTTCGGCGTCTCCTTCCACCTTGCTCGCCACCTGCACGTCTTCCGCGTTCTGCGTGCTGTCGTTCTTCATCTTATTGCGGCTTGCGTCGTTTGTCACTTTGATCTCCGAGGCTTGCTCGCAGTTGTCTGCACACATTGCATACTTTTCGGGTTGCGGTTTCCAACTTCAACCTGACCCTCATACACGCTCACTTGTTCAGCTGCAGCAGTGCTCATTCGTACTATAGACCCAATCCGCTCTGGGTTTCTCTGTGTTTGTCATTGCATGCCAGTAATATCTCCAGGTGAACGGTGTGCCGATCTGTGCCCGCTTAGCACGCCGTAAGTTCTCATCTGTTGCCTATAGTCGCGCTTAACCCTCTCCGAATCCAGAATATGTTGAACGTCAACGCCAATCCCACCTCGTCCTTTCTCTCGCAGCCCCCGCCGCCACAGCCTCCACAGCCTGGTGTTCAAGGCCAGTCACACATGCAATTCATGTCCAATCATCCCGGTTCTGCGCCAGGTATGCTAGGTGGGCCTCAAGGTGCAAACGGCTTGCCGAACCCGTCCGCATATCCACTGCATATGCGTCAAGGTAATCCTCAGAGAGCGCCGAGCTTCGGACAACAGCCACACAATGGTCAGACTTTCAACCCCCAGTCGTCTGGAGCACCATCGCATATGAATGGTATAGGCTCTGGTCCAGCCTTTAGTAACCAGATGATGCAGCCTATTCGACGTGTACCTTCTCAGGGCCAACCCATGAATCCAGCCATGGCCGGAATGGGCGGGCAACCAGCGGTAGGAACTGTAGCTGGCATGCCTGGTATGGGCGTGAACGGTATGAGTATGGGTCCCGGACATATACGTCAAGGCCCCTCCCTAGCTCAACAACATCCTCAAAATATGCGTCTGCAGCATCATATGATGCAAGGACAGGGACATATACCTGAAATGAACATTGGCATATCTCGACAGCCGCCACAAGTGCACGGTAGCGGCGGCATGATGTCGACAGTCATGGGAAGAGCTCCATCCCATACGTTTATGAACAACCCACCGTCTGCTCAGTCGCATTCGGCCGGCATTCAGCCGCCACACCATCCGCAAGGGTTCCAAAACAACATGGGGGTCCCTCCAGCCCCGATAGGTTCATCTCCACATATTTCACCTCCTCACAACGCAGGCATCATACCTCCACCGTTGAATCATTCGAACAGTATGCCCTCTGTTGCGGGAAATCGTGCTCGTATGACACCTGAGAATTCTGGCTTAATGAATCACTTACAATCGAGCGCATCTCATGCATCTCGTTTGCCGGCCCTTGGTGCCCCATTCGCTTACACATCCTCTACAACTCCTCCTAATTCCGCTGGTGATATGTCCCACCTCTCAGGCACGAGTTCACAGGGAACTGGCGGAAGGGCTGGATTGCTTGCTACGCCGGCACAGACATTTGGACAAATGAGTCAAAGTAATTCCGACGGATTTCAGGTTTCGTTTAGCGTTCCTTCTCAGCCACCATCAGCTCCATTGCGACCACCTTCCAGGCCAGCTCCTCACCCCTCCTTTGTCACAAGCCAGGATGCGCTGTCCGGTCAGTTGCAGCAACAATCACAGCAACTACAACGACCGCCATCCATAGTTCATCGCCAATCGCCTTTTCCAGGCGAAAGATCAGGTTCGTCCGCTCAGGTCCAACGTCCGCAGTCCCGGCCTTCTTTATCAAATGGCCAGTCACCACAACACTTAGGTCAACCAAGAACGCCTCGTATTTCCCAACCAGCACCAGGTCACCCACCTCAAACAGGCAACGGCGTTGCAGCACCCTCCCTCTCTCAACAGCCTGCTCCATCTGCCAACACGACAGCATCTCCCAGTGAACAAGACAATGCTAACTCTTTCGCTCCCCCACCCACCACTGTGCGCCTGCGGACCGAGTTTCACCCTGCGGTCCAACCGTTAATGTCTGGAGTTCGACTTCTGCCGCAACAACAACAACAATATCAGTCACAATAGTTTGTCCTCTTGTTCTACAGAGGTGCTCATACTTAAATGTGGTTTTATCAGCCTTGCATCGACAGCCGCCCAGTGCGGACCTGGTATCGGCCGTCTCCTCTTTTTCAGCGGAATGCTTGCTACGGAAACGTCGGATGTCAGTCGCTTTATTCGTCATCTCCTTCTATTGGTTCTACTTGATATTCGTTTGCAGAGATTTCAGTTGTCTCATTGGCAGAATATCGTCAATCTTTATTATCTGCCGCACGCTGTGTTCAAGTTTACATTGTGGAAGGACAATCAAAGAACAGAAGCGAAGCCATTTGGTGAATTTCATTTTCTTGCTAGGTTGTACATTTGTTCACATGTGAGCCTTCAAGAGATCGGCGTGCCTATATTGCCCCGCTTTTTCCTGGTGACCAGTCAATCTGGTGTCAAAACCATGCATTTGAACTTGGACGGTGCTCGAGAACGCCCTGCAGGCATGCTGAATCGCACCATAGTTGAATGCACTCAGGCAATATGGACGTTCCGATATGTCAATGGTTACGTCGTGACACTTCGTGGACCTCTCTCCGCGACGTTGACGATAACACCTATGCCATCGGTGACAGGGGGCCCGCCGGTGCCCGTGGCCAAATTCGAGTCCATGACTTTCGATGCTCATCACCATGAGAAGACGATTTCTCTCGATGCTATCGTAGGCAATCGATTGACGGATTCGCCTAGAACTCCCAGAGCACCTGTTCCGAGGACACCTACAATGAATGTCAATGATAGAGGGCCGAGCCAAGTGGAAGAAGAGGATGGGAGGAGTGACGAACCCAGGATTATTGTCGACCGGGCAACGATGCCGGCGGAACCTGTCAATGCCTTCGGCATACCTCAGGCGACGATGCGATGTTTAGAGGTAGGTGTTTCGTCTATGACTGAATTTACATGTTATCTTGAACAGACCCTACAGCTGGCGGAAAGCGTCGCACAGATGTCTGATCTCATACAGTTCTCAAAGGATTATGATCTCGGTCCTCTGGGTTAGTGTCACTGTCTCCTGTATCAGGGGGAAGTTCTACAATGACCTGCGGTTTTTAGATGCGTTGAAAAATTTTGCGAGGAGTCTACGGGACGCCCAGTCAACGAACATGAGCATTGTCGGTCAAGGTGCTTCGAACACAGATGGTGCGAGCAGCGACGGCAAACAACCAGTATCATCGGATAATAATAATGTTGTAGCAAACCCATCATCACCTTCATATCAGGGGGCCTCAACGCCGTCAGCCCCCCAAAGTGCTGCATCCGGCTCAAGTGCACCGCAAGCAGGGCCATCTGCCATCGAGCCGAAGACTTCCAAAAGTTCACTGGCGCAAGCGCAAGCAGCTGTATCTACGCCGACGTCAGCTCCTGCGAATGCCACAACACCTGCAGCTGCATCTACACCGAGCGCAAGTGCCAATACCCCTCATGTAGCACCTGCTACATTGAAGCGCAAGGCGCAAAATGCGGATACGGCATCACCCACTACAACTACGCATGATTCTGCACCTCCTGCGAAACGTCCAAATCGGAAACGGGGGAAGACACAAGGTGGATAGCTATCTCTGGTGTTGTTTGTTCTTTTCTTTTCAGGGTTCTTACATCTCCATCTATTTGCATCTGTCATTTGCGTCTGTTGGCTTATTGTACTTTGCATAACTTAGGATCTAGATCTGTATTCTACACGTTCTGTATTAGATTGTGGACCCATTCTGTATGATACCGATCGAGCTTACACATCTCTCAAATTCACTCATCGCAAACGTTGTTCCGGAGTTTGTGTGAATTCCAAGCCAAAAATCCATATCGATACAATATATTACAACATCTACAAGCAGTAAAAGGAGAGCGAATAAGTGGGAGCGTAACAACTGTCCGTGTCGATCATCATGACTAAACCTAATGACTGAAGTGAAATTGGAAGCCTCCTCCTCCGGGGAAGCCACCAGCTTGCTGGAAGAACTGCGCGAATGGATGTCCACTGCCGCCACCGGGGAAACCACCTGGGAAGGGGTGGCCACCCTGTTGGGCCATTGGGTCGTTCGGATCATCGCCGTTGTCGAACCGCTGACGGAGCTCTGAAGCAACGTATGAGAAATGCCAATATACATGCGCGTCGGAGAATGGACACATACCTGGTTTACTCAACACTTCGTAGGCTTCGTTGACCGTTGCCATCTTTGCCTCACTCCCGCCCTTGTCTGGGTGTGCCTTCATAGCGGCTTTCCGGCTGAAGGCAAACTACTCAGCAAAAAGTCATGGCTAAAAACACGAGTACATACAAAGCTTTCTTAATGGTCTTCGCGTCGGCATCTCGGGATACGTCCAATACCTTGTAGTAGTCCTTTTGCCGGGACTGCTTGAGAAGTTTCTGAGCTCGCTGCAATCGTTGATGGATCTGTAAATGAGAAGTCAGTCAAACGATTGAATTTCCCAGATTGATCAGGAGGTACACACATCTCTGTTTGATCGTCCACTTGATTCGAAGGCCTTTTCAAGCATTCGGACCGCATCATCCCATTCTTCCTTCTTGAGAGCAGCCTCTGCACGTCCAACAAGGCCGTCCATATCGTTCTCCATCCCTTGCATGTTGAGCAGCTCTATGCAGTACTGCTCACCCTTGGCAGGTTGATTCAACTGAGTATAGGCTTTACACAGTGCATGCAGGATCATTTCTCTTCTCGGGGAGATGAGCTTTGGGGGCGGGAGTGGTATGTCAGAAGGAAGGTTAAGGACTTGTGGTGAAGTATGTTGCGCAAGAGCCTCATCAAACTTGGCCGCGAAACCTGATTCTGAATCGGAACCGATGAGGAGGTTGACGATGTCTCGCCATTTCTCGTCTGACAGTGCTGCGTCAAGTTTCTTGAAGTTCCTGTCAAACGACTTGAGAAGTCGGTGAGCCGGAAGACATTGTTTAGAGTCTGGGTCATAATGAAGGCATTGCTTGAGGGTCGAAAGAGCAGGGGAAGAAGTGGGCGAATAAGGAAGTAAGAAATAGGAAAGACGGAAGATCTTCATGAGCAACTCCGTCGACGGTGTGGTTATATGTGTCAGTCGTCTAGAAGTGGCGTTCATACGATGTCAGGGAAGGAGAATGGCACAATCTCAACGAGGTAGACACACGTTAAATCCCCAACCGCACTCTCAATATCACCGCTCGCCAATGCACAGTCTGCTCGGAGATGCCTCAAATCGGCAGAATAGGAAGCAGTCGCAAGCGCAGTACTGGCAGCCTCAACGCAGGCTTGCCATAGTTTTGCCTTCTTGGCTTGAACTGCCTTCTTGCTGGCCATTTCGCCCTCAGAAATGGACATGAGAATCTCTTGTACTTGTGGGTCATTCTTGACTTTCTGGTGATACCTCCGAATAGCTTCCCTAGCAGCTTGGAAACGACCGTCCTTAGCGTGTATGCGAGCCTTCATAAGGAATGCCTTGTCAAAGGTGTCATTAGTTAACGAGAGGACCTGATCGAAGTCGGCCAAGGCCTGCTGGTGACGGTTGAGGGAGTAATTGGCAGTCGCACGCTTATAGTAGAGGACATAGTCGGCAGGTGATTGTTCTGATGAGTACAATCAGCATGCATATAAAGATAGCTGAGTAGAAAACCGAGATGCGTGCAGTAGCCATTATGTCACAGTGAAGCATGTAACTCACCTATGGCTTCAGAATAAGCCTTTACTGCATCATTGAATTGTCCAACGGACAATAACCCATCGGCTCTGCTTATGAGAGGCAAGAGACCTGGTGGGTAGAGCGACGACCCAGTGCTTGGTGAAGGGTCTGCGACGACTGTGGAGAATAGTAGGGAGAGGGATATTGAAACGACCGTGGTGAATCCAAGACGCACTCGCATGGCGGGCTCGAGGGTATAGGTCCTAGGAAGGATAGTCAGATATGGTCAAGAGCAAGTTGCAGTCGTGCTCACAATCGCAACTGGGCCTTGACGATGTAGAGGACGAGTGAAATGGGGAGGCTTGTTATGAGATGAAGAGGTTGCAAGTTGAACATTGTCGGTATTCCACGTAAATGGACTCTCCGGGGTCCTGCTTCGGGCTTACTGAGCGCTCGGTACTCGCTCAGTTGTCGCCTAGCGTCGTACTCAAGATACACCAGAGTTAACAACGAGTTCACAAGTTGGAAACTCTGTTTGAAGCAACACCGGATGGCCAACAACACTGAGCCCTATGTTCGCCCAGGAGAACCGCTTCCCGATTTCTTGCGCTCCTTTTGGCAGCGACAGATTGATACTGCTGAGCAGGAAACCCCAGACTACCGACATCCACCACTTCCCCTCGCAAGAATCAAGAAGGTCATGAAAAGCGACCCTGAAGTCAAGGTCGGTTACCCCTATGCTAATTCAATTCCTGAGCTCATCCGCATGTATAGATGATTGCAGCTGATGGTGCGCGTGCTTCATCCGCTTTCGCACATCTTCCAACCTCCCTTGTCAGATAGCACCCATCCTATTCTGTAAAGCATGTGAAAGTACGTATTGTCTGTTCGACGCACGTATGGTATCCTCATCCCAGGAATGTAGTCTTCATTTCAGAGATCACTGCCCGTGCCTTCATCATCGCCGACTCCAACAAAAGGCGCACTCTCTCCCGTGCTGACATTGCCAAAGCCATAAGCAAGTCAGACCAATTCGACTTCCTTATTGATGTTGTCCCTCGGGAGGATCCTCTCGGTGGTGCTCCCTCAGGCGCGCCTACATCCAAGGCTCCACCTAAGAGAGCCAGCTCAGATGGCAAAGACGACGAGGTTAGTGTGGGTTTTCATGAGACTGGATAAACACCTTTGTCAATTTGCCAGCAGCTACTGAACAATGATACACGAGCCGTGTCTTTGACTTTGGGCCCTGGCGAGAGCGGCTCTCATAACGATCTTTCCAGCTCTGATGTTCTGGATCAGGTTTGTAACCTTTTGCTGCCTACCGATGGTATCGCAGGCTGAGGTCGCTTCTCATAGCTTCAGACGCTTCTCAACCCCTCTGGTTCCATTGAACACCATCCATCATCATAGGCAGAGTCTTATGTTGTAGCTTCTCAGTTAATTTTATTCATATTCTGTCGAGCATGTACTTATAACAGTAGGAATACTTGGACAAATCTCATTTGTCTCATTCAGAATTATGCATTTGAGCAATAAGGTCTTCTAAGAGACGACTGTGTCCTTCTTCTAGACCGGATGCCCTTCACCACAATAAAAGACTTCGATGTCATAGAATTGGATGATTGCCTAAGTTATGTAGGTAGAGACAGTGAACGGAACCTTGAGACGCGTACTATTGGGCGCCTACGCCATTGTGGCGGTTGGCTCGCGTTCCTCATCTCCTCAAAACTCGATCATAATGTCGAAACCATCTGGCTCTAGTACGCCAGCTGCAACAGCACCGGTGGCTCATAATGCTTTACCCCCACCCTCGACTGCCTCTGCTGCGCGTTCATCTCGTATAGCACCACATTCCCACATCAAGGGGCTTGGTTTGACCCCAGAGGGATACGCAAATGTTGACGGTGCAGGTTTCGTAGGACAGACCAATGCAAGAGAAGTACGTTAACCGATCAATCGAAACGTATGAATATCTCTCATACTTTTGTTAGGCTTGTGGTGTTGTTGTGGATCTCGTAAAGTCGCGCAGATTCTCAGGTCGTGCTTTGCTGCTTGTCGGGGCACCTGGAACAGGAAAAACGGCTCTAGCACTTGCAATTTCACAAGAGCTCGGCGTCAAGGTACCGTTCTGCCCAATGGTGGGCTCGGAAGTGTACAGTACGGAAGTGAAGAAGACAGAGGTTTTGGCTGAAGCGTTCAGACGCGCAATAGGTATGTTTGAGCCTAGTTATTACATGCGATGTCATACTTAAGTCCCTCTTTTTAGGTCTCCGGATAAAAGAAACGAAAGAAGTGTACGAAGGAGAAGTTACGGAGCTCACTCCGACCGAAGCGGAAAATCCTCTCAGTGGTTATGGCAAGACTGTATCCCATGTCATTGTCGGCTTGAAGACTGTAAGGGGCACAAAACAACTTCGCCTCGATCCCAGTATCTACGAATCAATCCTGAAGGAGAAAATTGTAGTTGGAGACGTGGTTTATATTGAGGCGAATACAGGAGCAGTCAAGGTACGCTCATGTTCTTCAAGTCTGTTTCATTCTAACTAAAATAACCTCTAGCGAGTCGGTCGTTCAGACGCCTATGCTTCTTCATATGATCTTGAATCAGAAACATATGTACCCTTACCCAAAGGAGATGTACACAAACGAAAAGAGCTAGTTCAAGATGTGACACTGGGAGACCTCGACGCAGCGAATGCACGACCGCAAGGTGGTCAGGACATCATGAGCGTGATGGGAAGCCTTGTAAAGAGTGGGCGGACTGAGGTCACTGAAAAGCTTCGCAAGGAAGTGAACAAAGTCGTCAAGGGCTATGTCGATCAAGGTGTCGCCGAAGTCGTGCCTGGTGTCGTCTTCATAGACGAGGTAAGTTCACGAGGTTCTCGCGATGCCGGCTTCTGTAAATCAAATATTCTAGGTCCACATGCTCGACATCGAATGCTTCACGTACTTGAACGCACTACTGGAGTCACCAATGGCACCTACTGTGATTTTTGCGACCAACAGAGGCAATTCGCTAGTCCGTGGTACCACCGACATTATTGCTCCCCATGGCATCCCCGTCGATTTGCTTGATCGGTATGGCACGTTCTCGCGGTGACCTTATGCACATATTCTAAAATAGGTTCTCTTTGACAGATGTCTCATCGTCAAAACCGATGGGTACAAACGTGATGAGGTCGCCAAGGTGGTTCAGTTACGTGCCAATGTGGAGGGCCTGAAACTTGGACCTGGCGTGCTCGATAGGTTGGCTTTAGAGGGGGAGAAGAGCTCGCTTCGGTAAGTCAGCCCGCACTCGTTCAAGCTGCATGGATCTCATTATTTTTTGTGTTTATTTCATTACGCTCCGTTTTATAGGTACGCTCTGCAATTACTTACGCCTGCATCGATACTTGCTGGGCTTGCTGGACGACAGACAATCGAAGTGGAAGATATCAACGAGATGGGAGAGCTCTTTTTGGATGCGAAGACTAGCGCAATCAATATTGGGAACCCAGGTGATCGCGAGGTCGACAGAACGTTATAGTATTTTCGTCACGGTCCGTATCTCTATAAAGGCAAATCTCTCGCTGGAGGTAGACAGAGAGGTGTGTGCTCAGACGCTTCCAATTGCGTCAAACTAATAAATCCTGGTATTTTTCCCAGTGCTTCATGTACAGTAGATTTATTCCAGGTACACCGGAATTTGGTACATTCTGGTTCCTCGCACGTTTTCTGTGTTTGCCTGCGCCCGCCCAACGACACTTCATTCTCCTGAGTATTTCAATTCCCGTCAAGTCCGGATTTTCTTCGGTTCTCCACTTCGCTTCCCTGTTCTTGAAGCGGCCCGTTTGTAGCCCGCCCAACGTCCCAACGCGTTTCTGAGCGTTTGTGCGACACAGGTAGTTCGAGGGCCGGTGTGTCGCTGCATTCATGTGCTCAACTTTCAATCCTCGATACTGGCAATGTTTCAAGATGGTCTCGTGTCGCAGTCCGGCTCGCTACAGGCATGAACACCAGTATTTCAATTTCTCCTTAAATTCTCCCGGCTATGTGACTTCTGTGTAACACTCTGGTCTGCTCTTTTCACTTGTTCCTTCATCGCTCTGCGCTTTCCTCGGACTTGATTCGACGCCACGATGATAAAGGCTTTGAGTCGGGGATTACTACCTCTCTTGCTGCTGGTTTATTCTGGCAATCTGTTAGGAAGTGCTATTGCTGCCACTGCCTTGCAACCCAGAGGAGACCTGCATTTCCCATTGGAAGCTCGAGGTACTGACAAGGATGGTTCCCTGCCTATCTACAAAAATCCAGGAGCATCTATCGAGGCGAGGGTCGATGATTTGCTACCTCGCATGACGGTAGAAGAAAAGGTGTCTCAAATGTACGTAGCATCAATTTTAGTATACATCTGCCATACGTGCTTAAGAACCGCTGCTCTGTATCTTTAATTGATCACTACTCGCAGCATTCAAGGTGATATGAATGGCTGGATGAATTTCAACGACCCTCTTGACAACACCCTCACTTTCAACGCTTCGGGCCTTGTAAGTCGCTTCTATATGCAAAATGTGGTTATTTTTGACAGAATCCCAGGTAGAAATGATGGGTCTCAAAGCGGGGTCAATCTGGGGAGGATATCTTGCTCCTTGGGAAAAGATTGCCTTTGGTATCAATGTCGGACAGAAGTACCTGATGGAGAACACCACTCTCGGTATACCTGCGCTTTTCCAGACTGAGGGTACGTTCCAAAATTTTCTTAACTTTTGCACATGTAAGAGAATATCGTTTAGGCTTGCATGGGTTCACCGACAATGGCACTATATGGCCTTCACCGATCGGACTGGCAGCTTCATTCAACACTGATCTATTGCAACAAGCCGCTGCTACAATAGCAGATGAAGCAGAAGGCCTTGGCTACTCCCATGTCTTTGCGCCAGTCTTGGACCTATCGAGAGAGCTTCGTTGGGGCAGAGTCGAAGAGAACTTTGGAGAAGACCCATTCTTGTTCGCTATCGCACTTGTCTTTCACATTCATACATGACTTACTTCTGTTTGTTCTCCAGGACTGGTGAAATGGGCCACGCGTATGTAACAGGCCTTCAGTCGGGTCGACGGCGGAATGTCAGTTCCACTGCGATCGCCCGAATGGCGGCTACCTGTAAGCACTTTGCTGCTTTCGGAAGTCCTCAGGGAGGGTTGTAAGTATGATTTCCATTGACGTTTAATAAGACCTGATTATATGGGATTCAGAAACATCGCTCAAGTCTCTGGCGGAGAGCGGGAGTTGCGGACAATGTTCTTGAAACCCTTCAATAGGGCGTGTGTAGACAGTTTGTCCATCATGACCGCGTACTCCAGTTACGACGGGATTCCAGCTATTGCCAACTCTCGTAAGGTATATCCATAGACGAGGTGAATTGGTACTGATATGATTTTGGTTATAGACATGCTTGTGGACATTGTTCGTGTACCTCCCCTTTGTGGAATGGCTGATATGTTTAAGCAACTCTATTGCAGCTTCGCAATGAATGGGGCTACAACTATTGGGTCACAAGCGACGCAGGTTCCGTCGACCTGCTTATTTCTACCCATGGTACTTGCGATACCCGCGAATGCGCTGCCAAGACTGCTCTCGAGAATGGCCTCAGCGGAGAGATGGGCGGCGGCACTTACACATACCTTACCTTACCTGGTGTGTCTTTGCACAGAATTTCAAACTACATTACATTGATTTAGGAACTTCACAGATCAAATAAGCAGCGCGGCGGTTGATGTGAAAGCTCTTGATACAACCGTGGCTGCGATGCTTCGTACAAAGTTCTCGTTGGGCCTCTTCGAGAGTAAGCATGAAACCCTTCTCTTTTCGTTATGTTAATTACCACTCTAGATCCTTATCCGTATGCTGACTTCGACTCCACGCTCCGAACGTCGAAGACACGTGCCCTCCTCCACGATATGGAGAGGGAAACCATCGTTCTACTTGAAAACAGGCAGAATACGTTGCCTCTGAGCAAAACGATCGAATCTATTGCTGTGATCGGGCCTCAAGCAGATCGCGTTTCAGTGAGTCTGATTCCGTCAGTCGGTAACTTTCCTGCCAATCCCATGTCTACAGTTTGGGGACTATGTCTTCTTTAATGCTGCTCTCAATGGCATATCGCCCTTAGCCGGCTTGAAACAGCATTTGGCAAATACCTCTGTAAAGATCAATTATGCAGAAGGATCCAAGTTATGGTCAAACGATGTCTCTGGGTTCGATGCTGCAGTGACTGCTGCCAAGTCCTCTGACGTAGCTGTGGTCCTAGTTGGTACATGGTCGTTGGACCAAACGCTACTCTGGACGCCCGGCACGAATGCGACGACTGGCGAACATGTTGATGTTTCTAGTTTAGCTCTGGTCGGTGCGCAGCTGAAATTGGTGCAAGCCGTTAAAGCGACGGGTAAGCCGACCATTGTGGTTCTCGTCAGTGGAAAACCAGTGGCAGAACCTTGGATACAACAACGTGAGTGTAAGATGCTTTTCAAGGAGGAAAAAAACTTAGACCATTATTAGATGCCGATGCCGTCATCCAACAGTTCTATCCCGGTGAACTTGGTGGTTTTGCCCTTGCCGAGGTTCTCTTTGGAGATGTAAACCCCTCTGGTGCGATGGTGAAGTTCTGGTTGAAAAATCTCCTTTGCTTAATCGATATTAATGCCAGGCAAACTTCCCGTCTCTTTTCCACGGAGCGTAGGGACTACGCCTGTCTTCTACAACTACATCAAAGGCAGTAGACCTATTGATGCTGGTCACATCGGAGATGATGGTACCTTAGCATTCGGTCATCAAGTAAGTTACATCCTTCATCCAATAGTCGTTTGTCTTTATAGCGTCTTTGTAGTATGTCCTGGATAGTCCCGTACCAATCTGGAACTTTGGCCATGGCCTCAGCTATACCACTTTCAATTAGTAAGTTCACTCTAAAGCTGGCTGACTGAGAATGCTGCTCTGACAGGTACACTTAGTACCAATTTGAAACTTTCAAAGTCAACGATTGGGCGGGACGAAAGCGTCTCCATCTCCGTCACGGTTCACAATACAGGAAGGATCCAGGGCAAGGAAGTGGTCCAGGTGGGGATGTCTTACTGATGAGTCATTTTAACTTGCTCAATACGTGTCTCATTACTAGGTTTACTCAACCGACGTCGTGAGTTCTGTCGCCACGCCAAATCAGGAACTCGTCGCCTTTAAAAAGGTTGACCTTGAGTGAGTAGTCGGTCCTGCCTGTAATTAACTGAAATGCAAGCCTAACTTTGGATCAGAGCTGGTGCCTCTACTACTGTGACGATGACAGTCGTGTCTTCACAACTTGCAGTATGGTCTCAGAAGAATTCATGGGTGATAGAGTCCGGCAAGTTCATCGTCAAGATTGGCACAAGCGATCAGACATTTTTAAGTACCTCATTGAACGTGCAATAGCATCGTAACGTCTCGATCATAATATAACCTAGTTCCTCATCCGCTATTATATACATGGTATCTCAATCCAAGGGTAATCACAACCTTCCGTGCCCAGTTCCAGTTCAATTCGGTTCCGTAAAGATAAAGGCTTTGTTGACTCAAGCCAGCCGAAGAATGTCTACCATGTTCCAGATTCTGATAGTCCCGTCATCCGAAGAGGATACTATATCTTTTCCATCTGCAGTGAAATCTATGTTTTTCACCTTATCCTTATGGCCCTGCAATTCGGCCACGAAGTTGCCACTGGAGGCATCCCACAATTTGACAGAGCCATCTGCGCACCCAGATGTGATATATTCTCCGTCCCCAGAATATGCGACTGTATTCACAATGGATGGCCTTTCTCGAAGCAAGTGCTTACGTTCGCCGGTGAAGGAGTTGCAAACAGAAACAGCGGCGTCATACGATCCTGACACAACGTCTTGGCCATCGGGCGAGAACGATACGGACCATATCGGACCTGTATGCTCTCTGATCGTGACGAGCTCATCGCCGTTCTCGACATTCCACACACGGGCTGAGTTATCTTCAGATCCAGTTACGATCCGTGCGCCGTTGGGGGCAAAGGTCAATGCCCAGATGACACCTTCGTGGCCCTTCAAGGTAGCGAGGTTATCACCCGTCTCTGCGTCCCAGATGTAACCATCTGCATCTGCTGCAGAAGCCACAAGTCTTCCATCAGGAGAAAAGGCAACACAAAGAACAACGGCAGTGTGTCTTCTCAACGTAGCGTAGTCAATGCCGGTCTCCGTGTTCCAAAGTTTTACCTTGTTATCGACTGATCCTGTAGCTGCCTTTGTACCATCTGGAGAGACGGCGACGGTCCATATATCGCCCTCGTGTCCCACCAAGCTAAAAGTGTTCTCACCAGTGGTGAGATCCCATACCGCACCTCGATGGTCAGAAGAACCCGACACTAGTTTGTTACCATCTCCAGAGAACGCAACAGCCCAAACAGTATCGTCGTGGCCTTGAAATTTGTATAGGAGGGCATCGCCTGTGGAGAGCCAAACCCTGACAATTGCGTCTTCGAAGCCTGCAGCAATAAAGCGACCATCGGGTGAGACAGCCATGGAGCAGACGGCACCGCCTTCTGCACCACTCTCTAGAAGAACGCGATGAGGCCATTCTATAGAGTCCCCTTCCTGCAAATTTCTTCCAAGAACCAGAGCTCCACCCTGAAGGCTTTCAGGTACCACCTTAGGTGCAGGCTCTCGACGGTGATGCTCAGCGGTTTCATCCCCGTCACCCCCTTCAACTGCTTCGGTTCCCGTCCCCGCACTAGTACTTGCTTCAGTCTGAGGCTGCACGGGATCATTCATAACTTCGTGAACAGGCTGCGCAAAGTTGGCAGTGTTTCTTCGAATAATTGCGTCAGAAATTGACAAGAATCCAGCTTAGAAATGAATTTCAGTAACCTGGCGGATATGTATGCAGAATCATACTTACCCTTTCTGTCGCCGCGAGTTACATCGATTCTGGGTGAGTGAATGTCCAAAAATGAGGCCATAGACAGCGGCCACTCTTCCCCCTGCAAGGCATAAGTATTAGACAGACGCTCGCCGATCTGTACTGAACTCACATCAAACAACTCGTTTAGATCACCTTGGCTAGTTATGGCCATGTCCGCATCAGATCGCTGACACGAAAAATTCATGAGCGCCATCTCTCTATAAGAACACTACGCTCAAGCCCACCTTTAGAATGTAATTAAGGACATCGTCGAGAATATCATGGAACTGCGGAATATCGTGATATGTTAGAAGAGACTCCCGAAGCGCAAACCTGAAGAATACCTCTTGCGGGGTAGGGACTGTTTCTATGTCTGCAAAGGAAGCACCTGGGTCGTCCTCGTCCGGATCAGAAGAAGAACCAGGTTCTGCCTCAGCCAAAATTTTCCTAGGAAGGATGTAGCGATATTTGACCTTGTAGTATGACAAGAAGACACATTGATCCCGTCGTTTGCTAGGTGTACTCCCGGGAATATACGGCAGAGCTAAACGATGTTCTTGATCAGGACCAATTCTGTATTGGACTGAATCTTGTGTCGCGTGAATATACGAATACCCCAGTCCGCCTCCTGCTACGGGAGCGAACTGTGCACTTAACGATGCCTCGTGCGCCCTGCCTTTTTGAGAAAAGGATGCAACTGCCCACTCTGCGGTTTTCACCCAGCCCCTCACAAGAATGATGTCCTCCTTCTTCCTTATATGAATACCTTCCCTCGTGGCAAGTTCGAACCAGGAATCATGATATTGTCGTATGTAATCATGATGCCTCAAGTTCGACCAATGGACCTGTTGCTCGCCTTTCTCTACCATAAACAACGCAGCGCCTTGTTCTCTGGAGCATGTTATGGATACAGACGCTTGACCGGTGGCAAGCCTATGATCAAAGTGAGTGTGCAGTCAAACACTAAAGACATGGCATACGTACGCTTGGACGTTGCCTTCAGCAGCATTATGGCGAACGCTCGAGGTGGCATGTATCCCCGGTGGCAAGAAGTTCTCAGTGCGATCTACCATTCGCTCATCCCAACGGAGTGGTACAAATCCAGTAGGAACTCCAAATTTCGCATTGAGAGGATCGTCTGCAGGCTTCAGCGCGTTGAACAAACGATGAAACTTGCCCTCATCGAACCATCCTACATCTCCCATTAGGATCTCGTTATTGTGTATGGGAAAATCGGGAAACCACATGGGGTAACCATATCCTCGAGGAGCAAGTTGCTCAGCGTAATTAATGTATGCGTAGACCATCTTCAGGAAGGAAGGAATTGAGAGGATACGACTATAGCGGTGAAGAGGGAGATCAAGATATGTATACAACGGATTCTTCCAAGTACGCCTGATGAGAATAAGCGACTTTCTTGACGCCACCTACTGATGGATCTACCTGATACGAAAGTGAGCTCTCCGAGCGTTCTCATCTGGCTACAGAATTCCGTAGTGGTGGTACAGTGCAGAGGGTTATTGTGGCATAGCATGGTCATCATGTACACATAAAACACTGCATACAAAATTTTTGGCCCGAAAAATGACGATGGTACTGTAGGAAGGAGACGAAAGCGTATAGGACTCGAAAGCACGACCTGATCTACCCTCACACCTCTTTGACCTTGACCGTACCACGGAGTAGACCGGTCTTTCAAGCGAAATATCAGCGGTAGCAGTGAAGATGCCAGTAAGGATCGTACGTACCCGACGAGCGGCGATGAGACCGACTTTCTGACCAGGGACGGCAGAACGAGCGATAGTCGACGCCTTACCAATATGTTGGTGGTTACCACCACCGTGAGGATGATCAACGGGATTCATAGCAACACCACGAGTGCGAGGCCAGCTATTAGGCAATGAGTACCAGACCGACCCAGCATCACATGTATCAATGCGTACCAGTAACGCTTAGCCTTGTATTTGTGGAATGCACGACCGGCCTTGAGCAAAGGCTTGTCGATACGTCCACCACCAGCAACAATACCGATAGTTGCTCGGCAAGAGCCAGAGACAGTCTTCTTGGAACCGCTGGGCAAACGGATACGAGTCTTATTCTCTTCAGGCGAGTGACCGATAACAGTAGCGTAGTTGCCGGATGTCCGTGCGAGCGCACCACGATCACCGGTCTTCTCCTCAATGTTGCAAACGATTGTACCTTCCGGGCACTGGGAGACGGGAAGAACGTTTCCGACAGCGAGAGTAGCCTTCTTGCCGCAGTAGACGAAGGCACCAGTGTGCAGGCCCTCAGTGGCAATGAAAGTCTCCTTGCGGAGCTTGTAGCGGTATGGGTCCCGGAAGACGACACGGGCAAGAGGGGCACCACTAAGAAAGCAAACGTATTCAGGTGGTTGAACAGTGCTTCGAGCGGAAGAACACCGACCGGCCAGGATCGTGGATAATCTCCTTCACAATACCCTTGACGTATCCATTGCGTTCAGCGTAGTCGAGAGGGCGGAATTGGGCAGGGGCCTTGTTCTGGTGGGTGTGCGCTTTGAACTAGAGCAGATTTGAGTTTGCAAGACAAGATTCAGACTTGACTGGAACATACGATTGCGTGGGAGCGCCTCTGTGCCCGAATGACCCTACCCATTGTTGAATCTGCAGGAGAAGAGGAGATTAGTACAGATTACTACGAAAGGTTGGGCGAGCGTAAGAGCGGCATCCGAGGTGAGATCAACGCATCCATCTCAGAAATCCAGCTAGAGATGTCGGAAAACAACCAGAAAAGAGAGCCAGAGCATCATAAAAGCCGTTCCAAGCGTCCAAAGAGTTTAGAGAGCAGACAGAGGGCCATACTTACATGCTTGGTCGTCGGAAAGCCGTTTGGTGGATGTCTTACAGCGTCGACGCTTGCCTAAACGAGGACGTCCCGATTTGGAAACATGCACGTGCACTTGGCCATGTGGAGCGTGTTACCTTCATTGACGCGTCTTGGGTGTGTAAGACCGCGACTGGCCAACTATAACAGACTACCGAGTAGTACTGTAACATCATTCCCGCTACAACCCAGCCATCGCACACACGGACTGCTTCCAGATATGGCCCCCTCTGCAAAATCCACAAAAGCCCCTACCAAGACATCAGGCAAAGATATTCGTGGCTTCTTTGGTCGTCCCAGCACAACACCATCTGTCTCGAGCTCCAAGGTGGTTGGTTCTCTTCCCATTGCTAACATTTGCTAATGCTTTGACCTAGGCTACTCCTAGCGGCTCTGCAAGAGCAATTCCCATCGAAATCAGTATGTTCTTATAATTCGTCATTTGCCCCCCAAACTCATACGCTTCTCGCTGAAGGTGATGATGAAGAACCCAGGTGCGTAGCAATGCACGATATTGTTCTGTTGTTACCAAATTCACATATTTACAGAGCTGCCGTGAAGACGGACACCGCGTAAGCTCATAGATTAAGCATTGAATTCTCCGTTGCTCATCCTCCCCAACTACCTTGCAGACGATCAGTGCAGAAGAATGTAAGCAGTGGGATTCCACAGATCGGAAATGTTACTTAGTTCAACACAATATAGTTCAAGACAGCTCGTGTCATGGATGACTCTCCGCCTCCGATGAAGAAGCGAAAGAAACCCGCTGCACTTATCTCTTCTAGTGACGAGGATGAACAGGAGAAAGTGTCCCCACCCAAGAAGAAAGTAGCTAAGGCTCCCGCCCGGACAAATGGCATCGCGAAAGAAAAACCGGTCACAACCTCTCGTTCTCGTCAAGCTCCATCGCGCATCAAAAGGAAGGACGAAGACGAGTTCATTGTTGATTCTGATGAGGACGAATATGACAAGCCTGTGCCGAAAAGCTCTAAGAAAGCGAAAGACACACCTGTAAAATCTACTCCCGCAATCCACAAGGCAGCCAAGAAACCTACTGCGAAAGCGGACGATGAGGTTACTAATGATTCCGAAAATAAACCTAAACCTAAACCCAAGTTTAAGTATGTCTCGCCGTAGATGTATTTTGCGGATCTCTTGCTCACACATTATATAGCTGGGCTGCGAAAGCTGCGAAGATAGCTGCTGGCCCTTCTCAACCAGGGTCGAAACAGGTGCCCACTCCAGCGGATCCTAACTGTCTCTCCGGATTAACCTTCGTATTCACTGGCGAACTTTCCGCTTTCTCTCGTGACGAAGCTGTCGATTTGGCGAAGCGTTTCGGCGGGTATGTCTATGTCTGTTTTATTTTGTGTATTTCGTAAAAACGTTGCATTAGACGAGTCACTGGACAGCCATCGTCGAGAACATCTTATGTCGTTGTTGGGCAAGATGCTGGTCCTAGCAAGCTGGCAGCGATCAAAAAGAACAACCTCAAGACTTTGGACGAGGATGGCTTCCTAAATTTGATCGCCACTCGTGTTCCCGACCAAAGTGATGAGAAGTTGCAGAAGAAACTGGCTAAGGAACAGGATGCCATTAAACAGGCCGCAATGGAGATGGATCGAAGAGAACGGAAGGCGAAGTCTACAACGTACAGTTACTCTCTTATTTGAATCTTGTGATGCTCACACCCACTCTAGCGCACCTTCCACCCAACTTTGGACGGATCGATATGCGCCTCAGGCCTTAAAGGAGATTTGCGGCAACAAGGGTCAGGTCGAGAAACTCCAGCAATGGCTACAAGACTGGTGCGAGCTCTTGCGAATGATTTTACTTAAATGACGGCTCACCTGAATCTCCTTTAGGCCAGCGAGCTTGAAATCCGGCTTCAAGAAACCTGGGAAGTCCGGAATGAATGTCTTCCGCTCAGTACTTATCTCCGGTCCTCCTGGTATAGGCAAGACGACAAGTGCTCATTTATGTGCGAAACTTGCTGGATTTACGCCAATTGAGTTGAACGCCAGTGACTCAAGAAGCAAAAAGCTAGTAGAGGTATGTTTCCACGACGGTAGGTTATTTGACGAGGCTGAACTTCGCTTTTCACAGAGTAGCACCAATATCTCTAATACGTCGTTGGACGGATGGATGCATGGTGGATCCGTCAGTCACCATTGGCTCTTCTATCAGCAGTATCTTGACATAGCATAACAGGCGACCAACGTGGCCGGGGTACCCCTCACAGACCGATCGTGTCTCATCATGGACGAAGTCGACGGCATGTCTGCTGGCGATCGTGGAGGTCTCGGGGCACTTGTGGCGCTTATCAAAAAGACCAAGGTGCGCTCTGTACAAACTTCGTTCGCATCTTCGATTCTTATATGTGTCCAGATCCCAATCATATGTATAGCGAATGACAAGAACACTCCTAAAATGAAGTCCCTTGTGAATGTAGCGTACAATCTTCCATTCAGAAGGTTCGTTAACTTCATACAGTCTGCTTCTCTCTGACATAACATCTTTATGTAGACCTGATGCTGCCGCCATTCGGTCAAGAATTATGACAATTGCTTTCAAGTCAGTTGTTGTTGAACTCATTTCCTGCCGAGCTCTGACAATTGTTGCTATCAGGGAGAAGATGAAGATTCCCGCGAACGTGGTCGATGAGCTTGTACAAGGTGCCCAGTCGGATATTCGACAAGTGCTCAACATGCTATCTACTTGGAAGCTGTCTAGCAACACAATGGATTTCGACGAGGGCAAGGCAATGTATGTTTCGAGTCTCTGAGGTTTATGAAGTTGCTCAAACCCATTTCAGGGCGAAGATGAACGAGAAAGGAACGATCTTGACACCATTCGATGTCACTCACAAAATGCTTGGTCCTTACCTGTTCTCAGCGACTTCTCGCGAAACACTCAATAACAAGATGGAGCTCTATTTTCAAGATTTTTCTTTCATGCCTCTATTCATTCAAGTTGAGTGATAGTGTCTCTCCCGTATGTCTGCTCAAGTTGTTAACGGTATTCATTCTTCTAGGAGAATTACCTGAAGACAGAGCCCGCCAAGCTAAAGAACGACTCCGGTCCTGAAAGGCATATGAAGCACTTGCAACTTATGGACAAGGCTGCTTCATCCATTTCGGATGGTGACCTAGTGGATGCACTTATACATGGGTATGCTTTCCCCGTGATGGATTGACCTCCAAATACTCAAGTCTCTGTAGACCAGAACAACATTGGTCGCTAATGCCTTTGCATGCGGTTTGCTCTACCATTCGACCTGCGTCTTTCTTGTATGGTAGCGGTGGCGGGTATGGAAGCCCTCACCCGGTATCCTTCCCCCAGTAAGTAATGGTAGTATTCCATATCTCTACATTGGTTGACAATATCCCTCTGAAAGATGGCTTGGACAGAACTCGAAGCAGAACAAGCTGCATCGTGAACTGACTGACATGCAAGCTCGGATGCGCCTAAAGGTCTCGGGTGACAGGAACGAAACGCGGCAGTCATACGTCCCGACGCTGTTTACGCATCTCGTCAAGCCTCTCATGGACGAAGGATCAGTAAGCATGATTCTCTTGCACCTCATGTTGTATCTGAACCTCGAGACCGCAGAGTGCCGTCGATGAAGTCATAGACAAGATGGATGATTACTTCCTCAATCGTGAAGATTGGGATGCTGTGGTCGAGCTCGGAGTTGGCGATCATAAGGAAGAGGTCGTGTTGAAGAAGATATCACCAGCCACGAAAACGGCCCTCACCAGAAAGTGAGCACTCTGATATGAAACCTGTGGGCCGTCTAACGTCAGCTTTCACAGGTACAATGCCAAAGAACACCCAATTGCATTCCATAAGGCAGAGGACTTGGGTAAAGCGGCGAAGAAGATTGCTGCTCCAGGTCCAGCTCCTGACCTTGAAGAAGCCGTGGAGGTGAGCATGGATGTTTTCCATGTTACCGTAAGTTTGCTCACACGACATATGTCAGGTGGATGAAGAACTAGAAGAAGCATCTGAGGAGAGTCCCAAGGGCGATGATGATGATCTGAGCACCGACAGCCTCATCAAGGCTCCGAAGAAAATTCAGGTTGCTGGTGGGCCAAAGGGGAAAGCAAAGGCGAAGGCGAAGAAGTAGTATGAATATGGATGGCCCAGCTTGAGACGGGTTAATGACTTCAATCGTAGTATTTTAATTACATGATGTTGTTTCCGAGCCTGCATGATTATACGTAGTTCGAGCAAATTGGTGCTGGAAACCCGTTATCCAAAAGGGCATGGCGGAATTTGCATCGTGGTTGCAGGCCACGATGGGAAGGAGTGTGCACGGTGAGCATGGCAACGTCATGAACAATGTCGCCGGGGTGTACGCACTCGGCCGCTTATACTCTCTACCACCACTGACACTAATGACTTGCTCGCTGCTTGACGATACTTGAATAGTATTGTCGTGTCGGCATGTTCAGCTGTGGGTACGGGAACACAAAGATATCAATGTGCCGGTACAGCGCCATGAACAGCTTGTTATCCGGGGCTGCCTCGAGGCAAATGACTTCCTGTCCGGGCGTCCTGCATCGGTAGGCCGATATTAACTCACTCGTCCTCTCATCCAGGCCACGTTGGAAACGCGAGTACAAAGGCTCTGACGGCCAAAAAGCACTTATGTATCTCTCCACGTTCTTCTAGCCACGCTCTTTGTCTTTGCTGCTCCTCCATCCTTCCCCGTCCCCACCATCTAACAGTCCAGCTGGGCTATGTCCAGTCAATCGCCACAACGCAACAGAAAGCCCCAAATGCTTGCCACTGCCCAAGGTGAGTCTATGGGACAGTTCCCTTGTGACGATCTCTATTGTTCTCTCGATTTGGCTGGAGGGCACGTTACAAGTCAACTTGTCAAAGCTTACTCTCTTGGATCTACGTATCTGATTTTGCCTCTATGACGAACAACCATCTTTTGTGTCTCCTTTTACGTTTCAGACGTGTGAAGGTCGATCTCCCCTGGTTCTATCCTGGTTCTTAACCAGCGTAGGGGACGCCTATATCTTCCCATTTCACTTACATCCACCCCGATTCCCGAGAACTGACCGGCTTCTGCTTTCTTAATAGGTCCGATGCAGGCCGCCGCGCTGCCCCGAGAGGCTTCTCCTTCTCCTTCTTTCCGTGAGCGACAACGGGCAATGAAAGCGCACTCTATGCCTATCGTGCCTTCAGTAGGACAAATGTTGGCAAATTCTGCCCAACAGGGTCAACAGCCGAGTCCCACTACATCTAATTCTTCCCATCAGTCACGCAGGACACCGCCTCCAACTTCTCGTATATCTCCTACAACGGCGAAGCTTGCATCTGGAACGCATTTAAATCCGGGTGTTCGAGATCGCAGTCCTCAGCGACTGAATTCACCACCGCCGTTGATCCATGCTCACTCTCAACCTGTTGTAACGAGACCGACGCCCCGTGTACCGCCTCCTCAGTTCCTTACACAATATCAACCCGCAGAGGAAAAATGGCAAATGACGCCAGAGCTCATGGCGGACATTGAGCGAGCTGACCAAGTGCAAGGCCAATTGGCAGGTACCATGGGTGTGGCCTACGCCGGGGGTGCTGCTTCCAGTCATTTGCAACACAGTCTTGCAGCTAGGGATCCTGCCGTTGAGCGTGTCCGTGCCAATGACAGATCGAGTCCCAAGGACCGCGTTCGGGACAAGGAGAGAGATCGCGATGTTTCCAATGCTCGGGAGAGTCCGAAGACGCGAGAGCGCTCCCAGACCACATCTTCCATCGTATCACCGCTAGCGGATTCCCAATTACGGGGACAGGAACGATCTCCCGACTATCGTGGCTCGCCGCAGTATCAGAGTCCCATGGCTTCTCCCGGGGAGCGTACTGCCGCATACGCACAGTACGTCCCTGATTCTTACCAATCCTCCCATAGTCCCACAGGCCCAGTGCCTCGGAAGCCTCCGCCTGCGAATCCTGTTGATGTCGCTCCCTCTCGTGCTACACCCCCAGCTCCAAGTAAGCTGGCAAACCAGACTCCTCCATTGCTTAGCCGTCCGCCTGACAGGTCTCTACCTGTTCAGGAGGAACCAGAGGAGGATGTCGCTCATAATGACCTTGAAAAGAATCATGACTATCTGGGCTCACGACACGCGTCTCCTACACCATCCTCAGAGCTATATCCAGATAATGCTCGGCATGCCGGTCGTTTGACAGTTCGTAATGGTATCCATCCAAACGAGGATGACAATGACGAAGATGATGTGACTCTTAACGAAGAGATAGATGACCATGATCAGCATGGCCAGAGCGAAGATGATGACAATTCTGGTTTCACGCCTCGTTCTCCTTCGACGAATTTACCTGAGCGTCTTCGCGACGGTGGTTTCAACCCTCAATATACATCGGCCTCCGGTCAGTATCAGCCAAGTGTTGACAACCAGAAGACGGTCCGAGTAAAACCTCGTGCAGGCCCCACAGACCAGTTAGGGATGAGGGGTTTCGACGCTGCTATGTTCGAAAACTCTACTATCCAAAGTCTGCGAAACAACCCGCCTGACGGTTCGATGAATGGTTCTCGTCAAACACCACCATCTCGATCACTTCCTCAGTCTTTATCTCAACCTCAGTCCCAGCCACATCCACAGACGCAGCAAGCTCGGTTGAGCTATCAGGAACAGGTGCAGCAGCAGCAGTATCACGATGCCAGCCGTCAACAGGCCATGAACCACATCGCCGAGCACTACATGCAGTATGGTTCTAGAAGTCTTCCCGCTAACATGCCCAATATAGAAGACATGCAAAGTCTCTTCGACGACCCAACGTCATCTTACCTTCAATCTTTCTTGCAGTCGCCAAGAATGCGTCCCAACGCGCCGATTCCTCCTACTCCTCAGACCCAGACTGCCGCTCCGTCGCCGTCTCCAGCCATTTCCTCTATGCCCAGTGAGATTGAGGCCCGGCAAGTAGGTTCGCCTTACCCATATCCTTTCGGGCATATTCGTCGCACTGCGGTATCGGCTGCTCAAAATGCCCCTTCGTCCACTTTCGATCCCAACCACCCATCAGTGGTTAGGGAGCAATTAGCTCTTCAGATGCAAATATATGCTTTGAACAATGGTTTAGGGTCTCCCTCTGAGTCTGCATTCTCCCCGGCGTCGACGCCTTTCCCTGGTCCTGGATATAATCCATGGGCCTTTGTCCACCAAGCTGCACGGCCGGGAGATTCAAACATGAGTTTGCGCTCTAGCCCAAGTCACGAGCCTGTACCTATGCCTATGCCTCCTCTGCGAGGTCGGGGCGTTCGTCGAAAGGAACAGAGTGTGAGCACTCGCCCCCCGGTCCCCGTGACACGACGCAGAGTTAAACCTCCTCCGAGGGTGGAAAGTACTCAGCCAAGAGACACGAGCCCAGAGCCCTCATCTGGGTCTGGTGAAGAAACGGCGGGTGAGGATTCCATCCTCCATCAATACATTCCCACTAGCGGAAAGTGGCCCAATGGTGTCACAGAGGTGGAGGAAGATGAGGATAACGATGACGGCGAGTGGGTAGACGATGATGATGAAGCAGAAGACGACTTGTTACAGTTGGAGTATCACCCCTCCTTCGTTTACAGGACAGACAAGAGACGTCGGAGGTGGGACACTCGTTGGGCGGCCTTGGCCCAAGCGGTGAGTTGTCAACATTGGATTCTCTCATTTCTAGGTCTGATGCGCTACCTTCTTACAGTTCCAAGCATTGGATCGGGAGACAGACGCTACATTAGTGCTGCTTGCTGCTCCGTCTCATTCAAGCAAGCTCCATTCGCTGACTTCGCGTTCCATTCGTCGGGATGCGGCGATTTCTGGATCAAAGGCTATGAGCCGCTTGAAAGGGTCGTTTAATCAACTAGCTGCCCAGCGGAAGGCGTCTCGCACAAACCGATTGTCTCTGTTTGAGACGTTATCATCTGCTGGATCTCCTGGAGGGAGCTCGATGGGAGGCGAAAATCGTGAAGAAGACCTTCGTCAGGCTTTAAATACTGCTCTTGCCAGCTTAGGTGCAATGGGAAGTATTTATGAGCAAAGGGAGGCACGATGGAGGGACGAGATGCGGAAGTTAAGTGAGGATCGGGAACATGTCGAATTATTGCTGAGGCAGGCTTTGGGTCCTGCTCTCGCGAACGGTCACGATACGCATTCGGAGGAAACAGCGTGAGACTATTTTGTATGCATAGTTTGGATAGGATTTGTATCATTCGTGTCATGTACTGCATAGTGTATGTATAATATTGCAGCTGCAATTGTAGATTACTGCTTCTCAAGTTAAGCCAAATGGAGATACGTTTGGAAATACTGAGAAAGCAAAAGCATACACATGTACTCTATAGATGCGCAAACGCCATCTCCTGCGAAGTTTACAAGTTGTTCATCGATCGATTCTCGCGCCCACCAGTTGAAACCCTCGTGCTTTCTTTCTTTCACACTTCAAAAAAGCAGCATCATGGCTAGTGAGCAGCAGGGAAATGGTAAGTCTTGCCATCTCTGCTGCAGGGCTAATTCATACGGACGGCCGCAGTTCTCATTGGAGTTATCGGAGGAAGCGGACTGTACCATCTGGACAACCTTTCCTTCATGTACGTACGCTGTCTATCTGGTTATTCTGAACACAGCTGACTATAGCAGTAAACATGTAAACCCAGAAACAGTGAGCATCCTCGCATCTGCGAGGACGGGCCTTCTTAAGATATCCTTTCTTACTAGCCCTGGGGCCATCCTAGTTCGCCTATTACTATTTGTGCCCTTCCCTCGGGTACACAAGTCGCTTTCCTCGCTCGACATGGTATTGGACACACACTCTCACCCTCGGCTGTCCCATGCCGCGCCAACATCGCGGCCCTGAAGAGTCTCGGTGTTCGTGCCATTTTGGCTTTCTCTGCAGTGGGATCTCTGAGGGAGGAGATCGCTCCTGGCGACTTTGCCATCCCTTCTCAAATCATTGATCGCACGAAGGGCATCCGTCCAACGAGTTTTTTCGAGGGAACTAGCGTTGTTGCCCATGCTGCATTCGGCGATCCGTTCGCAATCAAGTTCACCAAGTGGCTTGAAGAGCGAGTACAGAAAGTACTGCAGAGTGCTGGAAATGGATCAAAACTACACACGGACAAAGTAATTGTGTGCATGGAGGGGCCACAGTTCTCAACCAGGGCGGAGAGCAAGATGTACAGGGCATGGGGTGGAGACCTGATCAACATGAGCGTTCTGCCGGAGGCAAAGTTGGCAAGGGAGGCCGAACTTAGGTGAACCGCAGTTTTCAGAGGCAATTGCCATGGTTTTGCTGACATGAAATACATTGTACAGCTACGCATTGATTGCTACGTCGACTGATTACGATTCATGGCGGGAACATGAGGGATATGTGACCGCAGCAGAGGTATTCAAGACGCTACAGACTAATGCAGAGCTATCGCGAAAAGTGGCTGCGAGTATTCTGGACGAACTGCATGAGGCGGCTGAGGAGGGAGATATCTTGACGGAAGAGGTTGGATCGATGAGGTTTTCCATTATGCCTCGATCGGAAAAACAGAAAGAGGAAGACCGAGAGAAACTGAGATATGTTTTGGCCGACTATTTTAGCTAGAGTGTATGTAGAAGGAGGAATAGATAGAAAGAGAAATTTGAGACAAGGGCGATGGTCGTGAGAGGAAGGGCCGGTTGCCATCGCTGCAAACGCGCATGAAACGCTGCCACTGACTCTGGCACTGAGCTGCACTGGCACTGGCACTGAGCTGCACTGACTCTGGCACTGAGCTAACACTAAGCTGCACTGACTCTGACTCTCATTTCACAAACTCTCTTTCAATGGCCTCTGCTCTTCTAGCCGACTCTCCTCCAGGTGCGCGAATCCCTCTGCTTTCATCATACTCCTTCTCATTCCCTCAATTACAGATATTCATCGCCTTTCTTTAGCTGTCGACCACCCGCCTTCTGCATCTCCCTTCCCTTCCCCAGGCTCGCCCTTCTTACCTCCACCTACCATCGGCTCGCACGAGTTTGCATCTAAACCTTCTTCTTCCAGCCAGACCATGTGCAATATTGACACCAAGACGTCTGCCAAGTCTCCAACTTTGAGCACGCAGAGCGATGCTACAACCATGCCTCTCTCACCCTCCCTCGATGGAGGTGCCACTCCAACGGCCACTATTGCAGCAAATTCGCTCGCATCCGCATTATCGCCAACTACACCCAGGCCCCAGTCCTCATTTCAAATCCAGCAGCAACCGCCATCCACACCAGAGCAATCACTCACGGTGCTCGTTGATCCCCGTCGGGTATCTCTAGCTTCTTCACGCCCTGCCCCTCCATCCCCTGCCCTCTCCAGAAGGGCTTCGGCTGCTCTCTCTCGCCAATCATCAACCGCGAGATCCAGGCGGCAGTCAAAAGCAAGTACTCTATCTCAGCAGCCCGACCATGACAAGGTCGCCTCTTCGTCTTCGGCTGCTACCATTACTCAAGACTCGACTCCCTCTCGCCGTCGATCTTGGATAGTCAAAATCCGAGACTTTGCCTTTTCTCCATCCGATGAGAGACATGCAGGTCGAGGTCCTGATGCTCCTCGACCTAACCGTGCACGGCAACGATGGTCCACCATGTCTTCCTCTTCAGAGTCTTCGTCGAGACATAGCGACATTGATGAGGACGCAGAAGATGAGCAGAGACATTCCAGCTGGAGTCCATTCCGATGGAATACATTGAGCAATCATTTCAGTTGGGGCTCTCGTTCACAGAATGATGATATTGGAGGTCCCTCGCATACCGATTTTGAGAGAAATTTTGATGCGTCTTCACCAGTCGACGAGTCCACCGATCAGCCATATCCAGAAGACGACGATCAGGACGAGCTAGAAGACGATTATCCGAACGAGGATGAACCCTTAGTACCAGGTCTATATCGTGCTCTCTATGCTTTCGACCCGGAGGGGACAGCAGAGATGGCGCTGGAGGAGGAACAGATGGTGAGAGTTGTAGGAAGAGGTGGTGGGGTGGGATGGGCGATTGTAGAAAAGGATGGAGGAGGTCATGCGCTGGTACCAGAAAGCTACCTCGAGCTAGTCCAGGCAGATGACGCTTGATTATATTGATACATCGGACTTTTGTGCATTAGTTCCTGAAAAGAGCAACATGTTTTTTGTATCGTAAATTCTCGAAATACCCTCGTGTTCTGATATTCGTTTGCAGGTCATAGTAATTAGGAAGTATATTGATCACCATGATGAGGTAAACTACTTTTCATTGTTCTGTCACGCCCCGCAAGACTTGTCTCCGGGCCCATTCCCCGACGACTGAACGCTGCTCTCCAACGATTGCTCTCCATAAAAGTAGTCGATATGTCAAGCCTTTCCAGCAGGGGCACCTTTCCATTTGTAACGTTACCTGCCACAGGTCTTCCAGAGTGCGACCCCATAGCCACAATGGTTCCGTCTTGGCACGAAGCCAGAGTTTCCTTGATGGGTGAGGTGGCGCAGGGATGGACTGATCTGCAAAACCATACGTTGCGACATCCGGAGATATCGTCAAAGTTGCTTCCGTCTCTTCTAGTTTCTTCATTGCGTACGAGACAACGAGAGACACTTGTTCGACCATAAGGTGAGAGACATCTAATCTGCGAAGAATAGAAACGACCCGTAGAAGGTCGTCACTTTGACAAGCTATTCGAGTGCATTTGTGAGTATTGTTCTCTGCCAAAAGAGACAAGTACATACAGGAAGATCGAAGGATTATGATCAAACATCTGGTGATCGTCATCTGCCATTCCTGCTGACTGTGAGATGTCGGTCGTTCCCTTTTCATAGAGATGACCGTGTTCTCGAGAACCTTGAGCCAAGCAATCTCTTCGCCCGCGATCAAATGTCGAAGCTGCTCCTCGACCCATTCCAACAGTGCAGATTTGGTCACAAGCGAGAATGTGGCAGAAGATACACAGGTAATCCTGGCCAAAAGCTGTGATGTGACACGCGACAATTAGCTCGACAAAAAAGAAAGTACGCTATAGATATACCTCTAGGACGGCATGCCTTGAAGTCTTGTCCGTGAACCCTTGATACTGACTGGCGACTAGATCCCAGGTATGCCGTTTCGTCATGATCTGCCACTCCTTTTTACCAACGAGGCCGTCGGTTAAAAATCGTATAATCCATATCTGTTGCAGTCTCCATTGATCATCGGAGCTATACATCATGTTGTAAAGCATGGGGACATCATCAGCGTCCAGTTGAGGCCGTTGGAGCAGGTATCGGGCGGTGAGCGGATAGACAAAATTTGAGGGATAGAAGACTCCGCGTAGAGAATGTGCCAGGTGCAATGTCATATACGCAGGGAGGCGCACACAATTATCGTGATCTAGCGGGTCACTGAATTGATCTTTGAGTAAATCCAAGATCAGGAAGACATGTTGCTTCTCCGCAAAGTCAGCGTCCTGTAATTTATCTCAGTTGGTCTGCGAGAAGACAGAGATCGGTGCAACATACATGCAACCAGCTCAGCAAATGCGAAAGCTGCAACAACGCTGCTTGTCTTGTCGCCGTGTCGTGAGAGGATAAAGCGCGAATCAGAAGGCAGACCACATTCGTCTTGAACATCCGCACCCAAGCCAAGGCGGAGGTCGGTGGCGCACCGCTCATCCAATACGCAAACAAGAGGATGACATAGGTAGGATCATACACATCCTCATCCTCTGTCACCACATCATCGCCTTGAAGGCCATAGATACCGTTCCATTGAGGGAAAGCGAAACAAGTGCGGAAAATACGCCCAGGATCGAGAATGAGCAGGGAATGGAGGCCTTCGACAGATTCGTCTTCTCGGTGTGTTAGGAGAGCGATCAGCGATGTCTTCCGCTCCTTTTCATAGAGACGGAATATCGAGAGCAAGTGAAGATCAGATGTTGACAAGCTGCCTCCATACAAAGGTCCGAGGGGTTCGACATGACTTGGTTGGCATGTGTTTGCTGGATAGAGGTGGAATAGGAAGTGCAAGAGATCGATGATAATTTCTTTCACTTCCGATGTGCTTGAGCCATCCTGTCTGCAGAGGTCAGGGAACTGAGTATGCTGCACTATACTTTGCAGCAGTCGATTAATATTCGCCGGCTGTATGACGGTTTGCGTAAGCTTTAAAAGAACTTCGAGGCATAGTAGAAATACCTTGGGTCGCAATGCCTCAACTGTTCGATGAATGAATTGCAGTATTACAGGTTCTGACAGATGATGTTGAACGGCAACACTGAGTACCGTATCGACGAGAGACGGCGAGAGAGAAGTAAGAGAACAGGCTCTAGACAACTCAGCTAGATCATAGATGGTGAGTAAATCATCACGAAAGGACCACATGTACTTACCGAGTGCTGTCAAGCTGGTGCCTTCAGGGACTGTACAAGGCCTCGCTTCCGACAAAAGCGCCGTCGCCCATCTGCAACCGTTTGATACAACCTTCTCTACTAAAGCGGACGCCTCGGAGCCTAGCACGTCGACGGTGCATTGGCATATTGTTAAGACGGACATATTCCATGGCATTGAAGTGAACCCGGATAATTCGTCGAGCAGTATTGTCAATAGTTTTGAACGCAAGTGTGGGATGCATCGCAATGCAAGCGCAATCGTCCCAGAGGTTGACGTCGACCTCTGAGTCAAGCATTCTTCATCTACCAACGATCGGATAAGTTTGCGAAACTGTGGCAACATGCCCACAGTAATGCACGAGTTGTCCCTAGAGCAATCAATCAGAGCGGCGATGATCGCAGATAAATGCTTGACCTCCTGTTCGCAAGGGTCATGCTCGAGCCATCGGACAACAGTGGCTCTAGTGGACTGGCTAGCGAAAACTAAAACGACGATAATGCGTGTTGTATTGTCGGTCCAAGTTGTGCGACGCAAGAATGGTGCAACGTCAAGATTATGAACGTCATGGATAGAGGCGGGGTTGTGCCCACTGAAACGCGCAATAGACCGGTTTACAAGCTGAGAGCCCATGTGTGACGGTATCCGGAAGAAACCTTGGTAGAAAGGTGGTAGGTTATCTTCAATGGAATCTGCTAGGAGAGCCTCCAATATGGCAGAGTTGGGGACAATTGATTGCAGGCGGGCAAATGCTGGCACATGCTTTGACAGTGAGACTTTGTCGTGATCATGTCCAACATGCAGAGTCTTCAGGACCTCCTCGAGAAGCAGTGCAGGATATTGGCCAGGAATAGCGGCCCCGATGATATCATCAAGGACAGCAAACAAGGACTCGGCATCCATGAATGGGATCCAGACCATTGCCGTCATCGTCTACAACAGGCATTAGTATCAGCAGGAGTAAGTCGGACAATCTGGACTACCTCATCATCGTTCATGCCCTGCCACTTGGTGCGCAAGAGATGTGACCAATACAAGGCATACTCTGCAAGTAATTTATTCTTCTCTGTATCATCTCCAGCAATAGTGTTTCGCAACAGCGCTGTGAATGCTGGCACAAACTACGTTACTACTTAACGACGAAGAACCAAAATTTCAGTCTCACCTAGACGTTCATCCCTCTTGAGAGAATGCGACGAACAATCTCGAACACTTCGCAACTGTAACATATACCGTTTGAGCCTGAGGCCATCACTAGCAGCTAACCTGACTTGAGCTTTCGACATAAGACGAGAGAGTAGGGATAGTAGTTCAGCCCATACGGACTCGTATCTTGTGTTGAGAAGCCTTTGGTTCACTAACGAGAATGCTCGCTTAAAATCGACGAAGCTCACTCCCTCTCGATCAGTCAGGGAGACAAGGACTTCCTGACAGTCTTGATCCTCGACGACAGAGTCCTCACAATGAGGGAAAGCGAGCCAGAAGTCGACGCTACCAGACATGAGTTCATGAGTCAGATGAATGTCCAAAATGAACTCACTGTTGAGCGTACTGGGGGAGGCGCTCCTTGACATCCCGTGGAGGCCACAGATGACCTTGTAGAGGTAGGATGTAATCAAATAATTCTCGTAGAGCCGTCGGATGCCAGCGCTCTATAGTGGATGCAGCACGGTCAAGCAGCTCCATTTCCCTGCAATAGCCCGATAGACGTAGACGATATATCAACTCGCCTACGGACGCTTTGGCGACTTCAGTTGCTGTTCGTTTAGTATAGATGATATGAGATCTAATACATAATCGGATTGAGTTGGAAACGAACCTTGCAGGGTATCCGTATCAACCATGTTTAGCATATCCTTCCTAGCAATGGCTGCATCTGAGCCAGTATGAACGGGCATGTCGGGATACCTCACTCCAAGACAAAGACTCCGCAATTCAGCTCGTATTGCGAAAGTGACCTCAGCGTCCCCATTGTCATCGGGAGTGGCTGCTATCAGTCTTGCAACGATAGGATGCAATTTCTCCAGAGACTGCACCTTGCACGCAAACCGCACGACCAAGCGCCGCAAGAATGTAAGTAAGGCGAGCGCGTCGGAGTGATGCAGTTTGTGCGCTGACATTCTTGCGGAGAATTGCTCCAACATCGTCATAAAGAGAGGGCTCAGAGATGACTCCAGATCCTCGGAGAGCAGTGGGTTGTCCTCTTGGGCCGGTTGCAGATTCCTTAGTTCTTCGATGTATTTGAATGGCGTCTTGATACAGCGCTGTGAACATTCGTCCAAGAAACAAATTACGACAGTAGATTCAAGCTTGAGTGGTAGTTCTGAGTCGGAGGCATATATTGGCAAAGCATCCAACCAGAGCGAGAACTCATCCGGATCATGCTGGAAGAGAACACTAGTTGCTAATGTTTCTTGTAGTACATTTTTGATCGCGGATTGTACGACGGGTACCCCAGTCTTCACGTACAACTCCAGCAAGGCGCAAAAGTTGCTTTGAGTCGAGTCTGCAAAGCATTCAGTTCTGCAGCATGAGTAGAGCACACGGTTAATGACAAACCCGTTTTACTGGACCACGAGAACTGATCGCTTGTCCTTAGTAACCGCAAAGCATGTAACTGTCGCACTGTGTGCAGTCCTGCAAGGGGACTTGCGATGCTCGTCTCTGAGGTGTGTGCCTCAGGGTGCACCACCTGCAGGACTTTTGCGACATCGAAGCGAGATTCTGCCAAGAGAGAAGGAAGGGCTTTGTGGTATAACCACAAGAGCCTCTGTGAACATTCCAAAAGTAGATCTGACTGCATCGCGTTGCCTTTCACGCTACTCCTTTGCTGAGCAAATGCAACGACAACTTGCAGATCAGGTACCCTCCGACGTGCTTCCCTTCCAACATCCACTATTCTTCGAGTCCAAGGCCCCGATGTATCCTCTTGGAGTTCTTCTTGGACGGATCGGAAGGTATGAAGTACTGCGATATACTTTATCAAGGATTTTATAAGCGCCAGCGCTGTACAGTGTTGTACCAGGAGTGAAGATGACTGAAGCCCTCGAGAGAGATGTGTCTTGATGTACATTGTAGGCAGGATATTGTCGATTATACTGGATAGAGGTGGCGGTACAGATCGGTACTCATTCCCTTCGGAGAACGACGTGATTGGAGGTGGTTCAGAAATTATTGAACCAAGAAAGGCAATATTGGCTATCCAAGTCGATGAAAGACGAGGCTCCAATGTCAGCGAAGACGCGGACCAAAATCTACCAACGTGTGTAAGCGTTGTCAGATTTGCAGCAGAAACTACTATACTAACCCTGCAACAAGCTCCGGACATGCTTTCAGGATGCGAAGAGCGAGCTCCCGTTGCCTTGGATCATCACTTAGTCTCAGAGTCTTAGCTACTCCGGCCAGAATCTTGTTGTAGATCTTAAACCGGGGAGGCCCTTGCGCATTCGCAATAGGGTCATCACCTCCGAAGTTTTCGCGATCGTCTTCACGAGAATACCAGCCGTTATCTTTGAAGCAGATACCAACGCCTGGTCGAGTGCAAAGGGCTAACATAAAGTGATGAACAAGTTCCGCAGGGATATCGTCTGCATCCGGTCCTTCCTGAGTTCGACGATCGTACAACCTGATTATCTGAGGGTGGATTGGTACAACAAAGAAAGAGTGTTCCTGAATTGTACGGACCTGTGAGACCGTGCTTTCGTTGAACAAAGCCACTTTCAGGGAACGCCTGACTTTGGTATCCGACCAGATGCCATCCCAACAGACCTCCAGTACCTTTCGCAGTAATGGGTATGGGTCTTGAGCAAGACCCTTGAACATCGTCGCAAGTAAATCGCGACGTTGCTCAAGGAAAATAGCTTTGACGTTAGGTGAGGAAGAACTGCCCACAAAAGACAAGAGAAACAAGACGAAAAGAGAACGAATGTCTAGAAAAAAAATGAACTTAGCCATTCATAAAATATGAGATCCAAAACAGACCTGGCGATGCGAGAATATTCTTGCTCGGGTCCATTTTGCCTTTGCGTCTCATGTGAAAAAGTTTTGGTAGTATCTGTAGAAATCACAACAGGTTCATCTTATGGAATAGTAAAGAAGCGTAACCTAGACATACCTTCAGATCCCAAGCAAACTCATCGAGGAGCACCTTTCGCACTTGTCCCGAGCCGAAGTTTGAAAGGGCCACGTAAAGTTTGAGCGTGAACAATACGAGTTCATTGAAGGAACTTGTCAGGTAATAGTTGAGCTTCATTATCCACTGCTGGGAGGTGAGTGAATTGATGATAGGCGTAGCAAGGCCATGGAATGTATAGTGTGATGAAAGCAAGGCGAGAATGTTCGCGAGGATGGATACGACGAGGGAAAGGACGACATGTTGGCGCTAATTGCTTCGGTCAGAATGAGAATATGCCGTCTTAAATCTGATATGTCTTACTGCATTGACGTGTTCCCACAACTTGAAGAGCGACTGTGCACCAGGGTCCGCGCTCAACCAGGTATTCAGCAATCGCAGGCGGTCATCTTGGACATCGACACGTTCGTTGTATTTCAAAGTGAGACGGTCACGCAGCTCCGTGAGTCCTGTAACAATTTCAGCAGCATGAGTCGAGTATAGGCAAGAATGTTTCGAAATGCAATGACCTTGGACTAGCAAAGTCTCATCTCGAGTTAGAAAAATGTTGCAAACATCCTGAGAGGTAGAGAGATCTAGCCGCTTAGTTTGCTGTATCCTCATCTCGGACGTCTATCAAGCGAGAAAATGTAAAGAAATGTAGCGTAGAGAGAGAGACATGAAGTCACGAAATCAACATGCCATAAGCCTCAAAACACTTCGATCGAGAGCCATTCACACAAGCGCCGGGCCGATCGCTTGTCCATATATTACTTATTCGGAGAATGTAGTATTGAATGCATTCGACTTCCGAACCAATGGGTCGCAGCAGACTTGCAGCAGACAAAGTCCACATCTCTTACACAATTGACTATCTCGTTCATGTTTCGGTCGCACAAAGTTTTGTATAGAATGACACTGAGAGATGATTCAATTATGGTGGCGACGGTCTGGACTCATTTCAATTGAGACCGCGAACCAGTGGCATTGGCATTGGTCATCTCGAGTGCGGTCAGCCTCATTGCTCGTCATTCTCTTTTCTGCAGGAATTTTTGGATTCGTTTCACATCTTTCTTCTGACTTCGGCACATTTCAGCCTTTTCCACCAGGTAACCTCGACAGCATTCAAGTCTATACTTCAAAAACCTATTTTGCTTTTTGCCTCACTCATCCGCCGGCATGTCAGCGTCTCTTAGGTCCCGTCGCGCTTCATGTCCTGCGCTTCCTCAGCGTGCCATGATGCCAATGACACTCTTTTCTCAATTCACGGGGTCTTCCACCGTTTCCGCTACTCAGGCTTGCAAGACTGCCCCTCATGAAGTCGACATTATAAATTCAGAATCGATGGGTTTGGCAATCCAGGACGGCTTCAACTCTGAGGTTAATAGAGTCATTGCAGACCTCTGTGATCGCCCCCTCTACACGGCTTCTCCAGGGCTCGTATCATTGATTAACCTCGCCGACCTATCGCTCGATCCTTCTTCCTCGCCAGCGACTACTAGCCAGCCATCACCCATCCTTGATTTATCGAATTCGGATATGTCCAGTCCCACACTTGTGCACACGCCTCTTTATATCACGACTCGTCGCAATCAGAATCCCTCTCAGAGCTCTTCCGCTACACTTATGGTTGGATTAGGCATTCAGGGTTTATTCAAGGAGGACGGGACAATTTTCGACGGCCTAGGTTTTCTATCATATCGTGACCATGCGGATTACGACCCTGTCCTTGCTATGTTATCTCCGGATAATCTGCTGGACAAGGGCCTTTCAACAAATGCCGTCGGCCGAGACAGAACCAAAGTTGACTGGTGGGGATGGGTGACAGAGCGAGACACCAGTTTTGACGCAAGCGTATACGCATTTAAAATGCCGCAGATGTCGCAACAGCGCTCTCAGAAAGCTGCGTCCGCCAACACGGTAGCCCGCCATGCTCGGCACCGTTTCACCTTCTCAGATGTGTCACCTCCCCGCTTCGACAACCTTCCCCAATCAGGCCCGTCGAATTTAATCCTTTCCGAGCAGCCGTTGACACCTAGCGTGAATGTCGGTCACGGTGCCACTCTTGACAACTCAACTTCACCAAGTCGACGCCTACATCAAAAAATAACCCGGAAATCTGCCAAACAATCGGCCGTAGTTCCATTTATCCCGAACCAGGATGATGTTTTCTACGACGGCACTGCCTCCTTGGTCTTCCCAACAAAGTCGGATGGGACAAAAATGTGCTCGATAAAGGACGTAGCCGACCGAGCTGAAAGTGGAATGACATGGAGACTCAACGAGTTGCCTCCCGTGACACGATGAACGCGGAGGCATTCAGCTCAGAATAGCTATAGGGCTACAGAGCTCACTGACCTTGTATCAATGATCCAATTGCAAACACCTAGAATTACACTGCTGATATATCGTAGAAAGGGATATGTGTGACAGTACACTACTCGGAAATAGATCAGGTACAACTTTCCTGCTTACGAGGAGAATAAAGGCAAAAGAAGTGAACGGAACCAACTCTATTTAGTCTTGCTTGCCTTGGAATGAACTCCATGAGGTGCTAAGTCTTCTATTACCAGCCGCTGTGCAAGTTCCACCATCTCTTCTCGGCTCATTGTGATCAGCCCCTCGTAACCTACGGGATGAACCTCGACACAATGTGCCGACAGTACATCCCTGGATGCCTCCTTGCATGGGAAAGAGACGACTGGGACCGTCGGTTCCCTCACCCTCCGAGACCTAGGACTGCATAAGTATCAACAATATGGGCAGCATAGAATTGACTTACAGACACATGCGACACTCGTATTTATCATCGATCGTTCTGTAAGCCAGCCCAATATGTTGAAGTGAGAATGGTGGGTTGAAAGGGGTATTAGCAGGCGCGGGTGATTGCCCATCCGTATTTACAGCCGGGTCAGGCGTGTGGGGTGCATTGGAATAGAATTCTTCCAGTTCCTGCTCTTCCTTCACCCTCACCTTCTCGTCCACTGCGCCATTGGGTATAGGATGATGCGAAGCCAATGAAGCTGCTGGTGGGATAACGGGCGGTTCCTCTTGGCGGGCAGGAGACAAGACCAACGTGTCATCAGGATTCTCTCTGTGTGAGTCATCAGTTGACTCTTTTGTAGCTAGATTGAGCGGTACTGAAGTAGGAGTGGACAATGGGTATGTATTTTCTGGAGGTGGGATGACGTCAAGTGTCTTTCGGCGTTTAATGGGAGGTTGCTCTTTATCTGTGTTCGATTCATAGGTGCGTTTTTGTAGAAGGCCAGACACGTCAGTTGCGCAGGCATCCGATTGAGGTTCCTCGGTATCAAGTGAAGACTCGGGAAGGGTGTGTGTCGCCAATACTGGGGAGTCAAGAACTTCGGTAAGATCAATCAACTCTTGCTCAAGCCCGGACAGGGCAGCAGATGAGGCCTCTTCTTTAATCGACACATCGGATGGCGCCACATCTTGTTCAGAAGCCGCTCGTGCCACAGACGTAGTATCCGATGACAAAGACGAGTCTTCGTTGGTTGCATCCAAATTTGAAGATCCCGCGTCTGGGTTCATGACTGCCGATTGCTTTCCTGCCTTCAAAGCTGCAATTTCTCTTTCCAGCTTCTGCCTTTCTCTTTGTTGTTGAGCGAGCACTGTACAACGAACAATGAATGGAATGCATCAAAGATATTTGCATCGTCTGCTTACCCCGAGTGAATTTCGCCTCAAATTCTGCGTTCATCGCCTGTCTCACCTTGTTCTGCGCAGTATCCACTGAAGCATCACCGATAAGTCGTACGCGGAGCCACAAGTCTTGGATAATGCGTACCTTCAACTGGATGTGTCATATCTGTATCGGAGCTCGAGTGGCCACTAATTTTGAGCTGGGCACTAGTCTCCCCATTCTGCACTTTCTCAAGGGCTGCGACAAGTGCTTCATTTGTAACATTGCTTTTGGCAAGTCCAGCCCGCAGAGAGGTAATTTCTTGGTCACATTTTGCACGGAATTCCATGAATTTGCACGTAAATTTCGCTAAGCGGTTGTCGGCATCGGTCTTCCGCCGATTGAGGTCTTCGTACAATGTATCCCGTTGATGTTCAATAGACTGAAGAGCAGAGCGTGCAACGTGGAGCTCTGTTTCAGCCGCCTGGAGTCGTGATTGTAGTTTATATGAACCTCCTCTCCAAAAGTTAATCTCATTGTAAGCTTTAACGAGTTCTCGGCTGAGCTCTTCGTGTGCTTCAGTGTAGGCCTGCTCAAGGCTCACGCGAGTCTTCAGGAGTATGTTGGCGGCATGCTGCCTCGACTGCGCCGTCACGTCAGGCTTTGAAGGGTTTGCGGGTAAATTGTCGCTTGAGGCAGCAGGTGGAAAAGAAGCAGTTGAGAACTGCGTAGATTGCCGACGTTGAGAACTTGTTTCAATGTAATAACCCAGGTTTTGCAAAGACGGCTGCGTTGGTAGGGGTGACTGTTGGGTCTCGAATGTACCTGCGATGGGAGAACATTGGGAAGAATTGGACCCGCTTGCTCTTGACTGAGAGACGAATTCATGAGTCGATCGTGTTGCTGACGACGGCTATAGAAGCACGGAAGCAAACTCACGAAAGGGCTACCACCATGCGAACGTTCGTCCTGGGGCTGAGTGCGTCCAGTTGGATACTGTGAGTTTAGATGATTGTTCACAGCTGGAGGATATTGAGACTTTTGAAACGCAGTGTCACGTTGTTGTGTAGCGTTTGGCTGAATAACGTGTGCTTGAGGGTAATTAGGTGCGTAACTGTTTTGTCGAAATTGGGGAGCAGGGTTCACTGAAGCCGGAATGTAGCCCCCGGAAGATGAGCTCGTAAGAGGACGAGTGTATGAAAATACAGAAACATCGGGAGAAACGGGAGAAGTGACAGGATGGGGCCTTAAAGGCTGGCCATGCTGTTGGACCATTAGTCACCGCAAGCTGCTTTCTGGCAAGAAGAGTCTCAAGATTTAACACGTGTACATACGCGAATAACTGAGAGAAATGAGACTAAAAAAGAATCTAAACTGGAGTGCAACCGAGGCTACGCTTTTGCACACAGCTGGTGGTCTAGTAGGTTGAACTTGAAACTAGAGATAGACGGCGTTCTGCATGCTTTCCTTTTCCGTCTGCCCCTTTGAACATGCGTGCAGTCGAAAGTCCCCAGGGAACGTTCGACTTGCATGACGGTTGGGACGTGAGAATGCGAGAGCCGTTGTATGCAAAGTGCCTGCTTTCTACAACGTGCAAGAGAGCCGGAGGGTGCTGCAACATTCAATGAATACAGTGGCGCGACAGACGATACAAGTTATGCAAGACTCAAGAGTTCACGTTCAGATAACCCTAGGGTAGGGTTAATAACGGATTGAAGCGGAGTTTGATCCCTGCTGCCTACTCGTGAAATTTGATGCGCAAGCCATTTTGCTCGCAATCTTTGACGATGCCCTCCCAGTCGTACCTCCGTCCGTCCACCGCCCTTGACCATCTCAAAACCTACGCTCGTTCAGATGGTCTCGCAGTTGCGGAGCTCATGGACTCTCGTGTCCATGGTGGCTTAACCTATAATGATTTCCTGATCCTACCAGGAAAGATAGATTTCGCTGCACACGAGGTTTTGACTGAGAGCAAAATCACTCGCAATGTGGTCCTCAAGACTCCCTTCATGAGCAGTCCCATGGATACCGTTACAGAGGGTGAGATGGCTATTTCTATGGCGGTGAGCCCAGAAAACCCACCTCCTTTCCTAGAATCCCGTTGTCCGACCAGTTCTGTGCTTTTTTTTTAATAGCTACTTGGTGGCATTGGTGTCATTCACCACAACCAGTCTCCGTCAGCGCAGGCTGCTATGGTTCGGGCTGTAAAGCGTCACGAGAATGGCTTCATTACCGATCCTGTCGTCCTATCTCCATCCAACATTGTTGAGGATGTCCTTGATGTCAAGGAAAGGCTGGGTTTCTCTGGAATCCCTATCACTGGTATGTCTCGTCCTCCCCTCCGAATGCTCTACAAGATGAGACATTTTTACATAACCTTCGTTCTTCCGAGAAAACGCTTATGGCGTGACGTGCGGATACTTTGTTTATATTTCCCTGACGCTGTGCTACGTAACGTCTGCTTGAAACTTATACTTACGCGCCATATCAGATACGGGCTCCTTAGGCGGGAAGCTTCTTGGTATTGTGACCAACCGTGATGTACAATTCCGCTCTCCTTCCACACTTTTGTCGGATGTTATGACCACCAACCTTGTCACCGCACCTGAGGGCATAACGCTTCTAGAGGCTAATGATATCCTTCGAGATTCGAAGAAAGGCAAACTTCCGATTGTCGACAAAGAAGGTCGTCTAACGTCGTTGCTGGCCCGCTCGGACCTGCTGAAGAACCAGACCTATCCTCTCGCGTCCAAGCTCCCTGAAAGCAAGCAACTCTATGCTGCCGCTGCTGTTGGAACTCGTCCCGCTGATCGTGATCGACTGCGCCTCCTCGTCGAGGCTGGCCTTGACATCGTTGTCTTAGATTCCTCTCAAGGAAACTCTATATACCAAATTGATATGATTCAATGGATCAAAGAGACATACCCTAACCTCGAGGTTATTGCAGGCAACGTCGTTACCCGGGAACAAGCTGCAACTCTTATTGCTGCGGGTGCTGACGGCCTTCGAGTGGGTATGGGGTCGGGATCCATCTGCATCACTCAAGAGGTTATGGCTGTGGGTCGTCCGCAAGCCACCGCTGTATACGCCGTCGCCGAGTTTGCGAGCAAGTTTGGTGTTCCTGTCATTGCCGACGGCGGAATTGGTAACGTTGGTCACGTTGTCAAGGCCCTCGCTTTAGGTGCGGGTGCAGTAATGATGGGTGGACTCCTTGCTGGAACTACGGAGGCACCTGGCGAGTACTTTTATCACGAAGGCAAGCGTGTCAAGGCCTATCGCGGTATGGGAAGTATCGTAAGTCTGAAGCTAATCTTCTTGTTGACCGCTTCTGATCCCTCACAGGAAGCGATGGAGCAAGGCAAGCCCGTGCCCCCATCTGCTAAGATCAACGGCGGTTCCAGTTCTCACAAGCATCTAAATGCAACAAAAACGATCACTCACGAGAACGCCGCCACTTCTCGGTATTTCTCCGAGTCGTCCGCAGTGAAGGTTGCTCAAGGGGTATCGGGGGATGTCCAGGACAAAGGCTCCGTCAAGGCATTTTTGCCTTACCTCCATGCAGGTTTGCAGCATTCCTTCCAAGATATGGGAATACACAGTGTTCGGGAACTTCAGGAAGGTGTAAAACGAGGGCGGGTTCGGTTCGAGCTTCGAACCGCTAGTGCTCAGGTAGAGGGGGGAGTTCACGGTCTCCATTCGTACGTGTTCCAATGCTCTTGCGAAGCATGTTGCGGCTGATCGCCATCCTTTTCAGGTATACCAAGAGATTGTTCGCGTGATCATAGGATATTCCCGTTGTTCTGTTCGTTTGCTTCCATCCTTCTCGCAATGTGACCTTAGCAGTGTTCTATACCGCAATCTAGACTGCGTTGCTGTAGATTTCATCAGCACATCGCTAACGTATCCGAGTGGTTGAATTGACGAGTGACAGTGTTTTCTCCGATGTGTTGGTTATGCCACTCTTCTCCGCGGTTTACCCTCCAATTGCTGTTCACGTGAGTGATGGTTGATCTGAAATGTTAACAACCAGCCTTCTCGGGGATATGGGACTTCTGCGCTGCTCTCCCTTCCGTTGTACTTCCTATGCGGAACATTCAGTGAGTGACCTGTTCAACTTTGTTGTGACCATACAGACCTGCGTTCCTGGAAGTACTGAATGTCGGCAGAGTTATTTACGCCAGGACTTTCACCGGCAATATATCGAATTGTCGCAGGGCATGAGATGTTGCTCGTTCAGGGTGGACAAAGCTGGTGCGGGGCAATTGCGCTAGAAGATTCTCCTCGCCAAGCCGAAGGCAATTTTCAATGAGTCCCGTAGGTATATAAGGCTGCACAACATTACTCGACATATCCACAGTACTCCGCTAGCATCTGGTTGCGACATGAAGACACTTGCAGCTCTCGTCGCTTTGGCTACTGCTCTTGTCGTTCCAGCAAACGCTGTCGCCGTTTGGGGACAATGTATGTAGCCATGTTGACTACATTAGTATACAGTATCGCTCACCCGTTCTATTGAACCAGGCGGAGTGCGTGGAGGCACATCTTTGCCTCACCGATCAAAGCTGACTGCTCGTTTCTGTAGGGCATCGGCTATAGCGGTTCTACCACCTGTGATGCAGGCACTTCCTGCGTCTACCTTAATGATTACTATTCCCAGTGCCAGCCTGGTGCCGCTCCTGCTCCGCCTTCTACCACTGTGCCTCCAACTGCGCCCCCCTCCGGACCGACGTCCCAGCCTGCTCCTCCTTCACAGGCTACTGGTCTCGCCGCAGCATTTGTCCGCAAGGGCAAATTATTCTGGGGTACTTGCACTGATTCAAACAGGTTCAACAACGCACAAGATTCTGCTGGTGAGTACCCGCTCTGCGCTGCGTCTTTTTGTTTTGCTAACTGATTTTTACCAGTCACCGTCGCAAATTTCAATGGTGTTACACCTGAGAACTCCATGAAGTGGGATGCCGTGAGTCTTTATCCAGATAGTCATGTGGAGATACTGATATGTGCTTCAGACTGAACGTAAGAGGGAAAGTTAATTCGATTGCTTTGTGGCTTCTGACCCAATTATAGCCAACCGAGGACAGTTCAGTTTCTCTGGGTCCGATGCGTTGGTCAACTACGCCACTCAGCATGGCATGCTCGTCCGTGCTCACACCTTCGGTTCGTATTCTTCCGTAGATAGTCATTGACATCATATCAACATAATAATGTCTAGTCTGGCACTCACAACTCCCTGGCTGGGTATGCGGCAATGGCTATATTGACTGTAGTTCACATATTAATGACTAGTCTCACAGGTTTCCTCCATCTCGGACAGGACAACGCTGACGTCCGTCATTCAAAACCATATCAACACCCTGGCCGGCCGCTACAAGGGACAAGTCCGCTCTTGGGTGTGTACCTCGTTGGGTAAATTGCGAGCCAACTCTGATCATCATCATAGGATGTCGTCAATGAAATCTTCAACGAGGATGGAAGTTTCCGTTCTTCCGTTTTCTACAACGTGTTGGGCACCAGCTTCGTCAATCTTGCATTCCAGACTGCCCGTGCTGCCGACCCCAATGCCGTACTATACATCAACGACTACAAGTACGAAGCCACTGCTCGTTCACGTAAGTTATGGCTGACATCCGCCACTCCATAGTTTGGACAGCGTCAACCCTAAGCTCAACGCTGTCGTCAACCTCGTCAAGCAAATCAATGGTGGCGGAACCAAACTCATCGACGGTATTGGCACTCAAGCGCACTTGAACGTGCGTTGCTCTGGCTAGAACAATTAATACAGCTAATTGATACTCATTTCCTAACAGGCGGGTGGTGCTGGCGGAGTACAAGCTGCTCTAACTCTGGCCGCTTCTGCTAACGTTGAGGTCGCCATTACCGGTACGTGATCGTGGCATTTTCGAACGTCAGTGAATTGTTCAGTATCAATGGACGCGTAGAACTGGACATTGTCAATGCTGTAAGTTTGCCGTATTCGTCCATCTCATTCATTACTGAGCCATATCTTGCACGTAGTCGCCAAACGACTACGTCACTGTCGCAAAGGCTTGCTTAGCAGTTCCAAGCTGTGTTTCCATCACCAGCTGGGGTGTCCGTGACCCTGTAAGATTGACCTTCCTTGACGGCCTTTGTTCCATTGCTGAACGCATGTATAGGACTCCTGGAGAGCTTCTTCTAACCCTCTCCTCTTCGACGCGAACTTCAACCCGAAGCCGGCGTACACTGCCATCATGCAAGCTTTAGCTTAGGCGTCCTGGAAAGCGATTCTGATTTTGTATGTCGGGATAGAAACGCGTTGGATATCGAGGTACCATTCAGTGTGTATATTCGTAGCAAAAGCTGTGACGAATAGAGTCCATGTTATCTCATGTGACTGTGTGATAGCGGTTCCCGAAGTGCGGGGTCAACTTTTCCAAACTGACAAATTGGTGTAGAGCGCTTACGTATTCTTAATTCCAGCTGTTACCAAGGTTGTTTGGAAAATCTCGTCTCTTTCAACATCTTTTGAATTGTCTATCCATATGATGTAGCATTTAAACCAACCATGGTCACCCAAGATAGATTCAATAAACCGATACATATATAAGGATAGCCATATCAACTAATAGGTTCATGGCTGTAGTCACATTGATCTCCGTATCTGCATCTGGATGAAAATGTTGCCATCAGTCGTTGTCTTTAGCCACATTTTAGATCTGACGCTCGCCTTCCTGCTGCAAAGAAACTGCATGGTTTTCTCTTTGTACTTCTAAATCCATCACCCCGGCCTCTTCCCCGGCCTCTACCACGCCCACGGCCAATTCCGCGATCCCAGCTATCTTCCCAACGTCGATCACGTCCGTTTTCGTCATGGAACGCTCGGTCTGACTCGCTGAACGCCCCTGTGTTCCAATGGTCACTGCCCTCTGGCCCCGTCTGCTGCGTCGAGGGTCCCGGCGCATAGAATGATGGTTGAGCAAGAGCCTGTGCTTGCTGCACAAATTGTTGCAATTGCTCTGCGCTTAGTCCAAGAACTGAAAGGGCTGATGGATCCAGCACGGGTGTCTGTGTCAGTGCACTAATAGAACTGTCCATAGAGGATGCATCCGTAGCACCAGCGTTCGCAAGCTGACCCACTAGTTCAGCTACCGAAGCAGAAGCACCATTCAACGGGCCCGGCGTCGCGGGTGCGCCGTCGGCCCACAACACAGAATCAACCTCTGGTCCCGTAAGCATCATCCGCACGTCCTTATCCACCTCCTCATCCGGTATTTGCAATGAAACCTCCGCTGGGCTGTCTGGTATCTGTGCCGCAGACATATACAGAGCAATGAGAGCGGTTTGTTCCCGGGTGGCTTGAATATCCTTCTCGACGCTGTCCTTTCCTCGCTCGGGTATTTCGATCTCTGGAGGAAGGTCCAATGCTAGGGGGGTTGACCACATTGTCAATATCTCATTCTGTAAAATAACGTAGTGCTGCTCACATTGAGGGTCGAACCAATCAAGTTGTTCCTCGAATAGATGTGCGTGTAGCGCGGCACCTTCATCTCGGTCAAGATCACGGATATTGTGGGTAGTGTGGACACCCTGCGTACAACATGAGAAAAAGATATACAGGTAGGTTAACATATTGTATCTAAAGCAACACAAAGGAAAAATGCTGACATCCGCGGGGTCATCGTCGTAAACAGCCCGTTCTATTAGTTTAATCATTACTAATTGACCTTCGGGAGCCCAGGCGACTGTCTTCCGCTTCTTGTTCGTCTTTGAGATGACAGTTGACGTTGACGATGTCGCAGCAATTGCCATAGGAGGAGGTGTTGAGGCTGCTGGTGACTCTTTCTTGACCTTTTTCATTGACTTCAGCGCCTCCTCAAAGGGATTCATAGACGACGGCTGTGAAATGTTAGAATCAGATTCCTTCTTGATCGAAGGTGTAGGTGCCTTCTTGAAGCTGGGCAGCTTCGGTTTCGGTTTCGGCGCAGAGAAGAATGACGAGTCTGACTTGGCGTCCTTGACTTCCTTAACAGCAGACTTGACTTCCTTTTTGATGACTGAGGCTTTGGACGATGAAACCGTGGAAGGCGTGCTCTTCTTCAAAGGAGGAGCGGACTTCGAAGCAGGGGCATCTGCTTTGCGCTTCTTACCCTTACCATCTAGAAGGATTGCTTAAAAATTCGTAGCGATGTATAGTGATATACGTGGCTCCATACCTTCTGAGTTCTCCATTTCTTGTCGCCTTGAAACTTCGTCATTACTACTCGACAACATTTGACGCCACTTCCGCTCGACGTTGGAGGCCATATCCTTAATCGCTGAGGATCGGCATAGTTAAAAATGGTATGATTTGAATGATTGATTTTACACCATCAATACTTACCGGGACCTGGTGGTTCCTTTACTAGACGAACCACAATCTTGCCAAGCTTTGAGTTCTTCAAAGTTTCGATAGTGAGGGGAAGTCGATCGATCACCTGAAAGCCATGGGTTGTTATATTTAATATCTGCGAGATGATGCTATACTCACATGCAATAAGGGCATGATTGTCTCGACCAACTGCGAGTCCCCCTTGCCCGCGTAAGCCAGCCTCAGCCATTCCCTGGTGATTGTCATCGCATCCTCGTTCTCGACCCAAGCACGAAAGTAGTGGTTGCCAGCGTTGTCTCGTATTTTTGTGAAGATTTCCAGGCGTATCTGCGGCTCGACGTCCTGGCAACCATGGTCGAGGATGTGTGATGCTAACTTCGCCACTGCGCCAGCACCTGTGAAGGATGAAGGTTGCAACAGGGGTCGGAGGCCTGTGAGGAATTTCTCTTTACGCTGTTCCGGAGTTGGTCCTGGTGTCGGGATGTTCGTCGGTGTGGCGTAAAAGGAGGTAGATGACACCGGATTGAATAGCTGCTGCGAAGATGAGCTCGGAGTGGCCTGCAAACTGTACGGCGAGATGGTATTCTGCTGTAGATGTTGCTGAGGTGGCCGTTGTACTTGATAGTGCGCGGGTGTGCTGTGGACATAAGACGGGTTGATGGATAATGACGGGGTATGTTGTAGATGCTGATAGGAAAAGTGATTGCGTTGAGGTTGCTGTGATGACATGAATGCATTCGGATATTGTGGTGGCGGACTGAGGCTCGAAGAACCATTCATGGTAGTAAGGGCAGGACTGCGACGATGATGAACATCCAGAGGCGAGGAATATGGGAATGATACGCACTCAATGACAGACTGAGAGGGAGGGGTAGATGTCGGAGGTGAATGTTGGGCTGATCCGGAGGAACTTGTTGCACCGTTCAAGGAAGAATATGAAGAGAGAGGCAGTTGGGATGACTGAGTTCCTGTCCATTGGGAGTTGCTGAATGGGATATAGGATGTCGTAGCATTGGGGAGGTGGAAGTACTGTTGAGAGAACGGATAGAACGATTGCGATTGTGTTGATGAGGATGCAGCTGCAATGCTTTATGAGTTGCTTGCTTGTGGTGGAAGTAGGAAGAAGAGATATGCTCACCGGGCAGATCGCCCAAACCGAAATCGTTCAAGTCCATGGGAGGCTGCGGGGACGCGTGTTGGGGAACGGAGCTGGAGGAGGGGTCCTTCCAGGGTTCATTGGCATTCCTGTCGTCGTGCAGAGGTTGTACGTCGGGAAGCGATTGCTGCAACCACGCTGCATTCGTATATTCCATGTACAGCGACGTCTTTTTTTCTTTCGTATGCTCTCGCGCTCGCTCTCAAGCGGTTGTGGCAGACACTTTATGGGCTTAATTCTGCAACAAAAGAGAATGGAACAGGATACAAGAGGCAGACGACCACGACCCTGCACGCACTACGCTCCTACTGTCGGGGATGATAGTCAAGGGCAAGACTGGCGCAAGCCGTCGCCCGTCCACGCCCAGCACTTGTATAGCCCGTTTGGTACTCCGCTTCCGGCGTCTCTTCCCACGCTTTCTCGCTCGTCTAATCGTCTTCAACACGTCTACAATCCGTCTTGTAGCCAACATGTGAGTTTCTTACAAGTAGCGTCTCCCTCCTCAACTCACCCACCATGCCCCAGATTCGCGCCCTCCGCCATGGCAAACCTCCCAGAGGGTCTTGCTCAGTTCGAATATCAGAAAATGCAGGTACGTGTCCTTCGACGCGCTCCCTACCACTCACATGCTCACCATTCTTCAGCTCATCGGAAGCCTCAGCGCTGTCGCTGAAACTATGCGAACCTGTGCTAATATCGCGGAACAATTCGCTCAGATGGTCTCTCAGGTATCTTACGCTCAAGGTGCCCCCACAAACGGTCAATTCGCCGTTCCAGCCGTCCCCTTGCATGCTGCACCCGGTCGTGGCAAGCGCAAAGCTGCTGACGATACCGACGGACCCAAGGCGAAACGTGTCAAAAAACCCAGGGACCCTAATGCACCCAAACGACCTGCCTCATCATACCTTCTATTCCAAAACGAGGTCCGCCAGCAGCTGAAGGACAAGAATCCCACTTTGCCAAACAATGAGCTTCTCAGTCTGATCGCAAAAATGTGGAAAGAGATGCCCAAGGAACAGAAGGATGTACGTCCAAGTCTCCTCCATTCAGTGATCGATACTGAACTGTCGTTGCAGACGTACGAAGCGCGACAAAAGATGGCCAAGGAGGAGTGGATAGTTAACAAAACTGCGTACCAGGCCAGTATGGATGCCCAGGAACATACCCCCAGCGAATCTCCCGTAGCAGTATGTGAATCCTTTCTTGTTCATGTGCGTTCCTCATGTTGTGTAGGAGATACAACCTGCTCCTGTACCTGTACCTGTGTCTGTACCTGCGCCAGCGCAAGCCGCATCGGACTCTTCAGAGGACAGCTCCTCGGAGGAAGAAGCATCAGATTCGGATTCTGACAATTCAGACAAGATTGTCCGGCCAGCAAAAGGACGTACAGTGTCCAAGGTTCCCGCGCAGCATCCAGAGAAAAAGGTCAAGAAGAAGGCATAAGCGAGGTCCGTTGGGATGATGGAGGCACTCCGGTGTGAATTCACTCCACGACACATATTCTGCGGCTGCTTTGACATAAGCTACTGGATAGGCAGTTGGCTTGTACTATAGCCACGTAACCTGCCTTCGAACCGTACTTGTTTTTTTTTGTAAGAAATGCATAAAAGACCTTGCTGCGAAGTTGTGCAGTTTGAACTTGAGTTAGTGACTGGATGCAGCGCTACAAATCGGAGGCGATCCGATGACGTCTCTACAATAGGCATTCTGTCCCGATCGACCAAGCACTGCTTACTTCTGCTTACACTTCTCTCTTCCAACCCTCATCTCGTCCTCAGCAATGTCCCAGCCACCCCCATATGATTCCAATACCCCATCCAATCCCGACAAACGTCCCTTACCCTCTGGATGGATAGAACAGTATGATAAGAAGTGAGTTTCCGTATGTACTTGCGCGGCACCAACTGATATCGATCTTTCAATAGTTACAAGGCCTGGCACGTATTCTCTCTACCTTAACACATTCTCGTTACTCATGAAAAGCCAGGTTCTATGTAGATACCAAGGAGAATCCGCCCAAATCTTCCTGGGTGCATCCTTTGGGACCTCCTCCACCTGCTGCGCCTCCCTCAGGATACGCGCCTCCTTCTGGTCCTCCCCCACCTGGAGGAGGATTTCCTCAAGGTCCGCCGCAACAGCAGTGGGGTTCACCCGGATGGTCTGGTCGTTCGCCTAGCTCGGGGTGGGGCCCACAAGGTGGATGGCAAGGTGGTCCAAGCGGCGGATGGCCGCAAGCTGGTCCTGGTGGTCCTGGTGGTTGGCAGAGTGGTCCAAGTGGGTGGCAAAGTCCGCCCATGGCAAGTCCAGGTTCGTATATACCAGTACCACCATTTTGAGCCACCTTGATGGCCTCATCTTAGGATATTACGGACAACCGCAAACCCAGTACCTACAGACCAAGCCGCCCAAAGAGAAGAAATCCGGCATGGGAGTGGGCACTGCGGTAGCTGCCGGTTAGTATCTTGCCCAAATACCTCGGCCCGAAATGTTGACCAATTTGTTGAACAGGTGGTGCTGGACTTCTTGGCGGCGTGCTGCTCGGTGAAGCCCTTTCGAGTCATGATGATTTTGAAGATGGATATCAGGATGGTCAGTGTTACATCACAATTGGTTGGCCATGTCACTGTTCTGACAATAACTCCAGGCTTCCAAGATGGAGCTGACTTTGATGATGGAGGGGGAGATTGGTAAACATTCTAGTAGATAGTGCTAATCACCCTCATGCTATCTAGATATATTCTTGTCTGGCATAACTCTATACAGTAGGTTTCCTTTTGTAGCTACTGCATCTATGCTTTGTATCATGTGAAGTATTTGACAACTGTTCTATTATCTGATGAGCTTTTTTGTCAATGTCGACTGGTAGCTGAAAAGATTCAACTCTTAATTTCAATTGTTATGAGTGTAACTTGATAACATGTTGTATAGGTTGATATTTGAGAGCTGTGTCTAAGATTTGGGCAATAGATCCTAGTTGAACAGACAACAGCCTTTATAGCTATATATTTGTGAAATGATAACATTAAGCTAAAAAAAAATACAGAAATGAAGTGGATGTGCTATGAGTATAAGGGCCCTGGCAGCTTCATATAGTGTCTAACAAAGCCCTTTCAATGTTTGTCACTTTGCTTTGTGCACAATATCTTTGTGCTCACAAGAAATATTTGGATGCAGGCAGATGAATCTGAAAGTATAGTATCTTGACTTTAAAGCACTCTGAGACATGTCAATTAGTCTAGAATTAGCAGAGACAATTGAATTTCAATAAATACTACTTATTAAAAGGATTTCATTGTACATCACTGTTTTATAAGATTTCTGTGAAATTAAGCACTCATATAATTGTAAAAATGCCTATTGCTAATGTATCATGTTGATAAACCTTTCACCTCACTTCTAAGGTTCTTTGTACACAATATCATTATTATAATATATATTTCTAGAGTTTTCATTTAGCAATTTCTCCTTTTTTGTGTTTCTGATGTCAAAATTGCCAATATAATTAAAGCTGGTATATTTATTATTTCTAGAATCAGTAGTTCACTTTGCTCTGATCTTTGAAAGTTTACTGATGGCCATTCTTAGAAGATACTATATACTACCACTTGTTTAGCATTTTATCACTTTCAAATAAGCTAATATAGTTATTCAAATGATCTAGCAAATTATTATAGAATAGTCTATCTCTACTCAGATCATCTGTAAGTATTTGAAAAAAGCAGATATACAGGTACTTGCAAATTAGAAAAGCAATATTTGTTAAATTATTATTATGCAAAATTTCTGATCTTTACTGTAGGACACAATAAATAAGTGAATTGAATTAAAGAAGAAATTTTCACATAGCTGAGATCAAATTTAGTCATTTGAGATAAGATAAGAAAGTAAAAGTAAAAATAGAAGAAAGAGAATTTTAGAGATTTAGTTAGTTAAAAGTATAGTCATGTATATTAATAATATGTAGCAATGCATAGTAAAAAAAAAAAAGAGATACAAAATAGTATTGAACGGATTACAGATGCCAATATTAGAAAAAAATGTATTGCCTCTGAGAGCTATCTTAGAAGCCTTAGAAGAGGTCATAGAGGCTTTAGCAGCTCAGCCTTCACTAAAGTTCAATCTTGAGCTTGCACAGTTTTAGAAGCACTTTATCTATCATATCAATATAGCACTATATATCTATATCTCAAATTATTATAGTATATATATTTTTAGGTCACAAATTGAGACTTCATGCTAAATATATTTACTATAAATTTTGAAAAAATAACTTAATTTGAATTTGATACTTAGAGTATCATAATATATATTATTATCTGATAAACCTCTACACATAGTTTGAATAATAAATTTTAAAAGTTTCTGACAGATTATTTATTAGAAAGCTTTTGCAGCCATTATCTATCTATAGAAGAAATATTTTGAAAGATCAAGAAGATGCTAAAAGATTATGCATCTTAAATTCTATTACAATCTTCTGATATTAATTTTATTGAACATCTTTAAATGATCTAAAGAAAAAGCTTGAAGAGTATCAAAATATATTTAAAGAAATACTGAATCTATAAAAGAGATTATAGAAAAGATAAATAATTATATCAAAGGTAATTTATTAGAGTCCAATTAAAAGTAGAATATGAAAAATAATCCATATTTTCTATTCTTATTTGCTAGTAAAAACAGATCTAAAAAACTAATTGTTTTTTTTTACTGAGCTGAATAAAAAAAAATGTTGAAATAATTGATATTATTTGTAGCATTGTTAATACTTTTATTATACTTAAAAGACAGACTCTATTTTATAATTTGTTATATAGAAAGAATAAATTATATTGATAATAAGATAGTTACAATAATTTGTTCTTTTTATTTTGATTCAACTTTATTACTAATATAATTTATTTCTTCTATATAATAAATTGTAAAAAAGTTTGTCACATTTTTTTAGTTAGCTCAGTAAGAAAACAATCAACCTTTTAATCTATTTTTACTAGCAAATGAGGATAGAAAATATGGATTATTTTCTATGTTCTTTTTATACTTTAAATAATTACAGTCACTATTATATAATTAGCTTATATCTAGAAGGTCTATTTTCTAGCCTAGGACTATTTTGAAATATAGTATATAGTATTCAGTATATTTTTATATTTTTAAACTTGTATATTAAACTCACTACTTGAAACTCATTTTTTATACTCTAAACTAATTGGTATAGATTAGTAAGCCTACTACATTAATTTAATATAGTAAGCTAGATGCTTAAAATATATTTTGATATATAGTTAGTAGTATTTCTTTTGATAATACTATATACAAAATGTAGTATTTTATTTAATATAAGAACTATATATGCAAAAAAGAGTATATTAGAAAAAGTGGCATATTATGAGCTTCTGAGAATTTAAATATTTAATATGCAATTTTGCTAAATAATATAATAAATAATAGATATTAATAGACTATCATTACATAATATATAGTATTATATTGTAAAAAAGCTGCAAATATACTTTAAATATAGATTAATCTCTATATAAAATAGTTTTAATTAATAAGAAAACAATAGCCCTATTATGAGAAAGAATAACTTAACTATTAATAAGAAAACAATAGCCCTATTATGAGAAAGAATAACTTAACTATTAAATTGCAAAGCATATTAGAAATTGATAACTGAGACTCTGTAACTTCTAATACACTCTCTGAAGCATTCAAAAGAACTCTTAGAAGACATATATACTTTTCTAATATATAATAACTTACAAGCTTCTACTACTACTAGCATTTTAACTTTTTTTTTTGTATTTCTGGCTATCTTCTTATAACAGAAAAGCATGCATATCTTCTGAGAGTGTGTTAGAAGTTATAGAGTCTCGATTACCAAAATCAAGTTTCTAAAACATTTTGCAATTTAATAGTCAAGTTATTCTTTCTGATAATAGAGTATTTTTATTTATTTATTAAAACTGTTTTATATAGAGATTAATCTATATTAAGAGTATATTTATAACTTTTTTACAATATTATACTATATCTTATGCAATAATAGTCTATTAAGCAAGATTGCATATCAAATATTCAAATTCTCAGAATCTCAGAATATGCCACTTTTTCTAATATAATTTAAATATTCTTCAGCTGATATTGGCAGTTTTTAAACAGTTCTAAGAGAATTGTGATTAAGAAAAAATATAGAAAGATTGATTTTAGATTATCTATTATAGATCTCTATAAGATACAACTAACTGTATAAAAATTAGATCTTAGAGATTAGGATCTTAAGGTTATTCCTAGTTATAGTCTGATGGTGAACTTTTAGTGCATCAGTTTGGATCTCTCTCAAAAGGTCTTTAGTGGGCCTCTTACAAACTAGTTCTCAAGTAGACCACAAATAGTTAAAATATTTATGAGACTTAGATTTTGTCATATATCACAGAGTATCTGAGATTTTTATTTATATAACTATACTATTATATAATAAACTAACTCTAATTTTGCAACTCTTACTTTCTACCTCAATATATTTGATAAAATTCACAAAGGAGAAGACACTTATATAGCCTTTTCAAAAGACCCACAATATGAAAAAGACTTTTGCCAAGCAGTTAGAAGTAAAGATTTGAGTTGAGATTTTAGTATCAGATCTTTCAGGTAATTGAATAGTAGAAGTCAATTAGCAAATTTAAAATTAATGCAATCAAGTTATCAGTGAAAGAGAGAAGACTCACTTCAATATATTTGGACAATAAATAATATTGTTGAAGGAAGTTAATTATCAGAATCACTTTGATGCTTATTTGAACTTCTTTATAAGTATGCTATTAATTTTAAAGGAGCAAAATTAGATCTGCTTAATTTAGCTAGTATCTCAGAATTTCCAGATGCAGAATAGATAAATGTTCTTGCTAAAAAGATTATTGATCTCAACTATGTATTCACTGTCATGTGACAAAAGTGTTTTATATGTTGACATTGAGATTTTATAGTATAGATCAAATATGAGAAAAGATAGACTTAAGTAGTAGTTACTAAAACTATAAAGACTAAGTAATCATCTATACAGTCATATCTCTCACAAACTCAGAACTATAAATTTTGATATCCTTATAACTTGCAAATAGTTACTAAGAATATCTAGAGCCAAAACTTAGCAGGCTGTGCTTACTATAAGTTAGATAACTAAGGTTGATAAATACAGATTCTAGTTCTAAGAGTCTAGACTTTGCCTAGAACTTTGAGGCTTTTATGTCATTGACTAACAATATACATATTATAAATTAATAAGCTGAGGCTTTAATACTATTAATTAGCAAGATATCTGCTTATAAATTATCTCGCAATAGAGTACAACAATTGAATAATTGCTCAGAATAGCTTTGTAAACTAGAAATATATTTAGCTTAATATAAAAAGAAAAATATGATTGACTAGTATTATAGTAGTATAGTCACCCTCTAATTGTATATAAGAGGCTCACTTTTTAGGCTAGCAGAGAAGACATCTTGAAAAATAATATTAGAGACAGAGATCTCTAAAAGAACACCTAGTGTAAGACTTCTACTATGAAGCATCTCTAAGTCTCCCTATCTGCTATATCATCCTATAGCTATGTGCAGCTTAGAGTAGTAGATTTGTACTTATATCTATATTATCAGTCTCTAACTATTACTATCTGAGATCAATGTGACCTAGCCAATGTGCCACCAGTCTGATCTGAATTGTCTCTAAGTTTTTATCACTCTCATTGCTAATCTTTGAGCTCTGCTCATCACTGTCTATACTTTCTCTACTATTATCAATAGTCTACTTAGCCTGAATATATTCTAAAGAATTATTAGTCAAGTATCTCTATCTTTATATCTATTTATACTCATCTTTTCTAAGATTTTCTAGGTACCAGATATCTTTGAACTCTTGGTTACTTTAGCTTGGTAACAACCTAGCAAAGGAATATTATTATTTTCTTTACTTATA